TACCACACCAGCAGAGCGCCAACATCGACAGGCAGGTATCGGTGAATAACGTTTGTGTCGCCGGTTATAGCGTACCCTTTGTGGTATCGCGAGATCAGGACCACGAGCTTATCTTCGATAGAGACATTGCGAGGGCCCTTTGTGGTGTTCATCCATCGAGTAGTGAGTATCTCTGGAGCTCGTGCAGGCATTCCAGCGGTGATATGAATCAAGACAAGCAGCATTTCCCGGAACTTTTGAGCGTCTTTCAAATAGTCCGTACCTCGGCGTTGCTTAATCCCGGTGGAATCATAGAACTCGGGCTTCAGCCGGCCTAGTCGAGTGCGGTCCAAAAGCCAGCGCAATGACGACTCATCTGCCAGCTTGAGGTGAGAGTCGTCCATGAACGAATATTCGGGAGTATCAATCCTTAGATCATCTCTCAAATCATCCCATGGGATCTCCGGCAGCTCTCCGGCGGTGCAAAAGAGAAGTCGCTCCAAAAGTATGTCCAATGTACTCTTGACAAGCGAGTGCACAAAGCCGCGAAAGGATCCCATACTGAATCTGAGGGCGCCATACAGCAGCTCGCCGTCGTCGGTCCAGATAACGCGGCCATCGGCAGTTGTATTCGACCCGATACTCATGAAATATGTGCGCAAGGTGAGCATCCAAGACATTGTCGTTCTGCTAGCGCGCAGCATATTGGCCTTATAGAATTCCTTCAGCTGATCTATGTAGGCCATGCTGTCTGTTTGATGTTCGTAGCATGAATCCAAGATAACCTGGAAGCGGGCGATCTTGATCAAACCGGAGAGAGTTGAAGAGAACCGCTCAGGCCTCTCGAATAAGCCATCCGCTCTGATAGCAAGTACCGCCAGGAATCGGTTGAAGGGATTCTCGAGCTCGTGACCGGTTTGCGCGCTGAGCAACGTCATGCAAAAGCGCAGGGTCGCCAGCTGAACTTGCGTTAATTTCCTGATCTTTAGCCGGTGGCGGAATGCCGGAGGTGGCCGCATACGGTTCCCGACCTCGATTTCAGTTGGATACTCTGATATGTCGTCGTCCGAGTCCACGAGATCGTCATCGCAGTATTCTTCCTCGTCGAGCACTGCAGAATAGTCGAGAGTCTCGTCGTCAGGAGTCTCGGTGTCTCTGTCTCCATCTTCTGGGCCCTGCCGAACGGCCTGCATCAGATCTCTCCATGCATTTCGCTGGTCAGCGTTAAGATAATAGATGTGCGCCCACTCTCGGCCGCCGTTCTGCTGCGAGCGAAAGAAAAACATGAGAGCCTTTTGCCAAAGCTGGACTGCGGTCTGGAAAGAGGTCTTTCGATAGAACGGCCTCAGCGGCTGATAGATATTCGAACTCATGTCTGCGTCGCGCTTTGCCTCTGCACCCAAATATACGCCGCCGTTTTTCAGGCAGGACTCTCCAGCTCGCGCACAAATGGCAACCGCATCCCAGATCATACGCAGTTCGGTAGCATCCTGCTCGTAGACCAGCGCGAGGTCTGGACGAGATGAATTCCTTGCCGCCTTGCTCATGTCGAGTTCTTTCCAGCTCGGAGGTCTGTCCAGTAGTTGCCGCAGCTGTAACGGATCATCTCTGTAGGTAACGACATGGGACCACTGCGCAAACGTCAGCCAAGGACTGGGTTCTGGGTCCCGTAGGCCGGAGACGAGTGCAGAGTGTTGGTGGGCGGCCTGATAGCGCACAAGATAGCGACTAACCGCCTGTTCGTGCTCTTCGTCCTCTGCCTGCTCCGCGACTTGCACGAGGGTGCCGTTTGAGTTCTGCAGGGGAATGACCTCAACGTAGTTTGTCTGATCTTTGCTTGCAAAAAACCTTTGCCTGAAAATCTTCACGCATCCTCTCGCATACCGCTCGGCTTTGGTGCTAACCCCTTTCTCTCTAACGCCTCCATGGGAACCAGCGGAAAATATTGCTCCATGTTGAGAATTCCAGTGCTTCCGAATCTCGCCTGAATTCGACGAAAGAAAGGCGGTGGCTGGATCTTCACAAACCGTGCACCTGTATTTATCGTTCTCCAATTCAAGCTGAGGAATCTGTGGAATAGGTCCGGTTGGCATAGTGAAGTCCGCGATGGTGGTCCCCACAGTCGGCCATTTGTCGAAAATTTGGTCCTTGATCTGCTCCCGCACATTTGGGCCTCGAAGTTTGTGCTTCTTCAGCAAGTGTCTGGGAACTTCGCCAGGCATGACTGCGTGACGGCATTCCTTACACACAATGAGTCTGTACTCAGGCAAGAAGTCAAAGAGCGTGTCGGCGGACATATTGTAGACCTAGACCATGGCATCGTTAGTCCTGAACTCTTGAATAGATAACACTCGCACAAACACACATACAGATCAATTGAAGCTCGCGACTGACTTTGCAAGAGCTGAGCGCGTCGTGCAGAGTGAGCTAGGTCACGGTCAGTACTCGACTTGCTGCAAATAATAATTGAACAAAATAGCATACCAGTCAATGTTCACTATCGTTCTAGATAACTCGACGACGACAGCAGAGACTTTGGCACACCAGAAACGAACGCGTCGGACGATCTAGACCACAACAAATAAATCAGTCCTCGAGCTCCCTTCCTTTGCACGTAAAATACAAACACCTACCGGTCAGTTCTGATATCGCTCTTCTTAAACGGCGATGGATGACGATAGACACAAAACACTTGCGGTTGTAATAGGGGGGGAGAGGTTTGTGTTGGTTGTGTAGGAAGGGCGGGGGGGGGGAGGGATGTCTTTATTAAGCCACCAGAGACGCGACCCCCTTGATGCCGCTAACTGCTTTTGTCTTGGCCATATTCGATCTCGCATTTCCTGTGTTGCCGGCTCTTTAGTTATCAAACAGAGAGGAGTCTTGCGGGTTGTCGATGCTATTTATTATCAAACAGAGAAACAGAGAGGAGCTTTGCTGGTGGTCTATGCTAGCACAGACGATGTTTATGCTTTTGCGCCGCTGCAAGCAGCCAATCATTGTCGCGGCTGTTGTCTTCAAAATATATATTCGTCTACCTACCTAACCTACCTACCTAACCTAACAATCCTTGCTATCTGGCACAGTTAATTATACAAATATCAATCATTTATATGTTTTATAATCCACCAAGTCTTGCGGTTGATGATGATGATGATCAAAAGCGCGCCCTGAGTGATCATAGTAGTTCATAGACACGCCTCAACGATCATAGGTAGTAGACAAGCCCGTGATAATCCAAGACGTGCTTACACGCTACGGCCCCAACCGCGGGGGCTCGTAGAGACGTGCTTACGATCATAGGTAGTAATCTGGCCCGTGATAATCCAAGACGTGCTTACACGCTACGGCCCTCAACAGCGGGGGCTCGTAGAGACGTGCTTACGATCATCGGTAGTAGTCTAGCCCGTGATTTTCAAAGACGTGCTTACACGCTGCGGCGCCAAACGCGGGGGCTCGTAGACACGCTTCAACGATCATAGGTAGTAGTCCCAGACGTGCTTACATGCTAAACCCCGGGGCTCGTAGCGGCAAGTGCCTTCTCCCATACAAAAAGCGCGACATACACAAACCCGGCCAAAATCATGGCAAATCAATTCTAATTCAAAAAATAAAAACATTTGCCGTATAATCCAAGCTCAATAAACCCGCCATACTATTCAAAAATCTGCAGAAAGGGCTGGAAAGTGGAAATTCCCGGATTCCCACTTGCGCCATGTGGGAATCGAAGGCAAGCGGCGCAATGTCTTAACCGCGAGTCCCATAGACACCAAGTGGGAATACCGGAGTTTCCGGCATTCCGACATGCTCTGATACTGTGTGTCCGCTTACATGCCAAACCCGGGGGCTCGTAGAGGCGCTTACATGCCAAACCCGGGGGCTCGTAGAGGCGCTTACAAGGCCAAAGCCAAACCCGGGGGCTCGTAGAGGCAGCCCATCCAAAACAGCGCTCTACGCTCAAGCGGCCCAAAATGATCGCAAATCGACTCTAATTCAAAAACTAAAATAATCTGCAAATAATAAGAGGTCGATAATACCGCTAGGCAGTCTAAAAATCTGCAGAAAGGGCTGGAAAGTGGAAATCCCCGGATTCCCACTTGCGCCATGTGGGAATCGAAGGCAAGCGGCGCAAACCTTAAGCGCGAGTCCCATAGACACCAAGTGGGAATACCGGAGTTTCCGGCATTCCGACATGCTCTGATACTGTGTGTCCGCTTACATGCCAAACCCGGGGGCTCGTAGAGGCAGCCCATCCAAAACAGCGCTCTACGCTCAAGCGGCCCAAAATGATCGCAAATCGACTCTAATTCAAAAACTAAAATAATCTGCAAATAATAAGAGGTCGATAATACCGCTAGGCAGTCTAAAAATCTGCAGAAAGGGCTGGAAAGTGGAAATCCCCGGATTCCCACTTGCGCCATGTGGGAATCGAAGGCAAGCGGCGCAAACCTTAAGCGCGAGTCCCATAGAAAGCAAGTGGGAATACGGGATTTTCCGGCATTCCGGCATGCTCTGATACTGTGTAAAAGGCTCGTTGAGCGATGCTGTCGCCCAGCCACCGCCTGTGCCGCGCGATCACCAGGTTCAAAGCCTACTACGAGAGCTGCCGGCTGAGACTCAACGTTTAGCGAGAGGAAATTCATAATAACGAGCATATGTAAATGCTTAGTCTACTGTGCTTTGTCTAGTACCTATTTTGGATAAACAGCAGCTCGGATCCATTGCAATATTCCAGTAGCGCTGCCGCTCGTTATAATTAGGGTTTAGCGGTTGGTGGAACAAGATACTGGGCAGGAGATAATACCTGATGAATGCTCGACGATTGAGTTTATGGAAGTCAGCTGTAGGAGCGGTGTGTAAGGGTTTACAATAAATAAAGAAGCAGTCGATGCAGGTATTCTGCTGATATAGATTGCAATGGCATTCTATTCTACCGAATTGAGAGAATCCATTCTTTCATTCTTACTTTCATAAAGATAATTGGTACTCATATTCATAATATTATCGCCAGACATCCGATTGCCTCACGCAAGTTTGAGCTTCTCCAAAAGCCTAGCACGATGCCACCAGCTCCGTATTCTTTTTCCGTAAATATATATCGGGATACTGAGGAACAGCGATGTGAAAACCGCAATAGCTCCCAGAATATCAAAGACGAGATCAGGACCGGAGCTAGCGACCCAGGTGTTGAAGAAGTACGAGAAACCGTAGAAGATAAAGTTTTTGAGAGACATGGTCGCGATTATGACCTCAACTGAATACTCCCGGTAGGCGTCAATCATGTAGTTGCTAGCGGTGATGGCCATCGTCGTCGAGCCCGCGCACACAAAACCGTACATGACCGAGGCAACGACAGCAGATTCGCGGTTCCGATACGCATTGCCAAAGCCGAAGCATCCGATTGCCAAGCAGATCGTTCCAAGGATGACACCTACAGGTAGCTTGAACTCGGGCTCAAAGATGCCTTTATTCTTGCGGGAGATCCAGAGGGTCATGGGGTTGTTGATCACAAAGAAGAAGAGAGAGGCCACGAAGCCGCCAATCAAGGGACCAGCAGACATGAAGCCGACACGTTCGGGGGTCATGCTGTACGGAGGAGCCCCATAAAGCTGTGACTGGCAGTAATTGATGTTAACGATCCATGCAATTGGAATCGACATTGCGATGATAATCTATGATAGGTTAATACCACTGAAAGCGAGACCAACTGCAGAAGGATTAGGGATAAATACCCAAGTCATCCCCGGATTGAGAAAGACGGCAAAGGGACGGATGATAAGTATGATAGGGTTCTCATCTGATACACGGCCATGGTAAGGCATAATGGACTGCAGATATGCCTTTTTCGGCGGGATCAGACTCTGTGCGCTGTCCTGCACAACTTTCTCTGCGTCTTCGATAGTAGTCGCAGCACTCTCAGCGGCAGGCTTGGAGTCGCTTTCGAGGTGCTGGGCTGTGATTTTTTCCAGGTCGTCAAAGAACTCATCGCCAGCAACGTCAAGTTCATATTTGGCGTCCCTGATGTAGGTTGTCTCGGTGCCAAAGAAGCACACGAGGAAGCACTGCAGAGCGACGAAGATGACGTCGATGTAGAATACCCAGTGCCATCCCAAGTTTGTGACGATAGGACCAGTGATGACGGAGGTGAAACAGTTGATACCGCCGAAGCAGAAGTTGAAGACCGCAAGACGCAGACCACGTTCATGGAGACAGTAAAGATCACCGATAAGAGATATAACAATACTTTCGTAGGCAACGTTTCCGAACCCCTGAATAATTCGTCCTGCCAAGAGAGTATTGTAAGTGCTCGCGGTGCAGCAGACAATGGTTCCGATGAGTCCGAAGAGAGAAGCAGTGACAAACTGAGGCCGCTTGCCAAAGATTCAACTAAGCGCCGAGACGATGGGGCCACAGCATGCGATCACGAGGAGCTGGTATCCAGAGAGAAGAGCGATGTCGGTGATGGTGACTCCAAGGTCGTCGGCTTCCACCAGAGTTCCGGCGGCGAGGATGGGGCCACAGACTCCGACGTTGATGACATAGCCAAAGGAGTGAATGAGAAAAAGAATATCGCGACGGAGGGTAGACCAGTTCTGGGTAGGCAAGAGTCAGCGGATGTTCATGATATTGTTTTAGCGGTAAATGTCATTTCTGTGGAGGCACGCTTACCAGAGGATCGTTTGGATCGTCAGACGGCTGCGGAATGAGAATGATATGACTATTCTTGCCCTTTGCGTGCTTCAAGTTTGCAGCAGCGGCGTCGGTGATGTTGAGGCCGTCGCCCAACATGTCTTCAATCTGCGCGGTGCCAGGCACATGTGCCAGCTTGCTGTCCTCAAGGATTCCGAATGTCATGGTGATATGATAGCTAGCGGATTGATCTTGGAGATCCTAAGGTACGCCTCCTCCTCATTGTGCTGATAGCGCTCATTATAAGAAATCGCAAGAGTGCGGGGGATGATGAGGCAACCCACCGGAATAGAATGTGGAGTAGCGAGGAGCTCACGGTATCGAGCAAATCGTCGGGGTATTAAAACGCCAGGAGCCTCTGCGGACAAACTTATTGCCAGTAAACAGCAGTCAAACAGTAGAGATCAGCAGCATAACAGCGGTGAATCGAGGCTACCCCGTCCAAGGTGGGCTGGTCGGTAGGCGGGGTGAAGCTGTTTTACAGTTAGGACGAGGATTAGTGCTTCTCCGAGCTTTCCAGACGAGCGCTTCTCCGAGTTCTACCCTCGCCCTGTTCTCCAGTCTCCAGGACAAGTTCACGGCGACTTATCTGCCCACGGCTCAGCGCGATAGCAGTAACCTACGACCAGTTCGTACCTAGTATACTCAATTCAGGCGAGAATATCAACAGCTGCTCCTAATATTGATCTACTCATTGTATAGCAGTGAAGGGATTGTTTGGGATCAAATGCGGGGCAGTGACAGCTAGCACAACCTAAACCCTCACGGCCGCCATCTCTCCCATCCCACCATCGGCTAGCCCGCTCCTGCCAAGCGAAGCCAATAAACGATGCATACAACACCCTTAATAATACTGGCTTTTGTGGGGTATACTACTGATGCTATTTGTACTTTATGTGATTGAATTAAATGACTAGCCATGTTAGGAGAACTGTCTTTAACGCTCTGAAAGCCCAAGCAGGTTCAGGAAACCAGTATCTAGCTCCGAGAAACAATATTATGATCGACAGGAAAGTACAACAAAAGTGAATGAGTAAAAACTGCAATTGACTTGATCTGATCACAACCGAAAGTCCGTCGTAGTCTAGTCGTTGCACACAGAATACTAGGGTTTGTAACCGATCTCAACTACCGTCCCAATCTCAGAAACGCCATATGAAGCTCTCTGATGGCAATGTGGTGATGCCCAGATACCGGCCATCCTCCTCAAAGCGCACGATTCTCTCGTATGTTGACATATCCACTATTAGGATAAAAGAGGTTATTTTCAGCCTCCTGATCCAACTGACGCCTTCCACCTATGGCATTGATTACTGTGTTCACGATTGAATCCTCAGCGTCTGCTGGTCTATCACCACTTGATTCCCACCACATAGCGCCACCAAGACCCTTGTTGACTATATATTTCCCTTTCAAAGCAGCACATTCTGGAGTATCGTACGTAATCAGCGTCCTGCTAATTGGGTCGTAGCTATAAGACGCAATAGCTGTATAGTCCATGGTAGCCATTGTACTGAGTGCCTTGTTATCAAGGACACCGGCTTCCCATGATCCCCGATCTCCATGGCCGTTGAAAGGCATGTTCAGCCCATCAGTGTTTCCAAAAACACGGCCATACAAAGGCATACCCAAGATAATCTTCTGTACAGGTACGCCCTGCTGAACGTAATGGTTGATCGCGCTATCGGCCGAGATCGGATCCCCATAAATATTAGCCTGATGGCCTGTCCTCGTTGCCCATGCTGGCCCCGCAAAGTCGTAAGCCATCAGATTCCAGAAATCAAGGTATTGATCCATTTGCGGAATCAATAAGTTTGCAAGATTCTCAGCTCCACATGGCGCAGCAATGGTAAGGTAAAATTTGGGTTGGTATCCAGTGAGACTAAGAATATCTCTCGAGTTCTGATCGAGCGCCACTCTCAAGTCATGTAGAATCTGCAGATATTGTTCGCCTTCGCCTAGATTTTTCGGAAACTCCCAGTCGATATCAAGACCATCTAGACCGAGATCGTTGAGAAGCTTCAGTGCCGAAGAGACAAATACAGCGCGCTTGTTCGGGTCTGCGGCCATAGGGGCGAAGTGAGGGGAATAAGTCCAGCCCCCTATCGATAGCAAGACCTTCAATCGGCGATTTTGCTGCTTCAATCTGAAAAGCTTCTTGAAGTTCCCGTAGAGGTTGCTGCCAGCTTCGTCCCACCGGTCACCGTCGTAATGCTTTTCGACATCTGCCCAAGAATCCGAGAGCTTAACAGTCCCAGTATCAGGGTCTATGTCTGCAAACGCGTACAAGACATGGGTCAAATTTGCTGCCGGAAGATCCGGAACAAAATGATTGCGATCATAGATCGCCCAGCTAGAGTGTATGAAGAGGTCAGAATATCGTTCTTTGCGATGAATCGTTCATTTGAAAGAAAATGTAGCTAGCTCACTTGCAGAAGTAGATCACGGATTTCATACCGAATGTGCGATAGCGAGGTGCCCTGAATGTTGGGAGTAGAGGATGATGCGGTGTAGTATATAACAGCAGCTCGAGAATGAGCGTACTCGTATTATAATACGTGAAAATACCTCACAGAGGCATACGCAGAAGTACGTGCAGAACCAGGTGGCAGTGCAAAGATGCCCGGTGTCCGCGGGGAACCGCGCTCGCCTGCTCAAAACTCCCAACGGTCAATTTTTAGCGAGAGCTGATCGAGGCCACTTCGATCCTAATGTCTCACCTACTGTTTCTCAAATACAGTCGAGAACAGAGCCGGGCATTTTTTTACAATAATCGTACGGTTCTCTCTGTCTGTACCCTTGGATAGGGGGAGATTCTTTGAACATGACCGCGGACAGGCTATACTCCATCATAATCCTTGAGCACTCACTACAACACCAAACGAAACGGTATATGACCTAATCGCTAATGTTGAGACCATCGTTATCGATGACTGGAGCATTTAAGGAAGAGTTTAAGACTACAGAATGACAATGATAATTTATCTATAAGGCCTCAGTCACAAACAGATTGATGGTAAAGTGAGCCGCAAACATGTAGAATTGAAGAGCTTGGGATAAAATACAAGGAGCCATGAGAAGAGCGTACGCATACACTGGTCATTATGCGGCGAAGGCAATGGCCAGTTATTGAAATCTTCACAGTATAGTACGGTTATAGACCGTATAAAACAGAAAGCAGAGATCGATCCTGGCGGTTGATAACTGCCTGGTCCTTGTTGTCTATTCAAGCCGATGTCTGAGGCGAAACTGTCGTACGCGGCGCTAAAGCACATCATCTCGACGTGCGTCGGAAGGCTGCGAAAAAAACACCATGTCAGTATGAAATCATCGGTGTGATTCTAACACTAGCCCGATCTCCAAGCGTTCGCCGCAATCGCGAGGAGGGTGACGTCCGTTATGTCTCTCGGCCATCGGGTTGCTTTGCGAGAGAGAGTGCGAGTGCATGGACATCGAGTTCCGTCGGCTACCGCGCCCGGAGTACGTAATGAGAAATCGGGCTTCCCGTCATTGTTTGCGGTAGGGACACAGTAGTAGTTGAACCGGAGTGCGGAAGTATTGAGAGGTAAGGAGAAAAGTGAAGAGAGAAGACGCTCTTTCAGAGTATATTTTGTCAATTCCTGCAATCTAAAACCATCCCGCGGATGATAGTTGACTGCAACAGACAGATTATCTCCGGCGATTATGTGCTGGCGGGGACTTCGCGATCATACTTACTGATCTTTCCAGGAGCAAACCATCGTATCAAAAAATGTGAGGTGAATATCAAATGCGCGATTCTGCAATGATAATAGGGTTCTCGCTGCGCGCACACGATGACGTCATTGATTTTCCGGCAGAGCAGGTCAGAACTCCCATATACCTCTTCTCGGTTTGGCTTCTTTCAACAACCTTCACCGTCCCTGTTCATTTACTTCTTATTCCAATTTACTTGACTTTACTGTTGGACGCCGATGCTTTACCGCTGCTTGGCGAGTCTCACCTAATCATCATCATCTCTGTCGTCCAACTTTCGTCCATTCCATCACTACAAGCTACAAGATGGTCGTCACCTCTCGAACCCGCTCTCCCGGTCCGCTAGATCCGGTGGCTCCCGCTTCGCACACCAGTGATTTCGAGTCTTCAGACAATACCTCATCCGACGAAGAAGGAAGGGGTGTCGAGGTATTGGTCGACGCTCGTCATCGCATAGCTTCCCGGCGCCGGAACGACTCGCTCACGAATGCCAACGCTGGTGCATTCTTAGCAGGTCTGAATACTCGCAGTGGCTGTCTACTACATGCTCTCCTCGACACTGAGCGAGAAACTAGACGACGGTCTCTGGAATTCCGACGCCCTTCATTCATCGACGGTGATCCTGAAAGTAGCGATGAGGACTATTACGTCTCCGATACTGCCGACGCTATGAATCATACCAGCAAGCCTGCTCATAGGGCTCGTCGAAACAGTATATCTCCTCCGCCAGACCTCCTAGCAAAAACCGGTTCGACAAAAACCAATGTTCCGCACAAAGGAGCCCGAAAGCACCACTTGAGTCATTATTCGTCTAGTGCTCTCACGAAGAAGCAACTTGCTGAAATGGCATATAGCGTGCGTGATCTCAGCAAATATCTGGGAACTCTGAGAATCAAAATGCGCGTCAAAAAAATCATCGTGGTTGCGAAGCTTTTTGATAAGGAAACGATTGCTAAGGCTTCCGAGTTTGTTGATTGGATTCTCGGATATAGAGATGACCACCATCATCAATATATTATATACGTCGAAGACATACTGAAAGATAACGCCCTTTTCGATTCTGCCAAAATGGTCAAGAATGACCCTTCGAAGCAGGATCGCTTACGTTATTGGACTCCTGATATATGCCACGACACTCCTCAGATTTTTGATTTAGTTGTAACGGTAAGTTTATGTGGCTTTCAGCGTTACTCAATCCTTTTGCTATCCTCGTGGCAGTCGCTAATGTATTTTCATTCACAGCTGGGCGGTGACGGCACGGTGCTATACACCAGTACCCTCTTTCAGCAGATTGTTCCTCCCGTCTTGAGTTTTAACTTAGGAAGCCTCGGCTTTCTGACCAAGTTTGAGTTTGACAGCTACAGCAACATCATAAATCGGCTGGTATCCGAAGGCGTGATTGTTTCTCTGCGGATGAGGTTCGAATGCACGGTTATGACGTCGTTACACAATCTTGATGACCACAAAGAAGAACAGCACGCTTCAGGAGTTGCAATCCATCGCGACCTTTCGGCTGAGATACTGGATACTGTCGAGGCCACTCCCACGCATACACCACGACATACTGCCAGCATCCTAAATGATGTTGTAGTTGATCGGGGCCTAACGGTACTATGTGTACTCTTGAGATATACGTCGACGATGAGCATATTACCACCGTAGAGGCAGACGGTTTGGTAATTGCTACTCCCACTGGATCAACTGCATACTCGTTATCGGCCGGCGGTTCTCTGGTACATCCAGACATCCCAGGAATTCTGATATCGCCTATTTGTGCCCATACATTGTCTTTCAGACCCCTCGTCATTCCAGACAGTGTTGTTTTACGTATCGGTGTCCCTTACAACGCCCGGACTTCAGCGATGTGCAGTTTCGATGGAAAAGATAGGGTTGAGCTCAAGCAGGGTGATTACTTGACAATAAGCGCCTCCCGATTTCCTTTTCCTATGATTCAGAGCAAGAAGCTTGGGAGCGATTGGTTCGAAAGTCTTAGTACGACACTAAACTGGAACCAGCGAAAGGTTGTTCAGAAGGCATTTGATGCTCTATAAGACCGTCTTCTTTCATTCTGAAGATGATATATCACAGAAACTAGATCACCGAAAGGCAATCTACACAATTATATAGAACGATAGACAAACAGAAAATTTCTAACTCCAAAACACCCTCGCCTAGAACCCCAACCATGTTTCCAAAATAATATATGCTCCCCGAATGCTCTTAAGTGAAATCGTATAGTAGGACAACTTTTCCCGATTCTCGATCTTCCTCGACAACGACCTTCTCATCGTCAAACCCGAAAAAGTTACCAATTCGTTTCGGCAAGTTGTCTTGATTGTCCGAAACTCTTATCTGTACGCTATCTCTATTCAGTCGGCCGAGATGCATAGGTTCCAAATCCCAGACACGAATCTCCTCTGCATCAGCTGATATGCTGACCGCTTTTCCGCGCTCTTTAACTTCGACATTAGCAACGCTTTTAGTATGGCCCCAGAGTCTTTGACCTGACGTTATGTTCAGCTCCGAATCCGTGCTTCTAACCAGATAAGAAACAAGCGTATTGTCGGCGTGTGAGGTAAGAAGAAAGGGATGGGCGTATGATAATGAAGTTGGAGGGACTGAGGAGGAGCAATTGGGGGTTGGAGGATCCGAAAGTGTAAAGTAAATGTCTGGGTGCGCGGTCCACAGCTGGGATGAATATATCGATGCTGGCGTCTTAGAGAGAGCATTTGCGGTCCGCAAACGGGTCATGCCGGATGTGGGGTCGAGTTCGATCTCCTGTACCGCAACAGTCCAGTCCCTGCTGGCGAGAACCGGATGGGTGTAAGCAATCGTAGCATACACTTTTTCACTGATAGTGCTCTTGCGCATAGATAAAGAAGTAGGACCGGAGACAGATTGCGCTCGCAGAGATGTAATCAATGATGTCTTCTCGTAGGTATGACTGGCTTTTTCGCCGCGCGTAGTTTCCACTTGCTCCTCGAATTGAAATATATTGACGACCTTGTTGCTAGAAAGCGTAATCAAAAATGGATACTCGATAGCAGCCGAGATTATCGGGTCCCCTCCTGCCCTGGACGGCTGCGCATACTTTAGGGTAAGTACCTCACTGCTAGAGAAATCGGCAGTATAGATAGCGAATCCACCGTTGGTGAATCCGACCAATATTGTCAAAGCCTCGTAGTCCAATACCACGCTCGATTTGTCGACCCATAATGCTGAGGGGTCGCCGTAGCTCCCAGTATAGTCGACATTCGAATATTGAGTAGGAAGAGCTGATGACGCAACAGACTCTCCGCGGGCATCCCAGATTCTTAATCCGTATTTGGAATCTGCGGTGACGATGGTTCGACCTTCAAATCTGACCACCAAATTCTCATTCAACTCAGCACAGTTTTCGGCTGATTCACCAGCGCCACTTGACACATTAATCGCATCGACTGAGCACCGGCCCTTGTGCCAGTTATGCCGAAGCTTGTAAACAGATTTCCATGAAACATCAGAATCATATGCAGCGTCTTTCGCAAACCAGTCAGGTGGGTGTGAATGTCGACGGTCTCGTCGCTTCTGAGACCGCGATTCTCGTGGTTCGATGAACACTCTATAAAACAGATTCTTCCAGACCTGTTAATAGCAGGAGTTAGAATACATAATGATTTGGTCAATTGAGGTCATGGATCAATACTTACTATTGAGTCATTGGCCAAACTATTGAGCTTCCGGCATACCCTGGAGCACACGGTCAAATCTCTGGCAGATAGATGCGAGAGGATAAGGAGGAGAGCTTCATCGCTGCAACGATCAAACAAGCTGGTCCTGGTGCTATGGGGACGCTCCAGCTCTGAGGAAACATTATGAGACCTCTTTCGACTATGGAAATCGTCGTCCGCCTTCTCTCGTACCCGTTTCGGCATTTGTGGCGACTGCTATATCATGTAAAGTCTCCTGTATTGCGATCTTCGTGATCCAGAAGCTTGATCGTAGTGATTGCGGGCGAGAAATGAGGGTCTGGTACTGTTGTGAATATTTCGAATAGATAGTCCTTATAACTGTAGTTGCAAATCCTTCATAGAAATCTCAGCAAGTCATTTAATGGGTCTACGTATAAACCAGGAATGATATATGGCTATGTAGTATGTCAAAGAGCCATGCATAGATATCCAACTGACTATGATGACGCTAAATATCTTTGCTGGAAGATACTCGCAGAATATCTACAAAACTCTTCAAATAAACCGTCATCGCTTTTCTTATTGTGAATATAATACAGATGTAAAGTTGGACAAAGATCTAAGGGCAACGACACTTCGGCCCAAGCTCCTAGAAAGTTGAGTCGTATATGGAGATGTGAGGACGTAAACTATTCTCGCAATTGCTCTTCGAGCTTGAGACCTGCAGAGTAACGGTCCAACTCTGCAACAAAATCATCGATCGGAGTCTTGGTAGGATCTGCCTCAATAACTTTGTCGTCCTCTGTAATAAAGAAGTTGCAACTTATCAGTCTTCGAGCAAAAGAATAGACGTTGTTTGCGAGTGAACACTACTTACTGAACGTAACGGACATGATGGGCGTTGCCGTCGAGGACTTGTTCAAAATTTTTGTGTCGACTTTGATTGCTGCTCGAGCATGCGGTGGAATAAGGGATAGAAAGATACGGGCTGGCTTCGCTGTAGAATAAAATGATTCAAGTCAGTTTCTACTGTAAATTTCTCGACTGCTCCGATATCGTCCTACCCTTTGTTAGCGGGTCAAATCTCACGATCGCTGACTTCATATATGCTGTAATCATCTCTGAGTATGGCTTCAACTGCTCTATTGCGATGTGCAGATTATAACCACTAAGGAAAGGTCGTATTTGAATGGGCTGAGACGCGAAGATAATTGTGGTGAGTGGGATTGTCGGGAGTAGTGAACTCTAAACGTTGAAGATGTTTAGTAATCAATCCGCAAATGATTTATAAGCGAGTTCTATCTCTACGAAAATGCTCTATTACTACTCCTGCCATAAAGCGTCACCGCCACTAAATGCAAGAATTCTTCCTAGGAGGCCTAGCAATAGTCTACAGAGGAATATCTCAAGGGTTTCAGATACTGCCTCCAACGGGTTCTGTTTACTCTCTTGTACCGTGCATTGGGGTGGTATCAGTCTCTGTGGTGAGTATCGTGCAGGCCGCCTTCCTTATCGAATACTTGCACGCACAGAGTACAATAGATATACCTTCAAAGCTTGATCAAGTGTAGATGATTTTTATCAATACAGTAAACTTATATCTCAATAGCAACTATTCTCGGCCGATGCTTGAGCTCAATAATCATAAAATCCCTTCCCGCTCTTCTTTCCTAGCCATCCTGCATCGACCATCTTCTGAAGAAGAACAGACGGCCGGTATTTCGAGTCCGCTGTGTCGTTGTAGAGAACATTCATGATAGCCAGGCAAGTGTCAAGACCAATGAAATCGGCCAAAGCTAAGGGTCCCATTGGCATTGCACAGCCATTTTTCATGATGCTATCAATATCCTCTTTAGTGCCAATACCTGTCTCTAGACAGATGACTGCTTCGTTGATATACGGAATCAGAATCCGGTTAGCTAAGAATCCGGGACTATCGGCAGAGATACTTGGGATTTTTCCCATAGACTTCACAAGCTTCATTGCAGCGTCAACGGTTTCCGGCGCTGTCTGCAGGCCAGTTATAATTTCAACGCCCTTCTGCACAGGAACTGGATTCATAAAATGAGTAGAGATTACTCTACTCTCTGCACCTTTTGCTGATGCGGCGATCTTTGTGATTGAAATTGAGGACGTATTGGTACTTAAAATCGCGTGGGCTGGCGCTTCTTTTGCCAGACGGCCAAAGATGTCGAACTTCAGACTGGGAATTTCCGGTACCGCCTCAATAATGAAATCAGAGTCTGTAACAGCATCGAAGCTGGTAGTTGATTGTATAAGTTTCTGGACCTCAGAGGCTTTCTCCGCCGTTATTCGACCTTTCTTGACATCCTTGTTTAAGAGTTGATCTGGTAAAGAGCTGAGCGTTAGCACCGTATCCATATCAGGAACGGTCTAAATAGTTTGAAAGGCTCTTACCTAGGAATTTGGATCCTTTACTCAGCGATTCCGGTGAACTATCGATGATACTGACTGAAAGGTTTGACACAGAAGCAGCAACATAGGCAATTCCCAGGCCCTAGACATCGCACATCCGTAATCAGTCCTAGAAGACATAATGATCGGTATAAATCAACGTAATTCGCATGGGACATTTACATACCATCTGTCCTCCACCGATGACTGCTAGCTTGTTCACGTCTTGAATGGAATTCGTACTGCTGAATGATCTGGAAAGGCGCAATGACGAAGTCGTTATTTGTCTCGAGAGCCGCGTTGCGACGGGAAGGAAACTCGATTTATGCATATTCACAGGTAAGAATCCGAAGTAGTGATGTATTTTCTGAATATCTTTGCTCAATGGCTATTGATCCGGAAGCTGGCGGGAAAGAAAACTAATTTATGGCTAGCAGTGAAGTAATCACAAATCAAGGTCGAGCTTATCCTCGGCAACTCTGCTTGAACCCCACCCAATACAGAACTCCCAAGACGTGCCCCGCACTAACAAACGGATGCTCATGAAAATTCCAGTTTCTACAGCATCCAGCTTCCTCGGAACTTTTAGATATCAACCGACTGTGCTTAGATTTATAATAGAGTACTGTACTGTGATAAATCAGCTAGCTAGACTTTATTTATATACACGGTATGCTATACATCCAAACATCATTTGATAGAAAAGCGACGAAATGAATCGACAAAAAGAGCAAAAGAACAAATAAAAACAAGATAGAAGTACAACTCAATTTTTGGGATTACTATTTTTTTTGGTCGCCCTACTGTCTCGCCGCAAAGCCAGATCTGTCTGGGTACATTCTAGGAGCACTATTTAGAAGACAGAGATTAGCTACCGAGACGCTTGAATCACCGAGCAGTTTCAAGATACATACATGTTCATTGCCATCAGCTCCTGGAACAGAAGTTTTGCCGCGTAAGGAATGTGAATCTAGATGTCGTCGTCAGTTTTCATGAACAGGTACTGCTGCTTCGAGATAATAAGTAGTAAATTACCTGGTAAATATTCGTCTTGTTCTTACAAGCGCGGCATTCAAACTGGTTCGCCTTCAGATTGGTAATGACAGTCATCAATCCACACTAGAAGGTGTTAGTAACGTTCTCAAAAATTACACACACTGAATCATCAATCACTTACAAGGCCGCAAACATGGACTCGGAAAGCATCGGATGCCTCCATCAATCTCTCTCGCAAGAATGCAGCAGCTCCGTGAGCAATCATACAATCGCGCTCCATCTCTCCGAATCGAAGACCACCGTCTCGCGAGCGACCCTCGACAGGCTGGCGCGTCAAGATCTGCACAGGACCACGGGCTCGAGCATGAATTTTATCGTCCACCATATGGCGCAGACGCTGATAGTAAGTAGGACCCAAGAAGACCTGCGCCATCAACTTCTTACCAGTGTGGCCATTATACATAAGCTCAAAACCTCGCGAATGATACCCGTGTTCTCTCAAAAGTTTGGAGACTGCGTCCACAGTGACATCAGTGAACGGCGTCGCATCACCTTCCAACCCAGAAAGCGACGAAACCTTGCTCAGTAGACACTCGATCAAATGCGCTACCGTCATACGCGAAGGAATAGCGTGCGGGTTGATGATGATATCCGGAACAACGCCTTCCGCGGTAAATGGCATATCCTCATTTTTATACGTCACTCCGATAGTACCTTTCTGTCCGTGACGGGAAGCAAACTTGTCGCCAATCTGAGGAATCTTGGTCGTACGCATTCTGATCTTGACGAATCGGAGACCCTCACCATTTGTAGTCAAAAGAACCTGGTCGACAATTCCACTTTCGGTGCTTCGCAAGGGAGTGGACACATCTCGCTTTGTATGGAATTGCGTACGCTGTCCAAGCTCTTCGGTCTCGGGAGGAATTGGAGCAGTCTTTCCGATAATAATATCTTCGCCAGAAACGCGAACACCAGGAGCAATCAGTCCGTCGTCATCCAGCTTATCGTAGGTACCATGCTTCATTCGGAGAGTGTTTCCCCGAATCGGCTTTTCAAACTCCTCAACAACGGCCATACCCACTCGCTTCTCCTGATCCATGTATGAACGGAAGAATAAACTTCTGAACAATCCACGATCAATACTGCTCTGGTTCATAATGACCGAATCTTCCTGATTGTATCCACTATAGCACAAGATGGCGACAATAGCGTTCTGACCCGCGGGAAGCTCACGGAATTTCATGTACTCCATTGATCGCGTAGTAGCCAGAGGCTTCTGTGGATAGTACAGAATGTTTGCCATAGTATCCATTCGCACACCATAATTCGTAAGATAGACACCCATAGCTTGCTTACCCATAGCAGACTGGTAAGTGTTTCGCGGTGACTGATTGTGATCTGGGAAAGGGATGATACTGGCGCAAATTCCAAGAATCATGCTAGGATGAATTTCACAATGTGTCCATGTATGAGCCCCAGCTGCGGACTTGACTCGATGAGAGGGATCTAGATTTTCGGATGCAGGTGCTCCGTCGGTCATCTGGCGCGAAAGCTCGAGATCTTCAGGAGTCATAGCAATCATTACCGTCTCTTCTTCGTCGGCGTCAATATATTCCACAACTCCCTCATTCACGAGCGAGTTCCATCCATAGCGATCTTCTTCTGTCGAGTCAAAGTCTTCCAGTAGACGGTTGATGTGTTCTTTGCGTAGTACCAAGTCACCATTTCTAAGGCTTCCTGACTCGTTATCCACAACGAATAGAGGGCGATAGACACGTCCAGCATCTGTGAAAATCTTGAACTCCTTCTCTCTGATATCCCGAACGATGCTAACCTCGGAGGAGATATTGGCATGTCGGCGCAGAGATCGGATAGTCTCGGCAAGCTGTGCTGGCTCACGATGAGTACCGATCCACACACCATTCACAAAAACTCTGGTGGCATTGGGGTTGAGATGAGGGACGTAATCTTCGAGAGACTCCATACCCCACTCTTCAAGGAAGAAAAGAATGGGCTGCGACGGAGTACCGACAGATATACACGTCATAAGAGATAAGTTCTTCACCAAGCCACATGCCTGTCCCTCAGGTGTCTCTGCAGGGCAGACAAGACCCCAGTGTGTATTATGAAGCTGTCGAGGCTTTGCAATTTTTCCGTCACGACCAATAGGTGTGTTTGTACGTCGCAAATGAGACAGCGTCGACGAAAATGTGTATCTGTTCAAAACCTGCGAGACACCGGCACGAGAAGACATCGCCTTCTTCTGCTCACCCCAGTTGCCAGTAGCCAAAGAATATCTCAAGCCGTTTGTGATGGTATTTGGCTTCACTGCCAGAGTCAGGTTGAAGTCTCTGTTTGTCTCAACGCACTTCTGCATGTACTTATAAACGTCACGCGTCAGTTTCTTGAAAAGAATGCGGAACAGGTTGGCAAGAAGAGGACCAGCAAGATCAAGGCGTTTCTTTCCAAAATGATCACGATCATCAAGCTCACGGCGTTCGAGAGCACACTGAAGCATTTTGTGAACCATATATCCCAAGAAGAAGGCTTTTCTTGTCTCATAGCCTTCACTTTGAGTAATATGAGGCAGCAACTCTCTTTGCATGATATCACGCGCATAGCGCAAACGCTTCTCCTTGTTGATACCCATCATGGTTCCACGGCGACCGATAAAGTCGAGAGCCACTTCTCGGTCTTGGATCACAAAAGCTTCCTCAATACAAGGTTTCAACATTTCCAGCATCTGCCAATCTGTTTGGTCGTAACAAATGTGCTCGAGAATGTCGCCATCGGGGACAACCCCAAGAGCGCGGAAAACGATGACAATTGGGACATCATTTCGAATATAGGGGAGTGTAGCCTTGATCGTCGATCCATTTATTCCTCCCTTAGCATAGAGTTTAATCTGCATGCTACTGATCAAGCGGGACCCTTTCTCAATGGCGGACCGAATCTCGGCGAGATATGATACTGGAGACGGGGCGGGTTTCTTGAAAACCTGCACAATGTTCGCAGCACTTCGCTCTTGCGCAATCAAGACTTTCTCTGATCCATTGATGATGAAATATCCACCCTGATCATACGGACACTCGTTGACATCGTAAAACTCATGCTCCTTCAGCCATCTGAGCATGCAAAACTGGGATCTCAGCATCATCGGCACTTTACCAATGAAGACCTTATTGTCGCCCTCTTCGGCAATATCTTCGGTCTCTGCCTCCCAAACAACTTCCTGACCCGGCGCCAAATCACCATCGCGCGAAACTAGCGATCTTTTGGTCATCTCAACATAGAGTGGCGATGAGTATGTCAAATTCCGCAATCGAGCTTCTTGAGGAAACATGGGGTGAGTGCTGCCATCTGCTTCGGTCATCGTCGGCCGCGACAGATAAATTTTGCCAAATGTGATTTCATAGCGTCTGTTGATGTCACCATCTGGACCCGTGTGTTGCGCAGGTTGATCGAGCGTGAGCGTCGGTTCTTCGATGACTAGCTCCTGAATGGTGGTTTGAATAAACTCATCGAACGATTCGAGCTGCTGAGATACGAGGCCTTTCTCATTGAAGAAAGAAGAAATTACAGTCCAGCAATCCTCGGCCGTGATCTCGGAAGCCTCGTCATAGCCATATGGGTCGCTGTAATCTGCATTCGGGGTTAGATCAATGACCAAAACACGAGTTTTCAGAACACGCAAAATTCAAACTAACCGTCAGCCATCTTGCCCAACAGATAGATTCGGTATCAGACTGTAGCACTAAAAGCTTCTTGAGAATCCAATCGATTAGCCAAGCAATCCAAGTTAATGGATCACTGGTACGGGAAGGATGGAAGTGAGTGCTTGATGAGGTTTGGTGTGTTGAGGGGACAGGATGGCTTCAGCTTCGGAGGCGTATTACAAAGTCGTGCTGAGATATACCCGCGCCCAGAACTACGCCCTTACCCTATCCCATATGCGCTGCGTTCCGGCGCGTCGCGCAATCGCGCCGACGAGATTATATCTAGATATAATTTCGATTATGTTTGAGTGTCAAGTTATCTCAATTACTACGTAATGAACGAAAGAGTTAATCTATGATGTTTTTGTAGGCTGTTGTAGAGGTCTGGTGGTGGCTCATAACTACCCCAGATCAAACGTGCAATCCTGCCCTCATATCACAATCGGATGATCCGGCCGCAATTTGCCGTTGGTAGATTTTCAGAATTCTTATACGATGAATTTTGTATGATTGAGTATGTCATGATATGATTTGTTCGTATATAGTATACACTCTCACGCAGTTTTGAATAATAAAATCGCAATATGACCAAGGTAGAAGTAGATGAAGTGTCGTGTCTCTGAAATGGTTTAAGTCAGCTCGCGCACTTAAAATAGAAGGACTAAAAAAGATCATATCAGAGAATCTTACCGTGTGTAACGTAGCTTCCGAAATTTCGACCGACGATGCAGTGCCATGTCTGTCCGAATCGTTGATCAAGCTGCAGCGCGATGTTAGCATTTATAAATGTATTTCGCAAAAGACAAAAGAACCAAGGGAAAGGCGCACTTCTTTTTTGATATGCGCAGCAATATCCTGTTTTTTTGATCTATTAGATTGCTGTTCTCGGTGTGGAGTAGATTTCTCGTATCAACGAACCTTCTCAATGTTGTATCGTTCCATTGCTTGCATTGCTTAGGTAGATTGTAGTTAGTATACGTCGACCTCGTCTTTAGTAATTATAAAAACATGCACATACCTAAGTCGATGACAACCTCTTGCATATCCTCGGACTGCATTAGTTAGTCTCGTGAGTTTCGATACTGTTCAAAACTAGAAGTGTGTATTACCATATCGGCAGACTTAACGACAGCTGAGGGTCACATATCAGTTAGCCATGTTTCATCCTATTGCTATACGTACACGTCCGACCAAATTCTTGTTATACAAGAATATGGAAGAGACCGTATCAGAAGCATATGCCCTGTCTGCTGCAAATGCGGAGTGCGTACCTTTTCCGTCCCATTGTCCGCCCGCCGAAGGGGTCCGGACATCTTTAGTAGATTCTGGCATTGACGAGTCCAAAAATAAAATCCTCAATAACGGCCAGGAACCAATTTAGTGACTAGGCAAGCCAGATTAACAGAAAACAAGAAAGGCGCTCTTGCCTAAAATATCCGGTGAGAAAACGATCCCAGCATTGTTTTTGGAATCCTGGAGTCAAAAGCTTAAATACGGTTTACGCTCCGAGACGATCCAAAACCGCTCCAGCCGGCAATAATTGTTTACTCATAACTCTTTGCTCTCGGCTTTCCACATTTTTCTTCTAATGTAAGATCCAAAATAAATCTGCTTTACCGATTCATACAAATTTGGTCAACTGCGGTCTATACATGATATCGGGTGTACGATTTGAATCGAAAGAACTTCTTACTCGAGAAGCCGCACTCTTCAACTATCGCCGAGCGTAGAAATCACGGTTATTTATACAAGCATGCATTTCCAGAGTCCTATCTCCCCAAATCTACTTTTTGCCCTTTTTAGATTTTCCTCCCTTGGAACCCTTCTGGGACTGTTCAGCCCTGCTGCTCCCTGCTGAGGCTCCTGATCCCTTTTTCCCTGATGAACTTTTTGGTAATTTTCCACCCGCACTATTTGCCGAAGGAATAGCAGCTCTGAATTTCTGAACGCCCACAGGAAGAGCGATCTCTGCATCAGTCAAAGCGCCTATTAAACGGATTTCTTTTGGCCATGCCCGATCTGTGTCCATCTCTGATTTGTCAGGCTGTCCGCCCATACCTCTCATGAACCACTCCTGACACTTTTTGAGGGTCTTGCCCCGTTTGCCAACACCGGGAAGCAGTCGTACCTTATACTTCACTTTGTGTAACGCAGGCCAAGGAGCACAAATTGGAACCGCAGCAATGACGTTGTCTTCCCGAGACGGCCTGGAAACCATTTTCTGTCGGGGTACAATCTCTTCTTCCTCTCCTTCATCGTAGACCAGTAGCACATCAGCTCGCAAAGGAACCCGTTGTGACTCTGTAGCCTCTTTCCGTCGATCTCTGTTTTTCAGTTTCGCTTCAGCTTCAGCTTTCCTTTGCGCCTGCTCCTCGGCTTCACGAGCCTGCCGACGCGCTTGCCGTGCTTGTTCGAGCTCTTGCTTACGGGACGCAGCATTTCCCGACCCCAACAACGCCATTCGAATAGCACGCTCTTCTTCGTCTTGATCGGCGTACTTGAGAGATATTTTCTTGAGCTTTGATTTTGTTCCATGCGGGATAGCGGTCGGTGCTGGCGAAGAAGATGCTGTAGACTCTGTACGAGATAATGCTGAGCTCCTTGCTGACACCTCATCGTCTTCGTCCGTTGCTGCATCGCTCATATCATCTTCCTCACTGTCACCGTCCTGCTCAGACATACTGCTGGCTGATTCATCGTCATTTCTGTCCGTTTCACCGTCGAACTGATTCCCATCCTCCTCCTGTGGTTCAGTCTTTTCCTCTTCTGACTCTAGACTAAGGTCTGCAACAGAGAGCGGCCTGGTGTGACGGGCGGCACTTTCGTCATCCACGAGGAACAGAAAGCCAAACCCCATGATTAGCGGTACAGGACCAATCGAATTTTTCATCTTGGGATCAATATTGATTTCGAGCTCGAGTTCAATAGCATCCTCCTTCTTCTGACCTTCAAGAGCAGACAGTGATCGCAGAGACTCTTCGACATTAGTCTTTACTTTAACGGCGGACGAACGCGCCCACCAGCCTTGAACGAAGCCATTGGTGTCCCACGCCACTGACGTTGAGATAGAAAGCATAGAAGCTTGAGCTAACGTACTCGGAGGGACAACTTCAGCGTTTTGCAGATAGTTTTTGACGACAACTAAACTGGCACCTGGGACGTCGGCGGAAACGATTATATCTTTTGATTTCAGATGCCGAGTAAGCAACAATGCGGTCTGATGCGAGTATCGAGAAGTAAGGACCAGATAGCCATCACTCGAAAGAAACCAAATGTACTTTTCGAACCAGAATGGAGTACGGGCGGGGGGTTTCCCAACATTGGCCACATCGGAGCCCTCTGACCGCTGCTGCTGTTGCTGTTTAGACTGTTTCTTGTCTTTGCGTGCTTCTCGTTTCTTTTCCTTGCCGGACTTTGGCTTGCTTTCTGTGTTTTCGCCACTGCCGGCTTCAGAAGCTGAAATCGGTTCCGCATGCTCTTCGCTTTCCCTCGTCGGACCACTCGCATCACGATTGTCTATCTGCGCAAGCAAGTCGTTCAAGGCGTCGGATATGTCAACTCGTGTAGATGGTGCAGTCCCGGCGACCTTCTGCGAAGAATAAAAGTACTTTGCAGTCGCAGGAATTGGCCGCGATATCGCAGGTCTGCTGGAAGACATCCTTTCTGGCAGATTGAATGACGATTGAGTGCAACTGCTGATCTACCAGAAGAGAAAAATATAGAGATTGCTAGTAGCTCCTCTCTATGTCCGGCGGTCACGTGTACCTCACTAATATGGCATATATGCAGAAGTATTAGTGCAATCTCATCGGGTTTGGGCTGACGTCTGCTATGGAAGGCTCAATGATTTGTCTGATCTCAGACCGTATGATATAGGAATCGATAGCCAACTATGCACAAGCGGAAAATAATCCTGGAGAAGTCCTCGAGGAAATCCGTATTTGATAATCCGGCTAACAGTGCTAAGAGATCAAAGCCGATCAAAAATATATTCGACGATGACAGCATCTCGAGCCCGATCAGCGACGAAACCAATGATCACAATGAGGTAACGAAGGAGAATGTCATCAGCAACTCTACTCGACGGTTACGATTTCTGCCGGGAATGGAGAGTAATGAAGTGCCCGTTACCGACGATATTACGGGTGATGATACTGCACTTCCAACCGAAACCCATTCAGTTGAGTTGGCCACTACCAACACTATGGATGACAGCTCTTCTGCAAGATCCGAGTCAAGTGATGATGATTATATGAAAATGGTCATAGAGGATACCCCCAAACGTGATCCACACGATATGACATACACAGAGATTATGCGCAAACGCCAAAAGTCACAGGAGCTGAAGTCTCGAGTCCTACCTCCAGATATCGTGCAGCGTGAGAAACTGAAGCAAGGACTCGATACTCCGCTTTTTGCGCCAACGGAGCAAACGAGAGATTCAAGTGATCAGAGTACACCGGAAAGTAATGTTGGGTTAAGCATAATGGCAAAAATGGGCTTCGTTCCTGGGCAAGCGCTAGGAAAATCCAGTGATTCGCAGACTTCCATCGAGCCACTGCGTCCAAATTTGAAATACGGTATGCTCTAATCTGGCTGCTTTTGATTTGTATTCGTCTAACCAATTTATAGATCGACATGGAATTGGTATGGACTCATCGTTGGCCGAGGAGTTTAGGAAACAAGTGGCCGAAAAACAGGAGGCGGAAGAGCAGGAGAAAGAGAGCTATGCCGCTAGAATCTCAGCAGAGGTTTCAGACAAACACGTTCGAACGCAAGTCGCAGCAGCACAAAAAATTTGTCGAGAGCTTGATATTGCGGCCGATCCACAGCTCGAGTCCATTTTCTATGAGGGTGCGGCCTCAAATCTGAACAATCTAAGAGTCAAAGATATCAACATCCTCTGGAGAGAACTTGTGGTAGCTGAGCTTGAGGCGAAAGAAGAGGCTCTACTACGAAAGAAGATGATGGAACGCACGGTATCTGCAGAAGAGGTTGCAACGGGAAGCCTAGACTCTACCAAGCCTAAAGAGACATACGAAAAACTAGCGGCCGATGAGGATAATGAAGAAGAAGACGATGAGCTTGAGGAGTTTGCAAATCTGATTCCCGAAGATCGTCTGATGAGGATTACAAATTACATGCGAGAGACATACTACTACTGTTTCTGGTGTGGATGCCGTTACGAAGATGGGAAGGATCTAGATGACAACTGTCCTGGAGTCACGGAGGCCGATCACGAATAAAGCAGATCGACTGGAGCAGGGTGTACGATAATATGGAGTTTGGGGCAAAGGGCATCACGATGGAAAACTAGGAAGGTCGGGACGTTTGTAGGTACTCGGCTCTCCTATCATTAGATAGAATACAATAAGAATTACCAATAATGCCGGTACTAAAAGCGAATAAGAATAACAGATTCAACGATAAATCATTGAGAATGGATTGAGCGTAATAGGAGATGTGGGCTAGGGCACTGCAAATAAAGTCCGCGAGCGTCGACGGCGCCGGGCTGCTTTATGACGCAGTTGGAATCACAACGTCGTGCCATCCTCACTTCTGCGAGCGCATATATATCCTCGACAGCACCTACAAATAACTCTGCATATAACTAGAGAATCATTCATTGTTACATCTACTGGTTCCACCTTGTTCTTTGGATATGACGGAGTCATCTCGTCCTCCACAAGCGCGTCACTCGTCGACCTCTTCTAACGGCGCAATTGATCCGTACTCAGTGGCTCAAGTTTACTATGGGGCGGATCGAGATGTGAACACATCGTCTGGCCGCCTAGCGCGGACCAGAACTATGTCCACTGTTAGTGAATATCTTGAGAATTGATTGAAAAAAGACCTAAAAGGGGTGTACGCAGACTGACAAGATATGATCCTCAGGTTGATACTCATACCAACACGCGGGAGTTTCCAGAATTTCATCCTGTGCCTCGTCGCCGTGCATCTCAAGGTGTGTTTGATTCAAATGTTTCTTTACATCATCTCAGACTGACTTTTTTCGTTAGATGAGCAATCGACACCACGGAAGTTTCTCGTCGATATTGATTCTACTCTCAAAGCTCTTCTGGATTCCGAAGACACCGACGGAAATATGCAGATCACGATTGAGGACATGGGCCCCAAGGTGCTTCAACTCGGCACTGCAAATTCAAATGGATTCAACAAGTACGATATTCGAGGAACGTACATGCTTTCGAACTTATTGCAGGAGTTGACTATCGCCAAAGAGTATGGCCGGAAACATATAATTCTGGATGAGCAGCGGTTGAACGAGAATCCCGTTCATCGTCTGTCGCGGTTGATTCGGACTCAGTTCTGGGACTCTCTCACAAGAAGAATCGACGCTTCTCTTCTTGAGGTCGCTGCTGTTGATCCTAAGAACCGGGCCAAAGACAAGAGTCCGAGAATTTATGTTCCATATGGCGAAAAAGAGCAATACAACTACTATGTGGAGGCAGGAAGCAAGATCCCTGGATTTGGGCTCAAGGTGGAATATCTTCCAAAGGAGATCACTCCTGAGTGGGTGAAGTCTGTCAATGATAAACCGGGATTGCTCGCATTGGCAATGGATCATGTGACAGACGAGTTCACGGGAGAGCCTACTCTCCGAGGAAAGCCATTTGTTGTCCCAGGTGGTCGATTTAATGAGCTGTATGGCTGGGACTCATACATGATGGCCCTAGGCCTTCTTGTTGACAACCGACCAGAACTAGCGAAGGGAATGGTGGAAAACTTTGTTTATGAAATCAAGCATTACGGCAAGATCTTGAATGCCAACCGGTCTTATTACCTGCTGAGATCGCAGCCTCCCTTTCTGACTGATATGGCACTTCAGGTCTATGACAAAATTCAGTTCGAGCCAGGATCATTGGATTTTCTGAAAGAATCAATCAAAGCTGCCATTAAGGAGTATCATGAGGTCTGGATGAGCTCACCACGACTTGACAAGGAGAGCGGATTATCACGATACCGACCAGGTGGCTTAGGCATTCCTCCTGAAACAGAGCCATCTCATTTTGAGCATCTGCTTGAGCCTTATGCCGCAAAGTACGGCATAAGTCTTGATGAATTCCAGCAAAAGTACAACGATGGCGAGATCAAGGAGCCGGAACTAGATGAGTATTTTCTCCACGATCGAGCGGTACGTGAGTCAGGACACGATACATCATATAGACTGGAGAAACGATGCGCCAATCTTGCAACTGTTGACTTGAACAGCTTGCTGTACAAATACGAGGTCGATATATCGTATGTTATTCGTCGCAAGTTTGGCGATAAGCTTGTTATGGACGATGGCACAATCGAAAACAGTGCAAGTTGGGATCGACGAGCAAGACGGCGGAAGATGCTGATCGATCAATACATGTGGGACGAAAAAGCCGGAATGTACTTCGACTACGACACTGTGAAGCGCGCCAAGTCAGATTACGAATCGGCCACTACGTTCTGGACTATTTGGGCCGGCGTTGCGTCTCCCAAACAGGCGGCCCGTTTGGTTGCGGATGCGATCCCGAAGTTTGAGGAATTTGGCGGACTTGTGTCTGGAACCGAGAAATCCAGAGGAGAGATTGGAATCGATCGGCCAAACCGACAGTGGGATTATCCTTATGGCTGGGCACCGCAGCAAATTCTTGCGTGGGGTGGATTGGTCCGCTATGGCTATGAGGAGGATGCCGCTCGCTTGATTTACCGATGGCTTTACATGATGACGAAAGCGTTTGTGGACTACAACGGTATAGTTGTTGAAAAATATGACGTCACGCGACCTGTTGATCCACACCGAGTCGACGCAGAGTATGGAAACCAGGGAGCCGATTTCAAGGGTGTGGCGAAGGAAGGATTCGGATGGGTCAATGCATCATATAATTATGGCTTGACGTTGATTAGCAGTCATGCTAAGCGTGCCTTGGGTGCTCTGACACCTCCCGGATTGTTTTATGCGAGTTACAACTCTTACATTTGAGAGGACGCTTGATGTGCGTATAGTCGAGAGAATTGGTTTGGTGCGGCATGATTGCCTCAAGTCTACATAGTGTTTGTTGCTTAGATAGTTGCTGTGCATAGCTGGTAAATAAGATAATACAATCAGTCATTTTCAGAATTCTTCAGTCCGCATTCAAATCGCTCCTATCAGTTTATTACGTCATACTATTGAAACCTTACATAATACTTTCGACGAGCTAATATTGACGTATTAAGGTTGATGAGCCGCACCGCCAGAGACTGTCACGGTCCTCGTAAGTTTGTCTAGAAGATGCTACTTCTTCATACTTCAGCGATTCGTCAAGGCTCATAACTGCAACGGACTTTGAGGGCTCTATTCATAGCAGCGCTACATAGACATGAGGTTTCTATTCACTAGCGGGCTGAGGTCTGGACTGGCTCGGCAGATTGATCTGCCGCTGATGTCGCGACTAAGTCCACGAATCATTGGCACTCATCAGACAATATCAAGAAGCGGCACGTTCATAACTCCCACACCTGCGACGCACATTTATGGCGCATCATATTCATCCGCAAGATCAACCACAGATCTTCCACGCTACTTTATGCATCCGGAGAGTCCGCCGGAGCCGTTTGAGGGCACTGATTCGAAGATGTCTGATCTTCCCAGATATTTCTCAGATCCGAGCAATCCGCCTGAACCATACTCACGATCCAAGTCAGCATCACCGAGCGCGTCTGGCGCACTATCAGGTAGCAGCTCTTATTCTTCTGAATTGATGTCTTCGTCAAGTTCGGCGCCATCGATGTCAACTCGTCAAAGCTCGCTGTCTTCTGCGCCGTCGAACTCTGGATCAGATAGCAATAACATTTACAATCTGTTACTGCAAGAGAGGAAGAAAACACTTCTGATAACCGTTTTAGTCTTTTTGGCAATCTACATCGGAACGATTGCTTTTTTTTGGACGAAGATGAACAGTTTACAAATTCAGGCTGGTAGGATCATCAAGAAGGAGCGCGAGGGTCAGCAGTTGAAGATCAAAGAGAAGCTTGCTGCGCTGGAAAAACAAAAGGCGATACTAGTGGACGAAAGAAACCGGGCATTGAGCTGGCGCAATCGTGATGCGATGATTTTGAGCATACACATCGCAATGTTGAGGAAGCAACTCGTCGAACAGGCCGGAATAGAACCAGGTACGTTTTTCAGACTCAGAATTGCTTACACCTCTTGCTTTAAGACCCGACTGCTAACTGATTACACGATGATGACAGCTTCGGCAGACGAGGCTCTGGAGCAATTTCAAAAGTCAGCAAAGACAAGTCATAATTGGAAATCGTCAGCCGGATCGGTTACGGGATATGTGTTTGAGGATAACGGTAAGGAGACACAGAGTGGTATTTGGGGAGATCTCATGAAGCTAACGACCACTGTTTACCTGGGAATCTAGAACTATCCCCATATAGGCCTAATCTGAATGAATACGAAGGCAAGCCGAAGAGGCCGTAAGAATAATACCTCTTTGCGACGATTTCATGTAAATAGTTTTATGTGGCATATTGGAAGAGGTCAATTGGTTGTATCGAATGCATTGAGAAAGATTATTTTAAGACAGCGCTGAAAATGAACGTACAGCACAGAATCAGTAGTAATGTTGATCTGATCTTGAGGACTGCAGATTGCAAGAAGGGACCTGAATTATGCGATAGTGGCGTCGGCACTAATAAGATACCGCCCTATCAACAGCCGGCTAGTAGGCAAAGTGTACCGTATGAAATCCAACTATCAAATCCAGAGCTCGAGAACCTCCTCCTCTCTTATCACACGAGTTCCAATCAGACGACCCAAGCATACAAACACTATATTTATCTAATCTGACTGTGATGGTCGAGCCTTCCAGATGGGCCTCGGTCGGGAGTCAGTTTGGGAGTCGGAAAGCGGCTCCGTCGGGATGCCGGGATATTGAGCTGCGCCACATATCTTCTGAGTGGCGAGTGGCGGGTGGCGGTGCCGGGCCAACCCAATAGAAACAGCATTTTTCGCGCCGCCAAAAGTTTGCGCTGTTCGCGTGCGCAGATATATTTATATTTATCGCTTCCTCCTTGCTTCTTTTCGTGTGAACAGCAAATCCGTTGCTTCTACACTCATCATCATCTTGCCAATCATGAAGTTCGTATCTTCTCAGTGCTCTTTCGACTATCCGTGGAACTACGTTTCCGCATCGGCCTGGAAGAAGTATCCCAATGAGATGTCGTCTCACGTCGTCGCCGTCGACGTCCTTCGCCGCGAAGTGAACCCGGAGACTGGCATCCTCACCACCGAGCGTCTCATCACTTGCCGTCAACCTATCCCGAGATGGCTTCTTGCAATTGTCGGTGGTCGCGATACTTCGTACGTTCGTGAGGTTTCGGAGGTTGACCCCGTCAAGAAGACCCTTACTCTCCGCTCCTGCAACCTCACAATGAACCACCTCCTTTCCGTCAACGAAATTTGCACATACTCTCCCGATACCTCCGATTTCTCCAAGACCGTCTTCAACCAGGTTGCCCGCATTGAGGCTTATGCCACTTTCCAGCGTCTTTGCAACAAGATTGAGGATTGGTCGGTCGAGCGCTTCAGACAGAACGCCGCCATCGGCAAACTTGGATTCGAAAGCGTGCTTCAAAAGCTTGCCAACACCGTTCCCGAGGGGATGTTTAAGGAAGTCAGCACCGCTTAATGTTCTTCTGTTCTTATCACGACTCCCTCGACATTCCCAACTCCCTCTCCTCTATTTCTTTTTTCTTTCTCCTTTCTTTTACGGCGCATTCATGGGTTTAAAAATGTTTCGGTTCTGTTTTATGTGTACGATATTCAGCATTTGCATTGGGTTCAAAATTTAGACACTTCACAGAAGCAAAAGCTCATGATTATGTTTCTCTTCAAAGTTATTCAGATCATTTCTCCTGCATAGACCTTACTATCTCCATCTATAGATGTTGTCAAGTCGGCGCTCGGGCGCCGGTTTTGTTTTTGCTGTTTGAATCTCCCTCTCAATCTATTAATATCAATAACACTCTCCTCTTCTTTCATATTGGTGCCAACATACTGACATCCGCGCTACGTGCTTGCCCCTCCGTAATCATTTCTGTAATCACTCTCCCACTCCCTAGACATAAACTTATTCCCCAGGGGCCATGACCTGAACATATATACACTCCCTTAGCGCCCCCAACCTGCTCAGGCGGTACTTTTCCGATAATAGGTTCTCCACGTGGTGTCACCGGACGCAGGCAGACCGACTTCCTCATTATCTTGATTTCGGGACCGAGAAGTGATTTTGCAACGTCTTCGAGTGTTTTGTATTTCTCAGATCCCTGCACTGGTTTCTTCCCTTCTGCGTCCGATTCAGAGTCAGTCCCTGATTCTGCCTCCTGTTCCCGATATTCTTGAAGGGAGGGAGGCGCCATACTCCCTCTTCGGGTGGTGGTCTGACCCACATTGTACCCCTGCTCATTCAATCCAGCAATATATATTTCACCATTGCTTCTGGAGAATATTTCTGGTGACCACCGAGAATAGATTGACGATCGAACAAATAAGGCATTGCGGATAGGAGATAAATCTATTGTGTTTGGCCGTCCATCAGGATGTATTCCACTGCACGTACTCCCAGATGCAATACTAGACGCATCATCGAAAGTGACATCCGACCTATCTCCTTCTTCGGACATTGCTGACGAAGAGCCTTGTGTGTCACTTCCAAACACTCCTAGACTTCCTTCTTTGCCCACATACTGAGAGAGAGGCGAAGTGACAACCATTGAATATCCGGCTAGTGAACTGATAGCAGGCACAAACTGTGCGTCCGGAAACGCAGTTGAAAAGGCGTGTGGGGACCATGCCCCAGCAGCTACCACGACATGTTCCACCTCAGAAATCGTGATCTCGCGTTTCGAATCTAGGTCACGAAGTACTGCATCGGACAATTTTCCCGAATCTTTATCAACTCTGACAGAACAAAGTTGATATGGGTGAAGTACTTCGACACCTCTTCGGATGCACACTTCCAGGAGAAATTCGCATAGCTCGTATGGATTGCTAAAGTCGCGTTAGCACCAGGAAAAACTTATGCAGTCGTCTCATTACCTACATTTGGGCACACTCTCCTTCGTCTGAGATTTGAAATGTATTATCGGTGTCGCAAAAAAGCCAGTCAGGAGGATCCGGCTCAGAAGCAAAAATCTTTTGCTCTTCGTCCAACTCTTCCTGATACCACTGATGACGGGTATGTCCTCCCGTGCCTTTCAGAGCCGCCCTGCTTTCCAATAGTTCCATCCGTGCTTCCCACTGTTTCTGTAGTCGTTCGCGTTTGAGAGCATCATACTCGATTGCTGTTAATGCCTCTGGCTCCTGCCTTGGAGCAACAGAAAACGCTTGTGAAGGTCTGTATCCCCATTTTTCGTCTCCACCGTATATTTCCGCCAATTCAGCATGAAGCACAAAAGACAGCTCTCCAAGAGATGCTGAAGGTCGTGAGAACCATGACCGGCTCATGAAACCCGCAGCCCTTCCAGATGCGCATGAAAATAGTCGCCTCGAGGTGTCAACAACAATTATGCGCTTTGGTCGACTGGCATCGGGTGCCTGCGAGAGATAGAAAGCAGAGGAGAGGCCTATGATGCCGCCGCCCACTATTATCGTCGCCATGCCTTTCTAGTATACACCACCGTCGTCCGTCCTTGTACTCACTTGATGACTGTAATGGTGTGTGCAGGCGGGATACATCCTTCACGCGCGCGAGAGCAGAATGTCTTGACTTCGCTTACAGCTCCCAAGCGCATAATCTCGCTTATGATACACCAACCGTCGAGGAACTAACTAACCAAAATCAGTGTGTTTGCCCAAGACCAAACCTGTGGGCTAGGGTTCGGTAACTTGGCCGTCCGCGTCCGACTCATTCGCGCGGCCTAAAATTTATGCCGTTTTAATGCTTTGGAAATCACTTTTGCTACTTTTGTTGTCTATCATACAAAACACCGAATAATCGCAATCCGATCAAGCCAGACTCACTTCTTTAGCCTGAGTCCACGAGAAAACCACAAACTGGAAACAAATAATAGTCAAAACGCCTTTTCCTTAAACTTCAAAATAAACAAACACCTGCTCCCCTCTATTTCAATTACTTCATACGCCATCGCTGTCGGATCTCCTTACCTGCCAAAAAAAAAGTATCGATCGTGGGCCATCATCGACTAGCTTGCAGAACCACCATTGCGCGAGGGTCCAGGCGTACTCCCTGATATATTGGGAGCACCCGTGGTTGCAGCAGTAGCGCCGCTGCCACTCGGCTTCTGGGCACCTGGCTTGTTCATCGACTGCGCCAAAGTCATGACTAGGGCCTTTGCGATTGCTGCTGCCTTTGCATTCTGCTGAGCTGAATTCTGTGGGCCCGCCGCAGGTTTCTTCGCAAGATTGTTCCCTGCTTTGTTTTGTGCAGCGGCGAGAGCGGCTGCCATTAAGGCGGACGCATTGTTGGGAGTGCCACCAGCGACAGGGCCTGGTGAAGAAGTCGTTCGCAGTGGTGTACCACTGCCCGACCCTGCCCGGCTCATCATCATTGCAGATGCAGCAGGGGAAGGAGAGGAAGAAGAAGACGCAACGGTAGCCGGCGTTCCTGGTGTCTGCGAGCTCGAGCTCGCTGGACCTGGAGAGCCAGCCTTCCCTGCAGACAGTTGTGCTGTAATCGTTTGTTGAAGAAGCTGCAATGCCTTGAGCGTATCTTTGTTGATCGGCGGTTTGGCGGTCTGCGGTTTGACGATGCCTGGCTGCACGCCAAGTACTTTGCCTTTTGGCTTCCCATTTTGACCAGCAAATGCACGTAGTTGGTTGGCAGATCCAACCCCGTTGATATTATACGTCGCATTCTTTGCTGCGGCCGCTTGTGCAATGACAGCAAGTGCTTTCTTCTTCTCTGCAAGCTCCTTCTCTTTCCGCTCCTTCTCAATACGTTCTCGCTCTTTCTTTTCGCGATCGAGTGCTTCCCTCTCCTCTTTGGCCTTTCTATCTCTTTCCTCTTTCTCTCTCTTTTCCCGCTCTCGTTTCTCGCGTCGCTCTTGCTCTTTGCGTTCTTTCACAAGTGGCCTGTTCTTCTTAGCTTCGCGCTCACGACAAAGTTCCTCGTCTAATCCCCAGAGCCATCCCTTTCCTTCCTTAGCAATTTTCACAAACGACTTGTTTAATGAAAGATTGTGTCGCACAGAGTTCTGCCACCCGTAAGGTGCATACTGGTAGTACGGGAACAGAGTCTGGATAGCTGTATAGATTTCGGACAAAGACATTCCGCGTTCAGTAGCATATGATCGCAATGAGATCTCTATCAGGCTAGAATAGGAATTCGCAGGCTTCTCTCTGTACTCAAGAGGAATTTGGGATGGAGATGGTGGTGTCGGGTGTCGTTTTTCCTTTCGTCCATTTCCCTTTGCTTTGGGAGTTATCTTCCCTGACGGGGAGCCTAGCAAGAGAGCGGGGTCTGTCGGAATGTCACCCATATGTGAGGCAGGTGAAGCTGTGAGACTAGCCAAGCCAGCGATAGAGCTGCCAGTAAGAGCTTCTATCATTCTAATATCGGATTCCTGTAACGGCTCCTCTTGTAAATGATCACTCATATGTGTCTGCAAATGCTCCGCTAACTGCTCTTCTGGTAAAGGTACTGCATGCTGATCATAATGCTGCTGCTGAAGAATGGGCTCCGCATGGAACAACTCGCCTTCGGCAGGAATATGCTGATCAGACGCAATGAGCTGAGTATCATCAGGCTCAGCAAATAGTTGTTCAAAAGACTGTTCCTCAGCGGCTTTCACCTCAACCAAGCCGTCACCCATTTCCACGTCTTCTGACTGCAGCTCCTCTTCAAGCTTGACCTTAGAAGGAACCTGTTCTTCGACGCCAGTGTCAAGAGGCGGGAGAGATTTCTCGTCCCTAAAGAACAGGGCCTCGGCGGGTTTTATTGCTTCTGTAGGAGTTGAATCGCTAGAATCAGCATTATCGGCGTTGGGCAACAGGAAAGTAAACCCAATCTGGCCAATTTGTACTCGTGAGCTGGTAGGAAGGTTAGCTAATGGATCTAAAAACAGGCGTATCCTCCTGCTAGAACTTTTCTCTCTGCGTACCCATGGCTCAGTGACACTGTAGACCCCTTCTCGACGAAGACGTCATCAACGAAAGCCCCGTTTCGGCCCAGCACCGAAAATTCGAATCGCTGGTTTGCAAAGTTATAAAAGATTCTTGCATGTCGTCGTGAGATCGCTTTTGCCGTGCCGAGGTGTACGTCAATATTTCCATTTGTGCCCGGCCCGGAAGCGCTAGCCATGGAACCGTTGCCTAAGCTCTTTGCAGGGACAGTGACGGAGTCCGTCTGGCCGGCGTCTGACTTTGACGGAGTCCGTGATCTTGAGCGGCCCGGTATTGATGCTCCATTCGTGGTCGCGCCCGCTGATATAGCTCCCGAGTCCACGCTCCGACCCATGACAACCTGCAGGGTCTGCACGTAGAAAGTGAATGATGCAAAATCAAGTCGCGCATACGCCGAGATCCGCGACTGTTCCGAGGACGTCAAAGCTGCCGTAGGTGGCAGAAGTGTCATTTGCTGAAGGCTAGGAGGATGTTGCACAATGCTCTCTTCTTCATATCGTAGTTCTGGTTCTTGTAGAATGATTGTTTCGTCAAGCTCCAATCCAGAGGACGAGAGGTGTCTTTCAAATATAGATTTCTCATGAGGTAGTTCGGGGTGGTGGTCGATGACCCCAAAGCGAAAGGACTCGTGGTCAATGTCCATCATCTCACCGTCGTAAATCTATATTCTTGTTGTCTGCGTATGTGGATACATGGGGCAATTGGATCAGAATCCTCGATGAATCAGGCTGGCCTTCGAGTATGAACAGCACTAGTTGTAGGGATTTGAAAAAAAAATTTGGGACTTTAAGGTTTGCGTTCCTCCCAAGAATTTTTTCAGCTGAGCTTAAAAAAAAGTTCCTGGATTATGTCATGATTGACTAACGTCTTTTGCTAGCTCGACTTGACCACTTAACAGGCCAGTAGTATTTCAGAATACAAGCGATTGAGCCTTAGATCTTATAGATATTAACGGAGGAATAAATATTAATAAGACCGAAATAAAACAATGCAACTTTTAACAACGCGAAGTATGCCACGAATAGATAAAACGGCTATAACGACAATATATGTACAGAAAAAAACTTTTGCAAACCGATTCTCCATATGATATGAAATGCGTTACATCCTGGTAAGAAACTCTGTAGTATAGCGATAGAGCATAGACTGAAAACAGATGAAATCATACAACCATCCCCGATCAATCAATTGTGGTGACAGGTGTCTCAGTCTTTTCTGCGTTTAAAGCGTCAGAGAGAACATCGCCCAGTCTTTGATCTTGTGTGATTGAGTCCCTAGTTGGCACCAAATGGGACGCACAATCCTTATGCAATAGCTTCAGCCTTTCAATCTCAGCAGCCTTTTCTTTTAAGTCCCGCTCCAAAACAGAGATATCGCGAAGAATCGAGCCTTGGTCGGGAAGCCTCCTAATGATTCCCATCAACTCGTCGACCTTCTTATTCGCCACGCGGAGCTTGCTGTTCGCCGTGTTCGCTCTCTTTTCAAACTCTGAGGACCGCTGCTTGTACAGCGCAAGATGCGCCGACTGTGTTTTGTTGATGTTGCAGACTTGTACATAAGCGGACTTAAGAGCGGAATAAGTAGTAACGAGCGAGTGCGTCTTCAGAATCTCAGCTTTGGTCTCAGCCAAGTTGCTGGATAGAACAGCAGCTTCATCAACAGAGATTGTGACCTGACCAGGTAACTCTTCTTTGCCTTGCGGTGGGCTGTTGTCGTCGGCGGGTGTTGTGGTGGCCGTGACCGTGTATGAAGCAGCGGAGGTCGGAGTAACCGCATACTCTACCGGAGAAGTATTAGCAGTTTGGTCCGACGGTAAACCTTCTGAAGCGCTATAAGGAGGTGTGATTGCAGAAGCTGACTGTGCATTATTGTCTCCAGCTGCATCTGCTGCCGGGTTCGAATGCTGCTCATCGGCACGTTCGAGCCATGGGAAATCATGCGAGACTTCTTCATCCCCTGGTCGTTGTGGAAGATCATCTAATGTTGAACCAAATAGGTCGTTCAGTTCCTTCTCCATTTCGGGGGAAAGAGTGCTCAAGTCTAAATTCTTCGCCCGCTTGGTGTCATGTTCGTCGTGCGACTCGAGATTCTGTCGTTTCTGTGAATTGCCAGGGAGTATGTTATTGTTATTGCTTGCAGACTCATCAGGATCTTCAGAGCCTAGCAACGACATGAACGATTCGATCTCCTCGGCATTTGGCGGCTCCAAATCATTACCGCTGCCGATGTTCACCGCGACACAGTCCGGATCATTTTCTGGGACCGGCTCGGCATTCTGCGGAGTAGCGTGGTTCGGAGAGGACTGGGTGCTCATCCCAGTTTGTAAGCAATAATCAGAAAGACCAAGCACACAAAGAGGGGAGCTATGCTAAGAGATTGGACAAGCAGAGCAGTAGTTTGTCGATCGATTAGAATAAAACGCGAGCAGTTAAAATTCTTGGTGGATAAAATTTTATGAGCCGGGCAATTGGGAGTTTTGTTTTGATCCAAAGTCTAATTTTTTACAATTATTTTAGGGTTTACCTTTTCAAGATATTCCTTTCCCTTACATTTAAGCTTTTAGATGACAGAATTGCCAATGAGCCAATGAGATCTATTAATTTCACTTGTGCCGTATTTGATATTATGCCGAGTCTGTTACGCGGCGATTACCAGCCATGGTACAATACAATATATATCACGTCTCTATACTAGCTTAAAATCCGAGGAAGTAGACGGCAGCAGCAACAGCAGCGGTGAGCATGCCTCCACTGACAGCAGTAGTGTAGGCACCAGCGGTAGCCGACGACGAAGCGGCAGTCGAGGAGGCTGAAGTCGAGGAAGCGCTAGCAGAAGAGGCGGAAGAGCTAGCAGAAGAGGCAGAAGCGCTAGAGGAAGAGGCAGCAGTTGAAGTGCTCAAAGTGGTCGATGAGGAGATCTTGGAGGACGAAACTGGGGAGGAGGATGAGGCCGATGCGGAGGTAATCGAGGAAACCGCAGAGGAAGATCCCGACGAGGAGCTTGAAGAATCAGGCAGAGTAGTGTTTCCGACCTCTACGCTCGGCTGAGTGTTTGAGCTCTGGGTCTCAGCGAGGGAAGTGTAGGTATCAAGACTCTGGTTTGTACCGATGTTGATGACACCAGTCATACCGCTCTGGCAATGGTATGCCTCTGGGCAGTAAAACCAGATAGGATCTGTGTTATTGATTTTGATGATATACTCGGGTACATCATAAATCGTAGAGTAGGTGATAAGTCCCGAGTAAATACCATCAGATCCATCATCTGAGTTGTCGCTGTAAGGAGAGCAGGGTGCGTCGTAAGTAGACTGGGCAATGCCATGAGTCTATAAGTGTGTGTGTTAGCAGTCGGTAGATATCATGTCGCAAATGCATTGCACTCCTTACTCCACTCTCGATTGTGAACCGGACATAGTCTCCGACATCAGCGGTGATGGAGTCGGGGTCGTAGGTGAATCCTGCGTCTCCGACCGTGACGTTGTGAACAGTGTAGGCCGCAGCCGAAGAAGCGGCGGCAGCAATGACAATAGCAGTAGCAGTGGTGGACTTCATGTTGCAGGAGTACTGGAGAGGTCAGGCAAAGAGAGAGATGCCAGAGAAGACGTTGCTGGAGGACATGGGAGAATATATAGTAAAGCCATGAGTTTCGAAGATTGCTCCAGACCCGAAGGCACAAGCTTTTTAGACAACTTGGTATTAACCTTTAGGCTACCGGAAGTCTTCCAAGACGTGGTATTTCAGCTGTTCCAAGACTTGCGCCGACGAATGATGTTTCGTGGATTGGTATGCCCAGCGCCTGTCTTCTCAGGGCCTTCAAATCGTAATTCTGAATACTAGGCAAGATCCTCCCTCCGCAATCATACTGCAAGTCTCTCGAATCGACGACTCTTTTCACATCTTTAAACTGGTCGCATGGTCAACGTACCGCGCCATATTACTAGTTTGGCACCCTTGATATCCGTCGGGTTTCGGTTTGTGTCCGCGGGCTGCTCTTCGCCAGCGCTTCAGACCACGTGTGCGCCGCACGCTACTTAGCTTCTCAGTTCTCAAGACCTTACGCATTATACACCCACAGTTATAATCAGCAATAGCCCCTCATTTTTGAACGAGTCCAAAATATCCGACGGGTCCATCATACAGTATTATAGGAATATCGGATTTTGATTTGGTTCGTCGATGGCTGGGTGATCATGGCTAGGGCAGTCGCGACAATGAATTAGGCTGAACAAGAACGGAACTTTATCGTCGAGAGAAGGTCAAGGCTGATTTGAAGGACCAAAATGATCTTATCAGACAGACCATAGCCATTAGAAAAGTCAAGTTTCGTCATTGAGATGAGATATGGCGTCAATTGAGGATCATCTAGGTGAGCTTAGAACTCGACCGGCTCTCGACCCTGCTTCCCCTCATCAGCACAGGTTCGGTCTATAGGTAGGTATTGGAGGGACTTTGCTAATGGATTGCCGACGCTCGGGCTTATGTCAGCCGGTCGTTGCACAGAAAGGAAATACGGTTTATATTATTATTAATGCAGTTAAGCAATCTCTTGGCTCGGCTGGCCCAAAATAATATTTTAGAGGTGAAAACTGCTGTGCCTGCGAAGGGTCCCAGATTGGGCATTCATCGGGATTCAAAGGCTAACTGGAACCGGCGCGAGTCGCCCACCTGACTTAACTGGCATGAGTCATCATTGTGTATTATACGAGTAATCTTTAGGTACACTAGCAATCAAGCACAAACCATCCGTCTGCCAGCAGGTCCTGCAACACAAGCAATGTAACAAAACGAAACTCCGCTTAGTCAAAAATAAGCCTATACGTCAGCCCATCATACTCAGAATCCGGGGATGCTGGAGTCATCAGCAAGTATTTTCCAACCTTGCCGGCGAGCGCAGGAGTACTGAACATCATCGGAGTCACGAGAGCGGCCTTCAAGTTATTTGTCGAGTCCGTGTAGAGAACCTTCTTGTTGTTTGACCATGGGCCCACGGGGGTGGGAGCATATTCGATGATGTAGCTGGTGGTGTCTGCGGTCGACACATAAACCATAAGGTAGGCATGGTGATATTCTGAGTAGAAAATAGAGCCGCCGGCGTAGAACATAGAATCATCAGTATTGTCTATGACAAACTGGTCAGAGCCAGACAGAGTGTAGATCGCATCTGCAGTGCGGTTCTCTGTAGCCAAGGGTTCAGTGGAGGTCCATGACTGAGTGGAGTTTTTCCAGTACTTCCACGTAGATTGGTCCGTGACAGTGTCGGCGGGAGCAAAGGCAACGAATAAAGCCTGGCTGTTTCCATAGTCACTGGTATCGAGAGCATACATGTAGACACCGTTCTTCGCATGCATGGCCGCAAAAAGACCATATGCATACTGGTCGTCATCAACAGACCCGTAGAGATCCTTGAATCGAGTGACGGTCAATGAGTTGTTGGACACCGTCAAATCGTACTGGACCATGAAAGATCCTCGGCTGTTGAAGTCTGCCCAAGAGTCCCAGAACTGGATGGCGCGTGTAGACGAGATAGGAACGCAAGCAGAGTGGGGGAGAGCAAGTTTGGTAAATTGGGCATCATTGGCAGTCTCCTCGGGTGACTCAGGGATGAAGTACTCGAGCGAGGAAGGATCGAAATCGGTATAATCAGACACCCAGCTCGGATGACTGGATGATCGACCGACTGCGAAGGCGGTGGGCACAGTGAGATCGTCCGACGATTGGTATCCAGTGAACCAGAAAGAGTTGTTTCCAATGGCACAAAAGGTCAAAGGCGCACGGCGCTCAGTGACGTAAGAGGAACTTCCCTCGCTTTCGGCATCGAAGTCGTTCACTTTTCCCCAGTAGTTGACGGAAGCGACGGAGAAGTCTGTTTTCCGAGGGTAGACCCTGTAGTTGGAGGTCGGGAAGTAGTGCGGGGTATCGTACTGGTCAAAGCCTGTCCAGGTGTAGGTCTGAACAGTAGCGAGAACTTGGCCAGCAGTTGCCAGTAGGAGAGCGGTTGGTAAGAGCGTCATGGCAGGGCAGAGGATGAAGATGAGGATCAACTCGGGTATCGCAGAGGGATATAGCAGAGCTTATATGGTTTTCTGATCAGTCAGGGTATTGATGCCGTGCGCCCTCGCCAACAGCTATGTAAGCGATCGGTAAAAAGAGGCAATCCATAACGAGTACAGCGAGTAGGTGAAGAAAAGGTCTAGGATGAGGTACGTCGAGGTCGGGTATCAGTCGGAGTACTAAAAAAAACAGTAAAAAGAAGGAAGTTGAGCCTTTTAAAACTCTATTGGTTTGAGTTGAGGCAGGTCCTCGTGCTTTTGACCTCTAAAATTGCCAATTTGTGATTTTAGGTTGAGCACGGCTCTCAACACTTGCTTAGTCGCGCTCCCCTCATTTCGCAATTTTACTGATAGGCGGCCTTCCGAGTGTTTCAGTGTCTGAAGAACCATTCAGAAGGTCAATTATAGATACACAGACCGTGGAAGGTTTGTGTTTGTGGCACCGGCGGCTGAAAGCGAGGCCAGCGAAAGAACATACGCACTGCGAAATTACAGCCTGAGACATTTCACCTGTCGAAAGTGACATCATCGAAAAGAAAAGCCTTGCTACACGGACCGATAGAGCCTCCTCTTCTACAGACTGTCATGGAAGTGGAAAAAAAAGCTCTTTTCGAAACAGAACCGTTGTGGCTACTGCTGCGTAGGAGTAAGAGCTGCCGAGTATCCTTGTCTTTTGGGCGTTCTAGACCGAGTTCGCAGATCCCTTTGCTCATGGAGCAGCATCTCAGAGTTCTGTAAATAGACCGCTGTAGCCTCGCATGGATATCACGACAATTTCGGCCTCATATGCAAACGAATTAATTGTGGTTTTTAATGACGGATTTCCGGGGCTACTCTCGCGAGTACCGCACTCGCTCCTCGAGCACTTTCCAGCTGCAGGTAATTATAATAAGCTCGAGACGAGCGTATTTACCTTTTTCAGTTTCTCGCGATCACGTGCGTACGCGATCGATCCGGGTAACTTATTTATTTGGCGCGCGGCTCAGTCCACTTCGTAACGCGTAGTTCTCGTAAAGTTGAGTCTCGCACACCAAGTATCCGGGATCATAGATCTTTGCATATTTAGACGTTCACCTCTGCGGTCTCTGAATGCTGGAGAGCACTGCTACCGCTAGCTAAGTGAAGAATAGAACAGATGGGAGATGGCTTGCTGTTCACAGTCTATGGTATCTAACCACTCCTTTGGTATGATCCTATGAAACACTCTAACCACCAGCCTCTCTAGACCGCATCGTATCCGACAAGATCAAGGATCGCCAAGCGGGGTTTGATACGCTGACTCGAATCATCAACAACAATGGACTCAAAATTGACGATAAAAGCTACCATAAGCTTCTCGAGGGCCTGTTCCAAGCGGTAGTGATCGAACGCAAATCGTACGTTAGAGCGCACGGCATCCGCGATGATGCGATCTCTGATAGGCTTTCCAAGGCAGCTACCGTGTTACGACTACTTGTTGAGGATGGAGTACAGACGTTTCGAATGAAAACCATCAATGCGCTTCTCAAACATGTGGGACAGACTGCGTATATCGACGGAATGATGTTCAAACCCATACTGCTGGACTACATACGTGCATTGAGAGTGATATGTAGCTATCCACCTCATGTGGAGCATATGCAGAATACTGAATGGACGGAACTTGTTCTTTTTTGCTCAAACGGAATCGAAGTCAACATCAAAGCAGCCGCAAAGATAGGTGCTGAGACTTCAGAGCTAGTTGGCTGTCTAGAAAAGCTCCTCGATTCGGCTACTCATCACGTACTGTTGTCGAGAGAAAGAGATACGACCGAAAACAGCCACAGCTCTCTTTTGCATACTGTTTATTCTTCTCTACTCGTGCTTCTTCGATGCCAATCTGCTGAAACCACTGCACATCGCAGTGCTTTTTTCTGCTTGAATAAGCTAATATTATTCATAATGTCCAACTCTCTGGCAGACTACGCGACTGCGGCATCGGACTTAATTCCAATAATATCGCACTTGTGGAGTACGAAAACGTCGTCTCTGAAAGATCAACTTCTGATATCTATGATCTGCTTCTTTCCTGCTATAAAGATGCTCCCGAAGGAAGATGATCAGCCATTACGAGAGATAATGCGTAACGTTATGCAACACTACACAGAAAAGCTGGCTCGTGATCGACTACAAGTCAATGATATTCGATTTATTGCCGGCGATGAATGCGGGAATAGCGTTGAATGGCTGCAGACTGCGGACTTTCAAATATCAAGTGAGAAGGCTCTAGGATCTTGGCTGGTACTGATGCTGCTGGCAAGATGTAGTGAGTATCTCGAACTCAAGCCCTCAATTGACAATGGTAGGTCGCCAAAAATTCATCTTTCAATATGTTAGGGATTTAGCTGACCAGTCGACGCTTCGTGCACGATGCAGATACCGACAGCTTGACCATGTCTACAGAGTCAGAGAGTGCCCCGAAGAGACGCCGCTTGATTGAGAACGATTCAGAAAGCTCTACTCAGTATGAGTTTTCAGGAAATACTGATGCGGACAGGATCCTCACTATGATTGACTCGAGTTCTGCTGACCTCCAAGTCTCTCTTCTACAACTACTCGCATTCATTCTTTCGACCAGAAATGTGGTCGAAGGCCCATATATCAACTGTCTAAACAAATTAAGTGGCTACATGTCTTCCGATGACCATTCCGTCGTGTCTTGGGCGGCCATCTCTCTGGCTGCTCTATGTCGTCAAAGTGAATCCAGAGCTGATATGTACGCCACCGGGTGGTCTGAGATATGGGAGCTTTGCAGCCGTCGTATCACCTCCAATGGTACATGCTCGGCTAGTTGTCACTTACTTGAGCGTCTCATCTCAACTCGTACAATTCCATCTGCGAAGATACTCTCATTTATGGGAGGAATCGGATCGTCTATCGATACCATTGGTCCTGCTAGGCTCACAGAGTCGTCGCTCCGTCTATTCAATTCGATGCTCACATGTCACAATTGGACTTCTACAGGACAGTTTCATGACGATTTTCCAAGCCAGATTGCCCGATGGATCGTCGCCAAATTTATCTCTTCAGATCGCATACCTACTCGAGGTGGACTGCAAGCCAACACTGGGGCGAGAATCGTCTCTGTGGCTAATATTCTCCTATCACTCAGCCACTGCGAGACTCTGAAAGACAATCACCCTACTTTTCTTTCAATGAGTCGACTGGAGTCAGCCAGTATCTTACAGTTCTTACATCAGCTTCATGCCGATAGAGACGTTATAGACCTTTTGATCTTCCGAGGCAACTCAAAGCTTTTCAAGATTCCTATTAATATCAAAATGCAGAGTGGGAAGCCATCGTTTTCTTCAGTTCACGAGTCGATGATGAACACTTTCTTAGCATATTTTGGGGATATCGATACTGGGCTTGATGAGCAGGTATTGGACATATCTGAGTTCTGGATAGTGATGCTATCTGTGGCTATTTTGTGCAGATTTCATAAGTCGTACGCTTCGCGGACAGCTGCACTGCTAAGCAGAAGCTCTTCACCGCTGCTGAAAGTACTTGATAAACTTAGTACACAGGTTGAAAGGAAGGCTATCAGCTCAGAATTGATCGATGAGATAGTGTTTCATGTCTCCGAGCTATTTGGCGCTTCCGATTATCGCTCTATTCCACTGGCCACTAGGAGCAGGCTAGATCGTCTCTTCAGAGCGTTGGAAAGCATCGTTGTTGCGCGCGATTATACCTCGGAAGATCTAAGAGCAGATCTAGACGATGCAGATTTCTTCCGAGCTGCCAGCGTTCATAAGAAGCAACGACCATTGGATACAGACGAAATGCCTCGGACATCTAATGCTGCAGCAGTCAACTGGACTAGTTACAAGCTGCAGATGCTTGTATTAATGCGGTGCCGCATGATTTATGCAACAGAGTCGCAAGATTCTTCTGAGAAAATATTATTCTATATTGGCCATCTCGATCCGTCAACATTCTACTCTGTATTGCCTGTCCTCAAGACTATTGTCCACGAGAGATTAGTGCGCTCAGATAGCCCAGAGGCAATGGATACAATTCTTCGACTCTTTGGAGAGCGAGCACTCCAGAAGTATCAATACGAGAGATCTGAGCTGTCTATGATTTGCTGCGCAGAACTGCTGCATTCTGCCCTCCCGCTATGGAACCCTCCGGCTGATTCGTTTGCTAAAACTCTTGATATTGGCAAGACGATGTACCAATGGCTTATCAAAGTTGCTATCGACAATAAGCTAGCCTCCTATCTCAGTCGATGTGCATTGTCTCGATTAATTGGAGATATAGTGATTCAAACTGCTCATCAACCTGACGTGAACGAAGTGGAATATCTGTTGGACTGGCTCCAGGATCACGAAATAAGGCTCCAGTATCAGATCTGCTTGATTTTGGCCTCAGTGACTAGACATTTTGCCATGCAACTCCATGTATCGCTTTACAACCACATTCATGAAAGTCTTGCCCTCTCTTATGTTGAAGGTCAGATTATCAGCTGTTTTTGCACAGCAAAGCTGGCTATTGCTTCGCCGCTCCTCACGCGTGACGCCATCTATCATCTGGTAGAATTATCCGATATATGTGAGATACATGCATATATCAGTTACTGTTTCAAAATGGCCGCTGAGGCACAGCATCTCAGAAATCCCCGTCAGCTTTTTGAAGTATATGCATCTCAGATACTTTACAGCTGGCGCAAGACGGGACGAAGCCACGATGAGCTAAATGTTAGCCTGTTTGGATATATATCGCATAAAGACTTCCTTGTGAAAAACTATTCGTTTTTGGTGGCTCCGCTGTTCATGTTCAGTGCTCCTGACTGTAAGAGCCAGTTATCCGAAATTGCTAGCTCTTTGCATATGAAGCAGTCAGACATCATTGTGAGATCATTGGACAAGATACTGGCTTATGTGTCCGCGATAGAGGTCGAAATGCCTGGTCTGGTTCGACAGGATCAGGCTGCTATGCAATGGTTGGAGGAAGAACTGGGAGGACGTCGAGCCCTCATCGAGCAGATGGAGAAGTTTCTGCCTTCTGCTACAGCAATACTACTCCGGTTGGTTGACACGGGGAGTATTAGCATACAGGCCTTCGAAGATGCAGGACTGCCACGGGCCTCACGAGTATGGAAAGAGTTGGGCTTTGCTACGTCTACTTCTAGCTCTGGCCCTTACCTCACGTCGTTGAATCAGCCGTATTTCAAAGCGACTGTCATTTTGAAGGCTTTTGTTCTTCTCAAAGCACGATTTCATTTACCGGGCTCTGATTCTGCTGTAAAGGAAAAGGGACTCAGTGATGCGGCTTACATCGCACGGCATATTCTTAACGGCCTGGACAGCTGCCTAAACTCTTTGCAACAACGGGATACTCTTCGAGTGCTGAAGCTTCATATCTCTGTACTGTCGGGATCAATCCCTTCTTACTTGGGCAAGATTTCTCTGCAAACAATCGCTCCTCTCATTTCGGTAAAAGAGTGTTTTTCTGAGGTTCTGGACATCGCCTCATATATTTTCGGTCGCGGTCCATCTGTTCTTAACTCTGATTCTTTCTTGCGATTTGTTGTCCATATTATGTTCCATATCCAGACAATCAAGAATGCAGATCTCAACTTCTTGGATGAAGAAGAGTATGCATCCAGGTTGCTGCAATTTAAATCAAAACTGTTTGCTTTCATTGATCTGCGCTCTCGAGACTGTACTACAGTGGCGAGTGTCTCGAACTGGTTGAGGTCGCTGGTGTTTTTTGACTCCCGTGCAGCCAATGGCTATTCTGACTGGGAGCCAGCAGACCTCCGAAAAGTGTTGTTTGACGATACGTTTCGTTCCAATATGGCTGCCCGTCGATATGCCTTGAAGACTTTGTCGGTAGAGATTGAGAGTCGAAGTCAGGTTGCGGATTTCAGCAAGCTTTCTGACGACGACTGTATCATGATGTCTCCAGAACTGCTAAGGGTCTGCAGCGAGCTGAAAATGCCAGACAAGTTTCTGTTCTGGACCTCGCGTATATGTGGTCGTGCATATGCTTGTAGCGGTGTTTTATCTAAGCAGTGGCTAGATAGCATTGATGTGTTCCTCAATGTCAACGAAACAGAGCTCGACATCACTGATCTCTCCTTGCCTATCCACTCCATTATCAATCTGTTGATCTCTGAGCTGGATTCTGATAATCCAAAGGTCGTTCGCCTGATGGAGTCAGCTCTACGCCGGGTGCTGATCTACTTTGAGAGTCTGAGCTTAGAAGCAAAGCCAATCATTCCGCAGTATGTTTATGACGCTATCAGGCTTCATCTGGAAGATACTGTCTGGTCATCGGGCTCCTCCGAACGCTCATTCTATTCTTCTGATAATTCATTTGAAGCCTGGGCCTGTCGGATTTCTGGCACGGTATGTTCGGTCTTGATGCGGGACCATAAGCCTTTTTATGATGTTGTGGCGCGTCTCATTGATTCTGCTGATGGGTTTGCCGCATCTATTTTCCGCTACCTTATGTATGCTTTCATATGCAGTGACTCCAGGACTTCAGACACTCTAGCATACATATTCAATGATTGCTTCCTTTCTGTTTCGGAGGCAACTACACAGCATGCATCTCTACTCATCCGAACATATATATTCCTGCAAAATCAACCTACAGAGCACGATTCTGATATGCTCGACCGCATACAGTGTATAAAGGGTCTCAATTTTACCGCCATGTTGGATGCTGCTCTGGTCTGCAAGATGTATAGCTCTGCCTATCTCATATGTGAGCTGATGTGGGTCTCGGGTTATGATCTGAGAACTCTATCGAAATACCAGGCGGAGATCTATAAGGAGATCGATGATCCTGATGCTCTGTATGGCCTCGATACGTCGCCTAGCATTCAGTCGGCGATAAGAAGATCAGAGTTTGAGCGTGATGGGTGGAAGATGCTATCTTACCAAGGGGCCATGCTTGATAACTCTCTCTACGGATTGTCTAACGCTCCACAGCAAAGCATGTCCGGAATTTTCGATGCTTTATCAAATGTTGGCCTGAGTGGGCTGTCCTTGAGCTTATCATCCGGGCTCACCATCAATGATGCTGATCAGTCGGACAAATTCTATGAGTCTGCTTGGAAACTAAGCCGATGGGATATACAGCCGGCCGCGGACTCCTTTGTCTCTAAGAGCTCTATCATTCATAAAGTCTTACGGAATGCCAGTCTCTCGTTGGGCCTTGATACAACTGGAACAGGGTCATTTGATGACTTGGTACGCGAGCCAAGTATCAATATTGTCAGACAATTGACCAGTGATCAAGCTGCGAACACCGTTGGCTTCTCTCGAGATCTACTGCATACGCTGGCCGTTATGTATGAAGCTCGTGAGCTTTGGGAAGTCAAAGCACCTGAGCAGCTGTCGGATCTCCTGAGAGAGCATGGAAGAAGGATAACTTGGACGAGTGATGTCAAGTAAGTCGATTCAATTGATTAGGACTGCGAATTCCTCCGCTAACGTTATCATTTTTAGATACCAAGATGCTGAGGACCTTCTTCTGGCTCGTGAAAAAATGTGCCGCGTGCTGTCCACTCAGGCGAAACCCGTGTTTGAGTCATCTAGAGATCTTTACAGTGTTGCTGAAGCTGTGTCTCTTAAACGAACGATTGAGTTAGCTCTCCAACATGGACAGCTGCAGCAAGCGGTCTCATCATCAGTCCGACTTCAGAATCTGGCGAGATCTTTCTCTCCCCAGTATAAAGAGTCATTGTTGCGCACAGCCAGTTTGCAGATGTCAAATGTGTTGTGGGAGAAGGGCGATAAATATATCGCGATTCAAATATTGAGAAGTTTGGCGGATGATCATCCCTCCTCACCTCAGGGAGATATCCCTCAACTACAAGTGGGAACTGCCACTGTATTGGCTACTCTGGTGAGCTGTTTTTCTTCTTCATTTATGTGTATTCCTACTTACCATGTATCAATAGGCCCGTTGGGTTTCTACAGCACGTTTGGAGCATCCTGATGATGTCAATTCCAGTTATCTACAGCCTGCGATTGCAAGAGTCGACGATCTAGTTGATGGTTCGTTGAGATCACATGTCTACCATGAATTTGCAATTTTCTGCGATAGCCAGTTGAAAAGTTCAACCTTCAGTGAGGATTTTGAGCGTATCTCAGTCCTTCGCTCTGACAAGATTTCTGAACTGGAGCAGATACGGGCTCTATTGGCCAAGGCCACAGCTTCAGAAGAAAGGCGCTCGATACGGATAAACTACAATCAGATCAAGAAAATGTTTGAGTCTGACGATGCTGAATATCAAAGGTTGTTGAAGCTGCGGGAGACCTTTTCGCAGTTCAGCATAGAGTTTTATCTCAAGAGTATTACAGCATCCGACAAATATGACGATGACAGTTTTCGCTTCTGCTCACTTTGGCTGGAGAACTCAGACGATGGGCCCGCCAACATATCTGCACAGAGTCACCTTCCGGCGGTCCCTTCGGCCAAGCTGGCTAGCTGGATCAATCAGCTTTCATCGCGCTTGAGCAGCGAGGGAAACTCTCTTTTTCAGACAACTCTGGCGGCGTTAATTGTCAAGCTCTGTGTGCATCATCCTTACCATTGCTTGTATCAGATATATGCTCTAAAGAATAGTGCCGATGACAGTGCTGAAGATCAGAGCGCAATCTCGCGCGCCAAGGCTGCAGAAGCTATATGGTCCAATTTGGAGACGAGAAAGGGTTACTTCAAACAGTATGCAGAGCCTGTGGCGACCTTCAGTCGCAAAGCTGACAAACTGGCCCGCCATGTGTTCTCTGACCGCGAGCGCAAGAATGTCACGGTTGATATGTTTCCTGAAAGTGCATGGTGGAAGCTGGCGCTAAAAGACTTGAAGCTGCCTTCTCCGACGATGAATATAGCCATAAGGAAAGATCACGATTACTCAAATATACCGAAAATGGTGGGAATCTCGTCTAAGGTTTATCTTGCATCAGGTCTGAGTAGACCAAAGGCCTGCTCATTCACAGCTGAAGACGGAACAGTCTATAAAATGCTGGTAAGTTCTGACTTCTTTGACATACCTTCTGACTTATGCTGACCATCTTCTCTCATTATAGATCAAAGGAGGAAAGGACGATTTACGTCAGGACGCGATCATGGAGCAAGTTTTTGAGCAAGTCAATAGCTTCCTGCAACGAAACGAGAATACACGCCGCCGAAAGTTGAGAATCCGAACGTACAAAGTCATACCTCTTTCACATATGTCGGGAATCATTGAGTTCGTTCAGAACACCATTGCGTTGATGGATATATTGCAGCCTCTTCATTCCAGCTACTATCCCGAGGATATGAGCCTTCAAGCTGGTCGTACGGTCATCAAGGATGCACAGACCAAAGCTACGGACGCGAGAATTTCCGTGTACCGCAAGGTAGAGCGGAAAGTGCATCCTGCATTTCGGTTTTTCTTTCTGGAACAGTTTAAGGAACCTCGAGTATGGCTCCAGTGCAAGACTGCGTATACGCGCGGTACAGCTGCCATCTCGATCGTCGGTAGTGTATTGGGCCTAGGTGATCGTCATTTGAACAACATTCTTCTTGATGCAAGCTCGGGTGAACCTGTTCATATTGATTTGGGTGTTGCTTTCGATCAGGGCAGAGTCCTCTCTGTCCCTGAAACGGTACCGTTCAGACTCACAAGAGATATAGTGGACGGCATGGGAGTCAGTGGGATTGAAGGTGTGTTTAGGAGATGCTGTGAATTCACACTCGAAGTCCTTCGTGAGGAGTCTGAGAATATCATGACGATATTGGAAGTTCTGAAATACGATCCTCTATACTCCTGGTAAGAATCTCTCTTAATGTTCTGCTTTTGGTCACTTTCTCTGACTTCTGGTCACAGGACAATATCCCCGCTACGCAAGCAGCGCCTCCAAGGCCAGCAGGACACAGTGACCTCCAGATCTAGTCGCAACCGCACGACACGGGCCTCATCAGCGCAAAAATCAGATCACACGGTGCGGGATAGCTATGGAGATGTGTCTGAAGCTGAACGAGCGCTTGTAGTCGTTCGTCGCAAGCTGTCTAACAACTTGAGCTCCGATGCTGTGGTAAATCAGTGGATTACAGATGCATGTGATCCGCGCAATCTGGCATTGATTTATTGTGGTAAGTCGATATATGTCTGCTATTGCGCTGCTCATGGCTGACTTCTAACCTTTTATGAATTTAACTTAGGTTGGGTCCCATTTTACTAGGTACCAAGGTCGAGTGATGATTTACTACTTTAAATTGTATATATCCGGTCTAACAAAATTATATTTTCCGGCAACTCCGTTCTATAACATACACAACCCCTGAAAATACCCACAGAACCCATCTAAATGATCATATGACAAAGTGTGGAGAAATATGAAAGAAAAAAGTGAAGAAGAATATGTACATCTGAAAAATGTGTGCTACCTGCAAGCACGAGAGATACCAAATATATATAGATAACAAAAGAGATAACAAAAGAGATAACATGATAGCAAGAATATGAAAGAGTATGGTGACGACGGAAAAAGATGTGCGCCAGATAATTAAACGTCAACTGACTGTAAATAGACTGAAACGAGTGGCATGTATATCATAAACTGAATCATGACTGTTCAACGAAAGAATAGGCAAGCTCATATAATCAAATGGCTAAAGGAACAACTTGTGAAGGAGTGATTCAAGGAATGACTGATAAAGGAGTGACAAATGGCTGATAAAGGAGTGACAAATGACTGATAAAGGAGTGACTGAAAGAACGACTGGTGGAGGAATGACAGAAGGAACAACATGTAAAGGAGTGACCGAAGGAATAATTGGTGAAGGAGTGACTTGGTGGGAACATATGAAGGCAAAGAACTGTATCATAATCCAACGAGAACGAAAAGGGCAAGATAAAGGTGACTAGCGATATTTCGTCTCTGGCACGCCCGAAGCCTCGATTTGTGCACTCAAAAATCCCAGATCACTACTCGGCACAGGAGCACTACTTTTGAGTTGCTTGACAAGCAACTGCTGATGGAGATCCATTTGAGCAAAGACTGAGGTTCGTGGAGTGTACTCAATGTGGCTGAGATCAATCTCTACCTTTGGCTTTAACTTGGCTGACTTCGTACCCAGAAGCTGAGTGATGGTCATCGTTTCTCCCGGAGGAATAGGATTGGGATGCGAGGGGGTGACGCAAGGCATGTCCACCTCTTTCCGAATCACATGGTCAATGTCGACGGCCGAGAAGAATGCGCATGACTGAGGAACGTCGAAGATACCCATCTGCTCGCAAAAATAGGCCCGTGTCCATAGATTACTGATTTGCAAGGCCATAGCCACCTTGTACTTATCCTTATCCTTCACCAAGTATCGAATCTCATCGTGTACAGTTATAGATAATCGTGCGTCAAGCTTGAATCGTTCGATGAGATAATCCATAGAGACTATCAGCAAATGGAGGTAGTCCACACCACTTGATTGAATTGCCCAATTGATTCGAGATGTCATGAATGAAGATCTGTCCAAATTTGATTTCATCAGTGCTTCTGTGATTGCACATCCCAGCACCGGAGTTCGAGGAACATCCTGGTTTGCGATTTCTTCCAATTTGTTGAACATCAGTGATTCCGTTCCACCATACCAATACGCTCCACGCTTAAAACGTCCGTTGCCCCGTGTCTTTTTCGAGCCTTTGGTCGCTTCGTATAATCGCGTTGCAGTCTTTATTGCATCTTGTTCAGATATAGATGGATTGAATTGCCGCAGTAGCTGGATAGCAAATTTCAAACCTGCGCCATATATTCGTCCGTAATTGAATACCTTCGCGTCATTCCTAGATATTCCCAGGATAGAAGCTGTCCGGGAATGTAAGTCGGTGCCCGCACTTTTCGTTCCTTCCAGCGTCATCCAACCGATTGCAGTCCCGCCGTGCATCTTGAACTGTGAGTCTCCCACCAGACTAGCAATCCACAATTCTTCGGAATCAACATCAGCTCCGACGAATTTGTAATTATCAGGTGCCCGAATCATTGACTTCAGTTCTGACCCAACGCGATTCTTCTTGGCGTTACTCGCAGTCAACCATGTAGCTTCGACAGCGCGACGCGTGATGGTTCCCATAGGAACGATAGTCGGCAGAATCATCCCCAGGCCACGTTCACTGGGCTTATGGTGCTGTATGCCCAGGTTTGTGTCTTCCTTCCAAACAGGCACTTGAGACCTGATTCGCTCTCTAGCACTAATCCAATAGGAGCACGCAGCGTTCATCTCCAAAGCCTCACGAGCAGACGGGTATTGAGAAGACAGTATGCCAGACTCAAAATACTGCAGATAACCTTTCGCAAGCGGTGAGGCGCAACGCGCCTCTGGTCCATCTTTGTGAGGAACCTTAAAGTAAACACCATCCACGTCTTCTGTGATGAAAGGCTTTGTCACATCCGAAGTGTCACAGAGTGTATAGTTCTTCGTCAAATATTTTTGTTTGTCTGTCCGATTTGCACGAAACGTCCAGCCATATTTATCAATCCACACAAGTGGGTTGGAATCCCATGCGAGCCGGAAAATCACCGGCGCAATACGGGTACGGACAGAGACGGAGATTGGCGCACTGGCTTTAGGAAACATATCTTTGTACCACTGTGGAAAGCCAGGCATTTTTTGGTTCTTCATCATTCGAGGTTCTTCGTTCTTTTTAGCTTTCGTCATTCGAATCGGCTTGATTGTCCAGTCCAGCTGCTTGAGCCATGGATCATCTTGAAACTTCTCCGGCTCGTTTCTGAGCGCGACAGTCTCCTCGATAAGATCAATCATGCATTTTTCAACCTCCTTAAGACTTGTCTGATACTTTTCCTCCGCCTGTGTGATATATTCATTCCAGGTTTGGTCCACCGGCAGGAACACGGATGCCAGATGACGAAGAGCAGCGAATGAAACAGGGTGAGGACAGACTTTTAAAAACGACGGTAGAACCTCTTTGTATACCGAGAACGTAGTATGCACATCTTTGGCACAGTACGTAATCAGTTGCTGAAGCATATCACGGACGCCCTCGCGGTCGAGAATGCCAAAGTAGTCTCTATCAGACTTGTCCACCTCAATACCACAGTGAAACTTGGCAACATCTGCAAGTGAATTGAACGAGCTCTTACGAACCCATGGCTCATAATCCTCATCGTCCCCTGGATCAGACACATTCTCTGAGGGATCTAACTCGGCATCTGCGAGTGCGTTCTCGTCCGCAATCTTAACAACAGCCTTTTGTTTTTGTAATCTGAGCCAAGTCGGGCGTTGCTGACTGCACATTCCATTAGCTGCAACGTGAAGCGACATGGTGTCCAAGAACATGGCCTTCGACATTCGGAAATGATATTCATCTTTGACCCGGACTCGATCATATCCGACATTGTGACCGATAATGATTTTCGGGGCCGAGTGTGTACCCATCGGAATCAGCTGACGAGGATTTTCCTCTATCCCAAGGAGCCATGGTGACAACCAGCAGTACCAAGCATTTTTTGAGACTGCTGTTGCCATAACTGCAAAAGGCGACTGTTTATACAGAACTTCGGTATCAAAGACGAGACAGTCGTCTTCTGGGTAAGAAACTTGGGTTGGTTTCTCGCCTGCCACGTATCTTGTCCAGCCTGCATTTTCCACCCATTCCGAAGGCATTTCCGGGATAGTTTCGATGTTCGCAAAATCTTTTGCCATAGTAAGATATGGTTCGCCAACATGAGTTCCGAGTCTGTAAAAGTGCTCATCGAGACTTGTTCCAGCCAATGGAGGAAGATCCAGATTGATTGGTTGTTGCTTTTCCGTTTGCTTCCCAAGCAGACTATGTGCCTTAAGATGTCCTCTCGCAAGATTGACAAGTTCTATAGTTGGCTCCGACGCGCCCTTTGGAAACAGCTGTTTATGTAGCGATTTCGATAATAATTGAATACCAGCTTCGTTAAATCGTTTTTCGCGTTCGGGATCGGACGGATCGTTGCTTCCATAATTGGAAAATTTGAAACCATATTTTTCGGACGAAACAGCAACAAGATCGATCTCAACATTTTTTTCCTTTATGTTCAAATTCGTTCCATGAGTCGGGAGCTGAAGCTTGCCGCTGTTGTGAACCGAATTGCTGGGTTCAATGACGGACTCTGTCTGCATTCCAATTGATGTAGCGCCACCATCATTTTCCGTACTTGGCCTTCCGGTGGACTGTTTTTTCGCTGAATCCAAAGATCTTGTCGAGCTTGGTTTCGCGCTCGGTCTCGCGCTCGGCTTATGTGCGGTCTCCCCCTTCGCCAAAAATTTGCCTCCAGAGGTTTTCACTGTGGCTCTCTGCTTTCCGACCGACTCCTTTTTCGCCAGAAATTTGCGTTCAGAGGTTTTCACTATGGCTCTCTGCTTTCCGGTCGACTCCCCCTTCGCGAGAGATTTGCGCTCAGAAGTGTTCACTGTGGCTTTCTGCTTTCCGGCCGACTTGGAAACATGATTGTTCGCGGCATTTGTCTTTTTGGTGTAAGTTTGTGTTTTCGAATCCGACGCATTATTGTAGCTCGACGTAGATCTCCATTTTCGTTGAGATCCGGTATAATTTGTCGGGTTGTTCGAATTTCGCGATTGATTTCTCGCCTGTGATGCTATGTAGCTCTCGGCCAGTTTCTCAATCCAATCATCAACCCGCGGCTGGTTGCTGCCCCCAGGTTGTCCGCGTGGAAGTGCCTCAGGTAGCGAGATGACGGGCGGGACATCATATGGTCTCGAGCCCCGACTTATATCGCCTGATGATGGCGGTTCGATCGGCAGACGTGATTGAGATGCTAATTAGAAGAAGGAAAGGTCAGCCTGGATTCAAATAAGGCGCAGCAGTACAGCTTTTTCGCATACTTGCGGGTTTACCGTCTATTGACACAAATCGACGGCCCGGCAAAATCGGGATTGTGCGACGCAAAGGACGCGATGCAGTCTTTTGCCAACTCATGGAAGACGAGGTTCAGGCAAAGTCATCAGAGGTATTCTGGAAATGTCAGTAAGACGCATATGAAAGCGAGAGACAGCAAGAGAGCTGCGATCTGATCTTACCACTACAAGATCCAGACTATTCAGACTTCTATCGCATATAATGCATGGGATATTGGATCTATTCAACAAAGGAGTGGCAAATAAGGACGTGGTTAAGTGCTGGATGACTGCAGAAAACGAATCGGTGATCAAAGATTTCCAAAATCTGTTTACAAAAGGTCGCTAAGCAAAAACCCCTGCCTTATTAATTCCTATTTTGGACTAGCGCCATCGGAGACAAGAGCCGCACGGATTTTTGAATCCGGTAAACCCCAGGCGCTCCTTCTCGGGCGTTTACTTTGCTTAGTTCAGAGCCGTCGTCGGATATGAGTGAGGAGGAGTCTGGTTCAGGAGGCAAAAAGGCAGTGGATGAGGTAGAAGTTACGTCGGAGGAGGTACTGTCGATGTTCAAGCGAAGAGGTCTATTCGACAACACTCGAAAGGATCTGTTTAATGAGTTTACTTCCAGTGTACGTATCGACAAGCACTCATAATCAGGCTGTATTGCAGCTTACTGACTTTTATTGCTCTGGAATAGGAAAGTTATAATGCACTTTTGGAGGCCATCGAGGAGCAAATAAAATCTGATTCTGCTGCCACATCGCTGGCGGCTCGAAGTCGAGGCAAGGCTGCTGCGCTGTTGGAAGGATCAGTAACTCGATCTGAGGCATTCAGTAACGTCAACAAATATGTCGACGATCGAGTTTCTACGAATAATGAGGAGCTTAATGAGCGGTTGGAAAAGCTGGTGACAGAGATCTACACTGCGCTGGTAGAATCGAAAAGTGGTAGCAATGGTGATGCTTCGGGGGCGAAGACAACAAGCACAGAGATCAAGGAAGAAAAGGAATTGAAATAAGTCTTGATAATTCGTTCGTTAGTCTTCAAGTGATTTACTATAGACTTTTGCATAGAGAAGCTCAAGTCTACGTGATTCGCATGTGCTTTTATATCCGTTTTCACGAACAGATAGTAAACAAGGCGTTATTCCTCCTTGTTCTTAGGGCACGTGCCTGTGATTTCTCTGCATTCTGCTCTGAAAAATTGGTTGGGTGTATAAATTATTGATATATTATTACTATAATTATTGTTTGGTTATCTTGTAGTAAAATAATGGACATCTCGTAAGTAGTTAACTAAATGAAAACCAATAAATAGCAATCACAGATTAGGTTTATCGCGGATAACACAGCTTCAAAGTTGGGAAGAATAGCAATCGATCAACCTCCACTTTCGACATTGTTCCTCTCTCTCCACACACAACGATAACATGCCTCTAACGCAGGAGGATATCGAAGGTGCAGTACCAATTGACCGTGCAGCAATCCTACTCTCGCCGGATGAGCTGGAAAAAAGCGGACGGAAGGTCAAGCCTTATGCATTGATTATCCTCAATCAGCCGATCAATGATTTGGCTATGCTGAAGCGGGTCTGGGATAACGGTATATTCTCTTTTATTGTTGGGGAACAGATTATAACGGGTCAATGAGTTGCTGACGTATTTTTTGCAGCAACCGTTCGAGCTTGCGCAGATGGTGGTGCAAACAGACTCTTTCATGCACTCGACAAATCGTCTCGTCAGAAATTCGTAAGATTACTCCTATGATCACTAGAGCATTCGCTTCATGAACGAAACTCACATTTTTGCAGAAGCCGGATTTCATCGCAGGCGACCTTGACTCACTCATGCCCGAGATAAGAGAATACTACGAATTTGTACTATCCGTGCCTATTTACCATTCGCCAGACCAGTACTCTACCGATTTTGGGAAATGCCTGGTCCAGCTCAGCGTCATGAATCCCGCCGAACGGTTAGCTATCGTTGCTCTTGGCGGCACAGGAGGTCGCGTGGACCAGGAGTTCCATTCATATCACACTCTTTTCACGCACGAAGTCATGGCAACGGCGGAAGACGATTCGGATCCTACGAAACGGCGCAGAGAGGTCACTCTGCTCTCCGACGACAGTTTAACGTTCCTTGTACCGCAGGCGGACGAGAAGCCACTGACCGCTAAGATTTTTACACCGAGGTCAGTGGTTGGACCTACATGTGGTCTTATCCCGATCTTGGGACCGTCGGTGATCTCGATCAAAGGCTTTACGTGGGATGTCGAGGATTGGCCTACTAGCTTTGGTACTCAAGTCAGTACTAGCAATGCTATGGAGGGCGATGAGGTCTACGTCAAGAGCGACAAGACGCTCATATTTACCTTGGAAGTTAGACGGTAGTGGTGCAGTTATACATATAGATATAAATTGGTTATCTGAACATCAGTCTTGGTAAAATAAGCAATACAACAAAAGAGTAGAGTTCGTAAACTTCAAGCAAAACAGCAAAACAAAAATCATCCAATAAAGTCAAAACTCCAACTACTACGCAGACGGCTTCATAGCACCCTCATTAGCCAATCGATCAGCTCCCTCGTTGCCTGCTACCCCAGAATGGCCCGGCACATACGTGATTTCCGTAGTAACATTAGAATCGGCACGTCGTTGGTCCATCTTGGTCACAATGTCCTTAACCAAGTCTGCATTTTCAACCGGCGTTCCCTTAGCAGTTTTCCATCCGTTCTGCTTCCATGTGTTGCTCCAGTTGTTGATACAATTCATGGCGTACTGCGAATCGGTACGGATGGCCAACGACTCAGACTTGTTATCTTCCAGAGCCTGCGAAATCGCCGCCAGCTCGGCTCTCTGGTTCGTCTGAGACTCCCCTTCAAGCCGCTTTGCAGTGTTTTTCGGATGATCTGGACCATAGTACACGCCATAACCAGCTCTGGCTCCGTCTTTACCATTTCCCCGGCAGCTTCCGTCAGTGTGAACGACCAAGGGCTCTTTCTTCGAAGGAACAGGAGGAGTGTAGGAAGCAGCAGGAGTATAGGAACTATAAGACGAATACGAAGGCTCTGGCTCATAAAAAGTTTCTCTCTCAGAAGATGTGTAACTGGGTGTAGCCCTTGCGTGCGTCGTTTGGTATGGATAGGAGCTAGTTCTTGCGGAACTTCTCGCGCTCGATCCCGAATAACTTGACGCACTGGAGCTGTAAGACCCTGAGCCTGAGTATGCATCCACTGCGCTATCATAGTCGGAATACGACTTGAACTGGGCACCCGAATAGCGGTTCACTTGCTCTTGGCACTCTGCCCACGAGTGATAGATCCCAGGCTCACGGCCATTGAACACCACGTAGCTTTTTCCGCTCGAAGATTTGCGTCCCATGTTGCGTATGGTTTTGTCGTCGTTAGAAGGTCTGCCGCTGCCAATTACGTGCTGATACCCAGGCCAACCGAATACTTGTTTCACAATGGAGAACCAGTGGATTCCTGCTTCGCGATAATAGTTCCTGATCTCAGGCTTCGCAGCGTCTTTATCCGTGCGTGTTGGATAGTATCGTCGTTGAGTACAAAATGCAGCACCTGGTTGCGGTTTGCAGACACTCTCAATAGCAGAACCAGAAAATCTGCAAACCGGGAGAACCCTCCTTTTCACACAAAATCTGGGAGGAGGCAAGATGGCTGATAGGCTTATGCGACGACTACTGGGATCAGGGAGAGGCGTTGTCCGGGATGTGAGAAAATGTGAGATAAATTGAAACGTGTGAAATCATGTGACCCGGTCGTGACTAACTTCCCTCGCTTTCCATTAACCCCTAACAGGAAGTATGTTTGGATCATTCTGAGTACACGGCAATTCTGCTGTAGTCCTCTTTTATCACTCTATTTATTTACTCGAGTATATTTGTTCCGCTCTTTCAAGCTTGAGATGTTCACCCTCGCATCCTCTTCTTTTGCCGTCGACGATGGATTGTCCGCTCTTGTCGATAAAGACAGAAAGACCACTATCTGTTCGAAGAATGGAAGTACGATAATCTACCGAGGATGTTTCTTCGCTCTCCGCGGGTGCTCCGTCGCTCTCCATGGGTTCTCCGTCGCTCCTCGCGGGAGCATCGAGCATCGCGCGTTCTGAGGGAGCTTCGATCTCTCCGCTCTTTGCGGGTGCTTCGATCATCGCGCGCTCTGAGGCCTCTGCCCTTATAGCTGCTCTTTCAAGTTCCAGCCTTTCTTCTCTTTCTAATACACTAAGTCCGTAGTAGGTTCTTTTATAGATATTAATAGCCTCCGCGAAAGTTGAACAACTATGGCGGCTGGAATATGAATAACCCAGAACTTGTTTGTCAGATCCACCAACGGTATAGTAGATCCCCGGGACACGACCGTAAGTGACCACATGATAGCACGATCCCGGCGTAGGATTGATTCTCAAAACCCAGCATACCTATGACTTCGTAGTCATCAAAGTATGTTTTGCTGTCGCTGCTAGGGCGGTCCTCCTCATACCAATTGAGTGCTTCGTGCAAACTGGTGAACCATCGAACTTCCGGGAGGCCATTGTCTTTGATCTGCCTTTCTGCCTCCCTTTTATCGATGTAAATGTCTGGTCGCTTCCCTGAGTTATCAGTTGTTAGTCACCATTCGCAATATAGTGAAGTCAAATGCCACAGGTACCACTTCGAACTACGTAGTAAACTGTCATTCTCCTGAGTCTTCTGCGCAAAACGGCGATACTAGTTTGCGATAATGCTGAGCGTTGTTCGAAAGCAAGTCGGGCAAGCCCTTATATATACAGGCTAATCGGCGAGGCTTGTGTGACTGATTCATGTTGATAATCAATATCGCTGAGGGGGTGATCTGGAAATGAAGGCGCGTGGCTAGACTGTCACGAGAGGAGCAGTGATGAGCCAACAGGGGACAGAAAACCCTACAGGAACACTTCCTTGCTCCTTCAGCTGGCAATCCTCCTCCTCTGTCATCACTGGTCTGTTGTTTATGGATAGCAAGCTGAGTATCCTTTAGCCCAGTTACCATATGCTTGTACCAAACTTACTAATGAACAGTTTGAATAAACCATCAGGAATATCCATATTCATTTGCAATATCAGTTCATAATTTATTTCATCAAATGCTCTAGATAGTATAACACACCCAAGACTAATCCACACGAGTTTTTAATGCACCTTCATTAGCTAATTGATTAGCTCTCTCATTTCCTTCCCACCCAGAATGAGCCGGCACATGTATCAGGTCTGTAGCTAGAGACTTTTCATGCCGCTTGTCGATCTCGTTTAGAATACGACGTACCAAGTCCTCGTTTTCGACCGGTCTCCCATTCACGTCTATCCATCCATTGAATTGCCACCGTATGCTCCAGACTGTGATAGAGCTTATGGCGTATTTTGAGTCGGTGCATATTATTATCGGCTCAGACGGGTTATCAACCAGAGCTTGTAAAACCGCAGCCAGTTCTGCCTTCTGGTTTGTTTGAACTTCAGTTGAGAGTCGCATAGCCTTGTTTCTAGAATCATCCGGACCATAGTACACACCGTAGCCAGCTCTCGCTCCTGCTTTGCCATTGCCCAAACAGCATCCGTCGGTGTAGACAACAAGCTGCCTGCCCATAGTTACAGACATTTTCGCATCAAATCCGTCCTCAAGACCTAAACTTTTCACTTCTGTTATTTCCGCTTCATACCTTGCGGTTTTTTTGTCATCCGAGAGTTCCCAGTAATACCGCTCGTACGCATATATCGCTTCATCAAAATTGGGATATGATTTGCTAGCACACTTTGAATAACCCCTTATTTGATTTGATCCAAGAACTTGCCCGGTGAATGATAGATCCCGGGAATCCGACCTTCAAACACCACATAGCATTTCGCGTCATCCGAAGGATTTTTCGAGCCGACGTCACCCAAGAAGATTTCGTCGTCAAAGGATGTATCAGCTCCGCAGCACGTGCATCCCTGTTCCCTCCAATTTATTGCCAGGTGTAGATTTGTAAACCAGCGCACTGTTGGAAGGTGGAAGTTTTCGATCTGCCTTTTTGCTTCGCGTTTGTTGAGGTAAATACCCGGCTTTTTCCCTGGAGTAAAAGTGTTAACGAATGACGAGTAATAATCTAACAGAAGCGATTGATTCAAATACCATTTCGAACTGCGTAATAAACCGGCATACTACTAGATCTCCGGCAAATCTAGTACACCTTCAAAAAGAGGCTCTATCAAAAAAACGAAATAACCGCGTGCTGATCCAGCCTTTGATCTATGCAGGGAAGTGTATCGGTTTTATAAAACTTTTGAATATTTGTACCATCCTTGTGTAACGTGTAATTAGTAGGCTGGGAGCTCCGATGTAAGCGAATTTGGTAAAAAGGGGTTTGTGTTTGTAGCCAGCCCCCCTCAGCAGATATCGCCACTGCTGGATCAAGAAGCTCTAATATGATATACTATCTCGATCTCATTACAGTGAGTCTGCTGGAGAGAACTCAGTAGTTGAACATGTTTCTATTGGTATTACTGCTACTTTGAAAAGCTTTCGCAATATATGCTGTTTATTACATAAGACGGATGCGCAGCTTTTATGTAGCGTGTTTATCAATAACTCTTACCAGTCTCAATTCGAGAATTATATCCGCTTATAAATTCAATGATCTCCTTATACGGCCCAAAAATCACACAAACCCAACACAAACTACTCCAACACACGACTTTTCAATGCACCTTCGTTAGCTAATTCATCAGCTTTCTCGTTCCCAACCAACCCAGAATGGCCCGGCACGTATCGGATATCTGTAACTAGCTGCGCTTCACGCCTTCTGTCGGCTTCCGCAAAAATACGGCGCATCAAGTCTGCGTTCACAACAGGTTTCCCCGCGGCGTTCATGTATCCGTTGGACTCCCACTTCTTGCACCATACCTTGATGCAGTTGATCGCGTACTGTGAGTCGGTGTATATTGTCAGCCGATGAAACCGATTTTCGATCAGAGCTTGATAAATCGCCCCCAGCTCCGCCCTCTGGTTCGTTTGAGGTTCGGTTCGAAGTCGGTACGCTCTGTTTCTGTGATCATCCGGCCCATAGTACAATCCCATCCCGGCTCTCGCTCCTGGTCTACCATTGCCTAGACAACAGCCGTCGTCGGTGTAGACAACAACATCCTCGGTTGCGGACCGGGAACTTATCGGTTTGTATGTATAGGGAATATCCATAAATTCTGCCACGGCACCCTCGGCCCCATATCTGTCATATCTTTCAAATTGCGAAAGTGGCCAGAAATGCCGCTCATATGCAATCACTGCGGCATCAAAATTAGGATACGCCTTGCCGTATGCACCTGAGTAGCCCTTTAGTTGATCCTGATATTTCTCCGATAAATGATAAATCCCAGGGACGCGACCTTCAAAGACCACATAGCATTTTTTGTTAGCCGGAGGATTGTTCCTGACATCATCACTCAATTCCCATTGATCGTCAAAGTAAGTTCCAGCTATACAGCGATGGCATCCTTTTTCCCTCCGGGTTATCTCCACGCGAAGACACTTTTCGTAGCCATTATGGTCATCAAAGTATTCAGCTCCGCATTCCGTGCAGAGCTGTTTCATCCAATATAATGCCAAGTGTAAATTGGTAAACCAGCGAACCGCTGGGACATGATAGTCTTTGATCTGCATTTCTGCATCGTTTTTGTTGAAATAGATACCCGGTTTCCATCCTGTACAGTGAAGAGTCAATAAACCACGGGTAACGTGGTGGAAGCAAGAGGTTCAGCTACCATCTCGAACTGCGTAATAAACTGTCATATTGCAAAATCTTCGATTAACCAAACCTCCCTCAAAGAAGGAGGTCAATCAAATATTATCAAATTAATAGTCTAAATGTTGGAAGGTCCGGTAGATCATCAAAATACGAGAAATATGGACATCGAATATTACGTCGGGCGCGGAGAGGTCATAGTAGTACTCGGTTAGATAGAAGGGTTAAGTGGGCTACTTTTCTGGGGTCGATGCTTCGTTGTAAGCAGGACTGGGACAGAAGGGTTTTTATCCCAATGTTCGGTCTGTGTAGGGTTTTTCAGTAGCTTCACGACAGTATTTGTACTGAAAGTAACTGTCTTTTAGGGAGCTTCTATATTATATCATACTATCTATCTCCATCCTCGATATCATATGAATGAATCGCTAGATAGATTTGCATATACGTAGCAGCAGTCAGCTACCGCTAGGCCACAGCAGCCTTGACTCAAATAAGTCTTTATTACGCAAACCTGGAAGTGAAACCATAACGAGTCTCGACTGAGCATTATATCCATATTCGCTTCTAATGTTTGTGATCACCCCAGATGGCCCCAAATACGTACAAACTCAACACAAACTACATCGGAGGGCGTTTCCATGCACCTTCTTTAGCTAATTGATCAGCTAACTCGTTCCCTACCACCCCAGAATGACCCCGCACATATCGGATGTCTGTAGCTAAGGGCACGGAACGCCTTCTGACAACTTCCTTTATTGAAACGCGAATCAAATCTGCGTTTACGACAGGTCTCCCCTTTGAGTTTCTGTATCCGTTAGATTCCCACTTGTCGGACCAGTCCTTGATGCAGCTGATGGCATAATGTGAGTCGGTGTAAATTGTCAGCCGCTGAGACTGGTTATCGAATAGAGCGTTCCAAATCGCCCCCAGCTCTGCCCTCTGGTTCGTTTGAGGATGTGAAGATCGAAGTCGATGTGCCCTGTTTCTGATATGATTCGGACCATAGTACAAACCCATCCCGGCTCTCGCTCCTGGTCTACCGTTGCCTAGACAACATCCGTCGGCGTAGACAACAACATGCTCGGTTGCGAACGAGGGGCTGTTCGCTCTGAGTGCATAAGGAACACCCCACCTTTCGGCTTCCCAGCCTTCATACTTATATCCTGTCAAGTCTTTCCGATTCCGAGATATCCCAGTAAAACTGCTCGTATGCATCGACTGCGGCATCAAAATCAGGATAGGCTTCGCCGTCAGCGCCTGGGTAGCCCTTCACTTGATCCTAGAACCTCTCAGATGAATAATAAATCCCGGGTGCGCGGCCATCAAAGACCACATAGCATCTTCGGTTAGCCGAAGGGTTTCGCGAGCCCAAATTGCCCAAGATCGTTTCGTCGTCAAAGTATGTCTCAGCTATGCAGCGACTACATCCTTTTTCCTTCTTGTTGACCATATCAACGCGCAAGTCCTCTTCATTGCGATCACCGTTATTACCATATAGACCAACGAAGATATCTTCTGCGCAGTACGCGCAGAGCTGCTTCATCCAATATAATGCCAAGTGTAGATTGGTAAACCAGCGAACTACTGGGACCGGATAGTCAATAATCTGCATTTCCGCTTTGTGTTTGCTGAGATAGATACCCGAATTCCATCCTGTAAAGTAAAGAGTTCAGAAAAATGGGTAATCAAGTGAAAGCAGGAGGTTTAGCTACCATCTCGAACTGCGTAATAGACTGGCATATTTTAAGATCCTCGCAGAGCCCAACCTCCTCAAAAAAGGAGGTCAATTAAATATTTTTGTGTAAGTAAATGAAATGTCTGAAGGTCCGGTAGATCAAAATACGAGAAATATGGACATTAATATTATGTCTGGCGCGGAGTGGTAATAGTTATAGGAGACTATCCCGTTCCAGTTGTTCGCTGGTTTGTCAATTTGCAAATGGCAATCGCTTGGAAGGAAGAGAGCTGCACGTGTTGCGGAGTTGACACCTACTTTGATGACGAGAAGTACGTGGGTGACCTTGGCTCGAAGAACCCCTCGACTCGCCAGAAATGCTATGTGGTTTTTGAAGGTCGCATACCCGGGATTTATCATTCATGGGTCAAGTATCAGGATTCTTTGAAGGGACGCCTGAATGCTCACGGCCAGGAGTATCCAGATTTCACTACCGCTGTGGATGCGTTTGAGCAGTATTCCAAAACCCTGAAAGTGGGAGCATTTACCAGATTCAAAGCCGAAGAGGGCGAAGTTGAACGTCTTGGTCTTGCTGGGCCATTTACTGATAAAATGGAAGCGTTCATGAGCAGCCATCTTGTCATCCACACCGACGGATGCTGTCTACACAATGACGAAGAAGGAATCAGAGCTGGTTATGGTCTCTACTATGGTCCGAAGGATTCCAGAAACAACGGATTTCGACTTTCATCATCTGAACCTCAGACGAACCATAGGGTGGAGTTGGCTGCTGTTCTTCAAGCTCTGGTCGATAACCCGGCTTTGCCGCTGACGATCTGCACCGATTCGCAGTATGCCATCAACTGTGTCAAGGTCTGGTGGGAAAAGTGGGAGGCTAACGGGTACCGAAACACAAAGGGGAAACGAGTCGAAAACGACGACTTGGTGCGTCGCATAGTAGAGGAGACCAACAAGCGGCGTAGAAAGTCTCTAGCTACAGATTTCATACTTGTGCCGGCTCGTTCTGGGGTGACAGGGAACCAAAGAGCTAAATTATTGGCTTGCGATGGTGCAATTAAGCGTCGTGTGGAGTAGTCTGTGCTTGGTTCGTGTGGCCTTTAGGCCATCTAAGGTGTTTAGCGGGAAAGGTGGCAACGGTAGGAACAACAACAAATATAAATATATAAGCGACTATGGATATAACTCTAGATCGGGACTTTAAATAGTTGTTCTTCCAGTTTTGCGTAACAAAAGACAGTATTTGGTCGAGCTCGCTATAGCCTAGCGGTCGCGATGTTCGACTGATGCTGAATATCGTCCGGCAGACCCTTCTGACAACGAACCCATGATCTCAACTCAAAGATATAGTATGAAGTAAATGTATAGGAGCTCAGGGACAGTTACTCTGTAAAAATACTGTCGAGAAGCTAAAAGATGGGTGAGGTCTTTCGAGGAGGCACAAACACTGGGATACAAACCCTTTCGTCCCAATCCTGCTTACGGCGGCTCCAGACCCTACAAAATTTCAGCTCAACTGTATCATCGTGAATGATCTCTCACTAGCTCCCGAATCGGCCAACGTCCTATTTATCTTCTGCTCCCAGTTATGCTACTACTTCATAATTTGGGGCAAGTGCTAAGCAAACCCTACCGAAACTGCACAGAATTAAATAGTCACGTGTATGCACGTGACTCCAGCTCATCACGCCTAACGCCTCATTTCATAGCCGCTGCCTACATTGAGTTCCGGTGTGAAGAAGTACGGCATTAGTGCGAGGTACGCATCGGCTATTGCCAAGCTCGAAAGCGGAAGATGAGGTGACTGGAAGAAGCAGAGAGGATATGGTATCATTATTTTTAATGATTTCTGCTCAACATTTCACCGGAAGACGTTCTCCCTTTGGACGGCAAGCTCTGATGTGGATGATTAACAACATAGGCGATGAACAGAAAACACTTGGCAGATGCATGCAGCTAAACCAAGGGGCCGCCCTAACGGGTCTGTGGATACTGATGTGGCAAGTCCCGGACCTCTGTCAAAGCACATCGCATGTCAGCAACTCCAGCGGCGCTACCCTTTCATCGTCAATCGCTTGTTTAGCATCACGCCGGCTCATCTATTTGACCTAGACTCAGCTCGGTATTAGTCGAAAGACCGAGATATAGTTGTCGGTCTGTACCCTGTGTCAGATTAGCGACGGTAGGACGAACCCCGAAGTCGGAGCCGGTGGAATACAAGCATCCGGTGGAAAAAAGAAGAGAAACTAAACTCTATCGCATCTACCGAGGCACACACTCTTCGCTGTTTTCGCAGCACAAAATGCGAAAACCGGCCACATAATTATCCAAACGAACTGTAGAAACCTCGGGTTTGAGATCGAGTGCGTAAACAGATAAAAATTTGCCATCCCGCTGATTGTCGGTCGGTGTTATTTTATTTCGATATCACCGAGATCGGAAAGTGACGTAAAACAATAAGGATATAAACAATACGGAGTGTAATCGAAGGGTCTCGTACTATTATTTTTCTTGCTTGTGCCGAGGCTCAAGGACTATCGCACGCCTTGACCGAGGCGTGGCATTCTCAAAATACCTTCACGTCTGCTCGATCGGCGGTAGTTCCTCCGAATGCTTTAATGTAGCGCTAAGGCTTAGACAATTGTGCACGATACGCACGCGGGCTGACGGCCGCACTATGGCCACCCACGTTGGATATATAACGACGGATCGCTGCTGCTGCCTCTGTATTCTCTGTTCCTGAACCGATCCTCAACTGCACCTGTTTACTTAAGCTGTACCACTTATCTTACTGCCACAATGTCTCTACACTCCACAACCTCCGCGTCTAGAGACGCCGGGAATGATCTGGAGATGGCAATGACCACTGAAGAGTACGAGAGGGAATATGAGGGCGCAGCAATCGAGCCTGTCGCTTCCATTTTCTCAACAGACAAGAAATATGCTCAACTCGAATGGGATAGCCCCGATGACCCTGATAATCCGCAGAACTGGAGTGCTGCCCGTCGATGGTATTATACCTTTGTGGTCGCCTGGATGTGTCTCGTTGTGTATGCTCTCCCTCATCACCTTATCAATCTATCTTCATGAACTTCTTCTAACTGTTGGAGTACAGCACATTCGGTTCGTCAATTTATGTCGCTGGTGCTACTAGAATGGTGCTCGAACTGGGAGTATCTCGGGTAGTGGCTTTCCTCGGTCTATCTCTCTACCTGGTCGGTCTGGCCTTCGGACCTGCCATCGCAGCTCCTATCTCCGAGACCCAAGGACGGTCTGTTGTCTACTACATTTCCATCCCCTTGTCGATGCTCTTCACCACGGGTGTTGGCAAGGCTCAGAACATCGGCACCGTTCTCGTTTGCCGTTTCTTTGCCGGCTTGTTTGCTTCCCCAGTGCTTGCTGTTGCCGGCGGCACTATCCAAGATATGTGGCCAATGCACATGGTCGGCCTCGCCATGGCTGGTTTCTGTCTCGCGCCTTTCGCAGGCCCCGTGTTGGGTCCTATCATTGGCGGATTCTTGGAAGAGAAGAAGAGCTGGCGCTGGACAATGTGGGTGCTCCTTATGTTTTCTGGAGCCGTCTTGCCGCTTATCGCTTCGCTCAAAGAGACATACAAGCCTGTGATTCTTAAGCGTCGCGCAAAGAAGCGTGGTCTTACTTTGCCACCCAGTATGCCTCCTGGTCAAGCATTGAAGCTGCTATTCTCGGTCACCTTGCTCAAGCCATTCGTGCTGCTCTTCACCGAGCCTATTGTGTTTGTGCTCTCTGTCTACATGGCGTTCGTCTTTGCCGTTCTCTTCGGATTCTTTGAGGCATTCCCCTATGTGTTCAAGGTAGTCTACGAATTCACTCCCGGACAGCAAGGTCTTGCATTTTTGGGAATCGGCGTCGGCCTGCTTGGCGGTACAATCTTCTACATCTACATGGACAGAAAGCACTATGCTCCCGCCATGCGTCAGCCCGTCTTTCCCGCCGCAGAGTCGCGATTGCTACCTGCCAAGGTCGGCGCTGTTGCACTTCCGATCGGTTTGTTCTGGCTTGCCTGGACATCGAAGAAGAGCGTGCACTGGATCGTTCCTATCCTTTCTGGCGTCCCATTCGGCTTCGCGCTGATCTTGCTGTTCTTCACAGTCATCACCTACTTCTCCATGTGCTACCCCGCCATCGTCACCGCATCCGCTATCGCGGCTAACAACATGGCTCGGTACTTGATGGCAGCTGCCTTCCCGTTGTTCACCATCCAAATGTACAACAAGATGGGAATCGACTGGGCTACCAGTTTCTACGCCTTCTTTGCTTTGGCACTCATGCCCGTTCCGTGGGTCCTGGAGAGATACGGCGCCCGTCTTCGGGCCGCCTCAAGGTCAAATAAGCAGGCCAGAGCCGCCGCCGCCCAGGCTGCTGCTGCTGCTGCCGCTGACCAGCAGGAGACCGAGAAGGAGAGTGACGTCTCGAGCTCGAATTAGGACAGCTTGTGATACCTTTGTGTTTTTGGGAAGTTTGATAATTTAGGGTTTTGATGATCATTTGGCTTACCGGTGTTTTTCATTTATCTTCATGTCATTTGTTTTGCTCGTAATCGGTAGGTTGTTGCCTCTTATTTTGGTGGAAGAGGTGTGGAAAAGTTCTTATCATGTATTGTAACTCAAATATATAATGGTTATAACTTCTATCTTAGCAAAGATCTAAACTTCCTTGATAACATGCTTCTTTCTCTGCCTCTTACTTTTCGCAACGTCTTCCAAAGCCGTAGTATTAGTCTGCCCCAAGAACGTCTTATGCGCAGATCCATCAACCATCTGCTGCGCAATGTTTACCACGCCACTGGTGATGTAGCTTCGTGAGCGCATGAGACCTGTCATGACCGGCGTCGCGACGAGACCTTTGAGCTGTTGTCGTAGACTCTGGAGCTCAGCTCGCTGTCTTTCGCGCTGCTTGTTTGTGCCTTCGGCTTGTGAATCTGCGTCTCCGTTCTTCTTGCCTTTATGACCTTTGTAATCATCTTCGTCGTCGTCGTCGCTGCTGGCGAGAATATCCTCCGCCTCAGACATGTCGAGTCCAAGATCTTCCGCGCCTTGTCGCAAGAGCGACATATCAGCTCCGGACCCTGACCCTCCGTTCTTCCCATTCTTGTGTCCTTTTCCGAGCTGGTTACCACCAGTAGCAAGCTGTGTTTCCAACTTTGTAATGTCGGTCGCGATATGCACGCGCTCGGCAAGCTGCTTGACCACGAACGGTTCGACCTCGAATGTTTTGAAATCCTTCACTTTCTTGCCCAGTTTCACCGCCATGTTTTTCAGCTGCGCAAACTCGTTTGTTGCGCAGAGAATCATAGCGACACCGGAGTCAGTTCCGCGAGCTGTTCGGCCCGATCTGTGAACGTACATATCAGCCGATCGGGGGAGATGGTAATGAAGCACGTGCTTGACGTGAGGGATATCGAGACCTCGAGCAGCGACGTCGGTCGAGATCAGGATTCCGTGAGAATTCTCTTTGAACCGTTCGATCGTGCGGAGACGTTGTTTTTGAATCATGTGGGAGTGGAAGGCGACGGCTGGAACTTGTAGTTCTTGCAGGAAACGGGCGATGCGTTTCACAGCGTCAATCGAGTTCACAAAGACGATCGTGCGGCCGGGATACTTGAGGAGGAAAAAGTAGAGGAAGACGTCCTAGAAACAAGTTAGATTGATTTTTCATCTTGAAAAACAAATAATCGAAAGAGAAGTAGGCCGTACCTTCTGCATAGCATCGCACATCATGACACCCTCGATGATCTCGCTCTTCACAGCTTCGTCAGGATTAACATCGACATACGTAGGCGTGCCTTCTCTGAAATTCAGCTTATCGAGCAAATACGCCATAGTATTCTCCTCGCCTTCGATCGTATTGCTGACAAATTTCGTCCGCTTCTTCTTCCCGTTTGATGCTTTCTTGGGACCGGATAACTTCCTCGTCAGGTCCTTTGCAAAAGTAGCGGAGAAAACTAGTGTTTGTCTGTAATTCTTTGCGCGCTTCTTCTTCTGGTTTGACGACTTCTTATCGGTCTGATTGTCGTCTTCTTCCTCTTCACTTTCCGTCTCGGACTCTTCGGCGCCGTCTTTTCCTCTGTTCTGGCCGATCATGTCGAGAATCTCGTTCAGCTCCTTGAAATGACCGTCCTGCAACAACCGATCCGCTTCATCGAGCACAAGAGTCTCAACACCAGCAAGCCAGCCGATCAATCCCTCAGAGTCAGAAGTCATCAACTCGTGCAATCGGCCGGGCGTAGCGACAACGACATCCGGGAAATAACTCAAATGTCGCTTCTGCTTTTGGATCGCAAGACCACCGGTGACCATCATGATGTTCGCCGTGGTATACTTTGACGCCTTCGTTATGTGTTCACTGATCTGCTGAACCAGCTCGCGCGTGGGAGCCAGGATCAACGCCGCTGGCGCCGGCGCAGTTTTAAACGTCAATTCCTTCTTGTCGGTCGAAGCCGCGCTTGACGATAAGTACTTTTCGAGAATCGCAAGACCGAAAGCCAACGTTTTTCCGGAACCAGTCGCAGCTTTTCCAACCACATCATGACCCTCTAGAATCAGCGGGAGTGCCTGTCGCTGAATCTCCGTCGGCGCCGAAAATCCGAGATCTTTCAAGCCATGCAGCAAGGACTCTGAGAGCGGATATACTTCTTGCCAAGCAGGCATCTCGGTGTCCTCGAGTTCGCCTAGAGCTTCGAACGTGTTTGTCTCCGCCGCCGCCGCGGATGCTGCTTTGGCGGCTGCTTTCTTGCGTTCCTTTTTGCGTTGATCTCGCTCTTTGTGCATTTTCTTCCGCGCAAGTTTTCGCTCTAACTCTTCCTTGCTCAATTCCGGTACTTTCTCAATCTTTTCCTCATCTCCTTCCGCTGTCGTGCTTGCCTCCGCAGCACTCTTCACAGCCTGCGGTTTCACCTTCTTGAACTTGACGATTTTCTCCTTCCCGCCAACAGTATTTTCGTACTCAATAGCGACACCGTCAATCTCCTCAAACCCCATCAATCCCTCCATATCGCCAACCCTGTCCGGAAGCGTCACCGGCTTCCAGTGAAGATTGCTCGCGTCGAGGTATTCCTCTTCGTCATCGCTGCTCTGAGATGTTTTGCTCTCGTTGCTGGGTGGTTTGCTGCTCGTGCTGACACCACGCTTTTTAGCGTCTACCTTTGATGATTCTGTAGACTGATGCTTGCGTTTGACCCCCATTCTGTATCTTTCTCAAACAGGATCTCTTTCTCTTCAGTACCGTAGAGAAATAAAAGTCGACGAGATCAAAGCTCGATGAATTTACTTCCAAATTTTTTTTTGGGTTTTGGCAAGTTGGGAGTTTTGAACAAAAGTTCGTTATTACGTAAGCGAGGACTGATTATTTCTAGGGTTTCTATATCGCCAAGAAGGACACACGTCGTCGTGGTGTGCTTCTTATGATTACTACATTGAAAAAGAAACTCGAGGACTAACTATATGAGAGGGATAAGTAGTAATTTAGTCAAAATAATAAAATGTAAAAAAATGAAAAAAAAAATTGGACGACACCGGAATCGAACCGGGGACCTCCCGCATGCTAAGCGGATGTGATAACCAACTACACCAGACGCCCTTTTGTTAAAAAAAAATTATGCTGACCATGATGAGCCCCACAAACAACTGGAAATTGGTGTTATTTCCGTTACATGGACTGTCGCTTATGGTCGTCAGACCGATGGATATCGTGGCAGGGGCCTATTTGTCTAGTTTGAGACTGTAAATGACCGTGTACAGCGAATCGGTCCCGTCGGCTCTTTGCGCGGGCTACAAAGATGGAAAACGAAAATAGGCCGCAATCACTAACCACACAGATCGCCGGAAACAGAAAGACGTTCAAGCGCCCCGTCTGATATTTTTTATACGATTGTATTTATATCTATATATATCGCCCCTATTCTGTCGGACTCGTTCTCAAATCTTCAATATCAATCCTAAGCGGTCGATATTCCCAGCATCCTACCGAAAAAGAGTAAATTTAATAGTCATATTTAACGACCGTTGAACCCCTGACTTCGGTTTGGTGAACCTTCTGCACCCTGATTTTGATTACTTTCTAAAACAGATATATTTTCTGCGCTGAATATTACTGGAAATGAAGTGCCGGATTGGGACTCTCGAAGGGAGCATTGAGTGAAGAGAAAAGGGGTAAGAGATGCAAATAATGTAACTGAATTGCGCAATGACAAGGATGAAGAATAGAGCTCTCTATTCCATGTTCATCTATAAATGAAGAGATAGTTATGTGAATAAATAAGACAAATGATTATTTTTTGGAAACCAGTACATATGAAATAAAACAGCAGAAAAATCGCAACACGCAAAGCTCCCCATACCAACGCGCAGTGAACTCCATGAATAAATAGAATAGAAAAAACAAAAGACCTTTTGGTATACCGTACAGATAGATAGTTTTACATTAAATCACACGTCTCCTCAACTTGATAGGAGATCGCTACTCCACTCCAAACGAATAAAGTCTTACTTCACCATCGTCACTTCCGGACGCAAGACGGGAGTCGCTTAATCCGACACAGGCAACCGGTGCACTGTGTCCGCTGAAAGTGTGCAAGCATCGTCCACTCTGCAGATCCCAGACCTTGACGAGCCGATCGTGTGCTCCGGATACGATTCTGAAAGTATCGGCGGCAAGAGCCCAGACGCCTTCAATGTGACCGAAAAGGGTACGGGTGCATTCTCCGGTGTTTGTGTTCCACACTTTGATCGTGCTGTCGAGCGAGGAAGTCAGGATGTAGGGCAAAGTCTTGCGACGCTTGTTCTTGCGAGGCCGCGAGTTCTGTGGCGAGCTGACTGAATGCGCTTCGTCTTCCTCCACTTTCGTAGCGTTTGCATCTTCCTTGTATTCACCACCCACAAGCCCAGGCTGAGAGACGGGCTCGGTCGGAGCCTGGTACTGATGGTGTTGATGATACTGCTCGTCTTCATCGTCGTCCTCTTCATCGTTCTCGTCTTCATCATCATCTTGGCGAATCACGACAGGCAAGACACATTGCACCTGACCAAAGTGATTTTGGTCGTTGGGAGATCCCTGCAGGCCGCCGCCAAACACACGCACGCACTGGCGCAGATCAAGATCCCACATGCGTACAGTGGTATCGTCGCTCGCAGAGAATAGCATGCGTGTAGGACTGTGAATGTGTACAGAGTTGACCCAGTCGGTGTGTCCACGAAGGGTCATGAACGACTTTTCGCGGAAGTTCCACACACGGATTGTGTTGTCGGCAGAGCCAGACGCAAGCAATTCAGAGTCAAAGTGTAAGCTCAATACACCGTCGGTGTGGCCACGCAACGTCGAGACGCACTCGCCGGTGCGGTAGTTCCATATCCTGATAGTCCGGTCCATCGAGCCAGTGATGAGCTTAGAGTCGTCAAACATGAGCGTGCGCACACCCCGAACATGACCAGTTAATATTCTGTGAAGTTTTCCAGTCTCGATATCCCAGACGCGGACGGTTGTATCGTAAGAGCCGGTGATGAGGACGGAGTGATCGAATTGCAGGCACATGATTCCATCAGTGTGTCCTTTAAACACCTTGAGCTGATAGCGTCCACGACGCCAGTTTTGTTCGACCTTCAAACGTTCAGAGTAGACATCTTTCCAAGGTCTAGTCATCCGTCCGGCGGGCACGTTCTGGGTCGTCAACTCGGACATATCAGGTCCTTTTGCTTTCTTTGCTGCAGGCTGTTCAATCTCATTGATTTGTTCGACGATGGTTGTCTGCGTCGTGGAGGGCCCGCCGTCAGTCTCGTCGATGGATCGTTTGCTGCCAGTAGTAACACTCGAGTCTGAAGAAGGAGAAGCAGAAGAAGAAGAAGAAGGCTTGGTGGACTCTGAGAGTTCCTCGATTCTGCGCTCGATGTCGCGCTTCGATTCGCGCAGTCGGCGCTTCTCGAGAAGAGGCAGGCCCCAGCCACATTTGAGGCACTTGCGCTCGATGTGCTGTTCGCACATGCGGTGCCAAACGATGTCGTCGTCGGCGAGCATGCGCCATTTTCGAGAAACCTGGGCAGCTTTGCAGAGCGAGGAGGCGTCGAGGTAGCAGAGGATTTTGAAGGAGATCTCAGCCGGGAGGGCGGAGACAAAGTCGATGCGGATGAGATCGCGGAGCATGGAGGAAACGAAGGAGAGTTGGGGCGAGCAGCATTGCGAGAGTATGCCTTTGAGTACTAGATTGCGCTCGTTTGTAGGAGCAGCCGAGAATATGCTCCAGACGTGGGTAATGGCCTGCTGGTCTTGCTTCGGCAGACTTTCGAGTTCCTGGGGGGAAGAGTTAGCAGGAAGAACAGCTAAGAATAAGTTGAGAACAAAGAAGAGAAACGTACCCGCTGGAGATCCTCCATGTTCGTCTCATCAGCCTGACGCTTGCATTTAAAGTCAGGGTGGTGGCGATAGCAAAAAGTGCGTGGTTCTTTGTGGGATTCGGGGTAGAGGCGTTCGGGGATGTGGCGAGTGAGGTAGGGAGCCATGACGGTAGCGGAGTGCTGGTGCTGCTGTCTGAGGTGCTGGTCGTGCGGATCGTCGGACTGCGACGGACACGAGAAATCGTCGGCTGCCATGAATGCGGTGAGAGTTGTCTTCTGTCTGCTTTCAGGCGAAACAGGAGGAGAAGAGGCGATGGGAAGTACGGCGCACTAAAAGAGCGGAGGAGGCGCAGAGAAAGCAAGAAAAGAAAACACAGTTCTGAGGGTTAGGGCTCAAAGCACATCATCGGCCGCGAACATCGCGAAGAGACGCGGATCAGAGCGTTTTGCGCAAGATGAGCGCATCTGCTCGTCACCGGTGAGGATTCGGGATTCGGACGAGATACGACGAAGAATGGCGATTGTTGTTATCTCTGGCCTTTGTTTTGGTCTGGTTCTGGAATGCGGGTCCGCGACTCATCTCGTGGCGAGCAGAGTAGATATTGCTGATATTATTGATATTGCTGAGAGTCGGTTATACTCAACTACTTCTCAGTGCGGGTTCTATTTACTCAACTACATTATTACTCCGACTATTATTCACATTCATCTACTTCTCCTCCGTTTTCTCTCTTCTTCCAAAGAACACGCACTTCTTTTCTTAGAATTCAACCGTCTGCTATATGCTCCAACCCTATCCCCATGATCACGCGACCGAGACGTCTCTGGCATCACCTCCAATGCGCTCACACAACAACATCGATAAGCCATCCCGCGCGCGCGTAACGCTCACAATCACCATCGTCGTGATCTCGCCATGGAGTCCGACTGGTTCATAAACGCCAAGCAGGCGCTCGCTGCGGCAGAGCCTATATGCACGGCTGCAGACTCGCTAGTTGTTTGCTCGCGAGAGACTCTTGAGGCAGCGCTGGCTGTGCACTCCAAGTCTCTCTTCCTCGACAAAGAGCTACATAGCCAGATCGCGCTGCTCTATCAGATCAACGAAGCTCTGCATGCCGCGGTTGCTTCCTGCGAGGCTGAGTTTGAAGCTAGCTTACTGGAGCTTGACAAGAGCGGGGCCAGGCTTGACGGCGTATTAACCAAGCTGCAGGAGTTGGTGGTCGATCCGGCATTCAAGAGCAGCAGCAGTACGGAAGACAACCAAGAAGGTGACGGCGACGGCGACGGCAATACCATCACCACCGCAAATACAAAACGAACACTTAAAGATTACACACATGATGCAGGTGTCGAGCAGATCAAATCACAACTGCGACAAGCAATCGATGTCTTTCAGGATCAGCATGGTCTCATGATCTCTGGTTTGTCTGACTTCGACATCGAGCTTGCAGACCTGTCTGAGAAGATCTCGGAAGCGCCTCCGCCGTTGTCAGACATTTCACAATGCAAGTCATTTGTAAACTCTCTCGAGATCATTGAAACCCACGCGCGCGATATGGGTATACTGCTAGAGTCTCTTGCCCACCACTACGACCAATGCTCACAAGCACTCATGACCTCTGACGAATCTCGTCTTGAAGATGATCCCGAGCGCGCAGACTTGATTGCTGTTTTACGTGACGACGCTGCTCAGGTTCCAGACGTGCTGGACGAGATACGCGAGCGACATGCTGCCATGTCTGCCCTGACCGACGCGCTCACCACATTTCTATCCGACTCCACAGAACGATATACGTCCGCCGTCCAGCGTTCGTCGGTGTTTTCCGCGTACAAACAGAATCTAGAACGGCATTTACTCAGCGCTCGCGAGTTTGCAGACGGAGTGCAGGATTATTTCGATCGGCGGAACTCGCTACTTTCAGAACTCGAGGAGCTAATCGGCTACTTTGAAGGATTTATCCGCAGCTACGACGCTCTTGTGCTCGAAGTCGTACGTCGGCAAAACACCAAAAAGCGCATGGAAAGCGTTGTGCACGAGACGCTTGATAAGCTGAAGGCCATCTACGACGAGGAGATGGATTCGCGAACGGCGTTCTGGAAACGGAGCGGGCCGTATATACCTATTGATCTATGGCCTGGCGTGAGTGATCCGCCGATCGGCTTTGAGATTGTCGCACATGAAGTGTCGCCTCTACCTGAATTGGGCAGGACATTGATCGAGCAAGCGAAACGGAGACTGGTCTCCAAAGATGGCGGTTTCTAGTGTATATATTTGACGTTTAATAGAGTAATGAATTAATATTAAGAAGCTAAGAAGATTATGATTTGTGATGCTTGGAGGAGTTGACGAGTTTCTTCTTAAGATGCTTTGGCATCTTCGTCTGTCTCTTCTCTTTCTTTTGCTCTTTCGTCGCCTTCTTCCGTTCCTGTTTACTGCCGTTAATATCAGTCCAAATTAAAATCATGAAACGTACTTACCTTCTTTTCATCCTTGTCCTCGTATCGTTTTCCTTTCAAGACCTTTGGTCTCTCTTCAAATGAACGCTCGCTGTCGTCATCGCTATCATCTCCACTCTCATCCTCATCCTCATGCTCCTCATCTCTGGTGCCGTCCCCATTAATATTCACCAGATCTTTGTAAACAAGATCTTCACCCTCTCCTAACGAGATCTTCGCAACGTCTCGCTCGATATCGTAGACCTGCTCCAGAGTTTGCGGAATATACATTTCTCGAAACACCGCGTCGTCGCTTCCCTGACCCTCAGCAACGACGTCAGGAAGAGGCTCGGTTGCGGCGAGGATCGCAGTCAATTTAGAGATTTCGAAATCTTCGGGGTTTGTGGTGTTCATGACGATATTGAAAAACTGGCGTTCAGAAAAGACATTCACCCCTCGCTTTTGGAAAAAGTCGTTTGTGTTCTTGATGTCCATGCGTAAGAACTCGAGCGAGTGCGGGTGATCATGTTCGACACTTTGCGAGACATCGATGATGACGAGTTGCTCGTTGTGATAAAGGATATTGTACTCGCTCAGATCGGCGTGGACGAGCCTGCACTTTTGGTACATGAGGATGACATATGCGACCAGTTGATGGTAGAGCTCGATGTACTTTGCGCTCTCGATCTTGGCGTCGTGCAGACGGGGGGATGGCCAGCCGTCTTCGGTACCGATGAACTCCATCAGTAGAACGTGGAAGCGCAGTCCGAGCGGTTTGGGCGTCGGGATCCCGCTCTGATTTAAACGCATCAGGTTTCGCATTTCCTTCTCCGCCCACAGCTTGACCATCTTGCGCGGATTATGCCTGCTATACCCGTGTCTGAATCTATACTCTCCAGTGACGTACCGGTCGCGATCTTTAAACACCAGGATCGAGGTCTTGTAGATCTTGATTGCGCGGTGGATGCCAGTTTCGGTTTTGGCGTGGTAGACGTTTGCTTCTTTGCCGGTCGAGATACAGCCGTTGACCTCGGAGATTTCGCCCTTGTTGATGAATTTCGCGAGAATCTTGCAGGTTCGGGGGTCGAGCACTTGTTCGATCGTCGCACGGTCTGACTTGTCCGTGATCCTGGTGGTGACGTTAGCCAGCGCATAATGTAACAGCGAGAGACTGTACTTGGACTTACTTGTTTTTGATCGAGGGAATGAGCTCGTCGACTTTAATACGAGAGGCATACTTTGCCAGAATCTCGTTCGGATCTTTCAGAGTTCTTCCACGCGCCGCAGGTGCATGACTCTTTCCTTGCGAGGGAGCAGCTCCGGAGGCATATCCCTCTTCGTCCTCGTCGCTACTGATCAAGTCATTGTCGTCCTCTTCCTCCTCGTCATACTGCTCTTCTGCCGAGTCTGCTCCAATAATTTCCGGTTCGCGGTCAATAACAGTGTCAACATATCTGTTCTGCAGGGCAGCCTGTGTAGTAGCCTGTCCAACCATTCTGTCTCGTTCTCTTCGCCTGCACTTAACTCTCTCGTCCCGCTTTCCAATTTTTTTTCTGCGATGGTGCGGCGTCGGCCCGCTGGGAGGATTACCAATCACGCAATACAACATTACATAACCACAAAAACCCTACACCGACCGCCGGTTACGTCACCGCGATCCTTTGTGAAATTAGAGTAGGGCGCCGCGCGGGCAGCTGCGGATGGTTCGGCAAAGAGTCTCTGGCAGAAAACCCCACGGGACCTCGACGCTGGCTGGGGAACTTCCGGATACTGCGAGAAGAAAAGCTGTTTGGTCGGCTGCCTGTGTCTTGCTTGTGTCTTGAGTAGTTCTTGAGAAGGACAAGGAGTCATACTGGTTCTCGGTCGAGTCTTTGTTCTGCGCGGAAGAGTTTTCTTTGTGAACTTGTCCTTCTTTCTGTTCCTTTCTGCTACTTTCCCAGTCCCCGGGCAAAGCAGATATACACTACACTTACAGATGACCAAAACCGGGACCTCCAAACGGTCGTTCAAACTGTTCTCTGCTCTTGTTAAGCTATTGAAGGTTAGTTTTTTTGTGAAATGCGCGATGTCTCTGCGGACGAGTTGTTGAATGGCGGTTAACGCATTATTAGATGCGATCAACGGATATAATCCTCGAGTGTAAGTTATTTCTTCGCGCAGTAGTATCACCAAGAGCAGCTCGTACTGACTTTTCCACCCAGACTTTGATGTGTCGGTGTACAAAGAAGACTTTGACAACCTTCGAGAAGAGCACTGGCTGAATGACAACAACCTGACGTTCTGGTATGAGTACCTCGAGCGATCAGAGTCATTCGTGATGGAAAACCCAGGCGAGATCGTGCTGTTGCGGCCTAGCATGGTATTCTTGCTTGCTCAGAGCTCTAGTGAGTATACTTTTGTAGTTATCTTCGATGGTCTTCATATTAACAGACCTAGATCCCAAAGAACTGAAAGACGTGCTGCCGTCAATGGACGACGCGCGCTACGTGTTTCTCCCAATCAACGACAACGACGACGTCGATCTTGCCGAAGGTGGAAGTCACTGGTCACTCTTAATCGTCGACCGGCAGATCAAGCGCGGGTTCTACTACGACACACTTGACGACAGCAACGTGCGCGAGGCCGAGAACGTGGCCAAGAAGCTGTCTATCCTGGACGACTACGCGACCGGCAAATTCACGCTCTACTCGCTCCCCACGCCGCAGCAGACAAACGGATCGGATTGCGGGGTGATGGTCTGTATGCTTACGTCCCATTTCTTGCGGAAGATCGTGGAGGCGCAGGCAAGCGATTCTGGCGATGAGGTGGACTGGCACGTAGGCGAGCAACTTATGAGCGCAAAGCATGGACGACAGCTATTGTCGTACACGATCCTTGATCTGATCACAAAACACGGCCGCAAGATTGGCTATGAGGAGGAGTGTAAAAAGGAGGAGATCTTGTCGATCGACGAGAGTATCGCGTCTAGTCCTGGAAGTAATGCCGCAGGTTCGGATTCTTCAGAGTCGACGATGGATGTCGAGTCAGAGCTGGTGTTATCGGACGATAGCAGTCACTCTGTCGATATCATGCCGAAAGCGCTCAAACATTCGTATCGGCTGCATCTGCACAGGAAGACCCATCGTCAGGCTGTGTAGATAGCTTTTTCTTGATTTTGATCTCTTGTTGCTGTTCATTGATAGTTGTTTGGGATTTTCTTGGAGTCCGGCTGCTTGGGTATACTTCTTTTGTTTGCATTAGTTATTACTCTCATGAATAAGTTCTGGTTAATGGTAATGTTTAATTTATCTACCAATTGTATTTTCTATCATTACACAGCAATTCGCAAAATATCTACATTAAACTCTGCAGTTGGAGATCGAGAAAACAAGAATATCCTCGGCACCCTTGTTCCGTAGCTGATCCATAACCTCTGCTATTCTCTTCTTCTCAACCATACTGCTGACCGCGACCCAATCGTCTTCCTCCAGAGGTGAGATAGTAGGTGCTCGTCGGCCGGGTGTGATCTTGAGAACAGAGTCGAGCTTTGAGCGTGGGCAGTTGTAGTTGCAAAGGACGTACTTTCCAGCAGCGATAACACCCTTGATTCTGTTGACGATGAGCTCGAGAAGATCTTTGTGCGTCGGGTGCTGGCTTGCGATGAGCACGGCGGATGTCTCGAAGATGGTCGCGATGGCTTTCAGACCAGCCGCGCGCATGGTCTCTCCGGACTCCACCAGATCGACGACAGCGTCGGCAATCCCAAGCGCGCATGAAGCTTCGACCGAGCCGCCGACGTACTTGATTGTGGTCTTGAGCGGCTTTGAAGACTGCGTTTGCTCGTCCGCGCCAACGCCGTTCGTCTCCTCGGCCTCGAGCTTGCGGAAGTAGTCGGTCGCGAGGTTTGTGAACGAGGTCACGATCGATTTACCAATCAGCTGTCTCGGATCCGTGAACTGGCCTTGGTCGGGAACCTCGACCTGGAGCTTGCAGCTGCCAAAGCCCAGGTTGCAGACCTCGTCGACGGAGATGCCCGCCTCAGCGACTTGGTCTTGACCGGTTATGCCGAGTGAGACGCGACCTTCGCCGACAAATCGGGGGATATCTGCTGCGGGGAGAAACACGAGGGCGATAGGCAGGTTTGTGCAGAGGGCGATGTCGAGACGATTGCTGCGGTTGAACTTGATGTCCGCGCCTTTGAGGAGGTCGACGCATTGCTGGTAAAGCCGGCCCTCTGATCATACCGTGACAGGTTAGCAATAGCACTCTTCTGCAGTAAATTGTAAGTACTCACTCTTGGGCACGGCGAAGAGTAGCCGGTCGTTGAGGTGAGAGACGATATCCATTGCGGGTACTTGGAGATGTGTATGGGGAAGATGAATGAATCGACGACGGCGGCGGATTTTTTTTATTTTTGAGTTTAAGGTTTGGCTGCGATGAGTAACCGTTCCTCTGCTCGGTGCCTGAGTCGACGGCAGCCCAGGAAAAGAAGAGTTGTTGAGAGCAGATGTATGTGGTTTATGTTGTTGAAGAAGTCCTTAAAAGAATACTGTAAAGAGTTGAAGAGCATTGCAGAGAGAGGTTGTTATAGCATTGAGAATACGTTTCAAAATCAGTCAGCATGGCCTATATATGACATAATACACTTACACCTCCCTGACTATACGCCCAGAATGCCCGGTAAAGTCCTATAATGCTCCTACAAAATCCTCTACTCTTCAATTGCAAATATCTACGCAAATATCCCCGCAAAATACGCCTTTTCAGCTTGAGGCTGGACGCACTCTCAGCATTTCTACTTTCGGGTCTCTTTGGCCGGCTCCCGTTTCACGCCGCACCATCTCCCCTCGCACTCTTTTGATCCACTCATTCGAGCTCGAGCTTTCAAAGGTCTTCGTAGCTCTTGCGTCTGTGGCTGTTTCTTCCCGGTATTGATTATTTTCGCATAGTGGGATTGTCGAGGAGTCTTTACCTGTCCAATTGGTTCAAATTCGTCGTGTACGCTGCCGACCATCTTCACACCGCAGCAGCAGCAAGCAGCAGCAACAAACCACGCCAGTCCGACCCACTCCGCGGTCGGCTCTCGCCCTCTCTTTCCCCTTCAATCTCGACCATGTTTGGTCTCAAACTGCAGCTAACACCACTGCTGGCCGTGCTGGTGCTCGCCTGCTCACTAGCACCTGCCTTCGCCGACACACTCAATCCCAGAGCACATGTGGCGCCCCGCGACTACGCCAAGAGGGATTATTTCGCCTTCGAGCTCGTCTGGCCAGATCTCGAACCCGCGGATCCACACTCCTCGGCTGCTACCGACACAAGCAGGACATCGATCCCCGATGCAGGCGTGCTCTCGCTACTCTCTGACTTTGCGAGCGAATACGGCCTCACGTTTGAGGAACAGCTCGGCAGTTTAGACAACCACTACCTATTCTCGGCACCGAAGGCAAACAAGGCCGAATATCTGATCTCGCGCAAGATCAAGAAGAGATATGGCGGAATCCATGCGCAGGCGGTCAAGTACTTTGAGAAAATGCGCGTGAAGAAACTGCACAAGCGGGCGAGTGTGGCTGCGCCGAAGAAGCCGCCAATTGATTCCGGTCTCGTTCCCGTGCGCGAGGTCGAGGAACTGCTGGATATTCGGGATCCCGAGTTTGAAAAGCAGTGGCATTTGATTAATCCGTATCAGCCGGGTCACGATATCAATATTACTGGTGTTTGGATGCAGAGTATGTTTGCTGATCTCATGTCCTGCTTTTGTACATTCAGCTGATTTGTGTTTTTAGATGTTACTGGTGAAGGCATCGTCACCGCCATTGTCGATGACGGCCTTGACTTTGAGAGCGACGATTTGAGAGACAATTTCGTGAGTTTCCGTTCTCTTACCCGACGAGATCATTTTTTGGATCATGCTGATCAAATAAATACAGTACCCCCAAGGTTCATACGACTTCAACGACAACAAACCCCTGCCGAAACCAATGCTCGCCGACGACCGCCACGGAACTCGCTGCGCAGGCGAAATCGCCGCGGCAAAGAACGACGTGTGCGGAGTAGGTTCGGCCTACGATTCCAAAGTCGCCGGTATCCGAATCCTGTCCAAAGAGATCAGCGACGCGGACGAAGCGTTAGCGCTGAACTTTGCGATGCAGGATATCGATATTTACTCCTGCTCGTGGGGTCCACCTGACGACGGCAAGGCTATGGATGCGCCTGGCGTGTTGATCAAGCGGGCAATGGTGAACGGCGTTGAGAAAGGACGGGGCGGGAAAGGCAGCGTCTTTGTGTTTGCGTCCGGCAATGGCGCGCAGAACGGGGATAATTGCAACTTTGACGGGTACACAAACAGTATATATTCAATCACCGTCGGTGCGATTGACAGGAAGGGACTGCATCCGTATTATGCCGAAGACTGCTCGGCGCAGCTGGTGGTAACTTACTCCTCCGGATCCGGGGATTATATCCATACCACCGATGTCGGCAAGGCGGCCTGCACCGACGTCCATGGCGGAACATCGGCAGCTGCGCCGTTAGCAGCTGGTATTTTCGCGTTGGTGCTCTCTGTCAGGCCTGACTTGACGTGGAGAGATATGCAGTATCTGACAATCATGACCGCGGTCCCGGTCATGAACGCCGACGCACTCTACCAAACCACTGCTATCGGGCGCCAATTCTCACACCGCTACGGATATGGAAAACTCGATACGTATGCTATCGTCGAGGCGGCCAAGGCGTGGAAGAATGTCAAGCCGCAGGCGTGGCTCGATACCCACGTGGCGCCTGTGCACAAGGATATTCCGCAGAACGACGAAGGATTTACTTCTTACATTACGATTGATGCTAGCATGCTGCAAAAAGCAAACTTGGCCTTCTTGGAGCACGTTCAAGTCAAGGTCAACATCAAGCACCAGCGACGTGGCGAGCTCAGCGTCAGGCTAGAGAGTCCCACCGGTATTGTCTCGCTCCTGGCCACGCCCCGACCATTCGACCAGTCGACCGAGGGTATGGTCGAGTGGTGGTTCATGACCGTCGCGCACTGGGGCGAGACCGGCATCGGAACCTGGAAGTTGACGGTGTACGATACACATGACGATCAGTTTACTGGAACATTCGAGGACTGGACGATGCGCATCTGGGGACAAGGAATCGATGCCGACGCGGCGAAACCGTTCCCGCTTCCGAAACTTCCCCCGGGACTTGAGGATCCGACGTTCTCAGGCACGGTCGCGCTGCCGCCTTCTACGACTTCGACTACGCAAGCGCAAACTTCCTCGCCGTCTACGACATCGCCTACCTCAGACCCGACCTCTGTAACATCCCCCGCTCCATCCACGACCTCAGAGCCTGACTCTAGCTGGGACGATTACGACGACAACGACAGCGACGACAAGCCCGATGACAGCTCGGACTCGGGAAAGAGCGAGAAGCTGTTTGGGTTTATCCCGACGTTTGGAATGTCGATGGATAAAGTGGTTTGGATCTACGGCTCCGCGCTCCTGATCGTCGGTTTCCTGACACTGATCGGCGTCTGGCTCTGTGTCGCGAGACGAAACAGACAAGGTCTCCGACGCAGTCGTGCCGCGCGCGACGAGAACGGGTATGAGTTCCAAGTTCTGCGGAATGCGGCGGATATGGAAGACGGCGCGGGCCACCCTCCGCGTCGGAAAGCAAGAGATCTGTATGACGCGTTCGAGAACATTGACGAGGACGACGCGTTCGCGGTTGAGGATCTGCTGTCTGAAGATGAAGATGACGGCGCGGAAGATGAGTTACTCGGTGGACGAACCGGTGGGCGGAAGACTGAGGCGCGAGAGGCGAAGGAGGGGGATGAGGGAGAGGCGGGAGAGGATAAAGTGCGCTTGTTGTCGCATGCTGGGGAGGCGAGCGGGTCCCAGTGATGATAAAAAATTGTGTATATCAGAAAAGTGATAGGAGAGCTGTAGATACTTTTCGCGGTTTTAGATCAAATGCATTATGTTTCTTATTTTTTGCTCTTTTGTGGGGAAATGTAGAACTGTATTGGAAGGGTGAGTGCGGTTGAAATGATGCTGAGAATAGTGCTTAAAATCAATGGCGCCCGTAGGGTTTGCGAAACATTTACTGATAATGGAGTTTGGCTAGCTACACGGCTGAGCTGGATGTTGAATCGTGATCCTAAAAATGGTTACGAGAATAGAATTTGTAACTATGAATTTGTAAAGACAAGAGCGCCAAAAATCAAGAGCGCCAAAACCAAGTATCAAAAAGAAAACAGAGAAAAAACATGAATGTGCTTGTATACATCTGCTCTCTCTCTACAGCAGAAAGCACCAACCAAAAAAACTCAAATAGAAACAAACAACGAGCTCAAATTGAGCATGCCCGCCATCTCCTTTCTGACTGCGCGTCTGATATACCGGTCCATCTGCATCTGCACGATTTCCTCATCGCTGACCTCGCGCTCGCCTTCTTCGCGCTCGGATTTGTTGCCCGTGTCGAGGATCTTGAGTTTCCCGTCGACGAGGAGCGCGCATTCGTGGGACGAGTAGGGGATTATTTGGGAAATCATGATGAGATCGCTTGTGGCGGGGGAGTTTAGGATTTCGATTCCGTCGCCGGAGAAGGAGTCCCGCGTGGAGACATGCAGTGGGAGGTCGGTGTCGGGCCCGATCAACTCTCGCACATGCGAGCCGTCGCGCGAGACGTCAAAGCAACGGATCGCACCATCTGCAGATCCGGAGAAGACAATTTCGTTTGTCCAGCTGGGCTGGGCAAGGCAGAGGAGCGGCGAACGAGAGGCAGAGTATCTGTTAACCCACGTCTGCGGATCTGAGGGCGAGAAAAACTCGAGCGTGCCGCGGCCGTTGTATTCACCCGCGGCTAAGATACCGTTGTGGCTTGGAAGCGCGAGGAGGGAGCTTAGCGAGTGGGCGCCGGAGTATTCGGAGTGGAGGAGAGTGGGGAAGTTGCGCAGGTCGTAGGTTAGGATTGATGGAAACCGACCGGAGACGGAGATGGAGGTTGGTGAGAAACTGGGATTGATAAGGGATAGCGGATAGCCTGGGACTGAGGCTAAAAGCTGCGAGCGCTGGGGAGAGCGGATGTCGATGGATCGAACAGACCCCTGCGTAGCTACCAAAAGAGTTGACGAGATGGAGGATGGTGAAAGAGCCGCGATGTTATTTGCTAGCGAGAACTGGGAGATCTTTTGCATCGTGTTTATGTCCTAGGCCAGGTTAGCTATCAAGCACTTAAGATCAAGAATGAAAAGTCGTGCATACCCATTCTTGCAAAACATTATCGGCAGAAATCCAGATCCTGCCCTGCGTCGCGTCAACCTTAACAATACTATTCGCAGCGGCATCTAATTCCGGTTCGCGCGTCTGCGCAACGCTCTTCTCGTCGCAAGAGGAATCAGACACGTTCCAAATCCTGACGGTAGCATCGTCTGCCGTTCCGAGCACGAGTCCGCGAGAGCTGTCGAGCATGTCGATGCTGAATATCGAGAGGTTGTCTTCTGAGGGGGTGCTGGACGGGGCGGATAAACCCGGTGGCAACGACTTGTACCCGAGTTTCTCGTTAACGAGAAAAGGCAGCGATCTATCTGCCGCAGTTGACTGACCGCTAACATCGCGAGACGCGACGCGCGCACGAAGACCGCGGACCTTGAACGGCGAATGAAGCAGTCTATAGCGTAGGAGATAATCCTCTCCATTCGCAAAGTCGCTATACGAATTATCGACGCAAGCAAGACGGTGCCAAAGCGGCGCAGCCGTAGCCAAATCGTGAATCCGTCGTGAGACTGGAAAGAGATGAGCGAGGTCCCGCGGGGCCAGGTAGCCAAAGATCTGGGAGAGAACTTCGGAGGGGAGAATGGTCGTTATATCGGGTGAAGGCGGGGATGCCGTCGCGGTATGGCCGGTGGATTTCTGCTGCTGCTGCTGCTCCATGGTTGGTGAAATGTAAGCATCAAACTGATCGCTCAATTATTGAGCCGCGATAGTAGCCAGTAATCTTGTTGTAAGTGAAGGCAGTGAGAGGTGGCAGAGCAATGGGGTGTGGGGATTTGGAGACTGTTGATAAGGGTCTGAACAGAACTCCCAGCGGCCAGCAAATATGCTGATGTAAGCTGTTACTAACGAGTTGCACACAGCTCCCACGGCGGCCGGACTGAGGATGCGGACATTTTGGTTTCAGTATTGTATACTGGGGTATCAAATTGACAATTCGATGATCATAGTGTATGCAGAGTGATGTATAGTGCTGTAAATTGTGCCGACACAGCTGAGCGTAAAGTCCTCGAGCTCGATAGTACCAGAATTGCCGCTGTTGTGAACAGCAGCTCGAAGTCGGGGGTTTATGAGATGAGAAGCCAGCAAGTTATGTAGGATAACAGTGTAGGATACAGACAAGTACTAGAGTAGAAGAGCACAGAACGATGGAATTGAATGAGATTGATTCTGAGACCGAGTTGATTGCTGTATTGTCTCTTTCGGATCAAATAACCCCGTTCTGAGTAGAATGCTCGCCTACGATAGACCATTGCATCCAGGCTCTGCACAGCCCTCGCAGATTGCACAACTAGTTCCCGACCTCTACAATTACAACAACGTGAACAAGAACGAGATTGATAGGCAGAACTACATCAGCTATTCTTATACAATTTATTGGCATACGCACGTACGTCTGTTTGCTCAGGTTATGGTTTCGGTGTCAGGAATTGTCGAGGCGGCCGAGGAGCTGCGCTAAAATAGCGCGAGGCGCCGTCAGCCGTGGTCGAGGCAGCGTAGAACGAGCAGCTTACGCGCGCACCCACAGCCAAATATGCTCGTTTTAACACTGTATCAGCAGATAGATACCGTATCTACAAGACTCGTGCATGCAAGTGATTGCCAGTGCATGCACCGAAGAGCACTGCATGGATTGATAGCAGGTCGGCAAAAGCGGAAGGATCAACGATATTCCGGGGCTAAACCCAAAGAGGCTACACCGTAGAACCTAAAGAAGCTCGGTAATCGCAGAAGAAAAAAGCCCTCGGCCGCTTTGGTCCGCCACCGCCGCCCAGCTTCATCCGGTTTCCTCGCCGCGCTTCCTTCCTCTTTGTTGTTGTTCACACTACTTGTTCACTATCTGATATTCTCACCATACATTTGCATTCATGACGGTCGAGGACGTACCTTACACATTCTGGCCTGAGTCGCTGGCTTCGGCTTCGCCCGACTCCCTCTCCCTCTCACCGCACTCCTCTCCTACTCCACCCTCACCACCCACACCACCATCCGCCCCTTCCTCGCGACGAGACTCCGTCTCCGCCGCGCTCGCTGCATTCGCGCGTCTCAACCTCTCGCGCGGTCGACGGCCGTCTGCTGCCGAGACGGCAGAGTTTGCGCGGCTGTTCGCCGCAAGCGATCCGAAGCAACCGCTGAGTAACGACGATCTGGCGCGGTTTATGAAGAAGCTGTTTGCCGATGAACCCGGCGCGAGGACGCAGCGCGGCAGGAGACTTCACAACTCGCCCGTGCGGTTCGCCAGACGACGGAGTAGTAGGGTGGCGGGCGAGCGCGGGCTTTCGTCTGCGTCGCCTGCGCGCGGGGGTCTTGCCGACTACGACGACACGCTGACGTACGACGACGAAGAGGAATATGACGACGAAGACGATGAGGATGAGACGTTGCGGTTGCCGCTTGGATTTAAGTCGGGTTGGGGATGGAGCGTCAACGTTTCGCCCGAGCGGGAACGCGGGCGTGGACGCGAGGCACGGGGACGGCAGGGATACAGACGACGGAGCAGTTCTGCCATGGCGCAGCGGCGGCGCGCAAGGGAATCCTCGTCGTCGCATACACCATCAGTTGTGCGGAGACGGCCTAGTTATGGCGGGTCTGCGGTCGGTGCTCGTTGTTGCTGTGGAGAGAAGGGGTGTGGGGTTGGACGGCATGCGAGGGACGTGTTGCCGCGGTGCAGGGATAGAAGTCTTAGTCCTAGATCTCGCTGATTGATGTTTGTGCTATGTTTTTTGATAGGGGGATTGCTTTGTTGATCATTGTTTTGCTTTATCGGTCTGGGTTCCTGCATAGAGTTTCGCGTTTTGGTTTCTCATATCATCATTTTCATACCAGTCATCTTGCATGCTTATCACTATATATTCTTAATATATTTACATAATCTTTTCTAGAAAGTAACTGTTTGAAAAGTAACTGTTTAAACCTCAAACATCTTCCTCCACCAATCGTTAGGCAAGTGCGTCAGTCCGGGGCCATTCTTTACTTGCCCGATTTCCTGCTCTTTTGCCTGCTTCTCCACCTGCTTCTTCCTACCTGTCTTCTCCGCCGACATCATCATAGTCGCCATAGAAGACGGAGAAGAGGGAGAAGATGGAGACGACGGGGCTGGACTACTTGGATCGGTGTCGACAGCCGGCGCGGGCAGCGGCTCACTAGGTCCTCCCCCAAGACTGAACTCGTCGCTGTTGTCGCTATCCTTCAATCCGCCTGATCCATGGGGTTTCTTATTATCGTCAGGCTTGATGACTTCGTCAATGAGGCCGATCTCAAGGGCCTCCTGCGAGTTCAGGTAGTTGTCGTTCTCGACCAACTTTTCAATCTCCTCGATCGTGTACGGCTTTGTGAGATGATCCTGGTAAATCTTATTCGCCTGCTCGCGCATCCTTAGGATCTGCCGCGCCTGGATCGCGAGATCAGAGGCTTTACCCTCCATTCCCGACGACGGCTGATGAACCATAATCCACGCGTGCGGCAGCGCGTAGCGTTTCCCCTTTGCGCCGGCGGCAAGGATCAGACTTGCCATCGAGGCCGCGAGGCCGAGGCAGATTGTCGAGACGGGCGGGCGGATGTAGTGCATCGTGTCGATGATTGAGAATCCGGCGTGCATCTCCCCGCCGGGAGAGTTGATGTACATGTGGATCGGTTTCTCGGGGTCTTGCGCTTCGAGGAAGAGAAGTTGGGAGACGATTATCGCGGACATGTTGGAGTTGACCGGGCCTGAGAGCATGATGATTCGTTCTTTGAGAAGCCTTTGTTTTTGTTAGACTGTAAATTGTAAAAGAAAGGATATATATCCAAGAGCTTACCGACTGAAGATATCAAAGTACATGGTAGCCCCGCTTTTCTATAACCGAATTAGTAAATTCTGCACACATTTTCTCGAAAATGATACGGGTTGCATACATCCCGATCCGGAACCGTAGGAATCGTAATCATCCGCAGTCCCGGAACAGCGCCAGGTATCGCCGCCTGCGTCCGTAAGCTGGATTCATTTCTTTCTCTCGAGCTGAGCTTTGTGATCGAGGGTCGGGGAGTGAACGAGGATAGGCTGACGAATGTGCGGCATGCTGGAATCAGCGCTGGTAGCGCGCGGTGCTTTGTTGATAGCAGCATTCCTTCTTGTTCCTAAACAATGAATATCACGATATCCGTTGCTTGTACGTATAGAGAGTAAAGGAACGAGGCGTACTGGTAATTAGCACTGTGATGGATGTCGAGGTGGGATTGCTGTAATCTGGCTTTCGATGAAGTTCAAGCTGAGCCGCGGAGAAAGCAAAAGCAAAGCCAAAGCCCAAAATCCCAGGATCCGGATCAGTCCATAAGCATAGCTGTGCTTCAATAACTACAAGACTGTATGAAGAAAGCTTTTACTATAAGTCTTCTTAATATGTTTAATCGAATACAATGACTACATTTGAAAACCTAACGGCTTCCTCAAAGCACATAAAATACGATACCAATTCGATTTATTCGTTTTCGCTACACGGACTAAACTGAATAAAAGAAAATAAAAAAAAAAATAAAAAGAAAAGGAGCATAGAACAAGCTGAGCCTATCGCAAATAAATCAGATAATGACAGTTAAAACCAACCCATATTTTGTGTGTGCCTCGTACTTATACTACGAAAGAAAAAGAAGAAAAGGAAAACAGAGAAAAAGCACTGTACATGTTTTGGAATATAGAGGAAGAAATAAAAGAGGGAGATTACAACTCATCGTGCTCCTCCACAATAGGGTCCTCGATCTCGATCTTCTCCTTCTTTGCCTTCCAGGCCGCGAGACCGTCGACGTGGTACTTTCCGTTCTCTCTGATAAAGTCGTTCAAGCTCTCGAGCGTGCGGTCACCCTCGTACTCGATCGGGTTCGACTTATCTCCCGCAGGGTAGAGCTTGATGGTCGGGAACCCTCTGATCTCATCGGGCACGTCGTTCTCGGGCGTGTCGACCTTGGCGACTGTGATCTTGGACTTGAGGGCCTCGTCCGACCAGAAGATCTCGCCGAGCTCCTCGTAGATGGGAGCGAGACGCTTGCAGTGGCCACACCAGGTCGCGTAGAACTCAATAAGGACGTCCTTGTCCTCGTCGAGCACGAGCTCGTCGTAGGTGTTTGCGGTGACAATCACGACCGGGCCATCCTGCACCTCGGGCGCTTCCTGGGACTTGATCTTGGGCGAGAGCGAGCCGGCGTGGTAGGATTCAAGGAACTCCTCGAGACCCTCGGCGGTGAGCTCGGTGGCCTGGTCGTAGACGTACTTGAGGTTCGACTCGATCTCCTGGATGACAAAGGCGGGCCACTGCTGCTCGAGGTTGACGTTGTTTGCGTGCTGGCCGAACTTAACGGCGTCAATGGTCGCGATGTTCATCTTTCCTCTGAACTTGCGCGCAAAGGGGAGCAGGATCTCGGAGAACTTGGTCTTGTGCTCGTCGTTGTCGACAAAGATGTAGGCGAGCGGCAGACCGGACTGCATGTAGCCCGAGAAAGTCGAGGGACCGACCTCACCCACGAGCGGGACGGACTCGCGGCGGACAAACTCGCCGAGTTCTTCGGCAGTGAAGGCGGAGCCGGTGTAGATTGTCTTTGCGTCGTCGTAGTTCTTGTACATGACGATCGCGGGCATGGAGACGCCCTCGGCCGTGGCGAGGGCGTCGTCGTTGGTGGCGCCGAAGATGAAGGACTCGCGGAAGACGTTCGCGACGGCGTCAAAGGTCTTGTTCGCCTCCGCGTCGGCAAAGAAACCGACGACGACGACGTCGTCGGAGGTCTTGAAACCCTCGAGCGTGTCCTTGGTCACGAGCGAGACGGCGGGAAGGCTCATCTTGGTCATGTAGGAGACGATGGCATCGGCCTTGCGTGCGCCGGTGTACGGCGACGCGGTCTCGGGACTGCCGCGGAAGACCTTGAGGGTCGGGAAACCCTGGATCTCGTGCTCGCTGCAGAGCTCGTCTTCTTCGGTGCAGTCGATCTTTGCGAGCGCGATGTCCTTGTTGGCGCCGGCGAGGATTGACGCCGCGGACTCGTACTCGGGAGCGAGAGCCTTGCAGTGGCCACTAGCAGATGATGTGTTAGAAAGAACAAGACAGAGATAGGGAGATTGAATGGACGTACCACCACGGGGCGAAGAACTCGGCGAGGGTCAAGGGGTGCTCTTGCAGGAAGGAGTCGAAGGAGTCTTTAGTAAGCGTGTGCACGTCCGACGCGAGAGCGACGGTGGCAGCCGCGAGGGCGGTGGAGATCAGCGAGAGTCTCATGGTGAGGAGTAGAAAAAGAAGAGGAGAGGAGAGGAGAGGAGAGGAGAGGAGAGAGAGTAGGAGAGAAGAAGAGGAGGAGGATGAAGTAGAGGTGGAAAGGAAGGAAGGAGGGGAGGAGATGCGAGGGCCTTCATAGCGACGTGCGGCTTCTTCACGCGAAGCAGCCACCTGTACTCTTCTTCCTCTCGCCTTGCTCCTTGCTCGCGCTCTTCCTACGTGCGCGCACCGCTCAGTCGGTGATCAAACAAGTCAATGCGGTGAGTTGAATGAGGAGTAATTGTGGAGGACGAGCGCGTATCTGCTATCGATCTCGATAATCTGCACGTCTGGAAATCAATAATATAGATCTCGGTGTAACCAGAATAAATATTATGTAATGGGCAATGACTAATATATTAATAACGATTACTAATATTGCCTGTCTTTAAATTCAAAAAAAATATTTTTTGCTCTGACTCCGAGTGAACTTCTGTATCGACACTCGAAGCAGGAACAGGTTTTGTTCTGGTTTGAGTGGATATCGGATTTGATATACAAATACAATGCCGTATCGGTGAATGTCTTTCTTTTTGTTCTTTCTTGAATATATCTGAATTGAACAGTATAATCAAGGTTAGTACAAGTCCACTTCTTTCTCTGCTTTCTACTGTTTTGTGTTTGCTTTCCATGTTTCTTCATAAGAAACCTGCACGACCTAGTCTCTGATTCTGTTTACATCTGTACTCAGGATCGGAAGACAAGCAATGCGGCAGCCACTTTGTTTATACGAGTGCGTTTTATGCCCTTGCTGCGAACTGGTCTGATGCTAGATCGAATCTCTTGATATACAAAGAGACGTGTGGCTTACATCTGCGCGAATCGGATATGTTTGAGACCGGCTCTTGTTTTTTCTAAGAGAGTTGGTCATAGAAAGTCCGTGACATTTTTATTCTTTTTTCTTTGTTTTTTTCTGTTTTGTTTGTTGTCTTGTTGGTGTGCTGTTTGTGAAGAGTGCTAACAAGAGTAGATGAAATTCGTCGCTCTGGTTTCCGGGGGCAAAGACTCGTGCTTCAACATAATGCACTGTCAAGCGAACGGACATGAGCTCGCGGCTCTTGCCAATCTCCATCCACCCTACGGAAACGAGTCTGATGAGATGGACAGTTTCATGTACCAGACGGTCGGCTACTCTATCCTGTCTCTGTACGAGGAATGTTTCGGGGTACCGATGTACCGGGCCGAGATTAAAGGGCGATCGCTCGATACCGGGCTCGACTACAAGAGCGCTAGGAAAGACGACGAGACGGAGGATCTGTTTGAGCTGCTGAAGGAGGTCGTGAGAGAGCAGCCCGAGATCGAGGCGGTGAGCGTCGGCGCGATTCTGTCGACGTACCAGCGCACACGGGTAGAGAATGTGTGTGGACGGCTGGGACTGACGTGTTTGGCGTATCTGTGGCAGCGGGATCAGAGCGAGTTGCTGGACGAGATGATTTCGTCTGGGGTGAACGCGATCTTGATCAAAGTTGCCGGGATCGGGTTGACGGCGGACAAGCATCTGGGCAAGACGCTGGCAGAAGTGCGGCCGGAGCTGCACAAGTTGAATCGGATGTTTGGCAGTCATGTGTGTGGAGAGGGAGGGGAGTACGAGACGCTGGTGGTTGATTGTCCTGCGTTTAGGAAAGCGAGGATTGAGTTGGAGAGGACGGAGACTGTGAGGGATGAGAATGGGGATGTGGCGTATCTGAAGGTGTGGGGACATACCGTGGCGAAGACAGATGGGTTGCCGGTGGAGGTGCCGGCACCGAATCTGTTTGAGGAGGATATGCAGGAGCTGTATGATGAGCTGTCGTCAGAAGTTGAGAGATGTGAGAGATCAGAGAGGAAGGAGAGGGAGGTGGTTGAGGTAGGCGAGTGTGTGCAAAAGCTGGCAAAGGCGGTGATGATTAGCAATTTGACTGTTGAGAGCAACGAGAACATGTCAATTGAAGAGGAGATTACTGAGCTGTTTGAGAAGCTGAAGCTGAAGATGAGAGAGCATGCCGGGACCGAGGATGTCTATCAGTTTACGTTTGTGTCGCTTATTTTACGGGACATTGGTGTATTTGGGCAAGCGAATGCCGCGTACAAGCAGTTTTTCGCTGCGCAAGGGTCCGAGCCTAATCCTCCGGCGCGAGCGTGCATAAGCTCGCTTCTGCCGGCGGGGAAGCGAGCGATGCTGTCAGCTACGGTGTCGACTTTGAAGAAAGAGGCGCGCAAGGGACTGCATGTGCAAGGACGGAGTTACTGGGCGCCGGCCAATATCGGGCCGTATTCACAGGCGATCGGGGTGGATGAGCGCGTGTATCTTGCCGGGCAGATTCCGCTTGTGCCGGCGTCAATGCGGGTGTATGATGACGGGGACGCGTGTGGACAGGCGGTGCTTGCGCTGCAGAATCTGAGGCGGGTGAGGGAGGCGGTGAGTAGTCAGGGAGAGTTTGCGTATTTGGTTGCGTATGGGGCGGACGAGGAGGCGGTGAGGGTTGCGGTGCGGGTTGGAGAGAGGGTGGTGGAGGGGTGTTTTGGGGTGCAGGTTGTGAGCCTGCCGGCGGGAGCGAGGGTTGAGTTTTTGGGAGCAGGGGTTGATGCTACGTTTGGGATTGACGATGACGATGATGATGACGAAGAGAAGGAGGAGAAGAGAGGGAGTGTAGTGTTTTGCTGCGACAGTGCAGGAGAGGTACGAAGGCGCGTGGCAGAGACAGGAGCGCGAGGCGCGATAGTGTACGCTGCAGGAGAGCCGTTGGGGGGTGGAGGAGAGGGAGTTGAGGGATACGAGATTGTGCATGTCGAGCGGGTTTGGGACGGCGCAGGGGAGCGGGAATTTGGGGTTGTGGCGTTGTTTTGACGCAGCTGCGCAGCTGTGCAGTGATGATGGGTGTGATGGGGTGCTTGAGATGTAGATGTGGTATTGAATCTGATTGATAGAATACAGAATACAGAAGATGAATATAGACAAAGAAGATAGAGATAGGTTGACATTATCATAACTTGCTATTTATCCTTGAACTACGTGGACAATCGACTTAGGGCTCGGGCCGACCGCCGCCACAGCACAGTCACGTTGCCGCGCACGGCGGCTGAGCAAGCAGTTATGTAATCAGAGCCACGGCACGTGCGCGAAAAGGGATCGGAAGAAGAAGGAAAGAAAGAGGAGATTTGAGATCGGAGAAGAAGGAAAGAAGAGGAAAAGAAGGCAGGAAGGAAGGAGACAAAGGACGGCAACGGCAACGGCGAGATTAGATTCAGGTGGACTGTGTGCAGGGCGATTAGATCTGCTGCAGTCAATGTATCTGTATTTGACTGCTGTAGACACTCTCTCTATTATACACATCTACAATAACAACATCTGATACAAATACAAATACAAACAACAATACACAACCAATTGGTATATTTAGACATTACATAAGCATCCGCGCGGCGCGTCATTGGCCGCCCCGATGCAGGGACCAGCGCCGCGTGGACGTGTCACACACACCGCCGTGTTCTAGCTTCCTTCTTCTTCATCCCTTCTCCTCCCGCTCTTCTCTCCGTCACCTCCTCTGCTCGTCCATCGCAACCATGGCTGAGAAACCGGCAAAGAAAAAGATGTTTGGCGGAATTCCCGTCCTCTCGCAGGCCACGAGCGTGGTCTCGGGCACTGTCGGCGCTGCTACTAATGTTGTCGGCGCGGGTGCTGGTCTTGTGGGCAACGTGCGTATTCCTCTTCTGTTTCATCACCATCTTCATTATCATCATCACCATCTTCTTCTTCTTCATCATCAACCCCACTAACACCCCCCCCAGGTCGCCGGAACCGCCCTCGACGTCGCCACCCTCGGCGCTCTCAAGGTACCCCACCCCCTTCCCCCCTCCATCCATCTCCCTATCTAACACACTTCCTCCCCAGACCGAAGAAGACCCCACCGAAACCGACCCTCTCTGGCAAATGCACCGCGAGCCCGAACCCGTCTCCGAAAAAGAAATCGAAGCGAAAAAGAAGCGCAAGCGCACCATGGCCGAAGGCGTCGGCGCCTGGGTCGACGATCTCGCAGAGGACTACGACGACGAGGACTTCCGCGACCGCGTCACCTTCCTCGAGACTTACCTCAAAGACAAGTTCTACGGCGACTGGTACCACAACGCCGCCGTCATCTTCGTCACTTCCTTCTTCTCCTGGCTCGTCGCCAGACTCGGTGGTGGCCTCGTCTGGCTCGTGATCATCTGCGCGTTCACCGCAACCTACTACCGTACCTCAATCATCCGCGTCCGCAACCGCGTCCGCGACGATATCGCCCGCGAGGCCGCCCTCGTCAAGCTTGAGACCGACGCCGAGACCATGGAGTGGCTCAACTCCTTCCTCGTCAAGTTCTGGGCTATCTACCTGCCTTCCCTCAACGATATGGTCATCCAGATTGCCAACCAGAACCTCGCCGGTGTTCCCACCCCAACCCCTATCGATGGTGTCACGTATGTTTTCTTCTTCTCTTAACAATTTTTTCTGCACTTTCTCTAACCACAACTCCAGTCTCTCGCGATTCACCCTTGGATCAAAGCCCCCCCGCATCGACCTCGTCCGCACTTACCCCAAGACCGAGGACGATGTCGTCGTCATGGACTGGGGTTTCTCCTTCACCCCCAACGATACCGCTGATCTCACCTCTCGCCAGCTCAAGAACAAGGTCAACCCGCTCGTTGAGCTCCAGGTCCGTGTCGGAAAGGGAGTCATCTCCAAGAACTTGCCCGTTTTGGTCCAGGACATGGCCTTCAAGGGTTTGATCCAGATCAAGCTCAAGCTCATCACCACTTTCCCCCATATCCAGACCGCGAGCATCTCGTTCTTGCGCCAGCCATACTTCGACTTTGTTCTCAAGCCCATCGGTGGTGAGACTCTCGGATTCGACATCAACTTCATCCCCGGTCTCGATGGCTTCATCAAGTCCATGGTCCACGATAACCTCGGCCCCATGCTTTACGACCCCAACTCCTTCTCCCTCAACGTCGAGCAGATGCTTGCCGGCAACCCCGCCGACGCTGCCATCGGTGTCCTCGCCGTCACCGCCTACAACGGTCGCAACCTCCGTGGCTCTGACGCTATCGGCAACACCGTCGATCCTTACATCAAGTTCTTGCTCGGCAGCCAGGGTGAGGTCGGTCGTACCTCCATCAAGTCCGACACCAGCAACCCGCGCTGGAACGAGACCAAGTTCTTCCTCGTGCGCTCGCTCACCGATCCTCTCATCATGGAGGTCATTGACTTCAACGACGTCCGTAAGGACAAGAAGATCGGCGAGGTCACTTTCCCCATCGAGAGACTCGACGCCGAGCCCGAGGTCGAGAACCAGGTCGGCAAGGTCGTCCACAACGGCAAGGAGCGCGGCGATGTCATCTTCGACGCCCGCTTCTTCCCCATCCTCGGCGGCAAGACCCTCGAGGACGGCACCGTCGAGCCCCCTCCTCAGCTCAACACCGGTATCATGCGATTCACTTTCCACCAGGCCAAGGATCTCGGCAAGGCCGCCAAGAAGGGCTTTGCTTCCGGCGGTCTCAACCCGTTCGCCAAGTACTACCTCGACGGAAAGCTCATCCACACCACTCGCATGCTCAAGCGTACCAACGATCCCGTCTGGGACGAGGCTAAGGAGGTGCTCATTACCAACAAGACTTCGGCTATGATCAGGGTTGTTGTCTCCGACGACAAGGATCTGAGCGGATCGTCCGACATCTGCAGCTACCAGATCTCGCTCGAGGAGCTCTTGACCGAGAACGAGAAGGCCAACGACTGGTTCTCCCTCAGCCCTGCGGGCGCCAAGTGCCGTCTTTCGGCTCAGTGGAAGCCTGTTGCTGTCAAGGGTATCTCTGGATCGGGCGGCTACGTCAAGCCCATCGGTGTCATGCGATTCCACCTCAAGAAGGCCACTGACTTGAGAAACCTCGAGACTGTTGGAAAGGTTGACCCGTACGTGCGCGCCATGGTCAGCAACTACGCAAAGAACCGGACTGTTACCATCCACGGCGATCTCAACCCCGAGTGGGACGAGGTCATCTACGCTACTATCACCTCCGAGAAGGAGAAGATCGCGCTCGAGGTCATGGACTCCGAGAGCAGCGGAAAGGACCGATCGCTCGGCCTGGTCACCCTGAACGGCCAGGACTTTATCAAGAAGAACGAGAAGGGCGAGTTCGTTGAGTACATCGACCCCACCGAGCGCTCGGCTGCTCTTACGATGTCCGGCCGCGCTCCCAAGGGTACTCTCTTCTACACTGCTTCGTTCTTCCCCATCCTCGGAATCATGGATCCTGATGACATTGCTGCTGAGGAGAAGGCAAAGAAGGAGGCTGAGGAGGCCGAGGCCAAGCTTACCCCCGAGGAGCGCAAGAAGCGCGACGAGGAGGCTGCTAAGAAGGCCGCGGAGGAGGCGAAGAAGGCTGCTGAGGAGGCCAAGAAGGCACCCACCACTGTCACCAACGGCGTCGCTCCTAACGGTGCCGAAGCTGCTGCTGTGGTCACCGCCGAGGAGCCCAAGGAGCCTGAGTTGATCCGCATGGACAAGGACGAGGTTCTCAAGCATGGTGAGTATTTTTTTTAGGTTTATTTCTGAACGGACCACGCTAACAATTTAATAGACTCTGGATTGATTGTCTTCAAGATCATCGAGGGATCGTTCTCCAAGAACGAGGTTTTCGTGCAGGTCTTCTTTGATGACTTCCTTTTCCCCTCATATGTGAGTGGCCGCACTCACGGCAGAAAGGCCAAGTTCGAGGAAGTCGGCGACGGCTTCATTCGCGAGCTTGAGTGGTCCAAGATCCACATCCGGGTCACCACCAAGGAGCAATCTACTCGCGACGACACCGAGGGCGTTATTGCGTCGACCACTGGATCTACGCTTGCGCACCTGAAGTCTGGCTACGCGACCCCTGTCAAGATCGCGCTGCAGAGCAAGGAGCCTGGTATGCCCAACGATCTCTCGATGAGCTTCAAGTTCAACCCGATCATCATGGCGCTTGACCCCATGGAGTCGCACATCAACCAGGGATTCCTCAAGGTCACCCTCGTTGACGCGACCAACCTGCCTGCTGCTGACCGCCGCGGCAAGTCGGACCCGTACTGCGTGTTTGAGATGAACGGCGAGAAGGTGTACAAGTCGCAGGTCATTAAGAAGACGCTGAACCCGTCCTACAACGAGTCGTTTGAGTGCTCGGTCCCGAGCCGCACTAAGGCGCAGTTCGTCTGCAACGTGTTTGACTGGGACATGGGTCCGGCTGAGGACGATTTCCTCGGCAAGGGTCTGATCGACGTCGTGCATCTCGAGCCGATGGAGACCGCCGAGCAAATCATCACGCTCGACGGAAAGTCCGGCCAGGTCCGTGTGATTGTGCAGTTCCGACCCGAGTACGTCATGCGCGCTACAGTCGGCACCGCTGCTCTGAACGGCACGCTTGCCGTTCCCGGCAAGGTCATTTCGGCTCCTATCAAGGGCGTCGGTTTTGCGGCGGGAGGAGTCGTGAAGGGTGCGTCGTTCTTCCGACATGGATTCAAATCGTCCAAGGATAAGAACGGCAGCTTGGCTGATGACGCTGCGAGCATGCGAAGCGGCCGAACGACGAGTAAAAAGAGTGTGAAATAGTCTGTGTGTTTTCAGTATATTTGTTTGTTGATGTTCTGTGTGATTTATAGTTGATTTATTGATTTGCTTGTTAAAGCAAACTGTATTTTTGTGTATCTGCCTTTGATATTCTCTTATATATAAAATCTTTTTTTGGCATTTTGTATTTACTCAGTAGTTTTAAAAGTGTATTTCTACGTTTTTGATTATTTTACAAGCGAAAAAATACATTTTGTGTTTGTAGCCAGACAAGAAAGTAGAGCAGACCGGCATAAAGTCCAAACAGAAACAAGAGCGTTAATCAAAGAGGAGATAGCTCCATTTCAAAAGTTGCGCAGCAGCAGCGTTTGCAGAATTCGCAGTGGCAGCAGCAGGATCGGTAGTAGAAGACGAGGAGGAGGAGGAAGGAGAGGAGATGACGGACTGGATGCGTTCGAGCAGGAGATTTGCGGCGAGGCGTTTTGCTGCAAACGCGCGGAGATCTTCAGATTGTGCGAATTGCGCTGTGTTTTTGAATGCATTTGCGCGGGCGCAGAGGGTGGATGGGGAAGAGGAGGAGGAGGGGGAGGAGAGGTGGATGCCTAGTAGACACCATATTTCTGGGTTTGTGGGGTCGACTTTTGATGCGCAGCGGAGGAATTTGATGACTTGCTCGGTGGTGGAGAGGGAGGGGATCAGGTCTTTGTGAAGGCGGAGGAGGCCGATCAAGTGTACGGCTGCCGAGACATCGATGAACTGCTGCTGGGGCGGAGGAAGCACGTCTTCAGAAGGCGGGGGCGAGGGAGGTGGCGAGACCGCGGGGATCGAGAACGAGTTGTGGAGGACGGTGATGAGGTCTTGGCTGCGGTCGGTGTTGTAGAGGAAGTGGGCGAAGCGGTCTAGGAAGAGGGCGTTGGATGAGAAGCGCGGGTAGGCGGAGGCGAAGATGTCAGATGCGGTGGCGAGGTCGCCTTGTTTGAACGCGAGGAGGGCGAGTTCTGCGACCGGTGCGGGGAAGTTCGCGTCGAGCGCGATCGCGGCTTCGAGATCGGCTTTGGCGCGGACGAGGTGGGTGCGTGGGATCGAGAACGTGGACGAGGAGGGTGAGCTCTGAGAGGGCGCGGGGTGCAGACGTAGGTATGCGCGGTGGAAGTGCGGGAGGGACGATTGCGGATCGAGGCTGATTGCGTCGAGGAAGTCGTCGGATCCTGGATCATGGAGATGGACTGCGCGGGCGACAAGTGCGCGAACCGAGGGTTCGATCGCGATGCTTTCGGAAATGAGAGCTAGGAACTCTGGTCGCTTCGCGGGTGCTGCTTGATCAGCTGCTGGCGACGGGCAGGTGATTGTGAGTTTCTGTAGATGCGCAGCCAATTCGAGAGACGCGGCTTTCACTTTTGATGAAGAGACGGGGTCGCGCGCAAGAGTGAGGAATGTGGGTATTGAAGCTGAGATTGAGGCGTGAGAGCCTGAGAGAAGGAGACGGGCGGCAATGTTGAATTTCAAGGAGTTGTCTGCGATGGTGGGGTCGGGAAGCAGAAGGGAAGAAGCAGAAGAATCAGAGTCAAAATCGATGGCGTAGGCGCTAAAGTAGCGAGCTACAGCCACCATCGGAGCAAGAGTGTCTGGCCCTGTGACGAACTCGGGATTGAGCATTGTGCGCGAAAGCAGCAGAGCCGAGGTTTTGATAAAACCGGGTCTCGAGAGATGATTGCGGACGTAGAGCGCGTAGTAGTCTGCGACGGCGTCGACGAAGCGGCCGACCATGCGGTAAGCCATTGCTCGGGCGTGCAGCGCTACGTTCTCGGCTTGGCTGCTGATATTCTTGTCGTCGAGAGCGATGTCGGCGTCAGAAAGTGCGGCTTCATAGTCTTGCAGAGCCAGGTGTGCGAGCGCGCGGCTGGCGAGGATGAGAGATGGCGCGGAGGAGTGGGGAAGGGCGTGGTTGAGAAGAGAAAGTGCTTGTTTAGAGTCAGAAGTTGGTGTTGTCAGACAGAGGTTCGCGAGACGGTAATCGTAGTCGGAGATCTTTTGGAGATGGGTGCGGTCGCGGGAATGCTGCGAATATCAGCCAGTGTAGAGACAGAGTAGGAGCAGAGTGAAGCAGAAGCAGAGCAGAAAACAGAAGCAGAAGCAGAATCAAGACAGAGTAGATACAATTGAAGCAGTGGCAGAACTCCAGTCCGAGGACCGGTACACGAGCGGAAGGTCCATTTTGGGTATTTTGTGGATCGCAGATGAGATGCGACCAAGATCAAGGCAGGCTGATCAGATGAGGTGCACGTGATTGAGTATTTTGTAAGTCATGACTAATAAACACAGCGGGAATCTATAAATACCAGTACGTATATACGGACTGAGCAGTAATATTTGGATATAAAATGAATGTGGAAGATGACTATAGCGAGTTAATACAGAAAATACTCACAAAATCAGACCGTGGAAGCTGCTCAGATGCGTCGCCATCGTCCGGGGCGGAGGCTCAGCGTCGGGATGAGTTTTTAGTTTAAAGCATCTCATCGGACCCCACTTTGGCCTCTGTTTTGTTTTTGTTTCCCGTTTCGCTGTTTGTAATTGTAATTGTATTTCTATTTGTATTTGCTTCTCTTTTCTACATTATTCTCTTCTTCTTCTGCTGCTGCAGAACATCCGCCTTCCTCGCCTCTTCCGGGTCGTCGCTCGGTGCTCGTCCATCTCATCACCTTCGACATCCTTCTCACTATCATCCTCTCCTCCTCCTCCTCACCTTCTCTCTGCTCATCTTCTTCTCAATCTGGAGTCATCAACAGCCTGCGCCATCTGCTGCCTCACCGCTCTGTCGCTCTCGACTCCGTCATCCGACCTTGCTGAAGCGTACGTGCCTTGTTCCCTTCGTCCGCTCAGATCATCCCCATCCCCCATCACATCCTAATCCCTTCTCCCCCAGACCCCTGCACTTCCAGCAGCAACGATAGCGAACCCAGCTGAACGTCCGGCCGCCGTCGCGCGCCACCATCGCGCGGTCAGGCGTCCGACTTCCTCCAGATCTCGCCATCTTCGCTCCTCTCTTTCCTCGTCCTCCACCCTCTCTTCCTCCTCTTCCTCCTCTTCCTCCTCTTCCTCCTCTTCCTCGTCCTCATCAGCATCAAATGCAAACTCGTCATCAAATTCCTCCTCCTCATCTTCTGCCGCCTCAAAAACAGTATCGGTACCCTACACCGGCGCTCCATCCTTCAAGTCCCATGTCCCCGCGCGCCCCTCGCCATTAGCGACGCACGACCAGAATGGCATGCCGCTCGAGATCTGGGATCGGCTGCGCTCGTTCCCTCTCTTTGCTGACGCGCCCGATGGGTTTCTAATGGCGATCGCCCGAAAGCTCCGACCTCAGTTTTTCTCGCCTCAGGAATACATTGTATGTTCCAGCTCGTGTTCTGTCCTTTTAGTTTACCTGCTGACCATCTTCTCCGTATAGCTCACAGAGGGCGAGGATGCTCGCGCCATGTACTGGATCGTGCGCGGCGCCGTCGTCGTCACCTCGCGCGACGGTGAATCAGTCTACGCCGAACTCTCCCCCGGCGCATTCTTCGGCGAGATTGGAATTCTCTTCAACCGTCCGCGGACAGCGTCGATCCTCGCGCGGACAAAGTGCATGGTCGTCGTACTCACTGGCGAGGCGCTGAGTAAAGTCTTGCCACAGTTTCCTGAGATTGAGCGAGCGATCAGAGAAGAAGCTCAGGAACGACTGAATTTGCTTGCGAAACAAAAGGCTCTGGAGAATAACAGCAACAGCAACAACAGCAACAACAATAATAGCAATAACAGCGGGGCCGGCAGCGGAGGAATTAGCGGCGTCGGCAGTACAGATGTCAGCACTCTTGGCTCACTTCAAGCAACTACGGAAGACGAACTGCCGAGTATACAGGGAGAGACGCCGAACTCTCGAATCGCAATCCGAGATCTATTACGCGAACTGCCGCTGTTTGCGACGCTTCCAGCAGATATGCTGCACACACTTGCACTCTCAGTCGAACCGAAGCGATATTCGCCATTCGAATACATCATACGACAGGATCGACCAGGCCGCGAACTGTTTTTCGTCGTCGCGGGCGAAGTCGAGGTCATTGACGAGCGTACGCAGCAGACGATTGCCCGGCTACCAAAGGGATCACACTTCGGAGAAGTTACGTTTTTGTCCTTGGCTGAGAACCGGACTGCGTCGGTGCGGTCTGTGAATATGGTCGATTGTCTTGTGCTTACAAACTCCGCGCTTCAGAGCGTGGTCGGCCAGTTTCCAGAAGTGTTGAGGGGAATCGAGCAGACTGCGCGCGAGCGGATGATGTCGTCGCCTTCTTTGTTGTCGGGCAGAGCGCATGGTAGTTCAGTTGGAACGATGGCTACAATCACCGAAGAGCTACAAAGCGGTGATGTGACTGCAGCCTCGACAGCAGCACAAGATGATGTTCCGATCGCTGCTTCTGATGAGGTCGAGAAGCCACTTGACCCGGATCCGTTTTCACACACATCCGACCATCTCGATGGAGTGGGCGAAGACGCGCTCTCACTTTCAGTGCCGCTAATAAACGGCAACGAGCTTCTTTCTACCGGTACGATCAACCAGTTGGATCTGGCAATAGATCCAGCGACTCTGCACTCGGATGGTTCGGCCCTGCAGGAGTCGTCGAGTAGTTCTGGGCCGTCATCTTCAGCATCATCATCTTCTTCGTCTTCCTCCTCGAGACCTCCAAGCCCCAGTCAGGATCTGATTGGATGCGGACGCCGACGAAAACGTGCGAGACGGGGCGCGAATGGAGCAGAAGCGCATCATCGCGAACATGCACGGCCACGACGGACACGAGATTCCACCGATGCGGATGAAAACGAAACAAAAGAAGGCGACGATTACGATGCCGGTGTGTCATCATCTATCGTTGACGACATTTCGCAAATGGATCTGCAACAGATGGCATGGGCTGCTGCAGCTAAGCGCGCAGAGATTGCTGCAGGCGAAAAGTTCCCCGACACGGTTCTGGTGTGTGTACTGAAACGAATGCCGTTGAAGACGTTGATGCGTTTGCAGCGCGTGAATCGGCACTGGCTCGAGCTTATCCGGTCCGATGAACGGATACTGCGGACTCTTGATTTACGAGAGTACAATACGTCAATCTACGACAACTCTATCGGGCAGATTGCGAGTTTTGTTGGCCAGCGACCAAGGGTTGTCGATATCTCAAACTGTTTCCATCTCTCGGACGCCGGGTTCGCACAGCTTGTATCCACGATCGGCCGCGACATTCGGTGCTTCAGGATGCGGAGCGTGTGGGAAGTCAGCGGGCTTGCGATAATGGAGCTGACAGTGCCGGCGATCGCGCGCACGCTTGAAGAAATCGATCTGTCGAATTGTCGAAAAGTAGGCGACGCGACGCTTGCGCGGGTTGTGGGATGGGTCGTGCCTGATTCTGCGAGCCGGATACCGGGGGCGCCGCCTGCCGGGACGATTGTCGGGTGTCCAAAGTTGAAACGCATATCGCTGAGTTACTGCAAGCATATCACGGATAAGAGTATGCACCATCTTGCGATGCACGCGAGTGACAGACTCGAGGCGCTCGATCTCACGCGGTGTACGACTGTGACCGATGTTGGATTCGGGTACTGGTCGCAGCGCGTGTTTCCTCGTCTACGACGGCTGTGTTTGGCAGATTGCACGTTCCTGACAGATAAAGCGATAGTATCGCTTGCTGCGGCAGCAAAAGCGCTTGAAGAGCTCGATCTGTCGTTCTGCTGCGCGCTGAGCGATGTGAGCGTTGAAGTGCTTTCACTAGGATGCCCGCATCTGAAGAGTCTAAACCTAGGCTTTTGCGGCAGCGCGGTGTCGGACGCGAGTCTGCGTGCTGTCGCGCGGCATTTGATTGAGCTGCGAGTGCTGAGCGTCCGCGGGTGCGTGCGCGTGACGAACGCGGGCGTGGAAGCGATCGGGAGCGGGTGCGTCCGTCTGGAAACGCTTGATCTGAGTCAGTGCCGGAACGTGTACTGCGATGCGCATCCACTGGATGCGATGACGGCGATCAAGGACGAGAGCAGCAGCCGCGCGGGCGCCAATGAGGAGAAGCCGGTTGAGATGCGCGCGGGGGGCAGCGGGAGGACAAAGACGTATGGATATGGCTGCGGATTGTGGAAGGGGAAAGTACGTGTTATATTTTGATGTGTATGTAAAACAATTGTATGATTCTTGTTGCCTATCTCGGTTGAAGATGTAGCTGTGTAGTTGTGAACGGGAATTGCGGGAGTTGCCGTCTCGGCGGACGAGTACCGGGACGAGAACTGGAGGTGCAGACAGTAGCCATCGTTAGTAAGAATGCATCTTTGTTCAAGTGTGTATATTGCTTTTCATAAGTCAAACTATTATTTCCTCTTTATCCAAACAAGAATACCCAGAAACATAATCAACAAACACCCCAAACACCAAAATAAGATTCCCAAAAAGGCAAACTTCGAGAGCCGCAGAAGATGCAATCGCGGCAGGCTCCGAGCATATCCACATCAGCGTTTTATGCGTTTACGCCATATAAGTATAATGACTGCGGACACACGCGGAGGATTCCGCGGCTCCCTCCTGGATTTTGCCAGCCCACGCGCAGTTCTCGTTCTCAAGACGGGTCAAAATAGCGAGAGAGGAGTGGATTTGCGACCGGAAAGGTTGAAGTTGGTATAAGAAAGTAGAGAACACTCGGAAAAGGAAGAATTGGCAGCGCGGATGGAGGGAAGTAGTCGAAGTAGCAGTCCGCCTGCAAAGAAGCGAAAGAGTACTCGGACTGGCCAGGTATCTGTCTCCTTCATCACCATTCTCTATCAATAGCTACTACGCGAGAACAGCAGACTGATTGGTTAACGTTCTAGGCCTGTGACCGCTGCAAAGCACGAAAGATAAAATGCAACGCGACAACCGGCGCCTGCACGCCCTGTTCGCTCGCCCGCGTCGCCTGCACAAACACCGACCTCAACTCCCGCAAACCCCTTCCTCGAGGATACGTCGAGATGATCGAGCAACAGGTGTCGACTCTCAAAGCGCGCGTGGCTGAGCTTGAGGAGGAGGCAATGACTCGTCAGCAGCAACGACCGCAGACGTCGTCGCGGGGGTCAGATAGTCGGGCGCAACCTGTTCTGCCGTCGATCGAGACGCTTACGAGTGGGACTATGGCGGCGAAGAAGAGCACGGGAACGAGGCTGCCGCTGTATGTCGGTGAACGAATTACCTCGGCGGGGCAGGGTATCGGAGCCTGGGACGAGGCTACGTTGTCCAGTACGTTCGCTTTATACCTTTTTCTACAATCTACATCGCTCTAACTATCTTTTCTAGTCGTCGGTATTCGCCTTAGTTTACGCGACTTGGCTCCAAACGATTTGGGAAATACAAACCTGTTCCAGATATATTCGACCCCGAAGCCCGCCAAAATGGAGCTTCCGCCCTACGAAGAAGCCAAAGTGTATCTTGATTCGTTTCTCGCGGTCGTACATCCCGTCATCCCAGTCCTTTCCAAATCCTGGATCACAAACGAAATCTCCCGACTGTACTCCGACGACGCATACACGCCCACCCCGCAGACTGCCGTCATCGTCAACATGGTCTTTGCAATCATCACCTCCTCGATCGATCTCTACCAGCGCAAGATGGACAAAAACCGGGAAAACTATACCCCGCTCTCGGAAACTTTCTATCGCCGTATATTCCCATACTTTGCCGACCTCGACCACGATCCCGATCTCAGCTCGATCCAAGCCCTCGTGCTTGTCCTTGTCTTCCTTCGCCCATCGCCAAGACCGCAGGCGTCATGGGCTCTTGCGCGAATGGCAATGACGCTCTCGATCCAGCTTGGCTTGCACCGTGAGAATATCCAGGCCGAGGGGCCGTTGCAAGGCAGCAATCTGTCTATTCGCGAGCAGCAATTGCGCAAGCGCGTGTTTTGGAGCTTGTTTTCGCTGGAATGCTCGTTGGCGAATAAACTTGGTCGGCCGCATGCGCTCGGTCATCGGAGCTATGATACTGAGTTGCCTATCGCTGTTGATGATGAGTACTTGGTTGGTGGGAATCAAGTAGTCGAAGCGGATGGCTCTGGCGATACCGGTGGCGGTGCAGCTGCTGCTGGTAATGGAAACGGTAGTAATGGTCATGAAACCTATACAAATCCGCCGGGTAGCGCACCCAGCGGTAGCTGCTCGTTTCTGCCCGCGCTTGCGCTTTTCGGCTTGACAAAGATCTCGAGCAGTGTATACTCCACTTTCTACGTGGTCAAAAAGCCCACGCCGGAAGAGTACGAACGCAAAGTGCTAGAGTTCGAGGCCGAGCTTGCGAAATGGAAAGCGCAGCTCCCTGATAACCTTACCTGGAAACCATCCGACTCCACCCGCGGACTGTCCGACAAGCGGTGCGCGGGAATTATGTGGCTGACCTGCAACGAGCTACATCTGTTTATCAGACATCCGTCGGGCTCGACCTCAAACAACCCTGCTTTCAACGAGACATCCCGCGAGATGTGCGTCGGCATCGCGCGCGAGCTTTTGCACACGATGAACGATCTCATGAAAATCAACCACGTCGAGTCGACATGGTTCAACATCAGCATCCTGCTCACTTCGCTCTTCACGATCCTCTACGGCGCGTGGGTCGATCAGCGCACGAACGCGGACGAGATCGGGCGCGTGAAGGAAGATGTCTCGGTCACGCTCGCGATCTTGGACGAGGTCGCGACCGCGCTGGGCACGGATCCGGCGCATAATCGTATGCGGGATATTGTTTCCTCGCTCTCGAACGATACGATTAGGAAACTTGAGGATCGCTGTAATGGACGGTACTACGGTCAGCAACAACAGCAGGATCACCATCAACAACAACAACAGCAGCAGCAGCAGCAGCAGCAGCATGAGCAAGGGTTTATACAGCATCCAACGTATCAGAACGTGCTGAAACCACAACAGCCTCAGATTGACCACGGCCAACCAGCGTCAGGACACCCATCAGCTCATTATCCGACCTACCCAAGCTCTGCCCCAGCAGATTCGCAGCCGTATCTCTGGCAGACCGCCGTCGCGGTCGCGGCGTCTGCGCAGCCCAACCCCGTCGCGACGCCTTCGAAGCCGCTCCCGCAATCGTTCGATCGTGCACAGCAACAGCAGCAGCAGCAACCGCTAGCATCTCAACCTTTTGCGCATCCCCAACAACCACTACAGCAATCGTGGCAGGATTACATATACTCTGAAATGGCGCGGATGGACCAGATCCGCACGCATTACGCCCAGGCACCCCAGCAGCAGCATCCGCTTCTCCATCAACTGCATCCGCACCACCACCACCATCAGCCTCAGCAACATGGCGTGATTGGCTCGAATCCGGCGGATAACCCGCTCGTGATTGCTGCGTCGGTGGTGCAGGCGAGCGAGGAGGCTGCCGCTGCCGCTGCTGCTGCTGCTGCGGCGGCGGGGCGGAATTCTGGATCGGGGACGCAGCAGCAGTACTGATTTTGGGAGATCTAGGAAACATTTATGAAAATTTTGATAGCATTACATTCATATATTAGCTTACACACTTCGATCAACCCAGAAGACACGCGAAAACAAAACAAAACAAACAAGCAAACAAGTAAGCAAGACTAAAAAAGCAACCACACAAATACGATACCCTAAAGCCACAAAAGTAAACCACTACCGAGTCTGCTCGCCCTCGACAAAAGTGAGTGCGTTCTCTCTCGTGATGGACGCGATACTCGAGATCTTGTTATTGAACAAGACGCCATAAAACTTATCCGCGACATAAATCATTTCGTTCCTGAACGTCGTGCAGATAAACTGTCCGCCACTGCCGCCTTCCTTTGCGCCCTCGCTCGCGAGCTCTTTAATCATCGCCGCAACAGCGGTGCGGTACTGCGCATCCAGATTCGCGTCGATCTCGTCAAAGAGGTAGAACGGCGCGGGGTCGCATTGCTGGATTGCAAAGATGAGCGCGAGCGCGCACAGGGATTTCTGGCCGCCGGAGAGCTGCTCGATGCGTTGCTGCTCGTCCGATTTCGAGTTGAACGAGACCGAGATGGCAACGCCGACATAGTTCTCGACAGAGTCCTTGTCGTTCGAATCTTCCTCGTCCGAGGACATGTCGTCGTCGTCGGCGTTGGCCTTTGCGGATGCAAGGTCGGTTCGGCGCTGCATGATCAGACGGCCGCGGCCGGCCGGGACTAGTTTTTCAAAAATCTCGGCGAAGCCCTTTGAGACTTGTTTGAAAGTCCGCTCGATTGCCTCGTCCTTGTGACGGTCGAGGACTTCAATCAACTCCTCGATCGAAGCAAGCGACACGTCGAGCTCCTGTCTTCGCGCAAGCAGGCCGTCGCGCTGCTTTGTGAAACTGGTGTACTGCTCAAACGCCTTCTTGTTTATATGACTGAACTTTTTGAGCTCTTCCGTCAGCTTGTGCAGACGCTTCAAGACCGTGTCGGACTTCATCTGCGAGTACTTGTCAAACGCTTCCTCCGGCAACGCGCCCAGGTCGCGAATCTTGCGATTCAACTCCTCTTTCCGCTGTAGCAGGATTCCGCGCTTCGCCATCGCGCGCTCCAGACCCTTTTGCTCGCGCTCGATGCCCTTGACGTCCTCGACCTGCTGGCTCTGCAGATTCGCGACCTCGCTCTCGCGTCCAGACAATTCAGATTCAAGCTCCTCGACCTCGTTCTCAAGCTCCTCAATTTTTTGCGCATTCGTCGCGATACCGGAAATCACACTCTCCAGCGCGCTCTCGAGCTCTTCCACGCCGCGCGACCCGCTCGCAATATTATGCTCCAAGATCTCGCCGCGCAGCTGATCGCGCTGCATGTAGAGGACCTGGCGGAGGTCGAGCTCGAGGAGAACTTTCTCCTGCTCAAGTTCAGCGCGGACGTTAGAGAGCTCGGCGTCGCGCGCACGCAGGACCTGGATCTCCTGTGTGAGCGTCGCGAGAGTACGAGTTTCCTCCGCGTTGAGGTTTTTGTCGAATTTGGAGCGGAGCTCGGCAGTTAAGGTCGAAAGTTGGACTTCGAGACTGTCGAGGTTTGTCACTGTGCTCTCGAGCATTTGTTTCTGCATCATTGTTAGTGAATTCTCAAATAGGAAATTAGAGGACAGAAAGATTTACCGTCGACGAGATATTCTCCTGCAGAGCGCTCTCGGTAGCGTTGTTATTCCGCAAACTATCGCGAACGTCACCCAAGCTCATAATCAGCTGCTGGCGCTGCTGCTCAAGCTTCTTGCCATTTCCGACTGTCTGCGTGACTTCCTGATCCTTCTTCTCAATCTCCTTCGTGATCTGTGCTGCGTGCGCCCGCAGGGTTTCATACGACTCGCGCCAGAATCTCAGGTTCTTCACCGCGTCAATACGAGACCGCTTCGAGTCATGGTAACCTCCGGTCAAAACTCCTTTCTTATTTGCCTGGTCTCCCTGAAGAGTGATCGCGTTGAGGCCGTGTGAGCGAGCGTACTGCGAGCTGGCGTCGAGGTTCCAGCAGATAATTGTTTTTGAGAAAACATGCTCGATCGCCTTGGCGTGTTCAGGCGCATACCGCAGCTTTGCGATAAGCGGGATGACCTCGTCGGACTCGGGGTAGTTCACGGGCTTTGATCGTAGTCGGTTGAGCGGCATAAAAGTGACGCGACCGAGTCGCTCTCGCGTCAGGGTATCCATCAGTATCGTGGCCGTGGCGTCGGTGTCGACTACGACGTGGAACAAACTCGTGCCGCCGGTGACCTCGACCGCCGTCTTGTACTTGTCGTCGACCTCAAAGAGCTCGCAGAGCGGACCGTAGACGCCGGTGAGGTTCATCGTCTTTGTAATCTGCCTCACTGCCGCGAGGCCCTGGCTCGTCGCGCGGTCCATCGTGCTTGAGAAAGTACGTTCGGCGCGCTCGAGCTCGTCGCGTGCACCTTCGCTTGCCGATTTCGCCTTTGCGTCCTCACGCCAGAGTGCCTTGCGCTCGTCCAAAAGTGCGTCGCGCTGACGCTTTTGCTCAGTCTGCTGGGCCTGGATATCATCCAGTCGGCCCTGAGAGGACTCCAGAGTCGCTCGCGCTTCATTAATTGCCGATCGAGCATTCTCCAACTGCGTAGTCAGCTCTTCCAGCTGAGTCTGCAGGCCGTCGCGGATGCTCTCTCTCTGGGAAATTGTTGATTTGATGTCGTCTATCTCCTTGCGAAGCCATTTGTCGCGATCGGCTTTCGTCGAAAACTGAGCGTTTCGGCCCTGCTTGGCGTAGAGCCGCTGCTGGGCTTCAGTGGCCTGCGACAGCTGTCGCTTGACTTCAGTCTCTTGCTGCCGAGCAGCTTCGAAAGACGGAGTGAGTTCCTCGAGTCGCGCCTCCTTGGTTGTAATCTGCGCAAGCACAGACTCCAGATCGGCCTGGCGCTTTGCGGTCGCACGGGCAGAATCCTCCTCGTTATCGCGCGCGTCCTTGAGTTCAAGCTCGAGCTGCGCTTGCGTGCGCATCAGGTCAGTACGCTCTTCTTCTAGCTGTGCGTAGTCTGAAGTGACGAGCGTCATCTTCTGCTTGAGCGCCGAGATTTCGTTTTCTAGATTCTGGATCGCCTGGTCGCGCTGTGCGAAAAGTGCCATGCGGTCGTTATTTGAGTTTGAGTTGCGCACTCGGTCTTCCTCAAGTTGCTCAAGATGCATGTTGATCTCGGATAGCTCGCGGTCTTGGAGCGTGTATTCGAGGCAGCGGCGCTCGCGCTCTTTCTCCTGGTACTCGCGAAGCTCGTCCTTTTCAGCGTCGAGCTCGCCGAGCCGGTCGTCGAGGAACTGCAGCAAGTCGTCAATCTCCTTGCGACGCGCTGACGAGTCGGTGATGACTTTCAAAGACTCTGTGCGACGCGTCTCGTACACCTGCGTGCCGGCGACTTCCTTGAGCAACGCAAGACGTTCGGCGTCCTTTGCGTTTGTGAGCGCGGTGATTCGGCCTTGCGGAACGATGTAGTACGGGTTTGCGCGCGAGAAACCGGCAGACTCGAGGAGGTTCATGACGTCGGCTTTGCTGGCGGATTTGCGGTCGAGAGAGTACTCGTCTTTCTTGAGACCGATCGTTCTGCGCAGCGCGACTTCTGGATGTCCGGTCTGGGAGAGCTATTAGTCAAGCACTTGTAGAATATCAGAGTAGAATACATACAGGGAATCTGTTGTCTGAGTTGTCAAAGATGATTTCAACGTAGGCGCTCATGACGGCAGTGCCAGAGCCCTCGTGAAGAAGAGCCTGGCGCTCTTCTCGCGACATGTGCGTGTACGCGTCACTCAGCACGAACCGAATAGCTGTGGATTTGATGTTAGCTCAAAGCTTGAAAAGAATCAATCAAGTTTTAAATAATTAGTTCAGTAAAACATACCAGCAAAGAAATTACTCTTTCCCGAACCATTACGACCGACTATTCGAGAGTGTTAGCAGATGCTTCTCCAGGTCCTGGAAGATCGATCTAGCGCTCACCAATGACATTATGTCCTGGACTAAACGGATCGGTGACTGTCTGGTCTTTGTAAGACTTAAAGCCTTGAATTACGAGCTGTATGAGTGAAGAGGCAAGGTTAGTATTAAAGATCCGGTAGGTTGCAAAAAGAAGCAGGAGCAAAGGGAAACGCGCCTGTTTGATGTGCATCTGTTACTGCTCGGTGCCGATGGCTCCTGAATACTAAATTCAATCACTATCAACAAATAAATAGCACCAAGAGACTTGCTCGAATGGCCTGAGTGAAAACCAGCAAAGAAAACCAGACGCGTTGCTCGTGGAGGAAGTGTTGATGGGAGACAGGTTCGAGCGAGGCGCAAAACGCGTCCAAAAGCCGCCCGCACCAATCTCGCGTTTGTGGCATAATCGCACAAACAATTACTGCATATACATAGTCCGGGTAACAGTTACCCGGAGACCGCCGGCGACTCAGCTTGGACGCTATCGATAAGCTCTGTTCGCTTGATCGATACGCTGCCCTTCCCCAGTCTGCTTCTGGACCCTGTGCTGCTGTGCCTCGTTCACGACTGTTTTACTGGATCAAACCGATACAGTATAGAATCATGGCTCCTCTTACTCTAGCTCCCGCCCAGCCGATGGCGTTCGCAATGCCTGAAGGCCGCACGGCGCTGGTCGTTATCGATATGCAGAAGGACTTCCTTCTGAAGGGAGGCTACGGCTTCCTGCAATGCCCTTCCGAAAAGGTCTTTGAGAAGGTCTCGTCTGTTATTGAGCCTACTGCAAAGGCAATTGCTGCTGCGCGCAAGCTGGGACTCCATGTGATCCACACGCGCGAGGGACATGTCGAGGATCTCTCGGATTGCCCGCCGACGAAGCGGATGCGGCAGCAGATGACCAACCCGGAGAGACATAAGCTTGTCATTGGCACTGATGGACCTATGGGACGTCTGTTGGTGCGCGGATCGGACGGACATGATATTGTGGATGATGTGAAGCCTCTGAAGGACGAGCCTGTGCTCGATAAGCCTGGCAAGGGATCTTTCTATAACACTGATTTCCACCAGATGCTCGTCAGCCGAGGAATCACTCATATCATGCTGGCTGGTGTCACCACCGAGTACGTGCTTTTTCTACTTATCACTAGCTGTATGTACTAACCATAAGATCAACAGATGCTGCGTGGCCACCACTTTCAGAGAGGCCAACGACCACGGCTTCGAGACCTGTGTGCTCACCGACTGCACGAGTGGCTTCGACAACCAGATCGTCGACGCATCAATGAAGCACTTTTGCGCATTCGATGGTCTGCTTGGATACACGTGCTCTTCGCAGCCATTGCTCGATCTCGCGGCTACGGTGACCGTGCCGCAGTCGGTCGCGGCTGAGTACGATATCTCGATTGCGTCGCTGCGCGCCGCGTACCGGTCTGGCAAGCTCGCGCCTACGAAGGTCGTTGACTACATCTACGAGCAGATTTTGAAGCCTGACGCGGCGGCTGTGTTCAAGACTGTGATTGACAAAGCCGAGGCGCTCAAGACTCTTCCCGAGGCCGGCGTGGAAGCGAGTTTCGCCGACATGCCGTACTTTTATGGAATCCCGTTCACCGTCAGCGAGAGCTTTGATATCGAAAACTCGAGCCTAGTCAAGGCTCTGCTCAAGGCCGGAGCAATTCTGATTGGCACTACTAAAATTGAGGCTTCAGGAGCGGGTCTGTTTGCGACCGCGGAAGTGACGAGCGAGTATAGCTCGGAGTACGTCGCGGGTGGGTACAGCTACGGATCTGCGCTCGCGATCGCAAAGGGGCTTGGGTCGTTCTCTCTCGCGCTTGATACGGACGGGTCGGCGCGTGTGCCGGTGGCGTTCAACGGTGTGGTGGGCTATAATGTGACCAAGGGTCTGCTGCCGTCCGATCATGTTGCCAAGTTTTGCCCGTCGATTGACTCGATTTCGATAATTGCGACGACGGTGCACGACGCCCGCGTTGTCTTTGCCGAAATGCGGCACCAGGACCTGGCGAACCCGTACTCTGCTCCGGACAGATATATCCCGATCAAGTCGATCGACTTCCGCGGGCCAAAGGAAGGTGGGTTCAGATTCGCTGTGCCGGATGATCTCTCGTTGGTGTCGGAAGAGTACAAGACTGCGTTTTCAGCGTTTGTTGAAAAGGCAAAGAGCGTTGGTGGAACGCTTGTGCCGATGGATCTCAGCTCGCTCGCAAAGGCGACCAATGTTGTGGGTCCGATCATTGACACCGAGCGGGTTGCGTTCGGCGCAAAGAGCAGCGGTGACAGCGAGGTTTTGGGGAAGATCTACGACGCCACCGTGTCCTCTGCCTCGTCCTTGTCGGCGGTGAAGGTGATGCAGGAGATGGCTGCCCTGCGCGCGCTCAAGACCGAGCTCTACCTCAAGTTTGAAGGCGCGGCGGGCGTGGACGTGCTTCTGATGCCTACGGTGCCGTATCAGCCACTTGCGAGCAGCGTGGCGTCGGACCCGGTGCGCGTGAACAGCGAGCTGGGAACGTTCACGAAAGTGACTAATGTGTTTGAGATGTGCGCGGTCAGCGTGAAAGCGGGCGAGACGGGGCCGTTGAAGCTGCCGTTTGGAGGAATGATTGTCGCGCCCATGGGCATGGATGGACGGATGTTGGATATCGCGGAGCTTTTTGCATGAGGGGAGGTATAAATGAGAATTGTAGAAGATGTGGGGTGATAATGATTTGGATTGATAGCAATTACTCTTGCTAGAGCAATATGATGATGACATTAACTTGAAGATATCGTACACCGCCTCTATAGAAGAAGTAGAAGAAATGGAAAAAAAAGAAGAAAAGGAAAGAACTACTCTGTAGCGGTAGCAAGTAACTCAGCCCCAGAGGCAAGACCGGCCTGAACCTGAGCTAAGCCAGCGAGTGCGCGCAGGATGCGGTTGAGTTCATTGACCTTGCGGGTGCGCAGACGGAAGCATGCGCCGGAGACGGGGTCGAATGTTTTGACGGCGAGAGAGCCCCGTTTTGTTTTCTTGTCTGTGTTGTAGGAGTAGGAGATTTTGGTCTGTGATCAGGGTGATTGTGGTTAGTAAAGCAGAGAAGAAGACGAGGGTGGGGGGAGAAGACAGAGGGGAGGTTACAGTCGTTGGCCGGGCCTGCAGGAGGAGGGTGGACTGCTGGATAAACACTGTGGCAGAAGAAGTAGCCGGCATTGTCGCGGTATACAGATTCTCTGAAAAGAAGCAGCTCTTGCTATTTTCTGCTATCTTCTGTGGTTGATGCCGGCGATATCAAAGAATCGCAAAGCCGCTGAGGAAAAGAGTTGAAGATTTAGAGTTTTATGTGATTACCCGGCCTTTAACCGTCACGATGGTTTGCATTTCAGCCATTTTTAGTATCTCGGCGGAACCCAGCAGCAGCGGGCAGGTCTGACCGAGGGCGGAGGATAGAAAGAGGCTAAAAGCTGCTGAAGGTGATGATATATTTGAGAAAAGGTGTCTTCGGAGTGGTCTTTTCTGACCCGGGGGCGAAAGGTACGGCTGCAGCGAGCTGGTCTGTGTGGGTTCGCTCGTCTTGGAGCCGAGGCGTCAAAAGGAGCAGGCGAGAAAAAGTGAATTTGGTGAACCCAACCGGATGGCACGGCTGACTGTTTCTTCTTATAGAAGCTTGCCACCGGGGGTGGTCCGGTGTAGGAAGAGGAAGTAGGGAAGTAGTGGTAGTTGTAGGGTGTTAGTAGTATCTGTAGGGTTTCAGGTGGGCAGCCCTGTTGGCGTAACTGCAGCGTACGCTTGCGGACTTGTAGCCATAAACGCAGCGAGCAATGAGCTGACGTAGAGAAATTCGTGAATACCGTCAGACTCCGTTGCTCTTGGTATTAAAACAGCTCTTGTATTCACAAAGACTTGCGCTTTCTGTCTGAAGAAACAAAGAAGAAGAAACGAAAAGTGGTGAAAAATGGCATTCGGATTCGGAAAGAAGGAAGAAAGCGTACCTTCGACCTCTGCTGAGATCAAGGCGAACCTGCAGCAGCAGGTGACGCAGGAGATTCGCACTGCGCAGGCCGCTACTCTAATCAGCGTGAGTTGTGATTCTGTTCTTTAGAGTATTTGGAGCTGTGAGAAGAGGTTGGAGTTGGTTGCTGACGGGTTTGGTTTGGGTTGTGTAGAAGGTGACGAAGAGCTGCTATGATCTTTGCATTGTGAATCCTCAGTCTACTCTGACTGCTGCTGATCAGGTATGTGGATATTCTCCTTCATATTCGAGGAATTAAGCGCGATTTTTTATACTATTATCCAGATTGAGCTGACCAGCTGTGTTTAGGACTGCATCAACAAATGCGCGGGAAAATACATGCAGGCGTTCAACGTCGTGTCGAAGGAGTACGTCGGCCGGGTGCAGGCTGAGCGACACCGAGGGAATATCTAGATTCTACAGTGGTAGGAATATCTAATTGGGTTTATGGGGATTTATGGGAAAGAGACGATTGCAGAATAGTGGATGATGGAAAAGAGAAGAAGGTTGTATATAGAATTTGGTTTATTTCGTGAGCTCATGGCTGCGTGTAGTATAATGAAACTGAAGAGGTTATTGTTATAAAATAGTAAAAAAGGCAATGAATAAGTACTATCATAGCATATTATTGTTACTAACTGTAAGAAGTAGAGAAAGATACAGCTGTTCATAATCATATCCAAGTTCAGTCCTCCTCAAGCCGCATCGATTTAAAGATCAGACTAAATCCACAACCACACTCACCAAGCACCCCAATGGCCACACACACAACCACGGCGTTTCTATACGCGATCCAGCCAGCGTACTACGACGTGATTTCTGAAGTATCCAGGGGAGCTACTCAGAAGGATCAGTTTTGGGTGTGGATCACGACGACCGCGGACGGAGGGACAAAGTATGGGTCGGTGGATGTGTATCGCGTAGGCGGAACTGTCGAGCTGAGAGGGATCGATGGGTTTGAGGTGCTTGAGTATAATGATAAAGTGCGTTTTTATTGTTTTTGCTTATTTTATTTGAGATTGCTAACAGCTGTGCAGATGATTCGGATTGCGTGCAATGAACTGGGTGTCAAGAGCATTGAATTTAGAAATCCGACGTCTACAATTACGACAAAATCGAGTGAGTATTCACTGATTCAAAGAAACAAACAAACCTCTAACAATATCAAGCTATCTCCGGCTTCGACATATCGCCATCCTCGAATCTCTACGCAGTCGGCTCCTCCTCCGGCACCATCGCGCTCTCGACACAATCTCCGCCTCAGAACGGCACAGGTCCGACGGCCACATCAGAAGAGCTGACGAGAACGCTCGAGGGGCATTTTGCATATACCACCTGCGTGAAGTTTTTCCCGTCGGGAAAGGTGCTGCTGAGTTGTGGAGGCGATATGTTGATCAAGTTGTGGAATATCGCGGACGGCGAGTGCGCGAGGACGTTTGTAGGGCACAAGGCGGCTGTCGTGGATCTGGCGATGGTTGGGAGAGGACGGAATTTCTTATGTATGTGCGCTTTGCTTACTTAGGGCCAGGGATTGGTGCTAACTGTGGGTTATAGCTGCATCGGCGGATAGGACGGTGAAGCTGTGGTAAGTGAACAGAGATAGGAGAAGAGATCGTGAAGAGGCTAACAGGACCGACACAGGGAGTGCGCGTCAGGCGAATGTGCACATACGTTCGAGCACCCGACGGCCGCCACCGCGCCAACAAAAGTCACAGTGACGACGAGGCAGGACGGGATCGTGCGGGCGGCCGAGAATGCGCTAGAGTTTGAGACCGAGGACAAGATGGCGGTGGTAGGGTTTGACAATGGTGACGTAGTCCTGTATGGCATGTCGACGAAGGACGTGCTCGCGGTGGTGGGTGCTCCTGCGGCCGAGGCGGGTGTCGTCGGCCTCGACCTGAGCGAGGACGGGACCGAGCTGGTGGTGGGACGCGCGCACAGCGTTGAACGGTGGGACCTGCAGGGCGATCTGGCGGGGCCGGCGCAGCGGGTGGAGACGGCCGGGGAGGTTGTCGGGCTCGCCGTGATCGGAGACGGGGTCGCGCTGGCGATGCGCGAGGGCGGGTCGATGGTTGTGAGCCGCGAAGGCGCGGTCGAGTGGGTCGCAGCCGCCTCCGCGGTGGCCGAGAGCCAGGCCGAGGGCGTCGCGGTGCGCGGCCATCGCGGGGTGTTTGTTGCGCAGCGCGACGGGCAGCTGCTTCGGTACCGGGGGTGAGCAGGGCAGAGTTGTGGAAGTTCCCGAATAGGAAGATGCCCAAAGAAGCAAGACAGAGCCGAAAGCGGCAAAACCCTGAGCGGGCTAATGCAGGAACGGGGCGCACGTGGTGACGCGGGTCAGGAAGCGGAGGATCAGGGGCCGGGTCAGCGAAGGGAGCGGGTACCCCTTTTTGGGACAGGGTGCACGGGTCAGAACTCAGCTCCACTGCGCCAAAACATCTTCGCAGTCGCAAACGCAGAACTCGGATTCCTCTGCTTTCCGTTGTTTGTTTCTGCGTGTTTTGTTTCTTTTCTGGTTTATTTCTTGTTTGCGGATTGGTTTTGTTTATTGTTTATGTTTCTTCTCTTGCTCGACAGCTCTTTCTCTCTTTCTTTGATGCCGTCGTGCTCTTAGGCCTCTTCTAGCCCTCCGCGTTCTCATTCTAGGCCCTCCGCCGTCCATTCTTTTGCCCAACTCCTGCCGTTCCTTATTCCTTTTGCTTTCTTTCCTTTCATCTTCTTCTTCATCACCATGGACATCGACGCCGTATTCGAAGAGTTCACCGTCGCTCCTGACGACTCCGCGACCCTCTCCCCGGCCTCGTCCCCCGGCGACCTCTCCTCCAGCGAGCGCTCCACCGACGGCCAGCAGCAATCTACCCCAACTCCCCTCTTCTCATCCACCTTCTCCTCCTCAAACAACACAAACAGCAACAACGCAAACATGCAGACATACTCCGCCTCCTCCCAGCTCTCGTCCATGACCACCTCCGCTGAGCCCCAGTCCCAGCCGCAGCCTCAGTCATCGGCCTCCTCGTCCTCGCGACGCTCGCTCGCGCGCAAGTCGACCCTCACGCAGCAGCAAAAGAACAACAAGCGCCAGCGGGCCTCGTCTGAGCAGCTCGTCATTCTCGAGAACGAGTTCGCTCTCAACCCGGCGCCGAACGCAAAAACCCGCATCCGCATAGCCGACCAAATCAACATGACCGAGCGCTCTGTCCAGATATGGTTCCAAAATAGGTGTGTCCTCCTTCCCTCTTCTTTCCAGATTACTCTCAACAGACTCTAACATTTAACATAACAGACGCGCGAAAATAAAATCGCTCGCAAAGAAATCTATCGAGGCCGGAGAGGAAAGCGACCAGATCCCAGACTCGATGAAGCATTATCTCGCGCAGGCATCGGGTCCCTCCGCTGGCACATCCTCGGCCTTCTTTGCTCGCGCGTTTGGCCTCGGCCAGGGCGCGCCCAACAAAGCGGCACTAGCTCGCTCGGCGTCGTTCTCAAACATGAGCGACCATTCCTATTACATGCGCAACTACGCCTCGACTAATTTCAACAACGCGGACGTGGTCGCGCCTTCAGCGTCGTCGACTAATAACAGCAAGACGCCTGTCTGCCAGTTCACTGCGCGGTCGCTCACCATCGGTTCATGGCGGCGGGTGGCGGGGACGGCTATGGACCTTGTCATATTCTACAGTCCGTCGCAGAGCAGGTTTACGTACTACATCAACAACGACTCTGTCGGTTTCAAGATTGAGTTTCCTTTCTCTGCCGTCAAGCAGATCTTTGTGCAGCCCGCTCCGTCCACTGGAGAGGATGCGGGTGAAGCAGGAGATGAATCTGCAGTATCGGCGCAGGGCGACATCGTCGTCATCTTGTCCCATCCGCCGCAGTTTTACATGGAATCATCCGGCTCGACCAGCGGCTGGTTTGAGACCGACGATTTCACAGAAGACCAGCAAGCCAGTCGGGTGATGGAGCACCGGTTTTCCGGCCCGCTAAAAGTGCTCGAGCAGCAACTGTCCGAGCTACTCTGTCTCCGCACCGATATGCTAACCGCGACGACGCGAGCAAACCGGAGCTCGAGCGCCTCGTCAGCGAGCACGACGACGACGTCGAGCTCGACAACAAAGATGCTGAACGCGCTCTCGTTCACAACCTCAGCACCGGTGTCTCCGCTTGTTGCGGGCGCGGTGGTCGAAAGCGGAGGCGGACTTGCGCCGTTTCCCACACAGACTACTACGGCAGGGTTTGGTAGTAGTGCGGCAGGAATGCCGTTTTCGTTTGCTCCGCAGTATGCGCCAAGCAGCGGGTTTGCTGTGCCGGCGGGAAAGCCGCGGACACATCGACGGACACGAAGTCGGTCTGTTCCTGCGACTATTGATTTTTCGTACATGAATGCTGCTAGTCCTGGGTTTATGTATCATAGTGATATGGCGGCTATGAGTGCTGCATCTTCACAAGCAGCTGCGGTGGCAGCAGCAGCAGCAGCAGCGGCAGCGCAGGCAGCGTCACATACGCCGTCAATGAATGAGGCGATTAGTCAAACTGCACAGACGTCGGGGGTACCTGCTGATGTGGATGTTCCCGCCGGGACCTCGTCGCTGCAGATGGCGCCACTTGTTCAGGATCTGGGTGGAAGCACGCGGTCACCAGGATTAGGAATGGGTGGCCAGCATCTTCGGATCGACACTGCATCTGCGCCTGCGACCCCGTTTCTGGATCCGTATTCATACGCGCTGCTGTCGGCGAACAGCACGACCGGAGGAGCGCCTGAGGGCAACTACTCTGAGCTGCTGACGCCTAATCCGTCCGCGGCAGCGTCGGTGCCAGCGACCGCGCCTACGCCGAGCGATCTCGAACCCGGCATGAACCCATACTGGATGCATGCGGCCGGGGGAGGTAGCGAGGATATAGTGGTCGAGGACATGGGTCTGGCGGTAGCCGCCGCGGGCGACGTGAGTGCGGAGGCGGCGATATTTGAGAATCAGTTTGTGGAGCCCGATTTCGGCGGCGGTCCGACGACGGAGACGACGAGCGCGGGCGATGAGTTGCTGGATATCGGGCTTTTGGGGATTAACGGGGGTGTATAACATGGAAAGGAAGTTTAAAATGGTCTCTCTTTACTAGTCTTTTGCTAGTCTCTTTTGCTAGTCTCTTTTGCTAGTCTCTTTTACTAGTCACTCTTTTATTTTACTGTGCGATTTTATTGCTTACTTAGATGGTTTGGTGTTTGGTATATACTTAAAATGTTTGAGTACTAAAGAATTTTCGAAAAAAAGTGTACATTTATCTGCTGTTTTTGAATACTTGTGATGATGAAATTATTATGGATATGAACTTTGCGATGATTGTCTTGTTCTTGCTGTTTTAAGTGATGCTGTATTGCTTCAGAGAAATAATATATACATGTTGCTTATTTACATTACCAAGCGTCCGAGGGAGGTAGCGGGTCTGTCCGGGGAGGTTTTTTGGGTAAAATCGGCTTGATTCCTCTTGATTCGATGAGGTCGACGAGCTTCTTTTCGATACGGACGAGCGGCGAATTGCTCTTCTTAACCCCGTCCTCGATCCAGAGCGCCCAGGCGCCGATGTTGTTTGCCATGAAGACGTCAGTGAAGATGCGGTCGCCGATGACAGCGACATGATGCGCGGCATGCACGTCGGTCGATTTATCCTCGATGAGCTTCATGAGCACGCCCTTGCCGACGGACTCGTGCGGTTTGAAGTGCAGGTGGTCGTACACCTCGATGCCTGTCGCGCGCTCGGTCTCGCGCTTGAGTCTGAGCTCGTTGCCGAACGCGTGGCGGACCTCGTGCAGGTACGCGCCCGCGGTGTTGGACACGATGATCACTTTTGAGCCCGGGAACTGGCGGCGCAGGTTTGCGAGCGCGGCGAGGTTGTCTGGATGCGCGCCGATCTTGTCGGTCTCAGCAAAACAGTTGTCCTTGTCGAGCACGACCGCGCGGATGTCTGCGTGCGCGGGGAACAGCGAGTGGATGTCCTCGGGCAGGTCGCAGAAGCGGGAGATGCGGGCGTGGGGCAGCGCGCGGGCAGGGAAGTAGGTGAGGGAGAGAACCTGGAAGACGGCGTCGCGGCGGTCGAAGAAGCGCAGGTAGCCGTAGCGCGCGTTGAAGTGCTGCTGCCAGAACCAGCTCGAGAGCGGTTTCATGGCTGTTTTCAGCCGGTCCGCGAGCCGTTGCATTGCTGGTGAGCGGTGGAGTAGACAACAGTGGACAGCAGCACACGATATCAGACTTCTCGGAGGTGAAGAGCATCGCCACCACGTGACTTGTGCGGCGCAGGAAAGCCAGTTTACGTGGCACCGCCTTGAATCCAAGCGTGCAGCCAGCCCAGCCTCGGCCACCCGCCTCCTTTTGCGCTGACTTGATTGATTTGAGAAGCAATTGCAGATTGACTGACTGATTTGAGAAGATTGAATTGGTCTGAAGAAGAGTTGAAGTTGCTGAACGCACGCTGCTTGCTATTAGAACGCAGGAAGAGCAAATAAAGGGCGAGAAAATATGAGAGTCCAGGCACTTTTCCTGGCTGCTGCCTGCTTCGGCGGTGCGCTCGCCAATCAGGCCAAAATCGTACGTATCTGATTCTTATTCTGATATGTTGTTGCTGGTCCGTTGAACGGGTGCTGATAAGATCCAGGTCGATGAGCCCAGCGGGCGTCAGCAGTGCTCGGGCATGTACGCCCGCAGCGATTGGGGCGGCAAGGTTGATCCATACATCAAAGGTCAGTTCTTGCTCTATTCTCCCTGTTTTCTTATGATCTCCACTAACACACCGCTAGTCGACATCCACCGCTCCGCGACATCGACCTCCTCCGAAACAGGCACAGTCTCCGTCGTGGTCTTTGAGTGGACAGACGTCGACCTGATCGGAATCGACACCGGCGACTCCAAGAACCCCGTCGCCTACGTCTGCAGCGAAGACGCAGTCAAAAACAAGCTCTGCACACAGGACCACTTTGGCGAGTTCTTGCTCCGCGACGCGGGCGACGATTCCACCGTCAGATCAATCGTCACGAAAGCGGTCGAGATCCACGACGGCTTTGCGGAGCCCCTCACGTACCAGGTGCACCGCACCGGGTTCTACTGCGTGGGCACGTACGGCATTACTACCGACGATGGCGGGTATGCGGGAACCGTCACCTTCCAGAACGCGTACGGCCAGCTGCCGGCGTCGCAGGTCGCCAAACTGCCCTTCTACGGAGGCATGGCGATCGCCTACGCGGTCATGCTCGCGTACTGGATGTTTCTCTACGTGCAGTACCGATCCGACATTCTGGCGGTGCAAAACTACATCACCGCCTGCGCCGTCTTTCTCACGGTCGAGATGATTATTGTCTGGGGCTACTACGACCTCATCAACTCAAAGGGCTACACCCCGCTCTCGCGCGTGTACATGGTCTTCATCGCGATCCTGAACGCGTTCCGCAACGCGTTCACCTTTTTCCTCCTGCTCATCGTCTGCATGGGCTACGGCGTCGTCAAACCCTCGCTCGGCAGCTCAATGACAAAGTGCCGCATCCTCGCGGGCCTGCACTTTGTCTTTGGCATCGTCTACGCGATCGCCAGCTTCCTCGTCACGCCCGACACCGCCGGCCCGCTCATCTTGCTCGTCATCATGCCGCTCGCAGCCACAATGACCGCTTTCTACCTCTGGATCCTCTCCTCGCTCACCGCGACAATCAAGGACCTCGTCGAGCGCAAGCAAAACGTCAAAGCGCTCATGTACCGCCGTCTCTGGCGCTTACTCTTCGGCTCGATCCTCGTCATCTTTGCCTTCTTCTTTGTAAACTCGCTCATCTTCGCGGACAGAAGCTCGGCGGACTTCGTCCCGCGCCACTGGAAGTCGCGGTGGTTCGTGCTCGATGGATGGTTGAATGTGATTTACTTCCTCGACTTTGTGCTGATTGCCTTCCTGTGGCGGCCGACGCGGAACAATCGCCGGTTCGCAATGTCGGACGAGCTTTCGCAGGACGACGACGGTGGGTTTGAGATTGCGAGTCTTGCGGGATCGCTTGATGAGGAGGCGGGGATTCCCTCGCGATATGATCCCGCGTCGACAAACAGTGGTTCGGGCGCGGGCGTCGGCCGCTACGACGGCGACAATGATAGTCTCGCGGGCTCGCTGCACGCAGGCACGACTAACCCCTACGGCGATGACGGCGCGCACGGGTCCGTTGAAGTCGCGGCGGGGGACGGGCCGACGACGGAGACGATGTTTGAGGCGCCGGACGAGGACTATGATCGGTGGTCGGAGGACGACGATGATTACGCGACGCGGTTGAATGGGAGTAAGAAGGGAGAGGATGAGTCTGAGTTGTTGGCGAAGAAGAAGGAGCCTGGGAAGGATGATTAGTTTATTGTGCTTTGTGTTTGTGTTTATGTGATTTTATGTGACTTGGTGGTGGAAAGGATAGATAACTAAGAGTCCTGATGTATGATTCAGCTGTTCTAAGCGGAACAAGTGTAGTTTACAATAAAAATAAAGATAGCCAGGATACAATAAGAGAAGAAAAGATTAGTCGTTTGCTTTCCGCTTTTCGCCCGTCCGACCAAGATCATGACCCTCATCCGCCGCCCCCGCTTCCCTGCTTTCGCGCTCACGATCCCGCGTCCTCCGCACGTCGTCATCTAATGACTTTCTGTCTCTTTGGTGAGAAGAAGAAGAAGAAGGAGGAGGAGGCGGACCCCTCCCGCGCTCTTTCTCATGCGCGATGCGTTTCTTCCACGCCTCGCGAATTCGCGTGTTTGCGTTCAGCAGCTCTTCCTTTGTGACCCCGTCCCGCACGCTCATCTCGATTTTCTCGACGATCGAGATATGGTTCGGCGTGAGCTTGTCGTCGCGGAAGCGGAGGTAGCGCCATGAATTGAGGGTCTTGTCGTGCACGCACTCGACGATGCGCTCGTCCAGGGGCTCGTTTAGGGATTTGAGGGTTTGCCATTCGGATGGGGTGAGGTAGAGCTCGCCGTAGGGTTTGTAGACGTTGGATTCGACGTAGACGGAGAGCATCGTGGTTGGCTGCGAGTCGTAGTCTGGGTAGGAGATCGAGGGGTCGTCTGGGTCTGTGTAGGTCGGGAAGTGGAGGGTCAGACGAAAGTCGATGCTGTTTTCCTCCGCGGGCTTCCATTTGAGGATCTTTTCGTCCGTGCCAAAGACGTAGGGAGTCAGTCGGGAGGTGAAGATCAGGCCGTCGGTGCCGTGCTTGAGCCGAGGGATGACGTCGTTCCAGAGCTTTGGCAGCGCGTACGAAAACTCCATGTCTTTGAAGTCGATCAGGAACGGGAAGAACTGGACCTCGTCCGGGAACTGCTTGCAGAGGTTATCATACGGCTTGTAGACGAGCTCGCGGAAGTACCCGAGCCGCTTGTCGAGCGTGCGCTCCGTCATCAGCTTGCCGTCGATAACGAGCGAGTCAAAGACAAGGTAGCGCAGCACCTCGCGCCCGTCGTCTTCGTGGTCGAGCACGAGCTCGCCGTCGACGATGCAGTCGACGTGGAATTTCTGGAAATCGTCTTGTAGTGGGAAGTGCAGGCCTTGCACGTAGTAGTAGTTGTTTTTCCGGTCAATCAGGTACGTTGCCTCGGCGTCGCCTTCGCGCGTCAGGTACATCAGGCATCGAATGCCGTCTGACTTTTCGCACACAAAGTAACTGCACTCTTATTAGCATGAAACTCCCCACAACAACAATCAAAGCAAAACACGTACTCTTCCCGCTCGAGGTTCTCAGCAATATGCCGCTTGAGAAACGACACGGGCTGCGCGCCGGGAAACGAGGTATTATGCCGTCGCAGCAGACGCGCGACGTCCTGTCTCAGTCCTTCCGCGTACCGTGCAGGCGCACGCACGCCGGGGATGTCTGGAACTGATCCCGCCATTGTCTGTGTGTGTGTTTAAGAGTTGATATCTCGAGCTGATGATGATGGTGTTGCTGGTGGTGATGTCGTGGGTGTCGATGAATGCGCATTCATCCCACGATTTCCATCGTCAATTCTATTTCCTTCTTCTTCTTCTTCTTCTTCTTCTTCTTCTTCTTCTTCTTTCTGATATCCTTTCCTCTCTGCTCTTTCTTAAGTCCTCCTCGATCTATCAACTTGATCAAGCACGCAGCTCAAGACAAAAAGCAAAATTTGGAGGTGAGAAATAGAGTTTAGACAGCTGGCCGAATCGGGAATAGTGCGATGGGCTCTTCCCTTCCTCTTCCTCCTCCTCTTCTTCTTGTTCTCTGATAGAAGAAGAGAAGAGAGAACAAGGAGAGAAGAATGTCTGGGAAAACATTCGGCGGGTTGAAGATCCAGGCAGGCAAGAAGAACAAGCTGAGCAGTTCCAAAGCAGCGCCGACAGAGCAGCGGCGGTCGATATTCGGCGACGATGATCTGCTCGAGAACGCGTCTGACGAGGACCTCGACGACGAGAAGCAGACGACGAAAGACAGCGCGAGGAAGTTCCAGCCTCCGTCGCGGGGGAGCAGTAACAGCAGCCGAGCAGCGGTGAATACAGAGCTGATCGCGCACGCGATGCATAACCAGCAGCTGACAAAGTCGGTCGAGGAAGAAGTCGATCCCTCGATCTACGCCTACGACGACGTCTACGACACGATGAAATCCGCCGAACGCAGTGCGCGCGCGCAACTCGTCGGCGACGGCGAGTCACAGAAAAAAGACGGGCGGAAGAGTAAGTACATCGACACGCTGCAGGAGTCGCTCAAGATGCGCACGCAGGACCGGTTGCTGGCGCGGGATAAGCTGAATAAACGCGAGCGCGAGGAGGAAGGGGATGAGTTTGCGGCGGCGCCGGTGTTTGAGAGCGCGGCGTTTAAGCGGCAGAAGGCAGAGTTGGAGAAGACGAGGGCGGAGGAGGAGGAGAAGGAGAGGAAGGAGAAGGAGAGGAAGAGTAGGGGTGGAGGGGCGGGGCTGGTTGGGGTTTATCAGAAGATTCTGAAGCAGAGTGAGGGATCGCATGAGGCACAGGTCAGAGCTGCTGCTGCTGCTGCGTCTGCCAAAGCAGTGAAGGATGAGGACACTCGGAGGAAATAACCGGTTGAATAAATACAAAACGTCTCGCTATCTGCCGTGTGTAAAATCCATGTATAGAGATGGACATACAGACAGACAGCGCAGACAGACGATAATTACATTAGATTACAAGATAGATACAGAGATCAAGCCTTGTAGAGGTTATCAAGGAACCCATAGACCATCTCGTCCACAACTCCATTCGTGCTCACGCTGCCCGCCACGCCATACAGCATCGCCGTATCGCCCTGCTTCTTCTTGATATCGCTCTCGGACTCGGCCCCGTGCGCGAGCTCGATCTGCGCTACAGAGTCCTTGAGATCCCGCACGAGCATGACGCATGACTCTGTCGTCAGCTTTGTGCACGCAATGTGCAGTGCCGCCGGGTTTTGCAGCGCCGAAAGATGCCATCCCTTTGCGACCATCGAGTCTGCGACCTCGTATATGTTTAGAGTTGATGACGTGAACGCGACCACGGAGGAGATTGGGTCGCCGAGCACAGTCAGCTGCGGAATATCAGCCGCGATAGAGGAGCGGATAAGGCGCGCGGCCTCGACTATTGACTTTGCAGAGCTGTAGTAGCCGTCGTCGCCCATCTTCATCAGCGTCGCCCAGCAGCCTGCTATCAGCGCGCCCGGTCTCGAGCCAGCAAGAGTAGGGGACGCGTACACGCCGCCGGACCAGTCTGTCGCGAGGAAGTACTGGTGCCGTCGGTAGGAAGAGTCGCGGTACATGATTATCGAGCTTCCTTTCGGCGCGAAGCCGTACTTGTGGGTATCGCACGAGATCGAGGTGACGCCCGGTAGTCGAAAGTCGACGACAGGAACGTTGACGGTTGGGTCTATTTCGCGGTAGACGCGCTCGAGGTAAGGCACGACGAAGGAGCCGAGGCAGGCGTCGACGTGCAGTGGGATCTTGTACCTCAGCGCGAGCTTTGAGAGGCCCTCGATGTCGTCGATGATGCCGTGCGGGAAGTTTGGCGCCGAGCCCGCGATGAGGACAGTATTTGAGTTGATCATGCGCCTGACGGCCTTCAGATTGACCTTGTATGTGACGGGGTCCATGGGCGCGTGGCGGAGTTTGATGCCAAAGTAGTAGGCTGCCTTGTCGAACCCGGCGTGGACGGTGATGGGCGCGATGATCTCGGGCTGGGTGACGTGTCTTTCGTGGTAGGCTTTCATTTTGGCGGATAGGCAGGCGAGCAGGAGGGATTCGGTGCCGCCGGAGGTGGTGGTGCCGACGCCGGAGTGCTGGGGGGCGTTGAAGAGATTGAGGACCATTGTGACGACCTCGGCTTCCATCTTGCGGACGTCGGGGAAGACGTCGGGATGGAGCTGGTTTGCGACAGAGAACATGCCGTAGGCCTGGGTTTGCAGGTCGATGAGCTCTTTGCCGCCGTGGTAGACTGCGCCGGAGACCTTGCCGGCTTCCCAGGCCGAATGCTGCATGAGGGAGAGGTGTTGCATTTCGGCGATGATTTGCTCTTCGGACCAGCCGTGCTGTGGCAGTTCGCGGTAGTAGGTGATGTCGGGGCCGCGCGGGACCATCTGCTGCTCCATTGAGACGAGGACTTTGCTGACTTCGGCGTCGACTTTGTCGCGGATGCCGGGGGCGCGGAGGAGGTAGCGGAAGAAGAGCTTAGAGGCGGAGCGGTAGAGGTCGGAGAAGATGCCGAGGGGGCCGCGGGCCCATAGCTCGCGGTAGGCAGTGGCAGAGAGGGAGCATAGGGCGTAGGCAAAGACGAGGTTGCGGGAGAGGGAGAAGCTGGGGGAGGTTAGTGGTGGTGGTGGTGGTGGGGTGGTGGGGTGGTGGGGTGGAGGAGACATACGCGGGGGAGGAGGCGATGGCGTCGAGGAGGAGGCGGGAGTGGGAGACGATGAGAGAAGCAGTTCTCTCGAGGGAGAGGGACATGGAGGAGATATAGATATAGATATAGAGGAGGATAGAGGAGGATAGAGGAGGAGGAGGGATATATATAGGAAGAGGAGGAGAAGAAGCAGATATCAGGAAACTCGGCTCGTGTTGATCTTCGCTCGCTTGCAGAGCCGCAGCCTCCTCGTGTTCGATCTTACCCGGCAAACTCTATCATTTCCCGTTTAAGTAACTTCTGTTATACATTCTACTATTCAACATCAATTCACTAATTCACTCGGCGCTGTTTAGTAGGGGGACCGGGCGATGCTGGACGGGCAGAGCGTTTGCTGCTTCGAGGAGGTGGAGAGAGAGACCGGGAGGGGGATCTTGACACTGATCTGGACACTGATCTGGAGAGAGACCTTGATACTGACCTCGAGTAGGACCTCGACCTCGACCGCGACAGTGGTCTCGACAGTGATCTTGATACCGACCTCGAGTATGATCTTGATCTTGATCTCGACGCCTCCCTCCCTCTCCTAACCGGACTTCTCGAATATGACCTAGACCTCGACCTCGACCCCGAATACGACCCCGACCCCGAATAACTCGAGTACGACGACACCGACCCCGACGGCGTCCGCGAGACAGACCGCCCTCGCGCCATAGTCCTCCCCCGCTCTGGCTCCTCTCTCCTCCTCTGTCCACCCTCCCTCTCCTCCCTGATCTTCCTCGCCAACTCCCGCAAATGCTCCTCCTTCCTCTCCTTCTCCTCGTCCGCCAGCCGCTGCTGCAGCAACGCCCGCTGCTTCACCTCCTCGCGCGCGTGCCGGTCCGCCGCCGACAGCGCTTCCGACAACTTTGCAAAGTTGTCGTTAATCTCCACGTCCTGCAACCCTCGTCCGTCGGCCGCCAACCGCTTGTCCAGCGCGATCGTGTAGCCCTTTGGATTCTTCCACTTTGACACGCTCGGCGGAATCGAGAAATCCTCCTGGTCCTTCACCGTCAACTTCCGCGGCGGCGAGCGCAGAAGCGGTGCCGGCGGCGACGGCGGGCCTCGCGGTACCTTCGTATGTCTGAACTTGGGCGGCGCCATCGGATCTTCAGGAAGATCGACCATCTTTATAATCCGCTGCCCGTGCTCTGTGCCTGCTTTCTCGCCCATCATACTACTCGGCGTGTATCTGATAAACGTAGGCTCGTTGCGCTTACTATTCGCGATACTCTTCGCATTCGCCGCCTCGGCCTTGCCGTTCAAAATACTCTCAAACGCAGCCTTTGTCTTCGCCGTCGTCAGCGCCACTTCCTCCTCCGACGGCCGCGCGAGGTTGAGCTCCCCGATATTCGCGCGCTGCCGAAGCGGAATCAGGTCAGAGAACGAGGTGTGCACGATCCGGCCTGAGGCCTGGCCTTGCCGCGCGATCGCATCGTACTTGATCTTGCCTTGTGCATCGACCTGGATCGCGAGCGCGTTCGAGGTGCCTTGTTTCTTGCGGCCCATGTCGAGCGGGTACTGCACCATCTTGATTTCGGGATATCTGTGACTGTTAGCATCCTTCTTTTTAAAAACAATGAGCACAGCAATAGAAGATAAACATACGCTCCTCCATCGCCGTAATCATCAGCAGTCTTGGGTCGCCATCCTTGTCTCTGTCCGTAGGGTGGAATATTCGCATTCGAGCTGCCCGACGTCGTAATCAACGCGCCGTATTCATTATAACTCACGCCTTCTTCCATCTTTTCTTCTTCCTCTGGTTATCTCTTCTCTCTGATTCCCTTGTTATGAACACTGCTGAAGATGAAGGTTGTGGTGAGCAAAACCGGCACAAACTTTAACCGTTTACCCGGCGCAAACACAAAATAATTTCTGACCTCCGCGACTTCTGATATTCGCTGTTCTCAGTTCTATTCAGTCTATCAGACCTTTAACAAAGACAGAAAGACATATACAATCAGGACCGAGATGTCGACAGAACCTCCTCCCCCCCGGAACCCGGTCTTCGAGGCCATGGGCATCCCCCGAATCCGTCTCCCCGGACCCAAGATGTCGCTCTTCCTGCTCACCGTCGGCGGCATCGCAGGTCTAATCTACTACGACCGCCGCGAGCGTCGAGCGAACCGGCAGAGATGGAAAGACAGAGTGTCATTCCTTGCTCAAGAGCCGCTGCCCGTCACAGCCCTCCCCCGCTCCGTCAAGGTCTACCTCTCGCCGCCGCCGGGGGATCATATGGACATCACGATGACCCATTTCACGCAGTACGTCAAGCCGATCTTGACCGCTGCTGCTATAGACTGGGAAGTGGTCAAGGAGTACAGACAGGGCGATATCCGGTACAGCGTAGCCGAGGAGATCCGCAAGCAGCGACGGGGCGACGACGATCGGAACGAGTACGAAAAGAAGGCGGCCGCGAACTTGACTAGAGATCCGAGCGGGGGGGCTATTTGTATCGGACGGGGAGCGTATAAGGAGTATCTGCATGGCGTGCACGAGGGATGGCTTGGGCCGCTTGAGCCTCCTGCTTTACCCGAGCCTGAGCTGCCAACCAAGCCTGAGAACGTTGCGCAGGATCAGACATCTGCTGCTGCTGCCGACGCACGCGACGCGTTTGTCGAAAACGCCGCGACCGCCGTCTCCGAAGCCGATGCATCCTCCTCTGCTCCTCCCACCCCTCCCTCCGAAACAGAGTCAGAAGAAGAGCGCAAGAAGAAAGAAGAAGAAGCAAAGAAACCCCCGAAACCATACATCTCGACCGCCGACTACGCGAGCGCGTCCACGCCCCCCGAGTTTGCAAAACTAGACCACCTCGGCCCGGTGATGTACGTGCCGCATCCGCACATCCTCGGGTTCAGACATACCCCGATCCGGACCTACCGCTTCTTCACCCGCCGCGACCTCGCCGACAGCGTCGGGCGCGCGACAGCAGCTGTCGCGCTGAACAATACGCGGCCGTTTGTTTCGCGGATCGATGTCGACGCGGGGAAGCATGAGGAGGATGAGTGGCCGACGAAGTGGAAGCAGACGGGGTTGGAGAGGGGGTCGGAGTGGATGCAGGACGTGGTGGTGGACGAGAGAGTGGTGGAGAAGTTGAGGGTGTATGAGGTACCTGCCGAGTTTGACGAGCAGAGTCCATCTACGAACGAGAATTAACTGTATATAGAGAATTGTAAATAACAACCGTTAACATCACCAAGCGCATTGACTAGACAACGTAAAAAATGTACAATCTAATGTACAATCTTCGACGCCTCCTCCTCCCCAAGTTCCTTCACAATCACTTTTTCCAGCAACAGCTCCTTGCTCGTCCACAGATCTTCTTTCAACTTGTTTACTCGATCGAGCTCTTCTTGAAGTTGTCCGTGCAGTTCGCCCGCCCACGCCAGTTTCCGCTTCAAGTACCGCGCCAGCTCCGCCTGTGGCTTTTGCGACTCGTCGCCGTCTAACCCGTCCTCATTGCCAGCAGCTGTTTCTCCTGCAGCATCATCAGCACCAGTAGCAGCCTCCCCCTCGTCCTTCTTACTACTGCGCAGCTCGCGTTCGCGCGCGCGGTAGGTTCTGAGAACGGACTCGTAGTCCTCTGCGGTTTTCGAGCTCATCTTAGGGGGCCCTGATGGTTCTGTTTTTGGGATTGCTTCGCGGATCGCTTCTGCTTCGTGGACTGTGCGCATGTGTTTTGCGAGCGCGTCTGATCTTGTGAAGCTTCTGTCGCATTCTAGAGAGTTGTTAGATGTGTAGATATAAGAGTGGAGAATAGAGATAAAAGGAGGAGTACCCGGGACGTTACAGTAGAACGGCTTCTCGCCGGTGTGACTTCGCATATGAGCGACGAGAGCAAACCGCGACGTCTGGCTGAGCCCGCGCCGCGGACAATCCTGCCACTCGCACGCGTACTTTGGTCTCCGGTTCCCGACGTGTTCGTCGTGGATGTGCTTCACGAGATTATCCATATTCCCGCAGTCCTCGAAACACCCTTCCCAGCGACAGACCGTGACCTGGTCGAGATTGTCGTCGTTCACCCCCGGCGATCCGGGCACGGATCCGAGGGTGTCTTCAGAGATGTCGGAGATCGCGGAGCCGTTGGGGGACAGAGGCGGGTGCTCTGCCAGGCCGTTGGGTTCGGACTCGTCTGGCGAACTGGCGTCTGATGCGGGTGAGCGGTCCCTCTTTGCCATTCTGATCTGTTTCTGATCTGTTTGGGTCGCAATCAGCGCATTCTCTGCTGTTCTGTCTTTGTTATCAACTTCTCTCTGCTCTTCTTTACTGAAACAACAGCAGCTCAGCAAGACGCAGACCGCTGAGTGACGATGGCCGATGGGGGCCGGTGCGGCGCTGGCGTTGCGCTGTGCCCAGAATTACGCAGTCACGTGCTGACACCTGCGACATCACCGCCGTTGCCTCTCGAGAGAAGAAGAAGAAGAAGAAGACGTATCGCAGCAAAGATGTCGGGAGCAGCAGCAGAGCCAGTGAAAGAACTAGAAACAGAGAAGGAGGAGACAGAGAGCGTGTCGTCGTCCTCAGCATCACAGCGACGCACGTTCGGGTCATCGGTGCTTCAAGGCCTGCAACTCGTCGGCTCGGTGATCAAGTTCAGCGCTATTCAGCTCGTGTTTCCGTTCGTGAACGGAATGATGATTGGATTTGGCGAGATCTTTGCGAACGAGCTTGGGATCCGGTGGGGGTTTTTGGGCGCACATGTGAGTAGCTGTTGCTGATGTTACTAGTAGTGGGGGAGGTGGATCAGGAAGAGCTGACTGTAGATATCTAGGCCCATCCGATGCGGATAAATATACGAAACAGGGTCGAGCAGCGGTTACTGGAAGAGGAAAAGAAAAGGTCATAAAGAGATATTCTAATTGTACATATATATAAACGATATACTATTGATATTTACAAATGCTTTACGAGCGCGCGCGCTGCTTCTTCTTGACTACGCGCACGGGAGTCACCGGCTTCACCATCCGCGGCGGCTTGACGACCTTCGGCTCGGGGTTGGCCTGTGCCTGTGCTCGCTCCTTTGCGTCCGCCCACATGGTCTTGTACTGCTCCGTGATTGAGGTCTGCGAGGAGGCTTTCTCGGCCACTTGCGCCTTGACGAAGATGTCCTCGGGGATGTCCATCATGCGTCTGAAATACGCGGTGCGCATGAACAAGGTCTGCAGCATAGCCAAGAAGCCAGTGATGCTGAAGAAGAGCACGTTCGCGGCACTGTACCAGAGACCCATACCGATCATCATCGCCGGCGGGATGTAGGTCATTGCCGTCCGCATGGTGGGACCCATATTCGACGCGTTTCCCATCTCACCACCGAGCTTGAAACCGGTGTACATCGTAGCGGCCGAGATCAGACTGAGGCCGAGGTAGGGGTCCGTCGCGGCCAGGTCCTGGAACCAGAGCGCGCCCTCGGTGGTCATGCCCGCGACAGGCACTTCGGCCATCTTCTTGATCGCCATGAAGAAGCCGTACGCGATCGGGATCTGCGCGACACCTCCCGCGACGACCATCGGCATGCTAATCCCGTGCATCTTGCCCAATTTCGACATTCGCAATTGCGCAATTGCTTTCTCCTGCGGCGTGGCCGCGCCGCGCATCTGCTCCTGCAGCTTGTTCATCATCGGCTTGACGACCTTGAACTTCATGTTCATCTTGTAGGACTTGAACACGAGCGGCAGCAGAATGATACGCGACGCAGCACCGAGCGCGACGATCGTCGCCCACCACGGCATGCCGGTGTAGGCGTGCACGTACTCCATCGCGTGCAGGCAGAGGTCTGTAGGCCACAGCCATCCCTGCGCGAGGCCGAGCGATTCAAAGTAGCCGATTTCGTTTCCGGCCAGCGTAGGTGCTGCCTCTGCTACAGCCTGCACGACCGACGCTGTCGAGTCGGGCGCGGTTGTCGCCGCGGTTGTCGCAGCGGAGACGGCGTCGGATTTGTATCGCTGCGGGAGTATGCTCTGTGGACGGAGTATGCTCTGGGGCCTTCGCGCGGAGAATGCGGTCAGGTTGCGGGCCTGTACTGTTAGAAGAAGTGTAATGATAAGAAAGAAGAGAGAAGACATACAGAGAGCACCCTGCTGCACCTCGAGAAGTTCATGGTCGATATAGTCGAGATATCTGCCTGTTTCCTGTTCGATATCGCAGAGTCGAGTAAAAAATACTGAGAGCCACAACAGCAGTGCACTTAGAGCCACAACCGGCTCTTGAAGGAGTGTTTGGAGGAACTCTCCGAGCCGCACTCTGCTCGCCGGATATCGTCATCGCGGTCTTCTACAAGCATTCGACCTCCTTCACATCCACAGCTGGGCTCAATTGGCTTCGACGGTGTTGAAGATGCACGACGCTGCGAGTATGTTCTTCTTCTATTGTCTCTTGCTGTAGTGTGTTTGGCGAAGAACAAAGTACTAACTCCCCAGCCCACTCCTTCCTCTCCCAGATCCCGCTCATCATCTCCCCGTTCCTAAAAGTCCCCCAACCCGTCTCTCTTCCACTCAACTATGCCCCTCTCCCGCGCGCACTCCCGCCCTCCTCCGCCGCTCTCTTCAGCGAAGTCAAGACCATCCTCGCTTCCGTCGAGGACCAGAAGAAGCAGGTCGTCGACCGCCACGAGCATGCGAAGCGGGTCGTCGCAAAGTGGGAGGAGCAGATAAGCCAGGCCGAGACCATGCATCAGCGCCAGATCGCGCCGGGCTACCTCGACTCAAAAGTCCACATCCTCGAGCCCAGGCATCTCGACGATCCCTCGTCTACTGCATCGCCTGTCCTGTCTGCCGCCTCTGTCGCGCCACCGCAGACTACCGCTCCCGTGCAGCCTACGCCTATCCATGCTGCTACCTTTGCTGACTACAGCGCGCCGGCTGCTCCTACCCCGGCACCGGCCCAGCAGTCGTTGATTTCTGTGCCGCCTACGCCTGCACCGCAGTATGGCTATGACCGAGCTTACTCATCGCCTGTGTATGTCCATCTTTTCTTCCTCATTCGCCTTGTGTAGATGCTAATCTATCTACAGCTACGCTCCTCCTCCCCAGCAGCAGATGTACACTTCTCCCCCCGTCCAATCTCCAAAAGTCCCACCCTCCCTCTCCCACTCCGCCTCCTTCCACAGCGAAGCCTCGGTCTACCAATCCCAGTCCTCGATCTACGACCCTCCATCCTACCAATCCCACCAACCCCCCATCCCCGAGCCTTCCCCCGCCTTCTCGCGACGACCCACCGCCCAGCGCCAAGTCTCGTCCTCCGCCCACTCCGTCAGATCTGGCTCGCCCGCTCCCCCGGGCCCCCCGCTCCCTCCTCGCCCGCCTTACGAGCTCATCCATCGTCCTCTGCGTCTATCCACCATGCGCAAGCCGACCATCGGAGAATTCCCATGGGCCCGCGCAGCCGCTGAAGCAGCTCGCTCGCTCCGCGGCGGCGACGCAGGTCGTCCGCCTCCTGCTGGAGGCTACGGCTCGGTCGCAGCCGAACAGCCGTACTCTCTCCAGCGAACCGATTCGAATCGCACGGACGTCTCGACCCTGTACGAGACGCCTGCGTTTAGACGGTCTTCGCTCCCGAGATTAGACTCGTACCGCGGACGGGATTCTAGTTTCGGATCTCTCGACGCGAAGCTGAGCGAATACCTCGGCCGTCCACCGACTGTCGATTCAGAATTGCCAAAGTACACGTCCTCGACGCGAACGACTCTCGATCCGCTTCCGGAGAAGAGTACTTTCGAACCCAGCTATCTCCGCGACTATTCCCCTCCACCACCGCCTGCCGCTGAGACCGCCCAGCTTATCGATCTCGACGACGAGGAGCCGGCGCCGCTTCAGTCTCCTAAACCGTCTTCAGAGCTCATCGGTAATACCTCCCCCGAGCCCACTTTCGATGCTGCGGCACCGGGTCCCGAGTCTGTCTCTGCTGATGGCTTGCCTGCGTATCTCTCTACAGAGTCAGCAGGGAACTTGTACCCCAGCGTGGATAGTAAAGTGCCGTTTTCTGGAGATTATCTAGACGCTCCTGCGAATGAAACCGCAGATCTGCATGAGACTGAAGTGGCTAAGCCTTCTGCGGAAAGTGACGATGACTTTGACTTTGAAGAATTGATGAAGCCGCAGTCGTCTGCTTCTCTGCTCGCGAGACCGCAGGAGACCGAGCCGGAGGTCGACGCCGTCGCTGCAGCTGATCTGCCGGATGAGAGAGCATTCCCAGAAGATGCTGAAGCTGAAGCTGCTGATGCTGATGCTGATGCTGAACCTTCAGAAACTGCGCCGGCAGGTGAGGAAGACGAGGCGGCTATTGATGCGATGCTGAAAGCGCTGCAGGACGAGATCGACGAGGAAGAGCGCGCGGAAGCTAGAGCGAAGCGCGAAGCCCGTCGGCAGGCGCTGGCGGCGAAGGCAGCGGCTGAGGCAGCGGCTGCTGCTGAATCTGAGCAGGCTGAAGGCGATGAGGAGCATACTGGTGATGCTGTGTTTATTCAGACTGCGGATGATGAGGCTGCGGAGGCGAAGCCTTCTGCTGAGGAGGAGGAGATTGTTGATGAAAAGGTTCCCGGTGAGGATGAGGAAGTTGCCGAAGTAGTCCCCACCGAGAGCAACGAAGAACTCAAAACCCCCGAAGAATACGAACGCGCGACGGACGCGCACGCAGACGAGTACGAAGACGCAGCAGCAGCCGCAGCAGCAGCAGATTCTGACCTGAACCTGACCGCGACCGACTTTTACTCGCGCGCGGAGTCCGACATGGCGGGGTCGACTGAGATTGCGGAGAAAGACGAGGACTCGGTCGAGGATCTGTCGGAGGCGCAGGCGATTCGGAATTTGGGGCAGTATGAGGATCAGCCGGGGAAGACGGTGTCGGTGAGAGGGAGGAAGGCGGATGAGATTGAGCTTGATGAGTTGAAGAGTAAAGTTCCTGAGGTTGAGGTAGAGGAGCAGACGGAGGTGGTTGAAGGTGAGGTGATTGAAAGTCAGCAGGAAGGAGCTGAGGAAGTCGCTTCAGAGACGCAGGAAGAAGACATCGACAGCGACGAAACCGGCAAAGACTACGAAATCATCAGCATGCCCTCCTCCGACTCCGAAGAGCACGGAATCCCACCCGCGCCCACCACCACAGCTGAAGAAGACATCGCGCCGGCGGAGGAAGAGTTTGAAGACCGACGCGGGCTGGAGTATGAGTCTGATTTGATTGCGAATGAGTGGGGAAGCGTTGTGCCGGATAGTTTTGGCGATGGGTATTATGGAGGGTATAGAGCTCAGGAGACGGCGCCGGTTGCTGCTGAGACTACGAATGAGCCTGGAGAGGTGGCTGTCGAAGATGCTCAGCCTAGTGTTGATGGCGCGGTCGAGTCAGATGTTGATGGTGCGGCTGATGACGCGGATGAAACCCCAGAGGCTGTCGCCGAGCAAGCCGTTGATGAGCCAGAACTCGCTGAAGAGATCTCGGAAGCTCCTGAGACTGACGAGCTAGCTGCAGAAACGGAAGAGACCGCCGAGCCTGAAGAGACCTTAAACCCTGAAGAGACCTCCGAGCCTGAAGCGACCTCCGAACCCGAACAAACTGCAGAGGAAGAGACTGATGCCAAGCCTTCTGACTCAAGCGACGGTGGTGTCGAAGAGGAGGTTATCGACGGTGATGCATTGGATGAAGAAGAAACGGCGGTTGCGGATGAAGGTACTTTCGAGCCGGCGATCGATGTCGAGGAAGAATCGACTGAAACGACAGAGACCGCTGAAGTCGCAGAAAAAACTCCTGATGCTGTCGATGTCGATGAGGAGTTGGATGAGAGTGAGGGAGTTGAAGAACCGGTAGAGGAAACTCCTGATGTTGTCGAGGTCTCTGAGGAGGTGGATGAGTCTGCGAAGGTCGATGTCTCTGAGGATGTCAATGAGCCCGAGAAGGTCGATGAGACTGAGGAGGGTGAAGAGTCTGCGGAGGAGGCGGATGACACTGAGCCCGCCGTTGTGACTGAGCAGGTAGCCGTGCCTGATGAGCAGCTGGTTGAGGGCACTCTCACTAGCGAAGAAGCTGTCGAGGAAGGTACTCCCGATGCCGTTGAGCCTATTGATGCGGAAGAGACCTCAGCGTCAACGGTCGTCGCCGACGATCTGGGAGCAACTTCAATCGCGGAAGCGCCTGTATCTGAGGAGGTTGAGGACACTCCTACCGAAGAAGTGTCTGAGGAAACTGTTCAGGAAGAAGAAGCTGTGGTTGAGGAAGAAGATGCTGCTGAGGCAAAATCAGACGCTGAGCCCGAGGAGACTGCAGATGACGCTGAGCCTGAGGGATCTGCAGTTGAAGAAAGTGCAGCCGTGACTGACGAGACAGCGACAGCAGAGGAGGAATCAGTTACCTCCGCGGGTGTAGATATCAAGGAGGCAAGTGAAGTTGCCGAACAGGACGAAGAAGAGGCGGAGGAGAGCGATGGAGCGAGTGAAGCATAGAGAAGTTTGGTTTAATAGTTTTGTTTATGTTGTGGAGGATGTTTTTGGTAGTTTGTGCATGTGGGGGGAGTAAATACTTCAATTATTTTGTACATCTTTGTCTATGTAATTTTGAGTCGATTCCATCTATATTTCTTACACTGATAATCATACACTCCGACCTTTTTCTTTACTTCGCGGAAAGCTACTCGGCATCCTGCATCGGCGGCGGAAGATACGCAAACGTCAAGTACGACGTATGTGTCTTCAACTCAGCCTCTACCTTCGACACGTTTTTCCACTCATACCCTTCGTCGCCCTCATGGATCCGCTTCCCTTTTCCCCAAGGATTATAATCCGTCGGCAGCGGCGCGACCGACTCTGACCCCGCCGCTGCCGCAGTGACCTCCGCATCCGGTTCCCGCCCCGCTGCAGCCGCCCTCTCGGCCTCGACCCTCGCGTTACGCTTATTCAACCCCGCCGTTCGTTTCCGCTTGATGTCACGTAACCGCTCGATCGCGTCCTCGGGCTTGCGCACCATCTCCTTGTGCGCTTCCCAGCGCTTACAGCTAACCTCGACCATCTCGATATCGAGCCACTGATCCTTCTGCAGCGCTTCGATAGTGCGATGGACTTGCTCCATGCACGGCGAGAAGCAGCAGATCCGCGTGATTTTCGACTTGGCCACTACCGTCTTCAGATGCGGGATCGCTTCCCACGGCGCGGGCAGGTCGAGGAATACGGCGGAGGCGTCGAGTGTTTCGCCGCACGAGTGCGCGAACCCGTTCTTGCACACGTCGCCGTGCGTGGGCTTCACCACCGATGAAAGGCCGTGCTCGGCGATCTCCTGCGCGGCCATCTGGTACCGCGGCTCGTGGAATTCAAACGTCCACACGCGGCCCTTGCGCCCTACCGTCCTTGCGAGCGCATGCGTGAAACTCGCGCTGCCGGTACCGGCTTCAATCACTTTCGTTCCCGGCCTGATCCGTAGTCGCTGCGCGATATACGACGCGTCGGGGGTATACACGATCTGCGTGCGGTGCGGCAGCGAGAGACTCCACAGCTCAGGCGACGGGTGCAGCACGTGGATGTACCCCGTCTGCGTCGCCGACGAGGATGGGATCTGCGAGCCGTATTTCGACGCGAGGATGTGGTTGTGTTGGAACGAGCCGAAGCGGGTGTGGAACGCGCCGTTTGCCGTCGGCCGGATTGGCTTTGTGTTGTCGCGAGTGAGCCAGGCGAGGACGAGGTCGTTGTCTTGGATGGAGGTCGAGAAGTCTAGGAACGGGGATCTTTCTTGGGTCTTCTCCTCCTGCTCCTCCTCCTTCTTCTCAACAGTCTGCTCGACCGCTTCTGTTGCTTTTATCTGCTCTGTCATCCTGTGCTGTAGTTCTGTGGAGAAGCAGATGATTATCAACCTGCAAACAGAAGGAAATCTGAAAATCTGAAAATCTTTTGGGAGTTTAGCCTGGCTCAGGGGCGAGATGGAACTCTATTTTACCCTACGGAAAGTCAGAAACCCTACGCGCCCTACAACTATTACTACTACTGTGAACATGTACAATATCATAATAATCCTGGTCTATATAGTTACTACAAAACACTCAGAGAAGCCTACGTTTATTTTTTTTTCTTTGGGGTTTTACAATACGGTACCGCTCCACGCGTACTCTTCGTTTCCGTCAGTCACCATACAAAAACAGTAACCCCCGTGCAGAGCTAAAGAAAGGCCGACAGCCACATTCACAGCAACAGACAGGGAAGACAGAACAGAAAAGCACGCTTAGAGCGGCAGGTGCCAGGATCGGGGAGAATGCGTTACGCATACTCTTGAACAAGAATGCTCAAGAGTTATGTGGGACTCTGCGACTCTCGAAATCGCCATACCCACTAAAACCCGACTTCACCCAGAAGACAGTCATAGACTGCCCCCGTATTGGTGCATTGTCAACGTTGCGCTTGAACCGCTTGGTCGTGCGGACTCTCTTCAACAACCGTCGCCTCGGGGCTCCCTTGCGACGGCGACTTACCAGTTGCATTTGTCAAAGAGACGCGACAACGAAGACGTTTTAAATCCAATGAGCAACCTGGCTAAAGAAGAAGCTCATCTGATTGACCGCCCTGACCAACCGCGTCCACCCTGAACTGGCAGGATCCTCGGCGCGTACATGAGACGGCCACGCAGACGGACCGGGTCGACAACGGCACTGTAGTGCCTTCGAGCGAACTCACCCGGTATCTGCGCGCAGGCCATATACCAGACCGCTTGGTCGAGTAAACTTCTCTCCCCCTCTTCTCTCGCATGCATGGCACGACGCCCACTCTTGAGGGTGTGCAACCGCGAAACTATCGGAATATGCAACTCCCTATTTTCCCGAGGTCCTGCCACAGAAAGCAAGATCTACCTGCTGCGGTATATGCAACTCTTGGAGAACGCTACCAGGATATTTTGCTACCCTGAAAGGCGCGCTATCTGCTCCAGTCATAGCAGCCCGAGAGAGTGCTACCTTACGCGGAGTAGGCTGCTCCCAGTACAAGAACGCTACCCACGCGATGTAGTTTCTCTGGAGATGCTCATGGAACAGCGCAGTCTACACTTTGAGAATACTACCACTTCGGTATATGACGTCCTCTAAGAGTGCTACCTGCGCTGTACGGGCCGCTTTCTGGCGACTTCACGAGGTGCCACGCATGCGATTAAAGAAAGAAAGATCAAAGCTTACTCTCATCAATCTCCGCCGAATGTTCTTGTCGTCGAGAGAGAGCCGAAATGTCGTTCGTCTCGGTCTGTTGCTGGGAAACAGAATGTCGTTTTGTCTCGGTCTGTTGCTGAAAAACAGAATGTCGTTCGTCTCGGTCTGTTGCTGGGAAACAGAATGTCGTTTTGTCTCGGTCTGTTGCTGAAAAACAGAATGTCGTTCGTCTCGGTCTGTTGCTGAAAAACAGAAATGTCGTTCGTCTCGGCCTGTTGCTGGGAAACAGACCGGATATTCGTCGTAGAAGGGACCGTGCCGATAACGGATTTTGTCCAGGCAGGTCATATACCATCGAGTAAGCTCCTCTCTCCCCCTCTTCTCTCGCACGCATGGCACGACGCCCACTCTTGAGGGTGTGCAACCGCGAAACTATCGGAATATGCAACTCCCTATTTTCCCGAGGTCCTGCCACAGAAAGCAAGATCTACCTGCTGCGGTATATGCAACTCTTGGAGAACGCTACCTGGATATTTTGCTACCCTGAAAGGCGCGCTATCTGCTCCAGTCATAACAGCCCGAGAGAGTGCTACCTGGTGCGGGGGAGGTTGCTCTCAGTACGAGAGCGCTACCCACGCATAGGCAGTTTCTCTGGAGATGCTCATGGAACAGCGCAGTCTACACTTTGAGAATACTACCACTTCGGTATATGCCACCCTCTAAGAGTGCTACCTGCGCAGTATAGGCTGCTTTCTGGCGACTTCACGAGGTGCCACGCATGCGATCAAAGAAAGAAAGATCAAAGCCTACCCTCATCAACCTCCGCCTAACCTTTTCGCCGTCGAAAGAGAGCCGCGGGATGCCGATAATCCCGATCTATTGCTGGGAAATAGATCAAATCGCTGGGGTGGGACAGGAGCCGAAAACCTGTCCCGGGGGAGGAAGAAGAAGAAGGGAGAAGAGAGGGAAGAAGGGCGGGGGCGCGCTGAAATGTGCGGATCGCGGTTCGGGCGGGCGCGTGTCTGGTATAATAGGGTTTCTGGTTTTGGCCGAAAGTAAACACACTTAACGCGCCGCCCATTTCGTGATTTTTTTGGTTTACGGATAAATATCACGCTCAGTCAATCGTTCGGATACGTCTGACGACATTACGTAAAATAAATGAGAGTGTCGCGTTGTATTGTGGTCTATGCACAGTAGAGACAACTATCGTTCATTGATACTTGCTTTCGTCGCTCGGCAGCAAGTTCAGGGAACAATACGCCTGTTTCGAACAATCAATGTCCTATTAGTTACTATTACTATTAACAGAGAAAATTGATATTAAAGTGCATTAGAAAGATACAACAAACATGAGACGCACTCATCTCAGTACTGCCTGATATTAATTATTACAACACCTACTTCTTCTCCTTCGGATACAGCTCTCTCACTACGTACTTGAGCAGGTTGTCCAACTCGCCCACGCGCTTCTCCATCTTCTCCGCCACTTCCGCACGCGTGAGCCCCGACACTCTACGTTCAGGAAGCGCGCACTCGTCCCCTTTGAGTCCAACCATGACAAACTTACTCTCCAGCGGCGCCTCTTCTTTCGCTTCGGAGTGCGAAGCAGATACATCGCGGATAAACGATCCGATCTCGGTCATGCTCTTGAAAACAGAGGGGTTGTCTTTGCCCAGGAAGTGGAACACGTGTGGGAGTTTCTCGTGGTAGTAGAGGTAGGTCGGGTTTCCTGCCTCTTTGTAGAATTTGGCGAATAGGACTGCAGAGTTGTTAGATGGGGATAGTGTGTAGAAGTAGAGAGCGATAGGCTTACTTGCTGCGTCTCGAAGACGCTCTTCCGAGACTACGATCAAGATCGGGCATGCGCCTGCCCAGCTGGGCGTGTTGATGGGCGACGCAAACGGGTGGGTGATTGCGTTATTCTCAGCGTAAGGCTATATCTGTCAGTCACCATTCACAACACCTCAAACAAAATCAATAATGATAACGCACCCAGTATCGCCCATTCTCTGCCGGCCACACCGCGCTCTTTTTAATCTGCGGATAGAAATTCGAGCCGGGGATATAATCAAACTTCTCAATCTCCTTTGACGACTCGGACGGCAAACACCTCGTCATATCCACAAACGGCGATATCGCGACAATCCCCGCCGGCACCGGCACCCGCTTCTCCGCCATCTGCCCGTAGAGAATCGTCGCCAGCGTCGCGAGGTTGACGGCGCCACCGGAGGAGTCGCCTGCGAAACAGATCTGCGTGCAGGGGACCTTGAGGGTTTCGAGTACGTACATGTATGCGACGAAGAAGTCTGTGATTGAGGCTGGCATCGGTGACTGCGGTGCCAAGCGGTAGTCTACCGAGAGCACGCGGGCGTTTGCAAACTCGGCAAACATAGAAGTCATGAACCGGTGCGCGGAGGCGGAGCCCATGTAGTGTGCGCCGCCGTGGGCGTAGATCACGACGATATCGTCCTTTGCGCAAGTAAACTTATCTTCCTTGTTCTCGCGGCCGTGGATCACCCATTCCGCACGTACGTCAGCCAGCGAGGGCGCGTCGATCGTAGGCTCATTGACGCCTGCCTCTGCCGCGAGTTTTGAGCACGCCTGCGCCACCGTTCCGAGGACAAACTCAGCATCAGAGCCGGTCGGCGCGGGGATGCAGCAGTCGATTATCTCGATCTTGTCGTTATTCAGCGGCAGGCCCCGCTGACTCAGTTCCTGGATCTGCTCGACCGTCTTGCCGACGGGGTTCATGAACTGGCGCACGGCGGAGACAAAGAGATGCGTGCGCAGGTCCCAGCCGTGTTTTGCGTTGCGCAGGTAGGCGGCGTGCATGGCGGCTTCGTAGGCGAGGTAGGCGCCTAGTTTGGCGGTCGAGAGTTTGTCGGACAGGCTGAGTTTCGGGGCGGGTGCGGTTGGAGGGACGATGTCTTGCTTCTCGACGGTTGCGGATGTGGACGATGCTGGAGTGGGAGTGTGAGTGGGAGTCTGAGTCTCGGCTGGAGTCTGAGCTGAAGACTCAGCAGCAGCTGGCTGTTCCACTGCGGAGGACATTGTGTACTGTCTATGTCTATTGTGTATCGTCTATAGTTGATGAGGAAGTAGAAGACAGAGGAACGGTCGAGATGTCTTCGAGGTCTGGCCTCGTTAAAGGCCCGAACGGAGTTAGTCGGTTTCCCCTGAGCTCGTCAATGAACCTTAAACCTTATCCTTATCATCTCCCTCTGCCTACGTTATCATCTATAATTGATATGATAACCAGGTCTATTCTATTTTGGATACCTCTTCTCATACGGTGTTGCGGTCTGAAATATATATGAATGACCGACAAAAAAATAAACAGAGACAAGACGCAAATGCTACCACTTCCAAACCACAGTTCCAAAACAGCGTACGAGACGTACAAAAAACCAAAAGCGTTGATGAATCGATACAGCAGAACAAACGTCAAGACTGTCTCGACAATAACAAAATGCACTTTTCCTCCACCGAGTCGGCTACACAAACTCAGCTTCCTCCTCTCGAACCGGTTCCGCAGCTGCTGCTGCTGCAGCAATCGCTTCCTCCTCGTCGTCTTCCTTGCGTTTCAATTTCGACCCGTTCGTAAACATCGATGCGAAAAGCGCGATTGCGCACGCAATCGTCGACGCCCAAAAGCATCGTCGGAGCGAGTACGTGTATCCGTCGACGACCAGTCGCTGCGTCTCTGGCTCGAGCTCGTGGATCGCCGTCACAGAGTGAATCACGCGGTCAACAAGCTCGTCGCGGTTCGGCAGGTTCTTGAGCATCTCGGGAAGAATCTTCGTGAGCGAGTTTTGGTTGATTGAGTTTGAGATCGCGACGCCGAGGACGAGTCCGATCGAGCGGACGAGGTAGCAAGTACCTGTCGCGACGGCGTGGTCGACGCGCGAAAAGTGCGCGAGCATGCTGAACAGGACGGCGGGAATGAGGAGCGAGTTGCCAAACTGCGTCGGCATGAGGAAAAACACAAACTGCCATTTCGGCGAGTCCGGACCAAAGCTGGCGACAAGGCGGCAGCCGATGAGCATGATTAGCGTGCCGATCTTCATCAGCGTGGCCAGGTGTCCCCATTTCGACATGATGACGCCGGTGGTGATTGAACCAATGATGCCAACCAACGAAGGCACAATCAAGCGCGCGCCAGACACAGAGGCAGGGTCGAGGTTGACGGCCTGGAAGAAGAGCGGGAGCATAAACAGCTGCGAGTTGTTTGCGATTCCGGTGAAGAACGTGCAGGTCAAGCTGCTGATCGGCAGACGGCCTTTGAGAATCCGCAGCGGCATCACGGGCATTCGCGCCACTTTACCCTCAATAAAAACAAACGCCGAGAGCATAATCACCGCGGACGCGCCAAAGCCGAGCACTTTCGGATCCGTCCAGGCGTACTCGTTGCCGCCCATGCTGAGACACGCGAGAAGGCTCGAGAGTCCGGTGACGAGGGTTATACTGCCGCCAAAGTCGATGTTGCTGATTTTGTTTGCCGAGATGGGCCCGGAGTAAGGTGGGTTGATGATGTACATGTATCCGAGGATGATTGAGATCAAAAAGATGGGCAGCTGCACGATAAACACGTAGCGCCAGCCAAAGGCGTCGGCAATCAAGCCCGCGGTGGACGCGCCGGTGACACTGCCGAAACCCCAGCAAAAGTTGAGCGCGGACTGGTAGATGCCGCGGAGGCGGAAGGGGACCATGTCGGAGAGGATGATGGTGCCGAGGGTGACGAGGCCGCCGCCGCCGACGCCGGTGATTGCGCGCGCGATGTTGAGGGTCATGAGCGAGGTCGCCATTGAGCAGCCGAGGGTGCCGATGAAGAAGACGGAGATGGCGAAAAGGAAGCAGATACGGCGGCCGACGATGTCGGAGAAGCGGCCGTAGAGGGGTTGGAAGGCGGTCGAGGAGATGAGGTAGGAGGTGCTTATCCAGCTGACGTTGTTTGCGGCGTTGAACTCGGAGCCGATGAGGGCGTAAGTGCTGGCGGTGCAGCTCGAGTCCCAGCCGGTGAGGAAGACGTTTGTGCAGGTCACGAGCTGGACCATCCGCAGACGCAGCGTCGGGGTCCAGTTCGGCGAATGCGGGCTGACGTAGTCTGGCGGCATCTTGGAGGGGCCGTAGTCGGCGGCGTCGGCGCCCATGAGCGGGGAGTCTTCGCTTGTGGATTTGCGGGGGAAGATGTCGTCGTCGTCGCTCTCGACGTCGGTCTCGAGCTCGATGGCGAGCGAGTCGTTGTCGGACGAGTCGGTCCCGGCGTCGTATATCTCTGCCGGGTTCAGGCCGCGCATGGGCAGGCCGCCGGCGGGGCGGGAGCCGTAGGAGAGCGGGATTATGGGTTCGGAGACTTCATCTTCGGCTGTGAGGGGGTCTGCGTCGGAGAGGGGTTCGCGGGAGTTGTAATTTGACATCTGAGCGGTTAGACTGAGAGGTAGAGAGGAGGAGGAGGAGGAGGAGGAAGAAAGGCACGCGCCTGGGAAGATAGAGAGTACTTACGATGAAGAATGAAGAGAGAGTGAGGATGAGAGTCACCCGAGGAAGATAACTGACGGTGCCAGAGTAGAGGAGGAAGCAGGCACGCGACGGAGGTAGGTATAAAGAGCGGGAGGAAGAGGAGATAGTGAGGAAGAGGAGGAGTAGATGGACGATAGCTGGCAGACGGTGCAGGCGTAGTTCGAAACCTTATCTGGCGGCACCTTTCTATTTTTTGAATTGTCTAATTTCTTGTATTATTCATATGTAATTGTAATGGTAGTTGTTGTTTTGTAATGAATTATAATAGTAATGCTATAGTAGTAATACACAGAATGTGCTTATCAAGTACATCGCGCCATCAGGCAAAACAGCCGTCTAATCGCGTAATCGGCTCTGCTCGCTCTTCGCAGCGGCGCAAAGAGACCTCGTTCGCGAAGATTTCATATCTGCCCGCTGCTCCTCGGCTGTTCGGACGGCGTTGGATGGTTATAGTGATTGTATTTGTCTTCTCGTTGGATATTAGAGATTGTGGATGAGTGTGTGATATTGTATTGTTAATATCTGTAGACTACTCTTATGTTCATCGCTCGTTAACTACAGTCCGTCGCTATCGTTATCGCTATCGGTCGGCAGAGATGACACCTACGGAGAATAAAGGCTACCCCGGGAAATCTAGACAAATACAAGAAATGTAGTTGCAATGCATCAATGCGATAAATATACAATAAGTAAACCAAACTGACTAGTTACTCAACTGTAATTGAGCTGTTTCTGCTGTCTCTGGCTCTGCTCTGCTCTGCTCGGTGCTCAGTCTCCAGCCAGGACAGTGCTCACCACCACCAGCACCGCAGCACCACCTCCTCCACCATCACTGCTCCTCCCTCGACATCAGAAAATGCCAATTACCCCCTTCTCCAAACACCTCCTCCGTTCCCTGTCTCCATCAACCACCGTCTGCCGCAGTTCTCTTATCCGCGCACCCGGGAACCCTATCGCGCACCTCCGCTTCCGAGCCCTTCCCGCCGCCGCTCCTCGTCTTCTGTCCTCGACTTGCTCTTCTTCCTCCTCCACTCAACTCCGCGCTCGCTGCACACTTCCCCTGTCTGCTCCTGTTTCTACTACTACCCTCAGATCCTTCTCTCAATCTTCCTCTTTATCGTCCAAAATGGTGCAAGTCGCGTTCCTCGGTCTTGGTAACATGGGTGCCGTAAGTCATGCAATCCTTGTCCTTACTTATTACGTCATGAGCAACTCGCATGCTCTTCTCTTCACCAATTCATCCTCAATTGCGTTCAAATTACATTCATTGATAAAGAAGATGACAATTGACATCTCTCCAGGGCATGGCATCCAACCTGATCTCCAAAGGCAACCTCGACCCTCCCCTTCTTCTCTGGAACAGATCGGCCGAGAAAGCAAAGGCCTTCGCCGAAGGCAAATCCGTGACCCTCGCCTCCTCGCTCGAGGAAGCCGTCGCAAAGGCAGACATCATCTTCTCCTGCATCTCCAATGACGCCGCCGTCGAGAGCGTCTACGAAACCGCCCTCAAGATCCCCGACGGCGTCAAGGGCAAGATCTTCGCCGAGTGCTCCACCATCCATCCTGACACCACCCGCGGCCTCGAGAAAGCCACCAAGGCCGCCGGCGGACTGTTTGTCGCCGCGCCCGTCTTTGGCGCGCCTGCGATGGCGAACGCGGGTATGCTTGTCTTTGTCCTCGCGGGATCAAAGGCCGGGATCGAGTCCATCAAGCCCTACCTCGACGGCGTCATGGGCCGCATGTCCATCGATCTCTCGGACGACCCTGATGTCGGAAAAGCACTCACCTTGAAAGTCATCGGCAACACCGTCATCCTCGGCATGGTCGAGTCCTTGTCGGAAGGCCATGTCTTGTCCGAGAAGACCGGTCTCGGAACCGAGAACTTTGAAAAGTTCATTACCGCGATGTTTGGACAGTCGCCGTATCTGCCTTACAGCAAGCGTCTTACTGGTGGTGATTACGTCCGCGATAAGCCTTTGTTTGGCGCCGATCTGGCTGCTAAGGATGCCCGGTATGTCCCTGTCTCTTCTTTCCCCGCTGTCTCTATTTACTCCTTTCTCACGTCGCTCTCTCTTTTTACTCTTACTAATTTTAACATACATATAGACACGCACTCAGCCTGGCAAAGTCATCAGGCACAACGATGCCGATTGTCGAAATCGCCGCGCAGCACCTCAAAGAGGTCGAGGAAGAGCTCGGCCCGAAGGGAGACATTGCTTCGATCTACGGTGTCGTGCGTAAGAAAGCTGGTCTTCCTTTTATCGAGAAGAAGTGATTTCTTTTGTGTGATTATAATTCAGTAGGAATTGAATAAATGTATAGTTATCATAGTAAATGGGTGGATCTGTAGTTAAGAAGTGTAGTAGCCCATCTGAGCCGCAGGGTAGAATTATCCCAAAAAATTCACAATCGCCAGATATTCTGATTCTGATTTCTGATACTCTGATATTCTGATATTCTTATTCAAAAGCAGATAAACCAACAGATACTCACAGTTCTCTCGCAATGCCATCAACCCCACTCACCCTCACCCTCCCCCAATTCCCCTCCTCCCCGCTCCACCTCTCGCTCTACACAAACGTCACAAACGCTCCCACAATCCGATCCCAGCTCCTCTCCGGCAACACAGCCTACTCCTACGCCTTCCTCGACCCATCCACAATCCTCTCAATCTCCCACGTGCTCGCCGCAGTCTACCGCGCGCTCACCGAGCGCGAGGCGGGCACCATGCGCACCCGCACCGTCAACTCGGAAATCGTCTTCTCGATGGCGCCGTCGATGAACATCGGCGACGCGCTCAAGCGGTTCGGAGTTAAGGATGAGAGTACGGCGCTGTTTGTCGTCAAGGTCGCGGACGAGGCGGAAGATGTTGTGGGTGCGGAGGAGGTTGGGGTTGCGTTGGAGAGTATAGTTGAGGGCGAAAGCGTGGCGCTTTGCGATGATGCGTTGCAGGCGTTGACTGATATCGAGGTTGTGAGGAAGGTACGTATTTTTTCTTTGATTGCTGCGGGCGGTGTAAATGTCATTTGTTGACTGAGTTGTAGAACTACAAGATACCGCAAGGTGTGGTGTTGAACGACCGAATCGCGGCCGCACAGATCGTCACAGGCGCCATCGCCTTACGGGGGTACTCATAGAAATCAGGGAAATGTACGATAGAGAGATAAAAATGCATCAAAACTTTTGATCTAACTCTAGTCTACAACAATAATATACACCTCACAACCCCTCCTCACCCTCCCCCCTTCCCTGCCTCTTCCTCCCACCCTCCATCTTCCTCCTCGACCTGACCGCATCGCGTCTCCGCCTCTTTGCCTTCCGCGTCCACTCCCCTCTATTCTCGTAAAACTCCTCTTTCCACTGCTCGCGAGCCAGCGGCAGCCGGTCGGGGATCTTGTTGAACTGGCTCTGCGCGTCGAGGAAGGCGGATTCGGGGTGCGGGAAGAAGAGCGGGAGGGCGTCGAATTGCGTGCGTTTTCGGCTTGTGATGACGGGGGCGGCTGCCTCTTCATCGTCGTCGTCGTCGTCGTCGTCGTCGTAGTGCTCTTGTGGTATGTTGTCCTCGGCTTCGTTCGTATCCCGGTCGTCGTCAACAGCTCCAACGTCGTCGTCAGAGTCAGACTCGTTACCGCCAAATAGCGAAAACGAAGCAGACGATTCCTCATTCTCTTTAAAAATCGATCGCAGCCGTTCTGTCACCACCGTCTTCTTCGGCTTATCCTCTTTTTGCACCTTCTTTTTCGTCGTTACCTTAGAATCTGAAACCGAGTCCGAATCAGAACCTGATTCAGAGCCAGAAGATGAGGGAGAAGAAGACGTGGCCTCGTGCTCGCTACTATCAGACGCAGCGTTATCAATCTCCATCTTCTGTCTCGACTTATCCTCCTCTTCATCTTCGCTACTTGACTCTTCGTCACTCTCAGACGACGACGAAGATGACTCCTCGTCACTTGAATCGTCAGAGTCAGCCGAGCTTTTCTCTTCCGATTCAGAATCGTCGTCGCTCGAGGACGATACAGACTCCGAGCTATCAGAGTTTGTATCTTCTTCTTTCCGTGAATCGTTGTTAACGGAAGACTCTTCCTCATCCGACTCGTCCTCCTCCTGATCTGAGTCCTCAGACGATGACGACTCAGAGTAATCAGCAGCGCCGCCTCGTAAGCCATAAAACGGCATATACGGCTTCCCAGCCAACGATCCATCTGAATCACTTGCATCTTCATCGTCATCCGCGTTAGCGTCAGGAATCTCGATACCGTCAAATAGTCCGCTGTCGTCGGATTCTGATTCTGATCCTGGTTCTGATGCGACTTCTGGCGTTTGTTCTTCGGCGGCTGTGATTTCGATGCCGTCAAATAGACCGCTGTCTTCAGATTCGGCATCTTCCGACTCTGCCTCGCTCTGTACTTTTTCTTCTTCAACATCCATAGCATCAACCTCGGGCTCATCGTCATCCATCTCGACAACTTTTTCGTCTTTTTCTGTGGTTTCCTCCTCGATCTCTTCTGTTTCAAGTTCCTGTTTGGGTTTCGCTGCGTTGATGATCTGGTAAATCGCATCGTCGTCGTCCGAGTCCTCGTCCTCAAGCTTCCTCGTCGCAGTTGCATCATCATCCCTAAATCGCACCTATTAATACCTCTCTCTAAATAAAACCCGCAAGAAAGGAAAACGTACCCGTCAGAATTGGCCCCACCAAACATATCCTGCAAAATCTTCAGACTCTTCTCCCTCTCAACCCTCTGCTGCTTCTCCTCCTCTGTCTCCTCCTTTCCCTCTGCCGCAGTCGAGCGCACGACTTCAAAGTTATAGTCCTTCGTAAGCGACGCCGCTGCTTCGCCAAAGTCGAATTCCGCCTTCAACTTCTCAAAGTCGTCAATCTGAATAATCTCCCGCCTAAAAACCTCAACGGTGTCGCCATACCCATTCAACCACCGCCCAACCAACACCTTCCCATCTCTCACCACCCTCTCCCCCTCCTCATCAAACCTCCACACAAACTCATTCAAATCCCCGACCTTAGCCGCACCCCACAGCTTTTGCTTCTTGCACTTTACAACCTTCGACTTGCCCCCGATCTTGACGCGGAACGTCGGCGGGTTCTTGCGGAAGTCGCGCGGATTGTCGCGCATGCGGCCGCCGTGCTCGAGCTTGCCGAATTGGTACCGCGAGCGGCGGATGTGGTGCATCAGTTTCTCGAGCGCGGAGAGGTGTTTTCTGCGCGTTAGAGATTCTTTTCGCGCGATGTTGATCTGCTCTTTCTTTCGTTCCTCGTCGTCGTCGTCGTGCTGTTCACGCAGTATTTTCTGGCGTTCCTCGAAACTCGGCGCGCGCGCAATATCGATCTTGATCACCCCACCTTTATACTTCACCCCGTTCAACGACTTCCTGAGCGCGACATACTGCGTCTTTGACATCTCGACCGTGACGAACGCGAAACTGCTCAAGGCCGCGGGTTTCTTGTGCACGGAGAGCGGCGTGAGCGGGGTGCCGAAGAGGGAGAGGCGGGAGATCAGGTCTGAGGGATCGTGCGCGAGAGCGGGCGGGAGAGAGGAGATGTAGAGGCGGAGAGGGGACGGGTGGTCCTCTTGTGGAGTAGCAGTCATCTGCTGTTGTTTGAAGAGGATAATGACTATAACATAGAGAAGAAGGGTGTTATAAGAATGATCTCGTTGCTTCAAAGCAGAAATAAAATCGAAAAATATTTTGAGCCTCACGAACTCTGATTGAAAAAAATCTCCCAACCGCCTTCACGGTTTTCCATATCTCATTTTCACACAGAATACATCTGCTAGTTATTGACAAATACCAGCAAATAAACCACAAAGAGACACAGAATATGGTCCCGCCGCCGCTCATGTACACAGGCCATGTCGACTTCCGCATGCGTCTCGTGCTCGCCACGCTCTCGGGCCGGACGATAAAGATCGAAAAGATCAGATCTGATGATATGGAGCCTGGTTTACGAGGTGAGAATGTCCTTCTATAGTTTAAGGGAGAATAGCGACTGACATATGCTTCTACGGTGTAGATTATGAGGTTTCTTTTTTGCGGTTGTTGGAGGCGGTTACGAATGGCAGTGTCATCGAGATTTCATATACAGGTATTGCACACCGTTCATACTTCAAGAGAAGACTAGCTAACATATACAAGGTACGACCGTGGTCTACAAACCCGGCCTAATAGTCAACGGCACAGTAACCCACATCTGCCCCCTCACCCGCGCCGTCGGCTACTTCATCGAACCCATCCTCCTCCTCGCCCCATTCGGCAAGTCCGCGCTCAACCTCACCGTCAAAGGCGTGACCTCCAACGCCGTCGATCTCGGCGTCGACACAATCCGCACCGCAATCTTCCCTCTCTACAACAAATTCGGCATCATGCGCCAGGAACTCCGCGTCATCAAACGCGGCTCCCTCCCTCTCGGCGGAGGCGAGGTCAACGTCTTCTTACCCCATGTGCTCCTGCAGCCGCAGACCTTGCACGCCGCCGTCTCCGCGCCGGCAGTCTCGAAAATCAGAGGCGTCGCGTACTCGACCCGCGTGAGTCCCGCGAGCGTGAACCGGATCATCGACGGTGCGCGGAGTGTCCTCAACGTCACCGGCTGCGAGACGTTTATCTTCAGCGACGTCGCGCGCGGCGAGGAGTCCGGCAAGAGTCCCGGCTTTGGCGTGTCGCTTGTCGCAGAGACGCGGTCCGGCTGGTGCTATTGCTCAGAGGCGGTCGGAAGCGCGGGCGAGGCGCCTGAGGATGTCGGCGAGCGGGCGGCGAGGGCGTTGTTGGAGGAGGTTGCGAACGGGGGGATGGTGAGCCGGTGTCAGGCCAAGACGCTGGTCGTGCTCATGGTGCTCGGCAAGGAGGATGTAGGCAGAGTGTTACTCGGCAAGGGCGTGATCGACGAGGGCTTCGTCAGGCTGTTGCGGGATATCAAGACCATGTGGGGCACCGAAGCGCGGCTGAAGGAGTTTGAAGGGAATGACTTTGACGAGGACGAGGACGACGAAGAGCGTGAAAAGGCGGAGGAATATGTGTTGAGTATCAAGGGAGTTGGGTTTGTTAATTCCAGCAAGAAAATCGCTTGAATGTGTGTCTGTATCAAGTTTGGTATGTTTGGACGAGACCGGGACCACCAAAAGTTTTACTTTGTACAATAGATTATGCCATTACAATCAATTACTTCTAATTACTAAAAATACACAGACACATCATCGCAATGTGCCCGCCCGCTTCTTCTCCAACGCAGTCTTGTACGGCGGCGCAGTCGGCTTCTGCACCGGCTCTAAACTGACAGCCTGCACGCCCTTCTCAAGCTGATACGTCGCGTCGGCGTCATAATCCGACAAATCTCCACACGCCACAAACGGCGCGACCGACCGCTCGGCCGCGTCTATGCTCGCGTCGTTCAGGTCCAGCGGAACGAGGGTATGCTTGAGCTGCAGCGACTCCGGCTGCCATCCTGGCCGCGGCCGGTATCCCTGGCAGACGACGAAGGCTTCGAGCGAGGAGGCGCGCGAGCTGCGTGGTTTCGCGCAGGTGACGTGGTCGAAGAGGAGCGCGAGCTGGGAGTAGAGCAGGTCGACGTCGCGGCCGCGGAAGATCTTGGCGACAAAGGTGCCGCCTTCGCGGAGGAGACTTGTGGCGAGGGTCAGGGCGGAGAGGATTAGTTGGCCTTGGATGTATTCGTCGAGGTCGTGGAGTCCTGTGACGTCCGGTGCACCGTCTGTTAAACATGTTAGAGCCGCTCATATATATATATACAGACATACAGAAAGAGGATCTCACCAGAGCAAACAAAGTCTGCAGGCTCTCCACCAAACAGCTTCAGAATATTCGTCAACGTCGACGGATGCGTAATATCAGCCTGCAAAGTCGTCACCCCCGGCAACGGCGCAATCGGCTGCAAATCCACCGACACGATCGTCGCCGGATTCGCGCTCTTGCTCGCCAGCTTCCGCGACAGCACCTGACTCCACGAGCCCGGCGCAGCGCAGAGATCAACGACCCGCTCGACGTCGTCGAGTAAGTGGAACTCAGAGTCGAGCTGCAGCAGCTTGAAGGCCGAGCGCGCGCGCCAGCCTTGCTCTTTCGCTTTTCGGTAGTAGAGGTCGCGTTTGTCTTTACTGCATTTGCCCATTTTCGTGTTGTGGTTGTGGTGATGATGATGGTGGAGGTGGTTTCTGATATTGAAAATAATTTGATGCGGCTTAAACCCTTAAATGTGGTTTTAGACTGATATTGATGCACTGCTATTGTACAAAATGGTAAACGCCAACCAAGTGATAGAAAACAAGTATATGGGACAATGGTAAAAGATAAGAAGATGGAGTTAATGTACATGAGAGTCAAGAACGCAGAAAGATGAAAATTAGACCTCAACAGCCTTCCTTTGCTTCTTGCTGTGCTCCTGCACGCTATCAAGAGCTCTCTGCGGATCCACATCCTTGCTATTCTCCGCTTTTTGCTTCTTCTTACCGCTCTCCTTCTTCTTGCTCTTCCCATCCCCGTCGCCCTGCTTGCGCTTCTTTTTCGCCGCCGACGCAGACTTCAACGCGTGCGTGAGCCCGTCTGCTGATAACCTTTCCATCCGCGCCTTTAGCTTCTCCACATCGCTGTCCAGCACCGGATTTATCACAATCAAGTTCTCTTTGGCAGTCGCAGTGCTGCATTCAAGACACTCGTCTTCCTCAATCTCCTTCAACGCGCTCTCGGCGAAAACGTGCCCGCATTCAGCATGGTACACGAACTTTGCCCCGCCCGCTTTCATCTCCTTGCCCGTCACCGGACAGATCCACTTGCCGGTACTCTCATCCTTTGCAATCTTCAGCACGACCACGTCCTTCAAACTCTTGATATGCGGCACAAGCACCTCGCCTTCGCCGTACGTCTCCGGCGCAATCAACCACTCCAGCACCGCGTCCTTGTTATACAGCCTGCCAAGGAAATCGCTCACGAGCGGTAGTTCGAGCGGTTTCAGACTCAGGCGACAGGTCTGCCAGGCGAATTCGGAGGCGAGCTGGTTGCGTTCAAAGATCTGGGACGAGGTGGCTTCGCGGGCAGAGTCTTTGACCAGCTCGCGGCGCGTCGGGACTGATCCTCCGTCGTTCTGCGCAGTTAGTATCGGAAATCATTGACCAGCAAAGAATAAATACTTACTCCCATATCTACTAGACAGAATCAGTATAATCGAGAACCGAGGAGGGGATACCAGAAGCATGCATCAAGCCCTCAGTATATTTGTTAAGACTCGATCAACTCACGTGATATGTCCACGTGACATCATCCCTGAAGACAAATTCAGGACAGTATTTTGGGAGGCGACTTGGATTCTTATAAAGCAGATATCTTTGATCTACTAGATTTCGACAACACAGAAGAAGAAGAAGTAGAAATGGCGAATTACTTAGCATCTATCTTTGGTACGGAGCAGGATAAGGTGAACTGGTAAGTACTTTTTGCATCTCCAACATCTGAGAAGATATGGAATACTAACAATCGTGCAAACGCAGCTCATTCTACTACAAAATCGGCGCCTGCAGACACGGCGACAAATGCTCTCGAAAACACGTCAAGCCGACGTATTCGCAGACAGTCATGTGTCCAAACATGTACCAGAACCCGGCCTATCAGCCGGGCAACACGCTGAACGAGTCGCAGATGCAGAATCACTTTGATGCCTTTTACGAGGACTTTTTTTGCGAGGCGGCCAAGTTTGGGGAGGTTGAGGAGATGGTGGTTTGTGAGAATAACAATGATCGTATGTTTCTCTCTTTAAATGAGTAGTAGGACAGATGCTAACAGTACTTTTCGACAGATCTAATCGGCAACGTATACTGCCGCTTCAAATACGAAGAAGACGCCCAGAAAGCGTGCGACAACTTCAATTCGAGATGGTACGGCGGCCGACCAGTCTACTGCGAACTCAGCCCGGTGACTGATTTCCGGGAAGCTTGCTGCCGACAGCATGATACGCGGGAGTGCATGCGCGGAGGGTTTTGCAATTTCATTCATTCGAAGAAGCCGTCGCCCGATCTTTTGAACGATCTTGAGATTTGTGAGTATTGTCGTGTTTATGCTTGAGTGTTTGAGCTTTTAGGAAGAAGAAAATGCTAACAGAGCTGGATATATAGCGCAGATGAAGTATCTGAAACTTCGCGGACGAGACGCGCGCTCAGTGTCGCGGTCGCCGTCGCCGGAGCCCAAGCGCAGTTTCTACTAAAAAGAGAGGAGGAGAAGCTTTGTATACTAGCAATCTGACGGTGTGAAGAGAGGAGAAGAGAAGTGAATTTGGTGTTGGGTACTTGTATTTGCTTGTTACGTGCATTAGTTGTAGTGTAATATATGGTCATAACCGATGAATTCAGATGTGAGATGTAGTTTATGTGGTCATCCAGTCCACTTGAGATAGAAGGAAGCTGTAGATGTAGGTGATAGAAGTATGTACAATTTAACCGATAAATACAATTCCGACGCATTACGCCCGCTCGATCCAGTCCTCGTTCCGTCGCGACTCGGGAGCCTCGTCTGCGCCGTACTTCAGATACTCTCTGTACTTGTCGAGGTACCAATTGCCATCGGAAGGACCGCCCTTGTAGCCGGCGAAGGTGTTTTTGAGGGGGGGAAGGGTGTTGGGGAGATACGGAGCGAGCTGGATGCAAGAGTGAGTAATTGCTCTTGTCGATACAACAACACACAACGAAAGAAGAAAGAAGGAAGAATACGCACATTTGTGGTCACCAGTTCGTCAGGCACGACATATGTCCGCACCTTCTGGTAATCAATGATATATCCACCATGCTTGGTATGCCGTCCCATGTTTGCGGACCCGGTACCTTTGTAGAAATCCTTGTTTCCGCGCTTCGTCGTCACGGGCTTACGCCTGTTTGCGTGCCACCGGGGATGGATGGGGATCAGGCGGTCCCTGAAATGCTTCCACGGGCCAGCGAGGGGCGTTGAGGGCTTCATTGTGCTGTCTGACTGCTTGATGGTAGCCAGAGCAGAGCAGCAGAGCAGCAGAGCAGAGAATTAGGTGAAGATGAACCGCACAACTCCATCGACGGTGAGTGCACAGCATAAACGCAGCAACAACGCGGCTTTGTGCTAGAATATTCGACTTTCAAACGTTAAATCGAGAAATATCGCCGACGTCACTCAGCCTTCTACTTTCTCTACTTCCTCTACCTCTTCTCCATCTTCACTACTCACCACCTCTACTTCAACAAACACACACAATGGGAGACCAAGACTGGGACAGCGTCACCTACATCGGCCAGAAAGCAACCGCCCGCAGCGCCTCCGCCGCCCGCTCAAACGCGCAGATCAACGCCGCCCGACGCACCGGCGCCGTCGTCTCGACCGACAAGAAATACGGCGCGGGCTCGAACCGGACCTCCGGCACAGAAGGCCAGCGGCTGGCCAAGATCGACCGCGAGAACGAGGTCGCGCCGCCGCCGAAGATCGATCTCGGCGTCGGAAAGGCGATCTCGAAAGCGAGACTGGAAAAGTCGCTCACGCAGAAGGATCTGGCGGTGAAAGTCAACGAGAAGGCGAATATTATCAACGACTATGAAATGGGTCGGGCGGTGCCGAATCAGCAGCTGCTTGGAAAGCTGGAGCGCGTGCTCGGCGTCAAGCTGAGAGGAAAGGATATCGGATCGCCACTCGGTGGACCGAAGAAGAAATAAACGACAGCATACACGAAATACATAGCAGAAAAAGAGGAGTTGGAGTAAACTGAAAAAAACCCGGAGACAAGACAAGTCTCATCGTCAAAAGATGGTTGCTCTGTCATGGGTATTCATAACGAAACGAAAAGATCTCTGTGTATATTGTACATGCACTCTTGGTATTGTCTCATTACTTCTCATTCGCTATACATATTGCCCTTACACTATTTTTGTTTTTTTTGTGGTTTGAATCTCATTTACGTTATGTGGAGTTTCTCATTCATCGGCAGTGCTCTTCCGTACTATTATTAATATACACCGTGATGACCATCATTCGAAAAGAACCACCTTGCCGCTCGCGGTTCCGCCGACGACCCAGTTCTAGAGTGTAGTGTTAGCCTGTTTGTTCCTAAGAGTCAGAGAGTTATATGAGATTTACCTTCTGAGGATGAAACTTGCACGCAGAAGGCACGGTCGTAACATCCTCGCCGCCCAACCTCGCCAACTGCACCCCGTCCGCATTAAAGATATCCATATACCGCTTCATATTCCCAATCACAAACTTGTGCACCTGATCCGCCGGATTCGCCTGCCACGCGGCTTTCAGGATCGTCACCCATTTCCCGGACTGGCAATTATGTCTGATCGTCGACGACGGCGTCAGCTCCGGCACCGACGACGGCGCGGGTTTCCAGGTCGCGGATTCGCGCAGGTTGAATACGTTGATTGTGTCGTCGTACCCGTTACACACCAGATCGCCCGCGAGATTCCACGACGTGCAGCTGATACTCAGTCTGCTGCCATACTCCGTCACGAACGCCGCCTGCCGCTCACCGTCATCAGTCTTTGTGATCTTGCGAAAATCCCAGATCTTCATCGTCCGATCGAGGGACGACGTCGCGCAGAGATGCGGCGCGCCGGGGTGCAGCGACAACCCACCCACTTTCTTCTCGTGCGCGCGAAACCGTTCAGACTCGCTCCCCGGCGCGCGGACGTCGACGCGGCCGATCTCGCCGCCGAAGGTGGAGTAGTAGATTGTATTACTATCCGCAAAGTCCATCTCGCACACGCCGTCGGCGTCGTGGTTTCCTTCCGCGAAATAGGTTTCAGAACTCGTCCCGGACTTGAAGTCGACGGACCTGATCGAGCCGTCGTAGGAGGCCGTGTAGAGCTGGTGCGCGCGGCCGGGCGCGAAGCCGAGGCTTGAGAGGGTGCGCGCGTGCACTTTGAAGAGGTAGAGCGTGGGCGAGACGAGTTCTTCGTTGTCTTCGTCTTCGGATTTGGAGGTTTGTTGGACGTGGTCGACGTCCCACACGCCGAGGTTGCCGGTTTTGTCGCCAGCGAGGACGAGTCGGTGGGAGACGGAGGGGTGGAAGTTCATGTAGAATATCCGTTCGGGGGTCTGTATCGTTAGTTCATATATCCTCTTCTTGCACACAGCAGATGACACATACGATCTTGATCTCGTTCGGCGCAAACCGCTCATACACCTTCAACGAACTCATCTCCTTCCTCAACTGCACCACATCCTTCGCCAACTCCTTCCTCCCCTCCTCCCCCTCCTCCTCCCCCTCCTCCACCGCGTCGTCAAACGTCCACGCCTGCGCAAGCCCGCTCGCACTCATATCCTCAAACTTCATCGTCCCCGGCACCCGCATCCTACTCGCCTCCGCCTTCGCCGCCGCAAGCTTCCCCGCCTCCTCCGCCGCCGCGCTCGCGCCTTCCCCTTCCCCCTCCGGCTTCAGCCCTCGTATCCTCGCACTCGCCCTTCGCGGCGTGAGATCTTCCTGCTTCACCCGTTTCACCGCATTGCTCCTCGTCGACGACCGCGAGGACCGCTTAGATGCCGTCGTAGTAGAAGTTACAGATTTCTTGGCCTTTGGACTCGACGCCGCGAGCGAACTTCCAAGGTCCGCCAGCTCGAGCTGTCGCAAGAGCGCCTGGTTGCGCGCGATATTCGCCTGTCGCTGCTTCTCGTACTCTGTCTCTTCTTCCATCTCTTCTTCTTCTCTAATCCTTCTTCTTCTGCTTGTGCTTCTTCTTGGTGTCTCTAGCTCTCCTTCGTTCTTTCAATCGCTCACCAGCTCCAACTTTTACGTGTCGCGCGCTTCAATTTACAGTTACGCGTCAGACAAGTCACGTGAATCACGTGTTGCATCCTTCCACATGTGCCAGGCACAGGTTCTCCAGAGTGAGAAGATTAGATATAGTAAGAAGTTGTCGTCTTAAAGAGGATGGAATACCTTATCAGTCATATAGTTGATGATGCTGATTGTTTAATTTTCGGTGCTCTCTGTGATAAAATGTAAAGAAAAACAACGAAATACAAGATCCTGCAATAAATCAAGTCCCTTCCCAAGAAAATAGATAAAAAAAGTAAAAGAAAATAAGAGATCAAAAGGAAAACAAAAACAGAATTACAGACAAAGAAAGAAATAAAGGAATAAAAAAAGAACTAACGAAAAAGGTGGAATATTATTAGGAGTACATATATATCGTACGACAACGGGTTCATTCACAAAGATAGATAGCAATAAGCGTTGATGCTGCTTATTGTCGTCAAGGCCGTGGGTCTTTGTTGTTTGGTGTTGTTGTTGCTGTTGTTGTTGTTGCCTCTATAAGATCGAATCTAATCTCGTGAATACGTTGAGTCTATAAAAGTGATGTTAGTACCTGCTTCTACTCAAATCAAAAGGAGATAGTGACATACGCAGCAGCAACGACCTCGACTTGCAGCTCCTTGTCTTTGTTTGCATTGAGCTCGTCCGAGATCTCCTGCGCAAGATTGACGCCGACTCCACCGGTAGGCGCGCCCGGTTTGGCCGCAAACGGCCACTGTGAGTAATCGCCCAGCAACTCGTCGACGCGGCCGAACGCGCGGTCGCGCGCGTCGTGGCCGAGACTTGACAGCGCGTTCTCGAGCACGTTGGCCGCGTAGGCCGCGCAGACCATTGTCACCGCGCGCAGGTACCGGAACGGCACTTCTTCGGGCACGAGCGCGGTCGCGGGCAGGACGACGGTTCGGGCGGTGAGGACGTTGATTGTGCGACGGCGGATCTCGTCCTTCGCGCCGGTGTCGGAGACAGGGTGGGTGGCCATGTCGAAGAGGAGGAAGTTTCGTTTTTCGGTGCGCAGGATGCCCTTGTCGACGAGCCCCTTGGCGAGCCGTTCGCGGACCTGCTTGAGCTGGTAGCCGATCTTCATCAGGTTCCAGGTCTCGCCCGACATGAGGTCGATCCAGGCCGCGACCGACATCTTTTCGGAAGTCTTCATGAGCTTGAGGGCTTCGTCGAGAAGAACTTCGCCGGTGAGGCGGTCGTCGATGACTTCGATCGGGCGGTCGCATAGGGGAAGACGTCTGCGGGAAGGGTCACGCTGCATGCTGATTCGGCCGCGGAAGGCGAGTTCGAGAACGATGCAGCCTCGGAGGGCGTAGGAGATGTTGTCGTTCCAGAAGGAGAGGTAGCCCTGGGAGAGAGTGGGAGTTAGTGGTGGTTGAGGGGCAATTGAGTGGAGGAGAAGAGAGAATGCGATATCGTCGTCGTACGTACGCACGAGGCTCGGACGCAGCGTCGGGAGCAGCAACCACGACGACGACAACAATTTACATCCACAACCGCAATCAAACAAATCCAAACAACACAATTGATCACGAAACCACTCAACAAGCACAAAAACATAAACAAAATAGATATATACCTGCTTATCCTTCAAACCCATGAGCAGGATCTCCTCCATGAGCGTGAGACGGGGCTGCTTCGCGCGCTCGTCGCCCTCCTCCAAATCCCGCGGATCAAAGGCGATTTTGTGGCCATTCTCGGACGAAAACGTCTCTGAGTGGTATGAGGGCTCGTCGGGGTCCGAGTTAGGCCCGTTTGTCTGGCCCGCGGCGGCTGCGGACGCGGACGAGGGGGACGAAGAGGCTGCTGCGGCGGCGGTGACGCGGCGGCGCTGCAGGCCGGAGGACATCGGGTGTAGGAGAGGTTGGGAAGGAGAAGACGCAGAGACCAGAGCCGGGGTTACTGTTGTTAATCAAGAACAGAGGACGTCGACGACAAGAAGCAGGCGGTGGTGATGCTCAGCAGCGAGAGGCGGTGTTGTGCGGCAGACTCCAAAAGCTGCTGCGCTCAAAACCAAAAAACCTTTTTTCTGCGCTTGAAATTAGGGTTCGGGTTCAATTAAACTCCTGTTTACTTTTCGCTGCTTTGGGGCCTCACAGCTCAATCAGGTCCTGGTCCTCCTCCCTCTCCCTAATCCGCCTTCTCACCGCCTCCACCAACTGCTCCGTCATGTCCTCCCGCACAAACACTAAAAAGTACGGCGTCCCCGCAGTCACATCATAATCCCCGCTCCCCACACTCGCGCTCTCCGCAAACGGCATCACCTCCTCCGCGCTCACTACCGTCACATGCTCGTCGTTGTACTTCCTAAACACCCCGTTCTCATAGTCGTAGATGTAGATCCAGTAGTGTCCGAACGTCGCCTGGCCCCGGTGAATAAACACAGAGTGCACTCTATACCCGAGCTGCTTCAGATCAGAGAACTGCGCCTGAATCTTCTTGTTCAGCGCCTCGATCTCCGCATCCACCTGCGGCCCCGCGCTCGCGACCTCTGCCATCTCCGCCTCGAGCTCCTCCACAACCTCCGCCAGCAGCACTTCCTCCTCGCGGCTCTTACTTTCCTCCTTATCTTCATCCCCAAGCAAGTCCGCTTCCTGTCGCTGCTCCTCCTCCATCACCTCCTCCAACCCCGCCGTCGCCTCCTGCACCCGCCTTAACCACGACCGCGCCGCCCGCAAAGTCTGCTCTCCACTCAGCTGATTCACCGTATCAAGAACAGCCTGCATCTTCGCGCGCTTCTTCTCCAACTCCGCCACCTGCTCCTTCCACGCCCACATCTGCTCCCGCCGCTTCTGCACCTCCCCGTCGTCCATATACCGGTCCATGTACACCGTCTCGCCAAAGATAATCGGCGCATTGCTCTTAAACACCCGCCCTAATCCCCGGTCATACTGCACTCTCTGGATCTGGATCTGCAGAATCGGCGGCAACTCCAGCACCGTCACGTACCGCCTCGCAGGCTTGCCGTCCAGATCAACCGTCTCGACATCAAAGCACGCGTCCAGCGCCTCGTAGATATCCCGCGGTCCCGCCGCGACGTCCACAATCAAGTGCGAAAACCGCTCTTCTTTCGTCCGCACACTGCTGCTGCTGCTTCCGTCGCGAACCTCAAGAGTCTGCTGCGTCTTGCCGTAAAACAAATCTTTGACCAGATCGATCTGCTCGCCGTCGCTATCAACCCGCTCGGGCTTCAGCGCGGCCTCGATCTGGAATAAAACGTTGTCGATGCACTCCGTCACGTCTTGCTGGCTGCCAAACATCATATTCGAGTCATTCCGAGGAGGAACCGACGGTGGAATCGTCGTCGTCGTCGACGTGCGTTTGGGAAGAGGTGGCGGCTCTGCTATCTCTTTGCTCTCTTCTATTTCCTTGCTTTCCTCGGTCTCTTTAGTAGCCTCCACAGCGTCATCCTCAATCACAATACTGGCAGTACTGTTCCCAGTAGAATTCGTAACTCCATCAGGCAGCACACCCAGCACCTGTCGTTCCGGACTCAGCTGGCTAATCTTTACCACCTCCTCGGTCTTGCCGATAGGCGACAAGTTCTCCTTGTCCTCCATCACAACATCCTCCTTAACGTCCTCCTTCAACGACGCAATCTCAGTCTCTGCACTTTCAGATTCCTCCGCAGTAGCAGGACCTTGCACCACCCCTTCCTCTTCCGCGTCCGTCATAACCTGATCTGCCTTCACCACCTGCTGCTGCTGCTGGATCTTCTGCCAATCCTCCCATGCCTCAATCGAGCTCACAAGCGCCAAGTACGCCAGCTCCTGATTCGGCGCAACCGCGCCCTCAGACGAGCAAATCATCGACTCAAAAAGACCCCCCAGCTCACGCACAAAGTCGAGCGCGCGCCGGATCTCCCACTCAGTCACGATCCGTCCGCCGATGCGTTTCTCGCCCCGCGCAAGCGCGCTCTCCATATCTTGCTCGAGTGCGGCGGTCGAGTTTGTGTTGCTGTCGTCTGTGTTGTTGATCAGCAGCTCGCGAAGGGGTTTGATTGTGAAGTAGAACTGCAGAAGCGAGTTGAGGTAGCATGTGTTGCCAATGTTGCGAAGTCCAACCGGCTCGGTTTCCGATCCTACCGACGCAGCATTCACTACTTTCATTAGTCATAGTCCCTCTCTAAAATAAAAATAGGTAGTCTTACAGTCAATTGTCCCAGACTCGAGAAACGTCCGGAGAATCTCACTCTTCCTGGCAATCATAATCGCTCGCATCGCATTTCTCATCGTCAGTATCTCATCCGGGTTATCAGACACCCGAATGTCAAACACAGTCAACAGATGACTATCCTCCATCGCGCTCTGCACCCCCAGCACCGCAAACGCAGCCTCCACATCCGGCACCGGTCCCGTCAGATTATTCAGCTCCGCAAACGACAGCAGCTTTGGACTTTGTCGCTTCTTGGCCAGTACCAGTAGCGCGCTGTTGAGCACGTCGCGTTTCTCCGGCACCTCACGAAGATTGACCTCGTACGACGAAATGATCAGCTCATCGTCCGTCTCCTTTTCGACCGCGAGGACTTTGTAGCTCTGTGCCTCGTCCATGCTCTCGGCTTGGAGATATGCGCGTAGGAGTTCGCTGTTGCGGTGGTTGGCGACAATCTGCAGCGCGGCCTTTAGCTTCGTGCCGGTCGAAGGCGCGTCCTGTAGTCGCGCCTTGAAGATCCCTAGAATTAGAGAATCGTCGTTGAACGCCTCTGGATCATCGATCCCGAGATCGCGGTACGCGTCACGAACGTCACCCCGAGTTAGCGCGCCCAGAGATTGTAGCTCGACCACGCGGATCTGGAGCTCTTCCGAGGCCCGCGTGGTCGAGAGCTGTTGCAGACATTCTAGATAGTATGCAGAGTTTAGCGGATCGCAATCGTTTTGCCGGTCAAAGGTTTGTAGAAGTAGCGAGTCGCTAAAGTCGGGTGTCGCGCCTAGACTCGCGAATCGTCTTGAGGATGTTAGAGATCTTTTGTCTGAGGATTAGATAATAAGTTGAGACATACAGAGACACTGGACTTGTTGGTTCGACGTATGCAACCGTCCGAGCGTATTTTGGGTAACTGCTGCATCTCAAAAATGATCTCAAGGCAGGAAGTTCAAGGTCGGTTGAGATGTTGTATGGATTCTCGGTATCGTTTGCTGTGCAGCGTCAGTACTACTCCTTCTTCATCATAAAGACCTGGAAACATACAAAGTGCTCTGACAATGATCGCAATCTCCATTCTTGCCTCTTGCAAGAGCCGTTTCAATTGCTTCGAGACCCGGGTATTTTCGTTAACCAACGGCGGCTGCCACAGCCCCGACTCTTCGTTTTTGATAAACCCGAATCGACGGATGATCTCGGGATGCAGTTTTGTGTTGAGAGTCTGATTGTCGATACGGATGCTATGCGGCGCCTTGCCGGAGGGTGTGGTGAGCGGGTCGCCTAGGATTTTATAGAATGTGTTGTACGCGCTGTTGGGTGTCGGGATGGAGATGGGGGGAAGCTCCTGCGGCTGCTGTTCATCTGCTGCTACCTGATCCTGCTGAGGAGAGATTCTTGCGCGACGAGCGGCATCAAAGGTTTCGATGCGAGATTTGATACTGTCAGCCGTGAACGTATCCGCGATCCGTCTCGAGATATGCGGCCGACGCACGACGACAGAGACGACAGTCGAGCAAATATAGCACGAGAGTTTAAACTCCTCCGACTCTGTGATCTCACGCTGCGCAGCAGTGCTGGTCGGATCATCGCTCGCATTCGGCTCGTCGTCGTCGTCGAGGTCGGGATCAAACGGACGCGTCAGGTTTTGATGCGAGACGGGTATGAAGTGATGTAGCTTTTCGGGGGCGGTGCCGCAGTCTGCGGGTGAAGATGAAGATGCGGTGGTGGATGCAGATGCGTGGTGGTGATGGTGGAGGGGATCTAGGGTGATTGTGAAGTGGTAGCGGCAGATCGAGCAGACCAGTCGGAGGGTCGGCAGTTCTGACTCTGCTGGAGGTTCGGGTTGATGCGATGGTTCAGATGGAGCGGCCAGCTGGTCGCCTGAGATGGGTTGATCGACAGCAGGAGTAGCAGACAAAGAAGAAGTTGTCTCTGGGGTCGGATCAGCAGAGGGAGCCTTAACCGCTGCCGCGTACGAAGTCTTGACGACGTCGGATATGAACCTGTGGACGTGGGCCGAGAAGGCGACCTCGACGGCCTTGTCCTGCGGCGCGTGGTCGTGCAGCTCGTGGATCGATCGATAGACAACAACGGGCGCGGTGGCGGATGCGGATGAAGAAGCAGCTACCGCGTCGGTGGCGGGGAATTGTGGAGTCGGCAGGGTCAGCGAGCCGGACGTGGGGAGATAGTACTGCAGCTGCTGGATGAGCAGAGGCGCGGACTTGCCGGCGCCCAGCGGAGGCATTGCGGGCGGTGAGGAGAGTGTAGTGAAGGTGTGTGTAGGTAGAGTCAGCCTAGAAAGACATGAAGAGGCCGAGCGCGAGCAGAGCGGGAAATCAAGACAAAAGTGCGCTTTTCGGACGGGCACCGGGAGACAGAGGAAGAGCGGTGGAGTCAGCAGCGAGTCGAGACGCGTGTTGGCGATGACGAAGAAGCGTGTTGGGGATCACGTGAATTGAGCCACGGCGGCTGTGCACTGCGCCACTTCTCAGCATAAGCGCATAGAACACTTCGGCACCGAATTTGATTTCGAGGCCGGGAATTCAGGCGCGTCTGATTGGCTTTTTGCTTTTCAGCGTCCTTCTGGCTTCCTGCTTCTCGACAACATCCCCGCGTCGACGACGAGCACCGGCTGAAGATCAATTAGAGACCGTCGAACTGCGCAGCGGTTTTTATATTCATTTGCTTGAGAAGTAAATCAGCTGTCATCAGTCGTCACCAGTCGTCTCACTTCCTGCCTCCTGCATCACCATCATCCACCTCACATCGCAATGTCTATCGTCCCAAAAGTCGTCTACCCGGTCCACCTCTACCCGACATACGAGCCTCGTGATGCGATCGCGACCTCAGCGGCCCTTGCTGTGCCCTGTCTCGGTGCCGGTCTGGCCATGACCGCCGCCCTCGAGCGTATCCAGACCCCGAAAGCAAAGATGACCGAGTCGGCCATTCGTATCGCCAAAAACACCGGATATATCGGTATGAATCTGTTTGTGCTTTGATTCGCTGTGTGTGTCTGTGCTAATGTCTTTCTTACTGTTTGTAGCATCCGTTGCGGCTTTGTATCAGTTTGTCGAGATTGCGTCGGCGAATCTGCGGGAAACGGAGGACGGATGGAACAAATTCTACGGCGGCTTGGCCGGTGGTGCGCTCATCGGTCTCAAGAGTGCGTATTCCCCTATTCACCTTCATTCTCACAATATGAATATCCACTCACTAACAACTCTTCAGAGGGCACAATGACGAGCACAATCTGGACCTCGCTCGTCCTCGGATCCGCGCTCGGTCTCGCGGGCTGGGCCGGCGGTCTGTTCAGCGCTCCTCTAGAGAATGGCCCTGCGCCCGAAGGCTCACCATACGACCAGAAGAAGGGCGACTTCTTCTCGATCCGCTACCGGGCGCCGCTCTCCGAGACTATCGACAAGCTGGGCGAGGGCCGGGGAATCGAGTACTCCAAGGCCGGCGTGTCGAGGGAGTAGACTGCATATGAAGACAGCTGCTGTAAATCATTCCATTCCATTTTTCTTCTTTCTTCTTTCTTCTTTCTCTTTTCATGTTCTATCACCGGTTGGGTCTGCTTCGTATAGTCTTCTTCACATAATACAAAGATTACATAACACATCACCTAACCATAAACAAGGGCCTCGTGTGCTGATGCGCACCCGCCACCAAGCCCACCGTTGCCGCACCAGCGCCAGAGGATCAGAGTCCGATATCGCGAAAACAAAGAGACGTCGGCCCGGAAGAAGAACCGTTCGAATCCCCAATTTCTGTTCTCAAAATGTCGAAACTGCATCAGACGCAGCAGAACTTCTACGTCCACTTCCGGACAGCGCGGGCTGGTGCGTCTTCCTTCTCTCTTGGAGCTCCTGCTGCTGCTCCTCCTCTTCACCGCCAGCTATGCGATGCCTGCCATGCTACCCCAATTGCGCTCCGCTGACTCTCATTTCTAGCTATCGAGGCACTCATCACCACCGATCCAGTGCCGGATCCGCCCACCGACCTCCTCGAGTCCGCCGAATCCCGGCTCGCCTCCCTGCGCTCCGATGTCGCAAACGCAAAAGCTTACCTGGCTCCCTACGACCAGCGCACCTACTCTACCGTATGCCTTGCTGCTGTTCTTCTTCCTCTCCTTCCTCTCTGTGCTCTCTGTGCTCTGACACTGACAATCTTCACATCAGCAACTCGACCAGCTCACCGCAGACTACGACGCCCTCCGCGCAAAACTCGCGCCCACCGCCTCCTTCTCCTTCTCGAGCCGGTCCCGCAAACCGGGCGAAAACGGCAGCGTCAGCTCAGACTCGGCCCAGTCCGAGACCCCCTCGGCGCGGCCGTCTCTGGCCGAGTCCTCGTCCTGGACCTCGTCCGAGTCCACACACACCACACTGTTATCAACAACCCCCACCACAGTAAAGGACTCGCGCCTGCCGCCCTCCGTCTCGACCTCGGTCTACCAGATCCGCAACCAGCTCTCCAAGTTCGTCGTCGCCGCGCCCCTGCCGAGCGCAACCAGTCTCCTCGTCAGCGGCATCGAGGACTGCGTCGTCTACATCCCGCCGTTTGTAAAAGTCAGCTCGGTCCAGGTCATGGACTGCGCAAACTCGGTCCTCATCTTCGCCGGCGTCATCGACGGCCCGATCCACCTCACCCGCGTCGTCACATGCTCGCTCGTCGTCCGCGACGCGCTCCAGTTCCGCATGCACGACTCCACCGACTCTGACATCCTGCTCGGCTCCGGCATCACCTCCGCCATCATCGAGAAATCAGACGAGCTCATCTTCGCGCAGGCGACCTTCGACTCCGACTCCGACGACAAGCTCATGTCCGCCGTCTCCCCTTACACCGGCAAGGTCGACGATTTTGACCACCCTGCATTGCCCGCCTCGCCGAACTGGAACACGATCGACGACGACTCGACCACAAAGTTCACCGAGAAGGATTTCAAGACCATCGTCGAGATTGCAAACACCGCAGGATCAACAACCACAACCGCGCTCTCGGCAGACGCGCTGCGGATAAAGCGGAAAGCTCTCTCGAGAGGATTTGATTTCGACGATTAGTTGTTGTTTTTTTTTTGTTATGAAAGAAATTGCAAGGATACTTTGTTTATTAATCTTTAGTCTGTCTTTTGGCCTACCTTATATCAAGATCTTTGGGATTTCCACTTGTTTCACTTAATCCATCTTTATCTGTACCCGCTATCTTTTCATCTGTTTCTCTTTCCTTGTATTCTCCTTTGTCTTCACCTTTGTCTTCTTTACCTTCCTCCCGTCTTTCGCCGCCTTCTTTATTTCCTCTTTCCTATGTCGATTTCCGTAAATGGAGTGGAGTTTTGTGCCTTTGCCCTTCTTTTCCCTTTTCTTTTCCTTTTTCCCTCCTCCTCTCCCTCTTCTTCTACTTATCTTGTTATTTAGTACTTGTTTATTAGAGTATTTGATTTGTCCCATACTTGCTAATGACATTCGATCGTTCACACATCCCGCATTTTGATAACCCAGCAGAAGAGAGACTGCGCCCTTGACTACATTCAAACTTCCTGACATTACAGCACATACGCAATTAAATAATGAAACAACAATAACCTAGCAAATAAAAAAACATATATAATAAAAAGAAAGACTCCGGTCTGATATTATATAAAAGCTTGATGCACCCGTTCCTTTTATCTCTTTTCTTTTCTTGCTGCTGCTGCTGCTGTTAACTAGCTGCTGCGATACTGCTCGCGGCAGCGTCCGCCTCTGCAGGCTTGCTTTCGGCTTCGGACGTGGTGGCCGCTGGTGTAGCTGCTGCGGATGACGGCGACGGAGCAGCAGTGGCTGTGGTGGGAGGAGTGGAGGTATTTGTAGTAAACGCAGCTTTAGACGTAGTAGAATCAGACGCAGCAGCAGCGGCAGCGGGTTTTTCCTTTGCGACCCGTCGTCGTTTCGGTGCTGCAGGAGCGGCCGCGCGTCCGTTTGAACCTCCTGCCGCTGCTGCTTTTGAGCTCGTCGCTGCCGCTCCAGAAGGCGCAGGTGCGATCGGCACAAGCGGTCGCTGGTCAGCCGCGGCAGTAGACGATGCGGTCGACGAAGAAGAGGCCGCGGCCGCGGCAGCAGTAGCTGCAGCCGACCGACGACCGCCTCTACCGCTTCCCGCCGGCCGTCCGCCGCGTCCGCGTCCGCGTTTAACAGTCCCGTCCGCGCGTTCGATGCGGACCTGCTCTGCGTCCGAGATGAGCGGGCCGGAGAAGACGAAGAAGCCGTCTTTTGTACTCGCGGCCTGCTCCTCGAGCAGCAGCTCCGAGTCGTCGATGAACGGGTCTGTGATGTCGTACCGGCCGTATTTGCCGTCTGTCTTGCGCTTGGCTTTCGTTTTAGGTGCCGCGGCGGCGGTGCCTGAGCTCGCGCTGCCGCCTGCGGTGGTGAGCGCGGAGGAGGACGAGGGAGCCGCGGCGGTGCTGCTGTTATTCCCTGTGTCGTCGTCTCCTGACTCGTCGCTTTCGTCGCCTGCGTCGCCGCCCGCGCCATCGTCATCAAAGATCTCCGCGACGTTCGACGCGATCTGCGGGTGCAGCGTCGCCCAGCCGTACTTGTCCTCCGCCAGCTTCGAAATATTCAGCACCACGTTCGTCTTGCCCCCGAGCGGGATGTGCAGGCACACCGAGGGGGCTTCGCTCGGTATCGACGACGCGGAGGCGGAGGAGGCTTGTAGCTGTAGTGAGGATGCGACGGGGCCTGACTCGACGCGCGCGCGCTTCGGTGCGGAATTCTGCTGAGACGCAGTACGGGAGGCGGTCGATGACTCTTGCGGCTCTCCTCGCGTGGGTTGTTCTGTGGGTGCGGTTGCGGGGGGAGCAGGCGTAGATTCGGTATCTGTCGAGGCCGACGACGTCGGCGCAGGTTTTTCAGGCGACAGCAGGCTCGACACCGACAGATTGTTCGGTCTCGCAGACTCAGCAGCCGACGCGGGCGGCGTCGCGGGCGTAGCAGCAGCACCAGCAGCGTCGTCGGAGGGCGAGAGGAGCGAGGCGATTGTGGGCGAGCCGCGGCCGGAAGGCGACCTGGCGGGCGGCCCGCTGTCGTCGGGGTTGAGCAGCGAGAGAAGGGTGTTGCTCATGCTTGCGTGAACATGCTCTCGGGCGGCGGGTGGCGGAGGGGGAGCTGGCGGCGGGGTGCGGGCAGGGACCAGATCTTGATCTGACCGAGCGTGCGTGAGGCGAGCGACCGCGAGGGGAGAAGAGTCACGTGAGTAGAGAGTCACGTGGATTACCCGGCGGAGGTAAATTGCCGCAGCGCGAAGAAGAAGATTATTATTTCACTGCTAAGCAAGCAGAGCAGAGTCACTGTACAGACACAGATGAGTATCTCGAGATTCGCAGCGCTGGTGAAGGCGTGGCCGGTTGACGCGCTGAAGCGGCCGATTTGCCTGAAGACGAACTTGGAGGAGCAGCTCGGGCTGTACCAGTCTGGCGAGCGCGCGGGGCTGCCTGGTCTTGGGAATCAGGTCAGCGGGATACAGGACTTGCTGGATGACAAGTACAAGAAGATGGTGAGTCTTCTCTTTGATCGTTGATATGGTGTGCGTGGATGCTAACTCGTGCGGTTGTTGTAGTATCCGGTGTCTGACAAACTGCTGAGGCCGGCGGGCAAGCCGATGTATTACGATCAACTGCGACATGAGTTTGAGCACGGCGTGCAGGAGCCTTCGAGGTGGCAGAAGTTCAAGGTGTTTTTGGCAAACGGAATCTAGGATGTTTTCTATTGTGGTTCATGTACATATGTAGTATAATTAAACTATTCGTTAATCTGTCTTGCGCATCCGTCCGCCGCCCTTCTTCCAAAGCCACAGCGCCTCAACAGCAACCGTCCGCAATCCAAGATGCCGCGTCTTCTTCTCGTCCGCGGCCTCGACGATCGACTCAATCACTTTTGTGTGCTGCACGATATCCCAGAGCGCGTCGCCGACGTACTCGCCGTAGTTGTTCACGCCTAGCTTGTAGAGAATCCGGCCGACGACCTGCACGGCGATCGCCCGTTGCGCAGGCACGCTGCTCCGGCACAGATGCGCGAGCTCGGGAATCGTGTAGCCCGCGTATCCGGGCGAGTCAGAGTGGTGGTGCAGGCCCAGCGTTGTCGGCAGCGCGAGCGCGCGCGACGGCGGGATGATGTCGCCGCGGAAGTCGAAGCGGATGTCGGCGGGCGAGACGGACTCCTGGGAGGGGAAGTACGGCGATGACTCGTCTTCGTCCTCGGTCACGGGCTGCATCCACGCGAGCGAGTTCGGGTCCTGCGGGAGGTCGGGGAAGTATTTGTCGTGCAGCTTTTGGAGAAAGTCGGGGTCGGTCGGGTCGAGTTCTGTGGAGGGTGGCGTGGGGAAGTGGGTGCATGGCGAGGGGGAGATGTCTGCGGGGGCAGAGACTGTGACGGAGTCGTCGAAGGTCACTTTTTTCTGTTTGGTGTGGGTGGGTGGTTGGGTCTGTTGTGGTTCTTGATTGTCTTCGTCGTCGGCGTCTTCTAGTGTCGGTTGCCGCGATTTGTGCTGCTCCTGCTGCTGTGAGGAAGGCTCCTGCTGCTGTGAAGCAGAAGGAATATTCTCGACCACCTCCAGACCCCCTTCCTCATCTTTACCACTCCCGCTCTTCTCGTCAAAACTGCTCGCGCCCAAAATCGCGTCCGCAGCAGTCGGATCGCGCGTGAGAATGCGCTGCAGCAACCCAGGCGGGAGCAAAGCCTCGAGCTCTGCTTTCTCCTGCTCGATCTCAGCTGCGCTCATCGACGCGATGCGCGCGTCGTTCTCGGCGCTGATGCGCGCGGCCTCGGAGTTCGGGTCGAGATGAACATTGCTGCGGGGGGTGTGCACGCCGGAACGGGGGGCGAGGGAGTATGGTGTAGATGAAGTTGATAGATCTGGGTTTGCTGATGGAGTTGCTGATGATGATGAGGATGAGGATGAGGAAGAGGATTTCTGCTGCCGCGTGCGCCAGAGAGATTTCTTTGGGGCGGGAGCGGTTCGGGGCGGTATTATATTCTGCAGACTCTGATCCGGAGCCCCGGACGGGCGCTCGACGATGTCGCGGACGAGGTTCATGGCTGGATGGAGGAGGAGGATGACGAGGAGGCAGCGATGGGGTTCGATGTTTTTTTTGTATTTAAATTATTTGTGCGCGTACTTAGTATTTAGAGAGTTTGGTAAATGAAAGTTTATTATATGCTTATGTTATTATGGGTGCAATCAGACTACTACTCACTATAATAGAAAGACGTACGATCCCACCCAGCACAGGCTCCAAAGGGCAAGATCTGGATTGCTGTGTCCGGCAGCCTGGAAAACGTCGAGCTTTTGCTTCCTCTCTTGGCCGCCTTCTGTTTGTCTGCCGTCCTGCTGTTTATCGTGCGTTTATTTTGTACCTGGCTGCCTGATATACCTGCTACTCGCCTTTTTTGGTTCTCGGCTTTGCTTCTGCTGCTCTCTGGCTCTACAATGCCCTCGCTGTAAGCGCATTCGCCCATGTCGACGCCGCCCTTCCTCATCAACGAGACCTTTGGCTGCCCGTCGCCTCTGCTCGACTGGGAGCCAATCACCTCCGACCGCTATGTGGACTTCTACTCGAACAACCGCGCCTGCTACCAGGGCTGCTGCGTGCCCTGCGACTACCGCAAAGACATCTACGTGGGCGTGCACCGACTCATCCTCTCGCTCATGATCCTCGGCATCATCTCCTTCTCCTGCGCTCTCTTCCTCGGCCTCTCCCAGATCATGAGCCGGCGGATGGTCATGTCCGAGTTCAACCTGATACAGGCCGTTGGACTAGCTATCTGCGTGGCCTCAATCTCCTGGTTCGACGTCCAGCGCCACAAAGTCGTCTGCCGCGACGCGGTCACTCCCGACCTGGGCAAAAACAACCCGCGCTGCATGCTGCAAGGCCTCTTCTTTGTCTTTGGCTTCCAGCTCTCGACCCTCGCGATCCTCATCCGCATCATCGCCCTGCACATGACAATCGTCTGGGCGCGGCCGTCCTCGCGCAAGCGCATGGCGTTTATCGTAATCTTCATCTCGGTCGTCTTCACCGCCGCCGGCGCAAACTACGTCGAGTTCTCCGGCGGCCTCATGTGCAGCCCGACCTACCCGCAGGTCCAGTACGTCGTCTACATCCCGATCATTGTCTACACCGGCATCGCGTCCATCCTACAGTTCTTCACCGCGTGCCACATCGTGCGCACGCTCTACCGCATCGAACTCTCGATCCACTACGCGCGCACGCAAAACGACCCCTCCCGCGCGCCGCCCTGGCGCAACAAGTTTGAAATCTACTACCGCTGCACGCTAAAGTATCTGCAGCTGGGCTGGCGCACGATCGTGTTTACCGAGTTTGTCACCTGCATCGCCGTCAGTTTCTCAATCACGTACTTTAAGGGTTACGGCGCAGACACAACGGCGCAGTACGTCACTGCGTTTACAGATTATTTGCTCTGCATGACTAGCGGCGATTACTCGCCTAGGCAGTGCGGAGAGCTTTACAGAAGCCCGTTGGGAGGTATGCATAAGTTATTTTCTTCTGAGATGTCTCGAACAATGCTGACATGAGTTAGATCGCACGGTGCTGATTTGGGCAAATGTGTTGATGGCCAGTACGTTTGTATTGTTTGCCACAGAATTCAGACGTAAGTCAAGCCTCTATCTTGAATTTTATTTACTGTGCTAACAGAGTATCTAGCACTGTTGCTGCAAGGCTGGCTTCTCTTCCTCCGACACCCGCGCTCGCTCATCTCGCGCGACCTCCGTCGACGGCTGCTCGACCAGATTCCCGAAAAAGAATTCACAGTGAACCCGATCAAATACTACCGGTCGCGGTCGATGGACACGTACAAGCCCGACCCGGACAACCGACCGATGGCGGACGAGGCCGGCAGCGGCGGCGTGCACGATGTGGATATGAATGGTGTCGTGCTCGATAAGGAGGCGTATCCAGGCGGGCACGATGAGCCGCCGTTTGATGGAGAATATCATCACGACGGCGAAGAGGACGAGCACGTGCAAGATGAGCACGGAGACGAAGAGATTACAGAAGAAAAGGGCAAGAGACGAGTCCAAGACAACGCGGACGCGACTGCCGAGACGGCATCGAGCCAGCGCGTCTACGGCGGCTCGCAGACGAACGTGGACGGGTCGCGGACAGGCTCGCGAGCGGGCAGCAGCGTGCATCTGAGCACGCACTCGCCGATTCCACTCCCGCAGGTGCTGCACCTAGGCATGCGGAGCAGGTTTGGCATCGGCGCGGGCGGGGACGAGAGCATTGCGTCCGGGTCGCTGCGGCATAAGCAGTTGCACCGGAACGCGAAGCACAGCGAGCAGGAGATGATTATGATGTACATGGACCCGATGAACCGCGAGGAGTTTGGCGGGGGAAGCAGCGGGGCGGGGAGTGGGGTGAATAGTCGGATGGGAAGCCTGATGAACGGCCGGGGCGGGGATGGGAGGGATAGTACGCAGGGCAGTATGCGCAACATGCGTGGCTACGGCGGTGCAGGGGAGGGAAGTGCACATGGACACGGCCATGGGGGAGATGGCAATGGTAATGGTAATGGTAATATTAGTAATAGTGGGTATGGCAGGAGCCGAGCGGGGACGAGGACGAGTGGAGTTGAGGAGGAGAACGAGAGTGAGAGTGTATAATGGTCAATTGAGTATTCACAAGATAAGAGTAGAAAGAGTAGACAAGACTTAAGAAACCACGCTATATACAACTACACACAACTACACAAGCTGATTAACTAGATTAAGAACAAAGAACGCTGTCGGTCCAAACCGAGCAGCGCCGCCACAGCAGCGAAGGCAGCGTTGAAGATCTTTGCCTTCGACAGTTGCTTCTATCGGAGATGCCCACCGACCGTCTTCCCTCCTGCTGCGCTGGCTCTCTCTTTCCCTCTTGTTTTCTATATAGAATACTAATAAAGAAGATATTTTCATTCTTATACTATATAGACATCTCATTTTTTCAGTCGACTGCGCTATTCCCCATCCACGAGCCACAGCGCACCTCGGAAGATGACATAATCTCTTACCTCACCTCACTTCCGGTCGCGCGGCGTCGCTCTCCTCCGGGCCTCTCTCTCGTCCCAATCACCATCCTCCCGCTGGACTTTTTTTTCTCTTCTTTAGTCTCGGCCTTCTTCTGAGCTTCTTTTGTTCTATCGTTCGCTTGCTGCTTGGTGCTTGTTGAGATAACGCGGGAGTGCGAGACCCTGGTTCGGACCTGAGTGCTGCTTAAATAGATATCCTATCGCCCCCGACTGCCTCCCCACTTTCTCTTCTCCTAGTCCCTTCCCTCTCTCTACTCTCCCTCCTCTCTCCTTCTCACTCCTCTCCTCCTTACCTCCCCTCTCCTCTCCTCCTCACAATGGTCAGCTACCACGAGGTCCCCGCCACCAAGCGCGGTCTGCAGGTCGCCTGCGCTTTCATCTGGTGTCTCCTCGCCGCCGGTCCCATCTTCGTACGTACCCTCCTCGCTTGCCACTTTCCTCCTCCCCCTCACCCACTAACCCTCCCAGGGCTTCGCCGCGCTCAAAACCGTCTGGCTGAACGAAGGCGTGTACGCAGACCAATGCACGCCCGAGCAGAACGCCGCCGGCTTCATCTGCTCCACGCGCGAGATCAAGCTCAACTTCATCTTCACCTGCGCCTCCGTCGTCACAAACATCGCCGGCGTCGTCGTCGGCATCATCCTCGACCGCTTCGGCCCCCGCGTCTGCGGCTACGCCGGCGGCTCGCTCATCTTCATCGGCGCGCTCATGCTCGCGTTCGCAGACACAATCGCCTTGCTCGATCTGTACGTCTGGGGATACATCACGCTCGCGTTTGGCGGTCCCTTTGTCTTCATCTCCTCCTTCCAGCTCTCGAACGCCTTCCCCGCGTACTCTGGTCTCGTGCTCGCGCTACTCACCGGCGCGTTCGATTCCTCGACCGCAGTGTACCTCGTCTACCGGCTGATTTACGACGAGACCGGGGGTAAATTCCACCCCAAGGCGTTCTTCCTCATGTACCTCATCATCCCGATCTTCATCGTCATCGCCAGCGGCATGCTCATGCCGGAAGAGAGCTACAAGCCGATGTCGGACATCGGCAAGTTCCTCGAGGAAGAAGAGGAAGAGGAAGCAGAGTACCAGCTCGACGCCAGCAGCATCGACGGCGTCGCCATCGACGCGCGCACGAGCGGCGGCATCGCGCGCGCAGACCACAAGGCCGCGCTGGTTAGCAGCACGGCCGCCGAGCTCGCGGCCGAGCAGATCGAGCGCATTCACAACGACTCGTCGCCGAACCACACAAATCTCAGCAGCGACAGCAACAGCGCGACCGAGAGCGAGGACCCGATCGGCGAGGACTCGCGGTTGCTGGACGAGAGCGCGGCGCTGCTGTCAAAGACTGATCGTCGCAACATCAGTCCTGGGCAGTACGAGTACGACAGCGAGGAGATGCAGAAGCTCAAGATCTCGGGCGTGTGGGGCGCGTTGCACGGCCGCAGCGCGCTGGCGCAGATTAAGACGCCGTGGTTTATTCTTCTCTGTTTATTCACGATGATCCAGATGCTCCGTCTGAACTACTTTGTCGCCACGATCCGGTCGCAGTACGACTTTTTGTTTTCGTCGCCCGAGATCGCGCGCCGGATCACGGAGGTGTTTGACGTCGCGCTGCCCGTCGGCGGCGTGCTCACCGTGCCTATCGCGGGATACATCCTCGACCACCGCTCGATGGCGACGTCGATCGCGATCCTGCTCGTCATGGGCACGACGATGGGTATCCTCGGTCTGTTTGCGTCCTACACGGCCGCGTACTCGGGCATCGGCATCTTTGTCATCTACCGCTCGTTCTTCTACACCACCGTTTCCGACTACGTCGCCAAGGTCTTTGGCTTCGACACCTTCGGCCAGATCTACGGCCTAATCTCGACCGTCTCGGGACTCTTCAACTTTGGCCAATCCGGCTTCGACACACTCACCCACCACGTCCTGCACCGCGACCCGCGCCCGGTCAACATCGGCCTCGTGATCGTCTCGACCGCGATCGGCGCCTGGTTCGTGTGGTATGTCGAGAAGCAGGCGCGGCGGATCAAGCGGTCTGCGCTCGAGTTTGAGGCCGAGCAGGCGACCGCGCTGAGGATGCCGGGGTATGCGGCGTCGTTCATGTCGTCGATTGAGTATTGATCTAGAGTCGGAGTATAATCTAGAGTCTGAGTGTTATCTAGAATCTGAGTGTTATCTAGAATCTGAGTGTAATCTAGAGTCTGAGTATCGATTTAGAGTCTTTTTGGAGTTACTGCCGCTCTTCTTTAGTTTTATACGTCAGTGATTCTTTTTCTGTCTCTTGTGGTTTTGCTTTCTTTTGTTTGGTTTTGATTTGTTCTGTTCAGCTTGTTGGCCTGGTTGCTATTTTGTTTTATAAATGTTCCGGATGCAATTGCATGTTTGGGTCTGCTTATTGAGTTTTGAGCTTATACATTTACATACTTTTTACTATACATCTACCTACATACTATACACTCTACGCTATATAATATAATATAATATAATATATAATCTCGACTATACATCAGTGCAGCAGCTTTATATCTAGAGTCAGGAGTATGTCAAGAGTGGAGGCAATGAAGAGAAGTGGAAACATTATTTCCGTTGGGAGGTATACGCATGCTTTGTTCTGTTGGACTGCGGTGAAGCACAGTAGCTGCACCAGATGCTGTTTTTTATTTTAGACACTCTGTGTATCGCAGAGACTTGAATACGGGGTTTGGGGTGGTATTTGAGATTTTTTGGATATTAATATTATAAGTAGTCCTTGCATTGGAAGCCGTAATCACAAAAGAGAATATACAAAAACGCGCACACAAAGCACAAAAAAGACACAGCACGCGAAACCAACGCACCAGAGTATTGATTTTCAGAAAAAGTTATCAGCTGATTTTTTAAAAAAAAGAAATCTAGTGCATCTTTATCGGCCCATGTTTCTGCTGATACCCAGTCATCAGATGACTGATATCCCCGACCGGCAGCAAGAACGGGAAATCGACGGCGACGAGCATGAGCACGAGGAAGATGTAGAACCCGATCAATCCGCACGCGAGCGCGAATCCGCCTCCCGCGCGGACGAAGCGCTGGCCTGCAGTCGAGCGGGCTTCGGAGATGAGGAAGTAGCCTACCGTGAGGCAGAGGAAGGTCATTTCGAGGCAGACAAAGAGGAAGACGAAGGCGACGTTTGTGCGGAGCGAGCAGAGGAGGAGGACGCCGACGAAGACGGTCCAGAAGAGGAGGTAGAAGCCGAATGAGGCTTGGAAGCCCTTTGTTGCGAGACCGAGGACTTGGTTGTCGCCTGTGGCGGAGTAGGCGCCGACGGAGTTGAACGTCGGGATGAGCGTGCCGCCGAAGGAGAACCAGAAGCCGCCGAAGGAGCAGAAGACGACGAAGGAGAAGGTGTTGCCGAGGAAGAACTCGAGAAGGCCAGCCAGGACCATCAGCAGGCCGCCGACAAAGACGTAGGCGCCGGTCGAGGCCGCGCCGTATTGGCCTGCGCCTTTCCAGCCGAGCAGGTCGCAGCCAAGAGGGCAGAGACAGAGGACGAAGCCGCCGATTGCGCTGGAGAGTATTAGTACAGATTATAGGAGAGTAGAACAGGTGTTGACTTACAGAGGCGTAGGATTGGCAAACGTCTGGCGGAGATTACCCTTGACAGAAGTCTTGGGGTTCAAATAGAGCTTCTCAAACAGCTCGGGCGTCATGGTGATCGACGACGCCGAGCGGAAGCGCGAGAGCGCCTGGGGATCAAAGTCGTCCTTCATCGCCGTCGTCTGCTGCTGCTGGCCACCGCCGGCAGCCGCGGAAGCGGTGTTGCCGCCAGCTTCGACGTCGTAGTTGTTGTAGTCGTACCCGGCGGTGGCTTGCTCGGCGGGTATGTTCTGGGTGGTGGATTGGTAGGTCGTCATGGCAGATAAGTCGAGAGAGAGAGAGAGAGAACAATGAGGAGGGGTTGAGGAGGATGAGGGATATACGGCGGTAGAGAGAGGAGGTTTTATAAAGCTATGCGGGATTGATGTCACCGCTGTGCATCGCGTGGCAGACGGGAGTCCATCACGGAGGCTACGTACAGGCGGTGGCCATCGTTTGGATGAGGTTAAGTGCGATGCAGAGTTAGCGAGCAGCGGGGTACCTACTGCTTCCTAAACAGTCGATCCACCTCTTGATTCCCATCTCGTTTTGTAGTTACAATGCGTCATCTGGAGCAGAATGCAAAATGCAAAGGCTGCCAGATCATATTATATGTAGAGCAACAAGAGAAGAAGGAAGGAAGAGCACAGGTTTGGGACGAAAATTAATTAAATCGAAGCGGGGTTGAGCCGCACCTGCGGGGTTGCCGGCCTGCTCGCCTTGCTCTTTATTCGCCTTACTCGGCTCTGCGCTGCTCTCGAGATCAGAGATGATGTGCGTAGTTTACTGTTTGGTGTAGATCAAGCATATAGTATTATTAAAATGAATTGTAGCTGGAAAGAAGCAATTGTAGCAGAAGAAGACCTCGCAGCAACCATCTACGTCACGTACCTGATCGGCGCGCGCATGATTTAGATTTCCTTGCTCCCGTTCTGAGCAATGATCGCAGGAGAGCCATACAGTCACTGAATGGCAAGTCACTTGACTGTTCGATCTGCTGATTCTCCATCGCAGTCCAGTCACCTGCAATATCACAGCGCTGTCGTCATTGCTTCGTTCTTGTGCGTAATAAACTTCTTTTCTAATCCAGGAAAGCATATACAGAAGACAACACTATTCCAGTAACACATATACAAACATCTGGCAAACAGCAGGAAAAGACACTCAAGCTCACGATCAATTCGTGTTTTGTCGCCGCTCCTGGTACCCGACCATCAAGTGACTGATATCGCCGACCGGCAGCAGATACGGAAAGTCAACCGCGACAAGCATGAGCGAGAGAAAGATATAAAACCCCGTGAGCCCACACGCGAGCGCGAAGCCGCCGCCAGCCTGCACGAGTTTAGAACCCGACACAGCGCTGGCTTCCGAGAGCCGGAAGTAGCCGACAGTGAGGCAGATGAAGCAAAACTCGAGGGTGAAGAAGAGGAAGAAGAAGCAGAAGTTTGTGCGCAGCGAGCACACGAGCAGGATCATGACAAACACGGTCCAGAATAAAAGATAGAACCCAAACGAGGCTTCGAATCCCTGCGTCGAGATCCCCGACGCCGCGCTCTCGCTGCTGGCGGCATATGCGCCGTACGCGTTGAAGGACGGGATCAGTGTTGCCGCGAAGGAGAACCAGAAGCCGGCAAAGGCGCAGAAGACGACGAAGGGGAATGTGTTTCCGAGGAAAAATTCGAGCAGGCCGGCGGTGAACAGGAGCAGGCCGCCGACAAAGACGTAGCCGCCGGTCGAGGCGGCGCCGGAGCCGCCTGATCCTTTCCAGCCGATGAGGTTGCAGCCCAGAGGACAGATGCATAGGATGTGTCCCGCCAGAGCTCTGCAGAGGTTAGTACAGTCCCGTGAGAGAATCGACTGTCAAAGATGTACACACAACGGAGTAGGATTCGCAAATCTCTGACGGAGATCACCAGCGACAGCAGTCTTGGGCGACAGATAGAGCTTCTCAAACAGCTCGGGGGTCATGGTGACTGTCGAGGCGGCGCGGAAGCGGGACTGCTGGGCGACGACGTCGTCGTTGTCGAGCTCGAGTTTGCTGGGGATCGAGTCTGGGGCGGTGCCGGACTCGAGGTCGTCGGGCGAGGCCAAGGCGGAGGTTGAGTAGGCTGGGCCGCGGTATTCTTTGTTGAGGCCTGGTTGTGAAGACATTGTGAGGTGCTTGGGACTGTGAGGAGAGGAGGCTGGAAGGAGGGATCTGAGAGGAGGAGAGGGTGATATATAGAAGCACGCAAGCTGTTGGGTATTCCCCGCATTCTTCAGGGATTATGATGCTGCTCTACATCATAGATCAGGGGTGGCGGGGTAAAGACAGGGAGAAGTGGGCAACCAGTCTAACGCCGATGAGGCCTCATCGAGAAGCCCATCGCGACCCCTCGACGGCCGCGAGAGATCGAGGAGGTTTAGCCAGTTGGTTCAGTGTTCATATTACGATCTGCAGTTTTCATATTATCCTATTTGATTGCCTATAATCATAAGCAGTGACCAAGGCAGCAGGAGGCAGGCGGAGGGGTGGAGATTGATGTTAGAATGCGGGGACGAAGGGAAGCGCGAGCCGCAGACAGTGCGGGTTTTTGCCAGATGCGGAAGCACGTCTACAGAGAGTAGTGGAGGTCGACAGGCAATTGATGAGAAATAGAATGATGTGTTGTTTGAATGAGAGATTAGAATAATGTGGTGTTTATTGCTGGATGAGGATCAGAGCAGGTGTCGGTGTTGGTGTTGGTGTTCAGCTGATGGTTGATAGCGATCGTGATAGTTGGGCCCTGAGCGCAGCAGCAGCAGCACAGTCCTTCACCGCGATTGTGGCTGCTTCTTGATTCTGATTAAAATAAAAGCAGAAGTTGGTGCAGATACTTTAATAGTAAGTATACTATATACTGTATAGCTACTAACAGCTACTTGATGGAGACAGAACCACCAAGTCCACACAAGAGCAGGCCATCCGCTTGTCCGACAGAGCCGAAAGTGCATATTCCAACGACGCTGCTCGCCAACTCTTTCCCATTTCTCCACGCTGTTCCTCAACACTTATCTATCTCATCCGATGATCTACGAGTTGATCATAAAATAATTCCTCGTCGGATCCTGATCTGATCTGATCTGTCTGAGCGGGAGCTTTGGGCTTGTGGGGGGGTTTGTGGTTACTTGTTCGGTCAGGCGGGTTGGGCAGTTATGTCCGATTTGAGCCATATTGCTGGTGATATCATCTTGTTATTGTACATTCTATGCTACTTCTTCTTGCTATTCTCTACAAATCCTCCAGCCCTCTATCATCTTTCTTCTTTTCCTCCTCCTTCTTCTTCTCCCCCTCCTCCTCCTCCTTCTCCTTCTCCTCCTTCCTCTCCTCATCTTCTTCGTCTCTAATCCCCCTATCTACAAACGTACTCACACCAGCCACCACATCCTTCCCATTAACCTTTCCCACCACCCAATACCACACCCGCCCACTCCCACTCACCGCCTGATAGACCTTCGCCGGCGACCCCGTAGCCGCAGAGATATCCACAAGTATATGCCGGTACGCGCCCTCGGGATCGAACTCGTCCGCGTCGATCGTGCGGATCGGCGTATTCGACGGCAGCTTGATCAGGCCCGCAAACGTCTGCGCAGTGGGCGCGTGCGTGTGCACTCGCTCTTCAGACTTTGTCGATGTCGTAGGTTTGGAGTGACCGTGGGTGTGGGGGATGTGTCGCTTGATCTCGTGCGCGATCGTAGCTGCTGGGTTGTGTCGGTGGTGCTCTGTCTCCACAGCAGGCGCAGCAGCAGGCACGGCAGTAGGCGCAGCAGTGGGCACAGCAGCAGGCGCAGTAGCAGGCGCAGCAGCGGGCACGACGGCGGGCAAAGGAGACAGTACAGGAGACGGCGGCGACGCGTCGTCAGACTCGCAGTCAGAGTAAACCTCGCCGCGTCGGCGCTCGACCCCATCCCACCTCACGGCGAAGATCTCAAAGGGCGCGTCCCCCACCCGCGAAGTGAAGTACTGCGTAGGCTTACCGACTCCTGTCGCGTCTGCATCCGACGCAATACGTCTGTCGTGCATCTCGTGCGTCCCGCCAGAGGCTTCAAAGCCGCCAGAGTTGACGGGGCTCAGCGGCGCGAACGACGAGTTTGAAGCTGATCTTGCGCGGGTCTTGCCTTTATCTTTTCGCAGACCGTCATCGTTGCTGTTCTCGGCAACCTGACTGCGCGCACTGAGTGTCAAGACCGACTCTGCAGGCGAGATGAAGTGGTTGAGCACATCGTCGATGTTTGAGATCGAGTCGATTCGAAAGCGGCCAAAGAGCGAGAGCAGGATATCTGGGATCTCGTCGAGCGCGACACGGCTGGATTCGGGGATCGACCAGTTGTTCTGGTCTGCGTGCAGCGAGCTGATCTGGTCCTCGAGCTGCTGCTTCTCTGTACTTGAGCTCATTGTAGTCGATTAAACAGTTTGTGTTATCAACCCTCTGGTTCTCTGCCCAGACAATGAACCACGAGGTTTGGCGGCGTCGCATGATCTTGCATTGATCGATGACGTAACTTGTGCGGCTCATAATATAAGTCAGAGATGAGGTAATCATACGCAAGCCAGATTTCCGATGCGGACCCGACGAGATGATGAATGACACCTCGAGGAGCCGTCGACTGCCGGGTGGAGATGCAGGTGGTAGACGTTGAGTAGCTGTTTACAGAATCAGATAAGAATATAACAGCAAGAAATGGAATAAAACAACAAGAATAAAAAAAACAAGAATAAACAGAATCAGAATATCAGATCACGTGTGGACCCAAAAAGTACTCGATCTTCGCGGCCTCGGCGGAGTTGAAATGGCGCCGGGGAGAATCCAGAATCAAAACAAACCAAAGCCCTACGACTCCACCACTTCTCCTCCTTCTTCTCTTACTTCCTGGTATCTACACTCTCTTCTCTCTGCTGACAGTCATCTCTATCCCCATCTCTTTTGTCCTCTTGTCTCTCTAGGCTGCAAATGTAATGTCGACCTCCGCGACTTCCTCTCCGCCTACGCCCCTCCCTCCCCACACCGTTCGCATCAAGCGCAAGCGGAACCAGGATCCTCTCCAGGCACTCAGTATGTATCTCTGCTCCAGTCTTCTGTATCTCCTACTAACTCCACATCACTCTCTAGTCCTCAACCAGGACTCTTCTTCCAAGCGCTCCCGCACAAATTCTTATGGTACGTCTATTCTCTACTCCACTCCCCTCCACCCTCTACCACACAACTCACACCCTCTAGTCTTCAAACTCGCAACCACCGAGGAACAACCTCGTCGCCCTGGCGCAATCACTCTGCTAGAAGCACCGATATTACCAGATGACCCCTCTCCCTCTTCTCTTCCCACCACCACCACCACCACCACCTCCGCAAAAGTAAGCAACCCTCTCTCCTCATCCCACAAAACTCGCTGATCCCAACACCGCCCTTTCTTTCACAGGAACATGCATCAGGCATTCTCAAAGCAGCACGCGACATTCTCAGTCCAGCACGACTTTTCCGTTTCCCCACGCGCAAACGCAGAATCAGCAACGACAATGATCTCGAAAGCAGCGCCAAACCCACCGAAACCAGCTCTCGGAAACGTACACGCGCTACTCCAGTCTCGCAGTCCGAAAAGATCAGGTCAAACACAACTCAGGGTGGTCTACCACCACCGCCGATCAAACCTGCCGAGGACTCGATCGCAAGGCAAAGTCCGCGGGCTTCTGCTGGTGGTATTCCGAAAGTAAAAGTACTAGCCACGCCGCCGCCTGCTCGATCGCCGATGCCTTCTTCGTCTAGCTCGATTACTCCTCCCGCGCCGGTGCCGGTGCCAATCACTGGCGTACGCACAAATACGACTACAGCTTCGGGTGAGCCTGCGCGGCGAAGGCGGCGGAGTAGTGGGTCGTTGTCGCTCTCGCCGACGAATTCGTATCAGCAGATGTCGACTGCGAACGAGGAGGAGTTGCAGCACATGGTTGATATCTACTTGCAGCTGAACAACAACAACACCAACAGCAGCCGTACTAGCGATAGTCCGAGCGGTGAGAAGAATGCCGGGAATCAGACCAAGCTGACGAGTGAATTGAAACGGCCGAATCGGGCATCATCGCGGCGCGCATCGTTGAAAGCTGCATCTGAAGCCGTCCCCGAGGCCGTGATTGTCGACGACGAGGAAGAGCATGCACCCAAACCTCCTGCAGACGACGAGGGACTTGTGCATAAGGCTCCGGTTGTGAGCAGCATAAAAGAAGAAGAGGCGGTTGATGGCGAGGTCGAGGATTATGTGTATGATGTGTATTATCGGGAAAAAATGCTTGGGTCGACGTGGGAGGGAGGGCAGTATGGGTTACTGTAGGTTTCCATCTGCTTTAGTGTTTATGCTTGTCTATGGTTTTGCTTTTGCTTTTTGCTCATTGTTTACTGTTTATTGTTTATCGCTCATTGTTTATTTGCTTTATGCATGTTGGGGTGTACGGGTTTGTTTGGGAAAAAGGCTCACGTTTGAACCACACAGGTTATACAACACGGAGCAGGATTTCGAGGATCTGATATTTGATGAGAACGACGACGGGGATAATTCCGACTACGGCCTTAGCGACGATGAGGATTCGAATGCGGAGGATTACTATGGGAACGACTACCCCGACGAGGAAGATTTCGAAGAGGAAGAAGACGAGGAGACAGAGTTTGTAAGTGAAGGACGGAGCGGTCTCGGCGCGGAAGCAGAGGAGGGCGGAGAAGCCGAGATCGACGCGGATGACTTTGATGGGTATGAGTATGAGGAATGTGCGCCGCGGTTCGCGGACGACGACGGGGACCGGTCGATGGAGGGCGGGGTGGGGTTGCAGGATATCATGGAGCTCGAGGATTCAGCAGAGTCTGATTCTGATTTCGCCGAGCGGATTCTGAGCAGTCTGCGGCAGAAGGACGGGTACGAAGACGCAGAAGAGTGAATAAAAGAACAACAACAACTCATCTGATTGTTGTTTATCTTTATTAGGCTGCCATAAATAGAAGTTTTGACATTTAAAGACGCGTATCGAGCGGCTCGAGAAGGTTTTCCCGAGGCCGAGCGCGCGCCACTCTTGGTTCTTCTGCTCTTTTTCATCACCGACAACCAAACAATCTTCTTCACAAAGTCGAGATCCGCTGCGCCGATGTCCAGAGTCGCGATATAGACCGTCGAGCACCGCCTCATACTCAGCAACGACAGCAAACGCGAGTTCTGAACCGAGTCAAATGAGCATACCCGCCTCTGTCTGATCTCAAGTTACTCTCGCTCTCTCTCGGCCTCTCATCAGCAAAGTGAAGATCGTCGCGGGCTGGCCTGGCTCTTGTCGCTGAATTCGAATGCGCATACTTCCCCGGACGCTGCTGGCTCTGCTTGCTGCTCTCGTCCTTGTCGCAGATGCGCAGCCGCGTGTTCTGGTCCGCGCAGACAGCTCGCGTACGGCGACCGCAACCAGCAGCAGTAGAAGCAGCAGCAGCAGTAGTATCAGCAGCAGCAGTTCACAGTCGTCGTCTGCGCTGCCGTCTGCAATTACCGAAGGCAGCTCACTAGGTTTCTCTGCTACATACACAACCTCATTCACATCGTCATCTTCATCGTTATCATCCACAGCAGCATCATCATCCTCGAGTATACTACCACGTGCGTTCGACTATCCGCTCGGCAAAAACTTTACACAGTCCTCGTGTCCCGATTTCTTTGACGAGTTCCTGGCCGACGACGACTTTATCGACTGCTACCCTTTTTCGTTTTTACTCCAGGTGAGCTCGAGTCCACTTTGCGAGACAAAAGTACATACTAACCTCGGCAGAACTCAAACTCGTTCTTCAACACAATCAAAGACGGCGCCTACGCGCTCTCCAACGCCTTCGACCGCATCTGCTCCGTCAATGCCACGAAATGCCTCGCGACCATGAACGCCTACGGCGCGCGCCTGACCACGAGCGCCGCCTGCCTCGACGACTACGAGCTGCAGAACCCGCTCGCGACGGCAGCATACAACGGCTTCACCGCGTACGAGGTCATGTACTCCGCCGGCTGCCTGTCATCCACCGACTCGGGCGCGTACTGCTTCGTCGACGCGCAGGAAAACTCGAGCGCGCTCGCGGATTCGTATCTGTATTACCTCCCGCTCGACGTCAGCCTGCCAAACTCGTCGGCGCCAACCTGCTCCCGCTGCGCGAGCGACATCCTCGCCATCTTCTACAGCAGCGCGGGAAACACTTCGCTTGCGCTGTCGCGCACCTACGCGGCTGCCGCGGACGCCGTCGACGACGACTGCGGGGCTAATTTTGCAGACAAGGATGTCGCGTACTTTACCCCCTCGGCGGCGGCGGCGGGCGCGGCCGCGAGCGCGTCGAGCTCGGCGTCGTCGTCTGCTGCGGGGGTGGGTGGGGTTACTGCTGCGAGAAGCGCGAGCGTTGTCGCGGCGGTGGTGGTGGGTGTGATGGTCGTTGCGGGGTTGGGATTATAGGATTACATGTAGATTTACGTATGTACGAAGAGAGAGGGAGAAGATGAGAAGTAATGGGTTAATGAAAAGCCAGCTGGGGTTCAAGGAGTTTTCTGTCTGCGATGTTTTCGTCGATTGTTTTGTTTATGCGGTGTCTATAATTATAATTAGTCTTAATACCGCTGTTTAATACATTTGTACTTTTGATAGTTACTTCTTGTATGTTTATTGCTGCTGTGTTTACTCTGATCCATAAACTGAGCTGTCAAAGCTGTCAGAACCGGTGCTTGGTTGATTATCCCTCATCCAGTAAAATCTGTAACAGCCACACTTTCACGCCACTTGTGATTTTGTCCAACTTTATTCTACTTCTGTGACTTTCATTGTTATGTAAAGCGTTATGTAAGATAAACATTGCTGGTTATATACGCGTAAACAAACCAATGCTGTGCGCCCACGCGTTCCCGCCCCCCCATTCCTTCCTTCGTTTTCTGCCTCTTTCTTGGTTCTATCTTCATTCACCTTCTTTACCGCTCTGAAAAACCTCTGTTTTATATAAAACGTTCTTTGTTATATATCAGGGCTCTTGTATCCGATCGCGTTCGTTATCTTTTACCTTTGACGCGTTCTCGTGGCTTTGAGGAAATTCCTACCGCGGCCTTCAATGACAGACTGTGAGTTCAATTGTACAATCTTGAACCATTTCCCTTGGCTAATTGCATTCTACAGCCTTTGGCGCGACGTTTACCGCTGAAACGGTGAATGAAGAAGAGCCAGAGACCCAGCGCTGCTCTAGTTGCGGTACCCACCACAGTCTGGACCGCTTCGCACTCACGCCGACAGGGGAACGCAGGAAATTCCCGATTGTAGAACACGCAATAGAGATAGCACAGCTCATTGTGGACCAGGCACCAAAGGGGAATATCGAGTTCGTAATTTCTGAAGGGGGATGAGATGGTAGTCGTCCTCGCCGATATCAAGAAGCTGAATGGCAGGCGTTATATGCCTGGTATGTGGGAAACGGAACCACATCCTTTAGTTATGTGGTGGTACAGGCGATAGCAGCTCTATCGTATTTTGGTTTCTTTTGGCTTCTGATTATTTCAATTCGAACTAGATTTTGTTCTAAAAATTTCAATCATAGTCAGTTCTATCTGATATCATACGAATTGTCCCAAGTCAGGCCTACTTGTGGTAAACACGCGCCATTAGCCACTCAGCCACTGGGGTCACAAACCCTATCGGGTCGGTCACAACTTTACCAGCCAACGCTACTTCCTACAGAGCCAACCCTACACCCGACGTCAGTATTTCTTATAGTGTGTCTGGAGGGATAACACCTCCTCTGCTCCTCGCGACATCTCCCTCATCAACCCAGCAAACAGCAACAATGGTGCGGATCAAATCCCGCTACATCCTCTTCTCGATCCGCTTCCCGACCCAGCAGACAATAGACAAAGCCCCCGACCCCCTCAAAAACCCACACTTCACCCCTCCGCCCCCCGCGCCCTTCAAACTCGCCAACAACGATGCCACCCGCCGCATGAACTTCACAAACCCCGACCTGCCGAGCCCGCACCCGCGGTTCGCCCCGGGATCGGCCGAGGCTGCGAAAGCATGGCAGACAACGTCAGATGGGCAGTTTTTGCCAGGCGGGCCGTTAGCGAATTTGCCGCCGGCGGCGAGGAAGGTCGTCATGCGCACGCCGGGGCCGGCTGCTATTACTTCCGCGGCGGTGAATCATGCGGTCAGAGATGCGGTTAATCGGATGTTTGGCGATCTAGGCGCAGGACTCGTTAAGGCCAGTCTCAGCTGTAAGTGGTCGTTTCCAATTCGTTTGCATTAGGCAAACACAAGCATCAAAGCTAACATCTTATGTCCTGCAGTAAAATACTTCTCCGAAGCAACCGCAACCGGCATCCTCCGCGTCTCGCGCGAGCACTTCACCCTCGCCTGGGCCGCGCTCACGCTCCTGACCGAGATCGCAGGTACGCCCGTGCTCGTCACCGTCCAGCACGTCTCCGGCACGATGAAGAAGTGCGAGCGCGCGGGCATCGCGCTCGATCGCGAGATGGCGCGCGTGCTCGAGTTTGAACTCAAGCGCGAGGGGTATGAGGCTACGAGGAAGGCGCGCGGGGTGGGGTTTGCTGCGGAGCGGTTTGTCGTGCAGTGAGGAGGGGAGAGGATGTATTGCGGATGTAGTCTGATGGAGAAAGAGACGGGTTGCTCTGCTTGTTAGACGGTGTATGTTTACGGGATGGTTTTCGTTCAGCATGTATTTTTAGGCGTTTGGATATTTCATAATTGTATTTGAACTAAGTGCTCATTAGCATTCAGTAACTGCAGAATTCTACACAGATATACTGCATCTTCTCAAGTCTCGATATTTTCTATATTACATAACGCATTACTCAACCCCCTGCACAACCGCACAACAAAAGCGTGCATACAACCTCTCGGAAGACAGATCCTTGGAGCTTTCGAGAGATTTATCCCAACCTGCGCTGCCACTGCCTTGACAAACATCTCAGAGCAGAGAATTAAAGAATACAGAAACGATGTCTAGTCAACTAAGGTATGTCTGCCCACTCCTTACTCTTTGCTGTTTGTTTATTTAGTTGGAGTTCGTGCTATGTCTGCGTCGTGTGCGCGTGCAGCTCGACTTCTGCTTCACTCTTGAGATTACGATGGCTGACGCTGTTCTGCAGATGGGGACATAACAAGTACCAGGACCCCTATGGCCGTATGACCCCTGCGCTCATGCGCGCGCGGGCAAAGTACGCCAAGCGGAATATCATCACCGGTCTTGCCCTCTCCACCTTCGTCGTCGGAACCTGTACGTATCCTCCTCCCTCACTTCCCTCCCTCATACAACCAAAGCTAACACAAAGAAAAACCAGACGCATACTCCGCCACCGCCGCCGGCGCAGACGACTTCTCCGACGTACCCACCCCGCCGATCTCGGAGGCCGCGCTGAAGGAGTTGCAGGCGAATCGGGCGGCGATCGAGAAAGAGGCCGAGAGCATGGTCACGCCGCGGATTAAGGATTCGGGTGAGTGGGAGATGCCGATGAAGCAGGGCGGCGTTGTTGTTTCTGCGAAGGGGGAGACGAGTGAGAAGAAGTGAGAGGAAGAAGTGGGTTTGCGGGGAGGGGATGGTGGGTGCTCGCGAGACTTGATTCTAGGTCTGGATATCAGGAGTCTGCGCAGTCAGATACTGATATCTTTTCAATGGCATATGCGAATTCTCAGTTCATGCATCTCACGTCCTCTCCTATCTTTTACATGTATATATCTCCGTTTATGTATAAAGAAGTACAATTTATTATCGTCAAAGGAAGTTCAACCTTTTATCAAAGACACCTCTCTCTCTCTACTTCTCTCTACTTCTTTCCTCTACACAATTGAATGATCAACGATATCTCTTCGGCGTTCGTTCTAATCTATTACAGAAAAAAACATCCACCCGAATTTCCCCTCCCTTCTTTCTTCCTTCCTTTCCCTTCTTTCTTTCTTTCTGTTGTATACAAAACTTAAGAAGATCGAGAAAAAGAATAAACACCAAAGAATGCATTAATACCATAGTTAAACCAAACAAAAAAAGAAAAACGAAAAAAAAAAAGAAAAAAGAGAAAAAAATAGAGATATGGTGATGTTAAAATCTAGAGGTTTGTGTTTGTTCTTTCTTTTTGACGATATTCACCCATGTTTATAAATCTTCTTCGACTTCACTTTCAGGTTCATACAACTTGACCTACAGATCTAAACCATTTACAGAAGCATTTTCCGCGGGTCCTCGATGTACTCCTTAACAAGCTTGAGGAAGGTAACCGCCTCCCGGCCGTCCAAAAGTCGGTGATCGTAAGTCAACGCGAGGTACATCATCGGTCGGGCCTCGACCTTGCCGTCGACAACCACCGCGCGCTGCTTGGTGCCGTGCAGACCGAGCACGGCGGTCTGCGGCAGGTTGATGATGGGGGTTCCCATCAGCGAGCCAAACACGCCGCCGTTCGAGATCGTGAATGTGCCGCCGGCCATATCCTCGATCGTGAGCTTGCCGTCGCGGGCCTTGGCTCCCAATCCCGCGATCGCGCTCTCGATCTCGAGCAGCGACATCGTCTCGGCGTTGCGCACAATAGGGGTAACAAGGCCCTTGGGGGTAGCAACAGCAACAGAGATGTCGACGTAGTCGCGGTAGACGATCGTGTCGCCGCCGTTGGGTCCCTCAATCGCACCGTTGACGGCAGGGATCTCCTTGGCAGCAATGCAGACAGCCTTGGAGAAGAACGACATGAAGCCGATCTTGACGCCGGTCTTCTTAAGGATCTCGTCCTTGTACAACTTGCGGAACTCCATCAGGTTGGTCATGTCGACCTCGTTGAAGGTAGTGAGCGAGGCAGCAGTGTTCTGCGACTGCTTTAGGCGCTCCGCAATGCGCAGACGCATACGGTTCATCTTCACTCTGCGCTCCTCGCGCGATCCGAACGCGCTCGGAGCAGCAGGCGCGGGCTCAGCAGCAGCGGGCTTGGGCTTGGGCGCAGCAGGAGCAGGGGCAGCAGCAGGCTTGGGGGCCTCAGCCTTGGGCGCCGCGGGAGCGGGAGTGGGAGCGGCGGCCTCGGCCTTGGGAGCCTCAGCCTTGGGGGCCTCCTCCTTGGGAGCCGAAGCACCAGCGGAGGCGTCGGTGTCGAGCTTGAACAGATCCTGGCCGACGGTGACGGTGTCTTCCTCGGCGGCGAGGAGCTCGGTGATGACACCAGCAGCGGGAGCGTTGACAGCAACATCGATCTGTTCTGTATTAGCAAGGAGAATTATACAAGCAAGGACAGTCACAAACGCACCTTATCGGTCTCAATGGAAGCAACTTCCTCATCCTGCTCAACAAAGTCACCGACCTCTGCAATTGTATATGTTAGTCTTGAGATCTTGTCTTAGAAGAGAGAAAACATTGATCCGACGAGCAAAACAAGGTTTGCAGATGACCAAAACAGGTTCGAAGAAGGATCGACGGAGGAGTTGGCTCCACCAGCATCAGTCGGGGTTTGATACTGCCATTGTTCATTTTCGAAGAATAAAACAAGATGCCGTCGACTTCTGAAGGAGATAGAACGGAGATTGAGGAATGGGTTACGTACGCTTGACCCATTGCTTCAGGGTTCCCTCGGTGATGGATTCGGCCATGGCGGGCACAGGGACGGTCGAGATGGCTGGATGGAAGAGTTAGCATTGCTCAGTAATTATTCCGACTTGTTGATACGACTACCGAGCGATTGTTCGAAGCCGGTCTATCCGCTGCTGGTCGATGTCCGAAGCAGGTAGCAGAGGCACATGAACGCGGTGTTGACATCGCCAGCGCACTCGGTCGCTATATCAAGAGCAGACACTAAATAAAAAAGCAAACAATTAACCTACCGTATGTTCGCAGGGCATACTGGAACGCAGAGGAGGCCGCGGGCGCGAACGGCGAGGCTCTGAGCGGAGATGAGAGCTGAGCGCGGGCGACGGCGGCGGCGGAAGCAGCGGCGGCGGGGCGCGCGAGACGGGAGAATGATCTCGCGGCGGGGGCGGCTCTTAATGAGCGGGCGGCGGTGTATTTGAGCATTGTAGCGGCGAGGACGGAGAAGCGGTGAAGAAGGAGGAGGGCGGAGGGGTGGGTAGAAGAGAGGAGAGGAGAGGAGGAGGAGGAGGAGAAGAAGAACCGACGAGTGAAGGCTTCGCGGTCGTCGGCTCGCGCCCGGACGACGGCAGAGATCCGCGCACAACCGTCGAACCGCGTGCCGTCGGATGCGCGCGGATTGCTCTGTGCGGGCCGTGATTGGCTGGGGAAAGTGTTGTGTTGGGGTAGAAAGTACAGAAGATATGTAGAAGCAAAGGGGGCTGCCCGGACCCAGAATATACGCTGCACAACTCGCCCACATTCACCACTTTTATGCCGCACCGAGGAGCCTACGGGAACGCGAGAAAAGAAGATTACCTCTGCCTCTGACCTTCACATCCATCCAGCTGCCTGCTTAACAGCACTCATCGCAACATGTCGGCCTTCACACCGTTCTCCCCGCAGCACGTCTTCTCGATATACCGTCGCGCTCTGCGCACGACCCTCTCGTGGACCATCCGCAGAGACATCTGGCGACAGGAGGCCCTCCAGATCCGCGCCCAGCTCGAGTCAAACAAGGATGTTATCGATCCTCGTAAGATCAGAGTATGTCAATAATAAGGAAGAAGAGTGAAATGTGTGAATTTGATTGCATTTGGTTGCTGACGGTGCTCAAAACCAGGAACTCATCACCGCCGCTGAGTTGAAGCTGCGTGCAGGCAGACACCCTGATCCTTATATCCCGCCCTCGCGCCCTGGTGGTATGTCTTCTTCTGTTGTTTTATTCTCTATTTTGTTTATCGATAGCAACTGACCTGATTTTGTGTATTACAGGATCCAAGTACGAGCGCAACTTCCCTCCCTCCTGCGAGCCGCGTATGTTCAATCTCATCTACATCTCTTCAACGCATCCATGTCTTCATATACTCACACCTCCTCCTAGCCATCGATGGACCCTACTAAACCCCCCTCATCCTCATCCAAACCCGCCGGCAGTCATCTCACCATCATCTCATCATATCCCGACCGACCGACACCCACCGCCATCCAACCCTCACCTGACCTGGTCCCGGCATCCCACCTTCAGTCTCACCGGGTGAACTGTGGTGGGATCTTACTCGACTCTGGTTTCCTTTTTTTGTTGTTGCTTTAGTTATCGCATTTGTATGTAATTTACGGGAAATTTATTGAATAAACAGATAGACTCATTCTTTCGTTCTGTATATCAAGAGCTGCTAGATATTGCTCTTCCTAGCTTCTCTACTCTTTTTGCTACAAGTATTATTATCGACTTGTATCAGCAAGCAATCAGAATTTTCAGAATCTCTAAGATAAAGCAGTCAATAGCAGCAAAACAATGTAAATCCTGTTCAACCACCAAACTCTCTTCCAACCCAAAATTTCCTGAGCCGCGCTCTACACACCTCCATATTCCTGATATCAACAGACAAATACACGCCCGCCTTTCATACCACACAATTATACACAAATACAACAATGACTCTGTGATTGTACTTCTCTAGCTGACGGCTTTGTTTTGAAAAGTACGTAATATGAGCGAGTCAGCAGCCGACGCGACAGATCGCAGCTCGTCGCGGCATCGTCATCGACATCGCGCGCATCACCACAGCAGCAGCAGCGGCACCCACCACCACAGCAGCAGCAGCAGTCGGCACCGCAGTAGTCATTCTTCAAAGACAGATACGCAGGACGCGAGGTCGTCGAGCAGGATCGCAAAAGAGCAGAGTAGAGATCACAGACACGGTTCGAGTACCCGCGAACAACGGCATCGCGGGCAGAATGAATCTCACATACGAGCAGGGGGAGAGCGTGGGAAGGACGGAGAAGATGACGAGGGTATGAACGATGATGTCGAAGGGTCTGCAGGAGCGATTGAGGTCTCGGAAGAGAGTGGGAAGGTAGAAGAGCAGCAGGACGAGCAAGAGGCAGAAACGAATGCAGAGATGCCGGTGGTGTATACTGAAGATCCAGTGCGGTTGCTGTGCTTACTGTCGCAGGTGCTACGGCTACCGTCTTTGACGCTATGCACTGCACTGATATACATGCATCAATATAACGCCTACGTCGACGCACAGCGACAACTCCGCGATACAGAACAGAAGGACTCCTACCACGAACCTATATTCGACAAATACGTATGTCTACTCACTATCTTCTTCTTCTTATACCTGACTAACCCTCTACAGAGTCTCGTCATGACCTGTCTCTCGCTAGCCTGCAAAGCAACAGAATGCCCCCGCCGTCTCCGCGAACTCCTCGTCCCAGCATCCCACATCCTCCACCGTGACTCCTCTCCCCGGCTAACCTTCCCCTCCACCCTATACGACTCCTTCCGCGCCGGCATCGTGCACTTTGAACTCGTCCTCCTCCGCATCCTCCGCTACGAAACAGAGGTCCAAACCGCTTTTCTCGACAACTCCGCCTTGCTCGAATCCGTCCTCGACGCAGGCGTCTGCGGAAACCTGCACGGCATAGCCCAGCTCCGCAACATCATCCGCGGCACCTTCCGCTCCGGCGCGCAGGCGCCCGAACTCGCGCGCGCGCGCGACGGGCGCGAGTACGCGGCCGAGTTCGGCATCGTCAGGTTGCTTGCGACCGAGATCGGCGGGCGCGCGCAGGCGTACGTCGTGCAGTGCTACAAGCGCGAGGACAGCGCGCTGCGGTTTCGGCCGGTGCAGGTTGCGGTCGCGGCGGTGTTTTTGGCGGTCGAGGAGGAGGGGTATGTGGTTGCGGGGCGGGGGTGTGAGGGGTGGGTGCGGGCTACGGTTGAGAGGTTGGTTGAGGGCGGTGAGAAAGATGAGGATGAGGAGGATGAGGAGGGGGGTGGGAGGACGCGCAGGGTGTATGTGAGTAGTCTGGAGAAGGAGGAGGTTATTGCGAAGTCAATTGAGCTGATTGATCTTTTGGAGAAGGAGAGGGTGAAGACTGCCTTGAGTTATATGCCCTCTGCTGATGCGGTGAAAGAGGACAGTTGATGTGTGGTCTCTATCATTTTGTATTATATAACAAGACCAACGACTATACCACCTATTAATCAAAGACAACGACAACGAAAGACCTGCTGTCATCAGAGTATCGCTATGTATTGAACTCATACTAATTCATGACTGCGAACAAAACCATATGCACAAAATGAAGAACCACAAAAACAAGACATTCAATGCCAAATACAGTTCCAGATGCAAAAAAAAAAAACAAGACTCCGTAAACCCCAAGAATATGAAATGTGGATGGATTAATAGTACACTTTCAAGATTGCAAAAGAGACGTTTATGATTATACCCGCGATGATTGCCATCTGCTGTCTTTTCGAGAAAATACTCCCTTCGCGCAAGAAAAACAGCGCGACAAAACCAAGGAAGAAACCAACGACGGTGCCGAGCAAGAGATCTTCATACACCCCAATCGGCGAGCCATCCGGCAACGTGTCTGGCGCGGACGCGCCTTCGTCGATCCAGCGGTCTTCGAGCTGCCGCGCGGCTTCGGGGTCGGTGTTGAGCGAGCCGCCGTGCAGACGGTTGAATTGTGCGCGCAGCTGGGCGATGTCTTCGTCTGAGAAACCGGCGGATCGGAGACGGTCGAAGCCGACGGGGGCGGGGAGGGTGGATGGTAGTGGTTGGCTCTGGGCGGGGTTAGCTCTTGATTTGAAAGAACAGTCAATAAAGAGTAAGAGAAAGAGAGACATACGCCGGTGTCGTTCTCTTGAGCGAGTTCCTCGTCTGTCAATACGTCGCCAACTGAACATAGAAGCCAGATAGTCCTTAACCGCTCGTCGTCCGCGTCGTCTGTCTGCGCACCCGCGCCACTCGCCGCGCCAGCAGCATACTCAGCACTACTCCGTCCGCTCTGCAACTCCGCAATCGGCTTGATCGTCTTTGCGAGATCGTCAGAGTCCGGCAGCGCGCGCCCGCCGTAGATGAGCCTCAGTCGCCGCCGCGAGGTGTCGGCCGCGCGGTCGGTGCGTATGCGGCGCTTGACGGAGGCGACCGGCAGCGCCGTCGAGGGCGCCGGCAGCGGCAGGATCAGGTCGGGGATGGAGGTCCGGGAGAAGCGGATGCCGAGCGACATTGATTGCGTGGAGGTTGTGGTTGTGTGTGGTTCTCGATATTGTCGTCGTATGCGTGCGCGCAGGGAGGATCAGGGAGCTGTCCACGTGACTATTAATTCACGTGACAATGTTTATTTGGGCCGAGGGGCAGCCGAGAACAAGGTTCAAGCTAGACTAATATGAAACTGTAAATGTATTGTGGGCGTCCCGAAGCGGACTAGCGGCGTGGGCTGAGGAGGAGCCGGTTTGAATGCTCGAAGTTCGCCCGGGCCGAGCCTGGGATTCCCCACACTCGGCTGGTCTCTGCTGCTTCTTCTCTTCTTCTTCCTATTAGTACTGTTAGCAGATACAACTGCTTCTTCTTCTTCTTCTGCTTCTTCATCTACTCTCTCTCTGCTACTCTCATCTACTCCGTCGGGAGGAGGCAGCCGAGATGTCGTGGAAACTCACCGACAGGCTCGCCGAGAAAATCAATCACTATTCCTCCTTTCCCGCAACTGGCGTCTCGCTCCGGCAGATGGTGAGTCTTGTTCTGGCTGCTTTGCTGCTTTGCTGCTTTGCTGTGTATTTTGTGTTTTGATTGTTGTTTGTCTTCTTGTTCTCTGCTGCTGCGACATGTTTGTGACCACGTTCGGCTTTTGCTGTTTCTCATGCGCTCTGCTGGATCCCGTCGGGTGCTTGATGATTCTCACTCGCGTGACCTCCTGATCATCACCCCTGCTTCTGCTTCACCATTCTAACCATGCTCTTTTCTCATATCTAGGTCCAGTTCGGGCAACGGCCAAATCCTGGTATGTACCTCTCATTATACCCGCTCTGTGATCCTAGCTGACTCTTACAAGGAACCCTCTTCCGCGGCGCACAGTTCCTCGGCGAAGAACTCCCCATCCGCCTCGCCCACCGCGTCAAAGAACTCAACAACCTCCCCGACGGCCTCTCCGAAATGCCGTCGATCCAAAAAGTCCGCAACTGGTACGCGCAGTCGTTCGAAGAGCTCATCGAGCTGCCGCGGCCGAAAATCCCTCCCCAGCTCCGCGAGCTGCTGATCAAAGCCCAGCGCCGCGACACGAACGGCGAGCACTACGGCCAGAAGCTGCTTGAGAATACAGAGAATCCGAGTCTGGCAGGCGAGGATTATCGCGAGATCACGCCGCAGAAGAAAAAGAGCATAAACTCGCGGCGGTACTTTGTGCTTGTCGACGACGACATCTCGTGGTCGCCCGAGATCCACGAGTACAACAAGCTGTTTACAAAATGCCTTTCGGTCATCAAAAAACGACACGATCCCGTCGTCACCACCGTCGCGCAGGGAATAAGCGAGTACAAGCACTCGCGCCAGCGCATGCAGATCGATAGCACGATCCAGTCGTTCCTCGACCGGTTCTACATGTCGCGAATCGGGATCCGCATGCTGATCGGCCAGCACATTGCCATCAACGAGCAACCCTCGACAGACAACTACGTGGGCGTAATCTGCACAAAGACAAACGTGCGCGAGCTCGCGCAGGAGGCGATCGACAACGCGCGGTTTATCTGCCAGGACTACTACGGGCTCTACACTTCGCCTCAGGTCCAGCTCGTTTGCAAGCCTGATCTCAATTTTATGTACGTGCCCGGACATCTGAGCCACATGCTGTTTGAGACGCTCAAGAACTCGCTGCGGGCGGTGGTCGAGCTGCACGGGCCTGATGCGGATAATTTCCCGCCGGTGAAACTGATTGTGGCGGAGGGCAACGAGGACATCACGATCAAGATCTCTGACGAAGGCGGCGGCATCCCGCGCAGCGCGATCCCGCTCGTCTGGACGTACATGTACACCACCGTCGAAACCATGCCGTCGCTCGACCCCGATTTCAACAAAAGCGATTTCAAAGCGCCCATGGCCGGTTTCGGCTACGGCTTACCACTATCACGTCTCTACGCGCGGTATTTCGGCGGCGATCTGAAGCTGATTAGTATGGAGGGCTACGGCACAGACGTGTATCTCCATCTAAACAGGCTGAGTAGCACATCTGAGCCGCTGCCATAGGGGTTTGTCCCGAGTTCGGTCAAGAATTACTATAAATGACAAGTAGAGAGAGAGAGAATGGACGGGGGTGGTGGTGGTGGTGGTTGGTGTTGACGTTTATTGTATTACTGTTTGACTAGAACGAGGGACGCCTTGAGTATTTGCCGATGTGAAGTGTACGCTAGTCCGGGGATGAAATCCGGCGCGCGGGGAGGGGTAAGAAGCCGGGATTCTTTCCAACCATTATATCTTGTTTTTATCTTGTGTCGTTTGTTTGTTTGTGTTTTTTTGAGTCAATTCGGGCGTCTTGTGTCTCTTTTGATGGTCTTTTGTTTCTTCGCTCGTTGCGCCTACATCTTGTTTTGTGTTTGTGTTCTCTCTGATTTTTGTTGTTATTGCGGCATTCAGTCTTTTTGCCTTCATTGTTTTGTGTTTATATCGATTGAACGGATCTTACTACAAACATATACATAAACATAAACTGATTCAGTCGAACAATTACTTGGATATAGGGAGGAATGGTGTTGACGTACTGTATCCAAGCTGCTGAACTGTGAGAGCGGTCAGATACCCGACGGACGACCTTTTCAGAGTCGTCGGCCTTGGCTCCGCTTTCCGAAGTATTTTCCTGACTTGCTGATGTGAATAGTACATGGAATATATGTAGACGCGACACCCCAGACAAGATAGAGTATGCTGTAGGAGGTGCATTTAGCTGCAGCATTCCATATCACGGACAATCACCGACGTCGGCAACCCTTTTAATTGCTGTTGTCAGTCCATTTCCGTCGACCTTGTACTTCATTTTCTGCAATCTGCTGAGGGGATTCGTGAGTGGATCCCACGACAGACGAGATTGAAGACCTTTGCGCACGTCGTATTTGTGTAGGGTATTTGCGAAAACCCTATGATACGACCTAGCGACAATCTCAAAGATCAGTGCTGATGAAGATGGCGAGAACATCACGATGAGTGCAAAAGTACGCTGCGAGGGATTTTCAATCAAGCTCATGGGCAACGGGAAGAGGAGGTAATAGGCTAATTCGGTCTGGCGGCGGCAGAAGAAGACTGAGCCAATGCCTTCATCAGCTTAAGCCGAGTCTGCGCAGGCGACTATCATCATAAACACAGAGTAAGCACAGCTCACTCATCAAACCGCAGATCATAACAAACCTCGTTAAGAGCGACTGCGCGCATCGCGGTATAGTCCCAAGACCCCATATTCTTGATAATCGCCGCGCGCCGGTCGACGACCTCGTAGCTCAGCTGCGGGGATTGCAGGGGGTATGTGTTGAACGGTCGCGATGTGTCGCGGGGAGGAGCGGGCGGGGGGAGAGGGGGTGGAGGGGCGGTAGGTGCTGTTGGGTGGCGGTTGGGGATGGTGGACATGGTGGTGGTGGTGGTGGTGGTGGTGGTGGTGGTGATGGAGGGGAGGTGGTGAGGGGATAAATTGATAAATTGGATGAGCCCCACAGTGGCTTGAACAAGGATATGTGGAGTTACAAGAGAAATACCACTGCTATTTCTTCTTACAGACAAACCACCTACTAAACAAACAACTAAACAACAAGAAGTGCTCGAACATCAACAACATCCAAACGCAGACCAGCCAAGAGCACGAAGGCGGAGAAATCCCGCGCCGCACGGGTGATTACAAATTCGTCCTCAATCGTATTTAACCCGCCTTCTCTTCCTTCTTCTTCTTCTCTTCGTCACAATTGCAATTGCTGCTTCAAAGAATTGCCATCAACAGATCTATTATCACAATGAAGGAAGTTATCGTTCACCAGGAGCTCGAGAAGACCGTCGTCGTGGACTCGCCTTTGCCGTACGTACTTCCTCATCCACCCTCTCTCTCCTCTTCACTCACTCACTCACTCCTCTAGTTCCCCCGGCCCCCACGACGTCCTCATCAAGGTCGTCGTCTCCGGCTCCAACCCCAAGGACTGGAAATACCCCATGTTCCGCTCGACCCCGCACAACTCCGGCGACGACATCGCCGGCGTCGTCGAGAAACTCGGCTCGGACGTCCACGGCCTCAACGTCGGCGACCGCGTCGCTGCCTTCCACGAGATGGGCGCGCCCTACGGCTCCTTCGCCGAGTACGCCGTCGCGAAAGACTACTGCACGTTCCTCATCCCGGACTCGGTCTCGTTCGAGTCCGCGGCAACCTTGCCGCTCGCCTCGCTCACCGCCGCCTACGGTCTCTTCGACATCCTTCCCCTGCCCACCCCATGGCGCCCTGCCACCGGCGCCTTCCCGATCGTCATCTACGGCGCCTCGAGCTCCGTCGGCGTCTTCTCCGTCCAACTCGCCAAGCTCGCCGGTCTGAGCCCCATCATCGGCGTCGCGGGAAAATCCAAGCAGCTCGCGCTCGATCTCGGCTGCGACTTCGTCGTCGACTACCGTTCCACCGACGACGTCCCCGCCGCGATCCGCTCGCACCTCAAGCCCGGCCAGGAGCTCCTCTACGCCTGGGACTGCATCTCCGAGCGCGGATCGGTCGAGAACCTAGCCGCCGCGCTCGCGCCCAGCAACGGCAGCGAGAAGCGGATCGGCCTCGTGCTCCCGGACCTCTACGACGCCGACAAAGTCGCCAGCCTCGGCGTCGAGCCCAAGCTCGAGATGGTCGGCGTCGCGCACGGCGAGGATCCCGCCCGCCGCGACTTTGCCTGGGTGTTTTTCCAGCAGCTCAGCAAGTGGTTGTTCGAGGGCAAATTCAAGCCCCACGCGTACAAGGCCGTCGAGGGCGGTCTCGCGGGCGTCGGCAAGGGGCTCGCTGAGCTCAAGGCGTTCCAGGTCAGCGGCCACAAGAACGTCTTCCGCGTTGCCGATACTCCCGGTTTGTAAATTTCGCAGAAATGAAATTGTCCGGACGCTGGAGATGATGGTTGCTTTCTAATTAGCTTTGCCTGATTTGTAATTCAATTCACAAATTTCCTATTCGGGTAGTAATGACGTCAGTATCTCTCGTAGCAATAATATCCCCACACCATCTCCGCCTGCGTTGATCCACATCGCTGCACACATCTGAACAGCTTACCCTCAAATAAAAAGCACAGCGATGACACTCTCGCAGCCAACAGTCTTACTCACAGGCGCCGACACTTTCGTCGGCAGCGCCATCCTCGCCCAGCTGCTGGCGAAGGAGCACGTTGTGCGCGCGGCGATCCCATCACTGCAGGCCGCGAACGAGCTGCGCAAGCGGTTTCCGGCGACGCCGGCGCTGAGTCTGGCGATTGTTTCGAATGCGGGGAGGAATGGTGCTTTTGATGCGGCGGTGAAGGGGGTGGGGATTAGTTGTGTGGTTTGTGTGGGGAGGGGTGTGGTGGAGGTTGGTGGTGAGAGCAGCGCGGGGGAGGAAGAGGGTGGTGAGGATGAAGAGGTTCGGGGGTTGCTTGAGTCTGTGAAGAGAAGTTGTGTGAATGGGGGGTCTGTGAAGCGAGTATTTCTGGTGTCTCTGTCTGCTTCTGAGAACCAGGACCGACAGACAAACGCAGAGAAGGTAAACAAATCATCCTTCTCACTGCATATTCACAAGCTCAGCCAACTAACCTCCCCACCCCAGACCGCACCCAACACCCCCTTCATCATCACCTCCCTCATCCACGGCATCCCACTAGGTCCCTCCCTTTCACCCCCATCTCCCGCCTCACTCGCCACTTCCTCCGATCTACTCCGCACGCTCCTCGAAATCCCTGCCCCAACGCTCGCAAGTATACAAACCAAGATCGGCAGCGCCAGTCCACTGCTCTCGTGGATCGACGTGCGCGAGCTCGCGGACGCGGTGGTGCGCGAGGTTGAAGGTGAGGATGAGAAAGGGAGGGACTGCGTTCGTTTGTCTGCTGGCACGTTCACGTTCGCTGAACTTATCAGTATAGTCCAGGCATACAGACATAATCCCAAGTCGTCCGATCCCACTCCATCCACCACCTCAGAAACCTCATCAAACAGACAACTCAAGACCACAGTCTTTGAAGCACTCGCGCAGCTAGAAGCCACCTCAGCTGAGAATACTGCAGCTCAGTCGTCGTCGTCGTCGTCGTCGTCGTCGTCCTCGGCGGCGCCGCACAGCAGAAGCGGCTGTCCGATATTCCATCCCACCGACGACTTTGCAACTCCTCGCGGGATCGCAGCGTGTCCGGTGTTTAATCCGTCTGCGTATCTAGAGCAGCAGCAGCAGCGATGTCCTGTTGCTCATGTCGGGGGTCAAGGTGATAGGAGCGACGGGGGGAGGTGTCCTGTGCCGCATTTAGATTTAGTGCTGTAAACCTGAACAGCGACGAATTACTCTGAATTCTCTTCTGCTCCATCTATTTGTTTGTTACAAGTAATAATAAATAAGAAGTATGATTGAACTTATATTCACGAAAATATCAAGAATCAGGAAAACGGTTCTATCACCTTAAATCCCGCCATGAACCTAAACAAGCAAAGTACAACAAAGTGAAATTGAATAGTTATATAAATATATTACACAGAAAGAAAAAGTGTCAGAGCTGACGAGACAGAGAATAGAGATGAATGATAGATAGATAGAAAAGGAGCAGAAAAACAAAGGACACCTTATAAAAACAGAAATGAGCAAAACACAAACACAAACAAAACGAGAGAGAAAACCAAAGCGAAGAAGAAGAAGAAGAAGAAGAACTCAAGAAAAGAAGAAGAAAACCACAGAAGCAAAGACACAAGAAAGAGGTGAAATCGACCGCGAGCGTAGGACCCCCTACCAGAACAATATTTTTAAAAAATTTAAATTGCGTTTTTTGTTCTAATATCGTTCCGGTGGTTCGTCGTGGTTGAAGTTTCACCCTCTCTTTTCTTTCCAACCTTTCTGTCTCTGTCTTGACGTCTTGCTCTTCTTCTTCTTCTCTGTAAAAAGAGAACTTTTCGATGACAGAAGACGGCATATATGTACAGTTGAAAAAACAATGAGATTATTAGCATATATGTAAGCGTGTATAAGCGATACACAGCAATCCCCGCCAGCCAAGAGACTGCGGACGCTGCTGATTCGAACAGATTTAATAAGACGACGCGCGAAGCAAATGTTGTGAGGGAACCGGCAGGAGATCAGATCTAGATCATCGTGTCCAAGATCCCAGAACTGGCGGCCAGGAAACCGAGGTACGGCTTTGACGGATCAAGCACGCGCGACAGATACTCGGGATGATACTGCGTGCCCACGAACCATCTATGGTCCTTGAGCTCAAAGATCTCCATCCGCTCGCCGAGCTCGTCCTTGCCCACAAACGTGAACCCCTTCTCCTCGAGCTCGGGCACGTACTTCGGGTTCACCTCGTACCGGTGACGGTGTCGCTCGTGCACGACCTCGCCGCCGCCGTACAGCTTGCGGAGTTTGGACCACTCGGTGTCGGCTTGGAACTTGGTCGGGCGAAGACCGAGACGCATGGTTCCGCCGAGATGCGTCTTGCTGACCTCCGGCATGAAAACAATCAACGGGTTCTCGGTAGGCTCCTCGACGAGTTCCTCAGAGAAGGCATCTAAGAAAGAGAGAAAAGATCTGTTAGCTGCTGAAATGAATGTGTCCTCGAGATTACAGTGAGAGAAAACAGGAAGACAAAATAAAAAGTTTGGGGGGCGAGGTCGCCCTCCCAGAGAAGCTTGATCGATGTCGCACTTGAGGAATACCCATAAACCACTAAATCTCTGCTCATAGGTCTAATGTATAGTGCTTTGAAAGAAAGATAAGAAGGAGAAGAAAAGAAGAAAAAGAAGAGGAAAAAGAGGAAAAAGAAGGATAAAACTGAAAACTGGAAACACCTCTCGAGGACAAAATTAAAAAGACTTGCATACCTTTATATCCGAGAACGTTTCTAGCGTACTCGATAACCGCAATCTGGAGACCAAGACAGATTCCCAAGTACGGCACATCGTTCTCACGCGCCCACTTGGCAGCCGCAATCATACCCTCCGTACCACGCGATCCGAATCCTCCAGGGACGAGAATACCGTCGGCCTTGCAGACCTCGTGCCACGCCTTGTGGAAGTTGACGCGGTCGCTGGTCAACGTGTCCGGCTCGAGATCAGAGGCCTCGACCCAGTTGATGGTCAGCTTGCGCTGGCAGCGCAGAGCAGAGTGCTCAAGCGACTTGACGACGGAGATGTAGCTGTCCTTGAGATGGGTGTACTTGCCCACAAGCGCAATAGTCACGCTCTCAAACATGCGGTCGTGGGTCGAGGTCAAGTGCTTCCAGTCAGACCAGAGCGAGGAACCCTTGTTGACAAACGCAGGGTTAACGGAAATCTTCTCGAGCTTGAGCTTCTTGGACAGCTGCTCGACGATCTTCTGTTGATCCAGCAACAAGGGAACGTGGTAAATCGAGCTCAAGTCGTGAACGACCAAAACCTGGTCCGGACCGACGTGGCAAAACATCGAGATCTTGTCGGTAGTAGCCTTCTCGAGCTTGTGCGTACACCGGCAGGCGACGATATCAGCGCTAAGACCCAGACCACGCAAGTCACGCACAGCGACCTGCGTCGGCTTCGTCTTTTGCTCGCCGTTCACGACCGGGATCAGCGAGACGTGGATCAGCGCAAAGTTCTCGGGTCCGACGCGGAACTGGAACTGACGAAGAGCCTCGACAAAGGGCGCGGACTCAATGTCTCCGACCGTTCCTCCAAGCTCGACAATGCAGATATCGGGCTCCTCGCCGCTGTCATCGACAGGAATCTTCGCAACGCGCTCGATCCAGTCCTGGATCGCGTTGGTGATGTGGGGAACGACCTGCACGGTCTTGCCAAGGTAGTCTCCCTTGCGCTATATTGCAAATTTTTCGTAAGCAACGAATTCAAACTGAACCGTACAAGAGACTGGATAAAACCTACCTCACGCTCGATAACATGGCTGTAGATCTTGCCGGTGGTGATGTTGTTCTCGCGGGTGAGAGTGACGTTCAGATATCTCTCGTAGTTTCCGAGATCAAGATCGACCTCACCGCCGTCGTCGAGAACGAAAACCTCTCCGTGCTCAAGAGGGCTCATGGTACCGGCATCGATGTTCATGTAAGGATCGATTTTGATGGCGGAAACCTTGAAGCCTCTAGTCTTGAACAGAAGACCAGTGGAGGAGGCTGACGAATGCTGATTAGAAACAGTCCTCTAGTTTTCGAACAATAGCTAGACAGAATCCGTCGTCACTATGTAGTTGATATCTTACCAATAACGCCCTTTCCAATACCGCTAATAACACCTATTAAGAGCAGAGATATGTTAGTCACCGTCAGATACGCCACAACCACGCACACAAAAAAATTACAAACATACCTCCGGAAACCACGACGTATTTCATACTGAATTTCCAATGTCCGACAGAAACAGAAAAAAAGTCTAGACAACATCCACCAATTAACACTACAGTCCAAGAAGATCAGGGAAGGTATCGTTGCGAATATATGTGAAAATTTTCGCCTGCTGCAAACGCGTCTGAAGATCAGGATGGAGGTAACGAACCTTGGATGAAAGGAAGATAGACCTCTCAAAATAGCTCAGAAATTCAAAAAAGACAGTTAGGTCTCTATAACAGCTGAAGAATGAGTAATCTACTGCTGTTTCGTAAGTAGAGGTGCCGATAGTGGAGAAGGGAAGAGGGGAAGAAGAGAAAGGGAAGGAGAGAAGAGCGACGGGAAGAGGTTTTTTCAATTGTGGGAGAAAATTTCAAAATCTTGTTTAGTGCAGAGATTTACGCGTTGATGCTCAGATCTACGCGCGACGGTAAATTAAGTCTGACGCGCCTGTCTCTGACGCGACGCGTTATCAGGCGTTTCCGGGAAAGGTATAATCGTAAACAAACAGATAACAGCAACAAACACGACGCGCCTCAAATCAGTGCCTGAGACACAGGTTTTGGTGAAGACCCTCGGTCGGGCATGGTTTGTTGTTGATTCAGACCGCTCATTGGGACTTCTGCTATGGCTTTTAAAGATCTTTGGGAGTTTTTACTTGCTCCCTGGCGCAGGTTCAGGTCTGTGCTGAAGTCTGTTCTTTGAGCGGCCTGCAAATTGGTCGATTCCGATAACTGTAGATAGACTTATCGGTTACTGTTCCTCAGATTCGTTCATTCTATTTTCGCTCCAGGATAAGTATCCAATGCATAACTTCATCGCGTACACGTCTTCCACCGGCGCATCTCGTGTCGGCAGTCTTGACTTTGACAACAGCCTGATAACGCCTCTCTCCTTCCCGTCCGGCACTCCCGTTACCTCCCTCTACGACGTCATAAACTACGGCTCTACATTCTCGCTCGCTCCCTCTGCTGAATGCGACCCAGTCCCACTAGACTCAGTCTCAATTGAAGCTCCTTTTACGGGACGCGATATTCTCGCGGTCGGAAAGAACTACTATGACCACGCGAAAGAGTTCAACTCGTCCGGATTCGATTCAAGCGATAAGGTCGATACTCCTTCGGATCCCGTCATTTTCACCAAGCGTTCTTCGAGCATTGTCCCTTGCGGTGCTGATATCTACCTGCATCCTGGATTTACCAGTACTTTGGATTTTGAGGGAGAAGTAGGCGTCGTTATTGGAAAGCCTGCATACAAGGTTGCTGAGAAAGATGCCATGGATTATGTCTGGTGAGTGGCTCTTGCCCTTCTGCCCAACACATAATATACTCACACAAACACACATCAATTAGGGGATACACTATTATCAATGATGCAACTGCCCGTGAGCGCCAGCGGGACCATAAGCAATTCTTCATTGGAAAGTCCGCAGACACTCTCTGTCCAATGGTATCTCATCAGTGCTATTTCTTCATTTAGTACAAGACCATCTCTGACTTATAATCTGGAATACAGGGCCCCGTTGCTGTGCCGAAAGAGGATCTCCCTGAATATCTCGAGCTCCAAACAAAAGTCAATGGCCTCGTCAGACAATCCGACTCGACAAAGAACCTCATCTTCTCGATCCCAACTCTAATCAATGTGCTCTCAAGCGGCATGACGCTCCAGCCCGGAGACGTTATTGCTACCGGAACACCAGCAGGCGTCGGCATTGGTCTCAAGCCGCCTGTCTACCTAAAGGCTGGTGATGTTGTTGAGGTGTCAGTCACAGGCCTGGGAACTCTTGTCAATAAAGTGTCTGATGTCAAGGCCGCCGCCGCGCCGGTGGCACTCCCGAGCTTGCCCTCTCGTGTCATTACTGATCCTGGGCTCACCAAAGTGGGTTCAAAGTACTTGTACTTTGAAGACATTGGCAACAAGACTTCAGACGAAACCTTGATCTGTGTTCACGGTCTTGGGTGCTGCGGTCAGTATTTCTCGTCTTTGGTAGACAAGGCTGGGTTTTTGGAGAAGTACAGAGTAGTTTTGGTCGACCTCGAGGGTTTCGGTCGGTCGCTCACGTTCCCGGACTCTACTCCAAGTCTGCACAGCTACTCTGAAGATATCTATGAGATTACAAAGCTACTGGGGATCACCAAAAACATCTCCCTGATTGGATTCTCGATGGGCTGTGGTGTGACGGAGACGTTTGCAGTCAACCACCCCGATCTGGTCAAAAAATACATCCTCTTATCACCGCTAATGTACCCTGTCCCCGCACACACCAAAGAAGTCTGTCTCGGTCTTGCCAAGAACGTGCGCAAGAGCGGTATGCAGCTGGAGTCCGACAAGATGGCCAAATCCTCGATGTACATCAAGACGCAGATCGAGAATCCGCTGGCGAAAATGTACGTGTTGACGCTTCTGAAGATGACCGATGTCGAAGGCTACGCGAAGGGCGCGATGGTGCTCGCTACCGACGGACCGATTGCGCGTGAGAAGATTGAGAAGGAGGTGTTGTTGGTCACTGGAGAGTTTGACGAGTGGCCCCCGATGGAGGAAGTTGAGGCGGTTCAGAAGGAATACGCGAATGCGTCGACGAAGATTGTCGTCATTCCCAACGCTAAGCATTTCCATATTCTGGAGAACTTTCCTGCCACCCTGGAGGCTGTTACCTCGTTTTTGTAGTCTGCACTGTCACTTTCGCATTTCATTATAGACGATAGATTCATAGTATGAGCATTTAATAGATATTCACAAATCGAGGCAAGCTTCTTATCTCCGTCGGCAGCTCCAAACCCTAATACACGAGATAGTAAGTCCGAGAAGCTTATAAGATGCGTCGAGTCTTGCGGAAGCTGGACTATCCAACTGCTTTATACTGAGCGTTTAGCTGCTTTTGGTCTCATTCGCCCTTCTCCGCTTTTTTATCATAAGTGCATTTTGAGTTATATAAAGATTTTGTGAAATATCATTGACGATATGCCTGTCGAATACCGCAAGTAAGTAACAAAGCCGTTGATCTCGCATTGCGGGGAACCGAGAACTCTCTCGATCACGACTCGAAACTGACGCGGTTTGATGATAATTCTAGGCTTGGAAAGTCTGGGTTGAGAGTATCGGTTCCGATTTTGGGATGCATGTCTTTTGGCTGTAAGGATTGCTGCTTTTGTGCGTCGGTGGTGTGCTCTTGCTAATATTGGTTACTGAAGCTTCGGAGTGGGCGCCGTGGGTGCTCGATAAGGAGGAGTCGCTTCCTATTTTCAAGAAAGCCTATGACTTGGGAATTACCACGGTTAGTATTTATTTGAGTGTACTATTAGGTGACGTGCTAATCAGACCCGGCGCTTCGTAGTGGGATACCGCCAACATGTACTCCAACGGAGAATCCGAAGTTATCGTCGCCGAAGCGATCGAGAAATACAATATCCCCCGTGAAGAGATTGTCATCATGACCAAGTGCTACAACCCCGTCAACAAGACGAGCAAGGCCCGCGTTGAGGGTAACGTGTTCAACACCCGCCAGTACCTCAACCAAGTCGGTCTTTCGCGCGCCGCTATCTTCAACCAGGTAAACGACTCGCTGAAGCGTCTCAAGACCGACTACATCGACGTCCTGCAGATCCATCGCTACGACAAGTCCGTCGAGCCCGAGGAGATCATGGAGGCGCTCAATGACCTTGTCCGGTCTGGGAAAGTGCGCTACATCGGCGCTAGCAGCATGTGGACTTATGAGTTTGCACAACTGCAGCACGTGGCGGAGAAGAACGGATGGGCGCAATTCATCTCCATGCAGGATTGCTATAACCTTCTTTACCGCGAGGAAGAGCGCGAGATGATTCCGTACTGCAAACTCACCGGCGTCGGCTTGATCCCGTGGTCTCCTCTTGCGCGCGGTCATCTCGCTCGTTCGTTGAGCGAGACCTCGGTCCGCAAGGATTTCATCACAAAGCACCCGGGTATCAACGAGCAAGCGAACGAGCCTGCTGTGGTCGAGATCATCAACCGTGTTGAGAAAATCGCAAAGGAGAAGGGTTGGCTGATGAGCGATGTCGCGTTGGCGTGGATCAATGGAAAGGTCACGAGTCCTATCGTTGGTGTGAACAGCGTCGAACGATTGGAGCAGGTCGCTAACTTCAATGGTAAATCCTTGACTGAAGAGGAAGTGAAGTTCCTCGAGGCGCCTTACGTTCCCCGTAAGGTCAACGGTCATGTTTGAGCCAGTAGCTGTAGCCTATATTTTGGTACTTGTTTGCCTTACATTGGTTTTCACGTCATTTCAGTCTTGGTGTATAACCGTTACTCTGTTTATGGTTCTTGTTTACTCATAAATGTACTATTATATATACTGTCGTCATCTATCTGATTCATAACAAATACGTAAACTTTTTACACACTTAGAAGTGGCCGATGATAGGACGGGGAACGTAAGCCTCCTCGAGGTACTTGCACTCCTCCTCAGTCAAAGTCTTTCCGCTAAGCTTCGAGGACTCCTCGAGTCTGGCAATGCTGCTGATTCCAATAATGGGGGAAGTGCAGCCCTTGGTGCAGATCCAGGCAAGCGCGACCTCGGTCATGGTCCAGCCCTTCTTCTTGGCGAGCTCCTCGGTGCGGTCGATGATCACCTTCGCGACAGGGTCGATAGGAGCAGTCTTGAGCGCAAGACCACCGCTGGTCGCGCGGACGGTCTTGGGCGCGTCGGCGGGACGGGCAAGGAGACCCTTGTTCAAAGGTCCCCAGGGAATGATGCCGACACCGGTCATCTGGCAGTAGGGGATGACCTCACGCTCCTCCTCACGGTAAAGAAGGGAGTAGTGGTTCTGCATGGCGATGAACTTGACCCAGCCGTTCTTCTCAGCGACGTGCTGGAGGGTAGCGAACTGGTAAGCGTACATGCTGCTAGCGCCGATGTAACGGACCTTTCCGCTCTTGACGATGTCGTTGAGCGCGCACATGACCTCCTCGGGCTCGACAGACTTGTCGTAGCGGTGGATGAAGAGAAGATCAATGTAGTCAACGCCGAGACGCTCGAGGCAGTCGTCGACCTGCTTGAAGATGGCGCCGCGCGAGAGACCGACCTGGTTGACGTACTCCTTCTTGTGGGCGAGGGGGGTGACGAAGGGCTCGATCTTCTCGTTGGCAACACCGTAGTAGACCTTGGTGATGATGGTGAGCTCCTCACGGGGGATCTTGTACTCCTCAATGGCGGCCTTGATCAGTCTCTCGGACTCACCCTCGGAGTAGGCGTTGGCGGTATCCCACTACATGACTGTTAGGCTCTGTCTCAATTCAGGCGTTGAAGGGCAAAGTGAAGCTTACGGTAGTGATGCCCATATCGTAGGCCTTCTTGAGGATAGGAAGAGCCTCGTCCTTCTCGAGACACCAGTCTTGCCATTGCTTAGCTAGAAACAATGGTGTCAGCTACCATGCCTTGAGTAGTAATAAAAGCACATAGAGCTGCAGGAGTACTCACTTCCCATTCCCATCATTCCCAAAATAGGGAGCGAGACGCGAAGTCCCGACTTTCCAAGCCTAAGAGAGAAAGAATTAGTACACTCGATTCCTGTTATCGCCGAACTAGAGCATGCCCGAGCAGATATCAGAACACCATCGACGTAGTATAAACTTACTTCTTGTACTCGATAGTGGCCATTGTGTAGGATGATTAATATTCTTGCAGAGCAGAACTGAAGAAGAAAAAAGGGGAAAAGCCTCAAGAAGACAGGGAACGGGAGGTGAACTTATATTCCCAGAGAGAGAGGACAGGACCTAGTGGGAGCGATAACGCTGGGGCCATCGCCATTCGACAAATGTGGGCTTGCTTTCCCGGGAGGATTATTAACAACACAGGCAAGGCCCGGGCTTACATAGAGGAGCAGCGAATTGCGGCGCAGATGATAGTCAAATTCTTCACAGAAGAATTCTGGCAAATAAAGATTACTAGAGCTGATATCGTGATGCAGACTAGGAACCGGGAGCGCAGAGTATGCCGGAAGAAAGGAGCCGGGAGGGTTTCTTGCCAGAGTTCGGATGCCGATAAGCAGCAGCAGCAGCCAAATAAACTCGTCGTACTTGGTGCGCAGAACACCGTGCAGCAAAGACCTTAAAAATGCCCGTCAATGTTTTCCTTTCCTGCCTAGTTGCTCACTGCTTCTGATTGATAAGTTACAAGGCCACACGAGTTCCGACAACGGTTCTTATCTGTTTATCGCTGATTATCACTTAGTGAGCCGAACCGAGCAAATAAAGTAAACAAGAGCCAACGCCGCACCGGTTATTTTCCTGATTTCCCTCACCGGTGGCTCTGAAGACCTGACTGAGTCGCCCTCTTTGAGATAAAACTATGCGCTAGTGTTCATCGCCTCGGGTTCCGTTTAGAAGCAAGACGTGTCCGGAAGCGAAAGTGAGTCAGGAGTCTAGGTTGACGCTGGCCTGCAGAACGCCTGGCTCGAACGAACCCCTGATCGACGACGCCTCCTCCATCGCCTTGTATTTAACTTGACTACGAAGTACCAGTTTTCGTGTTTTAATCAGCTGGTGGGAGATGGGCAGTTTACTTGGCCATTACTTCTTTGCAGAATACTTTTAGCAATTACGAGTACATAGTCCTTCCTTCCGAGATGGGCTTGGCCACATGGTATCTAATTCGAGAACAATTTAAGGTGCCTGTCACTATCCAACCCACGATATGTGACAGAACTCGTGCTTACTATCCTTGTAGATATAGAAATAAAAGATAAAAAGACGATGGAGTCTACAAGACGTCAAGAATTCTCAACTGCAATTAGGACTATTGCCGCTGCTGAAATGATACTGTCTCATCAGTTATTTCTCGTCGTGGCCTGCTTCGTGCAGGCCTGTTTTTCACTTATGACACCCTCTGACTTTGAAAGAATCAACGGCATGCTGGCTCCCGAGGCTTATTCGTCAACAAGCGTACCCTTCCCAGCATGGCTTGCACAACTCGCCAACAGAACAGACTGGCCGGCGGCCAAGCCGCCATTCATTCAAACGCCGGGGTTGGATATCAATAGCGGGATTCCGAGCAATCCGTTGCATAGTATGTAGTACCAGGTATAATGCATAATCCAAGACATTTGCTCACAGGTTTGCGATTAGATCAGGACATGGCCTGTTTTTCTCAGTGTTCTTTTGATTGCAAGTACGTATGAACCGCACAGAATTTTTTGATGGAAAGATCTTTAATCTTTGATATAAACAGCAATTGCCTCGGACCAAATGATATAGCGGCGTGTCCCCGTACGTGTCGTAATTTTTTTTTTTTTTTTTTTTTTTTTTCTTCCTTCTCGTGAGTCGAGCGATACTAACTCATCATTAAGAGCTTCTGCAAACCTTTGACGACGGTCCCACAGCAGCGACGCCGGCGCTTCTCGACTATCTCCGCCAAAAGCGTCAGCTAACGTCCTTTTTCATAATTGGCACGCAGGTTCTCAGTTTCCCGGATACTCTCCGGGCCGAGCGACGAGCTGGTCACTTTATTGGGTCGCACACCTGGACCCATCCGTATCTTCCATCGCTATCGAATCAGGACATCGCTGCAGAGCTTCAGTGGACCACATGGGTAATCAACGTGACAGCAGGCGTTGTCCCCCGCTACTTCCGTCCGCCGTATGGAGGGCTTGACGACCGCGTGCGAGCGATTGCAGAAAGAATGGGATTAACGCCGATAGTCTGGGCACACGACACCAACGACTGGCAGATGGTTGGCGGGACGCGCACGGAAAACCAAACGCTGGCAGATGTGCAGAGTTGGATCAATGCATCGTCGACTGGGATTATGCTGGAGCACGATCAGGCTCCGATAACGGTCAACACGGGAATGAAAATCAGAGATATGGTGGGTGCTCAGATGTATGTGGCTCCAGCGTGCAAGAGTCTCACCGCGCCTTGGTATAATTGAACTGTAGTAATTTTCTGTGAATCATGATAACATGAGCCAGCGGATATTGTGAAGGTATGAAATGTAAGATATTGTGGTATTTGCGGGTCAGAATGCAATGAATTATCGAAATCTCTTGTAGGATTAAAATCCCCAGCAGAGCGAAAGGTAAACTTAAAGATTACTGACCGGGAGCACCAAACCGGACACCCGTTCGCGTATAAACTACTCCACTCCACCCCAGGCCTGACTTCAACCGCCTATATTCACTCTTTGCCTTCTTTTCAATTCAGCGCCGGTGTGAATTTTCTGTTGAGAATTCCTATTGAGAGTTTTCTCATAAAGACGAGAGAGCCGCCGTCGTATACAATCACACCAGGAACAGAACTCGCCTCGACTCGGCTTCTTGCTAGCTTATAAACCCCTCCTCCCCTCACCATCTGCATCAAGGTCTCCACTCTTACAGATCCGCAGTACTCAAAGAACCCCGTCCGAGAATTTTTGCCCCATATCAACAATCAGCATGTCTAGAGCGCGACGAATCGCCAAAGAGCTACAAGCTGTGCAGGATGATCCGCAAGCGGGGATCGACCTCGAAGTTATCAACGACGCGGATATTTCTCATTTGAAAGGATATTTTGATGGCCCGTCTGGCACGCCTTACGAGGGCGGTCGTTACCAGGTTGATATTGAGATACCAGTAAGTACTGTCTGTTTGTTGTGACTTTGGTTCTGACTGGTCCAGTACTAACGAAGCTTGAATATATAGCAAGATTGTAAGTGCTCGACTGCTCCACTATGATCGATGCATTTCCCTTTGACAGAAACTAATTTAGTCTATGTTCAGATCCATTTAAACCTCCCAAGATGAAGTTCGATACCAAAGTCTACCATCCCAACATATCATCGCAGACAGGCGCGATCTGCTTGGACATGTCAGTATACTCGCATTCTACCGCTCCATATCGGAAGCTTCAGCTGCATGATCTGACACTTCTTTATCATAGTCTGAAGGATAAATGGTCTCCGGTTCTTACCTTGAAAGCATCACTTATCTCCCTGCAGTCGCTTCTCACCACGCCGGAACCGACAAACCCTCAGGATGCAGAGGTCGCCAAGCATTATCTTTCAGATCGCAAGGGATTTGACAATACTGCTAAGTAAGCTTGACATTTTGCATGCCCGTGGTTTGAAAATCTGGCTGATACTCATGCAACTAGGTACTGGGCTAAAGTATACGCTGGAGCCGATGGCGGCGCATGTAAGTTACTACCTTCGTTTAGTCTCACTCCGCTTTTCTTGTGACTAACGACCTCTTCACAGCGGGCACTGCTGCAGCGTCCAAACCGGTCGATGTGTTTGAACAGTACGGCATCGACCGCGAATCAGTGAAGGCAATCGAGAACATGGGATTTACTCAGGAGCGGATCATCGAAGTCATGCGACGGACGGGGATCAAGAAGATTGGCCCTGGAGCGCAGGAAGGCGCCGAGGACCGACTTTTGGAAGAACTTTTGAAGTGAATTGGTTATAGTATATATTCAGTCTGTAGCCAAGCTTCTGAGCTTGTGCGCGAGCAGTCAAGATGCAGTCAAGGAGCTCTCGGTCTGACTGGCGTCTCAGACTCGAACTTACGATTTGATGCTGTGACTCTGTCTACATAATTGATTTCAATATATCATTATTCATAATTATTCAAAGAAAGAAGTATGAGAAGATAGCGTAGATGATTCGTAAATACAAGATCGCGTGCTCTACTATGAAGCGCATAAGTGCATAAACATTAGGGTTTGGCTGATCTGCTAATCAAGACTCCGCGCGCTTCGACCTCAGAGTTGTTCTGACCTCAGTCATCATCGTCTCTGCTTATTCGAGTATATTCACATCCAAGCATCAAACAGCTCGTATAAGATCGAACAAGACAGTGTCGCTTTTGATAGGATAATAGACAGATCAAGAGAAGAAAGATGGTATGATTGGGATCGGGTTGATTTGTCACGTCGACGCAGGAGCGAGACTAACAACGCTGGATGGCGTGTAGGGTCAAGGACAGTCTGGATTACCCCCTGGCGGATTCCCGGATGAGAATAATGGAAAGGAGAAGGTATGCTGTTTTTGTCTTTTGATGATTCTGTGTTGGTGTGCGCGAAGACTAAATGATTGTGATTGCTAACTCGTTGTGTAGAAACAAGAGAGTAAGTTGCCATCAGCGCACGAATTGGCGCCATCACTATTTGCAGCAAGAACATTCACTGCTGGATAGTTGCAATACAAATTATGGCAGGTGTAGGCTAACAAAAGATTGCAGAGCCGAAGTACGAGCCGCCCCCATCGACTCGGATAGGCAAGAAGAAACGCAAAGGACCCGACAGCTCGACCAAGCTGCCAACAGTGTTCCCGACCACTCGATGCAAGCTCAAGCTCTTAAAGATGGATCGAATCAAGGATCATCTACTTTTGGAGGAGGAGTTTGTGCAGAACCAGGAACGGCTGAAGCCGACGGATGAGAAGGTGGCGGAAGAACGCGCGGTGGTGAACGAGATGCGCGGCACGCCGATGGGCGTTGGCACGATGGAGGAGATTATCGATGATGACCATGCTATCGTGTCGTCGACGACCGGACCGGAGTACTATGTTTCCATCATGAGCTTTGTCGACAAGGATTTGCTTGAGCCGGGATGCTCGGTACTGCTGCATCACAAGGGCGTGAATGTTGTTGGTGTGCTTGCTGACGACACTGACCCGATGGTGTCGGTCATGAAGCTGGACAAAGCGCCAACTGAGTCTTATGCTGATATTGGTGGACTCGAGGCTCAAATTCAGGAGATAAAGGAGGCAGTCGAGCTACCCCTGACCCATCCCGAGCTCTACGAGGAGATGGGTATCAAACCCCCCAAAGGTGTTATTCTGTACGGAGCTCCCGGAACAGGAAAGACTCTTTTGGCAAAGGCGGTCGCAAACCAGACCAGCGCTACCTTTTTGCGTATTGTTGGATCTGAGTTGATTCAGAAGTACTTGGGAGACGGACCTCGCTTGGTGCGACAGATTTTCCAGGTGGCGGCCGATCATGCGCCGTCGATTGTGTTTATCGACGAGATTGACGCTATTGGAACGAAGCGATATGACTCGACATCGGGTGGCGAGCGAGAAATTCAGCGAACTATGCTTGAGTTGCTGAACCAGCTGGATGGATTCGACGACCGCGGAGACGTCAAGGTTATCATGGCGACGAACAAGATCGAGTCGCTTGATCCTGCACTGATCCGACCGGGTCGGATTGACCGAAAGATTCTGTTTGAGAACCCGGATCAAAACACGAAGCGCAAGATCTTTGGCATCCACACGGGCAAGATGTCGCTTGGCGAGGACGTGGATCTCGAGGAGTTTGTGGGCGCGAAGGACGACTTGTCTGGAGCGGATATCAAGGCTATTTGCTCGGAGGCAGGTCTGCTTGCGCTTCGCGAGCGACGGATGAAGGTTACTGCAACTGACTTCCGCAGCGCGCGCGAGCGGGTTATGAAGAACAAGGTGGAGGAGAATCTTGAAGGCTTGTACTTGTAGGTTCTTTTAGTTGGACTGAGTGTTGGTAGTATGAGCCTTGTTGTATCTGCACTGTTAGACCTGGCGGGTGCTCTTATGAATATATACAATATCAAATAGGAAACTGTTTTATAGTAAGATGAGAAGCAGGCGGTGCAGCTGAGATGCACAGACACTGAGCAACAGACACTGATGAGCAACAACACTGAGCACACACGTACACACACTACAACAGCCACGACCAGTAAAAATACTACACAGATCAACACATCCAGCAGCAACTTGAAACCAGACTCTTCTCTTCCCCACGAGGGCCAACGAGGATCCTCCGGGTCTCCACCGGCACCGGCAGCGCTTTAAAGGCAGCAAAACTTTATTTCTCGACGCGGGGTGCGGCTCGGGCGGACAGACCTCGGCAACGACTCGGCTCACCCACAACCACCACAGGCTGCTGCTGCTGGTATATAAGGATTGATCCCGGCTTGTTCTCTGTCTACCGTCATCGCTATCGCATAATGGCTGTCTCCTCTGCTACTTCGTCGGCGTACGTAGGTCCCTGCTTTGTCGAGTCGTCGTCGGAATAGTGCTCACCTCGTCGTCTAGTCCCAAGCCCAAGAACTCACTCACCGTCATCGACAACCGCACCGGCAAGGCGATCGAGGTCGAGATCAAAAACAACTCGATCCCCGCCACCGCGTTCACCCAGCTCAAAGCGCCACTGGCTAAGGGCGAGCGCGCGGAAAATGACACGCCCTACGGCCTGCGTGTGCTCGATCCGGCGTTCGTCAACACGGCGATGATCACCTCCTCCATCACCTACATCGACGGCAACAAGGGCTTCCTCATGCACCGGGGCTACCCGATCGAGCAGCTGGCAGAGAAGTCGAACTTCCTCGAGACTGCCTATCTGCTCATCTACGGCGAGCTGCCCAGCAAGTCGCAGTACAAGGTCTGGTCGTGGGAGATCATGAACCACACCTTCGTCGCCGAGGATCTGCAGGCCATGATCCGCCAGATGCGCTATGATTCGCACCCGATGTCGGTCTTCATCTCTGCCTTTGCCGCCATGTCGGCGTTTGCTCCTGAAGCCAACCCCGCGCTGCAAGGTCAGGATATGTACATCAACGACAAGTCGATCATGAACAAGCAGATCGTCCGCATCCTCGGCAAGGCCACGACCGTCGCGGCGATGGCCTACCGCATCCGCATCAACCGCCGCTTCACTCCCCCGCGATCCGATCTGTCGTACACCGAGAACCTGCTCTACATGATGGATCACATGGCCGAACCCTACTCGTACCGCCCAGACCCGCGTCTCGCAAAGGCACTCGACATCCTCTTCATCCTGCACGCAGACCACGAAATGAACTGCTCGACCTCAACCATGGTTCACGTCGGATCCTCGCTCGTAGATCCGTACTCCTGCATTGCTGCCGCCGCATCAGCACTCTACGGCCCTTTGCACGGAGGCGCCAACGAGGCTGTCATCCGTATGCTGACTCGAATCGGCTCAGTCGAAAACGTCCCCGCGTTCCTGGAAGGCGTCAAGCAGAAGAAAGAGCTCCTCTTTGGATTCGGCCACCGCGTGTACCGCGAAACCGATCCCCGCTCAAAAGTTATCCGTGAAGTGGCGGACATGGTCTTTGAAGTCTGCGGCCGCGAACCGCTGATTGACATTGCCATCGCGCTTAAGGACGCCGCGCTGAAAGACGAGTACTTCACAAGCCGCAAACTCTACCCCAACGTCGACTACTGGTCCGGCCTGATCTACAAAGCCATGGGCTTCCCGCTCGATTTCTACCCTGTCCTCTTCGTCGTCCCCCGCGTGGCGGGCTACCTCGCGCACTGGAAACAGCAGCTCGATTCAGGCAAAAACAAAATCTCGCGGCCGAGACAGGTCTATGTCGGCAAGAGCAGACGGGATTACGTCCCGATCGACCAGCGCGAGGATCGCGAGGTTACGGCAAAGGATGGAATCACTGCGATTCCGCATTATATCAGCAAGCGCCGTTTGGCTAAAATATAGATTCGGAGTTTGTTTTGTTTTTGTGTGTGTTTACATAAGTTATGTGCAGCTTGATGGTGTTTTTTCAGATTTCGAGGCAGAAGAGGTTGTGGTGTATCGTGGATGATACATAGTAAAACAGGAAAGGAAATTATCTTATGATTACAAATTGTTGCCTACAGAAACAAAGAAAAGAACAAAATATAGAGTTACAGAAGCGAGTCTGATAAGCTGATAAGCCGATACGACGAAGGCGGTATTGCCCCTCATCCTGTCTTGTCCTCGGCTCGCTAAGCAATATAAAAAACACAATATCGACAATCGACCGACCACTTCCGAGGTTACCGACGTGAACGCGCGTGAATAGACTTATCTCTAATCAGCAGCAATGTGATTGGCAACGCAGACGAGAGCATGACACGACTTTCACATGCGCGGACCGGGCGCTACCCACTGCGGCTTCTGCCTTGGCTTCAAAGCTCGCGAGGGTACGGCCGGCGGCGGTCGACTAACAGCAACAGGCGAAACACGGTTCGTCGAGACAGCATCCTCGGCACGCGCAGGTGTTTCTTCTCCGGCCAGACCGACTCTGCGCGCGAAACCCCTGATGCTGTCCGTGAATGGGTTCGCGGATCGCGCGCGCTCGGCGGCTTCGGCTTCAGGGATCGTGTACTTGAACATATCGTCGTCGCTCGAGCTGGTTGCCGAGATTGGACACGAAGGTGTAGATGAGCCGCCGCTTGAGACGCCGGACTGCCGCGCGGTCGGGATGATGATGTTCATCTTGCGACGAGCACTGGGGGAACCCGGCGTCTGTATCTCGCTCTTCAACCCTGACGCAGATCGACTCTTCCCTCCAGCGCTGGGAAACGTGATAACTTCAGGATCAGACTCCACAGGAGATCTCGGCGGCGACTTCACCCCGCGCTCCGTATCAGCCTCCCTCAATCTCCGCGCCATCTCCCGCTGCCGCTGTAAATCTCCCTGATACCGCTCGCTCGCCTGCCTAACCGCCTCCTCTGCCGCGCGCGCAGTCCGTCGTCGAAGCCCGACCACCAGCACACCCGCGATCGCAAATATCAAAACAGTGAGGATCGCGAGGAGCACGAACGAGAGCGTCTTGTAGCCGGTCGAGAGGTAGACGAGGTCGGTTGTCGGCGTGGTGGCAGTGAGCGCGCTGCGGGCGTCGAGGGTGTTGTTGGCGGAAGTGGCGTTGGTGCTCGTGGAGTTTGCTTGCAGCGTTCCGTTGAGTGACGCGTGAGTCGCGTTCAGGTGTGTTTCTTCGATGCCCATCTTGAATCACCTCAGAACAGAAACAGTTTGAACAGTAGTAATGGTATAGTTATGTCCACAGGGTACTTCACAGAACAGTCAGAAGTAAACAGTATGGAAGCAGCAGTGTACTTCAACTATTCAGCAAAAAAATAGATCGTATCGAAAAGCGCGATCTATGCAATAATCGTGATTCGAGAGGATGGTAGGTAATGAAAGCGGAGAGTTGTATCTGGCCTGGTCTGAATCTGAATTGGATTCTGGGGTCATTACTAATATAAGCCATAATATTACATAATATGTAAACTGCCACGTTCAAAGCAGCGTGCATTTCATTAGTTCTAAGCAGACTCAAACAGACTAAAGTATGCTTTTGCATTAGATTATTTTGTTCTGTTCTAGATTCTATATCAGCAGCACACTATCGATGCTTCCAAATCCAGCCGCGACACCGCCCTCTTCCGACTCTGCAAACTTGGTCCGTAGCAACCATCCCGCCTCTGAATTGTCCAAGATTTCACCGGAGACCGTGTTCCACAGCGCCGTGCCAAAGACTCCCAGTTCGGAAATCACGTTGCCGGTGGTCACCTTGCCGTTCCGGATGATTGAATTCTTCACGTCCGTCGGGGGCTCGATCAGTTCCATGAGGATGTACCCGTTCCAGAACGACTCGTCGGGGAGAGATTTGAGGAACCCGGGGATCTTCTCACGGTAGACGTTATTCCCGCCTCCTTCACGCTGCGGCTTGAGCACGTATTTCTCTGGCTTTGTGGCGATCAACTCCCGCGCACGTTTTCCCAGCGCCGAGTCTGCGTCCAGCGGGAGGATCTCTGCAAACGTGGCTGCGATCCGCGCACGCACAGCAGTGTCAGGACAAAACTTCTCAAGCACCTTGGAATCAACAAGAACCTGCTGCACCTTCTTCGCCCCCGCGAACTGCGTCGCGAGCGAAGGACATTTGATTGCGGTCGAGAGCTCCATCTGCTTTCTGGCCTGCCATGTCTCCGGGGTAGGGTAATCTGCGGGCGTGTACGCCGAGCGGTAGTATACCACGCTGATTTCCTTGCCGTATATGCTGAATTTCTTGGTGGTCGCGTCTAACTTGCCGTCGGCAGCAATCTCCTGCATCGAAGCGCGGAGCACGCGCACGCCGTGGGTCTCGAGAAGGTAGTACTCCAGCCAGCGCTGGTCGAACGCGTTGCGCTCGCCTGGCTGGATTACAAAGAGTACGACCGCACTGGGAACGCCGTATGCGTTATGTGCCGTCGCAAGACCGGCAGCAAGTCCCTTCGCAGACGGGTTCTCAGGCATGGTCTCGTTGCTCATCTCCAGCTGGCTGGTGGGGTACTCATCCGCCTTGAGCAGAAACCTGTGCGCATCAGCGGCAAGCGAGGACAGGCCGCCGAACGAGGCAGAGATGGTGTTGAGCTCGACCTGTCTGATCTCGGGCTCGGACGAGGGTGAGGTGTGGAGAAGGTAGTCAGAGCGGAAGACGCCGAGGGTCAGTGGTTGCGTGGGTTTCCCGCCCGTCTCCTTTTCGACCTCGAGATGAAGCTTCCAGAGATCAGACATAAAGTCGTCCACACCCGCAAGTCTATCAAGAACGCAAGACAATGTTAGAACATAGACTTATGCTGTAAAAGCTGACGCTGACCATGACGTGCTCAACATACCCTTTCGTAATCTCATTCAAAAACTCCGAGTCATTAGCGACATTGACATACAGCTCGTTAAACGCAGTCTGCAACCCTCTCGCCTCCTCAAACAGTTTCTTCGGAAACGGCGACGGGAACAGCGTCAACGGCACATGCGTCGCCCGCTCATCCGCGTCCTCTTCCTTTATCGGCGCGCGAATCACCAGCCCGTGCGAGAGCGCCCAGTCCCGCAGCGTGGTCGTGAGCGTCGAGGACTCGTCTAGCGACGGCGGGTAGCTTATGCTCCCGAGTAGTTCGGCCATTGCGTGTGTACCTGGGCAAGAACGGGGGTGGAGAGGAGCAGAGAGAGCTGGTTGAATATGAGGTGCTTGGACTCTTGATGTGTAATTGAGTTTGAGGGGCGCGATTATGTAATGTTTTCATTAAGAGGTTAAGCCAAAACCCTACGCGCTAACTACTAGATGTGTTTTCGATATTACCGTTATCATTCGTATTAATGTACTGGAACAATCATAAAACCAGAGGCACTGCAAAAGAGAGAACAAAACAACAACAAAGAGACAGGAGAGACATTCAAACTACCCGGAAATACCCATTTTCATTTACTTTGAGCAGCACTCAGCCTTGGCCTCGCCAAAGGCAAGGCGCGAGACAGAGTCGGTGAGCGACTTAATCGTGGTCGGAGCGCCGCCGGAGAGGACCTTGGAGGTGGTCATCAAGTGGGATGGAGGAACGTCGAGAGCAGGGTTCTGCTTGAAGAAGTTTCTGGGACGGAGCAGGAGAGTCATGGGCTCAGCAGGCCTAGTAGGACGAGAGTGATTAGTAAACGCTCATGCTGTTTGATAAGAAGTAGAGAGGGACTTACATGACGGGGAAATCCTCAGGGGCGGGGAAGTGAGTGATGCCGAAAGTGTGCCACAGAACGACGTCGGTGTTCTCGATCGCACCGGTGCCGTCACCGATCCACTCGGGCAGACCCCTGCTGGGCTCTCCCGAGGTCTGAGGAACGTACTTGCCCGCAGGGTAGAACTGGCGGTCGACGTAGGGAGTGACGTGCACGGTGTGACGGGCAAAGGCAGCGCGCTTGGCAACAAGCGAGCCCTCCTTGGGCAAGAGCATTGGCGACTCGCGAGAGACGAGCTTGTAAGAGGCGGGCTTGCCAGAGTAAGGGTGCTTGCGGCTGGGGTTGATCATGTCCCAGGTGCGCGAAGTGGCTCCGTTGTAGTCGGTGATGGCCTCGCCGGTGGTCTTGAAGGGAGTGATCTTGGGCAAGAAAGCGTTGCCGTAGAAGTTGTTGGGCGATCCAACGGGCTCGTCCGAGGGAACGGCGTCGACCATCTGCACGGAGTTGTTGAGTCCGTCAATCATGGGGTTGATACGCAGATTGAACAGATGCTGATGGTTGTGGGCGTTGACACCGGGGTAGACCTGGGTGCCGAATCCGCGGGTGTCCTCACCCTCGCCGAGGATGTAGGTGTTCAGGATTCCGGTAAGCTTGATCTCGAGCTGGATGGTGCCGTCCATGTGGAAGATCCAGTAGATCATGTACTCGTAGTTGGCCGCAGTAAAGATCTGCGAGACAATGAGCTTAACACCACGGGTGTTGATCGAGGTCGCGTAGCTGTCGCGGAAGTCGGAGTGCTTGAACAAAACTCCGTCGTCCTCCTCGTGGATGCAGATCGCGTTCTTGATGTCGATCGGGTTACCCTCGCGATCGGGGAAAGCGGCGTCCATGTAGTGGATGACACCCTTGCAGTCGCAGCCGAGGGCGAGCGAGTTGGTCATGTAACCTCCACCGTACTCGCCGAGATCGAAGGCATGCTTGCGGTGGTGCGGGTGGTCGGGGTTACCGTAGGGAACCACCATCTCGGCCAAGGACATACGGTAGAACAGAGGGCGGACCTCACCGTGGTCGTTGTAAGAGATGTTGGAGAGGACGATTCCCTCGCGGTAGTTAAAGCCGACGTGGAACTTGAAGTTCTGCCATTCGATCTCGCGGCCGGAGACCTTGAACGAGACACCTTCGGGCTGCTGCACGACAATAGGCTTGATGTCAGTGCGGTATCCACCGAGAGCCTCGACGGCCTTCTCGTGGAAGTTTGCGTGGGGCGCCTTCGAGAGCGGTCTGCGGACGGCGGGGATATCGATGGCGATGATCTCGCTGGTCTCGGTGTCGAAGATAGGGCAGAAGTCAAGCGGGTGCGAGTACTGCGAGTCGTCGATGTCGGAGCGGTAGAACATGATTGCCTGCTGCAGACGGCGCTCGGTGCCGAAGCGCTCGTCGTAGCCGATGGTCCAGGGATCGCAGTAGACCTTGTGCATGTCCGACTCGGGGATTCCCGAGATGACGCACTGCTCGATGACCTTGGGGTCCTTGCGGATGACGGTCTCGACCTTGGCGAGGTCCTCGAAGGTGAGGATGGGCTGGACACCGTCGACCTTTGTCCACTCGACGATCTTGCCGGCGGTGAGGTCGACGAGACCTTCCCAGACGCCGGAGACGCCGGCCTCGAGGGCGACGACGTCGACTTCACGGGCGGGCTTGGGCGCGTTCGCGCGGTCGGCGTCCCAGACAAGGAACTCGGCCTTCTTGGGGTCGGCGAGCGAGAGGACGTTGAAGGACAGACGCTTGTCGGGGTAGGCGGCCTTGACGATGGCGGCGGCGGCCTTCATCTCCTCGCCCGAGAGGGGATCGAGGGGATGAGCGGCGACGGGGGCGGCCGTGGCGCGAGTGTGAGAGGAGATTTGGGAGAGACGCTCGAGCATGGTGGGTGGAGAGGATAGAGAGGTGTGATGGGGAAGAGGAAGAGAGGAGGAGGAGGAAAGATTTAAGAAGCAGGGCGAAGGAAGAATCAAAGTTCCGTATCGGGCATGTCCTCCCTGCGGCTCTCGCGCTTTCCGCTTATCTTTTCTACTTCTGCGCGCTGAGCTCGACGGGTTTTTGAGTCATGGCCGAGTCGACGACGGCCTGTTTTGAATGAATTGTCGACGACGGAGTCATCTGCGCGGAATGGCTTTGTCTGTGGTCTTCTTTCCTGCTCTTTCTCGTAGTATTATCGTCTGTACGGAAGCAATCACAACCTCTACTCTTATTACGCTGCTCATCACGTGCAAGCCACCATCCCGATCAGACCCTCGGCTGGATATCAGTGCTCTCTCCATTGATTCCTCTTCTGTCCTCTTTGTAGCTGCCGTACACCCTTCACCATCCTCACTCTTCTCTGCTGTGCTTCTAAACATCGTGGGTCCAACTCATTCGCGGTTCAGCATTCCGCAACTCGCATTTCGGACCTCCGTGGCCCACTCCTCGTGGCTTCGGACACCGACACACCCGCGCCTATGTACAAATCGGGCCTCGCCTTCCCGTTATGCTTCCCCATTCGTCTGCATAACAGCGCCCATGCTCCGCCCTCCGTCATACTCTATCTTTGGCTCTAAGATCAGTTATAAGCTCAAAAATACTACATATAGCATTATATAGCATCATATTATTACACATCAATGCTGCACACAAACCCATTCCGCAAATACAACCCACGTAGAACTTCGGTCCGCCATCACCAGCCCCCGCCAGACTCCCGTCTCTGAACAGCTCACGATCGCTTCCCAGCTAATCTGGCCCGAGCTCCTCTCCGCCCCGAAATCCATCTCTCCATCTTTCATACTCATCCGCGTCATCTTCCCGCTCGGCGACTGGATCGCCAGCTTCGCGCTCTTCGTCGGCGAAAACACAGGCGACTCCACATTGTTGGGAAATTGCTTCATATCAAACACAATCGTGCTTCCTCGCGCCAGCTCCCGGCACTGTGGCTGCACTACGTACAGATCATACCTCAACGCCTGCGGTGTAGGGTGCAGAGTTACAAAGTCAAACTGCCCATAACTCTTGCCCACATGACTGATCGGAAACGCGACCGCCAGAGGATACGGGTTGTCCTTCTGACTCTGCAGCAATCCCCTTCGTCCCGCATAGATCTTCAGCACTCCGCTCCGTTCTCCGTCCGGAAGCAGTCCTTTGACGCGGAATATACGCCGGCCATGCACCCAATATGGCTGCGCCATCGCAGGGCTCTTCAGCACCTCCCCAGACTCCATCAGATCGCCATCCGCATCCGCAACATACCCGCGCACCTCAATCTCGGCAACGCAGTCCACATCCGCAGGAACCTGAACATCAATCTGCACAATCTCCGGCCCACTCGTCCGCAGCAACGACATATCAAAGTCACACAGGAAGAGCCCGTGCTTGAACATCGCCGGACAGATCGAAGGAAGTTGGAAAATTAAGTCGGGGGACAAAGCGGGAAGAATATGTTGACAATTGCGGTTCCGCGGGATGTGCGAAAAGATCAGCTCACTTGGCTTGGCCAAGAAGTAAAAGTCTTCCGCGATGTTCGCCCCGCAGTTCGTGTACAGCGACCTCCGAGGATGCGTAGGACTAGCCAGCGACGCATCAATCATCCGCCACTCGCCATCAACTATCGCAGCGTTCCATGAATGATTTACTCGTCCCGACGTATTGTGCCCATCCGAAACCTCACCTGGTGCCTTCAGATACCCCCGCACGACCTCGCAAGGAATCTGCATCAATTCACACATAGCCTGAACGCAATGTGCCATCTCATCTGCACTAGCCTCCTTACTTCGGAAAATTCGTGTCGCATCGTGCTGCTCGTCGTAATCATCATCTGCCGTCGTGCTCGGTCGGTACACTATCCGCTCGGTGCAGAAAATATATATCGCTCGGAGCCGCTGAATATCAGACTTGTACGGCCGGCACAGCACAGTGATTGTAAACGATGCCAGCGTCGACAGCGACGGTATAGACAACGAACGAACAGACTTATCCAGCGTCGTAAAGTTGAATCGCATCACGTCCATCGAAGTCTCCACCACGCGCCCGTCGGCTCCCTCATCGCCCTCTACCTGCCCGTTCAGAACATCAAGCGGATTGACAACAGAGTAACCCTCGAGCTCTTGCTTCCGTCGTCTGTCATCACGCTCGTACCGACTCAGCGACTTTGCACGATGCAGATCGGTCTGTGCCTGAATCCACTTTGCGCTCTGCGACACCGTAGGCTGGGCATATTGCCCCGGACCGAGCGCTCCCTTGTGCCGGCTCGCGGGCGCGGAACTAAACGAAGTCATACTGGATTTGGTATAAGACTGATTCGTCGTTGACTTGGACGAAAACGAAGCTGAAGACATCCCGCTTGATGATGCAGCACTGCCCAATGCCTTCACCTTTTTGAAAAATCCGCTCTTCTTCAATTTCAGAGACGCCAAACTTGACTTATTTTGCATCAATGATTGCCGGCCTGACTGAACCGCTTCCGGCATCTGCACAGGTTTGCTGCTCATCGGCGCCAAATTCGAGACCGAATCAATGGTCGCCAATCGACTCATCTCCTGGCGTCTTCTCGCAAGACTACCTGCTGAAGTGGCACTCATGTCGCTCATATTCGTACTACCGCTAGTAGCTGAAAGTGCTGCATGCGAGACCGTTGAGTTTGTAGTTGTCGTATTCGAGCGAGCCAAAGCTTTCATGCGCAGTAAACTTCTAGTCGGGTTGAGAGAAACATGAGAAACATGTGCGTCGGAACCGGATCCCATGGAATCTCTAGGCCCTGTGCTGTCCATCTCGTGTCTGCCTAGCCCTAGACTACTCTTCGGTCTATTGATTGTCAACTTGCGACTAAGACTATTCCTGAAGCCCCCTCGATGAATTGACGATGTCTGCTGCACGTGGTCTGTACTCTGGTAATACATAGGCTCTGGACTTGGCTGGCGGAATTCCATCTGGGTAGCGGGGCGTACCATCGACTGCTTTCGTAACGGTCGGCGGTCTTCAACCTCCATATTCTGAAGCGTAGCCATTACATCTTCCAAGGCATCCCGCAGTGGAGTCGGTGTCCGTGACTTCATTCGTTGCTCCGCATACATATGTCCGCTGTCTTCTTCGTCGTCCATCGGATCGCGATGCGAGAGTGCTGATTTTGATCGATAAGCCACTTTGTGAAGTGGAGGTGGAGGAGGAGCTCCCGCATCTTCGTAGTCGTCATCCTCGTAACCATCGTCGTGGTGATCATCATCTTCGTAGTCGAGATTGTGATAGATCCCGGTGGTCGGGTCGTAATAGTTGCCACTGTCGACCGGAGCCCCGTAGTAGTCGTAATCGGTATCATCGTATCGCGAGGTAGGTTCCGAGATCGGTTCTGCCACCGCTGGGCTGTAACGGCGTCGTTGATTATAGCGATCGTCTGCAACTGCTTTCTTTCGAGGAGGGTCGCTACAGTGTCAATCGTATCAGTCAGAACCCAGATTCGTAAAATTTTAGCACAAAGACATCGGGATGACTTACACCAATTCAACGAAGTTTGAGGGAAAGTATCCTTTCACTTTATTCCGCTTCAGCTGTCCAAACCACCATTGTCCGTCGCCGGGACTCAAACATTCAATAACATCTCCTTCAACAAAACCCAAGTCGGCTGATTAAAAAAGCAAGTCAGCAAAACCTCGCAACATACATTCAAATTCTTTCAGTAAGGCACTCACTCTTCTCTTCCCCTGACCATGAATACAAAGCCTTGACAACACAAGGGAAAGACGTCGGAACCGGGATGTCGGCCATTGTTCGCGGGTAGATCGTTGATGATCAACAATTGCAACGAGAACAAAAGCGTCTTAAACTCTGTACCCCCTATTCTTGCTTCTCAATTGGCTGCGTTCGAGATGATTGTGGACAAATAGCACTGTTTACTTCGACACCTAAAAAGCTCAACTATAAAGAGTGGACGGGAAAGAAGCAGATGTTATGAAAACGAGCGAGTTGTGGCCGCCTGACTAACATACAACTAACCGGGATGGCGCGTGTACCGAAACGAGCGGCGCGAGGAAAATGCAGGTGTTTTGGGTGGTCCCTTGAATTTTTGTTTATGTTTACTTGTTTGAGAAAACCTTATTTGGCGTCTGTGAGGATTGCAGTTGCCGGGACAACGTGGTTTTTATTAGTAGGGTTTTGAGAGCGCAAAGCGAGCCCCTGAAAGTGGTGGGAGTTCAAGGGCTTATCGAATACCCTACAGAAGTAAGATTGGTATTTGATAATTCAATTACATCCAGTTGTTGAATCTATTTTCATTTTGTCAATATAGTATTCGATTGGCTACTATTGACTTTATGATGAGTGGCACGATAATGAGCTCAATATCTATATTCTGGTACGCTACCGCTCTTCATGATACCTCCTCCTCGTAGTCTGTGCTTCTTCACTGAACCATCCTGATATCTAATTGCTGGAATACTATAAGGTAGCTACGGCACTCTTATGTCGCCAAACGTGCTCGCCCGCGTCCTCTTCAACAAACGCGATCTCCCATCCAACTCACCCCTCTCCCTCACCCCAGCCACCTTACACAACCACTCCCGTTCCCGGCTGATAGACGAGTCCTACCCCGCGATCGTCAAGTCTGAAGGAAGTTCAGTGGCCGGTGTCTTGGTAAGTGAGCTCACGCCGGCGCAGGTGAAGACGCTGGATGCGTTTGAAGGGGACGAGTATGAGCGGCAAAAGGTGCAGGTCGTGAATGAGAATGGGCAGGCGGTGGACGCGTGGTGCTACATTTGGGTTGATCGATTGGATCGGTTGACGGGCGTAGACTGGGATTTTGACGAGTTCATGCAGTAAGTTCAATATTAGTGTCGTCAGAGAAAAAAGTATCATGGGAACATGTACTGACAAGTGTGCAGAAATCGATTCAAAACTTGGATAGAAGGCGAAATGAGTGCCATGGAGTGATCCACCCGCATACTCTACATTACACACATTTACGTCTTTTTGATATCATTCACTCATCATTATAAAAACGAATCTAAAGATATAATGCAAGTCCCGAGCACAGAAATATAAACATGATGCATTTTCCCTCCACAAACCAGAACTCCGAACATTAAAGTGCATAAACGTGTCATTGCGAGAAAATAGATAAGAAATGAAAATGGGAGCCGTACCATTTCATAAAGTGAAAAGAACCATGTTGCTCAACGAGGCCGATCGCAGAGCCTGTTTCTCGAGCTTGGCCTTTGGAGCATACGTACAGCTTTCGTCGCCACAGTCACAGAACGAGTCGTTGCTTCCAAGAGAGGAAGTGATTGAGTCCATGGATTTTGTTCGCGCACAACCTCTTGTGAAGCGGTTGTCGTTGCTGTCTCTTTTCAGAGGGATCACCTCCACGGATTCGGTGGGAGAGCATGCGTTTCCTAAATCTCGTGCTGTTTTCATATCAACAGTATCAACATCCTTATCCTTCGAACTGTTGACCATATTAGGAGACTGCACTTGCAGTAATCCAGCACCTGACTGAGGCACAGCAAAGTTCTCGTGAGCATATGCAGGAACAGAAACAGAAACAGAAGATGTCGTAGACGAGTAGCTGGCGTAAGAACTCGGTGATTTCGAATTCTCTTTCCGACTTTGATTAAAACACCGCTCTAAACCGGATGCTGCATTACTGGCGATTCCGACTCGTGAGGCCCCCATGCTGGATTGAACTGTGATGAATAGACCTTCCCTGTCTCCTTTGAAATCGCAGTCAGACTCGAGAGTGTCATCTTCAATCTCTTTACTGGACAGGTCTCCCTCGATTTTCTCCTTAGTTGTCTCAGACACGCAGAGGTTCTGTTCGGCTTCTGTAGACGCCTCAACCCGGTTCACCAGTGCTGGTTCTTCGTCAGTCTGTTGACCTTCACCGTCACTCTCTTTCTCAGATACTGTCTCTGTCGCATTCGCGCAAAGACACTCCTCATTTGTCCTATCAGAGTCAGAAACTCCCAACTCTGCTGCATCTGTCGCTGTCTCACTCGGAAACTGTAGATCCGAGATAATCTCATTAGCTACCGGAGACATTTGTGGCTCTGCAGATTCACTCCCTCCTACATTGTCGGTATTTTGAGGTGAGACTCTAGAATCAGCAGTTTCGCTGGTTGTTGCACAGTGGCGTTGTGCTTCATCATCTGGTTCTTCAAATTTGGGCTCCTCAGCTTGTTCAACGTTTTGATCTGCTGATGACACTCCTGAATCTTCGCTCATAAAAGCGTCTCCTGGCTGTGCATTTGCGACTTTATTTCCTGATGCAGTCAATCCAAGTTCTTCGGCGTTGTTGGTAATCTGAGCAGTAGTTGAACTCCCTAAACCTGCTGGTTCACTGACTATGGCACCGAGAAGCCCTACGTCGGAGTTGGCCTCCTTCGATACTGCTGATTGTTCTGATGCCGCAGAGTCGTGTCCTTCAGCTTCTTCCGGACTCTCTGTATTAGAATCACCCAGATCTACTGCGTCTGTAATTCCCGTGCACTGCGGCTGCGCATCTAAAACCGCTTCAGATGGTTGCATCGCTTCAACTTCTCCCGTCTTACCAGTGCATTCAATCTCTTCAGATTTAATCAGGCCTGTATCTTCGCTGTGAAGCTGTGAATCAGGCGCCACCATTTCTGGTACCGCCGTCGACTCTCCTGTTACCGCGGTTTCCAGAAATCCAGCTTGATCGCTATCCTGATCTGATGCATCCTTTGAGGCAATCTGTTTGTCTTCTGATTTGGCTAGTTCGGTGGTCTCCTCTTGTCCAGTTTCGGAAGATATAGTACCATCCGCGCATCCTGCTAGCTCTGAAGAAGCCACTGGTTCTGAAGACTGTTCTCCATTAGGTTTCTCCGGCATAGTCAACGGAAACCCTTCCAGCTTCTGGTTGACATCTTCAATCATAGCCTCAGTCAATGTCACCTCCTTCTTGGCTTCAGAAAAAGTCTTTTCGACTAGCCCAGATGTCTTTGCGACTAAATCGGCAGTACAATCGGTCTCTTCTTTAGTGGAATCGGTGTTTGCCAGTACCTCCTCAGTGACGACAGTGGCACAAGATTCTTCTGTTGTTTCGGCTTGCAGGCAAACTTCACTTTCTTCAAAAAAACTTTTCTGCACTTTCTCGGTGACTTCTGCAACAGCTGGAGTAGTTGTATCCAGTTCTCCTTCGCCCAACACCTCAGTGCCTTCCGCTACCTTCAGCTTCTCTTCAATAGCAATGGCAACAGAAGGCTGTACTACAGGCTTCGGGGATTGGCCAGCTGTAGCACCATCGGCAAGGCTCACTGTAGTTTTGATTTCCACTGTCTGCTTGACCTTCAAGTCCTGATCAACACCAGACTTCTGAGTAGTTGCAGTCTCCTGCTTCATACTTTGCGCCACCTCAGTAATAGACGTAGGAGGTACGAGATTAGCAGTATTCACATCTCCGGAAGCTGAGAGCTTTCTCCCCTTCCCAAAGCGTGGGATCGGGCCTTTTCTGCGACCTTTACCCATGCGCACAGTTCGCGACTCCCGTTTTTCAGCATACGTCACACGAATAGCATACTGCCCGACCATATGACCGTCCATCTTCGATTGAGCTTTTTGAGCGTCTTCTTTATTGAGGAAAAGAACGAATCCGTACCCTTTGGCTGTCCATGCGTTCACAGGTACCATACGCGTTGACTCGATTGGCCCATACGATTCAAACAGACGTCGCAATTCGTGACAGGTGGGCAGAACAGCCAGATCGACGTTTCTCACAAACAGGTTGCAGTGATCGATAGGCCAGTGGGGCCGAAGCAGAGAGGGGTCCCCGACGAAGGTTTTCGCTCTTTGCCTCACAAAAGGGGAGTTGCTTTGCTCTATATCCTCGGACTCGAGCGAGCGTCTCTCAAGGTCCATATCAAGTGTACGAGATCGCTCATGAGAAACAATGGCTTGAATCTCAGTCTGCATACTTTCATCGGGAGGAGGTGCTACAGTCAGAACCTCTTCTTCCAAAGGAGGATCCACTGCCGGCTCAACAATGATCTGAGGAGCGAGGTCCACGGTAGGTTCTTCATCTGCAGCCGTACTCATATCAGTTGCGATAGAACAGCTCCTCTGAGTAGAAGTCTCAGACCCATTCGGAGCCGGCTGGTAACCCCTCTGCATCGGCATCTTCATGCCATCATATGGATACTGATATTCCGGTGGCATAGCGTAAGGAAGATAAGTGCCAGTACTCGGATGCCAGTACAAGTAAGGTGGAAAATATTGCCGATTAGGATTAGGCATATGCATGAACTGCGGTGGGAATTCTTCAAACATTGGCGGGTACGGCATCGGCGGTGGAACCGAGTTCGGATCCTGAGGCCAAAATCCAAATGGTGCTTGGTTGTTCATATATTGCGGGAACTGACGGTTCAGGGTAGCTGTGAGGATATAGTCATTAACAACTCTGTTATTCACGGTTTCAATAACCTATTTGTAGAAAGTGATTATTGTTAGCGGGCCGATCTTGCATCTAGATCTAACACATCTCACCGTAATGGCTGCTTGATAGGAATTCAAAGTCAAATCGCCATGTCTTCTCCCATTCTCATCTGGGTAGTCATAGATATCGGCGGCCACAATGTCAGAAGTCGCCACAGGTGCCGTGCCGAGTACAAAGTGGCACAAGGCCTCCGGGGACATGTCAAACGGAATGTTTGCAATCGACACCATGTGAAGCTGATCATGCATCTTTTGATTCCTATGCGGATGGCTTTTATGGCCAAACTTCTGCCTGTTGTCACCTTGGCCTGTGTTCATTCTGCCCATCTGCATCTTCGGTACGCCATCCAAGTCAGGCTCGGACGGCGACATATCGGTCCCAGGGTGCCGTTTACGCACGGCACTAAGTATGGAGTTAGTAACTTTCTTTTCTGTAGAAAGCGTCAATGAAGTGGAATCGCTTACATTCTGTTGCTGCCAATAAAGGTGCCGTCGCGCTCGTTTATTGCAATAGTGGCCGATATAGGGTTCAGAAATCTGATAAATGCATATTGCGACGGAGAGGTATCATGGTACTGAGGGTTAGCCGGTTGCTTTCGGCGGTGTAGGCTTTCGATTTTCCCTATGTATTCAGTTAGCAAGATCGAGTCCTCGCGCGGAAAGAGATCGGAGAAAGGTTACCGTAGACACTGAAGGCTTCGAAAAGTTGCTCATCTACGATATTCGAAGGTAAGTTCCCAACGTAGATGGTCGACTTTATCTCCTCATAGTCAGCTTTAGGCCGATCAGGATACTGTCCAGGTCTGTCAGAGACGTGTCTTAGATCTTCTCTCATCGGTCGCGGGTCAGCAGTGTCGTGAGTCTGTATGCCTGGAGCAGTAGAATACTGTCGATTTCCCCAAGACCCACGAAGTTCCGCGGAAGGATAACGGGGTGCATCTCTGGTCTTTGAAGGATCTCCAGAGGGCGGGGGGATCAGAGGTTTGGCGGGAAGCTGGCCGGGCGGAGTCGCCTTGGCAGCATTCAGTGCACCAGCAGATGATGCCTGGAGAACTTCGTCTGCCATGGTAGACCCTGCGCACAATAACGGTAGCTTGAAAAATATCTGGCTTTTGGGTGTGGAAGTCGAAACTATCTTGGTGCAAGTTGAGGGTAGTTTGGTAAAGGGAGAAAGGCTGGGATTTCGAAATGGGCTATAGAAATGGGTGGTAGGGCAACGCGTTGTTTATAGAATGACGTCACGGCCGGAATCGAAATAATTGTTCCCATAGCAACAATATTTATTTTATTGACCAGAATCTACAGCCAGTCAATCGTAGAAGATAGCATCAGTCCAAAAGCATTCAATTATTCATTGGGTCTCCCGGTAGAAACTGTACAAACCAAGAAAAGACAAATATAGGAATACACCGACTATATGCTAGTATGCTCAACAAACTGACTCTCGATTCCCAGCTTTGAGATATGCAAATAAACATCACATCCAAACCCGTCCATGGACTTGACTGCTATCTTCCCGCCCCAAAACTCGGCATAGACCTTGCTCATTGGCAATCCCATCCCGAGAAACATCCCCGGTGGACGGGACGTTAGACTTGAGAGACTGCTGAGCCTCTTGTGAGATGCATCTGACCTCGCCTCGATTTCTTCCACTACCGCGTCAAACGAAGGGAGCTGCTCTAATCTTCTATGCCGAGATAAACTACGAGGTCCCTTGGCGAAGCTCCATAGGTATGGGATGATGTCTGGAGGCAGACCACCTGCCTGATCCGAAAACCGGAAAACGACGTGCTGAGGAGTATCGCAGATGGTGACAAGCAACGGCTCTGGCCGTTCTCCAGAGCCTTCGGTCTTGGTCGCAGCTGCCTCAAATGTGTTGCGCAAAATCTCTCCCAGCAAGTACTTCAGATGACTCTCTATGAATGCAAACTTCGTATCGACATCCCCCTCGAAAACAAGCTCAGGAATCTTCCCGTGCGAATGCTCGGCAGAAACAAGCCTTCCTGCCAGATCTGCGCACTGTCTGACCGCGTCCGCCGCGTCTATTTGTAAAAATACCTGGCCAATATTTGCGCCAGTGTTTGTGACATTTCCCGCCAGAAGCGAGTTTGTCATTGTCAGATGTTGCTCGGTCAGTACTCGTCGAGAAATTCGACTCGAGAGCAAGGACTGCGCGAAGCGGTCTAGTTTTGCCGGCTCCATAAGCTCTGCTGATTCAATGATCCCCATAACAACATGCGGAATGACGCCCGTATGTCGAAGCAGCAAATCCTTGACCAAATCGCAGAATCGGTTGTTGTCGTCCAGAGAGCGGATTATTGGGAACTTCCGGATGGCGTTGAACGAATGGTAGTAGAGCTCGTAGACGTGCGACATGTGGGGATTTCTGATGATTGAATATGGCAGTCGCTGCATATCGTGTATCCGGTGTGCCATTCGAGTAGGAAGCTCCTGCCGCACGAAGTTGGCCGAATGCAATATCTTTTCTGGGGTCAGTTCCCGGCCGTAGAACGCAAATTGTTTTAACGAGACCGGTTGAGCTGGCCGAGCCGCAAATCTCATGAGTGCCTCATTTTGGTAGAAGTGACGTGAGGATATCGTAGACGGAGGGACTTTGTCTGAGTTGTACCGCCTGCCTGTGCTGGCCTTGATAGTCAATGCCCTCTGAGATCTGGTGATCAGCCGAGCGGGTCGAGTACTGAGCGCATGTTGCTGCCATGTCGCACTTGGCATGACAGCCATTGAATATGATTGTCCAGAAGCGACTGGACTGTATGTCGCAAAGTAGGGCCGAAAACTGTCTGTCGAGAGGCAGTGCTAGAAAATCTGGGGCCCTCGGGTATTACTCACAAATACGTCGGAGATGATTTGCTCGTACACGTGAAAAGTGGTAGCGGCATGCTTCGGGATAGGGTAAGCGCGCTGGTCGTCTGTCCTCTTCCGTAATGCCAAAAGAACAGCCTTGAAATTGTAGATGTAATGTCATTAGGAGATAGAATTAACTTATGTACATATTCGGCTCTATAGCTCATAGAGTCCCCCTTTTCAATTCCCGTTACTGTCTTTATTTACAAATAAGGGAGGATGCCGTGACGTCCGAACCTGCCATACATCTTCACTGCTCCCGTGCGCGAGAATCCGCTCCGTCCGCGCCTTGTAGTAATCTCTAATCAGCGGCGCCTGCTCCTCCTCAGGCTTCAGCTTAAGCCCCATGCAGAACTTGAACATGTCCCACCGGTCGTTGCAGTCCCGGATCGTGCCGTAGCGGTAGACGTGGCGGGTTTGGCCTGCTACACTGTGGCATTTTACTAGCTCGTCGAACTGCTGCTGGCATGACATCTCGGTCTAGAATTAATTGCTTTGGTTAGTCAAATATTCGCTTTCGTAAGGGGAAAGATGTATTCAGGAACATACAGGATAGATATCCGCCGGCGAGATATCGTCCTCTGGTGCAAGTTCTGGAGTCGATTTAGAACCAGTGCTCGCAATTGAAGTCTGCTCGTTTGTGATATCTGTAGTCGACGCTTGTCCGGACCGATTCCATGGCTTCAAGTATTTCATAAAATCAAACGTCTGGCTCGCAACTCGCTCTAGTCGTTCATTATTCATCCTCGCAGCCGGCTCGTCGTTCGACGCCGACACCGCCTTGCCGCTATCAACTTCCTCAATCCATTTAGCAATGGTCTGGTCAAGATCTGTGTCTCCCTCAGAGTCCAGAGCCATGTTTCAAAACAGAGAAGCTTCTTGTTGAACGAGCGGGTGTCGAAAGTGCAGTTGGTTGCTGGGTTTGGAAGGGCACTGCGCGATGGCTTAGCAGAGCTCTAATTTTCTAGTTCACGTTTAAACCTTAATTGCCTTTCTGCCTGGACTCATCTTCTGAAGGCCTTCATTCGTATCTTCTATATAAATGTACCATAAATTTGTTTTCTATGGCATTGGTCTGGTCTTGAGAAGTATCACCATCTAATTCCCCAAAACATTCATCCGCTACTATTACGGGCTGTTGGTCGGCACTGCCCAATAATAGCAAAGCACGTGCACCACCGATGACGCCCAGCGCTGCGCGAGCCAGAGCTTCCCAGCACACTGTGCTGAACACCCGCTTTCTATTCCTAAATCCTGCAGACCACCATAGACTCTCCCCTGCGCCGATTCTCTCTACATTCTCACTAGATTTTAGAACGTGCATTACCGTTTTTTGGATACTAAAACATGCCCGTCGAGCTTTTCCAACCGGTCGCAGTCACGGCTCCGCATCCGCATTTCTCTCGCCGTTCACACCCACTGCCGCCGAAATCGCTGGCTATCCCCGCAGACAAAGATGAGCGCGAGCGACCGGCGATCGAGACCAACAAGTTTTACTCGAATCTTTATCTTGGGAATCAGGATCAGCCGGTTTTCATGTGCCCGTATGTGCTGTGGTGGGATCACCGGAGTGAGGGGCCTGATGCGCACTACGGATTGAGCATCAGTCACACTAGCAACGAGCAGCGGGTATGTTATCTAAGATGTATGTTTGTTTTGCTTGACTATTCTGACTGTTGCAGGTATACGGACCTGATCCGAAAGAGCAAAATGCGCAATACTTTTTCCATCCTGCCGGCATCAGATCACTGTCGTTGTCTGCGTTCGAGTTCGACAAGACGATGAGCATCGAGCTGTCGCAGTCAGCCCAGTTCTCGGTTGTCGCGCTGTTCAAACCCGGCTCAGCGCACGGCACAGGCAAATCCCTGAACGTTCCGATCGTGCTCGGCACGGGCTTCATCACCGGCACATACTACAATCTTATCCCGCGGATCAACTCGGCTGTCGGGTTTCGGGTGTTTAAAGAGAAACCGTCGCCGAGGAGTGGGATTCAAAAGTACGGCATCGAACTTCATGATCGAACTAAGTGGCTTATATATGCGTGGGTTCCCGAAGATCAGCATTTGAAACTAAAGCAAGACGGCGACCATACGGTCACTGCCGAGCAACGCGTGCGGAATGTTTTGTTTCAGATCTGCAAACTCGTTGACGGATCAGAGAAGATATACGACCAGTACGCTGGCAAATACGCCATCCGCGCGCAACTTTCAGGAACCGCAAACAAAAACAAGGGAGACGTGCGGATCAACTGGTCGACAAGACAGGCAAACAACGCCAACGCGTTACTGCTGTTCGCACTGCCGCACCACGTGGCCTCGTTCACGGACCAGATGAAGAAGCGCGCGCTGGGATTCGGGCTCGATTCTCCTACAAAGGGCAAAGCGATGGCCTACGGCACCAATGATTTTTTCATGCAGGAGACGCTGCCGACCGATATCGAGTTCATGCCGTGGACGAGTATCCCCAACGTTCGGACGAATCAGTACAGCCGCGAGGCTCTCGGTCATATCTTCGATGCCGCGTGCGTGGAGTTGGAGCAAGACGTCGAGGCGCAGTGTAATCTGAACTCGATGTACTTCTCGGGCAAGGCGCTCGACAAGTTTGCGTACATTGCGTTTGTCGCGTACCAGGTCTTGGGTAATTTGGCAATGACGCAGGCCGCGATGAACAAGGTCGCGAACGCATTCCGACGGTTCAGCGCAAACAAGCAGCAGTATCCGCTGGCGTACGACACCACCTACAAAGGCATCGTCTCCAGCGGCGCGTTCATCACCGAGAACGCGCTCGAGGACTTTGGAAATACGTACTACAACGACCACCATTTCCACTACGGATACTTCATCCATGCGGCAGCTTTGATCGGCTACGTTGATGCCGCGTTGGGCGGGACCTGGATCTACGACAACAAGGATTTCGTAAACACTCTGGTGCGCGACATTGCGAATCCGTCCGAACACGATCCGTACTTCCCAGTCTCGCGATCGTTTGACTGGTACCACGGACACAGTTGGGCCAAGGGCCTGTTTGAGAGCGGAGACGGCAAGGACCAAGAGTCTACGTCGGAGGACTACCATCATGCGTATGCGATCAAGCTGTGGGGAAAGGTCTCTGGCGACAAGAGCATGGAAGCGCGGGGAGACATGATGCTGGCGATCATGAAGCGCAGCTTCAATACGTACTTTATGATGTCGAGCAAAAACTCTGTGCAAGATCCTAGGATTTTGGCAAACAAAGTTACCGGTATTGTGAGTTTTCTCTCTGTCTTTGATATTCTATGTGATAGTGCTAATACGTGGTTTATAGCTGTTTGAAAACAAAATCGATCACACGACTTATTTCTCCCCAAGAATCGAGTGCGTGCAGGGTATCCACATGATCCCAATCACCCCCGTGTCTTCATACATGCGATCTCCCGAGTTCACCTACGAAGAATGGAGCACGCTGCTGCAGCAGATTGCCGATAAAGTGGACGACGGCTGGAAGGGCATCCTGTACGCCAACGTCGCGCTGTTTGACCCGCGGGCTGCGTGGCAGTTCTTTGCGCATCCAAAGTTTATGTATCAGTGGCTAGATGGCGGGGCGAGCAGGACTTGGTATTTGACATACGCAGCTGGGGTTGGCGGCGCTCCGTAGAGGATGATTATCTCATTCAGTTATGGTGGGACGGGCAGGTAGATCAATATAGCATATCACACGTAAATTCAGCCACTGCCGATATTGGGTGCTTGTCGGTATATAAAATGGGAGTTATTTGGGTAAATTAACCAGTACGGACGTAGAGTGCATGGATATTAGTCGAATATCGGGAATACGACTGGATGCACAGATGATCCAGAAATAGGAGAGACAAAGAAACCCTACGGCGCCTGCGAGATTTCGGCGGACTCAGATCTCGACCAGGGGGGCTGGCTCAGGCCGCTGTCTTAGGCGCTCTTCACCGCACAATCATGTCTCGCCAGACAGCAGGGTGACGCAATCCTGTACCGAAACACTCGAGATTACTCGCGGAGGCTGGCATCCTGCGCCCAACCCGGCTGAGTCACCGCGACGAGCGCCGGCGATCGGTAAGCTTAATCGTGCATATGAGCCGCACGGGCTGCCTAATCGGGCCAGGGACCCTGCCACCCCAGATGGCTGTGGCGGTGGCATCGTGGCGCAACAAAGGCACGCACCGCCACTTTCGTCCGATTAGGCGACTGCTTCGCCAGGCGGGTTGTTTACAGCTTACTCGATCCTGTGAGGACGAGCGAAAAGTCGGTGCCTTGCCCCCGGTCTTCGCTCTGCGCCAGATCTGTAATCTTCCACGCCTGTCAATCTGATGGTCGGTGCCGCGAGGTCGGTGCCAGAAGAAGGCGGGATGCCAGTGCCAATCCGGCCTGCGGATCCCTTTTTTTAATAGCTCTGAGATTTGGGTCCATACGACTGACCACCTTCGGCTTGTATCTTTAAATGCACGCCATGTCCCTTCTCTGGTACGTTTCTGCTTCTCAGTCGATGTATTGATCTTTTGTTGCTGCCTGCACTTCACCACCCCACACTCGTTTACTGATCCACGATGCGTTTGACGAAACAGACGCTCGCTGCCGCGGGATTCCTCTTCGCGACAGTCTCCCACGCGTCACCGCTCGTCATCACCGAGCAGGCCTATGCCACCGTGACCGCCGACGCCGTCACCGTCACCGCCGAGGTCGACACCCTCGTCGTCTCCTCCGACACCGTCCAGGTCGTGCTCACGCAGTCCACCACCGTCACCGTCACCGGAACTGTCTACACCACGCTCGAGCAGCCGTACGTCACGAGCATGCCCCTGATTTCCGGGGGAATCATCACCTTGTCCAGCACTGAACCCTTGCCCACCGACGACCCGTCCACTTCAGAATCAACCTCGACCTCGTCGTCTTCTGTCGCTACCTCGTCTGGTAGCTCTGTCCTCGCGTCCTCCTCTTCCTCTTCCTCCTCCTCGTCTACAGCTACATCGCCGGCTGTGTCACCTTTGTCTGAGACTACAGCGCTCGCAACTTCGTCGTCGTCGTCGTCCTCCTCCTCGTATACTACCGAGCAGATCCCGTCGTCTACTCTGTCCTCCACCTCGTCAGGAACGACCCTGGTTACCTCTGAAAGAGTCTCAAACTCCACCTTCTCGACAAGTTCAAGCACACTCATGACTTCGTCTACCTCCCTCTCGTCCACCAGCCTGGCTGCCTCCAGCCCGACCAGCACCTCCGCGAGCTCAGACTCGTCGTCGTCGTCGTCGTCGTCGTCGACCACCGTCGCGCAGACAACCTCGTCGTCGTCAACGACCGCGACCGGATCGGTTGATATGTTCAAGGCCATCGCCACGGACGCGCCCCCGTCGATGTTCACGCGTCTGTCTGCGCACCCGCTGCAGCCGACTGGTTTCTCGTCTTCGATTATCAAGAACTCGACTATCCCGACGAATAACTTCTACACGAACCTGTATCTCGACAACCGCGACCAGCCGGCGTATCCGTACCCTTACTCGGTGTGGTGGAACCAGGGCACCAACAGTGACTATGGTCTCGGAATCAGTCATACCACCTCCAGCCAGTTTGTACGTTTTATTCATTTCTCTTGCTTGAGTTTATATAGGTGCTAACATTCATTTACAGACCTTTGGTCCCGACTCGAGCGCGGACCCGGTCGAGTACTTCGTCTCGCCGATCGGTATCCGCTCGATGTCGCTCTCTGCCGCCGAGTTTGGCTCTTCGATGACCATGAACCTGACCAACCCGCTCGAGATGTCGGTCGACATCACCCTCGCCCCCAGCTCGTCCTCCAGCAGCTCGCTCGTGATCCCGCTCGTGCAGGGCACCGGCTTCATCACCGGCGTCTACAAGAACCTGACGCCGATGTTCAACTCGCAGGTGAGCTACACGTCGCTGACAAAGTCGACCAGCCCGCGCACCAACGTCGTCAAATACGTCGCCGCGCTGAGCGACGGCACCTCGTGGGGAATCTACGCGACGCTGGCGGACAGCTCGCAGAGCTTTGAGCTGACGCTCACAAACTCGACCTCGGTCACCGCGGGGAAATCGTACAGCAGCATTGTTGTGCAGATTGCAAAGATCGTGTCCGGACAGGAGTCTGTCTACGACGACCACGCGGGCATGTACGCTACCAAGGCGTCGCTCAGTGGATCGGCTGTTAACGGTAAGGGATACGTGACGATTACGTGGGCGACCGCGGGCTCGAACAATGCTGATGCGCTGATGCTGTTTGCGCTGCCTCACCATGCTTCGTCGTTCAGCTCGAGCACGTCTGCCAAGTCGCTTGGCTTTACTCTGGACGCGCTCACCAAGGGCACCGCGACTGCATACTCGACGAGCACGTTTGAGTTTGTGGAGACGCTGCCGGATATCAACTTTGCTCCGTGGACGAGCATCTCGGGCAAGTCTGCAAACTACACGAGCTCGGCGCTGGGTTTGATCACCAAGGCTGCCGTGGCTGAGCTCAAGCAAGACGTTGTCTCGATGACGGACTTGGACTCGATGTACAGCTCGGGCAAGATCTTGGGCAAGTTTGCGATGATTTGCTATACGGTGCACGGAATCTTGGGCAACACCGCGCTCACAAAGACGTGCCTTGCGAACCTGAAGGAGGCATTCGCGCGGTTCTCGAGCAACAGCCAGACATATCCTCTGTACTATGACGAGACATACAAGGGACTGATCTCGTCTGGCGCGATCAGCACCGGCGACTCGCTCACAGATTACGGAAACTCGTACTACAACGACCACCATTTCCACTACGGCTACCATATCCACGCGGCCGCGGTGATTGGCTACGTCGACTCCGCCCTGGGCGGGACATGGGCGTCCGACAACAAGGAGTACGTGAACTCGCTCGTGCGCGACGTGGCCAACCCGTCGCACGACGACACGTACTTCCCCGTCTCGCGCTCGTTCTCGTGGTACCACGGCCACTCGTGGGCCAAGGGTCTGTTTTCGGCAGCGGACGGAAAGGACCAGGAGTCGTCGTCGGAGGACGTCCACCACGCGTACGGAATCAAGATGTGGGGATCTGTCGTGGGCGACTCGTCGATGGAGGCGCGGGGCGCGATGATGCTTGCGTTGATGAAGAGGAGTATGAACGACTACATCCTGATGGCGAGCGACAACACCATCCAACCCTCGAACTTCATCGGCAACAAGGCCGTCGGCATCATCTTTGAGAACAAGGCAGACCACACCACCTTCTTTGGCACAAACGAGGAGTACATCGAGGGCATCCACATGCTCCCTCTCACGCCTGTTTCGTCGTACATCCGCACGCCGACGTTCGTCTCCGAGGAGTGGGAGTCCAAGCTCGCGAGTCTTGCGCCGACGCTGACGGACGGATGGAGAGGCATTTTGTACAGCAATTTGGGTCTGACGGATCCGGAGTCTGCGTACGAGTTCTTCACCGGCAGCGATTACAGCAGCGATTACCTCGATGGTGGAGCTAGTCTGACCTGGTACCTTGCTTACCTTGCTGGTGTGTATTCCTTCTTTTCTTCCTGCATTCTCTAGGGAACTATACTAACAGACATTTAATAGGCGTCGGCGGTGCTTCCTCATAAGCACATGTGTTATACTACTGTACTTTTATCCCCTCGGCACTCGGCAATTCAGCCACTACCTACTGTTTGCCGAGTCATGTATCAAAAAAAACCCCTCGGCATGGTGAATTGTGAATATCGTTTGTGAATCAACATAGAGCATACGTGTGAGTATGCGTGTATTTGTATTTGGGTGACTACGGTTGGCTGGCTGGTTCTTGCCAGTCTCTTGCTCTAATATTGTTAATGGTGTTGTTTGCATGTTTCGTTTTTGGCATGTGGGGTTTCCCCCCACGCTCATAATTGTAAAATATAATTTTCTAATGTGAGATACCAACTATTACTTTGGGATGTGTAGCTATGTAAAGAACCACTGTATTGAAACTATCCGTAAATCATCACTAAGAACTAACACCAAAACTAAACTCCTCGGCGTCGCTCGACCTTGACAAAGAGGTTCTCCTGCTGTACGAACCAGTAATTTCTAACCTCCCACTCCAAGTCCGGTGTCGCGAGCGAAACCTTGTATTCTCTAAATAGTTGCGGGACGACCTTGCTCATCTCCATCATGCTAATGTTTTTGCCGATACACGAGCGCGTTCCCGCGCCGAACGGGAACCAGCACTGGTTCATCTCCTGCAGCTTCGAAGGTGAGGCCTCGAGCCAGCGCTCGGGCGCGAATGTTTCAGGCGATGGGAAGATCGTCGGGTCGTTGTGGATCACCCAGGCGTTGATGCCGACGGTGGTGCCCTCGGGGAAGAAGTGGCCTGCGATCTGCGCGCCGCCCTTGGGAACTCTGCGTTCGAGGATGAGGCCGACGGAGGGGTGCATGCGGATGGCCTCTTTGATGCAGGCGTTGAGGTAGGGGAGATGGGTTGTGGACTCCTTGTACGAGACGGGCTCGGAGAGTAGTCTGCTTGCCTCTGCGTTGTCGAGCTCGGCGACGAGCTTGTCGAGCTTGGCCGGGTTCTTGAGGAGGAAGTAGATGATTGCGCGGAGGGCGATGGCGGTGGTGTCTGAGCCGGCAAAGACGAGGGTCACGAGCTGGATCATGATGTCGAGGGTCGTCATCTTGCCGCTTGTCTCCTCCATGACGGTGGTCCACTTGCTGAGCATGTCCTTGCCGACGGCGGCGGTTTTGACGGTGCCCTTTTCGTCAAAGAAGCCGTCGCGGGCTTTGATGGCTTTGACGGTGAAGTCGACGACGCCGCTCTGCTGGTGCATCTTGGGGAAGAGCAAGGGGATGAGCGGGTTGTTGAGGTACAGGTAGCGCGTGTAGGGCACTTGACCGGTGAGAGTGAGGAGGGGCAGGACTTTCTGGAGCTGGTGGATCATGAGGTCGATGTCTTTGCCGGACTCGAGGAAGCCGAACTTCTTGGAGAACGAGAGCTCGCCAACGACGTCGAATGCGTAGAACTGGAGCCACTCGCCGAGGTTGACAACCTTGTCCTGGTCGGCGAAGCGGCCGAGCTGCTCCATGAAGAGCCTCGAGCAGCTGTCGACCTGGGCCTCGAGCTCCAAGACCGAGCTCATGGAGTATGAACCGGCGACGAGCTTCTTCTGGTCGCGGTGGTAGGCGGGGTCGACGGCGGAGAAGAGGCCGTGGTGGTTCTTTCTCTCCCAGGGGATTCCCCAGAGCGGGTAGAATCCGGTCTTGATGAAGTTTGACTTGATGCCGTAGATCATCTGGATGGCGGCGGGGTCGCCGATGGAGACGACGTTGGGGGCGATGCGGACGAGGAGGCCATGCTTTTTGTGGAGGGCGACGAGAGTCTCGTGGTGGTGGGCGTGGTAGACGCTGACGAGGCGCCAGAGGTCTGTGACGGAGGCGAGGAAGGGGCCGGGTATGGAGTAGAGGCCGTGGGTGAATTTATTGTGGAGGAAGTAGAGGAAGATGAGGAAGGCGGAGACGGCGTAGAGGTGGTTTGAGAGGAAGGATGATGCGGTGGAGAAGTGGGCGGCGACTTCGGGGTGCTGTGCGGAGAAGGCGGCCATGGTGAGAGAGGTGATGTGAGGGAGATATGAGATGAGGGAGGAAAGAGGAAGAGGAAGATAAGATGACAGAAGATATAAGGCAGAGTAGCAGATAACAGAACAGAAGCAGCAGGGGTTATATGCCGACGAAGCCGCCGAGGAGAATCGATTGACCGCAGAACAGAGAGGAGGAGGGGGGGAGGGGAGAAGGAAAGCGGGGGTGGGGTAGTGGAAGAAGATGCTCTGGACGAAGAGAGCGGGGTGACGTCAAGAAGGAGGAGCGGCGGAGGATGAGAATCTGGGGAAGAATAAAATAAGTCGGGGAGGTGATGTGCAAGTGCTCGATCGGGGAAGAATAAGAAGCTGCGGGGAAGGAGAATCCCCGCACACTGGCATCAGTCGGCTGTGCGGCAGTGTAGGTCTGGATAAGAGTGGGAGTCAGTAGTAGACAGTCAGTAGTAGACAGTCAGTAGTAGACAGAGTATCAGACACAGTCAGTAATATCAGACACAGACAACAACAGCAGCTCTTCTCCGTGCTCTCCACCCCGGTTCTCGCCTGAGTCAGTCCATTGGGTTAGGTCTCTGCTACAACACCCGCACGCTGACTTTGGCTCTGCCTCTGCCTCTGCCTCTGCCTTCACTCTCCTCGGCCTATTCTTGATTCACTTCACAAAAATTAACTGAACCGGAAATTCGCTGCTGCGACTGTTTTGCTCTGAAAGAAGCCCCGCTTTGGTGTTTAGTTGCCGAGAGGACTTCAATTGCATTACGATCATAGGAATAGTCAACTGCATTCAGAAGTAATAGTTGCAATGTCGCAATCCCAATTCGCTCCTCTGCAGAACGATCTCATCCTCAGAGCTGCCAGAGGTACTCACTGCTCTTTACTATCTACTCCTCGTCATCTCTAACACTTCTCCAGGCCAACCCGTCGAACGCCCTCCTGTCTGGGTCATGGTGTGTTGTCACTTATCTCTATCTCTATCTCTATCTTTACTCATCCTGACTCTTCTCTAGCGACAAGCTGGCCGCTATCTCCCTGGTACCTTCCCCTCCTAACCTCACTCTCACCTCCCCTGCTAACAACATCGTACCCAGAATACCACGTCGTCAAAGGCTCAAACAACTTCTTCGTCTGCTGCCGCGATGAAAATCTCGCCTCCGCCATCACCATCCAGCCCGTAGACCACTACGACGGCATCCTCGATGCCGCAATCATCTTCTCCGACATCCTCGTCATCCCCCAAGCAATGGGCATGGCCGTCGACATCCTCGACAAAATCGGGCCCCATTTCCCCGACCCCCTCCGCGTGCCCGACGACCTCAAAAAACTGACCGTCGACGTCGACGTCAAGAAGGAGCTCGACTGGGCGTTCAAGTCAATCACCGCGACCAGACTCAAACTCAACGGCAGAGTCCCTCTTCTTGGTTTCTGCGGCGGGCCTTGGACTTTGATGGTCTACATGATCGAGGGCGGTGGCACTAAATTGTTCAGATACGCCAAAACCTGGCTTTATCTCTATCCTGAAGCAACCCACCAGCTCCTACAGCGCATCACCGACGTCGCTATCGAGTTTCTCGCCCAGCAGGTCGTCGCCGGTGCTCAGGTACGTCCTTTTTTTTCAGCTGATAGCAACAACTATATTCTAACACCAGCAGATGCTGCAAGTCTTCGAGTCCTGGGCTGGCGAGCTCGGCCCTAACGAATTCAAAGAATTCTCCCTCCCCTACCTCATCCAGATCATCACCGGTCTGCGAAAACGACTGCTCGAGCTCGGCATCACCGACCATATCCCCGTCACCTGCTTCCCCAAAGGCGCCATGTACGCCCTCGACTGGCTCGCCGACACTGACTACGACGTCGTCTCCCTCGACTGGACCATCGACCCCAAAGAAGCCGTCAAGATCGCAAACGGCAGAGTCGTTCTGCAGGGAAACCTCGACCCGGGCATCATCTACGGCTCGGACGAGGTTATCTCGAAAAAGGTCGAGCAGATGATTGCTGGTTTTGGCGGCGGCAAGCAGGGATATATCGTCAATCTCGGACATGGTACGCAGCCGTTTATGGATCCTGCGAAGCTTGGTCATTTTATGAAAGAGTGTCATCGATTTGGCAGTGCATAGACCCTACTCCTCATACATCTGTATATTACTCTATGACCATTTACCTTAATATCACTAATATACATTAATGCTCCGTATGTTTCTGTAGAAAAGTAATGGATCCTGCAACTTGGTCATGAGAGTATCATTGTTGGCAGCGCATAGATCTCACCATCTGTATATTACTCTATATACAACCACTACTACTAATATACACTAATGCTCCGCATGCTTCCGTAGCAAAGAAACCGGATGCAAAGCCAACACATCCGCCCTCGATGCAATCTCAAACGACGCCGTCTCGCTTATCTTTTTCGCGAGCGCCTCCTCAATCTCCGTAATCACCCCAGACTCGTCCACCTTGATCTTCTTAATCTCCGGGCCTTCACTCTCGCTCGAGTTGTAGACAGTCAGCCAGGCTTCGCCGTTGGTACCGGAAACAGCTGCGTCTAATAAATCGTATTTTTTTGAGCTTAGGAATCTTGCTGGCTCGGATTGTGATTCGGGGATTTTGAACGAGAGCAGTTTTTTAGAACTATCAAAAAAGTCAGTAAGTCTCACCAAACATCATAATAGTTCTGCCAACTCACTTGTCGTCAAACACCAACACAATCTTCAACTCTGGAATCTCCCAAATTCCGGAAACAGCAACCTCAAACTCACTATCCTCCTCGCTCGGCTCAGCACCTATATACGCCTCCAACTCGATCTTCTCCACCAGCTCGCCCGTAGTCCAGTTCCATCGCGCGAGAAAATCATCTCCCCCGCCAGACAAAAGCGTAGTCGGCGCCCACGACGGGACCAGCAGCTGCGAAACGTACTGCATATGCCCGAAACAGAATCGCTCAATGACACATGCCTCCGGGTACCGCGTCACCCGCACATGCTCATCTCGATCGCTCGAGATCGCGTACCGCGCACCCTCGACCTCTGGCGTGACGAGCAAGTCGACGAGCATCGACACGTGTCCGAAAATCGGCTCGATATCGTACCCGCTCTCGTTCTCCGCGCTCGAGAGTTTGGAGTGGCCTGGTTTGGAGCCGGCAGAGGGCACGATCGGGAGGGAGTAGACGTCGCCGAATTTGTCGCCGAGAAGCAGAGTTTCGTTGCTGTCGGTGATTGCCAACGCAGACGGGCGTTTGGGAAATTTCCTATCAAAAGTCAACAATCCTGCCGTTAATGTATAACGTCCGAGCAAAGAGCCTACCTGGAGTATTGCAGAGAAAGATCCGTCGTGCTCAAAACGACCAACGACTTGAGCTCATCAGTGCTTCCGACAATATACCTCCCGTCCTCCGAGCAACTCAGCGTCCGAAACGCATTCCGCACGACTTTCGCCTGTTCAGTCTTTGCCTTCTTCTTCTTTGGCTGCTCGTCCTTCGTCTCATCGGCCGCGATCAGCTCCGTCGACCACTCCTGCACAAGCACCCCCGTCGTCGGATCAAACTCCTGCAGCTTCTCGCCCGCGGCAAGATACAGTCTGCCGTTAGTTCTATTAAAAGCCAGCTTCTGCACCGGGTGTCTCATCTTGTCTGACTGTCAACTCCTCTCTCTCTCTCTCTGTCTCGAACTCATCTGACAATTTTTTTGTATCTTACATAAGCGCGGCTCAAGAAAGCAGACCCCGTGACTTCGCGTCGGACCGCGTTGCTGCGTGCTGGAGACGGGCAGCGTGATGGATTCTACCCGCGCAGACGCGAGCTGAGATCTCCCACTGCGCGTGCGAAGCGGAAGATTTGTTTGGAAGCATACTGGTTTGGAAGTAGGCTTGGAATGATCAGTTGAAGAGTTGCTTTAGAGTGTTGCTGTTGTAGTTGAATGCTGCTACTGTTTAGCTGGCAATGTCTGGCATCGGTAGGCTGCCGTCGGTGAGCGCGGTCGACAATGAGGATGCTCAGGATAGTCTTGAGATGACGCCGGCGTATGTTCTTTCTGTGGCTGTTTTCTGTGTGGACGAATGCTGATAGTGTAGGCCTTCTATCACCGCATGGCTTGATGCCGAATCTTTTACGGCAGAGAATGAAGATGTGCATGTCAAGGTCAGCCATACCTATAGCTTACCAGCTACTCATATCTCAATAGCAACAGCATCGGACTTACAGCGATCTCTAGGACACCGAAATGGACGACAGCATACCCGGACGTTACGGTTACCTCTATCTTGATTCGTTCATGGGCGCTTTGGACGTAGTTTTGAAGCTTGAGAGTCATCTCTTCAGCAAATCAGAGTTGGACCTATTTGACAAGTTCCAGAGTCTTTCAGGTATATATTCTCCACCCCGTCTCTGTGGTCATGACTAACCCAGACTATAGACGACTGCAAAAAGCTCTACGTAAGACTGTTTATGCGCCGCCGAAACCACTGGCTCCGCGTCTCCTCGTTCGACTACTACACCGAGATCGCCGACCTGACCCACAGCTGGCAATCCCTCGTATCCTCCACCGTCTTCGCCGAGCAGCTCGACCTCGGCTCTGCGGCCGACACCGACGAGGTTCTGTCGCTGCTTGGAATTGAAGAGTTGAAGTTGCTTAGCAAGCAGTTTAATTGCTCGGGCGCGAAGGGCACGAAGCGGGAGATGATGGAGAGGTTGAAGATGCAGACGGACGGGCAGACGTATCTCAGTTTGTCGAGCAGGGGCTTGTCGCTTGTGTACGACAGTAGCGGGAAGAAGATGTACAAGTCAGTCAAGCTGCTCAGAAAGTCTATGGAGCTCCTGGGTATGTCTTGTGAATAAGATAGTGTGTGTTGTGCATGTACTAACCGTGTGCTCCAGGACCATGCATCAAGCTACGGCCTGAACCCCTAGCGGTCTTCGACCGAGTCCATCTAGTTTTCTACCGCGCCCGCTCGTTCGACGAGAGCTCGTTGCGAAAACTGATCCTCGCCCGCATCTCCAAGCGCAACTTCCCGTCCTATTTTGTTCTCCGCAGCTCAGAAGTCTTTCGAACCCGCGACGAGCTGCTGGCGTATGAAGAAGCGCTTAAAGTGCAAGACGAGGTCGATCAGGCGTTTGAGCATGGGCTCACGCCGTTGCTCGAGCAGATGTACGAGCGGCTTTTGCCGGTCTATGGGATTTGGCAGATCGCAATCAAGCAAGACCGCCAACTTAATTCCGAACGCGATCATTACCTCAAACGGTTCACGGCGACGTATGTCCACACCCGACTCGTGCACAAGTACGCGTTCGTGCTGTCCCGGCTCGGACGCTACCAAGACTCCTACGACGTCTACTCTGCTCTTCTAGCGCAGGACATGTATCGCCAGGGCAAGCGAGGTGATTGGTACCAGCGCAAATCCCTGATCGAGAACCGGTATTTCGGCGGCGTGGACAAAGACGAGCGCGAGCGCAAGGCGTGGAAGCGGAAAGCGCTGGAGACGTGCGAGCGCGGGCTGCAGGATCCGAGGACGCATTTAAAGTATCATTATGATCTGGCGAAGCGGATTATGCGGTTAGAGAGAGAGCTGAGGGTGTTGCCGAGAGAGAGGCATGTGTTTGATCATGTTGCGCTGAAGGAGCCTACGAAAAGAACTTTTTATGGTCTGTCTCTGTTTTTTTTCATCATTTTTTTGGCTTGTTGATGGTTGACTGACAGTGGGATTAGGAAAACGGATATCTGACGTCGTGGTGGGACGGAAAAGTATCTGGCTGAATGATGAGCAGGAGCAGTGCTCTGTCGAGGAGATGTGTCTTGCAAACTACGAAAAGCTCGGATGGCGCGGTTACCACACCGAAGGAGGCATCCTGAAAACCATAGTACGTATCCCCCCTCCTGAGATGAACTAACGACATCGAGCACTGCTGACCCCAGAAGTTTGCCTACCTCTTCTTCGACATCATCTTCCTCCCCGTCCCCTTTGTATTCGAAACCGAATTCCAGAACGCGCCGCTTGATTTCGCAACCGACGCATTCTACCTCACCCGCGCAAGCGAGATCAACCACTGCCTCGCCGAGATCGAGAACGGGCGCACGGCGGAATTGATCAGGGCCGTGTACGAGCGCGAGCAGGCGAGGCAGACGGAGTGCGTGGGGTTGGATTGGCGGTTTGAGATTCAGGATGTTTTGGAGGCTGCGGAGGTAATTACTGAACGAGGGTGTGTTTGAAAGGTGGAGCAAGTTTTACTGACGACGCGGTTGGTTTAGTGTATTGGAAATTCCGCGTTATCTGTCTTATGCCGCGTATTCTGCGAAGAATACCAGCACCGCGGCGGCGGTCTTCCCGATCTCTTGTACGCACTATTCCCCTCCTCCTGCTTTTAACCAATGTACTAACTAAATTCGTTTCTGTAGTCTTTGGAAATACGACGAGAAACGGGCGATGTTCGCGGAGGTCAAGTCTGAGAATGATAGGTTGTCTGATACGCAGCGGCTGTGGGTTGACGTGCTTATCGGAGCTGGGGTCGAGGTTGAGCTTTGTGCTGGGCTTGAGGAGGGGTGATTTTTATTTGTAAATATATATTTTTGGATTGACTAGATACATATATACATAGAGAGTAGTTTCATAAATGGCTGAATATCGATAATTGCAGAGGTGCTGGCAACGCGCGGCTCAAGGGTTTGCAAACCATCAATTATTTACGCGTGCAATTAAACACTCCATCTCATCCTCCGCCTCCCCCATCCACACCCACTTCCCCCGCCACAACCTCAGCAGTAGCCAATAACTGCTCTAAATACAACTCCTGGACCGCCGGTAGGTTAGATCGACAACCTAGGGCGAGTTTGATTTGCGCATCAGAGACGAGGTCCTGTTTGTGAGCGAGAGCGGTATCAGGCCGAGTGCAGCGCGCGCGACGGGCGCGGTATGGTAGTGTTACTACCATGAGTAATAATGAGAAGGACGTTTATGAAGTAGTGGACGCGGTATGTATTTCAGACACTTTATGTATTTCAGACACTTGTGTCTCTGGATCTGGAAATACGAGGAAAGGAACGCTTGTGGCTAACTGTTCCAACACCATCTAGGACTCCTCCTCTCAGCCGAGTAAGTGAACGGACGACAAAATGACTTCAGAACGCGTGATTTTTTTCCTAACAGGGACTGGAAATATAGCAGAAGAATCACCGAGTAGGACCACGAATTCCGTGATGCACTCGCCCACGCAGCAGCGTCCTGTCAGTCGCGGATTAGTGCGGCCGCCTGCGGGGGCGTCGCTGTTGAGGAATTATTCGAAGCGGTGAGATTCTGTTTTTGGAAGATGGATAAGTGGATGTGGAAGCTGATGAGTTTACGTGTGTGTGGGTGTTTAGACCGAGTGACGCTACACGGATTGCAAAACCTCAACCTGTAAGTTCCGATCTGTCATTCACCACCACCTACCAACAATACAGGATCTAACGACCGCAACCAGCGCCACCTTATTTCACCCTTCACCCCGCTCAACACGCTAGACCGAAGCATAGGCGGGATAGTAAGCAAAGCCAAGCGAGCGACAAAGTCGGTCGCGAACTCGACCGGGTTTCATAATTTCGATAGTGGACGGAAACGAAAGCATGAGGAGATGAAGCCCCGGGGTGGGACAGCTGCGACGGCGGGAGCGGGGAGGCAGGTTAAGAAAGAGGGGCCGATTCAGCTTGATAGTGAAGATGAAGAAGCGTCGCCGCCGAAGAATAAGCAGTCGAGAGAGGCGGGGGAGGAGGAGGAGTATTCGGTGCCGGTGAGGATAGCGTACGAAGACAGGGTAGTCAACGCGCCAAAGACTCCGACTCCAAAGAAAGCAGCTGCGACGCCGCCGTCAAAGATTAACAAAAATTTCAGAGCGGTCGAGTTCGAGATCGAGAACCTGGTCTTTGGTCTTTCCGGAAAATACAGTAACGCGCCGGATCTCCGGTTCCAGCTGATGATCACGCCGAAACGGTCAGAGAGCGTAGTGCACATCTTACAAGCGCACAAGGAGATCCCAGACATGACCTTCCGCCACGACGAGATCGACCGGATAAATTACTGTCTGGACTCACTCGACATCGCAATCAAGCTGTGCGTGCGCAAGACGTCGACTCATTTCGAGACGAGCGCGGATACGGTGCTGTTCAAGATCAGGATCCCGGAGACGGCGACGTCGATGGCGAATTACGCGATTAAGAATATCGAGGATCTGTCGGAGGTGTTTAAGACTAAAGATCTCCGGCCGGATGAAATGGAGCGGTTCAGACGCACGCCGCGGCCGAGTCGGCGGCGGTCGTTGGTCGATGATCGGGAGGAGCAGAGTGAGCCGACAAAGTCGCCGTATTTTGCTGGAGATGGTGAGAAGACAGGGGAGCAAAAAAGTCCTGCTGAGACGAAGCAACTCAAGAAATATGGCTCGAGTACCCGAAAACTGATCGACGACGACCTGAGCAGTTTTGTTCCAAAAGGGTGGGAAAAACCCAGCACATCCTCGACACGGGTGACGAGACGGAGTAGCGGCGCGTTGAAGGCATCTACATGGGCCACCACCGATCTCGCAAACTACGATCTGTCGGAAGACACGGCCATGAGCACGCGCAGCCAACCTACGCGGAAGAAGCTGGTTATGGGCGAGCCGCCGCTAGACTACCGGTTCGGGAACAAGACGACTGTAGTCTCGCAGGACGATTTCAGCCGGCTTGACGACGGCGAGTTTTTGAACGACACGATTCTTGATTTTTATCTAAAGTACACTATCGCGGAGCTGCAGGTTCACAAGCCTGATGTCGCGAAGGCGACGTTTGTGTTTAACTCGTTCTTTTACAAGAAATTGACGGAGCGGGTGAATGGTGGCAAAAGCGGGTTCGAGAGCGTGAAGAAGTGGACTACGAAGGTTGATATTTTTAGCATGAAGTATGTGGTTATTCCGATCAACGAGAAAGCACATTGGTACGTCGCGATTCTGTGCAACCTGGATAAGCTTGTGGACGGCGCGAGTAAGAAGACAGAGGCGGAGGAGGCCGGGAGTGTGTCGGAGGATGTCAGATCGGATTCGGTGGAGGTTGACGTGGTTGATATCGACCTGCCGACGTCGAGATCTGGGATCAAGCGGTCTTTATCGTCGACGATCAAGAAAGCGAAGGTAGCGCCGAGTTCAGCTGACGAGTGAGTAGTACAGAGAGTATTATTATGTACAGCATCGATGCTAACTTTTTTGATTCAGTCCGACAATCTATGTCCTAGACTCGCTAGGTCTTCGACACAACACCATCTTCCGGCCGCTGCGGGACTACCTCGTCGCGGAAGCCAAGGACAAGAGAGGCCTGACGATCGACCGCGACGACATCAAGTCCAAACACGGGTTCGCACCCACCCAGCCCAACTACTGCGACTGCGGCGTGTACGTGGCGCACTACGTCGAGGCGTTTCTGTCAAAGCCGGACGCGTTTCTGCAGCTGTGGGTCGATAGCGTGAATCCGAAGAAGACGGTGGAGAGTCAGCTGCTCAAGTTGTTTGATGTTAATAAGTTGAATAATAAGAGGGAGTATATACAGCGGCTGATTCTTAGGTTGAGGAGGGAGGTCACGGGGGTGGGAACGTCGCCTTCGCCCGAGCCGACGGAGGCGGAGAAGAGTGCGGCGAAGGGTGAGGTGGAGGAAGTTAAGGAGATAGAGAGGTCAGGAGACGCAGAGGAGAGCAAGAGCGGTAAAGAAGACAGCAGGGAGATAGAGGAAATCACGCAAGACGATAAGGAGACAACGACAGACAAAGGGGATGAAGAGAGTACATCTGGCCCGGAAGTGTCAACTGATGCGGCTCATGACGTGGAGGCTCATGACGTGGACGAGGACAAGTTGACAACAGAGAGGCAGGATACGGAGACGGGTACGGAAACAAACGTTGAAGATACAGCTACAGAGGATGCGCCGAACAAAGACAGATCAGAGGACCACGAGGCGATGAGCATCGACAGCGAGACAGTAGCAGAAGAGGCCGATAAGATCATCGAGGCGGTTGAGAACGCGTCGAGGATGGAGGTCGATGTCGATGTCGATGCGGCGGCACCTCTAGAAGAGAGTCTTTTAGACTCGTCGACGACGGAGGATGGAGAGGGTCGATAGAGTGTTGGTTTGTTATGACTATGCGGTGGGGTGTGGGTGTTGGTAAGGACCGATCATGTGGGTTCTGAGTTGTCTTTGTCTGGTTGCGATCTTTTGTGTTTCCGTTTGGCTCGCTGCTGTGTAGATTAGAGGTCTTGCTGCTGCTTATATATTATATATTACATATTACATACAGAGTAAATACTGCAAACAGTCATAACTATATCTTAACTGATATAAAGATCTACTGATATAAAGAGCACCCAAGCCAGCTGGCGGCCAGATTTAGACTGACGAGGCGCCCCTTTAAGTTGTTTACTTCCGCCGGTGGAGGCCACACCCCTGTCGCGATCTTCCACAAGCGACTCACCGTAGACTTGAACACCCTCCTCCCTCCAGCTGTTCTTCTCTTCTACAAAATGATCTCGAGATCCCCCTCTCCCTGCTCTTTCCCGCAGCCGGATCTACCACATGTCTGACCTCCTCCTACCCCCAGACTCAATCCTCCCTCCTCCGCCCGACGAGATCCCAGACTCGATCCCGCTCGACGAGGTCCCGCTCGAATTCGCCGACCCGCGCTGGCCGCCCTCTAAAGACAACCCAGGCTACTACCTCACCCACTGCCCGAACCACTACGCCTCCCCCGGCACCCTACGCTTCGAGCGCACGCGCATCGTGCGCATCCACCGCGACTACGCCACCCCGCGCGAGCGCGACACGCCCACGTTCGTCGACGCGTACCCGGGCTTCCCGCTCTCGCTCTACATGCGCGAGGGCGAGTTTGCCGATCTGATTGCAGAAGTGAATTACATGCTCGACCTCGCGTTCTCGCCGCGCGCGTGGGGCAACGTCGTCGACGCGGTGCTCGGCGTCGCGAGTTGCTGGCTCAGCGAGGTGTTTTACAAGTCGTATCATAAGCGCAAGATCCTCGAGCTCGAAGGGTTTCTCGAGGAGCTGAATGCGGAAGTCTACGCGCCGCGCGGGATCAGGGTGATTTCGCTGCGCAGGTCGGCGTTCATGTCGCTTGATATCGAGGTACCCTATCCGTTCCCGTACCGGTACGTGTCAGAGATCAAGTCCGGCGCGGCGGAGAAATATCATGCAAGACGCGCGCGTCATGAAGAGGATGAAGCGGAGCGTGAAAAGGAGAGCGGCAACGAGCAACGTGCTGCTAATAGAGGCGCGTTGGTCCCGGCGATTATCGTGCATGCGGACACGAATGATCAGACAGAGGAGTTTCGCGGCCGACGGCGGGAACGGACTTGTGATCGCATTGGACGGGGGTCGAGAAGTGGATGATTGTGCAGTGAAATCAGGAATGACTGCGGAGTCGATGTTGAGTGTCGACGTTGTTCAGGATTAGTATGTAATAAAGCATGCTGCAATTAAGACTCATGACAAAAAGAAGTAGCATTATAAGCTTATGCAGAGCGGAATATGAAAATCTAGTTTGATGATTGTAAAGAACATATGCATGACATGATAATGCAACCCGAAAAATGAGAATGGAAGAGGATAAGAAAAATATTAGAAAGCAACAATACCCAAGATGAACACCTCATTATATGACCCCAAAACCAACAGAAAGAAAATGGCATGACGTGAGAGAATAGAGAGCGGCGTAAGATCACAGATTGCGACTAACTGACCTTGCTGGCATACGGATTCCGACCACGAATCGCGGCACCGTACTTTACAAACAAAAACGGAATCGGCAGTAACGCAACGCCGACAAAGCCCATCACGCTCGCGCCCCATCCCATTCCGATGTTCTTAAACATGACTTTACTAAAGATCGGGAACGCGGCGGCCATGCATGACCGCAAGAAAGTAGTCGCCGCGATGGCGGAGGCGCCGTAGCGCGGGAAGGCGTCGACGAGGTAGTTTATGCAGCCTTGGAAGACGGTGATGAAGCCCATTGCGAGAATCACGAGGCCGATCACGGGCGCGATCCACGGATACTCTGGTCCCGAGGTCCAGCCGAAGATGAAGAGCCCTGCCGGCATGAACACGGAGCCGAAGCGCATGGCGAACAGGCGCTGCTCGGGAAGTGGCTCGCCGCCGCGGCTGGCGAGGACCTTTGCGTAGTGCAGCGAGCCTACTATGTTTAGCAGGCCGCCGAAGCAGACGCCGAGGAAGATGCCGATGGCGGGCAGTGTGGAGACGACTTTTCCCCAGCCGCGGACGTCGGCGAAGGTGAGCGGGATGGCGATGACGCCGATGTAGAGGATGCCGAACACAAACGAGCCGTAGATTGACATGCAGGCGACGATAGGCGTGAGCAGCATCGCGAACGGACGCATAAAGTGCCGCGTGATCATCTCCTTGATTGTGAAATCCCACTCTTCAATCTCAGAGTGATAGGCCCAGTCGCCGGTGGACTTGCGCAGCTCGCGCGCTTTCCACGAGAGCAAGACCGGGGGGTACGTCTCCGGGATAGTCATGATTGCAAAGACAAACATCACGAGCGCGTAGATGCCCGAGAAATACTGACTCCACCGCCATCCGTCCTTGCCAATAGTCGAGAACCCCGCGCCGATAATCGCGCCGAGCGGGGGTCCACCCGTGACGACGAACGAGTACAGGACGAGCGCGACGGCGCGGATGTTTGGCGTCCAGATGTCGCCCAGCACGCCGCCGGTGTTTGCGATCGGCGCGCCGCCAAACAGGCCCTGGAAAAACCGCATGATGAGGATCGTGGCGAAATTGTTGGCGGCGCCGCAGCCGATGGAGAAGAGGCCTGAGAAGGCGAGCGGGATGATGACGCCTATTCTGCGGCCGTAGACTTCTGATATCGGGGCGAAAAGCATGGGACCGAAGCCGACGCTGTCAAGTCAAGTCAGAGTCAGAAGACTGCAAAGATAGTAAACGAGAGAAAGAACAAACCCGAGAAGAAAAGTCGAGACGCCGAGGGTCGCGACTAAGGGCGACACATTAAACTGCTGCGAAATATCCTCCGATACCTGCCCATAAATCGACGACGCGGCCTGCGGCCCAAAAGTGCAGAGCGCATATGCAAAGGTGGTGTAGACTTTTTTCCCAATCGACCAGTTGAGAGGTTTGAAGGGGTCGTCGGGGCCCTCGAACTGGACGAGATGGTGGTCGTCTTTCTCTTTCGAGGGGGGGAGTTCGGTGACTGTGGTGGTCGGGGCTTTGGCGGAGGAGATTATGGGGTCGATGTAGGAAGGAATGCTGGAGACGGAGGGAGAGGGCGAGGGGGAGGAGTTGTGCTGGTTGGAGAGGCCGATGGCGCTCTCTTCGTCGTCTTCTTCAGAGTTGAGCTTGTGCATTTCGCAGAGTATGCAGCACTGCTATAGATGGCAGCACTTATAGATGGAAGAGACAAAGGGAGAAGAAGAGCGGCATGCAGAATAACACTCAGAGCAAAGCCACGTCGAGACCAGGTTCAAGTTATTTCATTCCGAATCAAACAGCGGAGCAGCCATCGAGTTTTCGTTCTTTTCAGTGCCGGGATTCCTGCTCCAAGGTTTCGGTGAGGGATCCGAAGCTCGAGCCGTGAGTCAGCGAGCAAGTGTCGATTTGAGACGGGACAACTGATAGCGGAGCAGATAAGTGCTGCTCTTATCGCAGCCGTGTCTGGCTGCATGGCGTTCTGGTAGCTGCCCCCATTCTACAGCACCCACTTTGCTCCTTCCTACAGCACTGCATCATCATCAACACAGCAGCTTCAACTGCTCTCACGAACTCGACTCTGCTCTGCGCTGCTCTGCCCTCGCTTTTACCCGTCCTCGGACCCCCAGAAAAGGTTTCAGTTTAAAGGTCATAACTCTAAAGCTTAATCCGCAATAATTAAGCTTATGTAACTAAGCTCTAAGCACATCACGTGACTAAATACTCTGTCGGGTGCGGTAGCCGCTCAGTCGGCGGAAAACCCGATGCGGGCGGGTGACTAATCGCTTACCGCTTTTCCGAGGACCCTCCTTCGCGGTACCTGCTCCGCTGAAGGAAAAGAGAAAAACTCGACGGATTTACTGCCTTTCTCCGCGTGGGACTTTTCTTTCTCCTCCTCCTCCTCCTCCTCCTCCTCTCCTCCTCTCCTCCTCTTTTTCTCCTCATCCAAAATGCCCTCCCCCCCTCCGTCTGAAAAGTCCTCGCCGCTCTCGCCCTCGCCGGACGACGACGCGCTCATCTCCTCTCCCAACGACCCCGCCAGCGCAACCACCGCTGCCACAACCAGCAGCATGCTAAACGAGAAAGCCGTCAAGGACCCAGAAGAGCCCGACTCCGAGAGCCATACCGACTCCGTCATCGACCCGGACGAGTTCCTCGTCCAGTTCGAAGGCCCTGACGACCCCTTCTGCCCGCTCAACTGGACCTTTCGCAAGAAAGCGTTTACGACGATGATGTACGCGTGCTGCACCTTTGGCCCGCAGTTCTCGTCGTCGATCTACGGCCCCTGTGTCGACGACATTGCTTCTCTCTACGGCGTCTCGCACGAGGTCTCTACCCTTGGTGTCTCGCTCTTCATTCTGGGGTATGTTTTAAAGTTTCCATATTCATTCTGATTTCTGTCCGGCCTAACAGTCTTTGTTCTCTGATTCAGCGTCGGATTCGGCCCTATGCTCTTCGCCCCCATCTCTGAGGCTTTCGGCCGCAAGATCGGCTGCGTCATTCCCTTCTTCATCTCTGGCATCTTCGCCATCGGCTGCGGTGCCGCAAACAACCTGCAAACCGTGCTCATCATGCGCTTCTTCCAGGGTCTCATGGGCGGCGCCCCTGTTTCCAACTCTGGCGGCGTGCTCGGTGATATCTGGCGCCCGGATGCGCGCGCGACCGCGTTAGTGTGCTATGCGTTTGTCGTCGCGAGCGGGCCTACTGTCGCGCCCATCGTTGGTGCGGCGATGTCGGTCAGATTGGACGATGGCTGGAGATGGACAGAGTACCTGTCTGCCATCTACACGTTTGTCATTTCGTTCCTGATTGCAATGTTTGTACCTGAAACCTACCACCCTGTTCTACTCTCGCGCAAGGCCAAGCAGCTACGGTTGAGCACGCAAAACTGGGCATACCACGCCCACCACGACGAGTGGGATCTGACGTTCCAGCTTGTGGTCACGAAGCACCTCAAGCGGCCTTTCCAGATGCTCTTCACTCCGATCGTCACCTGCATGTGTCTCTATGGCTCGTTTGCCTTTGGCCTGCTTTATCTCGGCGTGGTCGCTATCCCCGTGGAGTTCCGCACTATTCGCGGATGGAGTAAACTGCCGTCGAATCTACCCTCGCTGGGTATGTTTGTCGGTATCTACATCGGTGGTGTGCTAAACATACTGGGCGGGATCAGATATAAGCGCGCGATGAAGGCAAACGGCGGAAAACCAGTGCCAGAGGAGCGGCTGATCGTCATGCGTCTCGGCTGCTTTCTGATTCCAATCGGCTTATTCATCTTTGGCTGGACATCGGATCCAAAGTACCCGTTCATCGCGCCCATTATCGGCGTCGCGATCATGGCCTGTGGATTCTTCACCTGCTTCCAAGGCTGTCTCAACTACCTCGTCGACGCATTCACCGTCTACGCAGCCTCTGCCATCGCTGCCGCCACCTTCTCGCGATCGTGCATGGCAGCCGCATTCCCTTTGTTTGGAAAAGCGCTGTTTACGAATCTGGGCGTGAACTGGGGCGCCAGTCTTGTTGGATTTATCGGGATCGCTGGAATCCCGATCCCGTTCGTGCTGTATAAGTACGGACCGACGATTAGAAAGAGGAATCCGTATAGTATAGACGGCACGAAGTATTGAAGCTGCATTCTGCATTTTCGTCGCTCTTTTTTTCTCCTTTTTGCTTGATTACAATCTGTTTTTAGAGCATTGCATACTCGAGAGAGAACATTGCATGAGTTTACGGACTGGCGTTTGTTGAGGTTTTATTTTTCTTCGTTGAGGTGGCAAGTTATGTACCGTCAGCATAATCCGTAATTTTTAATTCTACTCTTTCCATCTCTTTCCTTTCTGTAGTCATATCCGACGTAGATAGACAAAGATAGAATGACATTACACGCATCCGAACAATGCTAACAAAGAAAGTTAGTCATATTCCGTTCTGTGTCCAAAGCACAAACGCGTGAAGCGAAGCGAGCTGTCGGAAGTGTGGCGGTTTGGGAGGGATGGCGGGTAAGGTTTACCGGATCTACAGCACCACAGAATAAATAGATGAGTGAGCGACTTTATTCACGGTTTTTGTATCTGTGTTTTTATAATAGTTTGTAGTTTACTGACACTGATCAACCCAACACCAGCATTAAACATAACCAGAGAATTCTTCACTTCCTCATAAGAAGCAACTTCAGAAGCAACTGAGAAGACACAATACAGTTCACACTAGTCCCAATCCTGACATCCGGTGGAATCAGCCCGGTCCGTTCCGGCAAAGTTGACAGGCACGCGCCTCGCCACAGAGCCGCACGCGGTCCTGCCGATGGGCGGATCATTTCCGTCGGATGAAGAGAATTCGAGTGATTTGTTTGCTATCCGATGGCTGGATTTGTATAAATATATAGCAGGCCGCTGCTGAGGAGTTTTGCAATGATAAAACACAGTACAGAAGCAGGATTAGTTGAATAATAACACCGAGATGATTCTCCAAGACTTTGATCTCGAGAAACTCGAAAAGTTGCATACTGCTCCTAACCTGCACAGTTCCCCCTTCGACTTTGCCACGCTCGACAACTCCCCTGCCTCCTCCGCCCCGATCTCGCGCTCAGTCTCCTACGCCGACATCGACCACCTGCGCATCCTCCCCACCACAAACACCTCAAAAATCAGCCCGTTCTCGCTGCGCTATGGACACTACAACTACTTCACGGCCGACGACAGCCACGAGGAGATCGCGGACTTTACGCCGCAGCCAACCCACGTCGATCTCGAGAAATTCGTCGTCGGCTTCGACGGGCCTGATGATCCTTACTCGCCGCTGAATTGGCCGCTGCGGAAAAAGATATACACGACGCTCGTGTATTCGCTCTGCACTTTTGGGCCGCAAATGTCCTCGTCGATCTACGGATCCGTGGCTTCGAATATCTCGACGCAGTTCGATGAACCGACCTTGATCTCGCTTTTGGGCGTCACCGTCTTCATGATCGGGTATGTTCTCTCATAACTCTCTTCCTAACATCACGATCCTAACAGTCTTTAGAATCGGCCTAGGCCCCATGCTCTTCGCCCCCGTCTCCGAGCTCTACGGCCGCAAGCGCGGCGTCATCGTCCCCCTCTTCTTCTCCGGCATCTTCGCCCTCGGCTGCGGCTTCTCGCAAAACTTCGCCACAATCCTCATCTGCCGCTTCTTCCAGGGTCTCTTTGGCGGCGCCCCCGTGGCCAACACCGGCGGCGTGCTCGGGGATATCTGGAAGCCTAGCATGCGCGGCATCGCGCTCGTGGGATATTCATTTGTCGTCACGGGAGGACCGGCTGCCGCGCCGCTGATCGGGGCCGCGCTGGGCACGTTAGGAGTTGAGAAGGGCTGGCGCTGGACGCAGTGGTTTTCAGCGATATACTTGCTGAGCGTGTTTGCGCTCGCGCAGATCACGGTCTGCGAGACATATCACCCGCTGCTGCTGACCAAGAAAGCGCAGCGCATGCGGCAGGAAACAGGCGAGTCGCGGTATCATTCGCGGCTGGAGGAGATCGAAGTGACGCTCTACAAGATCGTGACGAAGCACCTCTTGCGTCCGTTCACGATGCTCTTCACGCCCATCGTCTTCCTGCTCTCGTTCTACGGCTCCTTCGTCTACGGCGTGCTCTACCTCGCCATCGTCGCCGTGCCAATCGCGTTCAAAGACGTGCGCCAGTGGTCGACTGTCATCTCCACCCTTCCCACCCTCGCCATCGTCTTTGGCGTCTCCTGCGGCGGCGTGGGCAACGTCGCAGCTGCGCTGCACTACAGCAAAGTCCTCAAACGCACCGCCGGCGAACCCGTGCCCGAAGAACGCCTTGTGGCCATGAAATTCGGCTCGGTACTCATGCCAATCGGCCTCTTCATCTTCGGCTGGACAGCTGACCCTTCCTACCCCTGGATCGCGCCCGTCATCGGCCTCGTCCTCGTCGCTGCGGGCTTCACCACAATCTTCCAAGGCTGCCTAAACTACCTCATCGACGCCTTCCCGCGCTACTCCGCCTCCGTCGTCGCGGCAACTACTTTCTCGCGTTCGCTCACGGCCGCGGGGTTTCCGATCTTGGGACACGTCATGTTCTCTGGGTTAGGAGTGAACTGGGGCGCGACGATCGTGGGCTGTGTCGCCGTGCTGCTGGTGCCGATTCCGTTTGTGTTTTATTGTTTGGGCAAGAGGATCCGTGGGAAGACACCGGTTGATCTTCAGCTGTGATCTTCTTTTTGCTTAATTGTGTTTTGGTGTTTGGTGCATATTTTGGGATTTCATTCATGGTTATTGCATTTTCGGACTACTTCACACATCATGACTTTTAATAAACATCTCTATTTTTGCATACCTCCATCATCTCATCTCATCTCTATCATAAACAAAACTAGCTCAATGTAGTAAAAACTCACAAACGCCTTACATATACTCTAAAACAACAACATTCTAAAGCAGCAACAAAATACCAGAAATGCAAGCAACTCCAACCACGACCCTCACGTCCAAACCCCTCCCGCTCGCGGCCCCAAACTTATCGACATACCCCAAAAAGTTACACGTCGCGTTCTCGAGCATGAAAATATCGCCGTTGCTCACGTTCGCGTTCACCCGGCCGTAGACGTCGTACAGGCCCTTGTCCGGCGACGGGCACTGGAAGGTCAGGCCGACGGGGCAGTTTTGCATTACCTTGTGGCAGGTGTAGCTGCAGGGCTGGAGCTCGATGTAGGACTCTGGTTTGAGCTCGTTGTTGATCATGTCGTTCCTGCTCTCGCCTGCGCTGCGCAGCGCGGTGCCGTTGACGGGCACATGCTCCCATCCGCCCTCGTAGCTGCCTGTCGTCGACACCGGGAGCGCGTACACGCCCGTGTCGTCAAAACACCGCGGGATAAGCGTCAAGCAAAGCCACCGGCGGTAAGCTTCGAGACACTGATCGCACGTGCGCATGAGGCTGTAGCGGTCCTCGTCCGAGACGTCGCAGGGCGTGAGCTGCATCGACTTGTTGAAGCCGTCGTAGAGCGACTTTGCGGTGTCATCGTACCAGTTCTTGAGCGCGTTCATCGACATCGAGCTGTTGGACGGAGCAGAGTACGCGACTTCGACGCAGAAGTCGAGGTTGTAGATGATTTGGCAGGTGCTATCTGTACGTCATCTATGTTAGCCACTGCTTCAGCATCGAGCAAATTATTAAAAAGTGACGACTACTAACTCTTCTTTGTGGTGAACGAGATCGAAGGATAAATCACTCCGATCCCAGACACGCTCTCGTCAGGCTGCGCAAGGTAGGCGGTGTACGTGGTCGCCGCCGCGAGTCCCTTGAGATGCATAGTCTCGCGCGTGTAATCGTCCCAGAGCACGTTCGTCGTATTCACATCCGCGTCCTCGTCCGAGAACGTGTACCCCCCGTCCCTGACCGCGCAGTACGACCGATTGAGGCCGGTCAAACTCGTCGTGTCGTTCGGGTACACGTACAGTCTGTACGGGCGGATGTCGTCGTCAGCCGCGGTCCCGTTGTCGGGTGTCTTGGCGGTGAGGAACAGCGCGGAGTCGTAGTCGGTGTCGAGAAGGAAGACCGATGAGGTGTTTGAGTACCCTGCCGTCACGTTCGACGCGGTGGTCGCAAGCAGCTGGATCGTCCATGTGCCGCTCCATTTCGAGCTGTCGTACTCCGGCGTCGTGATGTTGATAAATATGTTGTCGTACCCGTCGTCCCAGGTCGCGGCCGCAAAGCCGTAGTCTACAGTCTCGTTATAGTCAATCGAAGACTCGGTGCTGAAGCTCATTGTCGATTTCGTCGACGACGTGGCCTGCAGCCTCAGCGTCAGATCAGAAAGATACTCCTCCTCCGTCGTCTCGTCCGTGTCATTCACCAAACTCGGCTGCGAACACACAGACACATAGACCGCAAAGAAATCCGCATCATCATCATCATCATCATCATCCGACGGCTTATACCGCCACAAACTACTCGTCCCGCTGCTCAAGTCGTAATTCAGCGTCGTGTTCAGCGTCAGCGCAGTATACTCCACCGCCCGCGCCTCCAATCGTTCGGCAAAGTACCCGGCCTGCTGTATCTGCATCCCGCCCAGCTCGTCCTCAAGAGCATACTCATACCCCTTCTGCTTGCCGCCGTCCCAGACTGCGTCTGCGTTTACCTCCGCGTCCGCAGCGCCAGCTGCGCCTCGTATTATTGTCGTCGTCAGCAGCAGCGCTGTCGCGAGCGCGGTGCGCCAGATTCTCGTCCGAGGCGCTGGCTTGCGCCGGCTTCGTGTCCACATTGTCGAGAGAAAGACGAGTGCGGCGAGTGCTGTCGGTGGTCAGAGAGAAGTTCTAGGGGGAAGGTTGTTGAAGGAGGTTTTGGCGGTGGTCGAAGGTGTGGAAAAGTAGAGCCGCATCGACGGCGGCAGATGTCTTCAGATGTTTACAGATCTTGGTTCAAATCATGTCTATTGCTATTTCTCACTGTTTTAATCCCTACTTCTACTGTTTTCTATATACATCTCAAGCAGAGGAAATCTCATACATCTCAAGCAGAGCCAATCTCCCGCTTCTCCACCACGTCCCTAAAAATCTGCTTACACGGCACCTTCGCCTTCAACTTTGCGCACAGCAAGAACGCGCCACTCAGCTTGCGATGCAGACTATACGTCTCCTCCGGCGGCGGCGTCAGGCGCTCTCTGATCATCAGCGGGATCTGCGACCGCACCCGGTCCGTCACCGTCTGGTTCGCAAAGTCGTAGACCGCGTCCGCGGGCGCCGTCACGTTGGTCTGGTCGAACGGCTCCGCGAGCGTGAGGATGCTGTCGATGTGCGCGTGCAGCATCATCGGCGACTCGAGACCGGTCAGGTAGCCGAGCTTGAGACTGTACTCCTCGCATCCCTTGACGTCTCCGCGCACGGCGGCTTTCAGCACGCCGACGTACTTGTCGATGAACTCGGGGCTGTACTCGCGCGACGCGCCAAAGTCCAGCAACTCGATCTTGCCGGTCTTTTCGTTGTACAAAAAGTTAGTCCAGTTCGGATCGGTCTGCATGTAGTTGAACTCTGCAATCTCGCGGAGCGTCAGGCGCATGATTTGCGTCGCGATCCAGTCCTTCTTGTCCTGCGGCAGATCCTCAATCTTCGCAACCCCCACGCCGTCCATGAACTCCATCGTCAACACATGCGGCCCGCTGGCTTCGTCAATCACGCGCGGTACAACAAACACCGGATCATCCTTCAAAATCTTCCCAAACTTCTTCAAATTCTCCGCTTCCCGCACATAATCACATTCCCACCCCAGCTCCGTCCGCGCGTTCTCGATCGACTTGTCGAGATAAAGTCCTTTAGGCAAGATACTCGACGCGGTAAGCAACATCGCGATGTTTTTCAAATCAGACGAAATCGACCGCGCGACGCCGGGATACTGCACTTTCACCGCCACGCGCTCGCCCGTGCTCGCCAGCGTGGCCGCGTGTACTTGGCCGATCGAGGCCGCGGCGATCGGAACGTCGTCAAAGGAGGAAAAAAGAGATTTCCAGTTCGCGCCTAGGTCTTGCGCCATCACGCGCTCCATCTGGCGGCGCGGCATGTAGTCCGCGCTGTCCTGCACCCGCGTGAGAACTTGCTGAATCTCCGGCGGCAGAAACGACGAGTCTAAAAACACACTTTCCGTCAGTAAATCAATTGAGATAGATCAACCCATAAGGAAAAACCCACCCTGAAAACTAATCATTTGTCCCAACTTCAACGCCGCGCCCCGCATCTGCGACAACTTGCGCACCAGAATCTCGAGATTGGCAGGCGTCATGAGCACCGATCCCTGCACCTTCGTGCCCTTCGCGGACTCGTCATTATACCGCCGCGCAGTCTCCTTGATCGCGCCCGCGCCAATCTCGGCGACTAGGCTGCCGTAGTGGAAAATGCGCGCGAGCCGCGAGGAAGGCACGGGGGACTCGCTCATGCCGCGGATCTTGGGGCGGTCGGTCACGAGCTCGGCTGGTGACGAGCGCGTGCGTTTTGAGTCGGGGGAGGTGGTGGTGGTGGTGGTGGGTTTGGCGGCAGAGGAAGAGGAGGAGTCAGATCCGGTTGCGTAGGTCCGGCGCTGGGGAAGCGGGTGCAGCCGACGCAGAGGTCTCGTCGCGATAGTACTATACGCCCTCGTCCCCGGCGGCACAACCCCCGTCCCCGACGCTTTACTTCCACCTTCAGCAGCAGCCCGCTCACTGTAACCGCTCGACGCCGACGCCGGCCGCGCCTTGTTTCGAAACCGCACAGTCAGCGACGACGTCTGCCAAATTCGATTCGCGTGCGCAGAGTACAACTCCCGCGAGCGCTGCCCTACTTGACACACCGCGCTCGTCAGGCGGATCAGATCCGCAATCGTCATTCTGTGTGTGTCTGTGTGTGTGTTGTTCTGGGTTGATTGAGCTCAGTAGAGGGTCTGCCTGCGAACTGCTTCCGTGCTCGAGATCGGTTCTCGAGATGCTTCGGCGGGAAAGTGATAGTCACGTGATTTGCTCTTACTGTATGCTACAACTACATCTATGAAATAATCGATACTAATCTGTATAATTGCTTCTATATACAAGTCCTTATATACACATATCAAACCATAAAACTCCAAGACATCCCATACAATAATCAAACCAAAACATTCGCAGGCCCGACAACGATCTCCTCCCCGGTCGTCTGCAACCCCTCCTCCTGCGCCGCCTCCCATCCGATCTTCTTCGCAATCAGCGCGACGCGCTCATCCATCTCGCTCCACGCCAGCGCTTCCCTAAGCGTCGAAATTCGCCGCAGAAGCACCCCCGAGTCGCTAACAAACTCAAGCAGCACCCGCGCCGCGTCAACCACCGCCGGCACCTTCTCGTCCAGCTCGGACTCATGCCAGTTCAGCACGTCGAGCGCACGCCTGACAAACTCGGTATCAGGATTTACCGTCTTGACTTTCACAATCTCGACGATCATACGCACGTGTGCGGTTTCTCTAGAAGTCAGCCCCCGGCCGCGGTGTAGGGCCGAGACGAAGCGGATGCTCGCGTACTTGAAAGGCACAATGTACTGTGCAGGCTCGATGCCAGCGTCCGCAGCCACGTTTGCGCCGTTGACGAAGAACGACTCTGAGATCTCTGCCGTGCGCGGCCGCTGCGCTGTTACGCCAGTAACCCACATCTGCACGACCGCGTTTGCGATCGTAAACCGCTCGGGCGCGCTGAACTTGTCAAAGCCCGAGGCCCAGCCGTACACGATCTGGCCGAGCACATCAAACTCAGTCTCGGTCATCCCGGCCAAGAACCACAGCGTTCGCACGGCGTCATTCGACAGCTCGCCCTCTTTTATCAGCGGAACCCAGATGGTTTCAAACATGCTTGAAAAGAGCGCTTTGAGATACTGCCGCGTATCCTCCGTCATCGGCTCGTCGTCTTCGCTGCCTCGCGCGCCGAAAAACTGACTGACAGTCAACCGCCTCAGCCAAACCTCTTTCTCAAACACTTCCAAGTCCTCATCTGGCCACGCGCTGAACTTTGAGTTTCCCTGCGCGATCGCAAGCATCTCGTCAAACCCCTCGGCACTCTTCACTTTACTCCGCCATAGAATCTGCGTCGCAAGCTGCGTCGTCAATCTCCCGCCTCTCAACGTCTGCTGGAAAAACTCAAGCACCTCAGCCTCAGTCGCGCACTCATTAAGCAACTTCCTCAGATCCGCCGTCGTCATAGACTCAAGCTCCACCGGCTGCTGCCGCGCTTTATCCTCAGGCACAGTTTTCCGCGGCCCAATCCCTTTCAGCCCGGCCAGCACCGCGCTGTAGTGCGCATGCACCGGCGACTTATGTTCCGCCGCCTTTGCCTTCGCCGCGCTCACCGAGGGCTCTGAAGATGGTGACGCGTGCGAGAGATGCTTGTTGAACGAGTTGGTCAGCTTCTCGGCCCGCATCTGCGCAGACTTATTGTGCGCTTCTACCGAGTCCGAGAACCGCACCGGATCAATCGAGGCTGAGAACTCGGCGAGTTTGTCCGCAGACTGCTGCGCTAGCCTGGATGCCGATTGCTTAGAAGCTGCGAGCATCTCGTGCCCGCGACCGCGTCTCTCGTCGACGGCTTTTGACTTGCGGTTTTTCATTCCAGCTGAGAAAGGAGGAGAAGTAACTGGTGGAAAATAAACAGGACGAAGAGTCTCTTCATGATTCGAGACCAACGTAAACAGCGAATCCAGCGCACCACCCAGTCCAGTTCCCGCCGCCTTTCGTTCTTCATCTTCACCAATATCGTGATTCTTCACCGCATCTTCGGCAGCATCTCTCGCGCTCCACCGCCGCTGCAAACACACCGTTTTGCTCAGTAAACTCACATACCGCTCGTCGACGCGACAGATCAGTCTTGATCGCCTCAGCATCGCGTCAGGTCTCGAGATGGCGGTGCTCTGCTGTGTCTTCTTTGTCTGGTGATCCTTCGTCGAGGTGAGCTTTAGTAGAAGTTCCCACCACGTGACTTATTCTGCCGAACCCTAAAGTAGTTGCTAATGTCTACAACGCCATAGGCAGACTACTTCTACTTCTACAAAAGCAGTAAATAACTAATGAAACGAAATTGTTATGTTCATTCAGACACCGGTTCTCATCTCCACATTATTCAGCACTAAACAATTGTAATCATACAAAAGCGCAGCACAAATAACCACTTTTACTTGCAACATCATCAACGAAAGACCTCCTCATTCCAAAATAGCAAAAGAAAGAAAAAAATTAAGCAAAAATCAAAACAAAATGATCGTTCAACACTTAGGCGGAAACGCTGACAGCGGCGACTTTCTCAGACTCCTCGAGCAGAATGCTGGAGTTGGGTGCCTCAATCTCAGAGGGAGACGAGGCAAGGCCAAGCTGCGCATCAGTCCAGATAGGCTGGACCGGCTTAGCGTCCTTGACACCAACACCAGCAAGGCCACCGACGGCCTCCCAGTCAGCGACGCGCTTGCAGTTGAGCTCCTTCCAGACAGTCTCGAGAGCGCTGACAAGGTTCTCAGCAAGCTCGGGGCCGTGGCCGGGAGTAGGAGTCACGCGAAGACGCTCCTCACCAACAGGGACGGTCGGGTAGTTGATGGCCTGGACGTAGATGTCGAAACGCTCGAGAAGCATGTCAGAGGCAATCTTGGCAGTCTCAGCATCACCGACAAGGATGGGGACGATATGCGAAGGGTTGGGAACAACGGGGATGCCGAGCTCGGCGAGTCTCGACTTGACGTAGCGGGTGTTGGTCTGCTGAGCAACACGGTCGGTGAGGGTCTTCTTCTGGTACTCGATGGCAGTGCGAGCACCGGCCATGATGGCAGGAGGGAGAGAGGTAGTGAAGATGAAGCCAGGGGCGAGCGAGCGGATCATGTCAACAAAGTAGGCAGAGCCGGCGATGTAGCCACCGACGGCGCCGTAGGCCTTTCCAAGGGTTCCGGTGATGATATCAACACGGGACATGACAGTCTCGTCGGGACGGCCCTGGGCGTGGGCATCAAAGTCGAGGTGCTCGGCGACACCGGCACCGTTGGGGCCGTACATGCCAACCGCGTGGACCTCGTCGAGGAAGGTGATGGCACCGTACTTTTCAGCAAGGTCGCAGATCTCCTTGATAGGAGCGACCGAGCCACACATGGAGTAGACAGACTCGAAAGCGATAATCTTGGGAACGTCAAGAGGAAGGCTCTTGAGCTTGTTTTCAAGATCCTCAAGGTTGTTGTGCTTGAAGACGATTTTGCGGGCGTTGGAGTGACGGATACCCTGGATCATGGAAGCGTGGTTGAGCTGGTCGGAGAGAATAACACAGTTTGGCAATTTCGAGCCGAGGGTGGAAAGGGTGGCGTCGTTGGCGACGTAGCATGAGGAAAAGACGAGGGCGGCCTCTTTTGAGTGGAGGTCGGCGAGGGAGGCTTCGAGCTCGAGCGCGGACTTGTTGTGGCCGGCGATGTTGCGGGTGCCACCGGCGCCGGCACCGTACTTGTCGAGGGTGTCGTGCATGGTCTTGAGGACATGCTTGTTTTTCGACATGCCGAGATAGTCGTTTGAGCACCAGACGGTGACGCGGTCGGTCTCGGAGTGGGTGTGGGCCTTGGGGAACTCGCGGGCGAGACGGTTGATGTTGTTGAAGTAGCGGTAGGACTTGTCGTTGTGCTTCTTAGTCAGCTCTGCGTGGTAGAACTGTTCGTAGTTGAACTTGTCCGATTTCTCGCAGGCCTCGGAGACGACGGGTTCGGGGGAGGTAGCCTGGGCGGCGACCTTCATGGCGGCGAGGCCGTGCTCGCAGATGCCTGGGTGAGTGTTAGAGGGTTGCGGTCGGCAATAAGACAAGAAGGCAAGTCCGAAGATGGAAGAGGAAGAGTGAGGAAGATGATAAGTACCCTTTGAGGTGTCAAAGACGCCAACTTTAGCATGAACAGACTCGAGAGAGGTCTCGTTGGCCTTAGTCGGGGCAGACTCGTGGAAGGCACGGGGAGGGGTGGAGGAGGAGTACTGGCGGGCGGCCATGGCGGGACCCATGACGGGGCATTCCTTTGCAGCGCTCTTGAGGCCGGAAGAGGCGGAGAGGGCCTTGAGGGTGGCGGGGGAGGTCTTGCCGAGGAAGGGGCAGAAGACGCGGGAGTTGCGAGCGAGGATCTCCATGATGAAGAGATATAGGATGGTGATGAAGAGGAAGAGAAGGAGGAGGAGGAGGAGGTGGTGGTGAAGAGAAGGCGAAGAGGAGAAGAAGCAGTTTTAAGTCGCCTCGGACGAAAGCTCGGCGCAGCAGCCAATGAACCGCTGCGGGAGTCAGCAACTGTGGCGGTGCACCGGCCCAATCAGGAAGTCTCTAATTGGCCCTCGCCTGTGGCGCGTGTGCGGGGTCTGGACTCTTGCTGGGTGTGCACCGGACTGGGGCTGGATCGGGAAGGTGCTAGGCTGCATCGGGGCAGAGGGTCCGCTGTGCGGTGGCGGATTAGGACTAACCACGGGCGAACTGGTCGTTGTTTCTTGTTGTTTATTGCAGTTGAGTGTTGTAAGTAGTGATTGATTCTTTATTGTATATTTGAAGATAACGATGGTGATTGTGATTGTATTGTATTGTATTGTGTTGTGTTTATGTATTGTATGTGATGTAGTGTTGTTGTTGTTGTTCTTATTGCTATCCTCACTGAACTACAACTACAAACACCTGCTGTTCGTCCATCCTCATCTACTCTTCTGTTCTCTATCTACTCTTCTACTCCTCTATCGCATCTACATATCCCTATCTCTATCCCTATCTCCATCTCTATCACCACCCTATCTCTGTGGCAAACATGACCTGACACCGCTGCACCTCTGCTCTGGCCACCGGGCCTCTCCCGAACCCGAACCACTATCTGGCCGCTATCTAAGCCCGCTCCACCTGTCAACTGTGCTGCCTTCCTGTTGCATGCCTGCTGATTTGTTCTATAACTACAATACTGCTTACTTCAATACTTGTTCAATTGATGTTGTAAAGAGTAGAGAGTGTGTTTATTGTATAATAAATAGTACAGACTTCTTCACTCAATATCTCCATTCAAGCTTTCAACACCGCGATCAGATCATCTCTCAAAAACCCTCTTCACCGTTCTAATCCTCCTTATCTCCTTCTCAACCTACATTCTCTGCCATTCTGTTTATAAGCCCGCAAGCCACCTGCGGTCTAAGACTCCTCATTGTCTCGCTTACTTAATGAATTCATAACAATACCCTCACTCATCTCATCTAAAAATGCCCAAACACCGCCTGAGGTCGATATGCCTCCTCCAAATACCTCTGCTCCTCATCCGTAAGCTCCTTGTCCGCGATCTCCACCGCCTCCTGTAGTCTCTTCACGCTATTAATCCCCACCACCGGCGCAACCGTCTTCATCTTCACCCACACCAGCGCCGTCACCGCCATACTCCACCCTCTCTTCCTCGCAACCTCCTCCACCCTCCTCACAATCTCCTTCCCGCTCTCGTCCGGCTCGTACTGCTTAAACACCCCCGTCCCCTGCGCGCGCGCACTCTCCCCCGCCTTCGCCTCCGTCGCCGCCAGCGGCCGCGCAAGCACCCCCTGGTGCAGCGGACTCCACGGCATCAGCCCGACCCCGCTCGCGCGGCAGTACGGAATCATCTCGCGCTCTTCCTCCCTGTACACGAGATTGTAGATATTCTGCATCGACACAAACTTCGTCCACCCGCGCAGATCCGCAATGTTCTGCAACCGCATAAACTCATACGTCCACATGCTGCTCGCGCCGATATACCGCACCTTTCCACTCCGCACGAGATCGTTCAGCGCCTCCATCACTTCCTCCGCGTCCACGGCCTTGTCGATCCGGTGGATCTGAAGCAGATCAATGTACCCCGTTCCCAACCTCTCTAAACACGCATCCACCTGCTTGAAGATCGCGCCGCGCGAGAGCCCAAACTGGTTCACAAACTTGGGATCTTGTCTCAGATCGACGAGAAAGGCCTCGCCGAGCTTTTTCTGCTTCGGAACTGGGTAGTAGATCTTTGTCATGATTGTCAGTTCTTCGCGCGGGATGTTGTATCGCTCGATGGCTTCTCTGATCAGGATCTCGGATTCGCCGTTCGAATACGCGTTCGCCGTGTCCCACTACACAACATCAGTCATCGTCCAGTACTTGAATCAAAAGCAAGACATACAGTCGTAACCCCCAGATCATACGCCTTCTTCAAAATAGGCAGCGCATCCTCCTTATCCAGCACCCAAGGCTCCCACTCGGATGCTTTATATATATGTCAGCACACATCAATTGAAATACTTCAGCCGACACACTCACATCCCATAGACATCATTCCCAAAATCGGCACCGACACGCGCAGCCCGCTCTTCCCCATCCTAATCAGATCAGCTTTTCTCCTCTACTCAATGCTTTTCATACATCAACTAAATACTCACTTTCGGTATTCAACTTTCGCCATTGTCTATGAATCGATTTGCGCGGGGTTCTAGAACTGTTCTCAATCTGTTCTGTCTCATCTCGGTTATCCATTAACCGAGCCATGCGCCGGGTAATTTATACACATCCACTATTCACAGCATATATACAAAACATATCCTCACCGACCCTTCAAAGCCTTTGTAACATACACCGGCTTCAGCTCCGGACTCTGCAGCGTGAGATGCATGTCCGACGCCAGCATGCTCTGCACCGTCAACACCTCCTGCCACTTCCGCGCCCACCTGCTATCCTCATCAAACCGCTTCCCGACCCGCACCGTCGCCAGGATCCCATACACATTCCCCGCCATCGCGCTCTTCATCCCGTAGTGCTCCATCGCGCGCGGGTTATACTCCCACTCGGCCACGATCGACAGGTAATTCGCCGCCGCGACCTCGAGCGGCGCCAGCTTCTCGCCCGACACCGCCCGCAGCTCGAGCCCGGCCTCGTAGTGCCGCCGCGCGAGTCTCACGTCTTTGGTCCGCTCCCCGAGCTGCCCGAGCATCAGATGGCTCTGCACCATGCAGCTGAAATCAGCCTCGCGGTCGTAGTCGTAGAACTTTGCGTCGTCGGCCTCAGACGCGTCGACATGCGCCTCTGCCGCGCGGATCCCGCTCTCGTACTCGGCCCGCGCGCGGTCGTATTGCTCGCTGCTCATAAACAGATTCCCACAAACAAAATACGCCAGCGGCAAGTTCGTCTCCCGTAACTTCACCAACACCTCCCGCGCGCGCGCCCGCGTCTCCGCATCCCGACTCATCACCTCGCCCAAACACTTCCGCCCCAGCGCATACTGATTCCCCAACACCACCCCGGTCGCCGTAATCTTCTGAATCAGCGCAGACGTCGCCATCATCCCCGCCACCGACGCGCTCTTAATCTTCTCCGCCGACGTCTCCTCCTGCATCCCCCGCTCCAGCACTCGCAGATACGCAACCAACCTCCGCCCGTCGCCAAATCGCGCCTTCAACCCCTCTAACTCCGTGTTTGCGTCCTGCACTTCGACAAGAGCACTCAGATCTTGCTGCATCGCGCGCGGCTTGATCGCGGGCTGGAATTGCCGCCCAATTTGCGCGACAAAATTAGCAGACGGAAGCACTTTCGCCAGACCGGCTTCCGTCGCGCTGCTGCTGCTGCTGCTCGCCATCCGTGTACTTGAAAACCGCGCGCGACAGGCACAACTGCATTCTATCACAGCTCGTAATCTCACAATAGGTCTCCGCGTACTATACATTTCTTCTCTTCAATCCACCAACTAATTGATCAAGACAAACTCCCTCCTCAGTCGCGGTTGAGATCAACCGAGTTGAATTGACAGATTTAAAGTTTACCCTGTACTCTGACACCCAGATCTACGCTCACTACTTGGCACTCGCTCGCCATCGTATTACTATTACTATTACTATGCTCCTTGTTTATTGCTAAAACTAATGGGTAACCACCATCAACAACTAAATGAGGAATAAGAAAGAAAGCCTGCAACGAATCGATAAAGAACAGTGCAAAAGAAGAAGAAGAAGAAGAAGAAGGCAAAAGAATCGATAGATACAGATCATAAGATGGAAAGACATTCGCACGCATAGCGACAGGATAAACGAAAAGAAGATACAGGAAAGCAAATTTGATTTGTGAAAAAAGCACAAATGGATGACAAAGAAAGAAGAATGCAGGATGACTTAAACGATGAGAAAAGCCAAGTTGAGAAGAAGGAATTAAAAAAGTAAAAAAAAAGAAGAATTAATACTCAAGTGATAGAGAGCAACCCAAATGCACGTAGTAAACTCCAAAGATATTCAACCACCCTCCGCTCCTGCTCACGCCCCTACCTTCCGTACAGTTATAAAGCTAAACACAAGATTTGAAAAAAAAAAGAGAATGATGAGTTGGTTTGCTTTATCGATTATCGATTCATCATCTGCACCTCCTGTCCCGGAGGCACGCACCAGTGCCGATGGAACGACCATGCTTTCGACTGACACGACTTGCTGCAGTACTTTGTCCTCCTACACCTCCGGCATTTCGCAAACTGCTTCGGATACTCCTCCCATCGTCCGCACTCGAAATACCCACACTGTCGGACCCCGCCTCGGGACTCGTCTTTGCGGCACGAGTTGCGCATGATGATCGACGCCCAGTAGCTCAGATCGCCCTCGGCATATGCACGCGCTGTGAAGCGCTCGACTAGTTGGAAAAGATTCAGCGTCGGAAGCTTATACTCTTCCTCAATCAGCGACTCGTCCTCGGGGTCGAGAGACGGGTCGTCGAACCCTCTCCGTTTGGACTCGGTGTTCGCCATCTGCTCCTCCGCCTTGGCTCTCAGCTCTGGTCGCATCGACAACGACGGAACAAGATGTGTCTTCTGGAAGCACTCCCGAAGATTCACGTACTTGGACACATACGCCAGCAGCTGCAGCGAGAGCAGTACGTCCTCTTCCCGCGGCACGTTATCCTGCGATCCCAAAAATGCCGGGAACGACGACAACAGCGGCGCATTGCCTGGTCCGAGATTCTCAGTCTGCGCTGCGGCCTGCATGGCTGCCTGCTCCGCCTCGCGCATCACAGTTGCCGATTCAAAAGCAGGCGACGTTCGCGCAGCAGCTACGGGTGAGCGCGCAGCGAACGAGCCCTCGGCGCTAGCCTCTGCAGAGTTGGAATCAAGCGTTTGCGATGGTCCTGACGTCGTCGTGTTGCGGTATCCAGCCGAGTAGTCAATGTCGAGCATCCGTGGCGCGTTCAGCGACGACGAGCTCGAAACGTCAGCCCCATATGTAGCTTCTTCAGACGAGGCATGCACCTCTTCTGCGCTCATCGGAACCTGCGCAAGAGAACTCGACGGCGCGACAACAACGTCTTCGTCGATATCCATGGCCGCCGCAGAGTCCTCGACATCGGACGACGACGTCGTCGCCGTCGAGATGCCGGTCATGGCTTCCTCTTCAACAACGGCGGCTTCCGCTGTCGAGCTGCTTCCGTTTGCGTCGGTCGGTAGTACTGGTGATGGCTGTGTATGCGAATGAGAATGATGGTTGCGATGGTGATGATGGCGGTGATGGCGATACATGTGATAATGGATGCGATTGAAGTAGGCGTTAGTATTCGAGACAGCGATCAGACCCCCTTCCGAATCGGTTTCTGTGTTGTCAACCGAGCGCTGCTCGGTATCTGTCATTGTGGCATTCGCGTCTGCGGTCGTGTCTTGCATCTGCTCCTCCTCCTGCTGTTGCTGCTGTTGCTGGCGTTGCTGTCGTTCGTCTTCAGCCACCTGGGCCACAAGCGACATGAAGGCGCCCGCCGCATTGGCATCGATTCCGTTGTCGAATAATGGCCGGTCTGTCATCGCTGGCGAGTCTGTGGTGTGGGTATGCGCAGCAGTCGCAGGGGCGGTGACTCGTCTGGCGGACGGTCGCACGGCAGGCGACCGGGTAGCACCAGCACCAGCAGCCAGCTCGGTTTCACTATCTTCATTACTTGAGAGGAGACTCCTCCGACCGTCGTTGTTTGTAGCGGTATCTGAATATTTTGCATAGACATCATGATAAATTCGTAACTTTTCGATGGCTTCCAGGAAGTTGTCCAGGATGGTAGCCAGCACCGGCACGACGTCTGCGTCGACCACCCGCCGACGAACGGTCTCGGTCCCACGCACGCCGACGGAGGACAAGCACTGCAGCGTGAGCGACCACTTCCACGAGGTGAGCACGTCGCGCGAGTGCATGCCGGTGCATGAGCGGAGGATGGTGACGAGCCTGTCGATGCCGCCGTCGGTCGCGAGCGATTCTCGAATGACTTGCGAGGAGGAGATGAGTACACAGAGACTACTCAGCGAGTTGACGAGCGGCCGATCGTAGGGGCAGTCGAGCGCCCGTCTGTCGTACATCGTCGGCGTCATGGTGGCCGCGGCCTTGTTGTTGAGCACCGAGAAGAAGTTGACATCCCGCATTTCGTCTTGCAGGGGGAGAGCTGGTTAGCGTTGGATTGAAAACACACCCAGGCTTCGAATCGCCGAGGGGAGAAGAGGCAGCAGACGGACAGCGACCCGCACAGCAGCCAAAACAGACATACCTAAAGACACAAATAAGACAGGCTGGACCAGGAAAAGGGAGAAAAAGGCCGGGACGAGGAAGAAGCCAGACGAAAGCACAGAGAGCGTGGCGGAAGAAGAGCAAAAAGAGTATTTTGGCGGTGATGACAAAAGGCTGGTGGCGGCAAACTGAACCGCTCCCTTCCTATTCCGTCTTGGGACACCCGAACCCTGATCCCGCTGCCAGCTATCTGTCTAAAGCCGGTCACTGATTGTTTTGATAAGTCGACTGTCTGCTGGTTGCTGTGGTTTGTTGTATTAAAGATTATTGCTATTCAGATCTCTGTGCAGAGGTCGGTGCAGCTGCTGATGCCTCTGCCTGTCTACGATTCCGCCAAACTCCATGAAACAACCTCCAATGCACCCTGTAATCACCCTGTAATCAATCCCCCACCCTATTAGATCCCTTCCCCTTTCTATACCTCGACCTCTGCTGCTCCCGACCCGCTCGCGCCCGCCTCCTCAGACGCGCCACTGCCCTCGTCCTCCGCAACCAAATCCGATCCGTCCTCCATCAGACTGCCCGAGAGATCAGTCCGGATGAAGAACGTGAGCACCACGATCGCGGCAAACACCGCGAGGAAGAGAATGAAGAACGTCTTGGGCAGCACCTGCAGCGTCTTTGAGTACACCTGCAAGTACAGCGTCGGCGAGATCACGCGCGCGAGCGAGTGCACCAACCCCACGGCGCCGAGGATGAGACCCGTGTTTTTGCGCGGGACGTGCTTCGAGATCGTAGACTCGGTCGTCGCCGCGGTCGCGCCCGCCAGGTTCCCGATGCATCCGCAGACCAGGAAGAACAACGGCGACTTGTTGATCAGAAAGCCAATGTAGGCAATCACCCCGATTATGGCCGATAGTCGGATGACAAAGATGTCGGTCTCGGACGCACCCGCGCGCTGCGCGTCGGAAATGTACGTCCCCCGTGCCTTGTGTCGGGCGTCCACCCTGGCTTTGACCCAGCGCAACGTAAACGGCAGCGCCAGGAAAAGCACAAACATGCGAGTCAACCCAATCACGGTGACGTAGTACCCGGTCTCGACAGACGTCCAGTGGAACGTAAACTCGGCATACAGCAGCGTGACCATCATCTCGCACAACGAGTTGCTCACAGCGCAAAAGTCCATGATGCCGAGAATCGTCAGGTTCCGTCTGATCGCGGGCCGCGTCCCGTCCGTGGGGTAGAACGCCATCACCGGCTGCAGAACGTTGATCCGCGAAAGGAAGGACTTCCATGTCAACGGACCGGTCTGGATATGCGACTGTCGGCGCTGGAGCTGCTTGTGCGCGGCCTGCGCCTGGAGCTGATGAGACTTTGGCACCGACTCCGGAAGAAGAAACATGACGTAGAAGAAAAACATTGCCTGCATGCAGAGACCGAGGTAAAAGAACGTCAAGACATTACCAGTCTTGCGGATCGCAAATGACGAGAGTGAAGGGCCGAGTGCCATGCCGGTGAAGAGGATGCCGTGGAACATACCAAACGCTTGCGCGCGCTCGACACCAGGTTTTGTCGTGTCGGTCGCGTAGGAGTGGCACATTGCGACGACACCGATAAACGAACCCGTGACTCCGTCGAAGAAGGCCGAGAGATAGAATAGGTTGTAGGACTTCAAGTATGACCACCGAGCGGCAGCAATAATCGTCAAATCAGCCAACTATAATAAACCTCTGTTAGTACCAGCAGTTACTCTTTATGAAAAAAAAAAATACATACAAATGGACCAGCCATCGACAGCATAAGCACAGGCCGACGTCCGACGCGGTCAGAAACCGCCCCAAGTTTAGGCGACACCCAAGCGCCCAGCAGGCCGGTGATCAGCCCGACCCACATCGTGATCGACGAGCCCTTCTGATGAACCGGCACAATCTGGCACCGCTCCTCGATGTCGCCCGCCGCGGCGGCGATGTTGAAGCCCCACGAGGACATGCCCGCGGGATTCAGGGCATCCTGCACGGCGAAGTACTCACGACACACGAGCGCGAGAGCGATGTTTATCTTTGGCGCAATGTTTCCGCCAAACGCGACGGAGAACAGCGCGAACGGGACTAGGAGGTGGTGCACGGTTGGCTTGCCTAGCAACGGCTTCTTCGCCGAGTCCACGAGCGGATCCTGGGGCGCATCAGGGTCGTCGCGATAAGGTTGGATTTCGACTGTCGCGGATCCGTTTTTGGCCGCCACCGCGGCAATGTCTTCGGCCGGTCTAGATTAGGAGTGAAAGAGTCAGAGTCGTGGATTCAACAATGGCTCAGGGCGCGTGGATGTTGGTGCGGATTGAGCCCGTCGCCCTGCAGGGTTCCGGGCATCAGGGCGGATATCTGTACCTTCTGTGAAATGGCTCTTCCGCCATTATCTGCTCCTCCTGGGAGAGCAAGACCGTAGTGCCGTCGTCGACCACAGCAGCAATTCCGTCCATGTTACTTGATTGAAGATAGAGAGAAACAAAGAAGAGCAAGACAGACGCACTTCAACAAAACCAGGCCAGAACGGGTCCTGCCAAGTGTCTCCCCGGGCAGCGAGCTCCTGATATAAGACTTTTGAAAGGCGCCCGGTCTGCTCTTGGACGTACGCCGCACTGCTAAACTGGAGCCCATCGCACCTTCGCCAGTCGCTTGGTTGCTTTTATCCCTTTGTGTTTCGGGAACCAGTTTAAGCGCATTTGGGGCGTGGGTAAACGTGATCGGCTTCTCCGAGGCCCTTCATTGAATCATCCCCGGATTTAGCTTCATTGTGTATTTTTACAGCTCATTACAGCTGATTATAGCTGATTACAGCTGATCAAGCAGACGAAATGAGTTGAGATTGTGTATTAGTAATTTTCTGTCTTTTGAGCAAGGAATATCTCTGAGAAATAGCTCGAGCAAATTAAAGTACATATGCCACCTCCTCCAGTGGCCACAAGCAAATCATCTACATTTATCTCATCTTCGCCAGCCAGGCATCAGCATCCGTGAACGGTTTCAACTCCGCAGCACTCACAGTATCGTCCGCCGCCGCAGTCTTAACCGCCACAACCACTGCATCCCACAACCTGAGCGCCCGCTCATACTCCGCAACGATATCAGTTGCGACCGCAAACTGCTTCTTCAAAAACGTCGCCATCTTCTCGCGTTCCTCGGCATCGCTCGGGTTCTCCTTCGTGCACAGCTCGTCTAGATAGGTCTTGACCGCAACGCCCAGGCCGCTGTTTGTGCTGGACTTGAACGGCAAGCTAACCCCCAGCGACTCCCATCGAACTTCGCCGTACTTGTTGGCATCGTTGTTCGCCAGTAGCGAAAACAGAACCATCTCCAGCAGCGTTCTCGCGTTGGACGTGCATTTTGTCGCAAACGAGTTGAATAGAAGCAAGCTCCGGCTCAGAGGACCACTGTATCCCGCTGGCTGCTGCTCAAGCGGCAGAAGCGAGGCAACGCGAGAAATCAAAAGGATGTGCGCCTTTTGCTCGTCTATAGAGACCGTTAGTACACACATAAACAAACAAACCACTCAAATAGGTACACACAACACTCACCAGTTCCGTGGATCGGCACACCGCTATAGGACGAGGCATACGGCTTATTAGTCAGCGCCTTTGTTCGAACAAGCTCGATCGCAGTCACAAGAGGCTCTGTGAAGTTATCCTCGGCCTTGGACGATGTGATGGCGGCCGTCAAGGCCACGCCCCATGTCGTAAGCACATGCTTGTCTGTCACAAACGAGCGCAGCTGAAGGAATCTCCAGTACGTGTTTGCCAGGACTTCCTTTGAGGTTTGCAAAAGCTAGATAGTGTATTAGTCACATACTATACATATTCAATGAATGAAAGAGAAATGCGTACCTGCGGCAGTTTGTCCGGAGTAAGGGGATCTCTTGCTCTCTTCACGGCAATCGTCTTCTCCGCAAACGCATCATCCACCAAGCTCAGGATCGCAAACTTCAAGTCGGGCTGCGCGCTCTCGGCAAGCTTTTCCTTGATAATACTCTGCGGCACGTTCCAGGTCTTCACAGTCTCGTATGTGGTGGGAGTGATACGATGGGGGATCGCAGTCTCGTTAGACTGATCGAACCAATAGATTACATTCTGTGATAAAATAGTCAGTGTCAGTAGTTGAGCTGACCCAAGGTCATAGGTAGCATGCACTTACCACTTGCTTGGCCTGGTAAAATCTATTCAGCGGCTGGGTGAGCAAGCTAAGAGACTGCGCCTTCATACTCTCAATCTTCTTCAGAAACTCTCGATACTCCGGACTCTCTCCGCCCGCCAACGGGACCAATTCCACAAACTTGCCCGACGTCAGCGCGCCGAGGATCTCAGGCCCGATGATTCCGCGACACAGGTAGAAATTGATCTCGTCCGGCAACCGCTGGCCGACAAACTCGTGCATATCGTTCGGCTCGTTCTTCGACAACGGACGCGTGCGGCCCTCGGAGTTGAACACCGGCTGGAACTTGATTGCGCACCAGGTTCGGCGGTAGGTTTCGACGTAGTCGACCTCCTTGATCAGCGGGTGCTCGGCATAGCCCATCACGGCTCCATAGCCGCTGATAAAGTTGCGGAGAAGATCGCGAAGAGCGCGGATCTGCGCGTGTATTGATAGCTGGGGTTGCTCAATCAGGGGAAACGGAGAGGAGAAATCAGGTCCCGCCAAAACGCAGAGGTCGAAGAACTGCTCGGCGTTGATGATTCCGATGTCGGCTATAATTGCGCGCTTTTGGACGTACTGGAAGTTGCCATTGGTGATATCGATCGAGACAATGACGCGGTCGAGTTCGAACATGAAGGCTTCGTTGGAGGTGTAGATTGCATCGACGTATTGTTTCTCGTGCGTCAGCAGGTACACAAGCTAGTTGCTGTTAGCTATCGCCAGTTATTGTAATAAAAAACTACGCACCTGTGCCCACGGACTATAGGGAGCCACTATATACTCAACCTCATGATCCGCAAGAATCATCATCATATAACGGGAAACCTCGGAAAACTGAATTGTTTCTTCTCGTCGCAGAGTCAGCATCGCACGACAAAGCATATCTATAAAGACAGAAAATAGTACTTACCAATTTCACCAAAGATTGAAACTGCATTCTCGCCTTTCGCCTTGTCATACGAATCCCAAGCACTCGCGCGCTTGGCCTGCCCCGCCTCCGCTCTCACAAAAGGGTTCTCCCTGCGCGGGATCTCGATTCCCTTAAACACAAACAGCGGCGTGACTCCCGCTTTCTTCAAACCAGCAAGCAGCGCCTCGATCCTGAACTTGAGCGAGAACGGGATTCCGCCGAGGGCGTGCAGCAGAGGGTCGGTTTTGGGAGGGGCGCCGGAGTAGAGTTGGTGGTAGAGGTATTCTGCATCGATGCCGACGGTTGCGCCTGAGAGGGTGCTGAGAGGGAGCACCCTTGTCAGCTTTTTCTCGGCGATGTAGGATTCCAATAGTTTGACTGGCGGGTAAGATGTTAGATCCACTCTCGAGCAAGCAAATTGAACAGGCACAGGAACATACTGGTCATCTTGATCGCTTGATCCCACAGACGCTTAATTAGTCTTCACAATCAAAGCACTTAAAATACACACTGAATGCAAGCACAGACACAGCAACGTGAGGTAATTGAAAAACCCGGATCAAGAACTGTTTTGAGTACCGTCTGCAAACCGTCACGTTTGGTGATCCCAGGAACAGTTTGGTGTTCAGTTTGGCACCCGGTGATGAATCCGGGTAACCTTCAGCCAAATTAACTCGGCTCTATTTACATTCACCCGCCTTCAGGTAGAAAGGCCTTTGGTTTGGATTCCGAGATACGGCTGGCTTCGCGAATTATTACGAGCTAGGTGACAAGTAGCTTGGATCTGCAAACTACTGCAAAGCGCTTCTAGATTTGTCTGCGAAATGGTGAGTTCTAGGTAGTCTATGAACCTCGCAAATCGATAGGAAACATTCAGGACTACTCTACAGCTTTCGCTCAACTATTGCTCTTTACGCGCATAATTCCGAATCTTGAAGTTATCAAAACAAGAGACTGCACAGGTTCATGGATCTATGTTCAAAAATCGCGGTACTCAAGAAGCGCTCGGGCTTCGACTTTGACGCTGATCTGTTTGTGGGAATTCTTACCTCTCTGATCTCCAAGCAGCAGGCGATCGTGACTGTCGACCGAGATGTCTATCTCAATTTTACAGAGCAGATGATTTTGTTGGTGAGTTTTCCTACATTCCATCTGTGAAGTCTGTGAGGAAGATCTGCAACTGACGCAATGGGAAATAGGTCGGCTCGAATATCTTTGGGTTTACGACAAAGACAGTGGTATGCACGCCGGATATGACGACGGATGAATTCGCAGAGGCGATCTTGTTGAAAAACGAGCATGTACCGGGTGGTTTTTCTGCTCTTCCCGCGCAGCTGGGTCCTACTCCAGTCAACGAAAAAACGGATGTAAGTATATATCTTGTATCTCCCAAGGAGAGGTGTCAAGTGCTGATATATGGTAAAGCAGGAATGGAGTTGGAATGGGATCGGATCTCGGAGACCTGTCTCCGGACCTCCCGGCTCTGCAGAAAGCTTGCCGAATCTGGTTGTGATTCGAGATCTCGATAGCTCGAGTAACTACGTGCAGGCGCAGCTACTAGAGGTATGTGAATATATAGCTTATCTTGCTGGCCCTGGTTATAGATCATTGACCGTGTATATGCAGATTCTACGGACCAAGAATCTGGCTTCATCAAAGGGAGTCGTTATTACTCCGCCGCAGTTTTTGGTCGTGCCTCTGTTGTCGAGGAATACTATGAGACGTCATCTATTCCCATATCTTGTAAGTGTCTGTCATCTTCAAGCAAGTACGAGTACCATTCTAACTGTCGCTTAATAGCTCGACCACTTCTTTCTGAGCCACAATTACATCCCTGGCAACGTCGACGAAGCACAAGTCGAGTTTGGCAAATGGACTCCAGAGATCGAACTCCCCCCAATCGCCAGCCACAGGCTATTCCTGCCCAAAGAAATCGAATACCTGACCGCGACAATCAGCAGCATCGTCATCGGCGCCGAAATCAGACGCTACATGCACGACATCATGGTCTTCCTACGCATGCACCGCGCCATCCGCGGCGGCATTTCCGCGCGCGCGTCCCGCGACTTTGAGCTTTTGGTGCGGTGTCTGTGCCCGCTGCACGGTCTAAACTACGCGACGCCGGCGATCGTGAAGATCGCGGCGCGCAAGACGTATACCCATCGGATCACGGTGCCGAGTCCGGAGGACGAACGGAGTATGGCGTACGGGAGTGATGTCGAGGCGGTGACGAAGTTTTTGCAGTTTTGGACGCCAGATTTGGTGTTGGATGACGTGCTGGATAGTGTTCCTATCCCTCTTTAGTTTAAATCTGTTTTTATAAGAGCACGAGAGTGTTCTCTGCATAGCTGATGGCATCTCTTTGAGGATGATGGGTTGCTGCGGGAGTAAAGTGGCGTTTAGCATTTTTTTCAGTAGTATCTACTGAACTTTTGATAGACCTTTCAGTCTAATGAATAATATGAGAAATACTTAGTTTTAAAGAAATGATTACAGCAATCTACTTTGACTGTTCAATCCATGCCGTATGCCGTTCAATAGTCGCAGGGATGATCAAGCTCTCGATCTCAGTCCCGTCCTTGATCTGCTCGTCCGACAATCTAATCCAAGTCTCCGGCACCTCCGGCTCGACAAACACGATCTCGTTCTTGCGCGTCTGGAGGAGATTACCAATGACGAGCTGGTGCGAGTACCGCTCCAGCGCCTGTCTTGCCTTTGAGATCAAGATCTCAGAGTCAGTCTCGAGCTTGAACGAGATGATCATCGCGCCCGGCGCCCATCTTTCCACCAGCCGATTGAGGAACTTGGGCACGGGGTCGAGGTCCATGATGAGTTTGTTGCCGCCTGCTTTGGACTGGATCTTGTGTTCGGGGATGCGGCTGGGCGGGATGAAGAAGTCCGAGACCGCGGCGGCGAGGTAGAAGAGCGCGCGCGGGCCGGCGGATTGCAGGATCACGCTGACAGTGCGGAGGGTGTGCAGGTATTGGTTGATGGTGGTGAATGGCAGGAGGAGGAGTTGGTTGCGGTCTTTGGCGGCGCGGTATTTGCGCAGGACTGTGCGCATTTGCTGTTGGTACTGTTGGCTGACTATATCGTATTGATCAGCAAGTGCCATCAACATAAACAATTGATCAAATAAAAAATAGAAAGCATACCGACAACCTGCCCATCATTTTCCTCCATAAAGTCCAAAAAGCAATTCGTGGAATGCGAGTAATGCCTCGAATAAGGCAGCAGACTGAACTGCCGATGCAAGAAGATGACGGCGTACCCGTTTTCTAGGAAATACTCCGCCGACGTCGCGCCTCGGGTTCCGGCGGAAAAGTTGTCGATGAACCGCACGGTTTGGTTTTCGAGCGGGACGGTGGTTCCTCCTGACTGCAGTGTAGCTGAATGTTAGCATATGCGAATAATTCCATGCATAACAACTACACATCAGCAAAGGCCAATTGAGCAAAAAGAAGCAACGCACAGTAACCAAAACAATTCTCCCCGTCCCATGCATCTTCACAAACTCCTCACACTGCCGCGCGAGCTCGTCCAAATACTCTGGCGGCGCGTTATTCTCGAAATAATTGTTCTCGTCGATTTCCAGCGCCGGCGGCAGCACCGGCGCCGATCGGTCAATCGCCTGCTCGCGCTCGCCGGTCGACAGGCGGCGCGTGGGCGGAACAGGTCCGCTTGTGTCCATGGCGTTTGTGATTAAAATGGGGGAAGATAAGGATTGTGGATCTGATTGCTGATTATGCGATGTGGTTAACGAGGTGGAGGTTATTTACAATCGTGCGGCGCACTGCTGGCGGCGTGAGCCGAGTCTGTCGGCCATCTCCAGGCTTTGATTGTCCTTCAACCAGAGCAGATCTTCCCACGATGTTCTTCCTCTGTTCTCTCTATTCCTTCTTCTACTTCACATACTCAAGAGACAGTAGCACACAAAGATGTCGGAATACACACTCCCTCCTCCCTCAGCATTCAAGTCACTGACCGACGCCCAACGAATCGAAATCATCACCCATCTCTTTGAGCAATCGCCCGCCCTCGAGAACCTCATCACAAGCCAATTCGACACCGCAGACAGCTACTCCGCATTCATCTCCTCCACCCGCACCCTCCTCCTCGACCTCTCCAGCGTAGCCCTCACCGACCCCTCCTCTAAATCCGCATTACTCGAGATCCTCGCCGCGCATCCCCGCCTCGGCGCCCGCAAAATCACGTCAGATCACTCGGTCGCCGAGCAAAAGAGTCTGCAGGGCGAGTCCGAGGCGCTCGCGAAGCTTAACCAGGAGTATGAGGAGAAATTCCCGGGACTGAGGTATGTCGTCTTTGTCAATGGACGGCCGAGGGACGTGATTATGGCGAATATGAGGGAGCGGATCGCGCGGGGGGATTATGAGCTGGAAAAGGCGGAGGCAGCGAATGTATGTACTTTGTTTGAGTCGTTAGCTTACAGTTTTATTTTACTAATTTTACTAATTTTTTATCGCAGGCTATGTGTGATATCGCCACCGACAGAGCCAGAAAGCTCGGTGCGGATATCTAGATATGAAATTTGAATTGTGATGATTTCATCTATTCATAATGACCAAAGAGGGAAAGAGAAATGAAAACATCTCTGACGATGCGAAATATACAAAAGAGAAATAAAAAAATCATCAAAAACAAAAATATGTGCTCTTTGCGACAACAACTAGCCACCAATTAAATGATTAAAATTATGATGTATCACCCTACCATGTATCACCAATAACCAAACGAAAGCAGGATATGAAAAGCAAAGAATAGCTCACGACAAGATTCTGGAGTGAGATCTGATACTAGGCCCGTATTTGTAGAACAGGAACGGAATAGGAGCACCCACCAGTGCCAAGCATCCGATCAACGTGCACGCCCACTTTGGAGTCAGCTTCTCGTACATCTTGTCGGCGAACAAGGGGAACGTAGCACCGAGGATCGAACGCAGGAGAGAATTGGCGGCAAGGGCGGAGGCAGCGTATATCAGATAGGTGTCGACGAGGTATGAAAACATGCTCAAGAAGACAGTCACGAGGCCAAAGCCGAACGGGATGCCGCTAAGAACGGGCACGATCCACGCCTTTGAACTAGCCAATGATCCCCATCCTAACCAGAAGACGCCAATGGGAAGTAAGAAAGCGGCAAAGATAGCGTAAGGCAGACGCGCTTCCGGGTAGATCTTTCCGTTTCCCTTCTCCTTGCTGATCTTGATGTACAGCTTCGTCTGGGCGGGAGAAGTCATGATACCGCCGACCATACCGATGCCGAGAGCAATGAAAGGAAGACCTCCCTTTCCGGCACCCCAGCCTCTCTCCTGTTGGAAAATAATGGGGTAGGCAACAAAGTTCATGTACAAGATTGCGTAGATCAAAGAGCAGTAGAGAGCAATCAGGAAGACAATTGGCTCGGTGAATAAGAGAATGACGGGACGAACAAGACTTTTCTTGAGAAGGTCCGCGTGCGAAACCGACTGTCGCTCGTGGGCAGCTCTGAGATCCATATTGCCAGTCTCTTTTCTCAGCCGAGCAGCCTTTTTCTCCAAGAGCGTCTTTGAGTACGTCTCGGGCATGAAGAAGACCAGGAAGAAGGCCATGACTCCGGCAAAGATCAAGGCGAGCCAGAAAGTCCAGCGCCAGGTAACAAACTCGGAAAGATAGCCGCCGATGATGGGACCGACGACGGGACCTGCAAAGGGGGCGATAGTGTAGAAAGACATGGCATCTCCTCGCTCAGCGGGACTCCAGATGTCGCCGAGCGTGGCACCGGCGTTACTGAGAGGTGACGAGCCAGCGATACCAGCGATGGCACGAGATACAAGAAGAGTAGCGATGTTCTTTGACAGAGCGCAAGGGATCTGGAAGACGGTGAAGAAGAACCAAGTGGAGAGGTAGACGACGTTTCTGCCGTAGACTTCAGAGATGGGAGCGAAGACCATAGGTCCAAAGGCAAAGCCGAGGATATATACAGTAAGACCTAGGGTGGCGACGGTGGTGCTAACACCAAAGTCTGCGGCGATATCAGCGATACCGGCGGTGAAGACGGAGGACGCGAAGGCGACGCAGAAGGTAACCATGGCGGCGATCATGGTGATGCACCATTCTGGGAGTTAGAAGAGGTTAGCAGAGAAAAAACAATGAGAAGGCAGTAGGTGATACATACTTCTTCTGTTGGAAAAGTTGAAGGGGTTGGCGGGATCGTCGGGCCCGTCCCAGCCCACGACGTTTGGGTCATGGGACTCGACGCGAGACATGGCTCGAACTTCAGACTCGGACTCGGCGACGAGGTCGCTTGCGCCAGACCGGATGCGGGCGAGCTCGAGACGGTGGAAGCCGGTGTCGTCGGGGTCCTGCTTCTCGAGGTCGACGTCGTCCGAGGAGGCGTTTGTAACGGGCTTCAGGTCAGTGTCGAAGGTGGAGGCATCGCTGTTTGTGGGGACTTTCTCGGTGGGGGATGTAGACGTGCCCTCGATGGAGGTGGGCAGGGCCATGGGGTCGTCGTTAGGAGCGCTCATGGTCAGAACAAGAGACGAAGAAGAAGAGACGGAGGAGAGAAGAAGGAAGAAGGGAAGACGGGGCCTTGTTGACTTATTATTTGCCGACGATCTCTCGAAGGCACAGCCGAGGAGGGGCCTTGGCGCACAAACAAGACCTGGTTTCTGTGCGGAAAATCGTTCGTTTTCCAGAACTGATTTCCGGTCCAGAGCAGCGGTGACTGTGAATTCATCTGCTGCTTCTGCTTCTTCTTCATGCTCTTCTTCCTCTCTTCTTCTGCTTGTTATTTCATCTTCCTCGTCCAGCAACAAGCAGCAGAAGACCTCTACTCGGGGTTTCAGAGATGCTCATCTCGGACCCAAATAGACTTTGCGCCGTCTCCAGCCGACTCTTTGTTCGGGCGTCAATGGGCGGTCACCGCGGCCTGTTTGCCACTGGTTTTGTTTGAGAGTGGTGTTTGCATTGACAATTCATGGTCAGAAGTAGAAATACACTCTTATATCTATCTTCTAATAACAGATAACCCGCACCAAACACGTTCAGGCAGACAGCGCTCTGTGGGGATCTGCCTTCTTGTACGCCTACGTCTACGCCGCATCCGCACAATTCCTTTGTCCCTTCCGCCATTCGTCACCGCTCTGTAATCAGTCATGTGACGTCATGTGACTTTTGTCGTGACTCTTTATGGCAGTATTACTCTTTCTGTCACCTAACTCTCCCCTGAGATTATGTCCCCATCTTAACCCACTCCCACTCTCTGACTGCGCCCCTCCTATTCTGGGCCACCCCATTTTCGGCCTGCGATTGGGACCATCAAAAAATTTTTGTTTCGACAAAAACTCAGCTCAAATTTCTACAGCTCTCGACCTGCTCTCCTCTCATCCTCGATCTCGGAAGAACCTCCTCCCGCCAGTGTTCTTTTCTTGCTTCTATTCATATCTACATCATGCTGATCCTGACTGAGACTTCGGCCGGATACGCCCTCTTGAAGGCAAAGGACAAAAAAGTCATCGACACCGCTGCCGAGTTGACTCCCGAGTCCGTCCTTTCTGCGTATGTCACCGTCTTCTTCTTCTACTCTTACTCCTTCGCCTCTTCCTTGCTGACGTATATCTCTTACTTCTCTGCAGTTTCAAAGTCAAGGCCTTCTCAAAATTCGACTCCGCCGCCAGCGCTCTCGAGGAAGTCAATGCCGTCGTCGAGGGAAAAGTCTCGACAAAGCTCGCCAACCTTTTGACCGAGAACGGTAAAGAGAAAAAGACAAAACTCGTCGTTGCTGATCCCAAGCTCGGTAGGTTCCTCCTTTCATCATCAAACTACTGAGTTCATCATCTAACCCCTGCAGGAAATGCCATCAACAACCTCCCCGGCCTGACCTTCAAGGTCATCTCCGACTCCTCCACCCAGGACCTCTACCGATCCATCCGCGAATACCTCCCCTCCCTTCTCCCCGGTCTGCAAGAGAAGGACCTCAACGTCATGTCTCTCGGTCTCGCCCACTCCATCGGTCGCCATAAGCTAAAGTTCTCCGCCGACAAAGTTGACGTCATGATCGTCCAGGCCATCGGTCTGCTCGACGACCTCGACAAGGAGCTCAACACCTACGCTATGAGAGTCAAGGAATGGTATGGCTGGCATTTCCCTGAGATGGCCAAGATCGTTTCCGACAACGTCGCCTACGCTCGCGTCATCAAACTCATGGGCTTCCGATCCCGTGCCGCTGAGACCGACTTTTCGACCGTCCTCCCCGAGGAGATCGAGACCGCTCTCAAGGCCGCTGCCGAAGTTTCAATGGGAACCGAAATCACCCAGTTTGATCTCGACAACATCACCGCGCTCGCGGACCAGGTCATTGACTTTTCAGAGTACAGACTGCAGCTCTCGAGCTACCTCAACGCCCGTATGGCCGCCATCGCTCCCAACTTGACCGCCCTCGTTGGTGAGCTTGTTGGTGCTCGGCTGATTGCTCATGCCGGATCCATGATCTCGCTCGCCAAGGCTCCTGCTTCCACCATCCAGATCCTCGGAGCCGAGAAGGCTCTTTTCCGTGCGCTCAAGACCAAGCACGACACACCCAAGTACGGTATCATCTACCACGCCTCATTAATAGGTCAGGCCACCGGCCGCAACAAGGGCAAGATCGCGCGCATGCTCGCTGCCAAGGCTGCCGTCAGCTTGCGATTCGATGCTCTTTCCGAGGACAGAGATGACGTCGCCACCATCGGTCTCGAGAACCGCGTCAAGATCGAGTCGCGATTGAAGGGTCTCGAAGGCCGGGAAATCAACACCAACAAGACCCCCGTCAACGTGCGACAGCAGCCCAAGTTCGAGTTTGCTACCCAGCGCGCGTACAACGTCGATGCGGACGCTGTCGTTGCCAAGCCTGCCAGTAACGGCACCAGCAATGGCAAGCGTAAGATTGAGGAAGTTGACTCTGATGATGAGGAGGACTCTGATGATGAGGAGTCTGACGACGAGCTTCCGGACGCTCCTGCCCCTGCTCCGGCTAAGGTTGAGCCCGTTGTCGAGGAATCTGACTCGGACTCTGACTCGGACGACGAGGAAGTTGCGCCGGTGAAGGAGGAGAAGAAGTCCAAGAAGTCTGAGAAGAAGGAGAAGAAGGAGAAGAAGGAGAAGAAGGAGAAGAAGGAGAAGAAGGAGAAGAAGGAGAAGAAGGAGAAGAAGGAGAAGAAAGACAAGAAGGAGAAGAAGGACAAGAAAGAGAAGAAGCACAAGAAGACCAAGACCGACTAAATGCGTGCTGCAATCGCTATTGCCGTCAACCAGGTGGACTGACGGCAAAGGTGGGTGATGGTGATTGGGTTGAGCATTAATATTTCTATATTATGGTTAATTGAGCGGCGCATCAGTTGTGGATTGTTTTTTCGATTTGTAAAAAGTTGCTCTTGTGTATTTTTTGTCATCTCTAATTCTTGTGATTTTTTCCTTTTTTCTTTGTCATTTTGCGTTTCTTTGATGTTTAGTTATGATTATTTTGCTTTCTGAGTTCATTTTGATACATTGTTTTTATGTAAAATACAACCTATATCTACTAAAACACGTTGGTAAAAACTTGCATTGGAAGTAGATATATAGCAGGCCAGGCACGAGACAAAGTAACCCAAGATGGGGCTCGTACCTGACCAGCTATTCATCGTGTCAACTTCACAGGCACCCGCCATTCTCAGACCTCAACTCTTAGCAGCAGCAGCAGAAGCAGTGGGGATCTAGACTTGCCGACTGATTTCAGCTTGCGCGCGCTTTGCAAGATAAGGAAATATGAATAGGTTTGTTGTTCCTGTTCTTGAATGTTGGAAGAAGATAGGTTGCGGGCTGGTGTGTGTGGTTGTTGATTATGGAGCAGGCTGGAAGTTATGCTGTGGCTCCATGTCGCCTTGTTGTCCTGCGTTGCTAGAGAAGAGAAGCAATTTGGATCAAATCCAATCCCTGATCAACAAGAAAAGTTGGCTAACGCGTTTTATTTTCTCTATCTAGTTCAACGACCAAGACGTATGGCGTTACGCCGCCGATTTCGACGGCCGCGCCAACAGAGCACGAAATCGCAATGAATGAGAAGCTGATCGAAGAGCTGAAGCGGGAAGGATCCTTTGAATCAGAAGCCGAGTCCCAAAAGAGGTATGTTTTGTTATTTAGGCACGATGTATTCTGCTGCTTCTTACTTACAGACTATATGCAGAGTGCAAGTTCTTGGGAAGCTACAGTCGCTTACGGAAGAGTTTGTCAAAACCGTTAGCATGCAGAAAGGAATGTCTGAAGGAATGGCCGCTGACGCCGGCGGGAAGATCTTTACTTTTGGATCCTACCGTTTGGGTGTGTACGGCCCCGGTTCGGATATCGATACTCTGATTGTCGTTCCGAAGCATGTAACGCGCGAGAACTTCTTTGATGTCTTTCAGAAGCTTCTGCGCAAGTGTCCCGAGCTTGACGAGATCGCCGCGGTTCCTGATGCGTTTGTGCCGATTATCAAGATCAAGTTCTCTGGCATCTCTGTCGATTTAATCTGTGCGAAACTGGATATTCCTCAAGTTCCGCTTTCGCTGACGCTGGATGACAAAAACTTGCTTCGCAATTTGGATGAGAAGGATCTGCGCGCGTTGAATGGTACCCGAGTCACTGACGAGATCCTGAATCTTGTTCCGCAGACAATTGTGTTCAAACACGCTTTGCGCGCAATCAAACTATGGGCCAAGCGTCGCGCGATCTACTCAAACGTCATGGGCTTCCCCGGTGGCGTGGCATGGGCGATGCTGGTCGCGCGCATCTGCCAGCTATACCCGAACGCGATCTCGGCGACGATTATCAGCAAGTTCTTCCACATCCTCACAAAATGGAGCTGGCCGCAGCCCGTGATGCTCAAGCCGATCGAAGACGGGCCGTTGCAGGTCCGCGTCTGGAATCCGCGGCTGTATCCGCCTGATCGTGGACATCGGATGCCGATCATCACGCCTGCGTATCCGTCGATGTGTGCGACGCATAACATTTCGGCGTCGACGCAGAAGGTAATTATGGGCGAGCTTTCGAGAGGAGCGGTTCTTATGGATGATATCATGATGGGCAAGAAGACGTGGACAGACTTATTTGCCAAGCACGATTTTTTCTTCAGATATAAATATTATCTCGCTGTGTACGCTTCGTCTCGAGGAACGGCCGAGCAGCAGCTGAAATGGTCGGGAATGGTGGAGAGTAAGATCCGTTTACTAGTAAACAAGCTAGAGTGGATCGACAGTATAGAGCTGGCGCACCCGTTTGTCAAGGAGTTTGACAAGATCCACTACTGTGCAGACGACGAAGAAGCCAAGCGCGTCGCGGACGGCGAGCAGATGGAGGGGGCAACCACTGTCGAAGCAGATCTGGAGAAGGCCGCTAAAGATGAGGAGACGAAGGGCGATGGCGAAAAGACCGAAGCTGACGCCGCGAGCAAGGATGAGGCGGAAGAAAAGAAGAAGATTGTGGTGTATACTACGACCTTTTTTATTGGGTTGGAGATCAAGCTGGATCGTGAGTAGTAACTTGAGCTTGAGGGGTTAAGACGGTGAAGGCTGACTGGTGTTATTTACAGCCAAAAACAAGCAGCTTGATATCCAGTGGCCATGCAAGGAGTTTTACGACACGTGCCGGTCGTGGCCTGAGTATGACGAAGATATCAACTGCATCTGCGTACGGAACATTCGAAAGTAAGTATAGTTCCGCAAAACAAACAAAAGGACTACGATTGACGTTGGTTTTAGTTTCAACCTTCCCGACTACGTGTTTGAAAAGGGCGAAACCCGGCCTGTCAAGCAGCCAAAGAAAGCAAAGCGAAAACTCGGTGATTCAGAGGTGAGTAGTTTTGCCGAATTCGCGGTGAAGAGGCCGTTTTAGCGGTGCAGTGTGCTTCCGAGACGGCGGGTGTGTTGGGACGCAACTAATCATTTGTTTGACGATCTTTGGCATCGGGTCTCACGCGGGGCGGTGGGTTTTATTGTTCACTTGCTGTTGCGTGTGATTTGTATGCCATTGGTTGTTGTCTTCATTTTCTCTTTATTTAGTCTATGGATAAGAAACGACAGCGGCCTGCTTCGATAGAGGCTTGAGATGCCTCTGATTCTGTGGCGTAGCAGCATGCATGGATCCAATCCGGATCGACTAATCGTTCTTGCAGGGGCATGATTGGTATCCTGACATTATAGGTTGGTTATAGCTCCGGCGCAGTGGCGAGAGACCAGTTTTAATATTATCTAGTTTGGGTAAGAAGAGTATCTAGTCTGCCTTTGATGGTCTCGTCATGAAGAGATTCCGGTACTTTTGCTACACGCACACACTCTCCTTTTTTATGCTTTTTTGGTTGTAATACTGTGGGCGACGGAAGCAGCTGGGTTACCATCTGGAGGTCAACGGACGGGTTCGGTAGGAGTGCGTGCGCTGGAGTACTGTACTGCCTTTTGTCGTAGTTTTTCTTTTCTCGCAAACTATATTTGTTCTCTATTGTCTATTGTCTATGTTTGTGTTTGTGTTTGTGTGTGTTTTTCTCGCTCGCGCAGGAAGAGCAACTCCTGCGGGGGTCCAGTGTATGTACAGATAGCCAGAGTAGGCAAAACGGTCGATATTCTCATGCAGGTTGTCTCGCGGTGCTGCTGCTGCGGTGTAGACGTGGTTGGTTCTCTGGTTCGCCGGTTCGGGCGGACGGTTCAGGTTCAGGGTCGGATGGACGGGCCTCCTGGCACTGATCAATCTACGTAACACGTTCACTGATTCTCTACGCGAAGAATAAGCCTGCGCGTGACGCTACCCCATTGCGTCCTCTCTTCCTCGGTCTGTGGCCGTATTAGAGATCCCAGTCACTCGGTCTGCGGGCGATTCTTGCTCTTTGTCATCTTTCCCTGCCGCGTGTTGTGTATCCTAGACCTCTGGGCTGCAGATGGACTACTCGCCCGGGCTTCCCCCGCTTAACACAGCGGCCGCCATGCCTCTTCCACCGCGGATATCCTCATTCACGCAATCGTGCACAATCTCCATCAATCCGATATCGCTCGTGATCAATGAGTGCATCACCATCACCTCGGCCATGCGCAAGAACGCGCGATGGGCGCAGTCAGGTGTCGCTGCCATCCTCGGCACCGCAGGCGAGGACGCGCAGGAGGACCTTGGCCTGATTGCGCGTCTTGGTCTGCGCACGAAGCGGACGAGGACGACGCAGGTAATTTGCCTTGTTTATTATTTGTTGTTGTTTTTGATGCGTTGTCGGTTGGTGTTTTGTTCTTATCGGGGGTTTCTAATTCGCAATCGTCTAGGATAATCCCTTGATGGCTGGTTTCACAAAGTTGAGATCCGATTTGGTCGAGTGCAGAGGTAAATACCATCGCTGTAATTGTTCAATCGCTCTCATCTAATGCTCCTTCTCTAGACATATCTACGTTTGACACTGCTGCTCTCTTTCATCCATTTCTGCAGGTCATTCGATCCTCCTCGATAACAGGCTCAATTACATCACTAGCCCTGAACGCAATCACAAAATTCTTCACCTATCGCATCATCTCACTCAGCTCCCCGCGCCTCCCACTAGCCATGCAACTACTCTCTTCTGCAATCACTCACTGCAGATTCGAAGCCTCGGACTCGGCCCAAGACGAGGTCGTTTTACTTCGGATCCTGCGATTGATGGAGTGCATGATGTGTGGCATCGGCGGTGATTTGCTATCGGACGAGAGCGTGTGCGAGATGATGGAAACCGGACTAAGTATGTGCTGCCAGATGCGACTAAGCGAGATGCTGCGGCGATCGGCCGAGATGTCGATGGTCAACATGTGCCAGCGAGCGTTCGAGCTCTTGAAGCAGATCGAGCCTGAGTCGTCGGTCGCGGGCGTCGTCGAGGAAATGACGAGCATGCTCAGTCCTAATACCGCAAACGTGCAAATGGGCGAGCCCGTATCTGCCGTGCCACACGCCGCTTCGCCTGTCTTTGACTCGCCTAATCCGCAGATGGGTGACTTCCAAGTACCTCCCTCGAACGCGATCAATGATGACCAGTACGCCGACATTGATCTGAAGCCGTACGGCTTGCCTTCTATCCGAGAGTTGCTCCGGGTGCTGATTTCTTTGCTCGATCCCAACGATCGTCAACACACGGATTCGATGCGCGTCATGGCTCTGCGCATCATCGACGTCGCGTTTGAAGTCGCCGGTTCAACCATCGCAAACCATCCGTCGCTTCAAGTACTCGCTGTCGACGATCTGTGCCGTCATCTCTTCCAATTGATCCGGTACGACTCTCCCCAGCTTCTCCAGACCTCTCTCCGTGTTTCATCCACAGTTTTACATACAATGCGCCCCCATCTCAAACTGCAGCAAGAGTTGTTGCTGTCTTATGTCATCTCCTGCCTGCATTTGCGCGTCGAGATTCCCCGCGAAAACGGCGTCGATCCAAGCCTTTACGAAAGCATCCCGTCCACACCAACTGTCCTCCACCGATCCGCTTCTCAAATGACGACGAGCAGTACCACCTCCGGTACCAGCACGCCTGTGAATATCAAGGAGCGGCAGAAGCTTGGAATGGAGGGAAGCGCACGTGGTCCTGAGGCAAGAGAGGCTATGGTCGAATACCTGAGCGGGTTGGCGAGGATACCTAGTTTCATGGTCGATCTCTTTGTCAATTATGACTGCGATGTCGAGCGGGTTGATCTTTGCTCGGATCTTGTCGGAATGCTTAGTAGAGTGAGTTTTGTCCCTTTGATTTATTTTTTTCGACATATCCGCTAATGTTCAAAAAAACAGAACGCATTCCCAGATGCGGCAATATGGACAACACCAAACGTCCCGCCTCTTTGCCTCGATGCCTTGCTATCGTACGTCTCGTTCATAGCTGATAGATTAGAATTAGCGCCAAAGAACAAAGACGACTATCCTACCGCCGAGGATTTGATTGTTCGCCGAAGCAAAAAGCAGTTAGTCATCAAGGGCACAGAAAAGTTCAACAAAAACCCAAAGCAAGGGATCCAATTTCTCGTCGAAAACGGCATCATCGACGACGGAAGCAATCCCAAATCTGTGGCGGACTTTCTCCGAAACACGTCGCGGATCAACAAGAAGCTTCTCGGTGAGTTTCTGGCCAAGCCGTCAAACAAAGAGATTATGGATTGCTTCATCGACGGCTTTGAGTTTGATGGCAAGCGGATCGATGTCGCGCTGCGCGAGTTGCTCGAGAGCTTTAGACTTCCTGGTGAAGCGCAGCAGATTGAGCGGATTGTCGAGAAGTTTTCGGAGCGGTACTGTGAATTCTCGCCCAAGGACGTGGCTAATAAGGATGCCGCTTTTGTGCTGAGTTATTCCATTATTCTGCTCAACACCGATCTTCATAATCCCCAGGTGAAGAACAGGATGACGTTTGATCAGTACAAGAACAATCTGCGGTCGGTCAACAACAACAAAGATTTTGCGATCGAGTACTTGGAGGAGATTTACGAGGCAATCAAAACCAACGAGATCATCATGCCGTCTGAGCACGATAACCAGGCGGGCTTCGAGTATGCCTGGAAGGGCCTTTTGCAAAAGTCGCATGCTGCCGGACGCATGCTTGTCTGCCAGGACACAAACATATACGACGCCGAGATGTTCCGAGCAACTTGGAAGCCCGTTGTCGCGACCCTGGCGTACGTTTTCACTTCTGCGACTGATGACATGGTGTTTATGCGCGTCATCACGGGTTTCGATCACTGCGCGCGGATCGCCACAAAATACGGCCTGCACGAGGTTCTAGACTACATCATCCTCTGTCTGGCGCGTATCTCGACACTTTCGGTCGAGCCCGTGGGCAACAACACCGCAGACTCGACCGAGATCCGGATCGACGGCAGCAGTATCACCGTCAGCGAGCTGTCGGTCGGTTTCGGACGAAATTATAAAGCGCAGCTGGCGACCGTTGTGTTGTTCCGCGTCGTGCGAGGGAACGAGTATTTGATTCGAGATGGCTGGCGAGATGTTTTGTATATCTGGTTGAACCTGTTTACGAACTCGCTCATCTCGCCATACTTTTCGGAATTACAGGATAAGCTTGACGTTCCCCCGATCCCGATCATCAACGCAGTCAATATTATCAAGAAGAATGATCCGAAAGACAATAGCATTTTCTCTACTTTGTCTTCCTATCTGTCGAGTTATGCGGTCGACAGTCCTCCCGAGCCGTCGGACGAAGAACTTGAGAGTACTCTGTGCACAGTTGACTGTGTGAACTCTTGCAATCTGAGCGAGATTTTTGACAACATCTCCGCCCTTGATCCCAGTAATGTGATCTACATGATCAAGTCCCTGCTTGACGAGGCAGTGCTGCTGCAGCAGAAGCGGCCGTTCACAACTCTACGCGACGAGCTCACGAACGAGACGTCGTCGGACGCCGGAAGCGGTACTTTCCCTGCGTCGTCTACGATGAGTTCTCAGCCATCATCCGATCGGAAAACGGTCCCATTCCTTGCGCCTTTGAGCATTTACGTTCTTGAGATGGCGACCTGCCTGGTCGTGAAGGACTCTGCGTGCTTGAAGGCTCTCCGAGAGACGCTGATGGAGACGTTCAAGACCATTTTGGCGAATGCCGAGAATGCGTACCCGATCGTGGTGGGCAGGATCGCATGCTATATGCTTGCGGTTCTGAGAAAGGTGATTGCAGAGTATGCTGCGTCACCTACGGAGGAAGGATATAAAGAGCTCGTCGAGCTTAGCGGGGAAGTGTTTGTCGGCATCGCAAAGGTGAGCGGCGACATTCTCCGAGACACCGATGTTGTTGTCGCGTCTGCCATCGTTCACTGCTTCCGTAGCTCGCCCGAAAACATCCAGCTCGTGTTAGTGAACGCGCCGAACCAGGCGTTTTGGAAGACTCTGGAGGTGCTACAGGAAGTCACCGAGGCCGCGCCGCTGATATTCGAGCTCACGCAGGAGATCACTGGGTTTGTTGACATTGACGAGTTGGAAGCTAGAGATGAGAAAGAAAGTCGACCGAAGCTAAGTCTGATTCGTACGAGTGAAAACTTCCAGGCCGTGATTGACCTGCTCGGTGACTTTGCGAGCGCGGGAAGTATCGGAAGCGACTGGGAGCAGCGTCACGATCAGCAGCGAAACGGGAAGCCCAATCGTCGCATGGCGGCAGGTCGGTCGGCGACGCCTTCCGTGCCGCCGGCGGTGCAGAATCGGAATAACGGGATCGCGACGAGACCTAATCGCCGAAACTACAGCACGCTCGAGAAGTCGACGACCGCGTCGGGTGGGAACAGCGGCCGGAATAGCGACGATAGTCTGCGAGGAGCGGCGATGTTTAACGGGAAGCGGATGACGGCTGCGGAGGTTAATGCTGCGGTCGCGTCTGGCACGTTTGGAATGCAGCGGCCGTATGTCGATGTTATTGAGCGAGCGGTGAAGTCGGTGAAGATGATCAATGAGTTCCGGCTCTATGTCAAGGAGCTTGCAGATGAATCCAAGCTCAGTCGAGATGAGGGTAAGCCGTTCTTTTTTTCTTATAGGCCTTACTTTTATGCTAACATGCGTACCTAGGCTGGACCACATTCTGGCTTCCAATCCTCGACGGTCTTCTCTTGCAATGTCTGAACGCGTGCCGCGAAGTGCGCCAACAAGCCTTCGGCTCGCTCCAGCGCACGCTTCTATCCCCCGAACTCTCGACCACCTACGACGCCTTCGAATGGACCGCCATCTTCGACGCCGTCCTCTTCCCGCTCATCACAGGCCTTCTCCGCCCGGAAGTCTACCAAAGCGATCCCCGCGGCATGGGCGAGACGCGTCTGCAGGCCGCGTCGCTGCTCTGCAAGGTGTTTTTGTATTACCTCGAGCGCATGGCGGGATGGGACGGCACGCTCGGGCTGTGGCTCCGCATTCTGGACATGATGGACCGGTTGATGAACAGCAGTCCGCGCGACAACCTCGAAGAAGCGGTGGCGGAGTCGATCAAGAACGTGCTGCTCGTCATGAGCTCGACCGAGTACCTCGTTCATCCTAACCGCGCGGGCGGCGATAAGCTCAAGCTAGAGCTCTGGTCAAAGACGTGGAAACGGCTGGAGCGGTTCATGCCGTTGTCCGCGCTCGAGGGATTACTCATCGACGACGGAGTGAGCGCGTCTCCAGGCCGACCCGTCGACGTCGTCCTCGCTGCTGCTGCTGCTGCTGCTGCTGTATCTTCCGAACCCGTCGCGGTAGAGAGCGCAACCTCCCCCACGGTTACCGACGACGCACAACCAGCACCACCTGCAGAGACAACGACAACGACGACGGCGGAGTGAAACCGACTGAACTTGCCTCATACGCTTTTACAAGGCCAGCATCTTCACCAAAGCAACAGCGAAACCACCCCACAAGTGACATAAAGCGCGCGACTTCGTTCCTGTTCCCTTTCCTTTTTACCTATTTTTTGATGTTTTGTGTTGTCGTTTTTACTTTACTACATTTATCCGTTTTATTATTCGCTGGTCTGTAATATAGTTAGAGAGAATTTTTCCCATAGTCAGTTAAAAATAAACACCAAAGTGTATGATTTTTGTTATAATTTTTCCCTTCATATATCTCCGCGGCTCTGATCTGTCCTTTGCCGGTCACGATGTTCTGCAATTTTTAACTAACTAACTATTACCAAAATATTATATTATTCAAAAAAGAAGATGAAAAACTGGCTAGCTAAATAATTCTCATCTCATCTCAAAAAAAAAATTGACGTACACGCATCAAAAAGCTGCTCGATTTCGAGCCCGATTCTCGCTTGATAGCGAACTAGCTCTCCCAATACAACAAAATTACCAGATATAGACAAAAATTGGAAAGCAAGAGACATGTAGTGATTACACCTGGCACAGTACCAACGACGTTTATAATAACAAAAACAAAAGGAAAAAGGAAGATAAACATCGCTTCACAAAATTGCACAACTAAAAACAGGATACGGACTTATTGCTGCTGCTGCTGACCATTGAGCAATCTCAAGCACGCGTTCAGGCTCCGCGGGACTTCCTGTGACCGATACAGCTTCTCGAAAAACAAGAGCTGCAAAACAATCTTTCCGACCGGGTACGGCGCCTGCGCGTCCTTCTGCGCGCGTCGCGGCTTGGACGCGTCGTGCCCGGGCTTGGTCCACTCGTTGTAGCACGGGATCTCGAGGATCTTGGACGTCATGCGGACTTCGTTCTCAATCTCCTGCAGGGAGATGTAGGAGCGGGCGAAGGAGCCGTCGGCGCCGAGGTACTTCTCTACCGCGTCGGATCTGCGCGAGAGCTCGCCCGATGACCGGACGCTGTCGCTCAAGGACTCGGATTGAGGCGCGAACCGGCGCTTGGAGGACGCAAAGAGTTTGTCAAAGCCGAATTTGCCGTTCTTCTTCGTCGGCGAGGGCGAGCGCGATGTCGGCGCAGTAGGGTGGTTGACCTTCACTTTAAGGGTTAGGATGAATTCAAGATCTTCGCTGGCAATTAGCTCAAACTCCTGGTAGATGGCGGCGTTCTTTGTCAGATTCATGTGGGGGTGGTCACGCAGTGAATACCGTTGTCGAGCGTAAGCGTAAAGAACATTTGCGAGTCTATAACGATTTGGATTAGCAACATGACTCAAAAATAGTGCAAGAGGGGAACATACCATCGCCGGACTCGGGCAACTTCATATCCTTAAGCGCAAGAACCTTCACAAACAATCTACCCCGATCAGCAGGATCAACCTGCTCTGCCGGATCGCTCAAGATCGCCTCCAAATCAGCAGGAACAACGTACATCGCCTTCGACGACTGCGCGGCAGACGAGGGCGCAGTAGTCGCGACCTTCTCATCGTCAATCAGCATCGACTGGGCTTTAACGCGTGCGTCCCGCTCCGTCTTTGCAGGAGGATGGGGTGCAACCGCCGGCGCCACTAGAGGAACGTTGCGAGTTTTCTTAACGGGTGTTTCAGCTTCCTGAGGTTGAGTGTTGCGCTCGGTCATTGGCTCAGCACCGCCGCGGCCGGGGATCATTAATAGTCTCTGGGCCATGGGCGATTCATCGGGGAAGTCAGAAATAGCACGAGCATATACGACTCTAGTGTTCTGGCGCATAAGGTAGCCTCGCTAGAATATCTCAGTTAGCAATAGTCGATTACATCACTGCAGAAAATAATGTGGACCAACCTTTTGGACCTCAACGACCTGATCAAACTCCTTTTCCAAATCAAAAGAATCGTCCTCTCCGAAATCCAAATCGAGCAACTGGCGTCGTCTGGACGGCGACCCCGGAAGCTCGTCAACGTAATCCGGCAAATTGAAGAATCTCTGCTGACCAGATCCACCACTAGCCTTACGCACCTCGCTAGTCAACGTATGAATGTCACCAGGTGTCATGCTTGGACGTGTCCGTGCCCCGGACGCGGACTTGATGGTCTGCACAGCCGACGCGCGACCTTTGGGAAGATCGAGCAAGACAGCGGTGTCGAACTCGGCGCTGTCGTAGCCTTCCAGAGATAGATCGTTCTGAGACCAGTCGCGCGACAAGAATGAATTCGAGTTGAGATACTCGTCAAACCCAAGCGTGCTTTCCTTCTCGTCGGCCTCGAATGGTAGTTCCATGAATGATCCGGTAGAGGTACTCTTTGTCATTGTCTGCTTGACCTCAGACTCAGCCTTCATCTCGTCCCTAGGTGGACTCTTGAAGTTGTTGAGAGCATTCTCAAGAATGTCCTCTCCATGATCGGCATCATCTGTAGTCTCGTCATCTGACCACTCGTCGTCGACGACAGGAACTTCAACCGGCTCACTAGTCTCCTCCTTCTCCTCATCATTAGGTACGACAATCTCTTCCTCCTTCTCCAAAGTCTCCAGCTGCTCATCAGAAACCATCTCATCCTGAATAGTCTCTCTAACCTCAAGCGAAGCAAGCTGCGAATCCAGATTTGTAATTGGCTCTTCCTGAAGTGAGAATTCTCCCGAGCTGGTCGCCTCCCGTTCAACTTCAACAGGTGCAGCTCTTTCCTCGACTATTTGTTCATTCTCGTGCTCAGCTGAAGTATCAGCAGTAACCTCTTCGTCATATGAGATGAAGCTCAAAACGTCAGCAGGCACTATAGACTCGACCACTTCGTCTCTCTCTTCATCAGACACCACACTGTCGTTCTCGACTGCGGCAGAAGTCTGCATCGATTCAGAAAAGTTCTGAACAACCTCTTGCTTCTCAATCTCCTCTTCCTCCGCCACGGTCTCCATCTCAGGCTCTTCATCAGAGTCATCATACGCATTCAACACATCCATTGCATCATACTCTGACGCCATACTAGAGTTGCGCTTCGTACGTCCCTGAGGAGCACGAAGAGGTGGCTCCTCTCTAGCCTCCATCTTGGGAGCAGCAGCCGCCGTAGGACGAACAGGAACAGCAGGTAGCGGACGAGCGCCTCTGACGCTCGAAGTACGCTGGGGACGATTGCTATCCGGAGAACTTGATGAGGTGTCGTATTTAGCTAAAGGTGAAGACGGACGATCTATCGCGGCTCGTGCTGGAAGATGCAGGTTCTGCTCGCGCCGCCAGCTGGCGTCGTCCAAAGTTGACGATGTGACTGCTTGCTCAGGCTGCGCTTCAAACTCCAGGACCTGAGGTGGCGCCATTTCAAACGTAACTTTTTTAGAGCGCAGAGAGCCCGACGACGACATCAGCGACGAGCGTTTCTCAAAGTTGAGCGGACGCACGTTGGGCGACTCGCGCTGCTGCAAGTGCGGCTGGTCTATGTCCGCGCCGTCGTGCTTGGTCTTGTTGAAGTTTAGCGGTTTGGTCGGCGAAGCCGGGAGCGGCCTTGCGGGCGACGAGGCAGCGCTGCCGCCTCCGTTGGGTGAAGGAAGGAAGATGCTGTTGCGGATCCGGTTGCTGATGATCGGGCTTCCGTCGGCGGAGGAAGCTGGTTTGACCACATTGCGCTCTTTCTCCTGCCAGAAGCTCATGAGCTGCTTCGTGCGAGGAGACAGGTCTGGCCTGGACTCGGCCGGCGCGGCGATCTCAATCTCGGGGATGTGGACCTGCGTCGGCATCTGGAAGTTTGGTTTATCGAGCGCGACGTCGGAGACGATATGCGAGTTCTCATTGTTGTTGTTGCTGTTGGTGATGCCGACTTTCCCGTCAAGCTGCTGCAGCGCCCGGCGGTGATCTGCCGTCGAAGGCGAGTTGCGACGGGAATCGGTCGACTGGACTTCAGCGAGCGGATTCGAAACTCGTCGAGTGAGTCCTTTTGTGGGTGTCAGTGGTTGGCCGTTGACATGTGTGACATGAGGCCCGAATGTAGGCGTCGAGTGAGAGTTCGACGCCATCGTGTGTTTTGGCGAGGTCTGCGTTGGCGATGTCTTCTGTTTTCTGTTGTCGAGGAGTAGAGGAATGATCAAAAGTTGATGGGACGATGATGCGAGTGGAGGTGTGGAAAGAGTAGGATGATTTAGTGCCGGAGCTGTCAGTCAACAGTATAATTGGCTTTTTTAGTGGTAAAGGCGCAGTTTTCCCTTTGCGCCGGGCACAGCAGCGGACGTGCTCATTGTTTACGAATTGGCTTGTTGATCCTGCGGGAGTTTATTGTCATGCCCGCGGTTGTCAAGGCAACTGATAGTGAGGCTAAGCTAGTTTAGGTTAGAGCGAGGCTGTTTTGGGAACGCGCACTGGGGACTCCCTTGTCCCAGCTATTCACATATGGGCCGGGGTTCTGCATTTGCAATTGTGCTGCTTCAACTGCATCAGTTGTAGCTGTTGATGATTTAAAAGCTCTGTTCGTTCATCTTCGCACAGTTCTGCTCTAAAGACATCTAAAGGTGTAAATGTCACGTGACTACTAGGGGGTTTAAATATAAGGGGGGTTAGGCAAAACTCCCAACGTGAAATAATCACGAGCTGGATGCCTTGCCACACGCACACAAAGAGGCATCAAGCTGTGCACTTTTGACCCCCAAAGAGCATCAATAATTGCAATACTCTGGTTGGTCTCTTTCACGCTCTGCTCTGTACTGTACTGTGCTGTAATTCAAAAATGCGATTTCGACAAGAACGGCAAGGAAATAGAAGCGCTCGACAAGCGGATTTTTGAGCAAATTTGAGGAAAGACGACACGACGAGCAAGATATCTGTCCATGCTACTTCTCGCTTGCAAACATGCGCGTGCCTTGGTGCTGGGACGCAGGTACATTGGGTCTGTATTAAGTGCTTGTCTTTGTCTGTTTATGCTTAAATATATGCTTAAGCAAGATTGGTTTCTGGGATTGCTTTTGACGGCGGTGAGCTTGGTGTTTGGTACTTGACAGGTACATTCGTCTCTGTTCATACTTTGGTCTCCCATCGAGAGGCTGTATCAGGCCCATATTATACATGGAGACAGTAAGAACTGTACATCTATAGCCTATCCTGCCTGTCTGACAGCCACATGGATCAATATCTTTGATTTAGCAGATATCTGATGAACTACCACATTTGGAACCCTAACCGTGGATATAATATGCCGTTGCAAGTACCTTCACGTTATTGGTATAGTTATTATAAGAGGAGCTACTGTATAGTGCAAAGGATATAAAGAAGAAGAAAAGGTGTCAACCCGATTAATTATTAAATAGGAGTCATTACAACAAACAAATCAAAAGGTGTATAAAACTAAACAAAAAAACACATGAGGACCATAAGCTATCACTATCGGACAGCTTAGACCGACGCGGTCTTGGTCTCCTCATACTCCTCGCCGGCGGCAGCGGCGGCTTCAGCACGACGAGCCTCCATCTTTGCTCTGCGCTTGGCGACCTTCTTCGCGTCGCGCTTCAGAGTCCAGGACTTGAGGCCAGGGTAGTATCCGTTCTTCTCCTTGTAGAGGAAGAGCAAGACGGCGACCATGACGGCGATCCAATAGATGTTGTAGGAGATGACGGAGCCGTAGGTGGCAGAGTTTTGCCAGCCAAAGAGGGCGTTGAAGATCATCCAGCCACCGTCGTTCTCGGGGTCGCAGCAGTTGACGTGCCAGACGGACTTGCGGATATCGTACGAACCAGCACCGGTGCCGGACTCGGCAGCGCCGTCACCGACGAGCTGGACCCACTTGTAGAACTCGAGGTACCAGACGGCCTTGGAGAAGAGACCGGCGCCGACGAGGTAGAGGAAGCAGGTAGCGACGATGAGGAAGAACTGGATCTTGACAAAGTCACCACCCTTGTACATAAGGTAACCGATGAGGATACCACCGGCAAGACCGCAGATGACGGGGAGAGGGAAAGCCTTGGCGGGGGAGGAAAGCGAGACACCACCGACGAAGACGATGGCCTCGACACCTTCACGCAAGATGGTGATCAAAGGCAGGATAGCCATGGCGTACTTGCGCGAGAAGCGGCCGAACCAGCCCTTGCCGTAGTGGTTGCGCTCCTCGAGAGCCTCGGCGATTTTGACGCGCCACTTCTCCTTGAGCTTGTTGAGACGGAGCATGGCGAGACCCATGATGGAGATGATGATGGTCGCGATGAGACAGAAGACACCTTCGTAGATATCTTCGGCCGAGCCCCAGATATCTCTGCCGAGAGAGTACCAGGTACCGATGAAGGCACCACCGATGACTAGACAGCAGAATAAACCGATTGCGGAACCGACCCAGACATGTTTGACGAGACGCTTGTAGAGAAGGGGGTCTTCGGATGAGCGTCCAACACCTTGCTTGAGGAAAGCAAGAAGGACGGAGATGATGATTGAGGCCTCGAGGGTTTCTCGGAAGACACTGGGGAGGTGTTAGTATGGGAGAGAAAAGAGAGAGGAGAGGAGGTAGAGGGTGATAGAGAGAAGGAACATACATGAAGAAGACGGAGACGTCAAAGACGTTGTTAGCCATTGTGAGGGAGTGAGTGGGCGGGGGAGGAGGAGGAGGAGAGAAAAGACGGGAGGAGGAGGACGGGAAGCTTATAGGCAGCGCCGAGGAAGATCGAGTGGCATCGCAGCGAGCAGCCGAGATGGCAGAGAGCGGGCGCGGGAGGGTGAGAAAACGTGAGCGCGAGGTGCGCGGGCGAGCGAGCGATGGGGTATCGGAACCTTAATCGGGGGTACGGTCGACACGGGCAAAAGACAAAATCGCAGTTTGGACGGATGAGGTCTAGACTTTGGTCGCCGGGAGCAGTGAGTGTGAGGGATGATGATGGTGTTGCTACACTTTGCTCGGATTTACTGCTTTTTTGTGTAGATGAGGATGCTTGTGATGATTATATATGCGGCGAATAAGAATATGAACGTGAATTGATGAGAATAGTCGCTGTGTCCATGAGGCAGGGAAGAAGGCATAGCAGTAGAAGAGCAAAGAGCAATCCACTTGCTAACCACCATCCATTGTTTTCACTATTTCCACCTTCTCGTTTTCATTCTACAATTCTGGAATCTGTCACTCCTCTTCATCTCCTCCTTCTCGCTTCTATTTCCTGTCGTCCGCAACTCTCTCCTGTCTTTTTCTTGGTCTTTTGTCATCTTGGCCGGTCTCCCAGGGCCTGCGCGCTGTCCTCCTCGTCGTGTTTGCTGGAACCAGCATCCGTTTGCGGACAGCGGCGGACGACTGCTTGGCGCTGGTTTGTTTGTGTTTTTGTTTTTGTTTTTTTATTTTGTTTGTTTGCTTGCTTGCTTGCTTGCTTGCTTGCTTGCTTGCTTGCTTGCTTGCTTGCTTCTTTGTAGATTCACTTGTGACAGTAGTTTTTCTTAATAAACCACCTCTGCTCTTTCACAACAACACACATATCACCTCTTCTCACTGCATCTCCCTCACGTCTGGACTGCTCCGGCCCGTCGGGAGCCTGGTCGGAAGCAAGCAGAGGGTGCACTGACAGCGGCAGAGCCAAGACCGGGCCTAGACCGATCCCGGCCTTATCTGATGCAAAACCGCCGTTTAAGCTCTGCCAACTCGTCTCTTTGCTTTTTCCCTGTTTAAAACTGTATTTGTTAATGAGCCGCACGACTCACCGTGTCGCGCGACTCTTTGCTCGCGCCCGCTCGCGACGGCGGCCTGTCCCGGCCTTGGGCTTCTCTCTTTCCTTGCCTTCATATGGTCTCTGCCTCCCACCCGTCTTCCTCTTCTTCCTCCTCCTCTTCCTCCTCATCCTCTGTCTCTCTCCATCCCTCCATCCCTCCTCCCACCTTCCCCAGCCATGCGCTTCTCTCTGGTAGCCGCCCTCGCTGCCGTCTCCGGCGTCCTCGCCAAAACAGTCCAGTATGACATGACAATCGAATGGGTCGACGCCAACCCCGACAACGCCTACGAGCGCAAGCTGATTGGCGTCAATGGAGTCTGGCCGCCGCCCGTTATCGAGTGTGACATCTACGACCGAGTGATCGTCAACGTCACCAACAACCTCGGCGAGCCCACCTCGATCCATTTCCACGGTCTCTACCAAAACACCACCGCCTACATGGACGGCCCCGTCCACGTCACGCAGTGCCCCATCCCTGATGGCTCGAACTTCATCTACAACTTCACCGTCGACCAGCCTGGTACTTACTGGTACCACTCGCATTACACGGCGCAGTACCCCGACGGTTTCCGCGCGCCCTTCATCGTCTACGACCCTGATGAGCCGTTCGCGGACGACTACGATGTCGACACCTACCTCACCGTCGCTGATTACTACCATGACTCTGCTCCGTGGTTGTTGAAGAACAAGTTCTTGACCCTCGCCAACCCTACCGGATCCGAGCCCATTCCTGGTATGCACTCTTCCTCTTGTTTTCATATTCAAAGACAGAAATACTAACAGAGCCTAGACAACGGACTGTTGAACGAGACCCAGGACTACAAGTTCCTCGTCGAGCCCAACACGACCTACAAGATCCGCATCATCAACATCGGTGCTCTTGTCTCGCAGTACATCTGGTTCGAGGGCCACGAGTTCGACGTCGTCGAGGTCGACGGAATCTACGTCGAGCCCTACACGACCGACCGTATCTACGTCACCGTCGCCCAGCGATATACCATCCTGCTGACGACCAAGAACTCGACCGACACCAACTACCCGTTCATGACCTCGTTCGACACCGACATGCTTGACACTATTCCCGACGATCTCATGTGGAACGTCACCGGCTGGTTGACCTACGACGAGGACGGAGATTTCCCCGATGCCGCAGTCATCGACGAGTGGGTCTTCCTTGATGACTTTGAGCTTGTTCCCGTTGAGAAGGAGACTCCTTACGAGCCCGACACCACGATCACTGTCTCGGTCTCGATGAACAACTTGGACGATGGTGTCAACTACGCGTTTTTCAACGACATCACCTACGTCGCGCCCAAGGTGCCCACTCTCTACACCGTCATGTCGTCCGGCAACCAGTCGACCGACGCGACCATCTACGGTTCAAACACCAACGCCTTCGTCTTGGAGCACAACGACGTGGTCGAGATCGTGCTCAACAACGCCGATCCCGGTAAGCATCCTTTCCATCTCCACGGCCACGTCTTCCAGGTGATTGAGCGCTCGGAAGCGTCGGCGTCGGACGACGACTACATCGTCTACGATTCGTCCAACCCGGGCACTGTCAACGAGTACCCGATGCGCCGAGACACCGTCTACATCCGACCAAACGGATACTTTGTCATTCGCTTCAAGGCCGACAACCCGGGTGTCTGGTTCTTCCACTGTCACATCGAGTGGCATTTGGAGCAGGGTCTCGCGCTGACGCTCATCGAGGCGCCGCTCGAGATGCAGAAGTGGACCATCCCCGAAGACCATTACGCGGCGTGCAAGGCCGGCGGCTACGAGTACGAAGGAAACGCGGCCGGCAACACCGTCGACCTGACCGACCTGACGGGAGAGCCCGTGCAGCCGGTCGAACTTCCCGCCGGCTTCACGACCAAGGGCGTTGTCGCGATGGTGTTTTCGTGCATTGCTGCCTTTGTGGGCATGGCGTTCATCACCTGGTACGGTCTTTCGGAGCTCAAGACTACCGAGCACCAGGTCGCGGAGATCATGGGCGAGATCCCGCTTGATGACGAGAGCAGCGGATCAAAGTAAGCTGAGAAAAGATAGATATGTTCTGTTTATTGTTTGATTTGCTGCTGCTTTTAAATCAGTAGTTTTTGTGTTTTGTGTATCCTTCTATCCTTTTTCTCGAGAGCTACAAGTATAGTCTTTCTGACGAAATTCACTTTAATGAATTCACCCCCTTTTTTTTATATTTTTTTTATCGAGCTGGGTTGAGTGCTTTGTTAGCCCGAGCTACTTGTAATATTGTTTTATTATCAGTGCTTCATTCTTTAAATTTTCTCTTTAATAGCTAATATATCGGTTGGTTTTATATTATATCTCATCAAGTAGTCTTTATAAAAGAAAATCAAAGTAGTAGCAAGTCAGTCTCGGCAGAGGAAGAAAAGTGGTGAAGTAGAACAGCAGGAGTTGCAAGGCGTAGCGGAGTATGCCAAGCGTGCCAAGCCCAACTGTTCACACCCCCAAGAAATCTCAAAGACTTGGCTCTCATCGTCGTCGGCAGCGTCAAGCCCATCTCATACAGATCTCCGCGCACTCTCCCTCTTTCTCTACTCATCCTCTTGCCTCGCCTACCTCCGCGCGAGTAGCAGGGACTTCAGGTGTTACGGATTACCCTCGCGAGTTTAGGTTCCTGAAGCCGCAGGGCGTGTCGAACGCAGACCTCCTGAAAACGAGGGGAGATGCAGAGTTAAGTTCACCTAACCCGACGTGCGGCTTGACTCCTGAGAAAGTCTTCGTCAGAGGGAGGGTGAGGATGTGAGGAGGAGGATGGGGGATGGAGATGGAGAGGAGGGGTTGGATTATGGTGGTGATGATGGTGATGGTGTTAGTTATAAAAAATGCGTCTTACGGAGGAAGGAGAATGTGCTGTTAGAGAAGAAGCAGGACGACTAAGAGAGCGACGAGGAAGCACTCTTTGTCGCTGCAAAGTTGCAGAACACTAGAACATTACAAGTTATTCACACACACATCTCTAACGCCCGCTGCTCAATCAAATCCCTACAATCTCACTAACTGCAGAGATAAAGAAAAGCAGGAGGGGAAAACCCCGCAAAATCGACACGAGGTCATCTCGTCAGGGGCCAGCCAGGCAGCTTAAACGCGGATAGAGACCACGCTGGCACATGTCACCCGTCGTACCGGGGGCAGGACAAAGACAGGCGGGCAAAATTCGGTCAGAAAAATGCGGTTTTGCCCGAAACGGGCCCCGGCGATGGGAGAGGCAGGGAGCGAGAGAGAAGAGATAATGCCGCAGGAGAGAGCGAGTGGGTTGAGCGGGAGGAGGAGTACGAGGGAATAGGGTTTGGAGGTACCCGCCTAACGAGAATCACGGTCCGAAGACCCCGATGCGAGCATAAACAGATAATCGTCCTCTCTTTCTCTTTACGGCATACATCTTTTATATATTCTTTCTGAAGACTATATGCAGAATACTACATCTACAGCACGATCGAGACAGAGAGGGGAGGACAGGTACAGGGCAGAGAAAGAGCAGGTCCAAAAGCGTCCAGACACTAACCCCAAACGAGACTGCGGGATTTTTGATTTGTTTGTAACCAGAAGCGCGTACCCGCAGGCAGTAACCGTAACCGGAACTGGCTGCTGTTTCTGCGCCCGGCCTGCCGCTGATAATGATTATCAGATAAATCGTTAACAGATGGACCAGGCCGGACGAGAGCGAGCGCGCGGGAGCGATGAGAAGAAAAGTGATGATGGCATACCAAGAAATGGCAGGCAAGCCAAGCATTTGCCGACACCTCGCCTCTGCGTAATAAGCAGCAGGAACAGCAGGCAGGCCGGTGGTCTTCTGGGCTTGGCTTTTGGAGCCAAGTCGGTTTGTTGTGGTTGGATGGGTGGTCAAGGGCTTGGCCTGGGTGGAAGTGAAGATCAAACCCGCGGCGGGCTTGGCACTCCACCCTGAGCTGGGCGGCCGAGATGGAGCTCGACCGGATGCTCTGCTCCGCGGTCACAGCACGCTGGAAAGAACTGCCTGATAGACCAGGATAATAGTCAGTAGACAGCAGAGAACAGTAGGCAGTGCCGGAAGAAAAAAAAAAACAAGGTTTGCGGAGCGCGGCCCATCTGATTACTTTTGCGCGCAGAGTTAATTCGTCGCAGGTCTTCCACCCGCGCTGGCTACGAGCAGTGCTACCGCTGGTCCTTAGTCTGAGTACCAGAGTTAATCTTTCCATCGCCAGGCCTGGCCTCTTCCTATTGACCAAACCCTCGCAAGAACACTGACCACCTTCCCGGCTCTCCTCACGACATATATCTATTCCGCGTTCTGCCTTTGTTCGTTTTTCTCCCTCCCTCCCTCCCTCTCTCCATCCCCCTCCCTCACACACACCATGCGTCTCTCGACCATCCTCCTCGGCGCTGCCACCGCGGCCGCCTCCGTCGCTGCAAAGACCGTCCAGTACGACTGGGTCGTCAGCACCGTCACCGCCAACCCCGACGACCTCTACGAGCGCGACGTCGTCGGCGTCAACGGCGCCTGGCCTCCCCCACCGATCGTCGTCGAGAAAGGCGACCGTCTGATTGTCAACATGACAAACAAGCTCGACCAGCCGGCCTCCATCCATTTCCACGGCATGTACCAGAACGGCACAAACGAGATGGACGGCCCCGTCTTTGTCACCCAGTGCCCTGTTCCCTCGGGCTCGAACTTCATCTACAACTTCACCGTCGACCAGGTCGGTTCGTACTGGTACCATTCGCATTACAAGGCGCAGTACGTCAACGGCTTCAGAGGTCCGCTTATCGTCAAGGATCCTGATGAGCCTTGGGATTACGATGAGGATGTTTACTTGACCTTGTCTGACTGGTACCACGACGATGCATTCTACCTTGTCAAGAACGAGTTCTTGACTCTTAGAAACCCCACTGGTGCCGAGCCCATTCCTGGTATGTATATCCTCTTGTCTGCAGTCAAGTGCACTGATGCTAACTTTTTGTAGACGCTGGTCTCATGAACGACACCCAGAACGTCAAGTGGAAGGTGGAGCCCAACACCACCTACAAGCTGCGAATCATCAACATTGGTGGTTTCGTATCTCAGTACATTTGGTTCGAAGGCCACGACTTTGAGATCGTCGAGGTCGACGGAATCTACGTCGAGAACCAGAAGGCGTCGATGCTGTACGTGACCGTTGCGCAGCGCTACACGATCCTGCTGACGACCAAGAACACCACCGACGAGAACTTCCCGTTCATGATTTCGTTTGACCTCAACATGCTCGACAACCTGCCCGACACGCTGCAGTACAACACCACCGGCTGGCTCACCTACGACGAGGACGCAGACTTCCCGGACGCGGCGGTGATCGACGAGTTTGACTTCTACGACGACTTCTACCTCGTCCCGCTCGAGAAGGAGGAGCCCTGGGAAGCCGATACCACCATCACCGCCACGGTTATCATGGACAACTTGGGCGACGGCGCCAACTACGCGTTCTTCAGCAACGAGACCTATGTGGCGCCCAAGGTTCCCACCCTCATGACCGTCATGTCCGCGCCCGAGAACGAGTCGACGAACGCGTGGATCTATGGCTCGAACACGAACGCACACGTGCTCGAGTACGGCGACGTTGTCGAGATCGTGCTCAACAACGGCGATACCGGTACCCATCCTTTCCATCTCCACGGTCACGCGTTCCAGGTCATCGAGCGGTCGAACGCGTCGGACTCGGACGACGACTTCATCACCTACGACGCCTCGAACCCGGGCATCATCAACGAGTACCCGATGCGCAGAGACACGCTCTACCTGCGTCCTAACGGCTACTTTGTCATCCGCTTCAAGGCCAACAACCCGGGCGTCTGGTTCTTCCATTGCCATATCGAGTGGCATTTGGAGCAAGGTCTCGCAATGACCTTGATCGAGGCCCCCACCGAAATCAGAGAACGGATCACGATCCCCGACGACCACTGGGCGGCCTGCAAGGCCGGCGGATACTCGTACGAGGGCAACGCTGCCGCAAACACAGAAAACTACTTTGATCTGACCGGCGAGGCCGTGCAGCCGGACCCGCTCCCGGCGGGATTCACGGCGCGCGGAATCGTCGCGATGGTGTTTTCGTGCGTGTCGGCGTTCTTGGGCATGGGCTTCATTACCTGGTACGGTATGTCTGAGCTCAAGACGACGGAGCATGAGGTCGCGCAGGTGATGGGAGAGATCCCGCTCGATGACGAGAGCGGTGAGTCCAAGTAGACTCTCTCTTTTTTTTTTTTGCCTCGTGTACACCATTGTTTCTGAGCGTTTTCTTTTTTTTCTGTAATTCATAATTCTTTTCTGGTTTTTTAATGGCTAGTTTGCTACTCCGTAAAACTTGGTTCTTTTCTCTATCTTTTTCTCTTTCTATTTGTTAATGACGATTTGTTCATATCCAGAGTATAATATTATTAATCACAACCAACTAAACTATGTATGAAGGCGATGACGATTGCTCGGCATGATGCCGGCGAATTCATCTCAGGTGAAAATGAAAAAGATGGGGGGGATTCAGCAGATCTTTTGACAGGATTGTCAGTAGTTTAGAATTTTGTTTTGCCTCGGATGTTGCGACGGTAAACGAAATTACGCCCCGAAACTATAACGAGTGAGTCGTCGTCGACAGATGACCAACCAAGCAAATGCCCGGGAGAAGAAAGAAGCTAAGAGAACGAGGAGAAGAAGAACAAGACAGACTATGCCGATACCGGACCGTAGGGCGGTTGGGTAGGTCGGAAGAGCATGCATGCGCGCGTGCAGAGCGTCCAGCCCATCGAGACCACCGCGGCTTTTCTTGTCTGTTTTCTCGCCTCTCGGATCGCTCCAGATTTCAAGGAAAGCGGAGGGAAAGGGAAAAAGTTTCTACTGGGCCTGTGTTTTGGGTTAGAGTGGGTGGATGGAGGGGGATAGAGTGTTGGGTGTTGGGTGTCTGTGTGTTTTTGGTTTATCTGATTGAGTGTAAATTTTTTCAGTGTCTTTTGAAAGATGTTTCGAGATTTTGTTATATAAAGAATATATGAATGCATCCGCATGAATAACTCGCTTTAGCCTCTCCTTTATCTCCCCTTATGTTTCATTATATACGAATGAACGAGCACGCACGCATGCATGCATGCAAGCGGAGGAAAAGCCTGCCCGAAAATAAAGTTGGCCGGAAGATGAGGGCTGGACCGCTAACGGAGATTGGGGATCAGATAATCAAACAGGAGGAAGCAAAGCAAACGCAAAATTCAAAATAAGAAAATTCTTGCAATCTGATATGCAGAGGATTTATAACTATCACTCTGTTGATTGTTCGTGTCTTTTTCGTTCTGTCTGTGAGGGATGATGCGTGGATGTGACAGGTTTCTATTCTGTCTGTAGATGTAGATTCACAGACGTCTGTCTGTTCTGTCAAACAAGTACAGTAGGAAAGTCAAACCAGTCCCTCGTCGGACTTGAACAGCACCCCAGCACTACGTGGACGACGTTGACGTGGAGGGCAAATGGTCTAGGCGACTTTCTGAAATATGCTTCCTCGTCTTCGGATTTCCTTTCATCTGTTTTTTTTTTTCGCATCGTTCATTTATTCGATGGGGGTGGGTTATAGTGGGTGGTTGCCCTCGTGTCTTTGCGGATGCGTAGCCGTTGACGCGGTGGAGGTGCAACGACGACGACTGTCTACTGAATGATTTACCTGCAATGAGTAGCGTAGCCAACTATCCAGTTATTATAAATATCATCAACAACACTGTGAGCAGCAACACAATCACCAACACAGCGGCTTTCGCATTGCTGTCCTGCCCCGTGTTTAGGGCAACAAACCAGCTACTTTCCAAAACTCAAAACCGCCGTTCGCCAGATTTCCAGCGCTCGACTTGCAAAGTTTTCTCTGCTCAGCAGCCGCTGTTCTGCTCTCTCCTTCCTCTCCTCGTCTTTTGTCTCGGCACCGTGTCGAGATCCATATTACTCTTGGGTGCATTTAGACTTCCCATCAACCGAGCTCTTGTCTTCCCATCCCATCCCAATCGTCATCTTCCTCTGCTTGCTCTCGGGTTTTTTCGCCTCTGCCGTCGCATTATTTTTCAAAAGCGAGCAAGTGGCGCCATTGCCTTCTCCAAGTCCCTGTTCTAGAGCCCGTGGCTGAACACCACCGCGTGCCTTCTTCACCATCCAAGAGTCAAAACAAGTAGACGCCACTAAACATGTGGTGTGGTGCTTCTTCCGATAATCTAACCTAATCACCCGCCGCCGCCGCCATCCTCTTCGCCCTCTCTCTCTTCCGCTTTTTTTCACACTTCATCTAGACTCCCGCTCTATCTACTACTAACCCTTATCTCCCGACGAATCAACATCAACGCCCAGGCACCGCATGGCTGACATGACATGACATCTCTCGCGCGCCCGGAGAAACTGCGTCAGGTTTCCCGTTTTATCTCCTCTTGCTTCCAAGTCCTCGTAACCGTTTTTCATTCATTGATTTACTCATTCACAACTAAAGAAAAAAAGAAAAGTCCAACCGGACTTATCCGATCCAAACACCGTTTCGTAGAGTGAAAAAAAACCTGCAGTGAGGACAGACCACGTCCTGGCTCTAGATCGATCTTTCGCTACCTTACCTTTGTGACTCTCCCTCCCTCTCCCTCTCCCTCTCCCTCTCCCTCCTCCCTCTCTCTCTTAGCTCCAGCTCTTCTCCGACAGACTCCGAGAAAAGGACCCACTCCTACTCCTTTCGTTAACTTTCTCCCAAACTCCGTGGCACCACCTCCGCCTAGCTTCCGAGGACGTGCGCCTCCGTTGTCAAAAATTTTTTCTGCGTTTATCAGATGGGGGTAGGTTGTGCGGAAGTCGGCTGTCGGCTGTCGGCAGCGGAGAGAGGGCGGATGTTATCTCATCGCTGTGAGTTTCTGATCATCTTCTGTTCACAGCATCTGACTGCTTTATTCGTACTTCCTCCTCCATCACACTCACTCCTCTTCTTCTTTTCATATAAACCAATCACCATCCCCTCCTCTCACCATTAACACATCATCCACATCTGAATCCCATCATCCAAATAAATATAAAATAAACTGCCTGTAGCCGCATTGGATGTGACGACTGCCTATTCCGTCCACACTTTATTTTTTTTTTGCATACCCGGCTTGCTGGCGCGCTCGGGTACTTTCCTTACCTTACCTTACTTATCACCACTATACCCTGTCATGTCATGCGACTACACGACTTGACTCAGTCGGGCGGGTTAGTAAGTGGTCTGAGGTGAGGTTATGTAATTTTTTTGAGAGGATGTATTTCCGCTTTCGGCAGTTTGGAATGATCGCTGAATGCTTAGTACACAAGCGTCACACTATTGTAATAAACTAAGTGACCATTACAGATTCCGTTTTTGGTAATTTTATACTCGACTGATTAAAACTACTTGATAATAACTAGCGATACAACTCAACAACCAGATCATACCTACTTCTCCCCAGCCACAGACGCTCTCTCAGCGTGCTCGTTCTTCTCCTTCTCATGCATCGTCCGCAAAATATCCCGAACCTGCCGCTCAGCCTCAACATCAACCACCTCATCCTTATCAAACACGCGCGCCATCTCCTCGAGCGTGTGTCCGCGCGTCTCGGGGTATCCAAAGTACGTCGTGATGATGATGCCGATGAGCAGCCCGAGGAAGATGAAGTAGTACTTCCACTGGATGTTTTCGAGCGCGATCGAGTTCACAAACAGGTTGAAGATCAGGGCGAGGAAAGTAGATACCTGGACGACGACGAGGCCGCGCGCACGGTTGGTGTAGTTCCAGATTTCGGCGGGGTAGGCGATGATGAGCGGCGTGTACGCGATATCGTAGAATCCGTAGTAGATAAACAAGAACGGAATCATCGCGATTCCAGTCGCGCTGTTGCCCGTGTTTGCAAACGAGCCCGACAAGGCAGTGATGAAGACGTACGATAGCAACATGCCGACTCCAGACGTCAGAAACAGCAGCCGGCGACCAGCGTAATCAACTACAAACGCGGCAAACACGGCGCAGATCAAGTTCCAGAGTTGCAAAAAGCCATTTATCAGCGTCTGCTTGGTCACAGAGGTGATGCCGACAGAGTTGAGCACGATCGAGAGGTAATAACTAACCACGCCGACGCCGTTCCACTGCGCAAACACGCCGAGAGTGATACTGATAAACAACCGGTGTCGATTCCCAGGCGTCTTCCACAACAACGACCACGATCCATTCTTAGCCGCGTACTTCTCGAGCTCCAGCGTCCGACTAATCTCCTCCATCTCAAAATCAACAAGCACAGAGCTTGCGTCGCCCCCGGCGTGGTACTTTGTGAGCACGGCGCGCGCCTCGGAGTACCGGCCACGTGAAATCAGCCAACGAGGCGACTGCGGAAGTAAAATCGTCGGGATCAGGAGGAGAACGGGGATTCCGCACTGCAGAAGCGTGGGCGTGCGCCAGGACCAGCTGTCTAGATGGCGCGTGCCGTAGGTAACCCAGGCCGCGATCAATGAGCCGACGTAGTAGAAGCAGCTATAATCAAAGTTAGCTCATGAGTTTCTAAATCATAAAAGCATCAGGAAAAAACACACTTGAAAAGCGAGGTAGCACGACCGCGATGAGTGGGATAAGCGAGCTCGGCAATGGTAAGAGGAGCACCAAGGATATACGACCCACTAAGACCGACAACGAACCTGCCCATGATAAACATCGCCGGATTCTTCGCGCCCGCACTGAGTCCCGCGCCCAAAGCGACGCCCATCGTTGACACAATCATCGGCGCCTTGCGTCCGAATCGCTCGGTAACGTAGCCGACGGTGCACAGACCTATAAAGCCGCCGATGATGTTGATCGCGTTGATGAAGCCGCGCCAGCCGCCGGTCGGGTAGTTCATGAACTCCTGCCAGCTGTCGAGAGACTGCAGACCGTTCATCATCGAGCTGTCAAAGCCTGTGGCGGAGGAGTAGCACATACAGGCGACGAGGAAAAGATTGAGCTTGATGAGGTGGGGTTCGCGATACCATGGCTTGGTTTGGATAGGGAGGATCTGCAGAGTAGAGAAGTTAGCAAGTATTTAGTAGAAGTCAGTAGTAAAGCAGTACATACAGCTGCAAGCTCGTCGCCGACAATGAGCGCATACTCCTTCCTGATCTTCTCGATCTGTTCCTGACTCATGGCTGTCTCTTCAGGGGTCGACATGCTTTATACTCGATGTAGTGTCGTAGTGCCTGTTCTCTCTGTCCACTTGCACGAGCAAAAGATACAGAACACCAAGACGTCCCAGACGCCTGATATTTATACTCATCCTCGCCGTCGTATATCTACCCAGCATGACCTGTCCAAAAGCCCACGATCGCGCACCTTCATCGTTGGATCGCGACCTCTGCTCATCCGAGCCGCACAACGATCAATTTTGCGGGGTATCGCGTCCGGGTCCGTCTTTGTTCCTTCCCCGTGGTGAACCTCGCCCTTTGCTGTTCTTTTTACTTCTGCGATCGCTCAAGTTTCTAATTTTTCTAACCCGTGTTGATGGCACATGATGCGTGCTTCGGGGAGTGTCGGCCGGAGTGTCGGGCCGTCGTCGTGCATGCTTTTACAGCGCGTAAGCCTCGATGCTGGTGATCAGAGGAAGCGGGGTCTCGTGAGCGTTGCTCATCTACAGCTGTCTCTTTCTAATCATGACTAACATTCAGAGAAAGTAAATAGTGTTACTATCGTACTCTGAAATGCTGGAAGTCTCTCGCGCTCTGCTCAGCGAGAGATCAAGAAGCAAAGGACTCGCTCTGGAACAACAGGCTAAACCCTGACAAACACCGCTCAACTATGCTGAAGTCATATTCTCACGACTTTCTGCAAATTTATGTTTATTATTTTGTCCCTGGCTATTGGAAGAGCGTCTTTGTCTTGCTTTATGCTCGGCGTAATCTTCTCGCGCAAAAGATCGGGCAGCAGAGAAGCAGAGCAACGGCAGCATCGTGTATAGTTCAGAGTTGGAATGGAGAGCTGTCTTCCTACCATAGTTCTCTTTTATTGATTCCCTCGGTTACGTAGAGATGTTTTTGATTTGACGTAACAGAGGATGAAGTACCTGACAGACTGCTGATTTGGAGTGCTTGCTAACGAAAGCCATACACCGACGAAGATCGAAGTAAACACACTCCCCCTTCTGACCTTCCTTACAAACCAGCACCTCCCAATCTTCCGCACATACACGCTCCACTGCCCTACTCAACCTCCCCTTCCACACCACAGCTGCCACTCCAGCTAGACCAGCAGTCAAGCCAAAGCCGTCTTTCAATACCCGCCAAGCAGCCTGGCTGTTTAGCGACGACCTCTTGTCTGAGTTTAACTTCCTCCCTGCCGAGCTCTTGTCGCTGTCTTTAATATTATCAATACAAACCCTTTGAAGAAATAATAAATAAACAAAGATCCCGCTATCCGCGAATGTAAATGCTGCCGCTTCTGTTTCTTCTCTTCTTTTTGGATGACCGGATAGCGTACTCCGGAACTGCAGCGTAACGATGCGACTGGGTAGCAACCAGCGATGGAGGGATTACATAACGACCACAATCTGCGCTGAAGTCCATATTTAGAAAATGCTGAATAACCAGAAATTAAGTAAAAGTCGATCGGAATAGTATTTCCGTTCTCCATGAATTTCCTAAAACTGGTCGAGTCAGGGTTCCCTCATGACGTACACACTAGTTTATGCTGCAGGCAATTTTCATATTCAACTGACAAACTGTCCAAAATTATAACTAACATGCTAATACTATAAACGAAACAACGTCTCCATTCCAGGAAACCATTAAATAGACTGATCTCGACATCTAGTCTTTATTTCTCACCCCCCTCAAACACGGACTCCGTCTTCTCCGCATGCTCGTCCTGCGCCTTATCATGCATCGTGTTCAAGATATCCTCCACCCTGCGCTCCGCCTCGACATCAACCGGCTCGTTCTTGTCAAACACGCGCGACATCTCCTCGAGCGTGTGGCCGCGGGTCTCGGGGTATCCAAAGTACGTGGTGAGGATGACGCCCGCGAGAATGGCGAGGAAGACGATGTAGTACTTCCACTGGATGTTTTCGAGCGCGATCGAGTTCACAAACAGGTTGAAGATCAGGGCGAGGAAAGTAGACACCTGGACGACGACGAGGCCGCGCGCGCGGTTGGTGTAGTTCCAGATCTCGGCGGGGTAAGCAAACAGAAGCGGGGTGTATGCGATATCGTAGAAACCGTAGTAGATAAACAAGAACGGGATCATCGCGATTCCAGTCGCGCTGTTGCCCGTGTTTGCAAAAGATCCCGACAAGGCAGTGATGAAGACATACGACACAAACATGCCGACTCCCGACGTCAAAAACAGCAGCCGGCGACCAGCCGACTCGACCACGACCGCGGAAAAGACGGCGCAGATCAAGTTCCAGAGTTGCAAGAAACCGTTGATCAGCGTCTGCTTGGTCACAGAGGTGATACCGACAGAGTTGAGCACGATCGAGAGGTAGTAACTGACAACGCCGACACCGTTCCACTGCGCGAAAACTCCGAGAGTGATACTGATAAACAACCGGTGTCGGTTTCCAGGAGTCTTCCACAGCAGCGACCACGAACCGTTCTTGGCCGCGTACTTCTCGAGCTCGAGCGTTCGGCTGATTTCCTCCATCTCAAAGTCAACAAGCACAGAGCTCTCGTCGCCGCCGGCATGGTACTTGACGAGCACAGCGCGCGCGTCTTGGTGACGGCCACGCGAAATCAACCAACGAGGGGACTGGGGGAGCAGAAGGGTGGGAATCAAAAGGAGACAGGGAATGCCGCACTGCAAGAGCGTGGGTGTGCGCCAGGCCCAGTCGTTGAGATGACGAGTGCCGTAGATAACCCAGGCGGCAATCAGCGAGCCAAGGTAGTAGCAGCAGCTATATCAAAGTTAGCTAAGAAGTTCTCATGTCATAAAAAGATGAGAACACATACTTGTACAGCGAGGTAGCGCGACCACGATGAGTAGGGTAGGCAAGCTCAGCAATGGTAAGAGGAGCACCAAGAATATACGAAGCACCAAGACCGACAAAGAAACGACCCATGATAAACATCGCCGGGTTCTTCGCGCCAGCACCAAGACCAGCGCCCAAAGAAATACACGTGATCGAAAACACCAAGGGCACCTTACGACCGAAGCGCTCGGTGAAGTAACCGACGGTCGAAAGACCCAAGAGACCACCGATGATGTTGATGGCGTTGATGAATCCACGCCAGCCGCCGGTGGGGTGGTCCATAAACACCTGCCAGAGCTCGAGCGACTGCAGACCGTTCATGAGCGAACTGTCGTAGCCGGTGGCGGAGGAGTAGCACATGCAGGCAAAGAGGTGCAGGTTGAGCTTGACGAGGTGGGGCTGGCGGTACCATGGCTTGGTGGAGATGGGGAGGATCTGGATGGTTGGAGGAGTTAGCAGGGCACTAGGAGCAGTACAGCATGAGAGAAGGAAAACGTACAGCAGCGAGCTCGTCGCCGACGGTGAGCGCATAGTCCTTTCGGATCTTGTCAATCTGCTCCTGGCTCAAGTTTTCTTCGTTGGCCGACATGATGGATGAGAGTCGTAGGGATTTGTCTTGTTCTCGTCTACGAGCAGGAGATACGGGGCCCAGAGGACGTCGCGGACGTCAGCTATTTATACCCATCGCGTCCGTCGCATACTCGAGAGCAGGAGGGCAATGGCGGGGTGGGTAGGGGCACCTTTGTTCGTCAGGCAGCCGCACCCGGATCATTTTTGCGGGGTATTCTGTGCCCGGGTCCGCCATTGTGCAACTCTAACCTTCCCCGTGGGGAAATCCGCCTACTTCGCGGCCGCTTTTGCTGCAACGGTCGCAAGGCCCCCGCCGGCTCCGTTTCTAACCCGTTGTTTGCGTCGTTTGCTTGGCACATGATGCATACTTCGCGGAGTGTCGGCACCGCCCTCGCCACCGGAGAACGGAGGAAGCGGGGCAGGTAAACACTGCGCGCTGCTCATCTCCAGCTGTCGCTTTAATACCCATCTGCCATCGAGAACAAAGTGCGGTATTCTCTATTGTGCTCTGAGCTTGACATGACCCTTGAGGTTCATTATGTTCATAATGTTCATTATATTCAGACTGCCGAACAGACACAGGAAGCGGAAGGTGTGCGCGAGAACGACCAGGTGGGACCTGACGGCACCGCTTGGCCACGTTACAGCCATGCTCTTGCCAAGTTCAGCAAGCTTATGTTTTGCGTTCCCTGTTTCTCATTTCTTACTATCGGAAGAGTGTTTCTTGGTCTGGTCTTGGAAGCGGCGTAGTCTTCTTGCGCAGACAGCACTGCAGCAGCGCAACGGCAGCAGAGCAGGACTGCAACGGTTGCGGGTCATGGAAGAACTCTCTCCCGGCCGTGACTCTCTTTCTTTCCTCTTTCGCTGATTCGGATGCTCGCGCAGAGAACCTGCTGAACAGCCTGTCGAAGCTGTCTATCTGCCTGTCAGGCAGCTGATCTAGAGTGCTCGCATGGCAGCCATCACGATCAAGAATAGAGGCTGATCTAGAATACCACTCGTGTCTTTAGAATAACATAACACGACTGCCACGTAGTAATGCAGAACTCGAAGGCCGGGTTGGTTCCTCACCATCCCCATCTCCGGAGCGGCAGTAGCTCGACAGCTAGCCGATTGCCGACCCTCCCTCCGTCTCGTCTCTCGACCTGCCAGACGGAAGCAGCAGCATTCCACCGGTCCGTTCAGCATCCTACTTTAATCAGACAGCTAGACTTGACCGTCTTTGGCAGTCCAGCTGCTGTTTGCTGCTGCTGCTGTCAGTCAAAAGCGGATATGCAACGACCGCGCTGTTTAGCGAAATCTGCAGAAGGTCCCCACCTTCGCAGTGGCCAAAACCATACGATGAAGCCGAAGCGGATGCTCATCAGTCAGCCGGGTCCGCACGCCCTCCAGCCTGCGGTACCATCCTCGAGACCGTTATTCTTTCCTCCAACGGCATCTCGCACTTCCTCCAGACCACGCACGCCCAGCATCGTCATTCTAGTTTTGTCAACAGCTCTACAGGGACTGGGCAAACGGACGCGGGCCACGTCACGGGAGGGGAGGGGGTGACCTCGTCTTCTGACCCGGGCATCGGCACCCGGTGATGTCTCTCCCTCCTGCTTGGCGCCAACCCACTCCGGAAGGACCCCGGGGAGTGTCGGCAGGCGAATGTTCAAAAAAAACCTTGTTCAGGATAAGCGACCGCTGGGCTGCCTGGAGGTGAGGAAGAGGAGAACGAGAGCACTGGGGGAAGGAGTACGTTCTGCAGATGCAGAAGAGGGGAAGAGAGCATGTGCTCGTTATTGTGTTGCGCTAGAGCCGCCCCCGGCTTTTCTCCGCGTCAGCACAATGGGGAACAGCCTGCAAAAAGGCGCACTCACGGAAACGTCCGCCAGCCTCGGATTGCGCGGTGACTGATTGTTCGAGATGTCATAGCTCGGGCCATAAGACCTCACCCGGCCGCGAGCAAGGAGCAACGCCGCCGGAACAGTGCCACTGCTCCGTTTTGCTGTTTGAAGCAGACTTTCATATCTTAAGGAGAAATACAATTGCGGACCAGTCACCTGTCTCTTCTACAGTTTAGAGATCGTATGACCGCCTGTCCTGGCGAAGCGAACCATCTACTCTTTCCTCTCTTTCATTCAGGGACTATCTTACATCAACAGCGAACCACCTCATGCGCTCTAAACCGCCAATGATCAACTCCCGCCGTAAGGCACATACACACCACTCCGCACACCACACTCACCGACCCATACGTCCACGCATTCCTTCTCTCTAACGTCACCAGCTCCAGCACAAACGTCGAGATCGTCGTCAGACACCCGCAGAACCCATCCATCAGCCCTTGCAGAACCTGGCATGCCGTCGGATCTGCCCGCTGGTAGACTCTCTGCTGCCCAATCATCAGACAGCCGATTACTATCGTACCAAATATGTTGGCCGCGAAGGTGCCGATCGGAAAGCGCGGGTTCAGAGGGTTCAGCTTGCGCGATAGATACCACCGCAGAAAAGTCCCCATCGGACCAAACGTCGCTGCAAAAAGCGCATTCCCGCGCCACTTCTTGATGAATATACACATCAGCAGCACGCCGATCCAACACCCGGCTCCCAACCCCACAGCAAGGACTTTCATCGTCGGCACCGTCCTTCGCCCGCTCACCAGATTAAACCCGTATAGCTTGCCGTCTTCTACTGCCTTGTTTGTCTTTGGACCTACCGATTTTGTCCACAGATGACGGACAAAGACGCCGACTTCGCGGCCGAATTTGAGGCCCGTGAGCGAGAACGCGAGCGTGAGCGTGATGCCGTCGATCAGACCGAGAACCGAGTACCCGCGCGGCCGGTCGTACGATGGCTGCGCGTTTGCCATAGCTAGAAATGTAGTCGACATCCATGACGAAAACGTGGTGAACGATCCGCAAAACCCGGTCGATAGTCCCACGAATAGCTGTAAATTTCGCCTACACAAATCACATCGATTAGTATCAATCAGCCTGCACGCGTGCCGCAACTCTCGACTCACCCATCAGCTACCACGAAAAAATCCTTCAGCTCAGCCAATGCGCCCATCACCACGCATCCAACGAACTGCGCCCAGACAAGCGGCTGGACCGCCGCGCCGGGGTATCCTTCCAGCGACGAGAGTCCCAACCGCGCCAACGCTCCCCAGACTGAGAAAAACGCGAGCAGGCAGAGGATCTCGAATATGTCGCCAATCCAGGGTACTCTGTTTGTAGTGCGTTCCGTAGTCGGCAGCGCTGGAGATTTGCCTGGGAGCTCTTTCTTGCTGTTATCATCGTTTGTTGCCGATAGCTGGGATTCCAACGAGACACGATGAACGCTGTCAGACGACGAGAACGGTGCGAGTGCTTCGCTTATCCCGCGAACAGACTCGATAGAGCTGACCTCCCTCTCTATACTTTCTCGTTCCCGGGTATTCTTCTCAGCTTGCTCGTCACGACGACCACTCCCGGACACGCTGTCGCGGTCGTGGTCATCGCCGGAGAAGTTGTTGTGATCCAATTTTCCTTGTTCGGTCACTACTTATCTAGTAAATGACCCAAATGCTGACTCCATAAACAAGTTATCAAAAGTTTTAACACTATATTGACTGCTCTGTACTTATCATGGCCTGGGTGTAAAGAAGCTCTGTTAAGGGTGTCGGGGCTATCTTTGTTTGGGGTAAATATTAATCGACGATGACGCAGAGCGCCACATCGCCTACAAGCCGCAGCGTAAATGACTTTAGTGACGATTATCGGAAAATGTGAATAATCGACAGTCTACAGCTCGTGCCAGCATCTGCTATCTACATATTGATTTACTGATTGATGGGAAGTACTGGTATATTATACTTCTCCAGCGCTAGCTGTCTGCCAGTCCACTCTCCTCATCCTCACTCTCCACCTTTGTAATATTATCATTCTCCCCCGCCAGCAACGCTCGATCCGTCGGCCTTCTCGGCCACTTCCTCACCCGATCGATATTCGCTGCCGGAAACAGCCACTCCAGAAACCGCAGCAGCAACACGTCAAGAACAACACACATCACAAACAACTTGCCCGCCCATATGCCGCAGCCGTAGTACCGCTTCAGCCTGTCCACCAGCGGCTCGTTTTTCCGGTCGGCAATGATATCATACACGCGCTCTGTCCGCCGCGCGACGTTGTGCCAGCCGTACATGCCCTTGACTTGGTCGTGGAATTTGGAGGTGTCGACTGCTTTGGAGTCGATCAGAGAGATCGCGCGGCTGGTCGACGTCACGAGCGAGTCCTCGGACGGAGACGAGAATATCGTCATGTGCGACGGCAGGACTTCGGGGATACCGCCAACTTTTGTCGTCACGACAAGTAGCCCGCACGAGGCTGCTTCAACCAATACGGTTCCAAACGCCTCTGTAAGTGTTGGATGAAGATATATATGCCCTTTGACCATCACATCGCGCACGTCCTCGTGCCGCACGCTGCCCATCAGCTCGACTTGCTCCTGCAACTGGTACTTTTCCCGCATCTGCTCGAGATCAATCTCGCGCGGTCCGCTGCCGGCAATGATGAACCGCACAGTCGGATGCAGCAGGCAAATTCGAGGGATGACGGCCGTGAGAAGATCTGCGCCTTTATTGGGGTACAAGCGAGAAATCACGACGATCGTAACTGTTCAAGTGTAAGTTAGCTATCTCCGTGTATGAGATTATACGAGTAGAATAATATGATACGTACTGTGCGATGATGAAGCCTTCCCTGGGTCTGGTAAGAAGTTGGAAGCGACGACGGCATTTGGAATAACGCTGACCATATTTGGATCAAGCGATGCTCGCAGGACCGTGTTCTCTTTGCTGCACCCACCGAGTTAGCAATCACTTCTATAATATCAAGCAAACAAACTCAAGGACAGCTCTCTTACCAAGTATGCGAAACGCAAATGACATGCCCAATATCACTCAACGTGAACTTCAGCAACTTATTCCCCAAAATACTCCCCGGGTCCGCAAACCCAAACAGCGAATGGTCAGTAAACACAGTCTTGAGTCCCATCGTCCTGCTATGCAAAATAGCCTCATGGCACAGCGAGCTCAGACTAGCGTGGCCGTGTACGATCTGGATGCGTTCGCGAATGAGGATGTTGCGCAGCAGCGGGAAGAACGAGAACACGGAGGGGAAGGTCGATTCTCGGTACAGCACGAAGAATGGGACGTAGTAGACTTTGAGGCCGTGGGTGAGGTATCGGACGCCTGAACGGGAGCCGTCGGCGTGGGTGATGATGATGACTGAGTGGCCGAGTGATATTAATTTCTGGTGGTAGCAAGAGTATTAGCAGTAGTCCGTTGCAACGAGCACCGAGTATCTCATACCGAAGAAAGTTGATATATATGTGACTCGATTCCTCCCGGCTGCGGATAAAAGAAATCGCAAACCATTCTATTTAGTGTTTATCTGGTTAACACCACAATTCCGACTGGCGACACTAAACGCTCCTTCGATACTCACGCTATATTGTACGGCATCTTTGCGACGTCTGAGGTGCGAAGAACTTCTTCGCTGTCAAAGAATCACCGCAAAAGTCAGACCATAAAGTAGATAAAATTCAGAGTATTCTGGATATGCGTCAATTGACTGATAAGAGGTACTGGGGTGATATGGCTGGGACAATCGCAGGCTGTTGTTTTCGAGATGACGACCGAGCTCGAGATAATCCAGCGTTAAGTTCAGCTTTCAGGGGCCACAGCACCGCTTTCGGTTTATGTTCCAGCGCACTTATATCCATCTCCAATACAGAAATTTCTCTTTTTGTTGAACAGCTCTGCCATATGTTGTTGAACAGCTCTGCCATATGTTGCTGATCGAAAAATCTATAGGCAGGTCATTGCTTTACGGAATATTACAGATTCGTTTACAGTTCGTTTGTCAAACATCCTCGATATAGCCAAGTGTATTATATACAAACATAAAACAGACCGCGCAGACTTCGCAGTCTTCTTCGTCTCTGATTATCGAGACTTGAATTTCGTATATGCAAACCATCAAACGCCAAACCCTCTACTATAATAGTAGTTTAGAAAGGCACAAAAATAAAGAGTGAGAGAAGAAAATGTAAAAAATGAAACGATATGTAGACGGTTCGTGATGTCGACATATGTCAGCGCAAGAGAATCCGTGCATACAAGGAAATTCAACTAGGCACCCAAATCGATATCAAAACTTGAACCGCATCTGAAAGAGAATCGACAACCGTTAGCATACTTTATTAATCAAAACTCGAATCAAATCAACACGGCATCCACATACCCGCAGCTCGAACTTGCGCGAGGATTATTCACGACCTTGAACTGACTTCCGATCAGTTCGGTCGTATAGTCAACAGTCGAATCCTTCAAAATGCTGAGCGACATCTCGTCCATGACGACCCGCGCACCGTCAAGTTCGAAAATACTAGATTTGTAAATGCATTAGCCAGCTGAGCACTATTTGCTTCTTAAATTAGGGCGCATACATGTCTTCTTCTGGGTTATAGTCCTCCTTCAAGCCCATCAAGTATTGGAAGCCGTGGCATCCACCGCTCTCGACAATCACTCGGAGGAACACGTTCGGGTTATTATCGGTCTTCATGATTTCAAGTAATTTCTAGATTCAAAACACCGGTTAGGTGCGGCCCACCAGGAACACACAATAAATCAAAATACCACATTACATACCTTTGAAGCTCGCGGAGTAATGTAAACAAGCATATCATTCCCGCTCTCATCCTTGCGAGGATTAGTTATCGACGGCACCTTCGGAGGCGCATCAGGCGAGGCTAATTTCGAAGACATGAACGTCTTCGCAGCCGGTCCGTTTTCATTCGCCCCAGTCTTCTGAGCCTCCATAGACACATTCCGACGGCCGCTGTACGGCTTTGCTAGTAAATGGCTTGATGTCTTTTGTCTTATTCTGCTGTCTTTCGCAGCATAGTTTGTAGTGGCCAAACCCGAAAATTCTCGGGCTAATACTCGCTTCGTCGCTGTGGAGACCGTCTGCAAACATACAGACGGCACTGCAGTTCTGACTCTCAGACAGCTCTGGGTGTATATGATTCTGTTCATCTCGTAGTTCCGTGGACTGTCTCCGCGAAGATGAGCGTTGGTGTGTAGGATTGATTCAGGCCTAGTTATCGTGGGGCTTCTGCTGAATAATTACACGCTTTCGTAGAGCTCCCCCAGTCTCCCAACACGTGACCAATGGCCTGTCCTCCGGGTAACACAATGCCCGCATCCTCCTTTACGCGTCCTAAACTGTACGCGTCCTTTGTCTTTTAATATCAAATTGACTCTCAACTCTTGATAATTCTACAGCAACTGCTACGATACAAGAAATCACACGATATGGCGAACGATAAGCGGAAAATGACGGACGCAGATCGAGCATTGGTGCAGGCTTTTGTGGCTAATCGACGGCTTGATATCGAGCAACTGAGAAAAGCTCTATCTGATATCTTGAACGTTTCCAGTACGTTCTCCACATGATTTATGGCGCTGGATGATGCTGATTTCTGACTAAATCACTCTAGATAAACTGCAGCAAGGTGACGACTACGAGACAGAAATCGAACCAGACGAAATCTCGCAGGAGCAAGTCGAAGAGTACATCGGCGTTCTCAACTCGGAGCTGTACAGTCTTGACTACGAGATACGGTGCTCAGTCAGTCCGGATAACGTGCTTACTTGGCATCTGGTGAGTTTTGGAGTTTTTTTTTAAGGCTCAGCGAGTTGTACTGGTGTAACTAATAGATTTCATAGGAATTCCTAGAGTGAACGCGTGCGTTCTTCATTGAAGCTCTGCTATCTTACAACGGCGTTTTTGTTGGGTTTCTTGGTCACCTGGAGTTTTCATAAATAGTTTAATTGATTTGTTTCCACACTGCTATATACCGGCACAACTGTAAATACCCTCATCTAGTCTTCAACGTCGCTTCCGTCGTTCTCTTTCCCGATTTCAAGATTCACTTCATCAATGATATCCCACAACACATCCTCCGCAATCTGCTCCGCGTACCGTTCACTCAGCGGTCTCACCGACTTGAGGATATCAGCCGATTTCGCTTCATGTCGTAGATCAGCAGGAAAATAGTGGAAATCAGGGCCGAAATTGAACTGCGCAACGCCACCGCGATAGACGCTTATTGAAGGAAAATATCCCAGCTGTCCGTCGTCGACAACGCGCGCATCTGGACCGGTCAGGGGTGCACTGTGCGGGGGCAAAAACGGTAGTAACCGCTCGAACGGTGTTCCGACGTATTTCCCATTTTTGTAGATTCTTATACTCGAATGTGGCAGTCCCTGCTCTCTAAGTTCCTTTTCTCGCGCCGCAGCGTCGTCGCTCGATGACTGATTCAGAAGATCCTGCATGTGTTTGACCGGCACGCATTCATACTGCTCAAAATAGAGCTGTCCCTTATACTTTGTCGGAAACCGATCACGAATGACGTTTGACACTTCGTGAGACTTTGAATCCTTTAGCAGCTTGGCAGGAGCTTTCCCCTTTGCCGAATTTGCAGCTTGCAGCTGGTATGAAATCGGAGGAAGGGAGATATATAGTCCAATCACATCGCCGGCTTTGAACGGTTCCTTCATAAAATTTGATCCTCGAGAAATGTACATCTTTTGACCCGTGACATCTCTAACGCCATAACCATAGGCATCAAATCCGACAGGAGTTTCCAGCGAAGCTGCAAATAGAAAAGATCAGCAAATGTATATAGAAAGAAAGGAATTTACTGCAAACGATTACCTTCACGCCTAGTCCATCCAATGCGAATATTTCCGTCCTCAGGACCGGTATTGCCCTTGAGTATAACGCATTCCCAGTACCACCGTCCCTCTCGAACGCCGACGTTGGCTCTTGCTGTTCTGTAGCCCTTCTCAGTCGACACAATCGTAGACGTCTCCCTGTCCACCAAGATGTGCGAGCTCATGTCTTCGTAGCTCACGCGCGGGATGTACGGTGGCAGCTCGATCTGCCGATAACCCAGGGCCGGAAACTCGGGACTTGCCTCGCAGGGAATATAGCGGAAGCCACGTCGATTGAATGGGTGATCGTCGGTTGAATAGAGCTCGATCTCTTCGCCTGTTTGCGGGTGCTGGAAACTTGAGCATGTCGGCGGGGTTATGAACGCGGGTAGTCGTGGAAGTGCCGTCAAATCCTCGGGCTTGTAGGGAGGCAGATTGAGACGTATGGGAACCGGATACTCTTTTTCGACTGCCTTTTTGGTAGCAGACGCGGACACTCGAGCCTTTTGTGATCCCTTGTTTGGTTCAGCGTTGGGTGTGGGGGGTTGCGACGATGCTCGACTGTTGGAGTTTTTGACTTGCTCTTTTGGATTCAATTTCTTGTTTGTTTTCGCCTTCTTCGCTTTCTGATCGCCGGTCTGCGTAGCCGGACCTCTCTTTTGTGGACCGGACGACAGCGCTGGTGTTTGTGATCGCGAGCCAGACTCAACAGATCCTGGCTGCGACCGCTCGAGCTCGGGAACTGCGGTGAACTCGTCCATGATAGCCTCGCCAGTCTCTGATTGTCCATTTGCGATGACGGTGTCGTCGGCGGCAGGTTCTGTCGCTGTTAATTGCTGTTGGTCTTGATTCTCGAGGCTTGCTTTGGCCTCGTCGTTCGCTTCAGTTTTCTGCTCGGTTGACTCTAGAGCGACAGGCGCACTGTCGATTCGTTCCATGATCGGCTACACCAATAAAAAGAAAGCCGTCTTCAAGCAAATATCATGCAGTCTCCTCCAGTCTCCAGTCTACTCAGGTGAGACAAACCGTGGGTTTTCCGAGCGTGCACGGTTCTTCGCGTGCGCGAGCCGCGCTCGAGTACACCGGCTGAGGTAAACAAAGTGTACGGGGTTTGGGACTCAGACTTTAACTCCCCGGAGACAATTGCTTTGGGAATAGCTGCGTAGACGTCAAAAACCCACCCGCCTGCGCTTTTCTATCGTGAACGGAGCACTCGCTTCTTATCTCTCTTTACAATTACCTCTCTGGTCTTTGTCTTCCTCCATCGGCCGTGCTGTGGTGTCTTCTTTCCGTGTCTCAGAGAGCGCCGCTCAACTACCATCTCAAGTGCGGAATAGCACGTCCGGCGCACTCATTGTAGCACTTCATGAGCTGCAGGTTCTGCGGAAGCAAAAAGTCCCGTATCGCTCTCTTGCGACTGGTCGACGTTTGTACAGGTATACAGTTTTAGTGAACAGAAGAGAAGATCACCGGTGGTGCGATCTGCGTCCATAATCGAGCAATGCAGACCACCAGCACTACAGATGATAGTGGCGCGCCCGGCCCACCCTCTCCGTTCGGTTTGGTTGTTTCGACATTAATACAGTCCCCGGTTATCAACCGGATTCACCAGTTTGGGTTGGGAGGCGGGCGCAGAGGAGTTGTCATTGTCAAGGTGGGTATTGCTTTATCTCTGCACTGATCCCATCTACTTGATCTAACACCGATACCCATATAGGAGGCCTCTATCGAGCTACACGAGATCAGGGAAATACCTTCGACATCACCAGCCGAGAATGCTTCTCCTGAATACGTTTTGGAGCTACTCTTCCGCGCCTCTTTGTTCCAGAAACTCGTTTCTTCGCATGTGATTCCATACTCGATCGAACCGTTCCTTCCGCAAGGCGTGCGCGATAAGCGATCTCGTTCAGTATCAACCGACGTCAGCCGGGAAACACACACGACCACCGATACGCCCACGACCGCCTGCGATTCGTTTTCTCCTATGAGTATCGATGACGCCAATTCTGTCAATAAAGAGACACAGAGCAGCAATTCTCGCCAATTACCGGTGCTCGAAGAGCTCTCGGATAACAGCACTTCAGACACATTGATATTGGTCACGACAGATAGGCATCTACTTTTTGTCGTGTGCGACTGCAAGGACGATCTTATAGTAGTCAAGAATTTGGAGCTGTCGAATGCACCTTTACCCTTGGTTTACGATTATGACTGCTTTGATACAGACGACGAGTTTCCGGAAGTTCAGATGAACGACTATCTGAACGACTTGATTCCTGAATACGAAAGATTTGACACGGCGATATCAAGCATATTGGGTTCGCCTGATGAGGACATCGCCAGCACGATCAAGCAATTGGGAAAAGAGCTTGCATCAGATGAGAGGTAAGTCGACATTCAACTTGAGTATTCGCCGTCACAAGAGACTAACAACAGCAACAAGTGGGTCGGCCGTTCTCGTCAGCTCGTATCAAAATATTTACAAGGTCATAACCTTACGACCTATCGGAATCGGTCGTTCAAGATATGTTATGGCCGCCCATCAATTCGAGGTCGACGGCGTCATGTTGCATTCACAGTTCTTATACAGTCCGGCCAGTCCTGCATTCGCGATTTATTATATCGAGTAGGTTTTTCTATTGAGTTGTATCGCAGTGTGGTGCTTATATTAACAATTATCGTTTGCTGTTTAGTGAGCGACGGACTCCAAAATTGGAAATCTTCGAGTGGATTGTCTATAACTCGCCGAAGAAGATCAAACGGGTGACCAGTCTGGTTGTTCCCAGTGGTATGATGAATATCTTACGTTATCGCCACTTTTTGTGATTGCCGACTGACTTTGTATAGAACTTCCTTTACCGTTATTTATGATTCCTCTGCGTCATGACCGAGATCTACTTTTTGTGACGGTTAGTTCACGAAAACTCTAGGAGCCTGCAAGCTGGCCACTGCTAACTTTCAAACAGGAATCCCAACTGCATTTATACACGAGCGAAGGGACCGGAAGCTGGAGCTATTTGCTTTACCGAGATTGTCCTAAATGTAAGCTTGAAGTCGAATATTCTAAGATAACGGGGACAGGACGTTAACACATTCTTCACAGACGCCAGATGCGATCGGGCACTGCCCACCGCATACGATCACCCAAAACATTCCACGTCGGGACGTCTCTGGCAGCAACTCCGAGATTGTTTCTCCGAAGATGTGAGAGATTACGTCTACCTTGCCTTTGAATCTGGTGATATTTTTATAGTAGCCGTGCTAGGTGACGGCCAGCTTGCGATGATACACTACATGCATATCGACACTGATATCGGGACCAGCTTCTCTGTTATTGAGAATTCAGGTGCAGGTCCCGACCTGGTGTTTGCCGCTGGGGATTTGGTTTCTGGCGGCATATTTGCGATCAACAGCTCTACGTTCTTCCGGCGGGATGAGTCCGAGATGAGCGATGGCGCAATCCTAGCGGAGCCGTGTCAGGCATTGTCCAAGTTTTTAAATTGGGCGCCGATTCTAGATTGTCAGGTAGTCAAACCGGCTGGCTCGCAGAATCACCGACTGTTTCTAAATTCTGGATATAATCAACGCGGATCCGTCACTCAGATACGATATGGTATTTCCGCTCAGGTGGTGATTAACGGACCACTGATGAGGGGGTAAGTCATTGTTAGAACTTGACATATCACACAAGCTAATGTACATATGATGCACAGTCTCTCAAACATATTCGTCCTGTCAAGTGTCTGTTTTACTGGGTTCTTTTTGATCTTGACCAGTACACCATGGCAAAGCCGTCTTTTAATTTTCGATCAAAAGAACTCTCGACTGAGCACATTCGATCTAGCTGGCTTTGAAGCCCTATCTGAGACACTACACGCTCGAGTGTTGCCTTCTGGCTATTTGATCCAAGTCACACGGTCCGCGCTAATTGCGAGCGACATCATTGGCACCGGACCTGGATTTGTGTTGAGCCACGATAAAGGTGAACAGGTCTCTCACGCTGTTGTCGATATCGATGGTTGCTGCTCAACAGTAGTGATCGGTAAGTGCTACTCGGATTCCTACCAGCTTGTTTGTTACCATATACCCCCGTCTGGCTCGGAGAAAATCGAGATACTACAGCTTCCGGGTGAGACGACGTTTACAGCGGGCTCAATCAGCTTCCTGAAATTGATTGATATGTAAGTTGGATGACTGATTTTTATTTTGCGTGGCTTGGATTCTGACACGTCTATATAGTGGCAATACGAAGATCTGCATGGTTGGCACTCATGAGCCTAGCATTCGGGTACTTCGTGTTGATCCTGAGTCAGGCTTGAGCGATATTCAGACTATACGAGGTATGTTTGCAACGTAATGAAGTCAAATCTCAGTAAAACACCAATACTAACTATCGACAGATCTATCCGGCAGTATAATGAGTGGGATCCCGGAGTCTGTTGCGGTATACTGTCTGCCCATAACCGACCCGGTGATATGTTCCGAATCGTACCGCTACGACGGCCGGATGACGATTGGTCTCCGTAATGGTCTACTTCTTGTCGGGTCCTTCACCATGAACCTCTCCGCCGACTATGCAGATCTCGACTTTCACCTAAAGAGCACGATTCGGATGGGTGATATGCCGGTCAAGCTACGAGACACGTCTGATCCAGGACGGGCGTATGCAATGTCTGAATTGCTCTGGTCGGTCTCAATGGATGGTAGCGACAATGAAGATTGGTTTCAGATAAATCAGGTCATATTCGACGATTTTCAAGATGTATGTTTTCCTTTTCGACCCTGCCGCGATCGCATTTCACTGATTATGTTTATGCCATGTAGCAATCAGTTTTTGCGCTCCAAACGTTGAACGACATTAGCTTCATGCCCAACAAGAATCTTGTTGCCGGCCTTTTGCAGGATCGTTTTTTCATTGCCGAGATTGGCTCAGATCTCACAGAGTGCATCTTTCAGAGTCCTGTTAGAGAGGTAAGTCCACCACTGTCATTGATCGTTGTCTACATATATACTAATGAAAACACATAGACGCTGAAACGGATGGTGTATTTCGATCACGTTAAAGCACTGGTGGCTACGAGAGACCTCCCGTTCAATCGCTTGGTGTTTATTGATGTCGCCAGTCAAAAAGTTCTCGAGAGTACACCAACAGATTCTCTAATCCCTCCCTCTGAGGAGATACAATCGATAAACGGTACGTGCGGAATTCTTGCACGACAGCCTTCCAGTATACTGACATTGAAAAGAATGGCACGCTCAAATGAGAAGCCGAGAATGCCATTTTCTAATAATGGGAACTGCCATCCGCTCTAATGGAAACGCAGCGGCTGCTCAACACAATAGCTCACACCGTCAAGACAGAGGCAAAATTCGAGTTTTCCGTATCCGTCGCACGAGTCACGGTGCTAGCGGCATGGAAAGACCCACCTTCGGAGCTGGTGGGCTTTGCGACTCGTCGCCTCCTGGGGGTTCTTCTACCGACACGGGATATGATGAGCCCCAAAGTACGATTCCGATCGAGTTGGAAATCAAGAAACAGTTTAGCTGGACGACGCCAGAGGCGGTTATTGCAGTTGCAAAATTCAAAGATCTGTGAGTTTCTTTATGAGCAGCTGATAGGGGTTTATGGTGCTAACAAGTTTGCAGTGCGCTTGTATATAGCGCTGGTAATAAGGTCTACGTGAAGATGTTGAACATAGATACAGTGAAGTTTGATTTCCCAGCAATTGAGGTGACGCTCAGAAGTCCGGCGATCAACTTTAGTGTTGAGAACAATCTCATTTTCGCATCTACTAGGAGTAATTCGATAGTTGTGATTGCTTACGCTGAGGGATCCCTGGTTATTCAGGAGAGGTATGTTTTACCAATTGCATAAGGTCTATGATATTCTGTTACTGACTGTTGGGGAAAGTGACGCGATTGCCAGAAGCATGTTGCATCATCACCAATACCTTTCTAATTTCGTGATTGGCACCGACAAGGACCACGCAATCTTTGGTTTGCGCAGTCAAAACGAACGAACTCATTTCTCAAACATGGAGCTACAGTTCAAATGCGTGCTTCCAACTGCGATTTCACGTCTCCGAAGAGGAAATTTCGTAGCTGCACATCTGTGCGCAGGTAACAAGGAACGAGAGAAATCTTCCCGCGACAGTACTACAGCAACAAAAATGTCGACAGGTTCGGGAGCACCGTCTGAAGGCGAAGAGCCGTCGCCAACATTTGAGGACGTTTTGATTGGCACAGGGATCAACGGCTCGATCTACGGTTTCAGGATACTTGACGAGCGGGAGTTTTACGAGCTGTTTAATCACTTGAAAGCGCTTGTTGCCGAGCTCGCTCAGCGCTATTCGCGACTACAAAGACAAAGGCTGCAGCAGATGGCAGGGAGAAGTAGTGCGTTTACAGATACAACGTTCCCGTTGCAGCTAGGGCTTATTCCGAATGGGTTTGGACTGTCGGGTCTGCTTCATGACGTGGGCTTTTTTGCTCATGGATACGCGGTAAGTAAGCAGCATATATCAGAAGATTCGATTGTCGATTCTGCAGCGAATCTGTCGTCGCTTCCACAAGCTTCCGTTAAGAAGCCATCGATTCGGCAGATAGACGGCGACGTTATGTTGTATCTGCATGAGCTGCGCAAGATCCTGGCGAGCGAGTACCCCCCGAACGACCACCAAGAGCGCGAAAGTAGCTGGTCTATGAGCGAACACGACGGTGCAGCGAGCTCGGTTTCCATGCGCACATATGGATCGCGATACTCGTCTACAAGCTTTGGCTCTAGGGAAGTGACGGAGCATGGGTCTTCTATAGACGGCGGTGGTCAATTCTGCTCTCAGTCTTGGATTGATTGTTACTTGAAAGGGATTGTTCTATAACACTGGAGCAGTGATTGTACATTTATTTTGGGTCGGTTTTATCAAATAGAAGTTTCCATAAACACAGTAACGCTGTAGTCTGTAATGACATTGACTTAGTAACCAAATGGGCTCTTATCGATAGAACCACTCATAGTAGCAACCAACTACGTCATCCTCGCTCGAAGATTTTTAGGTTGGGACTTTGGGTGCTCCCAAAGCAAACTTTGGTGAAAAGCGGATTTATAAAAACATTGCCAAATCTACACCGATAATCTCTTTACACCATCGATATTCGCCATGCCGATTAACCAGCCCTCAAATCAGATAAAGCTTACCAACGTGTCATTGGTGCGGATGCGCAAAGGTATGTTTCTGTGTGTTGCCGAGGATAGTTGGTTCGACATCGTTCTAAATCTCTTTCTTTTGACTGCAGGCAAGAAGCGGTTCGAGCTGGCGTGCTACCAGAATAAGGTGCAGGATTGGCGATCAGGAGTGTATGTACTGAAGATCTTATGATTTAAAACGAGAATGCCGACTAATCTGATATCATAATCTAGTGAGACAGATTTGGACGAAGTCCTACAGATCCCCAGTGTGTTTTTGAACGTATCAAAGGGCCAGGTCGCTCCCAACGATGATTTGAAAGCTAGTTTCGGAACTACGGACCAGGACAAGATTATTTTGGAGATTCTGAAAAAGGGTGAGCTGCAAGTTGGCGAGAAGGAGCGACAAGCAAAGTTACAGCAGCAGCATGCGACCGTGATTGATCTTGTTACTTCGAGATGCGTCAATCCTACCACCAAGCGACCTTATCCGACGACGATTATCGAGAAGGCACTTTCGGAGCTTGGATTCAACATTGTCGCTACGAAAAGCGCAAAGGCGCAGGCGCTCGATGCGATTAAGCAGTTGATTGCGAAGCAGATTATCCCGATCGCGCGCGCGAGAATGCGGGTGCGTTTGACGGCGGATGCTAAGGAGGCCAAGAAATACAGAGAGGCGATTGTCAGTCTGATAGAGCAGATCGAGACCGAGGACTGGTCGCAGGAGTGGGCGTGTGTGGGGTTTATCGAGCCTGGAAAGTACCGGGAACTGGGAGAGAAGCTGCAGCAGGAGAGCAAGGGCCGAGCAAATATCGAGGTCTTGGATATGGCTGTCATCCAGGAGGGAGAGGAGGCTATCTAGGAGTATTGGGTATCGCATAACATTGTCACAGTAGTCTAATCAACATTTAAATGTAATTACATGAAATATGGGTTCAATATGACCAACGAACGAGCCAATATTGTATTCCAGCAGATGAGCTCTGGCTGAGAACCTTGAAGGAGGGTAACTAAGTAAGCAGTGATGGGGTTGGTATATCTGACAGTACCAGCCCCGCTGCTCTAAAGATTCTCCAGGCAAGTGCATGTAAGAGAGCGCGTGACTGCTTTTTGAGTGTAGGGTTCAGAAGTAGGGCTGCGCGCAACACCACATCGAACTACCCAACTTCCATCCTCGTCACGAATTGAAGCTATACTCTGGTAGCCATCAACCAACAACGGTCGTCAAATCACAGCCAAAATGGTATGCGTTCTGTTCATGAGAGAACTGTCTTATGTTGCTGTTGGAAATGATTGCTAACCTGTTTCTTATCAGTCGTTCGTTCTCCAAGACAAGGCCGCTTTCCAGCACATCTTGCGGTATGTTCAATCTCAAATTCGTCGAAGCGACCTCAGCATCACGACTTTTTCTGTTCGGAAGTTATGGGTCATAAGAGATGGGCAAAGTACTGATAGCATTGTTATAGTCTCCTCAACACCAACGTTGATGGTAAGATCAAGATTATGTACGCTCTCACCTTGATCAAGGTATGTTGAAATATCCTCTGGGTTTCTGGTTATAAGGGAATTTTATGCTGATGGTATTCTAGGGTGTTGGCCGTCGTTACTCCAACTTGGTCTGCAAGAAGGCTGATGTCGACTTGAACAAGAGGTAAGAGATGCTGAAAAATTGTGAATGCTTGTGGTGGTAGACCTTTGTTCTAACTTTTGCAAAAATTACAGAGCCGGTGAGCTTACCGTTGAAGAGCTCGAGCGTGTCGTTACCATCCTCCAGAACCCCACCCAGTACAAGATCCCCTCGTGGTTCCTTAACCGTCAGCGCGACTTCGTCGACGGCAAGGACACGCAGGTCCTTGCTAACGGTCTTGACTCCAAGCTCCGTGACGATCTCGAGAGATTGAAGAAGATCCGTGCCCACAGAGGTCTCCGACACTACTGGGGTCTCCGTGTCCGTGGTCAGCACACCAAGACTACCGGCAGACGGGGTAAGACTGTCGGTGTCTCCAAGAAGAAATAAGCGAAATGGGGGTTTCTTCTTTTGTATTATGGAAAGGAAAAAATTGGCATTTTCGTTTTGTTTTTTCGTTAAAAAGAAATTTGATCAGTTAGTAATACACTATATTATCTATTGAGACATCCATACGCTTCAGAGGCGCAAAATGTAGTATATTACTGTTTTGTGACTACGTTTATGACAGCTTTTATTGATACGAAGTATTGCATTTCAAGTATTACTTGTGCTCTCTACTTTCACTCAACTTAAACCGCCGAAGTCTTAGTAGAGGCGGAAATATCAGGATAGACATCGTATCGTCTCTGAGTAGTGATTGGTATTCCCGCCCGAGTCTGCTCGATAAAGCCCGGCTCAAGCTCAGCATACACAATCTCCTCGCCCTCGCCGGCCTTTGTGAGAATATTCGCGTTCGGGTCGACGGCGATGGAGTACCCATAGGCATGGTAGTCGCTAGTCATATCTCTTGCGGGCGAGCACAGCAGCACGTAAATCTGGTTATCGACCGCTCTGGCGCGTGCGAGGAGTTCCCAATGAAGAGGGCCGGTGGTGGTGTTGAATGCGCCGGGGTAGATCATTGCAAAGACGCCTTCCTTACGGGCGGCGACAGACGCCAGTTCCGGGAACCGGATGTCGTAGCAGATAGCGAGACCGACTTTTCCAAAAGGTGGGATGTCAAAGACGGTAATTTTGTTGCCGCCTGTGAGAACTTCAGATTCCTTGAACCGGATCTTGCCAGGAATGTCAATGTCGAATAGATGGACCTTTCTGTGCTTTGCTATCAGGTCGCCGGAGGGAGCGAAACTCAAGCTTGTGTTGAACAGCTTCCCGTCGTCGCCGCGCTCGGGGATCGAGCCTCCGATGAGGTAGATCGAAGTCTCGCGCGCAAGGGTGGAGAGAAACTTGGTTGTCTCGCCGGAGGGAATCGACTCTGCATACTGCGGGAACGCAGCGACCGAGTACGGAGAATTGAAGCATTCTATCGGGAGTCAGTAAACTATCCTATATCTCAATCTTCACAAAAAAAAAATCAAAGCAGATTCACTCACCCGGAAGAACAACAAGCTGTGCTCCGTTCGACGCAGCTTTGAGAACATGCTCTTTGACTCGCGAGAGATTGCGTGCTTTATCCGCGGTGGCAGCCAGCTGTATGAGGGCGATCTTCAATCGTTGAGATAGTGCTTGAGACATGTTGATTAATGTATCTCCCTGTATTGATAACTGCCTAAGATTCTTTTCACAATTGGTAGACAAATAGTTGACAACCAATTACGCAATTACGAAATGCTCCCTACGGTTGAGGTGGATTGGAGATGGTGCGGCTCGGCTCTCAATTCTGGTCTGTTACTCTATCTACAAAGCTCACATATTCCTCTCCAGGCCTGCGCTTTCTCGCAACCCAAAAGACACAGTCATAAATCCAAGCTCCCATCGCCTTCGGATCGCTGGCATAAGAAGCCTTGATACCAGTCTTCAGTTCCAAAAACACAAACCCAGCGGTCTCGATCACTTCGACCAATTTGTCCAGCGGCAGTTCCACGCTGAGATTAGATTCGTCGTAGCTAGACCCTGAACTGTTTTCAAATCGCGTGCTTTGCTCGTCCTCGAAATGGTACAGTAGTGGTCCAAAATTGATCCAGTAGCTTGCTTTCTCGTTTGCATCGTGTAGCGCGTATGATATAGTATCGATGTAATCCAGCACGTTGTGTGCCGTATCTATGAAAAACACGGTGACAATCGCGTCCCATTTTTCAGTAATAGCCTGTTCAGAAGCGTTTGTCTGAGGGCCATAAACCTCTACAAAGGACCCTGTAGTGAAAGAAAAATCGCCTTTGGATCTGCTTTGGTTTTTACTGGGACAGACGTCTGGGATCCGGACTTCTCGAAGCTGGTTCCTTGCGCTCACGTTATGCGAGAACGAATGTATAAATGGATAGATAGAAAACTGATAGTCTTCTTCCGTACTATATCAAATCGGACAAAGTTAGCATTGTCGTATCTAAGAGGCGGGAGGGGGGCGTACTGGTTGATTATGAAATTAGACATGATGATCATGTGAAATGAAAACTCGTTCGCCTGAGAGCTATATCCTGGTAATTCTCAGTATCAAAGCCAAAATACACAATACAAGGTGACGTGGTAAATGATACCTTCAGCAGCGATCTCGTAAGCTAGCCGTCCAAGGCCTGCGCCGGGGGTGAGTACTCGAGTCGTTGATCTGATCAGCCAAAAGTGTTAGCATCGACCAAACATCACAAAAGAAGGAAACAGAGCCACACCTCTCATCGTCTGTAAACAACCTATTTAGTGCATCAATTACCGGATTATAAATAACATCCCTCTCAGCCTTTGCCTCTGCGCTCCAGTCTCTGAAGAGCTGCTTGAGCGTGCCTTTTGTCTGATCAACCTGCAGCGCCGTCGCTCCTTGCCAACTACTCCGGTCTTGGGGAGCCTCAAAGTCATTCGCGCCTATCTGAGCTACCAACTGGAGAAACTGACTGTTTGTAGTTATGGCGCGGTCAATTGATGCCAGATAGTTGCTGTAGTATGGCTCTAGGATTGACTGATGGGCGGGTGCGAGCTGGGTTATGGCGCGCCGGCGTGGAGTAGTGAGATTGAAATGGGCAGCTTTCGCGTATACCAGCATAGAGTTCCTAATAAATCTAGCGGTCAGAAATGCGGGTCTCTCAGACAGACGTGGACTTGGATAACATACAAAGTCGATGTCAATGCAGCATGATCCAGGGGATCATCAGACCCTAGGCTTTCGTCGGGCCCGTCAGGTGCTGAGCTCATCGCCGATTGTATCTTTCTGATTCGGCGTCCTAAAATTACAGCCAGACAAACAAGACATCAACTGAATACTATGTCAATACACAGATATCTGGTCTAATCGACCGGCCAGACAGAAGAAGGGACGGCGCAGGTAAATGACATAAGCGGTAATTCAGGGGTAAGTTCTAAATATCGAGAGAATTTTCAAAGTCCCAACGAGTCTGAAGATGGCCATCGACAGGCAAACTTTGCTACCACGAAGAGAGCACTGTATTCTCAAGGTATCTGCCTTATTTAGCATCGGGAGTGTTGAGGATGGCTGTTGAGCCTACCAAAAACAGTGGGGAGCAGTCCAGGAAGAGGAAACGGGACTCAAAGAAATCGCAAGAGTCTGCAGAGGACCCAAACTCGAAGCACTCCTCCATCTTTCAGAAATACAAGTCTGCCGTAGGGCATGATCTCGATGAAGCACTGAGTGAGGTGCGGAGTGCGGAGAATAGCTTGGATGCGAAATTGACGCAGGAAGAACAAGAACGGCAGAAGTTGGCAAAGGCACAAGAAGATGAGATGGAAATCGCTGCCGCTGGGCTGGTGCCTCTACCCCAGCCAGCTAAGAAAGAGAAAAAGATTCTGGCGCCGATACGGGATCAATGGATGACTGAGCCACAATATGTCAAGCCGACACTGAGCAAACCTTTCAAGTCTCTATTGCTGTCTGATCATATGGTGAAGAACCTCGCTGCAATGGGATTTGAAAAGTCGTTTGCCGTGCAGGCTGCGGTGATTCCTGCCTTGATGGAAGACATTATCGATATCTCGCCGGACCCGAAGAAGCCGATTCTGGTGAATGCTGCTACCGGTAGCGGGAAAACTCTAGCTTACGGTGTTCCGATTGTGGAAGCTTTGTCGAAACGCGTCGTTCCAAAGGTTCGAGCACTGATCATTCTACCAACTAGACCGCTCGTGCAGCAAGTTCGAGAGGTTATCGAAACTCTGGCTAGAGGGACGGGCCTACGAGTTATGGCTTTTAGAAGTGAACGATCGTTTAGTGAAGAACAAGCGTTACTGTGAGTATGGTCTGATTTTTGCTTCGTACTGAAACAATATATCTAACGCGTGTCGTCTGATAGGAGGAAAATGACACCCGACATCATCATCACTAATCCCGGACGACTTGTGGATCATGTCAGATCAACTGCAGACTTTTCATTGAAGAATCTACAGTATATGGTTATAGATGAAGCCGACAGACTTCTAAATCAGTCCTTTCAAGAATGGGTAGATGTGGTGATTGGCGCCTTGCAAGAACGATCTTCAAACCAAGAGTCTATTGTGGCAGATACTTGGACCACGCATACACAGAAACTTGTGTTTTCTGCTACGTTGACAAAAGATGCAGGAAAATGGGCGAGTTTGAAGATCAAGCAGCCGAGAATTTTTGTGGTTGGAGATAAATCGACCACCGCCGGTGAAGAGGAATTCTCTGTTCCGTTTACTTTGACGGTAAGGCAGATGCTGTGTATCTCGATCTATTGTGATTTGCTAATCTGTGGCTACAGGAATATATGGTGCAAGTTCCGGATGTCTTGACGAAGCCGCTGATTCTTTTGAATCTACTGACGCAAGAGTCCATCTCGAGCGACTGTATCATATTCACAAGATCAAACGAGACGGCTGCTCGACTTGTGAAGCTTCTTTCAATGCTGGACCGGAGGCTTCGAATGAAAGCCGACAAAAGTCTTGAGCAACTTACGATCGGACTGGTGAATGGCGAGGTTGACACAAACAAACGCAAGAAGACGTTGAAGGAGTTTGCCAAGGGCGAAATAAGCCTGTAAGTACTGATGATGTTCACCAGCTTTGCTACGCGGATACTGATATCTGACTTTTCACAGAATAATTTGCACAGACATTATTGCTCGGGGTATGGATATCGAATCGGTCAAGCACGTTATCAATTACGATATCCCAATCAGCGGACGCGAGTACATCCACCGCGTAGGCAGAACGGCCCGCGCAGGAAAAGAGGGCACAGCCTGGTCTCTGGTATCCAGACCCGAGGCAAAGTGGTTCAAGGAGATGGCAGGCAAGATCAAGCGGAGCAAGACGCAGAAACTGCTGCGACGAGAGGTTACGGTCTGGGAGGGACAGGAGGAGGTTTACGAGACGGCATTGGAGAGTCTGGAAAGGCAGGTTAAAGGGACCACTTCATAGACTGATTATAAATACATTACATAATAAACATTAAAGAACAGTCCTGATGACACGTGACTGTAGGGTTAATGTAGGGCTCAGAAAGCAGTCACGCTCCAAGCCGCTCTGGTCCCAACCGCCCGAGGCAGCGCTCAGCCGAGTCTACTCATCTTCACGACCTGAGATCCGCTTCAGTTTCTGTTCATCCGACACCAATCGACATCAACAAAAATGGCTGGAACGTGAGTGCTTTTCTCGCTGTATTCCATCAGGCAAAGAGCGACAACACTTTATACCCTTCGATGCATGTCTCGCGGTAGTTCTATTTGGCAACGGTTCGGATTCCAGATTCTTCGTGACGGCGTTTGAATGGAAACACTTCAACGTCAGATGAAGGTTATGAGACTAAGGCGACGGCTTCTCAATTTGAGATGCAAGCCTTTTTCTTGAAATACATTTATGGTGCTGTGTGAATAGGAGAACTCGCGCCTAGCAGTGCTGTTAAGTTTCTCCCACGCACGCCAATTCTGCAAGCGCTCCGAGTAAAACTTTTCAAGTTTTGAAAGGTTCGCCAGCGGGTTATGTCTCTACTGCTTTGCGCAGTTTTGATCAAATGCATTTCAGGGCAGCCGAGGCGATATTGTGCTTTGAGCTTTTTGCCTAGATTTGGAAAGAAAAAATTTCTGCAACTACAGATCCTGACTGATTTCATGATAGTACCGTCCCCACCGCTGAGCAGGTCCTCGTCCCCGAGACCCTCCTTAAGAAGAGAAAGAACCAGGACAAGGTCCGGGAGGAGAAGATCGCTGCTGCTGCCGCCAAGAAGGCTGTATGTGAACCCGTTTGTTTCTTATATTATCATTTCTGATTCATTTCGATGCTATGATGATATTTTATCCTATCCTTCGAGAGCTAGTCTTCGGACAATGTTGCCTTCGTTATACCATCTTTCGGGACTGATCATCGAAATGTAATCTCATGTGATTATCTATGAATTGTCTATTAACTCATGGAATATAGGCCAACAAGGAGAAGCGCAAGGTCATCTTCGAGCGTGCTGAGAAGTACGTCAAGGAGTACCGTGAGGAAGAGAAGGAGAAGGTCCGTCTCAACCGTCTGGCTAAGAAGGAGGGCAACTTCTACGTTCCCGCCCAGGCCAAGCTCGTCTTCGTTGTCCGTATCAAGGGTATCAACAAGATTGCTCCCAAGCCCCGCAAGATCCTCCAGCTCCTCCGTCTCCTCCAGATCAACAACGGTGTCTTTGTCAAGCTTACCAAGGCCACCGCTGAGATGCTCCGCATCGTCGAGCCCTACGTTGCGTACGGTTACCCCAACCTTGCGTCTGTCCGCTCTTTGATCTACAAGCGCGGATACGGAAAGGTCCAGCGCCAGAGAATCGCCCTTACTGACAACGCCATCATCGAGGAGGCTCTCGGCAAGTACGGAATCATCTGCATCGAGGATCTCATCCACGAGATCTACACCGTCGGACCCGCTTTCAAGCAGGCCTCGAACTTCTTGTGGCCCTTCAAGCTCTCCAACCCCTCCGGCGGCTGGGGTGTGCGGAGAAAGTTCAAGCACTTCATCGAGGGTGGATCTATCGGTGACAGAGAGGATAAGATCAACCAGCTCATCAAGGCTCAGAACTAAACTCAAAAGTCTTTTTCATGGTTTATGTGACGGTTGGATTTTGTACTTTATCATAGCAAAATAAAAGGAATAATAATAGACAAACAGCGGTAGTAGAAGTCAGGTGACTGTCAGGTGACTGTCAGCACCGAGGGCCGCGTGCTCATTGTCAGATGCGAGAAACTCAAAGTGAGCAATGACGCACTCTGCTTATCAGTGCACCGGGTTCGCGAACTCGCCTGTCGTAGCCAGCCAGCAGCCATTCTTCTGGATTCTGTGTAGTAACTCGAGGACCAACGCGCAATTCAGTGCACAGGCAATGTCCGAGCCTGAATCTGAGAACGTGAGCGAGATTCCCGTCGTGGACGAGGGCTTTGGGGTTGGAGAGTCTAGCCCGCTCGACGGTCTGGCCGAGCCCATTCTTGCCGTCGATTCGCTTCCCGAGGCCGAGAACGCGTGGGGGGAGGAGGCTGTTGAGGATGCGACTGTTGGGGAGGCAGGCGTGGAGGAGGTGAAGGCAGATGTCGTTCTTGACAAAGAAGAAGTGCCGTCGGAAGTACCTGCGGAGGATGGGCAGGGTACGCCCGACGAAGGCACTGTCACTGTCGACTCAGCAGAGGCTGATGCTGTGGAACCAGCAAGCAACGAGAGCAGTGCGCAGGAGGAACCTGAGTCTGCAGAGCATCAGAACGAGCAGCCTGAAGAACCAGCAGCGATTGTCGCAGAATCGGAAGCAACGAACGAGACAGAGACCTCAGAGTCTCCCGCTACTCCCAAAGACACAGCAGAGGATCCGTCACCCGAGACTGCTGAGCCCAAGACCGAGGCCGAGGCGCCGTATACGACTGCTTCATCCAAGCTATTTGGTGACGACGACAAGCTGTTTACAGACGACGTTGATCCGGACGCGCCGGAAGACGACGCAGAGGCCGAGGATGATATTCTCGGGCCTTCCAAGCCGGCTGTGCCCATCGCGGTCTCAAGCTGGACCACAAAGAAGCGGCCACCGCAGCATCCTGAGATTCCAGTCGAGATCCTGACGAGCTCGAGCGCCGTCGAACCGAAAGCGAGGGCGTCGCCGGCGAAGGAATCAGGCCCGGCCAAATCGTTTTCGAGAATACCTGCGATTCCGGAGCCGAAGCAGATCGATCTTGCGGCGGCGGCTGAGGTCTATGACGAGGATGATGAGGACGACGTGTTTGCGAAGCCTGTTCCTGAAGCAGCGGTGCCTGTACCTCCGGAGCCGCAGGCTGATGCGTATCAGGATCTACCTCCAGAGCTGGTAGCCATGGCAGACAGGTAAGATTTTGCTCTTTAATTATGTGACTGCCTATTGCGCCGCCATTGTCTGTGCTATACTAACTTGAATATGCGTAGATTCGTTGAGAGCATACGTGAAATCGCGCCATCGGGTGCTCTATCTCCAGAAAGACTCTCGCAGCTATTCCAGGATTTCTACGTGACCGTGCAAGACAAGGCCGCAGCGATGCTCCGGCGAAGCAATATGCGTCGTACGTATGAAGTCCAAATGGTCTCATTTGAAGAGATGGCGCGGAAGAAGCGCGAGCGGAAACAAAAGGAACACCAAAAAGTCCTCTACGAAGAGCTGGTGGAGAGAAAAGTCTGCAGCGAGTGCTACGATGATGTTTTCATGTACAATGCGAGCGACGATGAGCCCAAAGATGAGGCGTTGGCGACGAAGATTGCGGCTTTGAAAGTGATCAATATCGACATGGAGCACTTGGGAGTTCCCGAGCTTAAAGATGTCGATTTTAACACTCTTCTGGGGCCCGCTAAGAAGGAGCTGGTTTCCTTGGCTGAGAAACGGTCTCCCAAGGAAAAACTGCAGGTGCTCATCTCTGTTCACAAGCATATCGTTGACGTGCTGTCGAATGTAAAGCAGTCCAACGGAGCTATGGGCCAGTCCGGCGCTGACTTTGTTCTTCCGACTCTCATCTACTGCGTGATCCAAGCAAACCCGCCCCACATCTCATCCAACATGGCGTTCATCCAGCGCTTCCGATCGACCAAGACGATAAATGGCGAAACCGCGTACTGCCTGACGAATTTCGAGGCGGTCGTCGCGTTCCTTGAGACCGTGGACCTGCAGACCTTGAATCTCGACTCGATCGATATTCCGTCGCTGCCCCCGGTTCCCGAAGAGCCGAAGATCGTCGATCCGCTGATTGCGGCATCCGAACCGCCGCCACTCCCCTCTCCTCGCTCTACTTCTTCCCCGTCGCCATCGCCGCTCTCTCCTTCTCTAGGCGGCGAAATGCTCCAGCGTAAACCGTTGACGTCCTCCGCGTCTTCGGTTCGCTCTGCATCCTCAGCCTCGAGCTCGGTCTCAAACAGCAGCAAGAAGCCAGTTGCCTTCTCATCCGTCCCGCCGCCGCCTGCAAAGGACTCGATCAAAAACGTCGCACCCGTGAAACCGATGCCGGCCGACACCAACCGCCGGGCAAGCGCGTCGATTTTCGGAAACGCTACATTCGTGCAGGCGCCGAACGGGCCTAAAGCGCCTGAGAAAATCAGGGTGGCGAAACAGACTGGTGGTGGTGTTAATGCGCCGGTTGTCGTCAGCGCGTCGAGCAGTACTGGCGGGGCGGCTGCTAGTGCGCCATCTTCTTCTTCATCGCGGCGATCGTTTTATCCCACGGGACTGACTGCCTCGGTTGGAAGTACGGCTGATTCGGGAATCAGGTCGATCAGCTCGACGTTTGAGACATCCTACAAATTCTTGTTTGGAAACAAGGATAATGAGAAAGCGTCGCCTAAGCGCGAGGTAGCAATGCGAGGAAACAACAACGTCGAAGCACTTGAGCGACGAACTAAAGAAGTCCTGCAGCAGTCGTCCCAGGTTATCTCGACCTACGCCGAGGGCAAGAAGCGGGAGCAGCAGCAGGAGATAAGTCCGCCACGGACGTCGTCCAAGGCCGGCAGCGCTGAGCCAGAGCCTGCGCAGCCGGAGTTGCCTGCCGCGCATATTCTTCCAAAGAGTCGGAAGCAGGCGGCTGGAGATGCGTCGTTTGGCGCAGAGGGAAAGGTGGCGTCGAGTAGCAGTAGTATGCGACGAGGCGGGTCGAATGATAGCCGTGTCTCGCCGGTGATGGATGACGGCGATCGTCCTCGAACACTGTAAGTCTTCTGCACCTACGTTTTTATCGCACTCAAACACTCAAGCTAACAGATATGGCAATAGAATGGACAGCGTCCGCCGCTTCGCAAGATCGGGCTCCAACCCATCCGGCATCATCGACCAACAACCCCCGTCCTCACCGCAGCTTCCAAAGTTATCCAAGCCGAAATTCGACGACGAGACGCTTGCCGACGCCAGCACGCTAGATGCGGCGCAGGTAGACGAGCTCGTGAAGGATTATCAGCGAATGGTGGAGTACTTGAAGACGATCTCTGCTTTTGAGGAGTGAGGAGTGAGGAGTGGAGCACGGCCGCGTGTGTAAATAGGCATAGAAACTCATTTTTTTGGTCTTTGTTTTATTCATTTTGATGTTGTATTGAGTTGCCGCATTTTTGAGTAGTTGGATGTCGATCGCTTCTTTCTCTTGGGAAAGATGAGAGGGCACTAATAGCAGTATTCCTAGTTGTTTTTCTCTCTTTGGATAGAATATCTTATCATTATTATACTTCTTCATCCTGTACCAAAGACAAGTAAAAGATCTAACCAAAACGAAGCTGGAAGCCAGCACCTCCCTGCGTATCTTCTCTAAATAACCCATTTTTGTTATCGGCAGGAGAAGCCAGTAATATCCTCGTCGCCTCGTCATCGTCATCAGACATCAAACCCGCCTCAGCATCAGCACCACCGCCATGCACGACCGCGGGCGCGCCAGGACTATCGTCGCCGTGGACTCTTGTTTCGGACGTGGACGGGAAAGGTAAGAATTCTGAAGTAGGTTTGGGTTTGGGGTCTTCGGAGAAGTAAGGGTGGTTGAGCGCGTCGGCGGCGGAGATGCGTTGCTTGGGGTCAAGCTGGAGGAGTTTCGAGAGAAGGTCGACGCCGGCGGAGGTTAGGAATGGGAAGCGGGAGCGGAGGGAGGGGGTTCTGTGGACACGCGAGTTAGCAAGGGAAGATGTGTGGAGAAGAAGATGATGAAGATGCTTACGGCGGGCGATCTTTGGGAGGGTTTATGGTTGTGGCATGTGGGAGTCGGCTATAGCCTGGCCAAGAGTTGTTGTCAGGATATCCGAGGAAATCAAAGATCTAAGAAAAAGACATTGTCAGTTTGGCGTGAATAGACAGATTTGCGGGAGCAATATGGAAGATCGACACACTCTCTTTATCTGGTTGATTTCACTCTTGCCATCAAACAACGGTTTTCCCGTAAGCAACTCGACAAATATACACCCGACAGACCACATATCAACCTCTGTCGAATACTCCTTCGCGCCCAGCAACAGCTCCGGCGCACGATACCACAGCGTGACAACCAACGGCGTCATCTTCTCGACCGGGTCAGAGTAGTACCTCGCGAGGCCAAAGTCTGCGACTTTGAGAACGGCGGCGGTTGTGATTAGCAGGTTTGAGGTTTTCAGGTCGCGGTGGATGATGAAGTGTGCGTGCATGTAGGCGACGGCGGAGAGCAGTTGGCGGAGGAGGGTTTTGGCTTCGGATTGGAGGAATGGTTCGCGCATTGCTTTCATTAGCTCGCGGAGGTCGTGGTCGACGTATTCCATCACGATATATATCCTAAATCAACGCATTAGCTCATCATCACCTCGCATTACCAAACGACACACATACTGATCCAACGACCCACCAACCACCAACTCCTCAATCCGCACCACATTCTGATGTTCAATCGCGCGCAACGTGCGGATCTCTCGCAAGCTAGTGATCGGGAACCCCTGTGAATTTTTCTCGAGCTTGAGTTTTTTCAGCGCAAATATTTGGTTTGTGTGCATCTCGCGGCCTTTGAACACGACGCCGTATGTGCCTTCGTCGATATGGTTCAGGCGCTCGTAGTTTTCCACGCTCCGGCAGGATTGGATCGGGCGGGGTTTGAATTTTAAAAGGCCGTCTGCTGTGAGGTCGAGGTTGGTTGCTGTAGATTGTGTAGCGTTAGTTGCTTCTGCTTTGCTCGTCGTCGGTTCAGCTGCGGAAGAAGTAGATACATCTTTCTCAGACCCAACAGCAGCAGCAGCGGCTTTCTTCTCCTGCCTCAGTTTCTTCTTCTTCTTCTTCTCGGCGCGCAATCGTTCGCGTATCTCCGGATCCTCGTCTTCATCTCTCCACCGTGACCGCTTCTGCGTGTCCATCGCTGATCTCTGCTATCCCTCACTCGCTCACTCTTTGCTCTATAACAAGCTCTATAATATTCAAAAACACCAGCACGATAGTAATAACAGAGTCGCAGGGTTATATGCGGATCATATCGTAGTCTATCAGATCACTTGAGTATTCAGATATCTCGACTTTGATGATGTTCAAAGATCTTAAAGTTTAGCGATGGCGCGGCGCCGCTCCGGTTTTTCTGGATCCCGGGAATATCAATTTAAGTGAATTCAATTCAATTCAGACTGCTATTACTTCCTGCAGTACATTCAGAAGAGAATAATACGTGCAGAATGAGCAGGTTCATGTGTCTGCGTGTGCCGTCGCGGGGATTGGCGCGGAGCAGCGGGGTCAAGATGTGGATGCGACCTGGCCGGGCGACGACGGGTCTACGACCGTATGCCTCGACTGCTCCCGAACCAGCAGTTAAGAAGAGTCTGGGCGAGATTCTCGCGAGCGCTATCAAGGTGTGTCTTGACTGCTTTGATAACATAAAAACCGGGATCAACACTGACGAGAGCAAAAATAGACCACCGGCCCGATAAGTCTAGCCGCCTACATGCGCCAATGCCTGACCAACCCCGAATCCGGCTACTACATCAACAAAGACCCCTTCGGCGCCGGCGGCGACTTCATCACCTCTCCCGAGATCTCGCAGATGTTTGGCGAGCTGGTGGGCATCTGGGTGCTCACGCAGTGGATGGCGGTCAGCAAGCCCGACGAGTCGCGGCTGATCGAGCTCGGTCCGGGACGGGGGACGTTGATGGCGGATATGTTGAAGGCGTTTCAGAGCTTTGGGTATTTTAATCATACGGTTAAGGAGATTTGTTTGGTGGAGGCGAGTCCGACGTTGAGGGAGATGCAGCATAAGTTGCTTTGTGGGGAGGAGCCGTTGGAGGAGACTGAGTATGGGCATAAGAGTAGAACGAAATACGGCCAGCTGATAAGCTGGTACATGGACTTGAAGACCGTCCCGAAGGGTATGAGTGCTGCTCTACTATCTTCACCTTCCATGCATAAAACTAACAACGCATTCTGACAGACGACTGCGCGCCATTCATAATCGCCCACGAGTTCTTCGACGCGCTCCCGATCCACCAATTCGAACACACCCAGCACGGCTGGCGCGAACTCCTAGTCGACTACTCCGTCCCCAAAGTCGAGACCCCGCTCTCGCTCCCCAACCAAACGACCTCAATCGGTCCCGAGGTTGCAAAATTCCACCTAACCGTGCCCGCGTACGCGACCGCGAGCAGCAGAGTCATCCCCTCTTCCTCCGAGCGGTACAAGAAACTGCCGATCCACTCCAAGATCGAAGTCAGTCCGGAGTCGTGGGACGTCGCGCTCGAGATCGCGAAGCGGATCCAGGAAACCGACGAGCTCGGCCGCGTCGTCAACGCGGGATCGGCGCTGATCGTCGACTACGGGCCCGCGGATACAATCCCTGTCGACAGTTTGCGCGCAATCAAGCAGCACCATATCGTGTCGCCGTTCGAGGAGCCCGGGGCGGCGGATTTGTCGGCCGATGTGGATTTCGTGGCGCTGAAGGAGGTTGCGCGGAAGGAAGCGGGGGTGGATGTGCATGGCCCGGTCGAGCAGGGGGATTGGTTACATACGCTGGGAATTGGTGCGCGCGCGACGGTGCTGGCGAATAAACAGACTACGCAGGAAGGAAAGGATAGGATCGCAAAGGCGTATAATCGATTGGTCGAGAGGTCTGGTGGCGCGATGGGAAAGGTGTATAAAGTCATGGCGTTTACTCCAAAGGGGTCGCCGGTGCCTGTTGGATTCGGCGGTGAGGTCGTCGAGTGAATGTATATAGGCCCTGTTGATGACTATTTTTCCTGTAGATAACTATTTTATTTTATTCATTCTAAAAGTACACAGCAAATCTACTCCGGCGGTATATATCCAAACTCCTGCCGCCGAAGACTATCCCTCTCCGCTTTCTCCTCCGCCGTCAACTCTCTAAACTGGATCTCGACCGCCGCAACCTCATTGACCACGTCCGGTACTTTCTTGCGCTTACTCGCGTCCGCAAACTGTCGTCGTCGTTTGAGCGTCAGATCCATCGCGACCGGGTGGAAATACGCCTTTTGTTGCTCGCTGTCGAGACCGAGTGTGATTGTGTCGGTTGGTTTGCTGGTGATGTCGTAGTCTCGTGTGTGGGTGAATCTGTAGACTGTGTTTTCGTCGTCGTCGGCTGCTTCTTCTGCTGCTGCCTCTTCCTCCGAGATTGAGATCTTGTGCTTGAATTTCTCGGCGGCTTCTTGCTCTGCTAAAAAGACAGACATAAAAGTATTATCCTCCGTGCCAGTCGGTCTCGCGACCGCGACATCGTACCGCGAATCTCCCGTCTCATCCTTGCCCTTGACCCCCGGCGCGGCTCCCGCCATCTTCATCAACAGATACGTCAGATCAAGCACCTCGACGTCCGGCACAAGAGCCCACGACTCCTCGACCACGAGCCCCTTCTTCGTCGGGTGCTGGAACGTCGAGAGCTCTTCGTCCGCTAACTTGAACGTGTCCTCGATCGTCTGCAGTTGCTTGCGCGGATCGCTGATGTCGACGGCTTTCGAGGTGTTTGCGGCGCGGTTGGCTTGCCGGGCTTGCTTGATCGCGTCGGTGGAGATGTACTCGGTCCGACGGAGGAACGAGACGCCTGGTTGGGATTTGGAGACGCCGCTGATGGAGCCGGGGTCGCGGAGTAGTAGCCGGTCGGTTTCGTTCATCGGCGCCGGGCTGCGATCGGGATACATATCTAAGCAACGTCAGCACTTCCTCTCACCCACAGCTTCTCTTTCTAAGAACACTCACTGGACTCATCCCCCTTATCAAACACGCCGCTGATAACAGTCATATCAAGCGGCATCCCCAGCTCGGCATCGATATCGACGTTCAGCGGCTGCTGCTGCACGAGCGCAGACAGGAAACCCGAGGAAGTGAAGTCCGACAGCGGGATCGTGACGTCGAGCAGTTTGGGCGGACATGGCGGCGGCGGGAGATTGTTCTGGTAGCGGATGCGCGCGATGTAGTCTTGCCTTACTGCTCGCGACATTGTTGTTGTTCGGGGTGTCGAGCAGCGGTGGAGAAACTGGTGATGATGAGTGTTGATGAGAGGAGTGGATGAGAGAAGTGTGAGCACTGGGGTTTGTACGCATATCAGTTCAACCTCTTCAACAACCACCATCTACACTCAGCAGCAAGACATAGAACTACTATGCATTCACATTCACTGATATGACAATAAACGATCTACGGGAAGACACCCGTCTAGACCGTCTTTCCTCCGCAGACATCTCGGAGCACGTCTTCACGCTGTACTCCGAGCACAAGCCGCCGGATTTGCAGAATCTGGGGTATTTCTCGCGCACGCTGAGTTTGCTGCCGGTCGAGTTGCGGGTGGTGCCGCAGTTGTTTGTTGATGCGGGGAGAGATGCGAATGAGAAGGAAGAGGAGGGGGAGGTGGACGGCTTGACGGCTGAGCAAAAGAAGAGGCGCAGGAATCGGAAGGTCCGGGGACATAATACCACTACCACCGCCGACGAGGTCACGCTAGAGTACGTCCTGCACCAGTCCCTAGAGCTGTTCAATTCTCAAAAAGAAAACAGCACGACCGGCGCGGTACTTTGGCAAGTTTCTCCGCTGTTTGCAGAGTGGGTTCTCACACCCGGCACGCCCTTCCACTCGCTCTTCAGAGCAGACGAAAGTGTCCAGCCTCGAGTTATCGAGATTGGCGCAGGGGTAGGCGGCATTCTCGCCTGCGCATTGAGTATTCCTATGTTTGTAGCGTCGGCCGTCGCGGAGGGAAATTCTCAATTGCAGACCCGGCGCTCGGGGGGTCTGTATGTTGCAACGGATCAGGCGCATATTCTACCCTTTCTGCGCAAGAATATCGCGAGTAATCTACCAGTCACGCAGGAGGCTGTCGCTCACGCTATGCACAGCGGCAGCAAACCTCTTCCATCGTTCAACTCACTCACCTTACCTGCCGCTCACCCCCCGCCCGACGCGAAATCTCATGCACATACCCCCCACAAACATCCCAAACACAAATCAACACCTCCTCCCGATCTTGACGCCAGCTCAAAAACCATCGCCCACCCCTCGATCGAAGTCCTCGAACTCGATTGGGAACACGCCGACGCCGACGTCAGGTACATCAAAGACGTGCTCTCTGTATCTGAATTCGACGTCGTCGTCGCGTGCGACACAATTTACAACGATTTCCTGATCGCGCCGTTTGTGCGGACTTTGAGACTACTCGCGAGCGCGAGGACGCATGTGTTGGTGGGGATGCAGATGCGGGCGCATGAGGTTGTAGAGGCGTTTTTGGATGAGGTTATGGAGGTTGGGGGGTTTGATGTGTGGGTGGTCAGGCCGGAATTTCTTTCGGAGAAGATGAGGGATGGGTTTGTTATTTACTATCTACGGAGGGCGGGGGATAATAGTTGACTCTAGTTGGATTGAAAATATATACACTGAAAAGTAAACACAACACAAACTCCTTGATAATATACAACCATACCCAAAAGCAAACCCATACTTCATCATATAATATACATTCTTCTATAATTCGTCAATCATCTCGTCAAGCCAATCCCCGGTCTGCCGGGCCTGCTTCTTCTGCACCGGCTGCACTTTCATGATATCGTACGGCGTAACAACCGATCCTGTCGCCGTGCCGCTCGCGTCAAAGCCGTCGAGGTCGAGCCCGGTGAAGGACGGGATTGCAGCGGGCGATTTCGAGATGGTGGGTCGGCGCCAGGTCGAGCCGGCTATTTGCTCGCGCAGAGATGAGCCTGTGAATGTGCGTTTGGGGGGTGCGGGGCTGTCTGCAGACTGCGTGTCGGCGGAAACGGACTGTTTTCTCCCAAATCTCAGGATGGAATGCGAGCGGTTGGTGTCGCTTGACTCTGGCGAGGCAGTGAGTTTTTCAGCGCTGCTGGAGGAGTTGTCCTGGGAGTCATCCGCGGCAAAAGACGAAGGCGAGTCAGAGGGACCATAGGAGTCCTCTACAAGAGTTGAGGAGCGCTGTAGGGTAGGTTTTGTTGACCAGGGAGTTTCGCGGATTGCGAAAATGAAGGCGTTGAAAAACCCACTGATGCCGTACATGAATGCAGAGATATAGCCCAGCCACGCGACGGGATGGTTTTGGTAGTAGGACGTGTACATGAGACACTGCTCGATGAAGGGAGGAGCCCACATGATGACGTAGAAGACCGGGTATAGGAGGAGGTATTTGACTTGGCGGAGGACGTTTGCGCGTTGGCGGTCTTGACTTGAGATGTCGACCTCGATCTTGCGGTCTTCGAACTGCGGGGAGGTGGCAGGAGAGGTTTGGGTGATGGTGGACTGAGCAGGAGGGGAATTTGGGAAGCGGACGTTTTGGTCGAAGTAGGCAGCGTCGCCGGGAGAGAAGGAGAGATCGTAGCCGATGATTTCTTCGGTTGAGTTGTCGATTGTCGAGGGATTCTCGTTTGTCGGGAGGATTGGTGAGCGAGGGTGCTTTTCGATGTCTTGGAGATTTGTTTGCAGTGGAGGGGAAGATAGAGTGGGATCAGCGGGGATGGTCAAGGGCACGTCTTGGACGTCGTGCTGGATGACTTCGACTTTTCGCAAGACGCGTCGGACGTAGCGGTAGACGCCAAAGTAGATGGCGCAGATGGTGAAGAGGACGATGTAACGGGGCACCCAAGCCAAGACGAGACGGTACCAGATGGGGGAGATGGGGAGATAGCACCAAGTGGTGAGCTGGATGTAGCCGAGGCTTGCTTCCTGGAGATCAGAGTCGCCGGCGGACCCGGCATCTTTTGATTTGACAAAGGGGAGGGATGCGAATAAGACGGAGAAGATAGCCCAGGCGACGAAGAGAGGCTTGCGGTACTTGTAGAGGCCGCCGTATTTGTTTGCCGCGCCAGAAGAGGAGACTTGGGGGTACATGACGAACATGTAGGTGTGGATGGCGATGGCGAGGACGGCAAAGTCGCCGGCTTCGATGCTGAGGGCGGCAAAGAAGCCGTCTGCCTGGCAGGCGTGGGGGCCGATGGAGTCTTCGCCGGTGTACCAGAGGCGGATGGGGTACCACATGAGGATGATGGCGCGCCAGCAGTCGAAGAAGAGGAGGAGGAAGATGAGACTAATAACGTTAGAGGGGAAGAGGAGGAGAAGAAGAGGAGGAGAAGAGGAGCATACAGATGACGAAAGACCTTTTCAGGAAGACGGTAGAGCCAGAAGAAGGCGAGGAAGCAGGATATTATGGATAGCCAGGAGGAGACGAAGGAGATGATGCGGATGCCATGGCGCGCGTTGCGGGAGTAGTCGTAGAGACCGTCGCGGGGGAGGATGTCCATGGGAGGGAAGGAGATATCGAGAGGATATCCAGAGAAGAAGAAAAGAAGAAGAAAAGAAGATATAAAGAGAGAAGAAGAGAAGATATAGAAGAGAAGAAGATATAAAGAGAAGAAGAAGATAAACAGAGGAGACTACAAGCGAGGATACTTCACTTCACCAGCAAAGAAGCACAACCAGCTACAAACAGCTTTGGTTGAAGTAGTTGTTTGTGTGCTATAGAATAGGAATATAACAAAGAATATAATACAATAAGAAGAATAGAATACAAACAACAACAATAAAGAATAAAGAAAGAGACAACAAAGATATCAAAGAATGTTCAGATGCTCTGCGCCACGGCCGGTTCGGAGTTTGAGTTGGTTCTTTCTGGTGTCTCCTGCTCTTGTATCTTATATCTGTATCTTATGTCTCTATATCTCTATATCTCTATATATCTGTCTCTATTACTACTATCTCTATTATATCTCTATCTATTATATCTATACTATTACCTACTACACTCATACTCAGCTCGGCGACCTCGTATCCGGGCCCTGGCCATGGCCGGCTCTGCGGCTGAACTACCCTCCGCCCTGAGCCGCACCATCAAAAGCTTATTATTTTTCTTTTAACTGCAATAACGTCTTGATATTCTCTTATTGCACTATCTGCCATGAAGCGTGTGCAGTCAGCTAAGGGTGGGTGTATACTATTATTATTGTTGGTGTAGTCTTTGCTAATGTTGCTGGTATCTTTAGCCTTCCTGGCTTCCGCTGCTTCTGCAAAGAAACTGCGTGCAGAACCCACTCCATCCGATACTCCATCTCGAACCAGATCTGCCTACTCTGTCCAACAATCCATACAACCCCCTCCTCCACCTCCAACCGCACCAACAGACAACAGCAATGACGACATCCAATACGCTCCGATCCTCGACTCCGACGACGACACCACTCAAGACTGCGTCATTACATACGACCCCGTCATCTCAGCTGATCCAGCTGATCCTGATCTCGACAAGGTCATCATCAACTACTCTGACTCCGACGACGACGACCCAAAAGTCACCTCTGAGATTATGTATGTTTCCTTCTCTTTCTTCATATATATATATATATATATATATATGTAGGTGCTCACATCTCAGTAATCTCGACCAAAACATCCAGCTCTCCATGTTCGCTCCCTCCTCCGACAATCTCATCCACTCCCAACATCTCTCTCTCTACGCCCTAGCTCACTCTGAGGTACATACTCCCACTCTCAGTACTCAATCCTCACTTCTACACCATCTAACTCTCCAGACCCTCGTCATCCAAGGACAATACTCCGTCCGCGTGCTCAAAGGAACCCTCTCTCTCTACGGAGCATCTCTCACACCTTCCAGCACATTTCATCAAGTTTTCGCTCCTACCTCATCTGCTCTTCCAATTCTCTCTGCCAGAATCACAGACGACGACAACAATATCGACAACAGCAACCTCATCTCTGAAATCAAATCATTACTTCCCAAACACACACGACCGACAACTGCGCAATTACAACCACTTCTCCAACGACCCTGCATTATCGCCGTCAAATCTACACACACGGGCATCGAAGGCATCGACCGCATCATTGGCAACGGATCAAGTATATGGACACCCTCCAACAAACAACCAGACTCTGAGGAGAGCCACAGCATCCTCTACACAGCGACGCAGCACGACTGCCCTCTACTTCTCTCGCTCTCGGCAGCATGGAATACACAAATCACCAAACTCACCAAACTTGTCATCAACGGCGCCGACAGTCGCGACACCCGACATCCCCGGATCCTAATCTGTGGTCCAAAGGGCGTCGGCAAGTCCACCTTCCTGCGGCTATTACTAAACTCCCTTGCATCTGCATCGTCGTCTAAAAACAAGGTCACTCCAGCAGTCCTCGATCTCGATCCTGGACAGCCTGAATTTGCACCAGCGGGGATTTTGAGCGTGTGTGTGCGTGACGAGCCGGTGTTTGGGCCGTCGTTGTCGCATTGTTCGATGGGAGGGTTGGCTAAAGCTAGTCATTTTGGATATATCTCACCGCGCGAATCGACGGCTGATTATATTCGTCATACGGAGATTTTGGAAGATTATTACTCAAATCATATCTTACGCTCTACAGCACCAGCACCACTCTCATCGCTCGACGATGAAGAAGAGACAGAGAGTCTTGTTGAGAGCGAAGAAGAAGATTACACTCCAGCACCACAGCAGGAAACACAAACTCCTCTACTCATCAACACCTCCGGCTGGATCAAAGGCGATGGTGTCCGAGTTTTGAAAGAAGTCATCACAACTACGAAACCAGATATAATAGTCTACATCGGTCCCACGCTGCCACGACCAGGCCAGGTTGACCTCAACTCCGAACTCGCAGAGATGTTGTACGATACAGTCGGGATCGACGATAAAGGACGAGTGGGCTCAAGACTGAAGATGCTTCAGCCTTTTAAAGCTCAAGATACGGGCGGCGAGCGACCTAGATTAGCGCTGCGGTTTACTGCTGCCGACTTGAGGAATGCGCAGACAATGTCGTATTTCCACGCTGTTGGCAGCTGTGCTTGGGACTTTGAACAGCCGTTGACGGAGAAAGTGCCGTATGTGATACCATATGCCGGATTGAAAGACTGTGCACATGTGGTGGAAATACTACAGCAGGAAGAGTGCGAGGAGTTACTCTACGAGCACGTGCTGAGTGCGATTAATGGCACGATTGTGGGAATCTCGAGCATGACAATGGCGAAGGAAATAGTCAGGCCTGTGTCTGTCGGCGACGGTCTGCCAGACTTGCCAATGACTACTACACCTACACTCTCCTCTCGCGAGGCCAGCAGTCTAGATTGTATCGGGCTAGGCATACTCCGCGCGATCGACCACCGCAAAGGCCTCCTCCAGATTCTCGTGCCGCGACATGTAGCAGACTCTGCGCGCGCGGCAGTCAAGCGCGGCGCGATGATTGTGTTTGCGCGGGGAAGGCTTAGTCTGCCGCTGCACGCGGCCTGGGACGGCCGCAGCGGGAAACAAGTAGTAGCAGGTGTGCCGCTGGCCAAAGTGCCGTATCTGACCGCGGACGAAGAAGGCGCGGAGGTGCAGCAGATTGCGGGCGGGCAGGCGCTGCGGGTGCGGAGGAATGTGTTGAGGAAGAATCAGCAGAGGTGAGGATGGTCGAGATGGCTGCGGAAGATGCTGGAGGCCGGGGCCGCAGCCGGAAAAACTCTGGGTCCGAAGCGGCCGCATGCAGCGGTTCGACAAGGAGATAGAGATGTGGTTTGTATATACAATGAAGACACATATTCTACACAAGACTATTATAGACATATACTCTATTCTCCATCTTTAATATCCAATCTCTTCTCTTCTGATAAACACAGCAACTCGTAGTTCTCGCCAACGGCCGGAGGAGCTGCCAGTTGCGCAGCCCAAACCCTTCTGCGGCCCTGACGATGCCGTCATTCCCCGTCTGCTGCGTTCTCTCCCGGCCACTGCTGCTGCCTGATACTCCAATATTCCCAGATATCTGATCTGAATCTGTTGTTGCTGCTGTTGCTGGCATAAAAGAAGAAAGAAGAATAAAGAAACATCATCATAATGACGTCGCAGTCGCTGAGCGAAGCTGTTGCGGAGATTGTCGACAAGTTTAGCATTAGCGAGCAGCGGCTTAAGAGTATCTCGGACGAGTTCATTCGTCTTTCAAGTGCGTTCAATTGCTTTGTTTGAGTTGTGTTTGGTTCTGGGGTTGCTGACTTGCTTTTGTTGTCTAGAACTCGGGCTTCATCATGAGGGAGAGTCCATGAGCATGATTCCTTCTTATGGTACGTCACGCATTCATTCAATTCAATACATTCACTCACTAACACACTGCACTGCAGTCACCTCAATTCCAAACGGCAAAGAGAAAGGCACCTTCCTCGCCGTCGACCTCGGCGGCACAAACTTCCGCGTCTGCTCCGTCCACCTCAACGGCGACAACACCTACGACCTCCTGCAGACTAAGACCTCAATCCCGCGCGAGCTCATGGTCGGCACCTCCAAAGACCTCTTTGCGTTCCTCGCCAAGCGCGTCGAGGAGTTCATCAAGACCCACCTGAGCGAGAAATTCGACGAGGACTCGGTCGACCACCAGCTCAAGCTCGGCTTCACTTTCTCCTTCCCCGTCAACCAGACCGCCATCAACCGCGGCACGCTCCTGCGCTGGACTAAAGGTTTCGACATCAAGGACACCGTCGGCCAGGATGTTTGCAAGTTGCTCCAGGACGAGCTCGACGCGCTTAATCTGAAAGTCCACGTCGCCGCCCTCGTCAACGACACCGTCGGCACGCTCATGTCGCGCTCGTATTCCTCGCCCGGGCAGCACAGCACGCTGATGGGCATCATCATCGGCACCGGCACAAACTGCGCGTACGTCGAGTCTCTCGACGCGGTCGTCAAGCTCGGCGAGTCAGAACTTGCCTCGCTCGCAAAGACTTCAAACATGATGATCATCAACACCGAATGGGGCTCCTTCGACACCGCGCGCGCCGTCATCGGCTCGACAGAGTACGACGACAGCGTCGACCAGCGCACGCCAAACAAGGGCATGCATCTGTTTGAGAAACGCATCTCGGGCATGTTCCTCGGCGAGCTCCTCCGCGTCGTGCTCACGGACCTGCGCAGCAAGAACCTGCTCTTCTCCTCGAGCTCGCCCCAGCTCGAGACCGAGTGGATCCTCGACACCTCCGCGCTCTCGCGCATCGAGGCCGATTTCTCACAAAACCTGATCGCCACCCGCACGCTCATCTCCACCGACCTCGGGCTCGAGACCACGCTCGAGGAACGCAAGGCCATCAAGACGATCGTCTCCGCGATCGGCAAGCGGTCCGCGTACCTCGCTGGCGCTGTCGTCGCCGGCATTCTCGAGCTCACGAGCGCGCTCGACAAGAGCGCGGGAGTCGACATCGGCATGGACGGCTCGGTTATCGAGTTTTACCCTGGCTACGAGAGTTTGATGCGCGAGGCAGTCAGCGCTGTGGTCGGGCAGGAGAAGGAGGCGAGAGTGCATATCGGGATCGCAAAGGATGGAAGCGGAGTCGGCGCTGCGCTCTGTGCTGTCGTTGCTTAGTGCGTGGATTGTTAAAAGCTTTTACTGTTTTCTATTATATTCTTCTTGTACTTTGTATCTGTTGCGGCATTGCCATTTGATATAGCGCAAGATAGGATCTGAATAAAACTGCCTCGCTGGCGCGGCATCAACAGTGTAGTTTTCAAAAGTGTTTGTCATCGATGACAAATACTATCACAACCTGGACGAAGCAGTAAATTGATGATCTCCGTCGATCTCCTCCATCTTCACCACCATCACCACAATGTCTCCACCAAAAGGTATCCCCACTCCCCCTCAAACCACTCATAAACACTCACTAACAACATCATCTCTTAGCTCTCGCAATCGTCGCCGGCTTCGGCCCCGGCATCTCCCACGCCGTCGCCCGCCGCTTCGCCCACGCCTACGACCTCGTCCTCCTCGGCCGCTCCCTCGACACCCTCCCCGCCACCCCCGTCGGCTCCTCCTCCGTCCCCTCGTCCTCCTCCGACGCAGTTAAGAGCATTTTTGCCGACCCCGTACTCGCGACCCTGCCGTCGCCGCCGACAATCAGCTGCTTCAAAGCCGACGTGACGGACGCGTCGTCGATCTCCGCCGCGTTCACGCAGATCAAAGCGCTGCAGCAACCCGTCGCCGTCGCGTTCTACAACGTCTCCTCTCCCTTCCAACGCGCCCCGTTTCTCGAAACAAACCCAGACTCGTACCTCACCTCCTTCAAAGGCTCAACCTACGGCGCCGTGCTCTACGCACAACAAGCTCTCCCCCTCCTCCTCGCCCACGCCAACTCCTCCCCAGAGTTATCACCCACCCTCCTCTTCACAGGCGCGACCGCTTCCTACAAATCCAACGCGCAGATGAGTCCCTTTTCCTCCGCGAAATTCGGCCTGCGCGCGCTCGTGCAGAGTCTCGCGCACGAATTCGCGCCGCAGCGCGTGCACGTCGCGACGGTGAATATCGATGCGGTCGTCGATTTGCCGAAAGTTAGCGGGTATCTTAATGAGCAGGAGGATATGAAGCTTAAGCCTGAGGATGTCGCGGAGACGTATTGGGGGTTGCATGCGCAGCGGAAGAGTGCGTGGACTTGGGAGGTGGATGTTAGGCCTTGGACTGAGAGTTGGTAGATTACAGTAATGAGTTCAGTCTACGTACAATTGATGCACAGTCTTTTTATTTTAAACACAATCTCTTCATAACTCTCATAACAAAACAACTCAACACAGAACTAAGCAATGTTAAACACGCTCTTGAGCTGCCGAAGAAGCAACCACTCATCTCTCGTAACATCATCTCTGTACGCCGCATCCTTGAGCGTATTAATCGAGTCCCGCGTGATCTCAGAGTACATGATATCGCTCTCATCCACATGCCGTCCCCACGTCGGCTGGTTCGCAGGCGAGTCCAGACGCATGGCAACTCCGCCCTGCGCCTGGCCTTTCTTGACGATATCCACAGACTTGTGGTTAACCTCGAGACTGACGACGCGGCCGAGCGTCATCACCTGTCTCATCTGCGTCGCCGGATCGATCTTGACGACCGCGATCGGCGTGCCCACGCGCAGACTGCCGTCGACAACGTCCACGCCAATGATCATCGGGTTGCGTTTGTTGATCACCTTGATTGTGTGCAGCACGCACGGGAACACCGCCTGCGCAGCCGTCTCCTTGCGCTTGACCTCGAGCAGTTCCTTTTGGTAGTTTGTGAACGCGTCAAACAGGTGGTAGATGATGTCGGCGCTGAAGATCCGGATGCCCTGCTGCTCCGCGTACTCCTCGGCCTCCTTGTCGATCTTCACGTCGAAGCACAGCATCACCGCAAACTCCTTCGCCTTCTCCAGCATCGTCGTCGCTTTCATCACGTCGCGCTTGTACACCGGTCCGATCGAGATCGACATCACAGGGATCTTCATCTGCTTCAAGAAATCAAGCAGCGCCTCAAGCGATCCAAGCGTCGACGCCTGCACAGACACACCCTTACCGCTCTTATCCAGGTTCTTCTGCAAGTCCGTCAGATCAGACATAACCTCGTCCATCAGATCTTCTTCGTCATCATCCGGTCCCACCAGCAGCAACCGCGATCCCGCAATCGCCTTCTCGAGATCGTTCGCCGCGATCTTGACTCCCAGCGCCGCTTTCACTTCCTTGTGGTGCACGTACGCGGACTTAATGCGCATCTCCCGCAGCGGCTGCGGCGTCAGCAGCGCGCGCACGTTCGTCGCTATCGGCCCGTTCATACCACACAGTACTATCCGGTCGCCCTCGCGCAACACTCCGTTCGACAGCACAACGTCGATCGTCGTGCCGAGACCTTCGATAACCTTCACTTCCAAAACCGTACACTCGAGCTCGGAAAGATACATCAGCTTCTCGCTCATTCGGTTCTGCGTCAACTCAATCAGCAGCTTCAGCATATCCGGCACACCCTCGCCCGTAACCGCAGAGGTCGGCACAAGCGACACGTTCCGGCCCAAATTCCGGTTCTTGTAGTAGAGCTCAGAGTTGAGTCCCTGCTCAGCCAACGCGATCTTGGTCTTTTGCACGCGGTCCTCAAACTCGCGCTGCACCGCGCGCGGCTGCTTCGCGAGCGAGTCCTGCACGCCGTTGTCTGGGATCGCCTCCCAGCCGTACAACCGATCGATCTTGTTGAGCGCGACAATGAACGGCGTCTTGCGGTCGCGCAAAAGGCGGATCGACTCCAGCGTCTGCTGCTCGAGGCCGTGCATGATATCAATCACGAGAATCGCAATGTTGCACAGCGACGATCCACGCGTGCGCAAGTTCGTGAACGACTCGTGGCCGGGCGTGTCGATGATCAGCAGTCCGGGAACCTTGAACTCGAGCTTCTCGTCCTGGTTGACAACCGCCGTCTTTTGGCGGATCGCCTCGATAGGGAAGTACGTCGCACCAATCTGCTGCGTAATTCCACCGGCCTCACCTTCCTGCACGTTCGTCTGTCGGATCTTATCCAGCAACTTGGTCTTACCGGTATCGACGTGACCGAGAATACAGCAAATAGGCGAGCGAAGGTTATCCGCCGACCGCGCGTCCAGAGCCGCCTTGTGCTTCTTGTCGCGACGCTGGCCCGCAACTTTCTTGCGCTGCTCCTGCTCGGCCTTGACTCTCGCAATCTCCGCCGCCCGCTCGACTTTCTTGCGCTCTTCCTCCGCCCGCGCAAGCTCGTCGGCATCAACCTCGGCCTGCTCGGTATTCGACAACTTCGCGCCAGCCTTGGGCACGTCCGAGACCTCGGTCTTGGCCGTGCTGCCGTTGCTGTCCGAGTTGGATTCTTCTTCGTTGTCTGACTCGAGCAGTTTCTCCCAGGACTCGCCCTCATCCTCCTCAGCATCAGACTTGAGCGCGTCCTCCCAGGAATCACCTGCGGGCGCCTCAGCAGCAGGAGCCGGCTTCTCCTTCTCCTCCGCGGGCGCTTGCGAGGCTTCCTTCTCCTTGTCCTCCAAAGTGAGGTCCGCGACCGAGCTCGCAAGGCTCGACGGCTGCTCTTCATCGGTCTTTGCCGCGGTCTTCTTGCCGCCCTTTTTCTTGCCGTACACCGGTCTCTTGGACTTCTTATCCTCATCTCCCTCCTTCTCTTCAAAGCCCGCGATGGTAACCCCACCCGCTTCACGGAGCTGCTGCGCCCGTCTTTGCTGGATCGCAAGCTGTTCTTTCTGCTTCTTCGTCAAGAGCTTGCCCTCCCGCTTCAACTCCTCACGCTTCGCCTTCTCGCGCTCTTTCTTCTGCGCCCTAGCTTCCTCACGAAGCCGTTCTTCTTCGGCCGCGATCCTCTCCTCTTCCTCGATCCGTCGGCGCTCTTCTTCCTCCGCCTGCTTGCGCGCCGCCTCAGCTGCTCGCTGCGCTTCAACCTGCTTCTCTAAAGCCGCCAGCATCGCGTTTTTCTTCTTCGTCTTCGGATCGGCCTTGCCGCCTTTCTTGCCAGCGGCCGCCGGGGTGGGCGCAGGCGCGGGGGTGGAAGATGCAGCAGGAGCAGGAGCAGCGGCCTCTTCCTTCTTCTCGGCAGCGGGTGCGGGTGCGGGTGCGGCACTACCGCCAGCTTTCTTTCGCTCCATCTAGAGAGAGAGTCAGTCAAATGCAGAGCTTGAAGAGAGACAAAGATGGTGCATACCTGTTGCTTCTTACGCAGCTTTTCCTTCTCCTTCTTTTCTCGCTCCTTTTCTTTCTTGCTCTAAATCCCGAAATCGAGTTAGCCAACGTTCTCTTCAATTTTGTCTTGTTAAACTAGCAAACTCACCTTTATCTGAATCGTAGGCCCCGAATCCTCCTTCTCGCTCGCGCTCTCGTCATCATCAGCGACGGCGGCGGGCTTGCCTCCCTTTCCATTTGATTTTTTGGTCGTAGTCTCAGGGAACAGATCTTCAGCCGACTCAGGCGCAGGAGTGGCTTCCTTAGACTCAGGCTCAGGCGTGGCGGCAGCAGCAGGAGCAGCGGCAGGGGCAGCAGCGGACTCGTCGGGCTGCACGGCCTCCTGATCGTCCTCGAAGGCGGTGTCCCAGTAGTCGTCCTTCTTGCTCTTCTTGTCTCTGTAGTGAATGAATCGTTAGCAAATCACAATACAATCTCCTCAGAGTTCCAGCCAAAGACAACGCCAACGCATTGGCGAAAAACCGCAAAAGAACCAGTTTCTCCTCCCGCTCAGCACACTTCACAAGATCACCCGTACTTTTTGCCCATGATGTTTTCTTTTCTTCTTCTGGATCAGAAACAACAGATAGATATATCTTATATCCAGAAACCTCTTGTTGATTATAAGCCGGCTTCCTGATTCTCGACAAGACACAATTTTTTTTCCTTGAATGCGAATGCGCTGGGAGATCTGGAGAACTTTGCTTTGATGACCTAACCCTGGAAATCCAGCGTTTACTCTGAACAAGACATCTCTTTTATATACAATACATATACAATATACAATACATACACAATGCCACCACGGAAAACACGAAAAGCTGCGTCAAAAGCACAGGACTCAGTTCCAGCTGAAGAACAAACACAGCAAGAACCTGCTGCCTCACAAGAACCGCAAACCACATCACAGCCAATACTCGCGATCCAACACTCCGAGCTCGAGACCGAAGAAGTATTCGAGACGCTTGCGAGCGCGCTCGTGTCAGACATTGCAAAGAAGACGACGGAGCAGGAGAAGAAGCTGAACGTGCTGCTGGGCGGGTATATGAATCGGCAGCGGATCTTGGCGAATAAGTTTGCGGAGGCGAATGCTGCGTATGAGCAGAGCGTCGTGCAGAGGTTTATCTTTGAAGGGAAGGAGGTGGTTGATGCGGAGGTCATGGACGAGGATTAGAATTGGAAATGGAGATGGGCTTGTTGTATGATAATATTGGATGTACTACTAGTTTGCGCACGCACATATATTTCTCATTATATTACACTCTACATGCATGGATACCAACAACCAATGTATAAAAGATCAATAAAAGCAGAAACAAAGGACATCAATAATGTAAAACCACGCAAAGTAAATGTAAATTGGTATTTCTTTACCTGTTACTTCTCTACTCGCTATCCTTCAGCTTCAAAGTCACTCCCTTCTTGATCGTAGCCCATCCAATCAAACGCCAGTGCTTCTCGATTCTTCGTGAAAGCGCAATCTTCTCGCCAATCTCGGTACACGCTGGCGACGTAAGCTGCAGCTTGGCCAAATCGGCCTTGACACCAACAACCCGCGCACCAGTCGCAGTCGAGCCAATGTTGACCATCAAAATCTCGTTCTTGGTCAGCTTCGACACACGCGCCTGCTTCTTCTCATCAGTCTTGACTCCCAAAAGTCGTCGGAGAAGGAAGTAGTTGATCTCAATCTCGGTGTAAATCTCAGGCAGCTTGCCCTTCGATCCCAGCACATGGCCCACAAGACGATCAGCACGGCAGAGCGTAGGGTCGATCTTCGTTCCGACACCAATCAGTCCACCAGGGACAGCAAACTTGAGATCGTTGTGCTCTGCATACAGCGAGATAATTCGGCTGAAAATAGGGCGGCACTGGATCTTTCCCTCGTTGTCCTTGGTGACAATACCAGGACGGATCTCGATCTCGTCTCCCAGTCGCAAAACACCGTTCAGAATAGATCCACCGGCAACACCTCCCTTCAACTCGTCAATCTCGGATCCGGGCTTGTTCACGTCAAACGATCGGATGACAATCAGCTTGGGGTCCGCCATAAAGTCTCTTGGCGGGACTGGGATCGACTTCACAAGGTACTCGTTCACAGCGTCGATGTTGTACTTGAGCTGCGCAGAGATCGGAATGATGGGCGCCTTGTCGGCAGCGGTTCCCTTGACAAACTTCAAAATGCTCTGGTAGTGCTCCTGCGCGTTAGACTCCCGCATGAGATCGACCTTGTTTTGGAGAATGATGATATGGTTGAGCTTCATGATCTCGATAGCAGCCAAATGCTCACTAGTCTGAGGCTGCGGGCACGACTCGTTTCCGGCAATCAAAAGCAGAGCGGCGTCCATGACCGCGGCTCCTGAAAGCATAGTAGACATAAGAATATCGTGACCGGGGCAGTCGACGAACGAGACATGTCGCAAGAGCTGGTAGCGGCCGTTGCAGCCTAGTCGCTCGCACCGGGGGTTGATTTCTTTTTCAGAGCGGAACGAGCGGTAGCAGTCCGGTCGCGGGCAGGAGGGTGAGTCGCATTTGTAGATTTTGGCGTTGGCGTATCCGAGCTTGATGGTAATGTTTCGCTCGAGCTATCACATACATTAGAGCCTGTACTTGGAAATTAGAATATAATTGGGCATACCTCGTTCTTGAATCGAACAGTCTGGACACCTGAAAGAGCCTTCACAACAGTACTCTACAATCAGATAGTCAGTATATTGTAGCGGTAGATATAATCAAGCGTTGTAAACGTACCTTTCCGTGGGCGACGTGTCCGATAGTTCCAATGTTGATAGTCGCCTGTCTATACACCAAAAACAAAACAGTCAGATTCCTGCTAAATCACACACAAACAAATAATCCGCACCTTCCAATAATCTCAAGACTGAGAGGGTTGAGCTTCGAAAAGTCCGGGTTGTCAGGCTGCGGGGGAAGTCCAAGATCCTTCTCGTTGTCGTCGTCTGAGAGATCGCCTTCGATCTCGGGCTCGGCAAAGGTGACCGACTTGGTCTTGGGAGCCTCGACAGCAGGAGCCTCGTCGCCGGAGATGGGAGGGGTCGCGACACCGTTTTCTGTGGAGTCCATGATGATGATGAGCTGTGAAGTTGAAGTAGAGGTCAGCAATGACACGGGAATAAAGCAGAAGCAGTCTCTTTAACAAGGCACATAAACACACCTAATCAAATAATCACACAAATATCAGAGAAATATAAAGAAATAAAACCAAAGCAAGCCAGCAACTCGCGGATGATCTGAATGACTCTGAAAAACAGGCTCTTTGCTCGAAAAAAATTGTCAAATTGAAGATTCGCAAGCGGCGCAGGGTCGTTTGTGGCATAAAAATCACTTTGTTTGTGGCTTTAACACAACGCCGGCAGGGGCTCATCATCGCGATCCGCAGCCGATGCTCGAACCCTCTTCTGCACCGCGCGGTTCTCTGTTCCTGCGTCCCTGAGCGGTCTTGTCTTGTGCATTATATCTAGAGCTTTTGACCGTGCTAGAACAGACCGCAATTGAGCCTGGTCGACGTCAACGAGGTGTTATCGCGCATCTCTCCCGTTTCAGTAACTTAAGAGACCCCCCCGAACAAGCCGACAACTGAGGCAGCAACCCTCTTACTGATCTCTCCTCAATGCCACCCGCAAAGAACTCCTCTGCCGCGCGCTTAGGCGGTGCCCGGTCACAGACCCTGCTGATCAACTCCAAAATCCGGCACATCAAGAAGAAAGACGGCGAGCCGTTATGGCGGAAAGACATCCAGTACGACTTCCTCCACGAGATCTTCTACGACGAAGCGCGGGTTTTCACAAACTCGTACGATGGAACGCCAAATCATACGTACTCGGAGATATATATCGACGCAATGGCAAGATCGTCGAAATCGTCAAAGGTCCTGCGCGAGAAGTTGCTGGGTGACAAGCAGGCTGCGTTGAATATCGCGATGGTCTGTCTGCTTGTCAACATCGGGCGCATGAACACAACACTAAACTGTACAAGTTCTTTCTTTCACTTTTTCATTTAGCCAAGCACTAACAACAATGTAGTCTTCCCCGAGATGCGCGCCCAGCTGCGTACATACCACCCGATTCCCTCCCTGCAGTCCTACTCCGATCCAACCGCATACAAGCAGCTCCAAGACGCCCCGCGCCTAAAATCAATTCTCAAAGGCGCCTGCGAAGATCGACCAGAACCCTCCACTCTCGACCAGCTCCTGCTGCAGCCGCGTCTTCCCCGCACAAACCCAATCAACCTCGTGTTCATTCTCGCGACCTATGCTCGACGGGTGACCGACCTGTTCTTCATGGAACCGTACGAGTTTTACGATTTCATCATGAACACCTCGGTCTCGAGCAAGTCGCGCGCAAAAGCATTCTTGTGGTTGATGTGGGTGTATCTCGAGTCTGATCTGAGCCCGGAGCAGTTGCGCGCGAACCCGTTTGGCTTTGGACAGGAAGGGGGTATGAAGATTCCCGCGTTTGAGACGTTGACGCCGGAGGAAGTCGAGCTTGAGAACGTAGATTCTGTGCAGGAGAAGGAGTTTGCGGAGCGAATGGTCGAGGAGCGAAAGCGTGAGTGTTTTAATTTTCCTCTACGATGTTTGTGGATCAAGCTTACAAAGGGTTTTAGGCCACCTCGAAACATCCGACGTCGTCAAAGTAAAAGAAGAGTCAACGCCAGCAAGTGGCCGGAAACGCAAACGGCCGAAGCGCGAAGCAGAGGACGACGGGACCGGGCAGGAGCTCGGATCAGAGTCTGAGGACGAAGGCGGTGCGAAAGTGCAGTCGGCCGCCGCGATGGCTAAAGCGTCGCCGATTCCAGGACGATTGATCATCAAACCCCCGCGGAAGGTGTCCAAGGCCGAGCAGGCGGCGCAGGAGCTGACGCAGCAGAGAGAGGCGAAATGCGACGTGCAGATTGCGCATTTGATTCGGGTTACGGATCGGCGCCGGAAGAGGGCGCGGTATGGCGAGGGAGCGATCAAGCGGACGTGGAAGAAGATCCGGACGCGGGATCCGTTCGAGTACTCTGAGGACGAGCAGACGATTCTCAACTCGGAGATGATGGCGTCGGCGGCGTCATCGCACAAGCGCAAGAACATTGACCTTTCGACGCTGAACAATCATATCATGAGCAGTCTTTCGGGGGTGCGGGATTCTAATCTAGGAAACGACTTTGGAGAGGAAGCGAGCTCGCTGGCGCGGGCGTTTAGACGAGCAAATAGATGGATGTCGCGATGGTACGGGATTGAGCAGATAGACCCGGCTACGTTGGAGGAGGAGACGAAGAAAGAGAGCCAGAAGCCGGAGGAGAAGAAGTCGCGGCGGGCTACGGCGGCAGCGGCGGCGGCGGCGGCCAAGTCTGCAGAGGAGGCGGCGAAGACGGAGAAGGAGGAGGAGGTGAAGGATAACGGAGAAGAGAAGGAGGAGGCGGTGAAGGTGGAGGTGTGAGTGTAGAGTAGAAGAATAGTGAATAGTTGACCATAAAAGAGAGGACGCGAGGAAGACTAGCGACGGTTAGGGCAACTCCCAAACATTTGTTTGTTTTGGTTCCACCTCCGCCACCGCTTCTTCTCTGCTTCCCACCGGCCAGTTTGCGATATCCCACCTCACTTTCAACAGAAGAGCTTCCTCCACGTTCGTTTCTGTTGTCGACCACCTTCCGGCTCTTCTTCCTACTCTCGTTTTCCTCTATAAATCGTTCCCGATCCCGATCCGGCCTGAACTGCACCTCTCAGCACATCGGCACAGATCAGCAGAATCACCCGGTCCGATAATTATTGCTCCCTCTTCCCTCTTTCCTCTCATAATCTCTTTATCCGGCTCTTTATGGAATCCCAGAACGCGCACCCAGCTGCTGGCTATTCTTCATTGAAAATGCAAGACGCACCTGCCAGCGCGGTAGACGGCCACTCTGTGACGAAGCGGTTACAGAGCGAGCTGATGCAGTTGATGGTGTGTATTCTCACATCCTGAGATATCTGTTGCTTTCTCGCTTTTAAACTGCCTTTTTTCTATTTGCTGACCTGCGGACTTTCGTGCAGATGTCAAACGTCCCGGGAATCAGCGCCTTTCCCGTGAGTGATTCGAATCTATGCCAGTGGACTGGCACCATCGCCGGTCCTGAAGGAACCGTAAGTATCCACTTGTTTCTCCCTACTATCTCTGCTCTGGTGCATAATCTCTAACTATTTAACGAAAATCAGCCATACGAGGGTCTGACGTACAAAATATCAATGACCTTCCCGGCAAACTACCCATACCGAGCACCAGTCATCCGCTTCGTCTCACCGATGTGGCACCCGAACGTCGATATGTCTGGCAACATCTGCCTCGACATCTTGAAAGAGAAGTGGTCCGCGATCTACAACGTGCAGACCATCCTCCTCAGCTTACAGTCTCTGCTCGGCGAGCCCAACAACGCCTCTCCTCTCAACGCACAGTATGTTGTCCACTCACAAATCGTCCGCAGAACCAGAGCTAATAATCATTTTCTCTCATCTAGAGCCGCTGATCAGTGGGATAACAACAAGGCCGAGTACAAGAAGTCACTCATGGCCCATTACAAAGATATCGAAGAGCTCGCGGACGAGTAAGAGCATAAGCATGCAGTATGTTCCAGACATAAACGCGTATACTAAAGCGGGCCGGAACATTGTCACAACACCTTTTCCCTCTATTTTATTGTTATCCGGTTCTTTCTTTTTGAGTACCCTAATAGCTCTTTATTTGTTGTCTGTTTATTATTTGCGTAATCGTTGTTCTCTGTATTCTCAGATGTAGAAGTTGTACTCTCATTTTTCCTTTGGATTAGGAATTGATGTGCTTTCATTACTATTAAGACTTTTACCTAGTTTGTAGAATAGTCTGCATTCCTCATACTGATATCATAGCTCAGTTGACGATATCTAATAGTTGACTTTTGAACGCTATATATTTACATAAATGCACACCCAGGAACGCCAAAAGACCTCACAACATCACACAACAACATCCAACAACGACAACGACAATACAAATGCAAGCAACTAGACTACGCCTCAGACTCTTGAGCAGACGCCTTGAGCAGAATCGCCGGGAACTTCGCCGGCGTCTTCCCATCCTTTGAACTCTTTGACCTGTTGAGCGACGGAATCGTGATTGTAAGCGGCGGCGGCGCAGGCGGTGCAGAAATCGCACCCGTCCCTGTCTCCTGCTTGACCTCCTTTCCGCCGTCCTTGGCGGTAGTAGTAGTAGCAGCAGCATCCTCGTCCTGCTGCGGTTTCAACCCGACCGTCTCAGACTTTGCGTCGCCGACCCACGCGCCCGCGGTCCACTCCCACCCCGTGAAACTCTTAAGCTCGACCGGCACCTTCGTCCACCGCCGACACGGCCTGCCCGACCTATCCAGCGCGCGCAGCTGCGCGTTGATCGAGCCCTGGTTCGCTTTCGGACCTAGCTTCGAGTGCGGGGCGTGGTGGCTCGGCGGGTGGGTAGGCGCGGGCGTGCCGGAGACCGAGGCGTCGGATGTCGCGCCGGTGGCGGGCGCGAGTAAGGGTGACGAAGGGGGTTGCGCGGAGGCGCTGGCGCTCGCGGTGCCGGCGAGTCGTTTGCGCTTTACGCTCGCGGAGGATTGAGGTGTCGATGAGATCTTTCGTTTCGGAGCGGCGGATGTTGCTGCTGTGGATGTAGATGTAGACGCTGAGTCTGCTGATGCAGAGGTTGTGGCTGGTCCTCCTCTTCCTGCTGCTGCTGCTGCTGCAGCGGACTCGAGGTCGAGATCAGAAGGCGCAGGGGACGATGGGAGTGGTGATGAAGCGGCCACGGGGGAGGACGCGGCGGAGGTCATTGTTTGCTCCTGCTGCATGAGCAGTTGTGGGTTCAGCTTAAGAACAACCATCGCGTCGCTTTGTTCTCTGCTTTTGAACACGGATTGTGGTGAAGACGAGGAGGAAGACGAGGAGGATGCGCGAACTGAGACGAGCCCAGCCGCGTAGTGTATTATGTCATGATTTACATATATTATGTAATACCTCTCTACACTGCGTAAATGGAGTAATAATGCTGTTTTATTGATTCTGCGTTAGTAGCGGATGTTGATGCCACGCCTGGCCTCGCTGGCACGGACTTCAAACATGACCTGGACGCCTACAAACAGCACGCCAGATATAGCGATGAAGTACGGTATTCCTGTCATTTCAGAGCTGTTAGCCCTTAGCTTTCAAACAAATAAGTGAAGAGGGTGGACGCTTACCCGACCAGGTGCTGAAGATGTCGTAGATCATGTCGCGCACGCCGTCTAAGCCGATGGCAAAGCCGACGAGATTGGCAATCATCATCATGTAGATGTTTGCGACTGCTCCCAGCGCGCACATGTGTCTGTACAGAGGGGATGAGGCCCACTATATCATTGTTAGTACAAACTGAAGAGCAGAAAGCGAAAAGCAGGAAACAAAGGATTACTTTTTTGGCAGGAAAAAGCAGCTTCGCGGCAACCTCCGGCACCACAAACAGCGTAATAAGCCACCCCCACGCCAGCAGCCGAAGCTGGATGTCATGCCAAAACGCAACAAACGTAAAAACGGCGAGCATATTGCGGATGGCGTGGTTGGAGCCGCCGAGCGGGATGTAGAGGTACCGCGTCGTCCAGCGGTTGAAGCTGCGGTGCCATGCGCGCCAGAAGGCCGAGGCGGAGTAGTTGTCGCTCATGCAGCGGAGCATGTTTTCTGGCGCGTCGATTTTGTCGAGGAGGGCCCAGAAGCGGAAGAGGCGCCAGGGTATCAAGAGCTGGAGTTGTTAGTGATCTAAAACTAGATAGACCGGAGTGAAAGAGAAAATAAAATACCTTCAGCCAGATTGTTTTGAGATTGAAAAAGCCAACCATGCTTATTTGAAACGGAGAGAGTCCCTCCCACGCATGCGAATTAGACAGCGCGATGACGTACATATAATGCAGGATCCACTCCATCACCAGCATGCAGAAGAGCATCCTCAGCCCATATAGCATGGTCCGCTTGATATTCACCGACGGAAGCGGGTGTTTGCTTTGATACACGTAGTCGTTGAATGTGAGGATCGGACCCGCGATGTAGAGCGGGGTGTAGACCAAATACGACATGTAGGTCAAGAAGTTGTACTCGTGCTTTGGTGGGCCAATATCTATGCGGTCACGCTCAGATATCTCTTTCTCGTCGCGTTGTTTCTTCTAATTCTGTTAACAATTCCGCGTCTTAAGCCGTTTAAAAATGAATGGTAAGGAAGGCTTACCTCAATATCGGTAGGAGTCGCGAGAGATTGGTAGTAGTCGTAGTTGTAGCTGATCATGCGGAGAATTGAAAAGTTGAAGTTGACGTCCCATCGGGGAAGAAGCCCACAGTAGCCGTCCTGTTGCGGTTAGAGCTGTACAGATGAGCATATAACATGAGGAGTATTACCAAAACGCCGAGAACAGGTAGAAGCGAGCCGAATTTGTAGCCCTCATACATCTCGTTCAAGAACAAGATAGCAATGCAAAATATCCAGGTGCTGATCATTCCGGATTTGCTGGGTAGATATCTCGTGAAGCTGTAGTTGATTGAGTAGATAGCCACGATCTTGAGCACGCTGACGCCGTGCAGCGCGGAGAGAAAGATTGCCGCGAACCCGAGGTCGAAGGAGATCCGTGGGATTTTGAAGGCAAGCGAGAGTTTTCGGAGAATGAAATGCAGGATGATTGCGCTGGTGAGGACGGGGATCTTGCCTCTGAAGCCGGAGTACTGCGCGTCTGAGTTGTCCTGTGTGATATTGTTAGCACTGACGCATGAATATCTGGATGGTGCTGCATCGTACCACTTTGCGGCCCATCATCCAGCCTTGTTCCAGCTTATCGCTGTATACTTCATAGTTCCTGCTATTCTCTACACGTTCACCAAAAGTCAGCAACCTGCCACGTCCCTCAAGTCTATGAGAAAGAGCACAAACGAACCATTACTGCCCGACATGGCGCCCCAGAACATGAGCGGCACGCAGACGATGTGCACGAGATAGTAGAAGTAGAACTCGGGAGTGCGCCATCGCGAAGGAGGCGCGTTGCGCTTTGTCTGGTTGATTTTGTCCTGCGAGTCGGGGACGAGTCGAGCATCGAGCACGTCGAGGGCGAATAGCCGGAGGGGGTTTGTCATGCTTTGTTCTGCGCCGTCTGCAGCAAACGAGGGGAGAAGACACAAGAATAAAGAAGCAGGCTGAGACTGCGTCGACAAAAGTGCAGCTTTTTTGCTTTTACTGCTTTTATCTCGCGGAGACAGCAAAGGGAGGAAACAAAGCCGGGCAGAGACTGTCGAGGAGGAGACTGGAGGCTGTGCGGCGCGACGCGTCCCAAAATAATCTCAACTCAACGTCTTGAAGAGGTGAACAGCGGGTGTGTAAGTAGACACGATGGTTATCTGCAAGAAGAAGAAATGAAGAGAAGAAGTATTCTAATCAAGTAGACGATTGTAACATACAGAGTGGTTTGGAGGTGGTTCTGCTCTGTCGCGGTGCTGTTACCGAATGCGGTAGTATGGAAACAAGGCATTCAGACACCACACCCGCCAGCAGTCTCGGTCTACAGCTAATCTGCACTCTTTCTCTCTTAATCCACTTCTTCTTCTTCTTCTAACAACAACAATCTCCATCAAAACCACCCACAAACCACCCTCAGACACCCCGACGATCAAGACACAAACCCCTCGGCTCTGTCCGCTCCCAACCAGCGCAGCTTCACCTGAGCTCGTCCCGGATCTTCTCTTTCGGTCCCCCACAATCCCATCTTCACTCAACTTCACAATACACAAATGGCTTCTTTCGCGGCAAAAGCCGGCAAGAAACCTGCTGTGCCTGCTGCGCCGCTCTCTGACGGTCGCTTCACCAAACTGCCGTCGTATCTCGAGGGCACCGCCTACGCCGAGATCCTCGAGAACGCCCTCGCCTCCGCCCCGGACCCTTCTACTCAGCAGCAGCAGCAGCTCCAGCAGCAACAGCAATCGCCTTCCGACTCCTCCTTCTCCTCCTTCAAACGCGACTCCATCTCCCAGTTCAAGCAGCCCGGCTACGTCATCCAGGATCCGCTCGACTCGACCTCCTTCATCGTGCCCTCCGTCGGCTCCGTCGACGTCCCCGCCGAGACCGCCGCCTCTGTCTCTCTCCACCGTCGATTCGGCGACGCTGACGTCGACAGATCTTCTTCTTTTTCTGCGCGCCTGCTCGAATCACCTGCTCCGCCGCCGCTGCCGTCCTGCTGGAGTCCAGAAGGATCCCCATCCTCCCTCGAACTCTCAAACGACAAGCTCGAAATCATCTACAAGAGCGAGTCCTCGAAACCAACCGATAAAGACGCTGCTTCGATGAGAGCTAATCATCCGATACCACCCCAATGCGGCCTCTACTACTTTGAAGTCGAGATCGTCTGCGGGAAAGAAGGGTATGTCATCACCACCACCCTTGTACGCCTTGTACGTCTGCACGCTACTAACCCTCCACAGCTCCATCGGCATCGGCTTCTGCGGACCCAAAATGCCTCTCGCGAAAATGCCCGGCCTGGTCCAGGACTCATGGGGCTACCACGGCGTCGACGGCAACACTTTTGCCTGCCAGGCCAACGGCATGCCTTCGTATCCCTACGGCCCCGAATTCACCACAAACGACGTCATCGGCTGCGCCATAAATTTCCGCAACGGCTCGGTGTTTTACACAAAGAACGGTATCTCGCTCGGGATAGCGTTTAACGATATCAAGGAGTCTCGCTTGTATCCCGCCGTGGGAATGCGCAGCCACGGCGAGCATATCCGCGTCAACTTTGGCCAGCAGCCGTTCGTTTTTGATATCGACGCCTACATGATTGAGGAAAAGGCAAAGACATACAAGCAAATCAGCTCGTACCCTCTACCCGCTGAGCTCGTCAGCAACGCCACCACAGCAGCCTCGTCTTCCTCCGCCGGAGGCTCGGGCGCCTCAGATGCCGCGCTCTCGCGTCTGATCCATAAGCTGATCGCCTCATATCTCGGCTACAACGGCTACGTTGAATCCGCGCGCGCGTTTGCCGACGACGTCAAGAGCGAATCCTCTGCGTTCTCGACCGCATTGTATGGCAGATCGGCCACGGCCGGCGGAGCGGCTGACTTTCAGATCCTCGAAGACGTCGAGACCGTCAATCGTCAGCAGATCCGGACGGCGGTGTTGGAAGGAAACATCGACCGCGCGCTCAAGCTTGCCGAGCATTTCTTCCCAAAGGTGTTTAAAGAGGATCCGAAGATTCTGTTTCAGCTGCGGTGCCGGAAGTTTGTCGAGCTCATGAGAGCTTGTGCGCTGGCGCGGGAGAAGGAGAAGGAAGGAGGTGTGTTTGATGAGCAGGCGGCAGCGCAGTCTGAAGACCAGGAGATGGCGGATTTCACAACTATCGACTCTGAGAAATCACCATCTTCGACCACGGCGGTCAAGAACGCGGACGAACTACTCAGCGAGGCGTTAAAGTACGGCCAGAAGCTGCGCGAGGACTACAAGGGTGTCACATTCCCCGCGAAATCAACCGCCGCTCCTGCTCCTGTACTCTCGACCTCCTCTGCGTCGTCGTCCTCATTATCCCCAGCCTCGTCCTCGTCAACGCCATCGCCGCAACACCCTTCGTCGACTACTTCCTCTCCCCCTGTCTCGTCCGTACTCGACGCCCAAAAAGCGCTCACCGACATCTTCTCACTAATGGCCTACCCAGACCCGCTACAATCGCCCGTCGCCCATCTTCTCTCCGAACACGGCCGGGCTGCTGTCGCCGAAGATCTCAATGCCGCGATCTTGGTCAGCGAGGGCAAGTCGTCTGTCGCGCCGCTGGAGAAATTGATTAAGCACACGACGGTGCTGATACACGAGCTCGCGGAGCACGGCGGACAGGCTTCGTTTGTCAATATAAGACGTGATTTCTTGTCGTCATAGTAGCCATCGTCATAGTCTCAGCCGACTATCGATTGGAGTTGATGAGCAGTGTGGTTTCTGGTGGCTGAGTAATGTTTTTCATCACCTTGCTTACACTTTACACTTAATTGGTACATATTTCTCGGTCTCTTGTTTTCTCTTTCTATTTCTTGTCTTGTGTCTGTGTATGTCTGCGAGTGGATGTGAGTGTGGGTGCGGTATCATTTTGTTAATCAGGAGCAATGTCACATTTCCGCGTGTTTTCTTTTCTTTTCTTACTTTTTCGAGTCTGTGTTTATCAAGTCTGTGCGTGTGGTTTTTTATGTTTTGTTTTTGCTATACACTCTCTCGGTCTGGATTATGGAATTAATAAAGTTATACTCATAACTACAGGATCTCTCTGTGAGAATGATTTGTATTGTAGAACAGTCACAGCTTCGTCTTTATCTTTTCGAAAATCTCAACGTGCGTAGTCTGCATCTTCCACAACCTCACGACCCGCTCACTAATCCCACCCTCCCCCCTCCCCTTCATCACGCACCGTCTATACCCCAACAAAACAACCCCCACCGGAATCACGAACCCGAGCGTCGGATAGACCACCCCGCGATCTGTCTTTGCGTTACTCGTAATCATGCCCAGCAGCGCGCCTGTGTCGGACGCAAACACGCCGCCGCCGGACGCGCCGTTCCAGCATGCGGCTGAGACGGTGAAGAGGGCGGGGGAGGGGGGGGTGTGCGGGAGGAGGGGGAGGGGGACTGTGCTTGTGATGTGGCCGTGGGAGAGGAGGGGGGTGGGTGTGGTTGTTGGGGAGGGGGGGAAGAGGCCGTATCCTATTGCTGTGACGGGTTGGTTGCGGTGGATCGTAGAGGAGGGAGTCGTGGATGAGAGACTCGGGATGGCGGTTGGGTAATTACACGCCAAAATAGCTGATGACGACCGTTTATTTAAGAACAGGAAAATCATATCAATCCCCTCAAACGGCTTCTCAGCCCGTTCGACACCCAGCGTAGTCCCGTTCTTCCCGCCCGGAAGAGTGACCGACGCGAGCGAGAGCTGGTCGAGATCAGGAATCACATGATGGTTGGTGACGATCACCGCCGGCGTCAGAAGAATGCCGCTGCCCCACGACCGGCGAGATCCGTTCCTGTTGCGGAGGCGGATGCATACCACGCAGTGCGCCATGGCGGCCGCATTATCGCTGGAAGAAGAGAGCGGCGCGGGGTCAAGCGCGGAGGTGTCTTTGAGTGTTAATAATGAAGTTGGCAGATCGAGATCCTGCAGCGCTCTGCGACGGGAAGATGAGAGCTGCGAGGCGAGATCCTTAACGATCGCGGTCCAGGGATACACAACCACCATCTCCCCCTCCCCATTCACCTTCCTCAACGCGCCCGCAACAACACCCAACTGCACCCCATCCCCGCTGTCATCGTCGATAATCGCAGCGCTCCCTTCGATCCCGTCCATATACCGCGCGTCCGACAACACGACGCCGGACGCGTCGTCGACGAAACTTGCTGTGCCGCGGGTTTCAAAACCGAGGAAGATGGCGGGACTATCTGCCACGAATGGCGCGCCGCGGAAGACGAGTTTCGCGCCTGCTGGCGTCGGGCCCGCGAAGGAGAACGGGGAGAGTGCGGCGGGGGTGAGACGGGTTTGAGGACGGAAGACGGCGAGGAGGGTGGGGAGGGTGAGGTCTGTGGAGGAAGGGAGGAATGTGAATGTGTTTGCGAGGGCGGTTGTGTGTGAGGAGATGAAGGTGCGGAGAAGGGGGAGGTCTGTGGAGGTCGAGTGCGCGAGGGGAGTCCATGTCACCGAGGTCGATGAGACGGCGGCCGGGGTCGCGGCGTAGAACGCGCAGCGGGGGTCAGTCGCCACGTCTTTGCATGACAAAACAGACGATCTACACCCTCATCATCGTCAACTCCAAATCCACTCGAGAAAAACAAGAGCAAAAGACGAGGACTCACATTGTAAACACGAACCCGGGATCATCGACATCTTCTGAACTGCAGACATACACGCCCGACACCGCAACCTGCCGCTGCATGTTCTCGTCGTCTTTGTAAATCACTTTAATCGCCGCTGCCGCGTATAAATACTTCCATCTCGGCTTTTTCTTTCTCGCAACGGCCGCCATCGTCAACCCTGTCTTCAATGTTCTGCTATATCTCGTCGTGCTGCCGAGGCATCGCTTTCCCCAGATATCGACACAAACCCCACGCATTTGTAATAATCAGCACTCGCCACATTCAACGCCACAGAACCCGCCACATCATCGCCTTCTTCAACTCTGTAAGTTCAGAAGGGATCTGGTTGTTGTTTAAGGAAAAGAAGTTAGGAAAAGAAGAGAAAGGATGTCGTCGAGCGCGACAGTGCCGTTTTTCAAAAAACCGTCTGCAAAGATCGCCAACGCGCGGCGTCGCGCAGCTGCCTCGCGGAGGACAAAAGTCGATTCAGACAAAAGCGACGACGACAATGACGATGACGATGAAAGCTCAGCCAACTCGTCTGCCTCCGATTCAGACGACGAGAGCAGGCGGACAGCGCTGAAAAAGACGTCTACGAAGAAGAGGAAGATTGGCGGGATTTCGGATACAATCACGAGTAGCGCGAACGGGTCGTCGAAGACGGGCGTTGCTGCTGCTGCGGATGTCGGGGTTGGTGTGGAGCATAAGGGGAGTGGGTCGGCTGCGCTGTCGAATACGACTGACATTACGAAGAAATCTGCAATGTACGATGAGGATTTCTTGCTTGGGAAGAAGAAGTTGAAGCCGTCGTCCGACGAAGTCGACGGCGAAGTTCTCTCCGGCGACGCAGCAGAAGCGCTCGAGCAGCAGCAACAGCAGCAGCAGGGAATCTACCGCGGCAACGCAAACTACGCCAAATTCATCACCCCGCGCGAGCAAGCGACGCGCAAAGTCGGCCCGATGAAGTCCGCGTCGAATATCCGCAGCACGACCGTGACGGACTATCAGCCGGACGTGTGCAAGGATTACAAGCAGACCGGGTTTTGCGGGTACGGCGACTCGTGCAAGTTTGTGCATATGCGCGAGAATTATAAGGCGGGGTGGCAGTTGGATAAGGAGTGGGAGGAGGTGCAGCGGAAGAAGAATAAGGCTGCGTGAAGTGTAGAGTTTTATATTGTAATATAGGATTTGGTTATGGTGTTATTAATGTTATTGTATTGTCTCGTGCTATTTTACATCACCAACTCGTAAGATCCTCGACCTCGCCCACCGTACTACTATAGCGCACCTCCGCGAGCTCCTCATCATCCGACACGATACTCGCGCCCTCCTTACCCATAATATCCGGCAACGTCTCCTGCAGGAAACTCACGATATACCGATTAACCTGCGCAAACTCGAGCAAGAACGCATCGTGTCCCTCGGGCGAATCAATCTTCTCCAGCCGCGCGTTGGGTATATACGTCGCGATCTCTTCCTGCTCTGCAAACGTAAACAGTCCATCAGACTCGATCCCAATAACCAGCGCAGGCTGCTTGAGCGTCGCTAGCACTTCGCGCACGCTCCCGCCGCGGTCGCGCGAGACATCGTGCGTGTCGAGTTTGCGCGTGATGGCAATGTAGCAGTTTGCGTCGAACCGCTTGACGAATTTCTCGCCCTGGTACCGCAGGTAACTCTGCGCGGTGAAGTACGTCTGCGGCCGCCGCTTCGAGAGTCCTTGGAGCGAGGTACTCGACGACGTCTTACTCAGCGACGACGACGACGACAGGTCGCTCTCGCTGTCGGGCGTCGGCGTGCCTCCAGGCGACGAGCTCAATTTCTTGCCGTTCTTGAGGCCGTCGTTGTGGACCGCCCAGTTCTCCTCCGACACGTTCTCGGGCTGGCGTTGCGGCGCGTTGATGGTGCGGTGGCGGGCGGGGTCGGGGATGTTGCGGCCGAACTTGGATTCGAATGAGTTGCGCGAGCGGTAGGTTAGTAGCGCCGACATGCGTGCTGCGCCGAGGCCTGTGTTTGGTGGCTGTTGAAGTCAGTCCCTATTCATTATAGCTAAATATAACAGCAGACTTACATCGTCAAAGGAGTAGTATCCATCATCATACTTTGGATCAGAGTAGATACACTGCCGCTGAGCCTCGCCCCACGAAATGCACCACGCGCTGTGTCGCGACGAGGTCGCCAAGGGCACGATACAGCGCACGTACTCGGGACCGAAAAATGCGTACTCCAAGACTAGCATGCCGCCCATCGAGCCGCCAATCACAACCGCGATCTGCTTGATTCCGAGATCGTCGAGGATCAAGCGGTGGATACTGCGAGATGTGAGTAGTTAGTCAAACTGACGATCAAAGCCGGAGATAAGCACACGAGAGTGAGGATACTTGACGTCGTCGCGGACGGTGACGAGAGGGAATTCGGGGCCAAAGATCTCGCCGGTTTCTATGTTTTTTGTACATGGCGAGGCAGAGCCGTAGGGCGAGCCTAGTGAGTTCATACACACGATGAAGAATCTCGAGGTATCGAATGCCTTGCCAGGTCCAATCAACGGACCCCACCTACGCAAACTCCATCGTTAGCAACAAGCCCACAACTCCTCACATCTCAAAAAGAAGAAAAACAACGACGCACCAATCATTAACATCAGCGGAGCCGGTCAGCGCATGGCAGATGACCATGACGTTATTCCTGCTCGCGTTGAGTTTCCCCCACGTCTTGTACGCGACCGGGAACTGGCGCAGCGAGATGCCGGACTCGAGCGTGAACTCGGGGATGATGGCATAGGTCTGGCCCGAGACTATTTTCGAGAACGGGTTCTCGGGTTGTTCGAAGACTCGTTCTGGGTTGAGGGGGTTAGTGGAGGATCCAGCTGAGTAAGAGAAGGCGATGGACGTACCATAACGAGACTGCTGCGACATTAGATATTGTTATAGTATAAAGTGATACTGTAAGAGACTATCGGAGTAAATTCTATTGTAATTGTGGGAGATCTGAGTTGTGGATAGAAGATAGAAAGTGGACGATGGCGATAGAGCAGAGCACACGACGATAGCAGCGAGCGAGAAGGCCTAAATTTCGAGCCTCACCAAAACTGTAATACTCATCGCCCGCTTCGATAGTTACTCATCTCATGTCTACTTTGCTTTACTTATAACTATTGATACTTCTATAATCTATAACTATACTAATAGTAATACTATTCATACAATTCTCATCACAGAACAGTCAGAACCAGAACAGAACAGTCAGACAGCACCTACTGATACCACGCCATCCCCAGCTCCCTACAATCCGCAACCGTATAATTCGTCTTGCCCACCAACTTTGAAATCCACACCCCGGCCTCGACCGTCGCCGCCGTAGTATCATGCTCGAGCATGATCCCCTTCACCCCTCCCTCGCGCCACGTCCTGATCTGCCCGCCAATCTCGGCCGCCGACCGACTCCTGTCGTTCAGCCGCCAGTCGTTAGTGTCGAGGTCCCAGACCACGACCGTGAGTCCCAAGCGCTCTGCGATCGCGCGCACGCGATTATCGACGCCGCCGAACGGCGGGCGGAAGAAGCGCGGGATGACGCCGGCGGTCGCGTTCATCGCCCAGATCGACCACTGCAGCTGGCCGACGATCTCGCGGGTGGTCAGGCTGGGGAGGTGGGCGTGGCCGTAGGTGTGCGTGGCGAGGAGGTGGCCTTCGCGGTGCATGCTGCGGAAGATGTCGGGGAAGGAGACGACTTGGATGCCGAGGACGAAGAAGCTGACTTTGCTGCCGGAGGACTTGAGGTAGTGCAGCAGGGTTGGCGTGTCTGGCGTCGGCCCGTCGTCGAAGGTCTGTAGGAGGTCTGTTTGGTTAGCACATGAGTAAGAAGTAGGCGGACATGACGATGAGCTCACGATGGCAGTGTCGGATGTCATTGCGCCCTACACACAGTCTGCGTATCAAGAAGAAAAGTCAGCACAGATTCAGGAACATGAGTCGAAGAAGAAATACCCGCAATCAAAAGAGCAGCTGTTAACTCCATAAGTCCGACTACAATGCTGCTGATCTACATCCGTCCAATACCACAATCAGCACAATCATCACAATAATCAACAACAGATACACAACACAAATACAAATAACACACCGTAACGCGCATACTCCGGGATCCCGCGAAAGTCAAACTTCATAGCCGGCACGTACGGCGCGTCCAACCCCGGCCATCGGCTGAGCCCGGTCATCTCGCGCAGCCAGTTTGGGAACTCGGCCCGCGGCTGCGTGAAGATGAGCGCGCGGTGGGATACGGCCGATGACTCTTCTGGCATAAACTGTGGGAGGAGGTGGTGCTCGGCCTGCGCCTGCGCTTGGTGAGGAGTGAGAAGAAAGAAGAAGAACAAGAACAAGAACAATAACAATAACGGAAAGGGAAAGCCGGAACCGCGCATCTCCTCTTTTCTTCCTTTTCTGTCCTGAAGATGCTAATCCGCGATATCAGATTCAGTCGGGATCACAATCAGCCAGGTTCAGAATCAATCAGAAACTAACTCACTCCCGACTTAATTTTTTCCCCGCACTCGCTCCTCGCCCTACGCGGCCCCGCTCGCGACGACTGCCCCAGGCCGCTGGTATCGAGAACTAACTGGGTATCATCACTGCTATCATTCACTATCAAAACTAGCTAAAACAAATCATATCCTAAAACACCTCGCTCATCCGCTGCCGCTCTATCTGAGACTTTTGCCGCTCGTTCCGCGAGACCCTAAAGTAATACTCGCAATGCTGCGACCCGTTCATGTACCTCAGAAACTCCTCGTCGTGCGTGATGATGATCAGCTGGAAGTTCTTCTGCCTCTTCCGCGCAGCAATGATGCTCCCCAGACTCCGCGCCAGCGCCTGCACGTTCTCCTGGTCGAGGTTCGTCGTCGGCTCGTCCAGCGCGATGATGCCGCAGTTCACGCCAAAACACTCCGCCAGCGCGAGCCGGATGATGATTGACGCAAGGACCTTCTGCCCCGCACTGCACCGCCCGCGCATGTCGAGCTCAACGTCCTGCTTCACCATGCACACCCGGTAGTTATACGACCGGTTGCCCTTCCCGCTCTCGTCATCTGACCGGATCAGGATCGTGTCCACGTCCGTCCCGCTGTACGTCTTCTTCCACAGCTCGTCGATGATCCGGTTGATCTCCTCCATCTTTAGACTGTGGTACTTCATTATCGCGCCCTCAACCGCCTTGCTGTACTTCCCCAGGTCCTCGCTCGCCGTCGTCGTCACCTTCAGCCGGATCAGGTTCTCGCGGTACAGTCTGTCCACGTTCAGAAACTCCGTCCGCAGCTCCCTCTGCCCTTCCTTCACCTGGTCGTTCAGCTGCGACAGTTCTCCCACCTTTTTGCCGTACTAAATTTCATAATAACCAATCGTCAGCTCAATACTTAATATTTTATCTCAAACCCTACTCCTCTGCAAGCCTCTTTCAGCCCTGCAACCCGCAGCCTTCAACCCTGCAGCCCGCAGCCTTCATTCATTTCATCTTCAAAATTAAATCCCAACAGAGTTCATAACCCGGTGGTCAAAAAACACAGGATGCTCACCTCCGCCGTCAACTTTGTCTGCCGCATCTGCAACTTCTTGCTCTTGTCCTCGTACGCGTCCTTCTCGCGCTCCGCGTCCAGCGCCTCCAGCTTGCGGATCTGCTCCTCCTGCGCGCTCACTCGCGCCCGTAGTTCCCGTAGCTGGATATTATCCGCAATCCGTCGCTTCTGCGAATTCACGTTCGCAAGCTCTCGCTCGCATCCGTTTCGCTGCCGCAAGTACTCCTCTTGATCCGCCGTCAGCTGCTGCACCCGCGCCTCGTATTTTTGCACCCGCTCGATAGACTTGGCCAGTTTGCCCGCGACGTTGTCCATAACGTACTGCTCCACGTCGCGTTGCACGCTCTCAAACTGCGTCAACTGCCTCCGCACGTTCCTCTCCTCCGCGCTCGCGGCCTCAATCTGCTGCTGATAGTGCGCCTGCGTCTCGCGAAGTTGCCCGGCAAACTCCCGGATCGAATTCTCAACCCCTGCAATCTTCACCTTCAACTGCTCGACCCCCTGCACCGCCGCGTCCCGCTCCCGCACAACGTCCTGCATCCGCCCGGCATACGAGCTCTTCGTCTGCACCTCGTGCTCCCGCGCAGACAACCGCATCCGCGCATCCCGCACCTCGTTGTCCAGAATCGAAATCTGGCTGCGCGCAAGCTCGCGCTCGTCCGCCAGCCGCTGCTGTTCTTTCCGCATCCCCGCCGCGCGGTCAGAAAGCTCGCGCCGGTCCCGCTCAATCGTCTCCAGCGCGCGCATGTACGGCTCGCCGTTGCCTGGAAGTTGCTGCGTGTACGTATCCATCGCGGCATGCGCCTCCTCGCGCTCGCGCGTCGCCCGCACAAGATCCGAAATCGGCTTCCGCAGCATCTCGAGTTCATCCAGCTTCTGCTTAGCCTCGGTCACCTTACCATCGCACACACTCACCTTCTCGTTACTCTCCTTCAACTGCATCTCGAGCTCTTTAAACTTCTCTTCCAACCCCGGCAGCTGCTTTCTAAACTCCCGAATCGACGCAACCTGCGGCGCCAGCGCCCGCGCGCGATCAAGTCTCGCGCTCTCTTCCTCCAACTCTTTGCCCTTCAGCAACTCCTTAAAACTATCAATCTGAGTCTCAATCACCCCCACCAACTCGCTCACCGTAAGATCGTCCCTCTCCTCCTCGTCGTCACTGCACAGCTCGCGGTTGCACAGTGAGCATTTTTTGTTGCTCCGCGCGTACTTCACCGCGGCTTCAAAGTAGCTGATTGCAAACTCGGACCGCGCCAGTTTCCTATCCCTTCGTCAGCATTTCATTACATCAACATCATATAAAAAACAGGTTGCATACTGCTTCTTGTTGTCCAAATCATCCTCCAAATCCTCCAACTCCTCCTCGTAAATCGAAATGTCCCTCGTCTCAAACATCCTCTCGTACTTATCCAGATCCGCCTCTGCGCGCTCGCCCTTTGTCAGAATATCCTGCTTTGCAATACTGCACTTTGTCTCCACCCGCGACAGCTCGTCCTGCGCCTGTGTCCTCTCCTCGCGCGCCTTTGCAAGCTTCTTTTGCGCATTCTCCACAGCGGTCTTCAGTGCACCTTCTGCCTCGGGCGCACTAACCCTTTCCAGACTACTACCAGTAAGCTCGAGAAACCGGGGGCCATGCACCTCAGTGAGTGTAGACATTGTCTGAGAGTGCTTTTCCGCCTCATCGACGAGCAACGTCATCTTTGCCCGCACTTGACTCTGCCGGTTCGCAACCGTAAGCTCGTTCGTCACGTCCTCGAGCTCCATCTCAACACCGCGCAGCTCACTCGTCTTGGCCGCAATCAGCTCCCCAAAATTCTTATTCTCCAGCGCCGTCTTGGCCTCCTCAAGCTTAGCCTTTGCGCTCTCGACCGCGGCCTTTGCCAGCAGCAGCGCCGACTCGTCAGCCGAGATCGCGTCGATCTGCGTCTGCAGCCGCGCTTTCTCCTCGTCGCGCGTTCTCGCGGTTTTCTCATTCAACGAGATCTGCATCTCCGCCGAGGACTTCTCCCGCCGCGCGCCTTCGAGCTGTCCCCGCGCTTTCTCTTCCTCAAACTCGCCTTCCTTCACAACCCGCGCCACCGTCTCCGACAACTGCCGCGTGGTCTCTTTCAGCTGCTCGAGAAACCGCGCGACTTGGTCGTCGTCAAACTCAAACGTGTTGAAGCCCGATATGCTGCACGAGCGCGAGATTGTCTTTATAAGCTCGTCGCGCTGGCGCTTGAGTTTTTCGTGGCTGTCGGCCGCGGCGTGGTAGCGGCCTTCCAGACCTAGGGCGTCGGTATGCTTTTGCCGGGCGATCTCGACATCTGCGCGCGTCTTTCTGATTTTTTCTTCGAGAATTTCGAGGTCGTCCTGCTGCTTTTGAACATGGGACTCGAATGACGAGAGTCGGTCCTCCAGTTCCTCTGTAGATTCGTCCATGGCCTCGATCGTCTGCTCCAGTCTGATCACTTGCTCTTTCAGCGAGATTAAAGTATTCCGCTTCTCGCTCAGATCCGAAAGAACTTTCTGAAACCCCTGGTTCGACTTAAACAGCGCCGCGATCTCGGCAGTGTTTTTATCCATCGACTGGTTAAGCGCCCTGGCCTGCTCGGTCAGCGACTCGATATCCCGCTGATATGTCTCGATGCGCGTGCGTAGTTTATCCGCGCGATCCTTGTCGACTTTGAAATGCGCAACGTCGTTGGTCAGGATCTTGATCTCTGTCGCGCGTTCTTTGCGTAATGCTCTGATTGCATCGAGCGCTTTGGTGAACTTGAGTGCCTCAAAGATCTCGTCGAAGCGTTTTTTGAGCGTCGCGGGTTCTGAGAGTGGCCACAGACTATCGTCCTGGTGGCAGAAAACGACATAATCCAGGATCGCTTTGGAAACGCCCAAGTACTGCGGCATTTGAGCGTCCAACTCTGCGCAGCGCGTGGAGATGGTAGTGCGCTTGCCGTCCTGCGTGACGAGCAACTGCCCCTCGAGCGTCTTAAACGTCCTCGTTGTTTTCTTCATGGTGAGCTGCATCGAGCGCGTGCAAATCATAGGCACGCCGCTCGTCGAGGTGAACCCGAGCTTGACCTGGGCCATGACTTCTTTCTCGCCGGCGATCTTGGGGTCGTGGATGAATGCGCCGCCTTTGTTGTTGGGCGGCAGGTCGCCTGTGGTTGCGTAGCGCAGGCATTCGATGATTGTGGTCTTGCCGGAGCCGTTGTGGCCTACGATGAGGGTGAGGGGGGTGTAGAAGTGGATTACTTCGCGCTCGGTTTGGTCGAATGAGCGGATGCCTTGGATCGAGAGCTTCTGAATGCTGGACCTGCAGGAAGTTAGTCAATGCGTAAGAAGCAGTGAATCAAAGAGGCCTACATGTTGCCAGTAGATGCGAGTGCGAGTGCTTGACTGGAATCAAACAGCAACACCCACGCGCGCAGCTCGCGCGTCCCGCCGACAGTCACATGACACAGTTTCTTTTGGTCTGGTACTGCTTACACAGAGATTACTCAGCGTGTTGAATTTGCACCGCACTTGGTGACTCGCAAGGAAGGAGAGTTTTAGAGCGGTGGTCTAAGCTGCGAGTTAAATTGAGTGGAGATTAAGTAAGCAAGAAAGAACGAGTTACTTAATTTTCCTCTTTGTCACAGCTGTTGAGAGAAGAAGAGAAGAGAAGAGAAGGAGGGAATCCAGCTTCTGTCAACGATCTACTTCAGGAGATCAGCGTGCAGATGCTTCTGATCTCCAACGCATCTTCGCCATCTCCATGCACCGTCTTCATGCACCCTCCAATGCACCGTCTTCATGCACCAACTCCCCTCTCTCCTCTCCTCTCCTCTCCCGCGCTCTGGGCCTGGCTGCGGGTTAGGGCCACTTTCTGGCGCAGTACTATCAAAAACCTTCTTTTAGTGCCGCGTAGCGTTTACCCGGCCCTGTTCTCCCCGGCAGGTCCCGTTTGGTCCCGTTGAGGCCCCGTTCGTGGTCGACGAGACATTGACAAAGGCAGACAGAGCTCAGCAGAGCAGAGACAGTGACAACGTCAGGCTGAGGACACGCCAACTCTCGCGCATGTTTGTGATGAACATTCACGCTACTCCCCCGACCCGCTTCAGCAGCCCGACCTCGCCCGCGCCCGCAGCCGCGTAGTAGATCCTCCGCAACACCTCCCCCTCGCGGCTCACCCCTTCCGTGCTCGCCCTCTGCGCTAGCGCCTCGTCAACCATCTCCTCGAGCCTCTCCACCACCCGCGCTCTAAGCAGCCCAATCTGGCACCTCCTCGACAGCACCAGCAGCCCGCTCAGCGTCCTCACATCGCTCTCCTCCGCTATCGTCCCCGTGTAGAACCACCCCACCAGCTCCCGCACCACCTCGTACCGCTCGGGCATAAACAGCACCCGCCTCTCCGTCTCTTCAAACGGCGCATACATCCGTTTTTCCAAAACCGTCGACACAAACGACTCCACCGTCGTCGTCGTGCCCCGTCGCGTCCCCGGCATACTCTCTACCACAGATGAGTCATCCACCTCACCCGCCGTTTCCAGCACGCTGTAATAGCTCCCCCATCGCTCTCGCAGGATTCGGCTGTTGACCGAAATCCGCCTCGTACTTGGCATCACACCTTTCTCGTCCGAAAACGGCGTACGACCATCTGCCTCCGGCGCAAAGCACACAATCTCCATATCCGCAAACCCACCATCCTTCAGCGCAACCTGTCCGAGCGCCTGCCCTGCTTTCGAGAACGACATCGCCGCGCTCTGCCGGCCGGCAAAAATCCCAAAGCTCGCGAGATCAATCTCGAGCATGTGCGAAAAGTTGATGATCCGCTCGTGGTAGTCGTCCAGCATCATCGTCGCGCTCTCGTCCGCGCCGAGAAGGACGTACTTTGACTGCGCTTCGCTGAAAAACGACGTGTTCCACGATGACCTTGCCGACCGCACATGCTGCTGGTACTGCACCTGTGTCCATCGTTTCGTCCGCGTGTTGTATGCGTGCACCGCGTAATTCTGCGCCGCCGTCGACAGATACACTCCGCCCATAATAATATAATCCCCCAGCACGCCTCCTGTAGGAAACCGCAGAAACGGCGGGGCCGCTGTGTCTGCTAAGCTCACCGGCACATGTGAAAACGACACCGCCGGCGGCGAAATCACATCGAGCGACATCGAGCTGCTCTCGGTGTTGTAGTTTGAAAACAAAACCAGGTTTGGCCGAGCCTTGCCCGCGGCAGACGAATCCCCCACGCAAGAGGCTATCAGCGTCGACCGGTAGACGCCAAATCCTACGCTGTATCTGTCTCCGCTCGGCAGACTCCGTAGCTGTGTTTCCCACACGTTGCGCGCAAGATCAAAGAGGAGGATGTCGCCCATATAATTCGCGTCCGCGTCCTGTCCTCCCAAAACCACGAGCGTGCTCCCGCACACGCCAGCACAGTGCGCCCACCGCCCTGCCGAATCATCGCCGCTGCTTGCAGGCAATTCAACCCAGCTCGACAGCTCAAGATCAAAGTACCAAAGATCCGCGGCCGTCGCGTTCCGGAACTTCATCCCGCCGTACGTATACAGCCGGTTTTTGTGGTACGTCAACGAGTGGAAAAACCGCGGACTCGGCGCGTCCGCGGTGGGATGGAAGAACGAGTGCATCGTCACCGGCTGGGAAGAAGATGATAAGGAGACTGCTGTGCTCGTCGACGAGCGCGTGGGCGGGTACAGGCGCGACCAGACGTGGCTTTCGAGATCGAGCACGTAGAGCGCGGATGAGATTGCGTCGGTCTTTGACGAGGCGTATTTCCCGCCGTGCACAAACAGCCGGTTCTCGTGCACTGCGAGGGCTGCGCCTATCAGCCGCGGAGGCACGAGGCCTTTCAGTCGATGCACAGACACCGGAGTGGACGAGGACATGGGGTGAAGTACATAGAATACAGAGAAGAGAGAGAACTACGAAATCTGGGGCTGAAGGTGTTTGAATGGGGTGGCCGGGCAGCTGAGCCGCACGACCCTGTTCTTATGGTCTTCCATTGTCGAGACTTGTATTAAGTTGGATAGATTATCTACTCCTCCTTCCTGTGCTTCTTCTTCTTCTTCTTCTTCTCCGGTTCGTCTGAGCTCTTGCGCTTCTTTGGCGCGTCCTCCTCCGGCGGCACAAAATCCTTCTCCCGCTCGGCCTTCTTCTCCAGCTTCTTCTGTTCCCGCTGCTCCCTCTTTTCCTCGTCCGCCTGCTGCGCTTTCTCGCGCTTCGACAAAAAGTACTCTCCCGACTCGAGCTGCAGATCGATCTTGCGCGGCTGCTGCGCGGGCGGGAACGGCGTGTATGGCTTGTTTGCGCGCACTTTCTTGGGCTTCTTGCGCTGTACGTTGCGTTTCTTAAAGTGCGGCAGGAAGCGGTCCCACGACTCGTTTGCGAGCTCGGGGTTCTTGGCCAGCTCGCGCTTGATCATCAGCTCCTTGATGTGGTAGATCGGATGAATGTTTTTCATGCAGTCCTCGACCACCCGGCGCACTTCCTTCAAGCCCTTGTACGGACCCATCGCCGCCACCGTGTTTCCCTGCACGAGGATGTAGCAATTCGTGAGCAGCTCGAGCGCTTTGAGCGTGTTTCCCTGCGGTCCCAGAATGCGCTGCCGCCGCTTGATAAACCGGTCCTTGTTCGACACCAGCGATCCGATCTTGATGATATCGCACGCCAGCAGATCGTCATGCAGGATCTTTTGCGCCTGCGGCAGCGGCACCGAGCGCGCCAGCAGCTTGATAAGATCGCGCGCCTTGAGAATCGCCGCCGGATCGTACGTCTTGCGGGTAGTCTTGACCGTCATCGAACCCTCGACCAGATCAAGCACGCACGCGACATGCATCTGCTCGAGCGCGCGCGTCACCTCGCCCCAGATCTCGCGCAGGTAGGCTTCTCTGTACTTTGGGAAGAGCGTCGCGAACGACGACTCTTCCGCAAACGGCTGGCCCGTCGCGTTGTCTTCGGGCTTGAACTCGGGAACCGTCCACTTGTCGACCGTGCCATCGTCCCACGGCTTGTCGCGGTTGTGTGTTGAGGGCATAATATGCTGTGTATGAGTGAAGTTGGGAGGAGTGCAACCGACCTCTGAGGTTTTCTGCGGGAAAAGTGAGGAAGGAAAAAAAAGATTTTTGGGAGTTCGGCTGACACTTACTAAGCAGACTTATAAGCCTTTGGTACTCTGCAGGGGCCACGTGTAAATGTGCACCACAGTCAATATTAGAGTTGGGTGCTACTCCCAAAGCGGTTAGGGCGTACCTGGTGCGGGGGAGGTCTCGCCACGCTCCACAGATGGGATAGTACATAATATTGATATCACCTCCGCTGCCTTTCCCTTCCCAGTTTATTTACTCCCCCCGGCCTGTTCTACTCCTGCCAGTTCTGTCTAGAAAGCAGCACAGCAGCTGAAGCAGCTTAGAGTGAAGCACCAAGCTGACAGGGAAAGGCCACCGCAGGATCTTGAATACAAACCAAATAATCGCACCTCGTCGCTATGGACCTTTTCGATCTGGACGCAAGAGAGTATGACATTGGGCCAGAGTACTTTGCGGCCTCGCTCTCCGCCCTCCCGCTCGACGACCACCGTCCGCGGTCGTTTGATAGCTACCCTTCGTCTATGAGCTGGAACGCCTACTCGCCGCTGCAGGACCCGCTGGATCCTCTGGCGACGCCGATACTGCTGGATCAGTTCAATGCGTTCCCCTCGCCCGCGACGCCGGTCTACGTCTCGCAGCAGTCGCTGCCCACGCCGGCGCTGTCAACCACTGCGCCGTCACTACTACACGTCGTGTCGCCGCAGGGCCATGTGATCTTCGCGTCGCAGACAGTCACAGAAGTGCTCGGCTACTCGCCGGCCGAGTTTGTGGGCAAGCACCTGAGCGAGTACGTGGCCGCGGACGACTACAAGCAGCTCGCGCGGGAACTGAACCGGGCGGTGTCGTCGTCGACGATGAGTACGAACGAGGACCTGTTTACGCGCGCGTCGCGCGAGAAGATCTCGGATTCGGCGCGCGTGCTGTTGACGTGTCGCTTGATTTGCAAGGACGGGCATCAGCTGCTTGTCCAGATCAGCGGGCACGCGTCGTTTTCAAACTCGGCTTCGTCGTCGTCGTCGTCGTCGGCGGCTTATGGGTCGTACCATTCGGCGTCATACTCGCCCGGAGCGGACTCGAACGATGATAGTTCGGTGGATAGTAACAGCTCGGATGATTATCGCCAGTTTGGAAGGCTGAATTCGTTGGTGGTTAATACGCCGGCGTCGAGTTTGCTGGGGGAGTTTAAAGGGTTTGTGCTTACTGCGCGGCCGTACTCCAGCGTATTAAGCAGCAGCAGCAACAATAACAGCAACAGCAACAGCAACAGCAGCAGCAACACAACAGCAGCCTCACTCGCGCTAGACTCATTTCTCGACCACAAGATTGAAAATCTGCGGGTAAAGCAAGTTCTCGACAGCGTGCGCGCAAACAAGACGAGCATCCAGGTGCCGAGCATGATTCCCGAGGAACTTCCGTCGTCTGATTTCTCGATGCTGACGAATTTTGCGGCGGCGGCAGCGCCGACGGCGACGCATTCGCGGCGACATTCGGCGGGGGATGTGCTGGGGAGCTCGCAGATTAGGCTGGGGCCTAGTATTGCGGGGGATTATCTGGGTTCAGGGTTACCGCGGTCGAAGAGTATCAGCACTACAGATCACCGGATTGCAAAGGTATTTTATATCTTAGATATGAATATGTTATAAGGGACTAACAGAGTGTAGAAGCAGAGACTGATGGACGACAAGGACTACAAATGCAAGCAATGTGGGACGTTTGACAGCCCAGAATGGCGGAAGGGACCAGAAGGACCAAAGACGCTGTGCAATGCGTGCGGGCTGCGGTGGTCAAAGAGCATGAAGCGGTCAAAGCTGAGCGGGATGCCACCAAAATAGGATGAGGGTGTTGAACGTGGTCGGGGAAATGAATTGGATGTTTGGAGGGGAGGAGGAGGTGGAGGTGGGGAAGGCGGGGGTGGGTGGAACCCGCGCGGCGAGGAGGAGAGGAGACTTACACGCTGTACATTTACTAACTGACTATTTCGACGAGCCTTATGTTTTTCTATCTATTTCCATTTTATATATGCGTGGAGCACAGCGGGAATTTGAATTTGAGTCTGAATTTACGGGTCTACTATTTGTTTGTTTTGAAGTCTTTTTTATCTATATACTTATACGTGTCGGGAATCAGCAATGTCTAATCAAAATGGAGAAATTTGTATACGATAGTCTCTAATGTGCTTCTACTACTAGTTAACTAGTCTCTGTAATTAGCCACAACAGCATCAATAACAACTACAAGAGCAACAATGACAATAACAAGGTCAGCAAAGAATAAAGAGCAAAGAGCAAAGAATGAAGAGCAGAAGAAACGCGGTTGATGCGGGGAAGACAAGCGGGCGGCACATGATCTCGCTTTTTTCTTTTATTTTTATTTTTATTTTATCTCCTCTTTCTTTGTTACACTTTTTCCGAGACGAGTGAACTAGACCTGAGCTGCCTGCGACTATAAGAAGAGTAAGAAGAATATCAATTGTCTTTGTTATATTCATCTAATAACCAGCTATATGTATTGTTCTCTTCTGTTCTGTTCAATCACAACTAAACAAGAATCCCAAGCAACCAGAACCCCAACTATCGACTATCTGAGCACGGCGCTCTTTTAGTAAACATAATAAGCAATAATTATCTCCTCTTCCCCGCATCTCTTCCAGTCTCTTCGTCATCGTCCAGCTTAAATCTCTGCTCATCCGCTCTCCGCCGTCAACTCCTCCCGCGCAACCCGCCCGATCGAGTCCAGCAGCCGCGACAGTTCGCTGCTCTCGCTTTGGACGTATCGCGCGTGTGCCAGAACAATCAACTTTCGCAGTTTCCGTCCGCTCAGGCCCTGCCACCATCATCATTAGTCCTTCTTCTACCCTTCTTCTACTCTGAATATCATACCCACCTCACACTCCTTTGCAATCCCACACAGCCGCGACGAATACGCCTGCGGCTTGGAATACACGCTAAGCGACGCCTGCGCATACGACGGAATCAACTGCTCAATCCGCTGCTGCACCGGCACCGTCCGCGCAAACATCGTCTCCTCGTAACTCACAAACCTGCCGCTTTTTGTAGTACTCGTAGTCGTACTCGCAATCCTTCTTCGCCCGCCCGCTCGCTCCTGGTATCGTCCGTCCTGGTCTTCGGTGTCGGACGACGCGGCGTGGTGAAGGTCCACCAACGTCTCAAACTCCTCTTCAATCACAGAGCTCGAGTCCGTCTCTTGCGACCGCTTCCACTCTGCCTGAGCTGTCTTCCCTCCCGCCCGTCGCCCGTCGACCACTACTTCTCCCGGCGGGGGATACGACAGCGAAATCATATTGTGACGCGATAGCTCGAGAATGCACGACCGAAGAATCTCGTACGTCGCCGCGGTGGTCGGGAAGCCTATGTATTGCTTTACATCGACCCTGTCTAGAAACGCCTAGGTATGTTAGCTCATGCCGACTACCACCAACTCACGACTTGTTTTGATACTGGGTCCATCGCATCAATCAAATTAGACGTCGCGAGAATCAACACGTTCTGCATAATCTTCTGTCAGCTTTTAAATACTTTACTTTCCACAGACAGCACAGAACAGAACGCAAGACCTTTGCTGACCGGAGCTTATCGAGCTCCGTCAGTACCGCATTAACCACCCGCATCGCATCACTAGGCTCGTTGCCCACAGCCGAACTCTTCCTCGCCGTCGTAAGCGACTCTATCTCATCTATACTCCACATCAGCACCAATCCCAACCCAGTAAACAGACCAGAACACAGCTACCAATCAGCAAGCACACAAACACCCCGGGATCGTCAATCACCGCCCTGATCCGCTCAAACAGCTTCCCAACTAACTTCCCGCTCTCGCTGAACCATTTAGAGAAAAGACTGTGCGCAGAGATTTCAAATAGTCGGCCGTCGAGGTAGGACTTTGAGAGCCGGATCGTGAGTTTCTGCGCTAGGGCGCGGCACAGCGTCGTCTTGCCCGTGCCTGGTGGTCCGTGGAGAAGAATCATTCTTGAAAATGTTAGCTTGCTTTGTTATAAATTGGCTGTAAACAGCTGGTACCGATTAAAAGAAACAATGTTTGGGTTGACTCCGCGCTCGGAAAAGAGCATGACTGTGCTCATATACCGCAGCAGCCTATTCTTCAAATCATCATCGTCAAAAATCAGACTATCCCACAACCCATCAAACGCCCTCCCCGGCAAACTCCACACCATCGCCGACACAGTCCCGTCCTCGTCCACCGAGACCTTCTCCGCCGCCGCCTCCTCGCCGTCTTCGAGCCGATAGATATGCATCTCGAGCGCGCACTCGTCGTTGATCGGCACAATGTCGGGGTTATACCCCATCCCGACCACCTGCGCGACCGAGATCCGCTCGACTTTTTGCGCGAGCTGCTTGCCATCGTCGCCGTCGGCGGGGTTGATTGCCCAGTTCAGGCGCAGCGCGGCGTAGTTGTCGCGGATGAAGTTCGAGACTTCCTGTCGGATCTGGGAGTGGCGCAGCGGACCGTTGGACGACGGTCGGCGGCTGAGCAGGACTTCAAGATAGACTGTGATCTTGGGGTTCGTCATCTTGAGTTTGTTAGCGGATCAGGAGAGCCGAGAAGGAGATGCGAGAGAGAGGCGAGATAGACGCGTCTGCGGGCTTAGGTGCGATGCTGGTGTCAGTCCGCACGTGGCCAGTTCACAACAGCACTTTGACTACTTATTCCACTTTTCTTTGCTTATAATCAGCAGTATCGCAGTGGCTCTCTATAAAGATATTCTCAAACAAGCTATCAGCAGTAAAATAAAGAATCTACGTTACAATATCATGAATAGTACTACACTGCGAGGCACAACTTCTCGTGCGGCTCTTATTTTTACGTAAGAACTCCATTACCACAAACGCAAACCCACAGCTTCGCTTCCTCTTCCCCCCAAGTCCTCACGAAAAAGCAGGTCCACCGCCCGCTCCTTTGTATATTTTCTGTGTGAGGATCCGCAGTACGGGAAATCACACGCGAGATGAGTTTCCGGTCTAATGCAATCTGGGAAGCCATTGAGTCGCAAAACTACAAGCTTGCGCACCAGCACATCGCAAAGGCTTTGCGACGGAACCCAAAGGATGAGTATACCCAGGTGCGTTTCGTCTCTCTTGATTGCTTGCTTGCGTGTGGTGGTTTGATGCTGACGGGGATGAAATGGTAGGCGTTGAAGGCGTATGTGTATTCGCTGCAGAGGAAACCCGAGGATGCGCTTACCATCGCGCGACAGTTGGCCGATACCGTGCCGAGTAGTAATGATACCTTGGATTTGCTCTACGGCATCATGCTCGATTCCTCAGGAGGTAAGTCCATACATCTGCTCTCTACCGCTCTACCTCTCTATTTTAATAATTATCTGGCACAGCAACCGAAGCCGGCATGCTCTACGAACGCGCGGCAAAGAAATATCCTAAATCCGAAAAAATCCTAACCTCCTGGTTCTGGGCCACCAGCACGGGACTCGACGTGCGCGGCCAGCAGAAAGCCGCGATGGCGCTGCAGAAATCGTTCGGTTCGAACCGGGACTACACGCTCTGGTGCGCGACCTCGTGCTTTCTCGCCGCGCTCGAAGCCGACGCGACCGAGATGGAGAAAATGCTGTTTTCGGGGCTCGCGCGGAGGATGATTGCGCTCGTGGGCGAGAGCCAGACGGCTGAGGAAGCGGTGATCAAGGCGCGCATTCTGCAGGTCGTGGGCGCGCCGGCGCGAGACGAGTTGCTCAAGTTCCTTACCGACGACGCGACCGAGAAATGGAATAACCTCGAGCTGGCGGTCATGCGTCTCGAGGTCGCTGTCGAGAGCGAGAACTGGGACGTCGTGTTCAAGGTCGCGAAGAAGACGCTTGTGGACGAGTGCCGCGACGACTACGAGAGTTGGAAGCAGATGGCGGTCGCGGTTAAGAAACTTGGCGACGCAGCGCTTGTGAACGAGTACGAGGGTCTGCTGGCGGAAAAACAGGGTACGCGCAATGGCGCGCTCGCGGCGGTGTTTTATGCTTCTCTGGCGGGAGACGTGACGGAGCAAGCGCAGACATACTTTACAAAATTTGGAAGAAAGCAGTGCGCGTTTGAGGACCTGAAGCCCTTCATCGACCTTGTTGATTCCGAGAAATGGCTCGCATTCCTGGACTCTCAAGTAGCGCCGTTCTCAGACGCGCTCGGACACGCGACGTACGATCAGCTAAACGTCATCGTCAACGCTCGGAAGTTTGTGTATATCCTGCGGCCCGCGACGGACTCGTACGTGCTCGAAAACATCAAGCTGTACAACGCGCTGCTGCCCACGCTCAAGACGAAAGAAGACACCGAGTACTTTGCCGGCGACGACCTTCTCCTCCTCGCCGTGCAGTGGATCCTCGACGCGCGACCGACGCCGTTCGAGATTACTAAGCAGGACGTCGTCATGTCGCTTGTCGTGCTGCTCGAGTCCGCCGCCGGGCGCGACAAGCATCAGTTCTACGTCCGGCTGTGGCTCGTGCGGTTGTATCTCTACATCGGCTGCTTCCAGCAAGCCTCCGGCCACTACTCCTCTCTGTCCATCAAAAACATCCAGCTCGACATGCTCTCGCATCACCTGCTCACCCGTCTGAGCACCCTCTCGCCCGTTTTCAAAACCATGATCGCCACGCGGGAGATCTACGACATGAACGCGGTGCAGACGCCGAAATACGTCAAGGCCTCCTACGAAGCCGGCTCGTACTCGCAAGTGCAAGGCATCAAAGACTTTGCCAAGCGCCTCACCAACAGCGTCGGCAAGGGCGTCCTCTGCGTCGAAGCCAAACGCATCGGCCGCCTCTCCGGCGCGAAAATGGACGGGCTTGGGATTAACCCGCAGATGATTGACATGAAATGGTGCGATAACCGCGACTTTGAGGTGCTGGGCGGAGTGCGCAAGGTGGGTGAGTCCGCCGTGGAGGAAAAATACCGGATCGGGCCTCGGCAGGGCGCGAACTGGATCGAGGCGTTCATGCTCAAGGAGACGATCGTCGAGCTTTGGGCAAACGCAAAATCACGCGAGGGTTACGCTAGCCGGCTTGAGGCTCTTTTGAAGTCAGAAGGACTCGCGAGCGAGGTCACAAAGGCGGAGAAATGGAGCTTGGAGGTCGTTCTCCAGCTCGCGCAGGTGGCGACCAGCATGACGCAGGCCACCGTCACTAAACTCCAGACTCTTCTCGACGCCGGGATTTCTGAATTCGGAGGGACGTCAGAGTCGCAGGTCGACTGGTCATGGATCCATGACCGGTTTATCATCTTCGAGACGATCAAGATCGTGATCCCCAGTCTTGATTTCCTAAGCAGCACGACCTCCGGTGCGCGAGGCGGGAAACTCGGAACCCTGATCTCGGCAATCAAAAAGACGTGCGTGGCAAAGGCGGAGACAATCAAAGAATCCGCAAAGGAGATCAAGAACGGGCGCGATAAGTGGGTTCGAGAAACCGCAGAGCGATTAAGTTCGTATGCTACAATCACTGCTCTCGACGTATGTTTTTCTTCACCATTTCTGATTATGATTCCGCAGAGGCTAACATTGTGTTCTTGTTCTAGACATCGAATATTGATATCGAAGCGATCGTGGAGGGAATCGGCAAGAGCCAAGACGAAGCGCTGACCATGCTTCGTATGCTTAAAGTGTAAATACCAAACTAGTCATCTAGAATCAGGAAAAATATATCATAGAATTATATATCACTACTCATACAAAAAGAAGAAGAAAGAAAAAACATCATGTACAAAGAAAAGCCTCCGCTAAGAAGAGATTTACGTGGGCGGGAAGTTCGTCGGAAGAATTATATTTGTTATGCACCGCAGGAGACAAAAGAACTTTTTTTGTACTGTAAAATCAGGATAGCACAAACATAGACTGAAAAGACCCGATTATACCTCGCATTCCCAAACGACCAAAAAAGTAGAAAAAGGAGAAAAATAAAGAATTATAGAGACGTTTAGAACGACTGGAGAAGAGAAATTACCACGAGGTAGGTCCGAAGAATGGCTGCTCCTCGGAGACGAGGACCTGGATGGCCTCGCCGTTGTAGTCGACGGTGTTGAGGACGTTGTTACCCCACCAGGACGGCGCGTCGGTGTTTGTGAGCGCGGTGGTCAAGAAGACCAGGAGCGAGCCCGCGGCGAGACCGATGTCGAGGCCGGCGGAGATCGTGTAGTTGTACTTTGCCCACCAGGCGAAGTACTTGCGCTTGAGGTAGTAGTTGAAGAAGAAGCCGACGAGGCAGAAGGAGGCGTAGTTGTACGGCGTCGCGGGCGGGATGAGACCGGTGCCGGTGAAGAAGACGGGCCAGTTGATGTACTTTGCGATCGACTTGGGCTTCCACTTGACGATGAGCCAGGTGATGATGGGGAGGACGAAGCCCGCGACGAAGAAGAAGAGGAGGCCGTAGTAGATCATGCCATGGGAGAAGATGCGCTGAGGGCCGATGACACCCCAGATGACGGAGGCGTTGAAGAAGACCTTTGCGTTCGGGCAGGTGAAGTGCGAGGGCTGCGTGGACGAGCAGACGTCGGTGATCGAGCCGAGCGCCCACTGCATGGTCGCGACCTGCACGATCGAGGTCCAGATGGTGCAGATGCACTGGCCCCAGAACATGGTGCGGGGAGGAACCTTCATGTAGTGGCCGAGCTTCATGTCGGAGACAAAGTAGAGCGCCTGCGACATGGTGATGTAGCCAAAAGTCTTGAACAGCATCATGGCGATGGGGCGGCCGGGAAGCATGTATCCGACAATGAACTCAGTCAGCACGTTGAGACCGACCTGCAGGTTGGTGATGGCCTGGATGGTACCGATGGGAGCGGTCATGACGAACGCGAGGATCAACGCGAGGATGAGCGCCCAGACAGGGAGATCGGTGTCCCACACGCGCACGGAGACGATCGAAAGAGCGAGCACGACGAGGAACACGACACCGAACCACCAATCAGGGGTCTCCTTGTACTTTGACATGAGCTTCATGTGGATATCAGGCTTCGCATTGCGACTCTTCTTCCAGTAAAACATAATCTCCTTGCCGTGGAAAAGCGCGGTGTGCATGACCGTCGCGGTGATGGACGCAAACGAAAGACCGTACGACATTGCGAACGTGGTCGACATGAACAGCGGCGAGTAGTCCTTGTAGGCGTCCTCGTTGAACGTCAGGTCGGCGTTCAAGATCCGCGAGACGTTGTACGAGCTCTGGTAGCGGTCGTACGTGCTCGAGTCGGACATCGGCAGGTACTTTCCGTACCAGGTGTTGGTGAAGTGCACGGCAGGCACGATGATCCAGAAGATGATGAGCATCGACAACGCGATGTTGGCGGTCGCGAAGAAAGGGGGGACCAAAGGCGAGCCGATGTAGCCCGCGATCTGGTTCCAGTCAAAGGTGATGGGCATAAGACCCATGCCGGTGGCGACGCCAAAGACCTGGTTGAGGACAACGTTGTTGGGTCTGATCCAGGTGATCCATCCAAAGTAGGACAGGAACTGGGCGAGGTAGCCCGGGAACCAGTAGTACAGGAAGCCGCAGCCAAAGATGATGTTGAACAGACGAAGACGCGAGATCTTCCAGCCCGAGACGGGGAAGTTGTCGTTCTTGTGGATGTTGGTGAGGAACGTGGCGGTGACGAGGTTGGAAGGCCAGATCATCGAGCCGGGGTAGACCAAGATGCGACGGAACAGGCCACCGACAGAGAAACCGATGCACTGAGTGGCGATGGTGGTCACAATCATGAAACCCCAGCCAAAGTGGATGTCATAGTACTGGGTCATGGAGAGGAAGATGTCGGTGGAGTAGGCAGCGCCGCCGCCGAAGGAGACGTTCGACATGACCGTGATCATGGCGTGCTCCTTGACGTTGAAGCGGCCGTCCTTCAACTTAAGGCCGAAGATGGAGATATCGGGCATGATAAGATCCCATGCGCGACCGAGCGGCCAGGCAATGATGGAGACCACGAACGGAGTAAGCGTGAATCTGCATAATGAATTAGTATATGCAGCACATAGCTTCACAAGAGACAATGCAGAACTTACGCAGGAGAGTGCATCGAGAAGAACATGTTGAGAGAAGAGCCGACGGTCGAGAGAATCAAACCAAGTACCCACATGCGGATGGTGTTGACAGGCATAGACGAGTCGTCAACGTTGGGCACCGCAGCGCGGACCTCGGGGTACGGCGAGTCCTCGAGCTCGGTCTCGACAGCATACTTGTCGTCCTTAGTGTCGATCGGGTCGTCGCCGGTCGGCGCGTTGGGGTCGAAACCGGCGATATTGCGCGCCTTGAGGTCGTACTCATCGGTAGACCCTTCCTCAACCGAGCTGGTGAACGCAAGCTGGTCAGACTTGTACTCGGGGATTTTCTCGGCAACCTTGGAGTCCAAGGCGATACTATCCTCCTCTATCTCATGGGTGTGCGCCATTTTGTAGTCTAGCGGAGGGGGAAGAGGAAGCTAGGCCGATAGCAAGGGAAGAGTCGTTACGATGGTGGACGGGACGGGTGAAGAGGCGAGGAAAGCAAGCCCGGGAGGGATGGGCCCAATCTTATATCTGAATAGCGGAGGTGGCATATCTTGTTTGACGCTGATCAGGCGAGGGCAGGTACCGCGACAGCGCAGTACAAGCGGGGGTGGGAGGTACACAGACGTTAGGCTGAGGGTGAAGCTAAACTAATTTGTGGACTCTCTCCGAAGGTAATAATACGAAGCTTCAAAAGGTTAGATTAGAAGGATGAGGAGACAAGAGGCTTAAGGAAGACCGGCTGTCTGCTTGGCCAGACTGCTGGAACGGTCTTCAAGTTTCATTACACGGACTACAATCGTAATCACTCTCGGCACAATCCCACACCACTCGCTGCTGCCGGACGAAGGGTCTAGAGGCCTCGTGGCGAATCCGTACAGAGCGTGAAGATGGGCATGTGGCCACCTACCGAAATAGGGACATGATGGAGTCAAAAGTTCGGGGATGGCGAAGACTGATAGCCAGAGACGGGTTTGGCCAATCGCGAGCTGCGGATTCAATATCGTCGGACGGCCCACCAAACTTTGGCGCGGAAGGGTTTTCCTCAATAGCAGTTACTGCATGCGTTTACAGAGAACTGTGAACAGGGAAGACGAAGGTGTAAGTCAATCACGGAACGATAGTACCACGCGGCGCCGAAGAAAAAAAGCTTTCCGGTGCGGCACCGCGCAAACTCGTGTGCCTCGGGAACTTCGTCTTCCTCACGTTTTGCCATCCCCAGATTCAAATTCAAAATAAAAAACGCAAGCTGTCAAGCAGATAGGCACATGCTATTGCATCTAACTGCGACTTCTGCGATATATTAAAGATGCTGTTATATACGCCGGCCCTGCAAAGACTCGCAGACGCTTCGCGGTCTCTTCGTCCCACCCGGCCTCCTGCAGCAGCAAATGAGTCGGCTCTCGGGCCAGGGCTCGTTATGCAGGACCGATGACGACGAAGGCGCGATGGGCGGCCGAAAAGCGTTAGCAGAAGGCGCTTTTGTGAGACTTTTGATGCTTAATATGCTTAGAGTTTGGCGCATTACAGTTTTGAGTTCTGGTTTACGGTTTTGTCTGCCGCAATTCTCCGAAAGATACCTCTCGCCCGTCCCGCTGTCCTGCTGCCATACACAGCAGCGCGAAACCGGAAGCGGTAGAGGAGGCTGAGAGGAGAATTTAATGTGGTCGATATATTTGTCTTCATAGCAAGATGGTATTAAGCGGCTTGCGAGAAGACACGCAGACAGAGCTCCTGCAGCCGATCTACAAAACCCCCGCCGTTTACTGGGCATCACTTCCAGTTTCCTCCCAGCTGCTTTGCTGTCTGCTCCCTGCTCACGCAACCAGAATGCAAAACCATTTCATCGTTTTTGTTTTGTTCCTCTTCGCGAGGTCCACTTTTACAAACACCGAGGCAGCAAAAAACTCTGCTGGCGCTACTACGCCCGCCACTCGCACCGTGCGCCCTGCTCTTTGTATGCTCCCCGATGGACCTGGTCCGAACTACCCTTTTCAGCAATGAGGCCCGTATTTCCAAGAGATGAAAGAAGGCAGTTTTGCAAAGTCGGCGTTCTGCGCTGCTTCCTTTTGTTGTCTAGAAATCGCGACTGAAAAACAGCATCTGCAGTAACGTGAAGACGGAAACAAAACCAGAGCTCTGAACGGTTTATAGAAGCAGCGGATCCTAGCGTAAGAGGCGGATTCAGCCACCGGCGTGTAAGCGACCGCCTCTGTATCCACCGGCGCAAATATGCATCGCAAAGAGCCGTAGTCATAGCTCCCTCTTTCCTCTTTTCGATTCCCTTCCCGCGCACGGGCTCGCCGACCTGGATTTTTGATTTTTCCGGTCGCGCGCTCGATAAGTCCCGTGTTTTCTGCTTTGCTTTTGAGTGTGCAGATGCGGGCTGATACGAGATGCAGCAGCGAGATGGAGGTTGTGTTTGAACTGTATTTTGCTTCATAATTCCTGATCTTTGATACGTACTCCATCATCATTCTACGGTCCGGGAAATTACCTATCTGCTCACATTGTGCGCGCATTTAATAGAAGATGCTATATCTGCTGATAGCATGGACCACGAATCAAATAACGTTGTCCATTACTGAGGATAAGGCATCCAATACCGAAGCGCACAGCAATGCGATTTGTAAAGTCCGTATCAGTAATCAATCAATTTGCAGTCCATCGCGATGTAGATCACCGCAAGAAAGCCACTGACGTGGGTCGCCTCCAATTGCGCAAATTCCCGCAAGCTATCTATTCTTTCCTTTATTTTGGAACTACCGTTATCTTCCCGATGGCGTTCATTTGGCAAACAGCAGCCACGCCGCCTTTGTGTGTAGACAAAGAGCGCGCGTGGACTCTGCTGTCCTCTGACTCTCGGACTGAGTCAAGAGGGCTGCAGCGTCTGCCATGCGCAAGGTCCTCCTACTAAATTCCTCGCCTTCCTCCCTGTTTCGACCGTCTGCAATTCCCGTTATCTTTGTTATCTACTCCATATGAAAAAGTTTTCATAATCTAAAGCACCGAGAAGCAGTACAGAAGCCGCAGACACGCAAATGCAAAACCTTTCCGGGCTACCGGCTATTGGCGGAGAATGCCTTACGCACCAGGCGCGGCTCTTCGCGGGCTTCAACAAGATATGTTCGACCTAATCGCTTTTGGCTTCTGTTCCGAGGCAACCAACCTCCTTCCTCTCGAGACCCATCTTGCTGTTTCATATCTGGAGTATCTTCCGGTTCAGATTGATGAGAGATTGCAAGACAAGCCGAGAATACCCGCGTACCCACCTCCTGCCGTTCAGACGCGCATTGTACATCTGCCAGTCCCGCTTAAGAACACGAAAGAATTCTATCTTCATGCTGTCAACAGCAAATCTCCTCAATCGCAATAGATAAGTTCATATCCGTGCTTTTCTCCTCACTAAACAGTAGTGTATACGAGCTTGAGCTTGTACAGCGTTTGTGAACTCACTTTTCAGGTATCTGCATCGCCGATAAACCCTTTCGAGAACATCCCCATATTCACTCGCGAGCAGAGTTTCTGATACCCCAACGAGCGTACTTCTTCTGCACAGATTTTTTAATTTCGCCGTGACGAGCAGTACGGATAAATCTTGATTACTATGCGCAATTTATCGAGCGAGGAGTGGATAAGAGTTGCTTGGGTCGTCAGTCAATGCAATGCACCGCATGTCTTACCTATATCCAAACCAGAGGAATACAACGCACTTCTAAATCCCATTTTGAAAAAAGACCATATCGTTTGCAAATCCACAAAGACATCACAGACGTACGTGCAAAAAGAGAAAGCATATTCTTTGTAATTCAGCCTCTTGATATATCAAAACTAGAGTGCGGCAAATAATTGGACGAACGGCTGAGGTCGCTAGTGACTTGACTTGACTAGTTACTTCGCATCACTATACCAAAGTTCGCTTTTCCGCAGATACTGATATATATAACATTCGCCCGCAATTCTCGCGGGTAAACGGTAATGTTATATCATTAAAAAATTCAGCCGTACATTGATAATCTTACTTCAAGATAACAGACAAATAAAAAAATAAAAAATAAAAAAAAGTAATTGCGATCTCTGTGGATCGAACACAGGACCTTCAGATTAACAACCGAAGTGTGACTTCAGTCTGACGCTCTCCCAACTGAGCTAAGCCCGCAATCTTTAAATAAAAAAATTTTGCTGGTCTATATAAACTACTTCTACTTTATAGAGTCGATTTTGTAGTTTTTGGATATTTTGGCGGTTTTATTGTGAGGTTGATGGGCTCGAATCGTTTTCAACTTGGGATCTTGCAGGATAGTGTCTGTGAAGTTTCTAGAGATCAGGATGTAGTGGAGTAGAGATATGGCGGCAGTAACTCCTCAATTTCATATCTTTCAAGCGATCTCAGTTGTTTGACTTTCATAGCAATAAATCCACTTTATTTTCGATTTTTTGTTTCATAGTTGATAGTTGCCGCTTATTTGTCTCGGTACCAAGGACTCTACACAAAAATCAACGCTTAAACACCACTGAGAATCGCTGTCCACAAACGCATTATGATTATCTACGAGATCCTTGCAGAGGCCGTGGGGATAGCAGGACGCGGCGGAGATGGGATCTGATGCAATTGCAGAATATGCTCGGAGATCAAACAGATTTCAAGAGAGTTGCTGATCCGGCTTTTGCGTGGGGATGTTGTATAAAGGTATCTGATCCGGAGATCTTGATTATCTTCAAAATAATTATCGCTAAAAAGAAGTATCCGACAAAGTCTCAGGTTATGAGTAAGTCCCCTCAATCCCATCCACTTTAAAAAAAAAACCGTCAAAAACAGTCAAATTTCTTTACCTACACGACAATAAAAGCGCGCGCAGATAAGTAAGCAGTAAGGAGCTGAAAGGACATAAGGCCGACAGCGCTCGGCTGCAAGCCCGCGTGGGGGCTCAACCGCGCTCGAATACGCCACAAACCCCGTTTCTCCACAGATTTAGATAGCGCGCGCGGTTGATAAAGGGAGGGTCTTGACTATCTACTTTCGAGGCTTGTTGATACGGGCAGACGACTGCGTTGAGCTGGAGTTTGATAGTTAGGTTGAATTGATTTTCAAGGGTGATATTAATTGCTTCTACTTGGTCGGAGGCGTGGAACTTGTCACAGCGCTAGACTTGCGGAGAGAGGCAACAAGAGGCAACGACAAGGCGTGACTTTGCAGCCGATTAGATTACAAACAACAAAATGGCACAAACGACGGACCCTCTCCTGAACACAGCACCGGCTGACATACCTGAGGCGGACGAGGATGCGATTGACACAGCACCGCTGCTTCCTCCGCAGAGCGGCAGCGGCGTGAGCGATGAGGACGTTAGGAAGTTTGCTAGTATCGGCGGGATAAGAGAGGTCGAGGTCGACCTGTCGACGCTGTACGGGGGAGAATTTGAGGATGTTGTGTTGCCGCCTAGTGGGTCGGCTGAGCGGGCTGCGATGGAGAAGGCGTTTAAGAGGAAGATTGATTATGCGATTCTGCCGGTTGTGATTGCCATGTATATGTTGAAGTAGGTTGATTACCTTGGTTTTAGTAGTGAAGAGAGGAAGCTAACATATCACCAGCTATCTGGACCGGAACAACATTGCAGCAGCGAAACTTGGCTCGCTGATGGAAGATCTCAACCTAACCAGCACACAATACTCGACCGCCGTCTCGGTGCTCTTCATCCCTTACACGCTAATGCAGGTGCCCTCGAATCTGATTCTGGGCAAGATAGGCAAGCCGTCGGTGTACCTTCCCTCGGCGATGGTCATCTGGGGCATGCTCTCGCTCTGGACCACGTTTGTGAGCGGGTATCGGTCGCTGGTGACGATCCGGTTCTTGATTGGATTCGCCGAGGCGGCGTTTTATCCTGGTACGATGTTTTACTTGTCTTGCTGGTATACCAAGTACGAGATAGCCAAGCGATCGTGAGTACAGCCGTTGTGTTGAGGTGGTATTGTATGGTTGGGCTAATACGATGTTCAGGGCAATCTTTGTTTGTGGTTCGTGGGTATCTGGGGCATTCTCAGGACTGGTAGCCTACGGCGTTTTAGAGAACCTAGACGGCGTGTTTGGCCTCGCCGCCTGGCGATGGCTTTTTCTTATCGAGGGCACGTTGACCGTGATAGTTGCTCTGATTGCGATCCCAATTCTCCCAAACCTGCCCGCGACGACAAAGTGGCTGTCGAAAGAAGAGCGTCTTCTCGGCGTCTTGCGGATGATCAACGACGTCGGCCAGCACGACGACGACTCAGCCGCGCCGGTCGAGGAAGACGAGCAAGGACGGGCGATGGCCGAGCCGCCGAAATCCAAGTTTCAGTCTGCGCTTGCGGGACTGTATCTCGCGCTGGTGGATAAGAAGGTGCTGATTATTCTGTGGATGCAGTTTAGCTTGGCGATGATGGGCGGTATCAACACTGTGTTTCCCACGATTGTCGGATCACTGGGGTACGGCCAGGCCAAGACGCTGCTACTGACGGCACCGCCATGGTTGCTATGCTCGGTTACGTCTGTGTGGAACAGTTTCCACTCGGACAAGACGGGCGAGCGGTATTTGCATATGGTATGGGGCCCCGCGCTGGCGGCGCTGGGGATTGTGATTTCGATGATGACGCAGGACACGTTTTGGCGGTACCTGTCGATGCTGCTGATGCTGCAGAACTACAACTCGTGGTCGCTCGGGTTCGCATGGATGGCGACGACGGTGCCGCGGCCGCCGATCAAGCGGGCGGCGGCGGTGAGCTTTGTGAATATCGGCGGCAACGTGCCGAATATCATTGTGCCGTACTTGTTCTACGTCGGGAGCGAGCCGCAGTTTTACGTCGGCTTCGCGGTCTGTGGGTTCTTTGCGCTGTCGGGGATCGTGGCCGCGACGGTGCTGAAGGGGAGTCTGGTGCGGTTGAATAAGAAGCTTGAGAGGGGAGGAGTGGTTGATGGGCTGGATGGGACTACGGGGTTTAGATTCATATTTTAGGGGGGTAATGGTATGTTTAGTGGCTATGTAATAGGGGATTGATGTGCTGAATGCGGCAATTATTTAAGAAGGTTATTGCAGTCTATTGTTGTTTACATTGTATATCTATGATGTCAAGACAGTGATATGACGACGGATCAGGGCAGGATAAAATAAATCAATTACATCAGAGGCAAATACGCGAGCGATCGGTGTCTGTCGCCAAACCGCCCGTGGTCCAGCACGCGGGTCTACTACGCCAGGCACCGCTTGCGATTTATTTTTTTCTCTCACAGCTGCTCTCTCTCTCTCAGTAGCAGCAGCAGCCGGGAAGAAAAACCAAAACAAAGAAAACCGCAATTTCAAAGTCGAGGCGCTAGAAGAGCTTTGGAGGCGAGAAAAAGAAAAAAGAAGCGCGGACTGGCCAATCAGCGCAGGGGTATTTGTTTGTCAGATTTTTGCCTTTTGCCTCTCTTCTTATTCCAACAGAGTTCAGGACGAATTGGCGCAGGGGCCGTCGTCTCGAAAAGTTTTTTTAGGAGGAGGTTTTTTCTTAGGGCGGTGGGCGGGAATATGAGTGGAGGTTGTAGAAGTGGCGAGAGGAGAGCGAGGGAGGAGGGAAAGACCGATGACGCAGATGTGGAAGGGTTGATTGCAGAGGTCGGTTAAAAAGAGAGGGAAGGGTCGGGGAAGGGAAAAGTATGAAAAGCTGGAAAGGGAAGTGTGATGAACTAGTTGAACGGTGAGGTGACGTGGATGAACGTTGGGTTGTTTTAGTTCTCGCACGAGAAACACGAGATAGTTAAGGACAGTTAATAAAGAATGCGGACTGCAGAGAAACAAAACAGAATCTCGTTGGTTGACCAGCGACAGCAGATGCAGAGGTGATGGATGGGATGGGACGATGACTGAGGCAGGCACGAGATCTCGACGGCAGCGAGAAGAAGGCCGACAACCTGGCGCAGAGAAGTCGACTCAGCTGTGGAATTCTCTTTTTTATTTTTATTTTTTTATTTTTTTATTTTTTTATTTTCAATTTATGATTTCTGATTTTGATTTTTTCTGAATTTTTTCTGTTTTCTTGAATTTGTTCAGATTTGTGTCAAGCAAAAGAAAGAGATCACCAGTTTGCTATCTGCATCAGATATCGCGGTCCGCCCATTTCCTGCCCCACCGCCAGTCTCGCTGCAGCTGGCTGGGATTCGTAGACCGCTGTAAACGACGGCGAGCACGCGCAGGGCAACGAGTTGCCTAAAGTCTACCTCTTTACCCGCTGCAAACATCACGCACGCGAAATGAAGCGGTCGGGTTTGGGGTCTGCGCGCGCACTGGCTCTCTTCTGCTCTCGAAAGTAGCGCAGTTTCCACAGCAACGACGACCGACGACGAGAAAGGCGCGAGAACGAGCGGTCGAGGCACGCGACCGCTGCCAGAGCTGCCTCCCCGCCCGCCGCCGTTGCCGTACGTGATTCAGCTCGCGACAGGCGTTTGCGGTGTCTTTCGGAGGGTGACAAGTCTGCTTCCCGACCAGCTCCAGAACGCGACCGGTGCCGCGCCAGAGGCTCTTCGGCCATTCGACATTTTCCCGCTGCCTTCTGGTCGGTGGCAAACCCGCTGCTTCCTTCTCGACGCCTAAGCGGATCCGCCCGCCGCCAAACCCTAAACAGGCATTGAGCCCCGCGAAGCACAATCAACTGTCCTCGGGGCTAGTCTACTTTGGGAATAGCGTCATCTTGAATTCCTTTACACGAGAGGTATCGCTCGTCATGTCGCCTTCCTCAGGCCGCTGAGAGCGCTGCTGGTTCTCTGCGCCGGCCCTGCTCTTGCCCGTGTTGTAGAGCCGGCAGAAGCAGTAATGTAGATGAATAAAGACCAGACAGATATGTGATTGGCAGCAATGATATAATACCAGCGATAGTCGCTGCGTGGGATCAGCGCGAACAGCACGATTGCGCGCGACATAAAGTGCCACTTCGATCACCGAATAATTTTTTGGCTTCAAATCGCTGCCTCGCCCGTTCGTCGCCAGCCTTGCCCGGGCCTCCCCTAAATATTATTCCTGGTCCTCCTCTCGCCTGTCTCCCCATCCTCATTCCCCTTCTCCAGACCTACAACCACCTTCTACTCCTCTTCTTCATCATGGACAAGTCCCTCAAACGTCCGTTCGAGTTCGAGTCCGACTCCACCGACCGCATCTTCGACTTTGCCTTCTCTGAGTCGCCCTCTGCTCTCTCCACCCCTGAGCTCGACTACTCGCCTTCCTCCAAGCGCTTCCGTTCCGACTTCCCGACCTTTGACGACTCTCTCGGTATGTCCTTCTTTGTACTGTCTTGCATCTGTCCTGTAGTGTGTAGTTTGTCGCGCTCGCAGAGCCTGCCCTCGCAGCTCTCGTCCTGGCCTCAACCTGCTCCTTGGCGTATCGTACTCTATCACAGCATGCTAACAGCTTCACTTCACCAGACCCTGTCTCCTCTCCCGAAGACACCAGCGACTTGTTCAACCTCTTCACGCCCCCATTGTCTGCCACCAACAGCCTCGAGCTGCTCGAGTTCCCCTTTGACGCCCCCGTCATCACCTCTGACGTCGACTCCGCCGTCGCCATGTTTGGCAAGTCGACCGACGACGAAGGCATGACCGCTGACGACGAGGCCAAGTCTGTCCTGGCCGCGGCCCCTCTGTTCCCTCCCATGCAGGCCGCCTCGTTCCTTCCCGCGACCAGCTATCCTGCTGACGCCCCTGCCGCGGGCGAATGGCACGAGCATGCCGCCATTCCGCAGCCTGCCGTCGCCTCCCGGCCGTCCCCGTCGGCGTCTCCCGTCCTCCCCAAGCAGCATCGTCTGCACTCCTTCCACGGCCCCTCCCCTCTCTCTCACTCCTCCACCCCGTCTTCCTCCTCCGCTGCCGCTGCCGGCGCGTCTGCCAACGCCGACGCCCTGCTCGAGCAATACCTCGACGTCAACAACGTCATCGACAACACCATCGCGCTCTCCAACGCAAAGTTCTGGATCGACAGATACATGACCATCCCCATTTGCGGCTACCTCAACCGCGTCACCGCCGAGCGCGCGCTGCAATACGACACCCCCATGCCGGCTACCACCGTCGCCGGCATCTCAAAGCCCATCAAGCAGTCCTCCGCCAACCCCAAGATCCCCACCAGCAACGGTGCCGCGCAAGCCCAGATGAACAACAGCAACAGCAACTACCGACGACGGAACGTGTCTTCGCTGAAGCGCACTGCCTCCGCGCCGACTGTTTACGGGCTTAAGCGGAGGAGTTTCTTCATGGGAAAGGGAAAGGAAATGGTTGGCTTGGGTGTTATGGTTGGGGACATGCTCTTGTAGTGTGTTTTAATCTTCTTTTTTCATTTTTTGAGTGTTAATTCTGCTTTATGTTTTGTTTCTGCAAAGGTGTTGTGATTTCGGGATTTTTTTCTTTCAAAAACCTCCTCTCCTCTCTTCCCTTCTCTCTTCCCTTTCTTCCCTTTCTCTATCTCTTCTCTTTCACTCAGAGGACCTTCCGGGATTTTGCTTTATTTGATGATCTGGATGGCGAACAAAAAGTTCTCTTTTCTTTTATACTCTTTTTTTTTGATTGATAGCTTGGTTGGGTATATATATTCATGGATGGCATTTAATTCCTTTTCCTTTTCTCTCCTCTACTTTTTTTTTTCACTTTATGTTTTCTTTCTCGTTGGGTACAGGTATTTACAAAAGTTTCATGGGTATCATTCGGATCGGTCTCACAATCTCTTATATTTTCTTTATTCTTCGCTCTCTATAAAGAAATAATCTTGTCTCGAACTTGAGCTCCACCTTCACCTCTCTCCTCTTTCTTTCGTCGTCTTTGCGTTTATGTTTCGTTTCGTTTTGTTTATTTGTGTCATTTTGTCTTGCGAGTTTTTGATTACTAGTCTATGTGTGTGCGATGTGATGTTCAATGGCCCCGTAACCTCGGGCCATGATAATGAATATTGAACTCCCCTCTCATCTCATCTCATCTCCGCTACCTCCTTAATTAAAGCAATCAATTTACGTTTTATTCATTAAAAGCTAACAATATAAATAAGCCCACTGTAACGAGCCGGCTTTGGTCATTCGTGAGCTGTCTCACGCTAACCACGTTTATCCAGGTCTTGTAAATATATCCTGGCTCAATACTTTTCTCTCCTTTCCCTCCTTTCACACGCCGCAAGAAGACAGATAATAATACACGAAAAAGGAGGAGCAGCTGCAAAACAGAAAAAAAAACAGAACAGACGGTATCAACAGTCAACCCTCATCCAGCCACCAATCAGTTCTTTGCAGAAACATCATTTCCAGTTCCCTGCTTCTCCCACGCCGTCTTTGATCTCGTCGGGATCCCGCCGGAGTTGCTCGCGTTGTTGTTGTTCTTGCCGTTGTAGCCTAGTTGCCGCTTGTTCCCCTCGCCGACGTTATTCAGCGGTGACTTTGCTGCGGTGAGGTATGGTTTCTTGGTACCATTGCTGGCGTTGCTGTTGCTGTTGCTACCCCGTTCACCTGTTGGACTCTTCTTGTGCGCATTCTGCTGAGACCTGGACGATTGTCCTCTCTGCTGCTGCTGCTGCTGCTGCTGTAGCTGCCGCATCTGAGACGTCGGCGACGGCGGCCTCGGCGATCTAGAAGCAGTCGGCGAGTTCCGTCTCTGCTGCGTCACATACCGCGGCATCGCCAAATCATCAGCAGCAAACGGCGACGACGGCACACTCTGCGTATCGCGCACAGTAGTCGCCGTCATGATCGACGTCTGCGAATCGCTCACGCCGCCGCCCGACAACGGCCGCTCACTGTCATACGGAAGATCGCCGCCGGAGGCGCTGCGGAACGCGCGCATGCGCATCGCCGCTAGGTCGGATTTGTCCCATAGGCATTTGGCTTCGCTTGTCGCGCTCAGCAGATCTCGCTTGCTGCGATCGGCCGCGGCAACGATGACCGGGTGTTCTGCCTGCGCCATGACGATCTCAGGACTCAGCGCAGACTTCTCCGACGCCGCGCCTTCCTGTTTTGCCGCTGCGCGAGTGTCGACGCTGAGCTTCGGTCGAGCCGCTGATGAATGCTCGTCATCGGTCGGCAGACCGTCTTCATTCGAGCCCTCGGAGCCGTTGGAGAGCTCGATCGCGTAGTACTTTGCGTCGTCGGCCGGGTGTCCTGTCCTTCCGCGCTGTTGGGAGCCACCTTCTTCACTTCTCGGGACCATCTGAGGTCTCACTCGTTGCTCGTGGTTACAACTGTAAGCTTGCTGCTCTTGCTGCTGAAACATGTACTGGTTGTAGTGATTCATATGCTGCTGGTCCATCATATACGGGTTCGGAGGTGCCATCGCCTCCTGCCCGCCGGCATTCATAGCGACGTTGCGCGATGCCAGGTATGCGTTCCATTGATCGCGTCCCGCGGGGGTTCCCAGATTGAATTGCACGCCATCAACGGTCAGTATACACCGGTTTGCTTCGCTCATAGACGGTGGGCCGCGCATCGGGCCTGGTGCTTTGCCTGCTTCCTGCTCGTTGTGATAAAATCCATCGTCGGGGTATTGCGGAGCTATAATCACAACTATTAGTATCAGAAGCTTTCATAAAAAGGAAAGCAGAGACAGCATACGATTAAAGCTGGCAAGCTGCAAATCCTGCGACAGCTGATACACCCACTGCCACAACCTCCCAATAGCCTCTCTAAGCTTCTCAAGCTCGCGTCTGACATCGCCACCCCTGTTCAGCCGGCCTTGCAAGTTCCTAGAATCCGACTTTGCAGTCTGCGCGACCTCGAGAATTTTCTCCTTCAATAGCTCGATCTCGCGGTTATTTCCCTGGAGACCGGTTTGCAGCTGCCGGAGGAGTGCGTTCGAGAGCTCGGCGGTGGCAGCTGAACTGGCGAGAGCGATTGCGCGCACGTGTTCTTCATCAATCAGCACCGTCGGCGGTGAGGAAACAATCCGCGCGGTTGGGCGCATTGGAGGTGACATGTTTGGTGCGGCAGCCAACGAGTATGGAGCGCGAAGAGGGGTCTCGGGGGCAACCTTGACCGGGACCTCGGATGGTTCTTGGACAGAGTCCGCAGGTGCTTCGGGTGAAGCCGGCTTTTCTTCAGCTACCGGCTCCTCATTCGCAACAACGGTTGTAGTGGTATCAGATTCAGGAGCACTATTCACATCCGGCTCGCTAGTCCCAGCATCGTCGTTCATTCTTGCAGGCCCAAACAACTTATACCCCCGATTCGCAAACCAGCGCCAGACAAAAGGCGAAGCCCCAAGCGCTACAGAGCCCAAAACTCCAACCGCCATAATCTGAAGCATCACGCGGGTCTTGGAAAGTTCGTTCATGGGCTCGTGGGCTGTAGCACAGGAGTTGATTTGCTCGGGCGTCAGGGTTGGCGTGATCTCTCGCAAACGGGCTAGGCATCTTATAAATCATCCAAAGTCAGCTTATTTGCTCTTGATAAAGTAAAGATAAAGAGTGCAGTAAAAAAAATAGAAAAAGAAGACGAACTGCAGAATTTCAGAAGAGAAAGTGGAGGTGTCAATAGCCTTCAACCCAGCAAACACCTCCTCAGATAGCGCATCGCCAAACCCATTGATCTCCGCACCACTCAAAGCTCCCTCACCAACAGGAACCACAGCCGACGCAAGAGACTCGACCGCATACACATCTGCAGCAGGCTCTCTCCAGTTTAGAAAAAACAGGCCAAGCTGCGACGCGAAGAGCCAGCCCGTCAACGCAACCAGCGCTCCTGCCACCGCCGATCTGGTAAGCAGATGGGCTCTCAGAGTCCGCAGTAGCTCGCCTCTCTCGAGTTTGGAAAATGCAGGTGCCATGTGGGTTTGCTAAATCTTTCTCGTATTTCTTTTCTTGTGGGAAAGTATGGGGGAATGATGAATACGAGTGGAGATGCTGTGTGCGTGGAGGGTGGAGTTGGGAGAAGAGAGGTTGCAGTTGGGAGTTTTTGTTTTTGAAGCAGGCCAGGCCGAATTAAAATGACGCGCGCGCGCCGGTTGCCAGAGCAACCAGCCTGGAGAGGTCGTGTGCTCAACAGCAATAGTAGAAATATTCATTCATATTATCACCATCTTAATACATGCAATCTCATAAATAAACCGATAGGCAGCCAGCCTAAGAATCTGATCAAACAAAAAGAAAAAACTGTAATAGCAAAGAGGAAAAACTTACCAATGCACCACATATCAGCGTCACCAACTCGCAATCAAGCACTCACTTTCCAGCCCTTCATCTTCACATCTACCGACATATCTACACCGTCCGTATATACCAAAACTCCACCGTACCAACCCTTCTTTTGATTAGTTAATTAATTATCGTTCCAGCATGCCCAAAAAAAAGGCCGACCCTTTTTTCGTTTTCTGCTTCGCGGTAGCCATCACCAAAATTGACACTAACACCATGATAGTTCGCAATCAAGACAAAAACTCCAAACACCCAGCGTCAGTCAACAGGATCCTAGTTGATCTGACGCTTCAGGCACCCTATATCACAATATTATTTTCACCGTTTTGTTTTTTCGGATATCCTCGTCCAACCAAGCGTACACAGTCATTAGTAATTACACACACTAACACATATGCACCCCACCATAACGCCATAAACCGCCCGCCATCTCTCCGCCTCAGGCACATGCATTACCACTTTGTTGCCCGACTTCGTCCCCTTGCTTTTATTTTTCATAATAAAAACCTGGTAGTGTCTCGATAGACTTCTCTCACTCTATTCTGATCGGCGCAGGCTATGTGGTTCGCTGCAGACGCGCGCCTGGCAAACTACCTTTTTCGAAACAGAAGGTGCAGAATCAGCCAAGATAACAAAGACGATGTTGCGCTTCTGTCTATCTAACACTTCCCAGGTTCGCAAGTCTCCAGTATTTCTTTCACATAAAAGAACAGTCAAGGTGTTACCTTGATGGGTATCCCTAACACGACTGAAGAAAATCAAGATACTCTGAGTACCGTTCAGATCCTAGATCAAACCGTTGTGGTCAGCAAGTTGCAAATAAACTGTGAAGATTTCACACATACATAGTTCGAAAATCACGCAGCCAGATAGACTGTTGAAGCGGCACGTATCTGTAGCGTCGAGATGTGAGCGACGACACGATGCAAGATTATCGCTAGTGATTATGCCTTGCGCGGTGACCGATAGGGTAGTATATGTACTAGTAGAGTCGTTAGCAATCTCTTGCAGAGCGTTTCCGCCTGTTGAATAGACGTTCAGGTGCTGCTTTCTTAGTTAGATCAGATTCTCAAGTTGGCTGCCCGTCCATCCCTTCAACACCACACAACTACACCCTTGTACGATCTGTATTCAGACCGATCAAGCAATGACAACACCACAAGACAAGCCCAAAATCCAAGTGATCACGTCCAGAGAATCTTCCTATTCATGCTTTGTTTGCATAGACAGAGACACGACGTAGTCAAGAGGAAGTGGGCGCACGAGGACAGTTAAGTTCAAAGGACCAGCCCGGGATTGCGAATCGCAGTTCAGGACGCTGTGACCAGAGAGACCTTACCCCGCAGACTCCACTTTAGGGCCGCCTTTCTATGCTCCTGGTTCTCGATCTTTCTTGAAAATGTAGCGGTTGCGAGAACGGCCGATGCAAGAGGCCGATTTGTCGGAAGCAGACGCGCAACGGAATGTGCCTATTCCGAGAGCATGTCTGTTTATTGATAGTAGTCTCTTTTCGTCACTAGACAATTGCCTCACATGCATGCCTGCAAGGCGACCAGGTCACTCCTTAGTTTGCCGACAACAGCGCATATTACCCACTAAGTAATAGTCTGATCTGCAAACTGTTCCTCTGCTCCTGTCTTTAGAGACCTTGTAACCCAGTCGCCTTGCTCAAACAAGAAGAGAAGAAAGGTCCAGCAAGCTACATCTTTACTCTTGTAGACTCCAGGGTTAGGGTGGATATTGAGGAACTTCTCGAGCTTCCTGTAAGCCTGCTCTCTCAAGCACAAGGCTTTCAACCGAGCAAGCTGACAATGGGGTTCAGCGTGTTCTTCATTTCAACATTTGCATTTGTTTACTACACAGCATGGACGCTGCTTATGGTGCGTAACTTCTGCAGCCGCTCGCTCTACTAAAACAATCGGCTAACCTTCTTTCCAGCCCTTCGTCGACACGACGCATCCCATTCAGAACTTCTTCCCTTCGCGAGAATGGGCAATCAAGATCCCCGTCTTGATACTCTTGCTTATAATGGGTACATTGGGAAGCTTCCTTGGTGTTTCTATGATCAACTATGGCAAACGACGCGAGCTGCCGAGTACCTGAGTTATGTCGACGTTTAGCATCGTCTCACGACGCATAGAATTTTATCTGCATTTCAATGGTGTTACTGGTGTTTTTATTATCTACTTTGGGAGTCTTGTCAACATTTATCAATTATACAGTTATTCATATTGATTTTTCAACTGCGAGTCAAAAGCACTCTTCTACGTGAGTCCCGGCGTCGTAGCAAAGTCCTATAACCCAAAGTGAACGCGTCAGATCACGTGCATAACAGGCGGTATCAAAACAAGGACACTTCCTCCTACCAAACTCGCGTAGGATACTCCTTGTCCGCCAACGTCCTGAATCCTCCACCATTCAAAGATCGAACTCTCTGTGGATTTACTGGCTGTGGGAATCAGGACTGAATGATTGCACAGATGCAGGCCGCTGATGCGAATCTGATCCCATCTGATCCCACCTGTGTTGACAATGAGAATGACGCTGTGGAACTTCCCACCAGGCAGTCTGAGCTCGATTACAGATACTTCCCTGAGAGCCTGCCTGAAGATGAGACTTCCGATACTCCTAATGCTGTATTGTCTTCTTTTGTGAAAACAAGAAATTTGACTCCTGTCTTCATCGATCCTACTCTGGGCGATGATGACTATCCTGTTGGAGTCAGCAGTGAGGAGGCTGATCGTGCAGGTAGTAGCAATCCCGGAAGATCTGGCACTAATCATTGTTCTTTCGATCGATTTAAGCTAACATTATTTTAAAGAGGATGTCTCTGGCCTAGTTGAAGAAGAAAGTGGGTCTACAGAGCCTTCAAGTGTTATTACGCGTGAGATAACGTTGGCAGAATCGGTCGAGATCGAGAAGCGCAAATTTCAAGGTTTGAGGATGCACATGGATGCTCTGAGGAATAAAAATCTAACCCCAGCAGAGCAAGCCGACGGGGCCTCTAATTATATCGACCAGACTTCTGCAAGTACTAGTCACGAGGATTATCGAGGACCTTCTTCAAGTATCGACAGCTCAATAATCATGAATCCAGACATTTTCAGTGTTTCTGATTTGCGAGCAATGGCGGATGCTGATGAGACGGATCCTGTTCCAATTCGGCCTTCGGCTGAGTTGTATGAGCGACTTCTATTCCTGGACGATGATGAGGACGTGCAAGACAACGACCTACAGTTCATGCAAGGTTTCGAAGAGCACTATCCCACATTGCGGGAAGATTATGATGATGGAGAGGACTACTTTGATAGTAGCGAGAGCGAGTTTGAAGCGTTTCCTCCTCCACGCGTGCCTCGGTCAAGTGAGGAACAAGACCGCGATATGGATCCCGCAGCTTCTCAAGACTCTGTGCCTGAATTCAAGCCGTCTCTCTTGGCTGATCGCGAAAATGACCCCAAGAATGATCTTTCGGCGCATCTCTCGCACTCGCGCTCTGCAAGTGGCCGTCGAAAGTTCTCTAACAACTTGACCAATCAAGGGGAGATGCATGCAGTGCACCAACCTTCTGACAACGGCGACAAGCGTATGATTCGCCAAGATACCTCAGAGGCTGAATCTATCTTGCTGTCGCCAGCTGATTCAGATGACACTCAAGAGACAGAATCAGTTCCGCTAATAGTGAGAAAGCGGATTTTGAGTGCGGCAGAATCTACTGAGTCGCAAGTTTCCAGAGATATCGAAAACAGGTTTCCCGACGCGCCGCCGCCTTCGCTAAGTGGTGACACCCTGATTGCTAATAGATCATTGCTGTACAGCAGAGAGAACAGACAGAGGTCAATTGAGTCAAGAGGCAGAGAGCTCTATGAGCTGAGACATCGATCGCCAAAAAGACCAAAGACCTCAGAGAGTGTCAACAACCCAAAAAGAGCTGTCGCGCAGAATTCTAGTATAACGATAGATATTCGACGCGTTTCTGCTACGTGGAAAGAGCAACTCGCAGAAGCGAACATTGTCCGGATCCTGGACGCCATTACGGCGATTGTCGATGCCAGATCTGTAACGACAGCCAGGTCATTTTTCAGAGACAATGTCGATGTGCTTTCCTGTCTGTCTTGCTCGATAGTCAGTGTCGGGATATTGTTTGTGGTGATTTGCTCTTGGGTTGATGACTATGGCCGGGACGTCGTTGGATTGAGGACCAAGATATACGAGTAAAATGCAGATACGATTTTTATAACGGTATTACAGTTGCTTATTAATGATCTGGTATGTTTAGGTGTGCGAGCGATTCTGTGAGCTATCAAGAGACTGTATTCTGTCTGACCTCTTTGCACTTGCCCTCGACAATGAACTGGCTAGGAGTCACGAATGACAGCCAATATCTAATTCAATGTGCCTTAGTCGATCTATACTTCTGGGCCCTTGTCATCGGCTTTATTTCGATTGGAGTTTTCAGTATTGGCGCGTCTGTTATTTTGACGTCTATGAGTCTGGGAATGTATGGGATCCTGGTAGTCACAGAGCGGTCTGTTCGGTGGCTATTGCGTCTGACTGTGCGGCTTTTCATACGACAGATTGACGAAGCTAGCAAAATTCATGGAATGGTAGTTGGGACAGATAAGGAGCTTTGTGAGTTGGCCACTGCGCCTATTGATCGCGCTGTGTCAGCAGCGGCAGACGTGATGAAACTGGTTGACTAAGAGGATGTAGTGTCTATATGGGGAGATTGGGAGATTCTGAGACGATGTGATGTGCTGTAGTTTTCTTTGCTCTGGTAACGCTATGTATTAATAAAGCACATAATAACGAGACAGCTAGTAACCTGATAGTGACACCGCGCTCCAGTGTCATCAGGCGCAGGTATGTGTGTTGGAGACACGATGAGTAAATTTCAGATGACGCTTTGCGGGGTTAACCTGAGCCGCAGACGTTATTGTGCGGATAGGAAGCCAAAGCAGGTAATCCAAGTGTCTGGCATCTAAGAGTGTAAAGATCTCAGATTTTTAAATACGCGGGCAATGGCTCGCTGCCGTGTCTTTCTTTGTGATTTCAGTAGTATTTCTGCAGTTGTTGGTCAAACGATTGCATTTTGGATAAATTAGCGCGTCATGTCTGCGACGATCTTGGATGAGCCTTATACTTTGTCGCCATCAGAAATACATGATGCGGACTCGATCCAGCCCACCAGCTCGCCAGAAGGATCTGAACGAGGAGCGGGGCCAGTGCAGACAGTTGGCGGGATCAATTCGCTGACCTACTCGTCTGGATGGCAGCGCGATGATAGCGCCAGGGCTCAAAAGACATACGACGATGGTATGAATGTGGAAGGTCAGATTTATGAAGAGATCGAGCTGGCGGACCTTCATGGGACGGTGGCGGAGAATGCACCGCCTGGGGAATACGCGGGTGAGGATCAGACTACGAGGGCGCAGGAGCAGAGAGAGAAGATTGCGATTAACGCGTATGTATTCTTGTGTATGAGAGCTTACTTGGGGGTATCGTGAGTGTGCTAACGAGCTCGTATATTGTAGCTTTCCCAAAAACAAATACCGTATTCTGAGCTCAGCCATCGTCATCTTTGCTTTAGGACTTAACGACGGAGTCATCGGAGCACTAGTTCCGTACATGGAGAGCTACTACGGGATCAACTACTCGATTGTGTCGCTCGTCTGGCTTGCCAACTCGCTAGGCTTCATCACAATCGCAATTTCAGGACAGTACATCTACACCCGAGTTGGCCGCGCGGTAATGATCGCCGCAGGGCCTTTGTTTCTGACGACTATGTATGCGGTCGTGGGACCGGCTCCGGTTTACCCCGTCGTGGCTACGTTCTTCTTCTTTGGTGGTGTAGGAATGGCTCTTATTCTCGCGCAGGTCAATGTCTTTTTATCGTACCTGGAGCATACCGAGCAGCTGTACGGATTTGTTCATGGAGCATATGGAATTGGTGCGACTGTGAGTCCGCTTATTGCGACAGCTATGGCGTCGTCTGGGATCAAATGGTCTTACTTTTATTTCATATTGATGGCCTACAATCTTTCTGTATCGGCACTATGTGGGTGGTCATTCAAAGGATGCGATAGAGATATTGGAACTAGTCATTTCATTCTCAAGAACCGAAATGCCAATATACCAAATCCCTCTGCAATTCAGTCTTCGTACCCTGTCACGTCTGATACTAGACACGAGCGATCCGTTTACCACGACGCATTGCACGACAAAGTCTCTTGGATCGCGACCTTCTTCATTTTCTTCTATCAAGGAGCTGAGACAACGATCGGAGGATGGATCGTGTCTTTTATGATTGAAACTCGCAATGGCGATGCATCCAAAGTTGGATATGTATCGGCTGGATATTGGGCAGGCATTGCCATAGGACGTCTCGTTCTCAACCAAGTCCTGTCAAAGATACTCAAACCCCGTACCGCAATTTACGTGCTTCTTGGGCTCGTTATAGCGTTCGATCTCATGGCCTGGCTGATCCCAAACATCATCGGCGGCGCTGTGGCAGTCGCCATCGTGGGCCTCTTCGTCGGCCCTATCTTCCCTTCGGCCATAACCACAATCAACGACCTTCTTCCGCGGAAGACGCAGTCGTTCACGCTCACGCTCACGACAGCCTTCGGATCGACGGGAGCAGCAATCTGGCCTTTTGTTGCTGGCCTGTTGTCCGAGTCGCATGGCATATGGATCGTCCATCCGCTTGCGATCTCGCTGTTTGGCAGCATGCTCGTGCTCTGGTATTTCCTACCGGCTCAGGCCAATAAACGTGACTGAGAGAACTCAACTTGAATATGAATGATATGTTTGTACAATATCCACTCTTGTAGTTAATTCCAACCCAGAGCAAGTACCATGATTAGCAATAAGGTGACCGCTTGACGACTTCCCGCTGTCTTATCAACTTTCTGAAGATATCGCGAGTCTCATCAATAAGAACGGTATCGCAAGCCCAAATAAAAGAGGCGACCAACTCCAAATCTCTCGCGCAGAAGCAAACTGTGCTGCAATCGTCGCATTCGCGAGCTTCACTCCCCTCGTCGTCTGCGGAAAGACCCAGACGACCGATGACATTGATCCATGTGCCTTTTTGCGTACATGCATGGTCGAAGCGAGAGTCGAGGACCACGTTCTCGAGAGATACAATAATACGGTAGCGCTGTTGGACTCTCTTGTCGTCCGCGTGCAGCAGATCAACAGCACTGTATTTCTCCTCTTCGGCACTATCCATCAGGCGGAGATCATCGTAGTCTTCCAACATCAAAATAGCGTTAGCCGGATCATAGTCTGCAACTTGGCCCAGCACTCGGAAACGTCTGAGTCCGTCGTTTCTATGGCGTACTGCAAGTGGATCTTGGGACTCTGCGAGCGATTGTCCTCTCCGATTAGTGTACAGGGTGACGAGTAGCGGAACTGTCGTAATCAGAGATGCAACCGTAAACTCTCCAATATCAGATTGCGAGGAAGGTAAAGTATCCATAGGATGTTCATCACCGCATTGCAGTTGAAAACACAAAAGTATGCTAATAGTCTGTTTGTTTACTATGTTCCATCCCAACCATTTGTGCGACGCTATGATGAGATCTTTGTGGTCACATGACTTCCGCCATAAGCGAAAACAATCAAACCTCCCAGTTGTACGCGACGCGCTTCTCTCCCTGCCTGCTTCACACTCAGCCTGCCACTCCTGCTGCTTGTTGCCCGATATTCCAGCTTTGTCGCACTCTCTTTATAATAAAACGTTCTTTTTTCTAAATTTGGCCGCTTGCATCTTTTTGCAGTAGTATTCATCTCTGACGCGTCGTTTCCTACCTCGGCTGGTTATGTCTGATTGAGTCCAAAGTCAATCTTGAATCAATGGCCTCAACCGATTTGAATATTGCAGCTTTTGGTCCGGTGTCTACCTTTGGAATGACGAATGAGGGAGAGCAATATCATTGTTCTAGGTGCCGTAAACTCCACAGTGCAGAAAGCTTTGGGGTAACGTTGAAAGGGACGCGTCGAAGCACCTGTCGGAAATATGAACGGAAGCGAGATATGGCTGAGACCTATGACAGCTGGTCGGAGTTCTTAGAATCTACGCACGACTGGAACCAGAAGGTATGAATCTGCTATATTTCCATGTCATTTATTTCTACGCTGACAGAAAAACCAGGAGAACTTTGAACGGATAGAGATCGAGAAATGCTTTCTGATTGCAGACCTGCCAGTCACTTTCATAAGGTCTCCACTTCCTGCCATTGGGGACGAGGTGCCGAACAAGGAGCTTGTGAATGAAATTCTCAAGGCAGCCAGGCTTCTTCTGACAGCTCTCTGGGAAGAAGGTGGCTACCGGTATACCTACCACAGAGCCAGTCCAAGCCAGCGAAAAGTCACCTTTTATTACTATTGCTGTCAGGATGAAGGCAAATACGGTTCTAAGAAAAATCAAATTCAGAGCGCAGAGAGACGGGACGGGGAGGAAAGAACAGAGGGGAGGAAAGAACAGAGGCGAGACAGATGGAACGTTTCGAGTGCCATAGCGCACTGTCTCTCCATATTGATTTAGAGCAGCAGACAGTTGGTTTGAAGCTGAAACATCTGCATCATAAGGCCCATGAAAATACCGAACTCACGCCAGCGGTGAAGGATTTTGTAATGCAGCGGATCTTTTCGGCAACAGCAGACGATATTTATAAAGAGCTGATGAAAGTCGAAGATACGGTCGCCGGCGCTAAGCATGTCAGACAGAGGCAAGTCTATCACCTTTGGAGTAAAGGAAACAAGGCTGCAAAGGCTAGCGAGTCCGTTCCCGACAAAGGAGAAGCTAGTCCTAACGAGTCCGTTCTTGACAACGGAGAAGCCGACAATGGAGAAGCAAATGCTCACGAATCCGTTCTCGACGACGGAGAATCAGAAGCTAACGAGTCCTTTCTCAATGACGGAGAAGCAAATGCTCTCGAATCCGCTCTCGACAACGGAGAAGCAACTGCTAACGAGTCCGTTCTCGACAACGACAACGGGGAAAGCGATAAAGAGGGTTCCGTCGCTAACGTGTCCGACGGAGAAAGCGATAGTCAAGATGAAGGCGATGACGATAGCGAGGATGAGGACAACGGCGATATTACTGTCAAAGACAGCTTTCAAAGCAAATCCTCTGAAGAGAGAATGGAACTGACATTCGGGTACATGAGAGCCATTGTAGCAACGGGGAATGTCCAGCTCATTGATCACGTGGAGGAATGTTTGAAAGAGGCGTTCGCCTTCGCTTCTGCAATTTACGATTATAAGCGCAAAGGCAGAATGGATATAACGCGAGCTAGAAATGTGCAAAGAGTACTCGAGTATTACCAAGAGTAGAAGATTCATCCGTTTTGGTTTCTATTGTTTCTTACCTCTGATTATCTTGATTCGGGTTGTGATTTTGCGTTGGAGTTTTCGATCGTCTCAGCTTTATTTTATAAAATATGCAATTATATTATATGCAGGTAGTCTAAATCATTCAAGTCTATTGCTTGTAACAAACCTTGTCTAGGTCACTCTCGCTGGTAAACACTCGATGCCTTAGAAAAATCATCAGCTCACCGCTGACACGCGTTGCCTACGCGTTGTTAGTAAACACGTTAGGCGTTGGTTGGGAGGAGTAGGAGTGTAATAGGGTTTAATATTAAACTTTATTTGCATCTGCTTGAAAGGGTGGCGGACTGCAGTCTACACCTCCGTGAGAAAAACTTCTCGCCATCTTCCTAAGTCTGACACCTACGCAGGAGCCTGCTGAAATCTACACCTGCTACCCGAATTAAGTATACGCGACGCGTAAACAATCTACCGGAAACGCGTCCTCGAGATATTACGGCTCGGCCTTTGCTATCGAGCAGAGCAGCTATTTTTCCGTCGGGCTCTCGAGTATTCTGACACACACACACTGTCGTTTTGGAATTGCCTCGAGAATATTTTTTTGGGTCTTCATAGCGTGTGTGGCATCAGATCGTCATAACCTGGGCCGGAGATAATTCAGACATCATCTCGAGATGCTACCGCCGAACCAGACGATGCTGGAAAACCCAGCGATGGCGGCTTTTGGCTACAGCACCAGTCAGCCATCGTCCACTACTACAGCTGCCTTGAGTCGGTCACAGCGCACACTTCCACCGGATGTTGCGCCCTGCACATTTCTGTTACGCGATCATACGCCTGCGACGGTATACCCGATTATCAATTCGTCTGCTGTGCCGATAGGCTTGCTTGCGTTTCTATGTGACGAGCTCAATGTTGAGATTGAGCGTGGAGAGACATTGTAAGTTGTTGTTTTGTCTGCAACTGCAAGCGCATTTTAAGCTAATGACTATTGTAGTCCAATGCTGGAACCGTTGCCTCTGGATGCGTTTCAGTCGTATTGGTTTTCTTCGTTTGCAGCGATTATGCTACTAGGAGATGAGCCCTCTATAATGGACAACAGAGATTGGTCTAAAGAGTGCTTCGGTGCCTTTTACGTGAGTTTGATATTTCAGGAGCTCTTTCCATAAACTCATTGTGCTTACACTTTGTCTAGATCAAACCAAATTATCCTGGTCGGTCCGCTCACGTATGTTCCGCAGGCTTCATAGTAGCCGCGCACGCGCGAGCAAAAGGTATAGGTCGAGTTCTAGGCGAGTGTTACATCAACTGGGCGCCAAAGCTAGGCTATACCTACTCAGTTTTCAATCTCGTGTTTGAAACCAATGTAGCTGCTCGTCGGATTTGGGAGTCGATCGGATTCAAGCGGATAGGACGGGTCAAAGGAGCGGCGATTTTGAAAGGCCATGATCATCCGGTGGATGCGATCATGTACGGAAGAGATCTGGTAGGAGAAGATGAGGATCCGGTTGGTGAACTTCGTTTCGATCGGATAAAGTTCTATCTAGAAACTGGACGGTACCCACCGCAAGCGGATCGCCAGGAAAAATCTAGACTTCGATCTTCAGCTGTGCACTACAAGATTCGAGACGGCAATCTGATGCTGAAAGACCGAGAAGTGGTGTCCGACACCGACCGTCAGCTCGCTATCGCGACAGAAGTTCACATGAATGGACACGTCGGTATCAACAAGACCACATCCACTATCGCGGAGAAATACCACTGGACGAGAATCAAAGAGACCGCAGCTACAGTCATCAGACTATGCCCTGTGTGCCGGGTTAACTCTCGGGTATCCCAGCCGTCTCTGAGCCATCCACTTCTCCAACACCAATCGGGCCAGCGCCGCAACATCGACGGTCTTTCGACCTCGCAAAAATCCACAATGGCGACTCCCGTGCCCACGCAGGCAACCGTCAACCCATCACATGCCACGAACGGAAGAAATGGAAACGTACTGGGCCACGACGACAGAAGAGACGAAAACGTCGTGGCGAGCGACAACGCCGCTGCTGCTGTTGCTGCGGCGGCCGTGGCTGCTATGGGAATGGTTGATTCTCAAGAAGATAACGGGGTCGGCAATGTGCATGGAGTCGACGATGTCAACGGAGTTGATGGCGAGAATCCAGACGATGATAATCTTTGGTTGGGATACGGAGAGTTACGACTGGGGCTGAATTGATATACGTTTGATAGTAGACTGCTGGCAGTTATTTCTTTTTCTCTTTGTGTAACTTTAGGAGATGCCTGTATTATGACTGTATGAGTTTTTTTGAATTTAGACGAATATTTTTCACTGTAATGTAATTAATTTTTATTAACAAACTACTCCTCTATCTGTGGTAAGATATACATGAAGAATAAAATAATTTCAGAAGGAAGTAGTGGGGGATTAATGGTACTAAAACGTTAACATATCGATACAAATGCAGAACCATGAATACGGCAGATCTCTGAGACTACTCGGGGGGAACATAAGGCTCGATCAACATCTTTGAGAATTCCTTGATTCTTTCCGCGCCTCGAACTTCCTCGGTCAGTAGTGGCATCTTGACTACGTGGAAGTCCTCATATAGCTCGTTGATCTGTTCGGCGTATTTTTGCTGCATCTTGTATCGAGCGTTGCATTGTGGGCAAGTCGAATCTGTAATATGAAGTTAGCAACGGCACGCGCGTGAGTTTGCAAATGTAAATAAGGCTACTTACTCTTTCCGGGGAAGAGCATCTGGTTCACCACGATGCAGTGAATATCGATATGGAATCCCGCCAGATCCTGAATCATCCGCTCGGTCTCGTACAGGGACAAGAACTCAGGAATGCAGACTGCGACGAAGGTGGTCAAATCAGGATTTTTGAATTGCTCGTTAACCTCTGTGATTGTCTGGCGCATGCTCTCAAGCTTGGCAAACATATCGCCATCTGGACCACTCATCCCCTGCTGGCCAAGGAGACCGTTCAGCATTGGGCCAAATCGGCCACTTAGCTCGGAGACCTTGGCCAAAGCCTTTTCAAGTACGGTAGGGAAGGAGAGGAAACGGAGAGTGTGGCCGGTTGGTGCGGTGTCGAAGATGATGACCTCAAAGTCTGTTGACTTGACTTGCTTGAGAACCTCTGCAAAGGACATGGCTTCGTCTACACCGGGTATGGAGAAGGCGAGGTCTTGCATCATGTTGGACATGCCGTTGTTACTGTTTGAAGCTGCGGATTGATCAATCATCTCCTGGATAGAGCCGTTTGGGTTGATTTCCATGGCCCACAGATTGTCAACATTGTTCACCTTCTCAGCATCCTTGCTGAACTGCTGGCCAAACGCGTCAGACAGATTGTGTGCAGGATCTAGTTTCAGTCGTCAGTATCGTCAACTTTCCAAATAGTTTTAACATCCTCAGGAAACATACCTGTACTGATTAGCAGCACACTCCTCCTCACTTTCGCCATCTGGACAGCAAGCGAGCAGGACGTGGTGGTCTTTCCCACACCTCCTTTACCACCGACGAAAATCCATCGCAGCGTTTTCTGATCAAGGATGTTCTGAAGAGTGGGCGCGAGCGCTTCGTCCATGATATCGTCGCTAACAATCGCGGCCATTGTCTCTATCTTCTGTGATTTTTGATTCTGGTTAACAGGCTTGATCCTGATCAGTCTTATCCTTCAGTCTCTGCGTACCTGTAGTGGATTCGAGAGTTCTTATATGGGAATATGACTATTAAAGACAGCAACAGATAGGAGATGAGTCGGTGCTCAGTCGATCTCGACACGCGGCTCGAATTCGCGAACCTCGCAGAATCAACTGGACGATGTTAGTCATCTATATTGAATTCTTATGTCATCTGACTCTCCCCCACTGCCGACTGCTGATAGCGAGAATTAGAATAACAGCTCCGTCTGCAGCTTAGGTGCTCGGTATTCATGTGCCGATATCTTCAATCTAAAGTGAGAATTAAGAGATTTGAGGTTCCAAGACTGTTGCTAGCGAACCGACTTCAGAATCATAGATTGAGTGCGTTTGGGAATATCTGCTTTGGTAGCATTCCTCGTCTTAATCCGCTAGTATCTACTTTAAGTCGCCCGCTCTTCCATCAGCACTCTTCTTTTTCAACAATGGCGGATCCCTCTCCAGCTGCGATTGAGTCCAAAGACTCCAACGTGGAGTCTCCAACTCCAGCTGTCGAAGCTGCTCCCACGACTTTACAGCCAGATCAGACAAAGCCTACACCCGAGAAACTCGAAGGCCCGTCTCACATGCATCCCAAGCTTCCCGACGTCGAAGCAGCAACATTTCCCTCGATCGATATGAGAATTGGCACGATAACCTCAGCCAAGCCGAACAAAAAGGCTCGCATGCCAGCCTATGTTCTGAAGATCGACTTTGGGCCCGTCATCGGAGTGAAGACGTCCTCCGCGCAGATTACGCAAAACTACAGCACGGAAGGCCTCGTTGGACGCCAAATTGTTGCGGCTGTTAATTTGGGTGTTCGAAGAATTGGAGGTGTGAAGAGTGAGGTCCTGGTGCTTGGGGTCGATAAGCTGGGAGATGGTGTTATATCATTACTAGGCGTTGATGGAAGTACCCCGAACGGCACACGTATCTCCTGAGAACACAATCAAGTGCACTACCACTCATGCATAAGAAGCTTTACAGATCATGCTGACTGTGAACACAAGCGCTGAACTGTATACTAAGAGATTATCTGATTAAGTAGCTAATCTGCACTCGCCGTCTGCAGAATCACTCAGGCTCGTCCGAATGCATAGTACAAGCTATACCAGTAGTCACTGACTGTATTTTAATGTAACATACTTTTGGTCATAAACTTGAGCGCCTACAGTTCTCATAATTTATAATTCGCCTTTGCATTCGAACAGTCCTTGTTTTGCTTGCTGTATGTATTAGTAATTTCTATGTCATCCAGATCCTGCTCGCGAACTCTGTACGAAGAGCCGAGCAGAGCCCGAGCGCTCAGCCTATCTTCCGACTCGATTCCCACCAGCTTATCACTAATCGCCGAACGGATCTCCGCGAGCGACTGAAGATCCTGCTTTGCTCCAAGGTGGTGCTTATAAGTACGCGGGCTTCTGCTGACTCTCTTTCGTCGGGCCCCAATAATTGCATTCTGGCGGATCTCTTCCTTCCAGCTGGGAATATCGAATCGGCGAATCTCCTCTACTCCTCGATAGCAAGCAAGTTGCTGGAACAGCCGGCGAGGTGAAACGTTCAAAACAGATCTGAAAGCATCCGGTCACGGTTCCCGTATTTACAAACTGATAAGACACGAGAAATGAGTGTGGAGTCTATCTTTGCATACACAATTCCAGATAATGGCCGCGTCAAGCTGATATTAGAAGATCGGTTCCTGCATCTCGATTATGCGCGTAAGTCTGTTTGGCGCTCTTCAAAGATTGAGTTGTGGAGTATGTGGGTTGACTAACAGATCTCTAATCAGAATCCTCTTCTGGTACAGTAGCACCACCGGCGGGGTGTATGTCGTCTATCAGCTGTGTTACGCGTAAGTCGGCCCTTGATCCCTTGTTCATTTCAATAAGCAAACATCACTGACATTCCGCTAGCATCGTCGCTGAGCTCGGCCCGAAAACCGTCGATCCTGTACTTCAACATACTGTGGGCTGAGATCGGCTCGGCTTCGATGCCAAACTACAGACCGACGTTGACGATAGACTACTGTTCGACTACGGAAAAGAAGACTGCCGAGCTGCAAAAGCTTCGGTTTTTAATTGACGAAAGTTCGGTAGAGACATGCAGTGATTGGATACAGAAGCTTCTCCAGCGTGCGTACGATGCGTCTGCGGGTGTCGTACGCTCTAAGCGACTCCTGATCTTGATCAATCCGTTCAGCGGCCAGGGAAAAGCACGAAACCTGTTCAACTCGCAGGCTCTTCCGATCCTTGATGCGGCCCGATGCAAACTGGAAGAAGTCGAAACAAAGTACAAGGGTCACGCTGCCGAGATCGTCGCGAGTATGGAAAACCTCGAGGAGCGGTACGATGCAATTGTTTGCTGCTCGGGTGACGGAATTCCTCACGAGGTATTTAATGGCTTGAGTCGGAGGTCTGATGTAGCAAAAGCATTCTCTGTCCCCGTCTGCCAGTTACCGTGTGGCTCAGGCAACGCCCTGTGCATGAATCTCGTCGGGTGCAAAAACGTTCCATTTGCTTCGCTATGTGTTGTTAAAGGCGCTCCGCAGCGGATGGACCTGTGCTCAATCACGCAGGACGGTAAGCGACACATGACGTTTCTCTCCCAAACACTGGGAATGATTGCCGACTGCGATATTGGCACCGAGCATCTGAGGTGGATGGGTGAGGCACGATTTACAGTCGGTATTATCTCGCGGGTCTTCAAAAAGGCAAAGTACCCATGTAAAATTTCTGTACGCATCGCGCATGAATCGCGCAGTCAAGTCAGACAGGCTTACCACGAGAATAAGCTGGTACCTCAGGAATCGCTACCAGCACCAGAAGGCCTTCCGCCTTTGAAGTTCGGAACGGTTGAGGACGAAGTTCCCGAAGACTGGAAAGAAATAGACACAGACTCACTTGCGATTCTGTATGTCGGTCAAATGCCCTGGATGTCTTCCGACACAATGTTCTTCCCTGCCGCGCTACCACGAGATGGATTCATGGACATGGTCATCATCGACGGCAACATTCCCATACTCGAAAGTCTCAAGATTCTCACCAGCGTCGAAGGAGGCAAGCATTTCGACTCTAAGCACGTGCATTACTACAAAGTAGACGCATACAGAGTCATTCCGAAAGCAAAGAGCGGCTACATTTCTATCGACGGAGAAAAGTTCAACTTCTCTCCTTTCCAGGTCGAGGTTCACCAGGGCCTTGCGACTGTGCTGGCTCATCACTCGTCGTTCCAGGCGCCTGAAGTATAATCTGTAAATTTGATACATTACTAAGGCTAGGTTTTTGGTTCCTAGTGTCATACAGTACGTTAATTCGATGGGTTCTCTGAGTTCATGTGGTTTTTGTTTATGGTGAGAATAGTTCTCTTGCTTTCAGCGCCTGTAATTCAGTTGAGGGTCGTTTTAGTATCTTGAAAAGTTGATAGATAGAAGCACATTGTAATGCCAAGGGTACGCGCCATATTGGCAAGTACATTTATAATAAGAACTCTAGCATACATTGAAGATCAGTCATTAACTCATTTAAAACCCCTCAATCAGGGTCGAATTCTCAACATTCCCGGACTTCCCACCAATAAACCATGTCCTACGATCTTCGCTCTTGCCTTGCTTCTCATTAAGTCTTGACAAAAGAATCGAGGCACGCTCAGGGAACGGTGGCATTTCGTCGCAAACGGTGCGTAGCAGATCGTCTGTAGGTAGTGATGCCAACTCGAGGTACTCGCAGGCGCGCTGCTGTAGTTCTGAGTCCAAAGATCTAGAGTTATACTGGAAAACCTGGAGAAGTTGAGGCTTGATTTCCGGGAACAGGTTCACAAATTTGATGTATGTCGACAGCAATAAAGCTTTCGTGAAGGGTGATACAGAATTGAATTTATCCTGCAGAGCCATAAACTGCTCGATAGGCGTGCATCCCTGGGTATCGGCAATCAGATGTCCAAACTCCCCAAGGACATATCCGCCAATTTTCACCATAGCTTCGTAGAATGTGGGGCCCTTGAGATACTGTAATAATGTATGAGAAGCATACGGTTGCAGCTCCTCATTATTGATCACAATTTGAACGGCTCGTTGCCAAACTTCGTCGCTAACGTAATCGCCCGCAACCGAGATGAGCTTCAGGATCGTATCGATATACCACTTGTAGTCCATAGCGTGTTTCTCGGTCAGAATAGCGATTTTGATAACCATATCCTCGCGGATCGCGTAATCGGCAACTTCGAGGTACTTGAGCAACTCAGCCACAATCACAGGGGCGTTCTGGGAGCTGCACATGCTGTACAAAAGATCGAGACCTTTACGACGGACGGAGATATCCTTGTCTCTCAACGATCCCAAAATCGTGTTTTGGTGACTTCGGATCGCGCGCAGATCTTCAGTTCGTGAAGCAAGATGTGCCATAGCCTCAAGACCCAGGTACCGTAAGTTCGTTTCGCGAGAAGAGATAAAGACGCCGAGCTTGCTAATCATGCGGTCCATTATATGTGGGTTGGCGTCGATGTGAATCGCCAGATTGATCGCTTCAAACAGGACTGCATTGTGTGCGTTGCTTTGCTGCACGCTCCTGGAAGGCTCGGAAGAGCTCTCGAGTGTGTATTGGATCACGTCCAAAAGAGCTGCACTAATATCGGGGTCGTCTATTATGTGTCTTGTTAGCTCTCATATCGCCTTATGATTGCTCCAGAAAACAAGAAAATATATACCTGAAGGAGGGTAGTACTGCAAAAGTCGCATCATCTTGACCTGAAGCCAAGGATTGGCAACTTTATAGTACATATACTCTGATGGGATACGCCCGTCGATCAGCATAGACTTCAATTTCATGACTGTCTTTCCATATGCTTTCCTAAACGTATCCGGCTGATCCTGCGCCAAAGCCATCACTAACGATGTGACCGATGTGACAACACCCAAATCTTGATCTCCAAGCATGTGGATGATTGGACCTGCCCATTCAACGTGCACTGCCTGAGGATGTTTTCTGTAGAGGCGCAGCAGCGTAAGCGCGGCTTTCTTTTTGACAAAAGATTTAGAAACGGGTGACACTAATAAGCGCTGTACGTCTGGTGCCAGAGTTTCGGCCATTTCTTTGCCTCCGACGTTCGCGATCGCGTGTAGAGCAAGACAGTTAAAAAGCTCATTGCCATCGTTCAGATCTTTCCGAATGCTGTTGAGAACGAGGTTGATGAGATCATGATTTTCGTTGAGCAGTAAACTGATTGCTAGATATCCAATTTGCTTTTCAGAGAATTTGTTGGATGCAATCAAGTTTAGCGCTTCGAGATGACCAAAGTCAACAGTCCATCCAAGGATATAGATGTACAACAGCTGCGTTAGGGGTTAGATCATATACACAAACAGAAACGTACTCAATTCGAAACATGACTTACTTTGCAGACGTATTTTTTCTTCTGATAGCCACTCAGATTCGAGTCTATAAGTTTGTCAGTACAATTGATCCAAGACCATACTTGTGATATCGTGTTCACCTTTGAATTTCAGCCTGACAAGTAACGGTTAGAATCGATCAGTATAATTACAGTATGAATAAGCAGAGACATACCGAATGTTTGCAAGCTCTTTGTTGATTCTTCGCTCTTCCAATTCCCGAGCCCTCGCATTTCTCAAATCAGCAATAAATTGCACAAGGCCTGTAGCAGTAAACTTGGTTAGTAAATCAAGAAGCAAGCAATGTAGCGGAACGTAGATAGTACGCCGTTTGGACATTCAGACAGAGCATACCTCGCATAGACGACATCTTGAACAAAGGCCTCCGGCAGACTCCTCAGTAAATGTTTAAGTCAATATATAAATCGTAACAACCACGGGACAGATCAGCTCTCTTCTGCAAGCGACGACGAGCACTCGACTGTTTTGTTGTCTGCTGCAAGATCCGGAGTTCCGGTCAACGAGAGCGAGCGGCTCTGAATGCGCGCGGTCTGCCGTGCCTTCAGAACGTGTTTGTAATCTATTACTAATCTATTAAGGCGGTAAGGGCGCTTTGATTGCGGCGTATTTTTGTGGCGGTGCTGTGCGACGGCGCGCACCGACAAAATCTAAATCTGGTTGCTGCTGCCGCGAGCGGCTCGGTCCTTGGCCGTCGTGGATATTCACCTCATTGCGTCTAAGGCCCCTCCCTCGTTGTTCGCTCCTTGTTGTTGTTCCGTCGGGAGACCTGTAGCAGCTCACATTCAACAGTCTGCCTACTTGCGACTCATTTGTGCTTTTGGACTGTGCCCTCCTTGTGCGGGCCGACATATAAACCATACCTTGCGCGCGAGCCATAGTTGGCGAATAGCCTACGCGTCTCTTTTACTACTCTTGCGCTCGACTCTCCTCCGCCCCGAATATTCTCAAATACAACAGTGATCATGGGTCCTCTACAGGTTGAAGACAAATACGTCGGACTGGGTCTTGCTATTAGTAGCAGCTTGGCCATCGGTAGGTGCTCTCGTGTGCAGTCGCTTGTACGGCTTTTTTTTCCTGCTTATCTGACTGATCCCTTCGATAGGCACAAGTTTTATCATTACTAAAAAGGTAACGGATCGTCTGTTATAAGAGGAGACTGGTTACTGTAAAAAACTGATGTTGTTGCTAACTTGTCTGCAAAGGGTTTGATGGATGCCAGCAACAAACATGGATTTGAGGGGGACGGATACCAGTATCTCAAGAATCCGATCTGGTGGGCAGGCATGGTGACAAGTATGTTGTCTCTGGTCATTGATCTTTAGTCTAGCAGGAAATTGGTTTGCTAACTTGGTCACAGTGATCATCGGTGAGGTTGCTAACTTTGCGGCATACACGTTTGCTCCGCCAATTCTTGTTACTCCCCTTGGTGCCCTTTCGGTGTTGATCGGGTAAGTCGTCAGAAAATTAGAAACTCGTCCGTTCATGTATCTAACAGGAAATTCTAGCGCTGTTTTGGCTGCTATCTTCCTGAAAGAAGAGCTTGGTGTTCTTGGAAAGATGGGCTGCGCTATCTGTTTGATTGGCTCAGTTATCATTGTCCTTCACGCTCCTCCAGACAAAGAGATTCAGACAGTTGACGAGATTTTGATCTATGCTCTGCAGCCTGGTATGTATACGTATTTGTATCTTTTTTGATCTTACTAGGTTCTAACGAAGTATAGGATTCATGCTGTACTGCACCTTCGTTGCTATCTTTGCTGGAGTCATGATCTACAAAATCGCTCCCAAATATGGCACTCGGAATCCTATGGTGTACCTTTCCATCTGCTCAACAGTCGGATCGGTGTCTGTAATGTCAATCAAGGGATTCGGTATCGCTGTCAAGCTTACTCTCAGCGGAAACAACCAGTTCAGTCATCCATCGACCTACGTCTTTGCGATCGTCGTTCTTGTTTGCATTCTAACACAGATGAATTACTTCAACAAGGCGCTGGATGCCTTTGATACTTCAATGTAAGTTTTTGATCATTGATCGTTGCATGGCCGGCTCCTAACTCATGTATCTAGTGTCAATCCTATCTACTACGTTACATTTACTACCTGTACCTTGGTTGCTTCAGCGATTCTCTTCAAGGGATTTAACACCACTAGCGTCGTCAACACCCTCTCTCTTCTTTGCGGATTTCTGATCATCTTCAGTGGTGTCTATCTGCTCAACATTGCGCGCGCTGACAACTTGCGGAATTCCCCTCCTCACAGTCGCACCATGGATAGCATTCCCATGGAGAACGGAATCGCCAGTATTCAATCGCGACGGAGTATTACGCTAGCACGTAACAGTATGGCTTTACACCGTCGAAGTGGATCTCTTCGACAGGAGGCGAGATTGATTGGCGATTACGAAGAGCAGGGGCTTGGTCTTACTCCCCTGGACGAAGAAATTAACGGCGGCTCTGACGACGACAGCGACTACGGCTTCAGCTCGTATCCCCATGGCGCGAAGAGTAGTGCCAGTATAAAGAGTAGGATGTCGATGGAACACTCACCTGTCGAAGGTAACTGGGAGCAGTCTCACAGCCGGCAGTACGATCCGCCACGCACGTCATTCAAATAATCGGCTTGATCGGCTTCATTTGCATGCACTCCAATACCAGGTGTGCAGTTCACACACTTTTTTCTTTTATTTACAGAACTGATAGATCTAAACTGAGGTCGATATATACCATATGAACTGCTGGCTGGCTTGCTTGGCCTTGTTCTTTTTAAGGGTTATGGGTTTCACTTTGTATTGGAGTAAATTCTGGTTTATGTACATGTACAATTATCCACAGCTTTTAATAACTGTTGAATTAAGATTTTTCTTCTTTTCTTTTTTTTGTTCGCGACAGACAGGGGATCGAGAGCGCTTGCTCATTCATGTTGTGCAGAGGGGCCGTTGGAAAGTTGGTGCCTTTTGGATCGGTTTTTTGAAGGGCGGTGTTGAAGTTTACAGGCTAGGTTTCGGTATACTCAGGCATTATATATATCAAACTAATCAATCAAAAACTCCCGATCAGCTTAAATAACAAGAAGTAACGTAAGTCGATGGAATCTGTAGTAAATCTCTGCTATGCTGGTAGTAATCTCCGTCACTAAGAAAAGCTGAAGGTTCGTTTGCCAGTTACCCCTGAGCCAGGAAACCAAAAAAATAGAGCTCGACAAGTCATCGAATTACATTTATTTTCTGTATCTTCTACATCCTGCACCCGAGCAATAATCAAACCGCCCTTTTTAAGGTCATATTACCGATCCAAACCGCTAAAAAGACTTAGATGCACTTGCTCAAGTTCCAAAAGGCGCTAGGTGCTACTTAGGTAGATCATGAACAGCGCTATTGCCTGGCGATATGGTGATATCTGCGGAATCGACAATTGCAGATCGAGGCTCTGGCACACAGTAGAAGGGCTACAGTACTGTCAAAATGGCCATCAGAAAGAGGTATATTAATTTACGTACGCTTTTAGTCATTATTTCTGACGCTATGTTGTAGGGCGAGGTCGAAATTGGCGAAGATGAGTATATTCCCGGAACTCAAGGACGAGCGATTCACACTGCGCCAACAAGCCAACCGGCAGCTAGAGAAGAAAGAAGTGGGACACGCTTATGATAATTGTTGATCAAGATTTTTACTGACCCCGAATTCTGGTGGACAGTCTACTATGGTCGGAAAGGCTATGCTCTGTTTCTAAAGTGCTATCAAATACATTTACAGCGGCAAGTGGCATGGCTCATTCGAAATCAGCACGCTCCCGAGAGATTGGAGGTACGTCCAAAGCAATGAATTTTGATTTTTCAAGTTGATAATTCTGTCGGCTAACAAAAATGACAAAGATCATTGCCAAGGCTATTTGGGTGCTATATCTGGAAGCACGAGGAATCAACTCTACAGCGATAGATTTGGATGACGACTCTCCTGACGAGGAAGAAGAAAACAGCACAGATGATCGAAATAGTCAAGCATACCCTTCTTCATTTTTGCGAAGATCCTATGGTCTACCAAAGTGGAAGATACCTTCGGAAACACAAGCGGGATCTTCTAGCGAGCAGATCAAGCTGGACCATGATTCTGACGAAGAGATCAAAAACGACTACCACGACGAAGCAGAATATCAGAGCATATCATCGAGTGATGAAGCCGAAGACGATTTAGGTGGCAGGCTTGCAAATCTCTCGCTATCAGCATCGCGGTATACAAAGACAGGATCCGAGTTTGTCGCTCTCAAATTGACAGAGAGCGTGATTATATGCTACATTGCGTGCCGGATACTCAAAGTGCCGATATTTTTGTGCGATTTATACAGACTTTCCCGAAGTGGCGAGTTTCCTTATATGCGAGCAGCTGGTGGAATTCCATATTCAATAAGAAGGCATTTGGAGAGCAGGTATCTTCGGATATTTGAGCCTATATCTTACCCATTACCAGGAATATTCTACACGTTTTGTGGATATGTTACTGGTCTGCTCTCGACCAGATGCAAGCTGACTGTACCTCCGATACCTGCATGCGGCGTTCTTCTTACTCGATTTATTCATGACCTTCTTTTGCCGCTTGAAATCTACCAGGCCGTTGCCCATCTTGAGAAAATTACGGGCATAGAGTTTGAGTTCCAGCAAGAGATTGGATCGAAAAGAGGGTATATCCATCCGGAGATCAAAATTATGGCGCTGACAATAGTAGCTACGAAACTCTGCTACGGTATGGACGGCACAACTCGAACTCCTACGAGTATCCTGGAGCAAGCGGCTCAAGAAATTGACTGGAATCGATGGAAGAAAGATATTATATCAACCTGGGTCAAGGAAGACTGGGAGCATACAGACGAAGTGACAGACAAAAATACCAGGATGGGAAAGATTTCCGAACGCATGCCAACTCCGAGTGCTCAACAGTTGAAACTTAGCGGTCGGAAGGGAGTAAACGCCAATCCTGGACCGTTTGATTACAACTACGAAGATCCCGCTCTTTGGACTGACGAGCGCACTAAGAGATTTCTGGATTTCTACGAGAAGACGTGGGTTATTCGCGATGAAGAAGAAGCCAAAGAGTTGCTACGTAAGTTCAGTGATACTGTAACATTTTAGCATCGGCTCCTAACAGAAGTTTAGCACCACGACATTTCCTGGATATGTTCCCCCTTCAGACGAGCAATCGAGAACACGATAGCAATGACGCAGCGATTGACGACAGCTTTCAAATGACCCAAGCCGACAGAGATTACCAAACCACCATGCTTGATGCTAATGTGTTTGAGGGTACTGACTACGGCTACAACAATCAAGAGGACAATACAGAAACAGCGCCCGAGCCAGCATTATCGGTAGTGGACAACAAGATCCGTAATCTCCAAAGCGGCACAAGACCAATTAACATCGCTGCTTCAGAACGACCGGAACATTCTCTTCTTCCCGGAAACGAATATCGAATACACGGCGTTTATAGAGATCTGCCCGACTTTGCTGAAGATTACGATGAGCTCACACAGGTGCTTTACGTGGCAGGCGCGAAGATTACTGGGTGTAGCGTGCACCAACTGAGAAAGGCAATATGGAATATGGAAAACCTCTGCGTGAACGCCATGCAGAAACAGTAAGCAACTGGGGCATATGGGCTTGCTCGTCTGAATTTTAGTATTTTGGATTATTTTGTAATATAGGATTAAGGGACTGCATTCTTTCACCATTTATCGTTATAATCAGTCACAATAGTTTCGCGCACCACAGTAGTTTCGCGCACCCACTCGGTTGGCAAGTCTTATGCGTACAAACCCCACGTAAACTGTTGCAAAATTCGCCCTGACAACGGAGCCCTAAACTTGCACACAAATAGCATAACTGGAAGTAAAAATGTGCATAGGTTTGTTTACTTTTCGCACTGACAGCGTTAAATGTCAACAAACTGGGTTTATCTCGTTCTTGCTGTCCCCTGAAATAATATCGACTGAAACAGGTCTGCACAGGAAATAGCCAGATCTGCTGCCTCAATATTCATAAAAGAGAGATTGAGCAGCAACTAATATTGGGCGGTTTTACCCCCTAACAGAAGATCGGAATAATAGCACCAGAACTTATAATCGACCTGAACAGCTTCGCAATATCAACCTGCGGTCACTGAGATCTGAAGAAACACAGACAGCAGATCAAAAATCGCCAAACAAACAAGAATCAACAATGGCTTCTACTCTTCTCAAATCACAAACAAAGTCAAATGTGGACCGACGAGGGTCTTACATATCATCGCAACTCACGGTGATAAATGACAAGCTCCAAATGCTATACGATGAGATCGGAATATCAGACGATGAGCGGACAATACGAGAGAAGAATCTTTATGCCGCTGTCTCTCAGGCGCTTGAGCAGCATGTTTCTGAGGTCACCGCTGAGAAAGAGGATCTGTATAAACAATGCCTTGATCTCCGTGAGCAGTTACTCAGCATGATGGCAGCACTCCAGGACGTCCCGGAAGCCGATGAGGTGATTGGGGAGACAGAGAAAGCTCTTGAGATTAGTACTCCGCTATTGGATACTTTAGAGGGGCTAAGCAAGAAGAATAAGAGACTTCAAGGGCTGTACACAGAGCGGTATGAACGCGCACACGGTAAGAGCACAGATCGGTATCACTAAATTCGAAGTCAATCTCAGACTGCTAATAATTTACTAGAACTCTTGGATAATCTGCGAACCTTTTCGCAAGTTATGGAAGGAATCGACGTGCGAAAGGATCTCCTGGAACTCCAGCCGAAAAGCATCAGCCTTACGAACAGCAACTTGGCTTCTCTCGAAACCGAAGTACTCAGACTATCTGATGAATATGAGCGGCGAATCAAGGTTGTCCAAGCTGACGCAACAGAGATCGTCTCTCTGTGGGCACAGCTGGGCACCTCTCAGCACAATATTGACAGAGATATCCTGGCTTACTACAAGGACAAGCCAGAGATGCTGGGGCTCACCGACAAACAGATGGATGCTCTGAGAAAGCAAAGAGAAAGCTTAGAAAGCGAAAAAGAAAGTCGAGTTCAGCGCCTGTCTGTCACAAAATCTGCGGTACAACATCTGTGGAGTAAATTGTCAGAAGAAGAGTCTGTCGTCAAGGCTTTCGATAGAGCTAACAGAGGCATTGCGCTGTCAGTAATTGAGGCTGTAAGTATTCTGTCGAGACTGAATGTTTTATGGAAAGAATACCAAGCTAATTGAATGTGTAGTACGAGAATGAGTTAGCACGACTCAATGAAAAGAAGCGTGATCATATGCACATTTTCATTCAGGACGCCCGCCAGACCCTTCGAAGCCTTTGGGACAGTTTATATTTTTCGGAAGACGAAATGCTAGAGTTTACCCCCGCTTGGACCGACATTTTTACAGATGCGTCTCTTGTTGCTCATGAATCCGAGATTGCTCGACTTGAAAAGCTGCTGCAAGAGCGGAAACCTATATTGGCCTTGATTGATGCCTACAGAGAATTACAGCGCGATAGTTTGGAGCTTGAGCAGTCACAGCAAGATGCTTCTAGACTGATGGCTCGAGGCACTGGACGCCGAGACCCTAGCCGTTTGCTTCGCGAAGAACAGATGAGGAAACGCATAGCGAAGCGGAAGCCCAAGCTCATGACTGATCTCATTGCATCGCTCTCTCGATGGGAAACTGAAAACGAGCGGCCCTTTATGGTGAATGGAGAGCGATTTATTGAGGTATTGCGAGAAGAAGAGCAGGCGGCGAAGGCACCGCGCGGGAGGAAAACGCCGTCTAGGAGCACGGCGAGCACTTCAAATCCGAAAGAAGAGGTCAAAACTCCTGCTACCAGATCCGTCAAGCGAGCGCCTCTACAGAGTCGTGACATTCACCAACTTAATAGTGTTCCTCCGAAACAGCCGAATTTCCAGGCCGAGCAAAAGCTGAAGGGCTCCATTTCAAATGATCCTTTTAAGACGTCCCGGTCGCGCCGACCTAATGAGAACATCTCTCCGATACGCGGAAATTCATCAGGAGATAGCAGCACTTGCTCGGGTAACAGTCCTCTGAAGATGCGAACGAAGGCTCAACAAAGGTCAGCACAAGTCGGTCTATCCAACTCGCTCAATAGCCAGTCCACTTCAGTCGCTACAAGTGCTCAAAGAGCCAATTTGGCTTTGTCAGTTGCACGGGCTAAGACGGCGCTGGGAACCCATTCAAGCAACAAAGCCTTGCCTCCTCCAATGTCAATGTCAACTCCCAAGCCGACAGCGAAAAGCAAGCAGGAGAGGTTTCCTAGACTGGACCCCCCATCGAGGCAGACTGCTTCTTATCTGTCAAGATCAGCATCATCCAAATCAAATGCTTCTTCCAGCTATGGCTCCAGTGTTGCCAGTAACGCCTCAGAGCTACGTGGGAATACCACTGCGACACTCGACTCACTCGCCTCTTTGCGTATGTCTACTGACAACGAAGGAGAAATTGCCTATTTCTCTCGGATCCAGTCTGAAGAGACTCCGCGCAACAATTCGAAGCGCAGATTTCTGCCTGGAGAGGTCTCTGAGTTTGTTGATGATTACGATGATGAATATGAGCATGCTACTGCAAGTCGGCGGTTATCCTCTGTTGCCAGCATGACCGATGAGAATAATCACACTATAACTGAAGAAATCAACGAGCATGCAGCCGATCTGTCGAAGACTATTAAGAATCAGCGGCAAAGCGACTCAGACGGAGACGAAGGAGCCATGGAAACCCTGCTCGCCATCGACCGGCTCGCTCTGGAACCACCTCCCGAACCTAGCCCGATGATTTCCAAGAGCAGCAGATTCTTCATCGACCGCAGCGGGTTTGAGGATACAGAGATCAGTTTCATCAGTCCGCAGCATATGCAGCCCTTGGGATATGATATCCCATATGCGACGGAGACGCCGCCGTTTGTAAAAGTTTTGCCTGATCGGATGAAGTTATTTGAAGACGATGACAGTGGGTGTTTTTGATTTGGTTTTTTAGCACGGAGTTTGTATTTCATTGTTTTTCTCGCTGTATACGACTAGCCACATCTAATTAATCAATCAATGAAATTTCTTATATATTAATCTGAATTGTGGTTACAACACCAGTAGTTCCTCGCTCAACCTCGTCGAAGCTGACCAAGAATCAATAATCCAGTTAACCGACAAAACATGAGGAATTTTCTCGCGACTCGAAATCAACCGATTAACCTCAGTTAGTCTCTTCCGAGAATAATCCGCGCCAGATATAATCACGACATGGGTTACATCTTCATCGGTCAAAGTATCCGCAATCTGCGCACCGCCGAACCTAGCGTATCGCACCGCCGTTTCAAAAGGCGAATTTGCGGGAAGCGCTGAGCTGGTAGCTTGCTCGGGAAAGTCAAAGTAGATCTTTGTACCGAAAAAGATGAGAGAAGGGATATTGAGGGCGTCTTCGTCGGAGTCGATTAGTAGGTTGAGAGTGTCTGTGGCATCATCTGTAGATTGCGGCTCTGGTATGTTTTCAAGGATCTGGGAGCTTGTTAGTATATGATCCAACACCTTATTGGATAGTAGAGAACGTACCTGTTGTAGCTCGGTTATATCTTCGATTTGCCGCATATAGCTATCATTATAGCAATCCATTTGCCTTTCCGTAAACTCACCCAGCGCCGGGGGCGCAAGAAAAAGCAAGTGTCGATTCTCGAACGGCAATACCCGCTCGTTAAACAGACAGTCGTGGATCCAGGCCGATCTCACCAAAGGCATTTTGCCCTCCTTTTTAACAGGAGCGGTCTGAATCAAGTTCGAGTCTGCAATGATATACCAGTTTCGCTCAAAGACTGTCGGCCGATCGCGCAATATCTCGCCGCCGTTGGCGGAGATTTCTTGTTCCAGCTTGACTCGTTTTCTTGAATCCAGGATTAAGTAGAACGAGTGACCTTTGAATAAATCGGAGACTTGCATGCTGCTCGAGACAGTCGCTGGCTTTGGCGCCTCCAAAATGTCGAGCTTGCGTTTCTTCCGCTTGGGCGTCTGACGATGATTTTCAAACTCCGTTTCTCGCTCCTGCTTCTCTGACTCGATCTGCGTCTTCAAAGCCAACAGTTCCTTCAGACTCAACGCAGTCTCATGGTTTTTGTCCATTCTCAGTCGCCTGAATCTGGGAAATCTCAGCGTCATATTTGTACGGAACTTGTCGGAATCAGGGACGACTGCTGAAGCTTTGACTTCCAAGACGATAGAATCTTCAGGTGCAATCCATAGATCTGGGGTTTCCTTGTGAGACCCCGCCAGTTCGAAGAAGGAGGGTACGTTCTTGGGATCGAAGCCGTGCCATTTGCCTTCCGTGATACGGGCGATACTTCTGTACTCTTCAGCAGTGAATCCTCCCCCAACTCGACAAAAAGACCAAAATCTAGGAATCAGGCTATTAGTAAATTTCTCAAGAAGCCAAGCGCTGCTCAGACGACCTACTTTGGAGACTGATTATCCTCGTCCTCAACTCTGAGTCCGCACAGATAACTAGCCATCAAGTTACTGCGTTTTCCGCGACCGTAATATGCCCCAATCACCAAAACATCTAAATTTTCTCCGAATTCATTCATATATTCGGGCTTCACTTTGATCCACAGATCCGTGCGTCCATTTGGGGTGTACACGGCTGTTGGATTCTTGATTACCAGTCCCTCAGATCTGTCCATAAAGTCAGTTAGAGCCCCTTATCACGTATTGATGAAACGGAACTAAAGTCGTACGATTGCTCAATCACCTGTCGTAGTCTGACCTCAATCTCTTCTTGCGTAGTTGCCCGTTCAAAAGGATGAAGCTCAAAGCGCGTAGGTACTTCAGTAAGCCACTCTTTCAGTGCTCTTTTACGGCCTTCCAGCTCAAAATCGACCATGGGGGTACCGTTCACATAGAGTATATCAAACACGCGATCTGCGAAGAGTCAGTAAAGGCTTGACACCACATAATACCCAACGAGATCTTACACAGAGGATGCGAGGACTTTTGACTAGGCTCGTCTTGATCAGCCAGCGCAGATGACTTCAAAGTCCCAAAGGGCTCTATCATTTCGTATAGAGTATCCCATGAGACCATTTCTCCATCAAGAATGATGCTCTCCACTTTTTCATTGAATACACCTCGTAAATGCTTCGCCAGCGAGCCCTTCGGGTCGTCAAACGAAGACCCGTACATGTATGTGTAATCTTTTGCGTGTCGGCTGTAGAACTTGAACTTATTTCCCCTTTCGCTCATATGAAGCTGGATTCGTTCGCCATCTAGCTTCTCTTCGATGAAAAAAGGTAGATTTTTATCGTTATCCATCATTTTGACCACCCTCTCATATGACAGTTTAGGAAAAGCTGCCAATTGTGGTTGAAAGCAGGACATGATTGTTATGTTGCTTTCCTGTAAACAACAAGTCAGTATCTAAATCGGCATGAGGGGAGGATAGATTTTAGTTACCTCTTTGGTTAGCCGAACAGTGGGATCGCAAAGTTCCCAGCACACTCTCTTCAAGCTGTGGCTGATGCTATAGAGTGCTACAGCATCAGGATGCCAGAGATAAAACAATAAGCGCTCACTGACTCCAATCCGAAGCTCTAGAATCGAACTGTTAGAGTAAATTGCAGAACTCAAGTGCCATGCTCGGAATCCAACCTCTTAAGATGATCCGAATCAGCCATTTCATTTCCTCGGCATTCATATTCTCATAAAACCGTTTCAAAACCGGAAGTTGGTCGTCTGCTTTACTATGCTTGCTTAGCTCTTCCAAGGTCTCGTTGACCTGATCGATAGTCATTTTGCCGTAGTCGGGTTTGGCTTCGCGTTTCTTCATGATCTGGAAACAGCGCTCGGCAAAGTCGCCCGCACCTTGGGCGTGCGTGCCAGGTAGTCTGAACTTCAGTATGGAGTTTGCATCCGGGGAGTCGGGAGATATCTCTAGAATCTGATAAGGAAGGTGGTTAGATCAGCAGATGATCGTTCGAACAATCCGATCAGCATTTCGTTATTAGCTACCTTAATTAACAGCCGTGCCAAACCGACTTCTTTGATTCCATAAAGACGTTCTTTATCAATCTATTGTATAATGAGTCCAAATGTCATAAACAGCATAATTGCACCACGAAATCTTACGGAAGGCAGAACTAGATCGAGATCAGATGTTGTTAGTATTGATCCGTTGAGGTCGAGTACATGCAGATCAGGACATACGCATGCGAAAGCAAGGATAGATATCAGGCCCGACTCTGTCGCGCCACATGTCAATATATCGTCTGAGGATCATTTTGCGTCGGTCTTTTACATTTTTGCTGGCAAAGCGTCCGATCTCCCTGCCCGGCTGAGCGGTAAGAGTGTTGAATATCTGCACGATCAACGAGTAGAACGGCGGCGACGGACCGTGGTTCACCGGCTTTTCAAGCGCAGCCTCGGTGTTGTCTTCAGCCCAGATATTCTCAAACACATCCCCATCCTCGAGATCGTTCTCCTCGGCCGTGAGCGTCGACATGGCTCCATTGCACTTGTTCTGATCCGGCAATTATGGCTGCTGCTCGGCTACGCTGGGACTCGACGACGCGTGGATAACTTTATTTATTTTGGGAAGTGATGACGTCCACTCCGCGAAAGGGCTCTCTCTTGGGACATTCCGCTGCAGCCTTCTCCGGAATGTCTGATATACAAGGCTGCCCTGGAAAGACCGCTATTGTTCTCGCAGACTACGCGTACTATAGATAACCGGTCGATACCACTGCTTGCTGGGGCATTCACAGTCCGAGAAAAGGCTCTTAGAGTATTGAGCTAGGCCGTTCTAGCTTTCTTCACCTCAAGTTTTTTCACACCTTTGGCATGCACAGGATCCCATAGTCGGAGCCTTTCAGAGGAGAGCTTGCTAATCGGAGGGTTGCTGCCTTGCGAACAATATGACGACGACCGTTGATCCGCAGCAGGCCAACAGCAGCAGTCTGTCGGCTGCAATCCTGGCGTTTTCTCGCAGATCTCCGGCTAATGCCGAGCATCCTGCCACCGTCTCTGCTGGATCGAACCAGCACTCAAGTCGTGCACACTCGTCTTCTCCTGCCGCGCGACTCAAAACGGCACCAGATCATCACAGCGAATCGAAACAGTCGGGTGCGAAACCACTGCCAAAGGTACCCGCCAAACCGGCGGCGATTTCTGCTCGTCCAAACGCACCTGCGAGGCCTTCTCATACGCGAAAAACTTCAGCTTACCAGATCAAGGATACGAGTAAAGCCACAACAACAGCTATCGATTCTGCAGCCGTAGCCGCCAAACGCGTCGCAGCTGCCGCGGCCTCTTTGTCTTCGCAGACTACCGGGAAACCCTCTATACAGTCTAGAAAGATTTCCAGCGAATCGATTCAGAGTGTTTCTTCAGCAAAGAGCGTCGAGGGTTCATCGAATAAAGCTGCGAGGAGCTGTCTTTGCCCTAAAATCACTTATGAATTGACCTCCCCGACATCGACTGCCAGGCCGCCTACAACGTCACCTTCTCCCAAACCAAAGATCAGCAGAACGCCGTCCAGATCTCCAAGTTTGCGGCCTACTTCACGACTCACGGTTCGGTCTACAACGGGTAGTGAGCAACCGAGTGCGCGGCAGTCTCGTCAGCTTTCACCAGCTTCTTCGAGTAGATCATCTGGCGCACTTGCTAAAGGCGCGGTTGGTGATGGGCCTACAAATGACCATAAAGTCCCAGAAGCTGCTCAAGTCGACCGATCTTTGACGACACCAGATCACAGTTTGCAGGGACGTACTAAAGCGAAAAATGAGGCTCCGGCGACGCCTCCGAAGAGATCAGAGACAGCTCCCGATAGTAATCCGGTGGTTCTATCACCGAAGCCTCAAAGGCCGGCACGGTCCTCGGCACTGCTATCCAAGCTTTCCAAAATTGAGGCAACAGTGCCGGATGTATCAGTGGGCAAAACACATGAAGCACCAACTGGTGACACAAAAGTGGAGCACACATCGACGCCTCCGACATCATCAAGAGATTCAGAATCAGTACCACGGCCGTCGACTTCATTGAATAGTGACTCTTCATCGACAAGAGCTAGTTCAAGTGCCAGCAAACCCATCGCAAGTGCTTCTCGAGAGGAGACGTCTGCTACCCATTCTTCAACATCAACTACTCCCGCTACGCGCTCCACATCACACACTCCTGCAAAGCGATATTTCTCCAGCAATAAATCTGTCGGGTCAGCGCCATTTCACTCTTACAACAGAGCGCTGACTATGAGGAGTAAGAATACACCTATAGCGAGCGAGTCGAGGCTGACGTCAATTGGGGTGAATCCTGCTGCCGCGTCTTCTTCCACATCTCTCCCGGCCACGTCAAGAACCAGCATTGATTCCTCAAAGTCCTCTGGTGAGACGCGAAGGAGTGTTGATTCTGTTCGGCCGCTGCAGAGCATTGCGTCAGCGCCGCCGTCAACGCCTGCACAAGCAGTCGCCAAGAGATACAATAATCCGACGGGGACCGACTTTAAGCCGCTTCAGTCCACGCTACGTACTACGATGCGCAATCCGGGGAAGAAGAAGCCGAAGCATACTTTTAATGCCGAAAAGCCCTGGAAACATGTTGTTGTTGCTGGGACGTTGACGGAGGAGGAAAGGAAACGATACGACGGGTTGTTTGCGGCTAATAAGGGATTGATGATGCCGGCCGAGCTTTCCAACTGCGTGCACGGGCTCGTGGTGAAGCAGCTGTGGAAGCGATCAAGACTCGATGCGGAGGTGCTGGAAAGAATTTGGTGAGTATTTTTACTGATTGTTTGGCTGCAAACGAGAGGCCTGTATTAACTGGAGATATTATAGGAACCTGGTGAGCCGAGAGAAGAAGGACTACCTGGACCAGGATGAGTTTATAGTGGGTACGTGGTTAATCGACCAATGTCTGTATGGGCGCAAGCTACCACAAGAGCTCAGTCCGGAGGTCTGGTCTAGTCTCCGACTAGGAGTGAGTATTTGGACGACCAAGCATCAGTTGAAGCATCCGAAGAGCAGCCGACACGAGCAGAAACGGCACCACCACCACAAGTTCCCTCGGAGTGCGAAGCTGCATGTGTGAGAGTAGGGAGATTTTGTGCTTTTGGAAGGCGTTTTGGAGTTTTAGTATAGTTTAGAATAGACCAGTAAATAGAACAGACAACTGACTGCAGTTATATAATCATAATGCAACTTCTAAAAGGTCCTCGGCGAAGGTGTGCGCCGCACGTTGCTCAGCCGTTCGCCAGCCGTTCGTCGACTCTGAGTTTTGGCTCTTCAAAGTCCTATCGCTCGTCCGCACTCACCTCCGTCGACACCAGCATCACCACGCGCGAACATGGTAGAGCCCGCAGACTACAAGTACAAGATCGTCACCGTGGGCGACGGTGCCTGCGGAAAAACCTCGATGCTGATGAGGTACGCCAAGGGCTACTTCCCAACCGTATGTCTCCCGTCTCCCCACTCAGCCTCTGCTCACTTGCCCAGCAACGCTGTCGACCGCTCTACTAACGCTGCAGCAGGAATATATTCCGACCATCTTTGAGAACCACTCGAAACGCGTCCGGCTGACGAACAACAAGACGGTCGAGTTCCAGCTCGTGGATACCGCGGGCCAGGAGGACTATGCTCGGTTGCGGCCTCTCTCTTACGCCAACGTCGACATGGTCATTATCGCTTATTCTATCGACTCCTTTACCAGTCTCGAGAACGTGATTGAAAAGGTGAGTTTGTTATGTTGCTGCTAGTGCAGTGTTGTGTGAGAATGAGAAACAATACTAACCGGATTTGATCTCAAATCAGTGGTGGCCGGAAGTGAAGCACCATTGCCCGAAAGGAACCCCAATCATACTGGTCGGCATGAAGAAGGACGTGCGAAGCAATCCAGATGTGATCAATATACTGAAGGAACAGGGATATCTGGGCCCCGTTCCATACGACAAGGTACGTTATCCATCTACTTCCGATTCCTCTAGCTATGTTGAAACTGACTTCTATCAAAGGGCGTTCAAGTTTCGCAGCAGATTGGAAGAGTTCCATTTTTGGAATGCTCGGCAAAGGAAGGAACAGGCATCGACGCTATCTTTGATGAAATAGCAGGCATGCTCGTCCCTCAAGACCGGGAGCCTAGCGCAGGCTGTGGCTGCAGCATCATGTAGAGATACTACTTGCGCGCCCACTGTTTACTATTTGATCTGTACTCGCCTTTGGCCGATCCTAATCTTTTTGCCTAAATCGTGCCACTTCGGAATTTGTACTCAGTATACTTTTATATATCTTGCTTGAAGACACAACCAACACTGCTCTACGAATGGGGGAAAAGGAGCTCTATGTAACGAATTTGCTTATATCTGTCATCTCACCTTACTGATTTTGTAAGTAGCCCGGGTCTGGAGTTTTCCTTTGGCTTATGTACCTTGCTGCGATGAAAAGCATGCGATTGCGTTGCTTGTTTTAATCTACTGATATGTTTTATGTTTTTTGGTGTTATTATTTAATCGAAATACAATACAGTCAAGCTATTAAAAAAAAGGCTACATCACCTGTAGTTGAATTCATGAACCAATAAACATCACCAAGTCATATTTAACGCCAATAGTACACAAAACAATAGTTGAAAACGAAACCGACAGCCAGATAACACGGCTCCGACTTAGCGATCATCTTCCTCGACGTCCTCTTCCTGACCATCACCCTCCTCATCCTCCTCCATCTCCTCATCCTCCTCGTTCTCTCCCTGAGCCTCGTGAGTCATACCATCGTAGAAAGAACTCCATAGTGTCGATACACTCTCAAACTCCTTTCCAACCTGGTTGATTTGTTAGCACATACCACCAGCGCGACTAATCTGAGAGGAAATCACAACGTACGACTATGACACCCTCCAACGCCCGATTAAGCGTGTTGATATTGGTAAGAACGTGCTCAAGGCTCTGATGAGACGAAGGTTAGTATCTGCAGACGGCGCTATAGTCAAACAGCATGGCTGTATTCGCGGGCTTACTATCGAGATCTCAGCAACCAAAGCATCGCGCTGCTTTTCGAAATACGTCTTCTCGCCCGCAAACTGCAACGCGCCCTGCGCAGAAGCCGAGAGTCCACTTCCTGTGCCCGTGTCCATTCTTATTGTAGATATGTAGTCACGGAGGTCAAGTTTCGTTTTGGAAAGCGGGCAGACAGATCCAAACAAACCAGGAGACCCGACGCGCACGCGCAGCGTCGAAACTCTAATCCGGATTGTTTACTCAACGCGCTCCACCTCCGTCGCTCCCATCGTCTGCTTCCACGCGTGAATTTTTTTCTATCTTTCGATTCAGTTTGGTTCGATTAAATCTACAGAAATTGAAAGATGGCGAATATAGACGTACACGACGCACATCCTGTCGCACCGAGCAGCAGTGTGCTCTCGTCCGAAGTGATGGCGCACTTGCTCTCCCCCGTTGAACAGGACCTCTTAAAAGAGTACCGGCAACTGCTTTCAAATCTGAACACTGTACGTCTATTGCTTTATTTCTGCTTAATGTTATTAGATCTTGCTCTAACAGACTCTTTTAAGCTCTCGGCCGAACTTGCAAAGCTCGCATCGGTCCCGACACCAGAGATTCTAGACACGCTACGCGTCCTCGAGCGGAAAACCGCGATCGTCTTCACACTACTCAAGGCTTCAGTCTACAGCATCTTCCTACAGCAGCAGCTCCACGACGACGACGGCGCGCTGATGACGGCGGAGGGAGAGGTGCAGTGATGTATATGAGTGCACAGTTGTATATTTTATTTTGGCTTGCGTTTCCTGCTATGGTGTCTCGGTTTTCTTTTCTCGTTTTTGTTCTGTTCGTAGGCTATGTGCGTTGTATATGGTCAAAATTGATAAACTTGAATTAGATTTACAAACATAATCTATATACAAACAGAAGGAAAATACATGCGCAGAGTAAAAGCTATACTGACCAAAGTGTCAGAACTTGATACCCCGTATTACTTTTCTATCGCGACAGCATAGAACCATCAATATACATTCCACTCATTCATCGTCATTTGTGGCACCTTCAAAGTAAATCTTGCGAATGTCAGCCACCTTCTTTCCACGCATAACAGCAATATCCTCCGGCAGAGTCTGGCTTGTCAAAGCCTCGAGGGTACACTTGACCGTGTTCATCCTATTGCGCGATCCCCGCACTTTTCCAGCCAGATCCTTAATTCCCGCCAGATTCGCAATCTCGTAAACAAGGTGGTTGGTGCGCACACCGAAACCACGTCGTCGCGGGAACAGGTCCATTTCGACGCCGTGGTATTTGTGTTGGAGCTGACCGTAGATCGTTCGGTTTTCGTAACGGGGAACGTAGACCATGTTCGCCATAGCTTGGACACGGGCTTTGGTGTTCGCAACTGAAGCGTTCTCACGATGACGACCTTCGCCGATACCGACCATACCGTTTTTATCGCCAACGGCGACAAGCGCATAGAAACTGCGGATCTTTCCGAGACGGGTGACGTTTGACACGACCTTGCGCACAAGAGTCTTTGCTGTCAGACTCGAGAGATATTCATTAGAGAGTGTGTTGCCGGGAATGGTAACCTCAGGCTCGTCCGATATCTCCTCGTCGAGCTCTTGCATTTCCTCGTTATAAAACTCTTCAGCAGCTTCTGGACCATGTTCTTCCAGAATCTGATCAGCCTGTGCTTCAATCTGCTCTTGCCTCTCTTTCTTCTCAGCGGCTTTCTCGGCTCCTTCCCCAAACAGAGGAACAGGCTGTCTAGGCTCGACGGCCGGATCATGCCATTCACCTCTGGCAGAATCCCAGAACCGGTCGCGCGCGGCCAAGTCGTCCACGTACGAGATAGCAAACCCCGAAATCGGTTCCCGACGACTTTTCCATAAATCGGGAGTGACAGACTGCTCACTGGCGATAATAGACTTGATCATCTTTGGTGAATAGAACTGGGCCAATTTCCGAATATGCTGAGCTCGTGTCGTCATCTTGGGAACCTCCGTATCAGACACGCTCTCGGCAGGGTTGTAGACGTGGTCGTACTCAATTCCGGCATCCTTAATCATCTCTTTAGCAGTCTCGCGATCCCCGCGTTCGACGGCGTCGATAAATTCATCGAGCTCCGGCTGAATTTTTGTCCCACCCTCATTTTCAGAAGAATAGAACCGAGCACTGCGCGGTGCATAAAGACTCCGTAGCGAGCTCGTCGCTCGAAGCGTCGGTATCCGTAACGTCCGAAGCAGCATGTTCTTTGCTCTTTCCGAGGAATTGTCCTTCGCACGGTGTGGATTATCTCACGCTGAAGGTATCGAAAGGTTTGTCTGCTTCCGACATCCAATTTTTCATTCGGGGATTTTACGCAGTGTCTGAGGTAATTTTATGGCATATTCATGTAGCTGTTATGGCTCTTGAATATAAAGTTCACCTCCTGAACCTAAATAGCACCTGGTTGCCCATAAAAATCTTTTAATTGTCATTGGAACATCAAAAGTGCAGACTCACATACAAAAGAAAGCTGCTTGACTCTTATTCCATGCAAAGGACGATATTCTTTGCGGGTAATCTAAAGCAAGTGCGTTCTGCAGCCTACTGGTTAACTTGCTCGCCGACAGCGAGAACGACGGGAGCAGCTCGAACACTCCGACTTTGTGAATTTCACTGCAGCGCTACGCAATTCAAACAAATACCACCTAAGAGACCAAAAGCGGGTTTTGACGAAATATCTTCCTTCCTAGCAGAAAATACATCGGTATTCAAGAAAAACCCAGAGCTACATAGAAAAGCCTTGAACATGAGCCTGGTGGTCCCGATAGTGACTGCGCCGGCAGGAAAGAATGAGTCTACACCGGCAGGAGAGAATGAGTCTACACCGGCAGGAGAGATTGAGTCTACGCCGGCAGGAGAAAACGAGTATACGCCGGCAGGAGAGAATGAGTCTACGCAAGTCGACGGCGCGGCGACGGATTTAAAGAGACCGAATCCAGAGACTCGTGAGAAAATTCCACAGCCTTTCAGAAAGAAAACGAGAAAAGAAAAGATGAAAAAAACGCTTGTGACGGTCGAGCCGATGAGTACGGAGGGGTACCTTCTCTTGGACATCCTTGATTTGCGCAGACAACACGGCCTTCCCGTCGAACTCAAGACGAAAGATACCAAGAAAGGTGCCAAGTATAAATTGGCACATGTCACGAAAGTGGTGCCTGCCAGAGAGGAGGACATCAATATCGTTGTGCTGAGCTCGACCGGCGACGGACTCGGCCTTTTATACGCGGAGGACGGCTCGGTTGAGAACGTCGTCGTTGTGCCTTATTCGATTCCAGGAGATGTTGTGCGCGCGAAGCTTTACCAATATCACCAGTTTCATATCCAAGCGGATCTCATTAGTATCGTCAGCTCGGGTCCAGAGCGCGACGACAGCCTCATCCGCTGCAAATACTTTAGCATGTGCGGAGGTTGCCAGCTGCAGATGATGCCTTATGAAGCGCAACTCGAGCACAAGCGAACCGTGATCAAGCGGGCTTACGAGCATTTCTGCCCCGATGCGCCGGCGGGCGCGATTCCAGAGATCGGTTCGACGATTAGTTCGCCGCTCGAGTACGGATATCGTACGAAGCTTACACCGCACTTTGACATTCCTCGCCACGGACATGTGCCCGAGCCGCTGCCGATCGGGTTTACTCAGAAAGGCCGGTCGCACGTGGTGGATATCGAAGAATGCCCTCTTACGACTCCGGCTATCAATGAAGCATATGGAAAGGCGCGCGACGTGATTAAGGACAAAAAGCACTTGTTCAAGCGTGGCGTGACTCTGATGTACAGAGAAAGTGTGAAAGAAAACAGCGAGACAAACGAACGCGAGACCGAAGTGATTACAGATTTTAATGCGACAGTTACCGAATACGTCAACGATTTCAGATTCAAATATACGGCTCGTGAGTGTCTTTGTTGTCTGTTTTTACGCGCTTTTACACGATGGACCATCTGACAATCTCATTTATAGGCGACTTCTTCCAGTGTAATAGCTCAGTTCTACCAAAGGTCACGGAATACGTGAGAGAGCAACTCCGCCGGGCGGTGCCTCCACTAGAAGACGGTTCGCCGGCTCCTCCTCTCAAATATCTTGTCGACGCCTACTGCGGGTCAGGCCTGTTCGGTATCACATGCAGCAAGGACATCGACGAAGTCATCGGCGTCGAAGTCTCCAAGATGAGCGTCGAGTGCGCGATGCTCAACGCCGCCGACAACAACGTGAACAACGCGACTTTTGTGGAGGGCGACGCGGCCGTCATCTTTGGCAAGATCCGCACGCCGGCAAACCAGACCACCATGATTCTCGACCCGAGCCGAAAGGGCTGCGACGAGCGGTTCTTGAACCAGCTGCTGGATTACCAGCCGAGAAGGGTTGTCTACGTGTCGTGCAATGTACACACTCAGGCGAGAGACGTTGAGTACATCTTGAAGAGCGAGAAGGGCGCGCATTATGTAGTGGACAGTCTGCGCGGGTTTGATTTCTTCCCGCAGACGCATCATGTGGAGAGCGTTGCGGTGTTGACGAGAGTGGGCAGTTATTAGGCGCAGCAGATGGATACGGCTTTATAAACACACGGACTTGTACATACATACACTGTAGAATCGACTACACATAATACAAAATCTCTCTTTGCCGTACAGGCTGCGTACATTCTGAATAGTCATCCGGCTGCAGCAGAACGCCTTCGTCCGGTCTCGTGAAGATCACATGACTAAACTCTTACCTAAGCTCGGCTGTTGTGCGGCGGGCGGGTGGCAGGCAGCATCCAGGCAGGAAGGGAGCAGGCAGCCAAAGGAGGCGCTTCCACTCTGAGCTTTTCTCTCCAGCAATTGGCTTCCGGACTCATTCACTCGCGTGCTCGCTTTCCCGGGTTCTTCAAGAGAAGCAACGGAATTCTGTTGCTTGGCTGTGACTTCAGTGTTCTCAGTGACTGCCGACACAAGGTCCTCAGAGCTACGGGGTGAAAGGACTCGTGCGCAGCAGCAGCTCTATCGACAGGGCCAATCGTGCCCTCTGAGACCAGCTTTATCGACTTTATCTTGAGTGTTTACGTGCCATATCAGTATACGTGGCAATGTCGGGATCCTGGGCAGACGACGACGTTGCGTCGCCGTTTGCAGACCCGCCGATTCCGGACGCTTACGCGGCGTCTGATGGCGGTGATGCTGATGATTCTCTCGCAGGCGAGAACGTCTGGGCTGATGACGGACACGGAATAGATATAGAGAGAGGGGACAAAGAAGATACTATTCCCTCTCCACAGCCGTCGCCCACTCTGGCGCCGCTGGATACATCCTCGGCATCGCGGGAAGAACCCGTGATTGTCTCTTCGCCAGGCACAAAGGCACCATCACCACCAAAGTCACCTTCCCTTACTGCTTCTTCTCCCACTTCACCAATAAATGGCGTTGGCAGCTTCAGCCCCCGTTCCCCACGCTCCCCCCGTTCCCCGCGGTTACGACGCCAGCATCTCCGCAAAGCCTCGCTAGTAGAGGCCTCCGAACTTGAGCGGCATTTTTTCCCTCTGCCGGATCCGACTTCGCCGACAGATCATTCGACTATGTTGGCTGATCTGTCGAACTCGTCTTCAAACGGAACAAATATCAATACCAACCTGGGCCAGATTTCGGAGTATTCGTATCAGCAGATGGTCGCGCCTCAGATCAAGCAGCAGCAGCAGCAGCAGCAGCAGCAGCAGCAGCAACTACGAGCAAGCGCAGAGTTGACTGAGAAAGCTGCAGACACGAACGGAAAGACAAATGGTTCGGAGACCGCTTCGAATGACATTAAAGAAGAAGACGAAGACAATGACGGCGAGACTAAAATGGGCGAAGACGAGGACGGGTGGCAGGAGATGCCAGTATTTGCAAGCCACGACATATACGACGACGACGGGAATATCATCGCACATGAAGAGATCAAGTCCGATGATGAGCAAGAAGACTTCCAACGCGGTGGTGCGGGGAAAGGTTACACGCGTGTGACAGTCGACGCCGAGAATGCAGAGAAAGAGGCCGAGCTGGAAGATCAGACGAAATATCTATTCCATACCGATGACCCGACCGACGCAGCGGCGCGAAACCCTCTTACTCAGCTACAGGCTACGAAAGAATTACTCACAGACTCGCAGCGGATTGCCTATGTCGGTCTGTGCAAGCTCTGCATTGTCGACATGGCGACCGATCTGGCAAACAAGAAGGGATCCCAGCGGATTGCGAAAAGTCTGAGTACGGTATTTGGTTCGATGGCGATGTGGTCGCAAAAAATAAGCATGAGATTATATGCCCACATGGACATCTCAACAGAGGAGCAACTCATGATTGAGCAACTCTCTTCTCATGGTGTGGAGGCCTCCGATCTGAACGGTGCGCTAATGCAAAACTGCCGGGTGCCTAATCCAGTGATGAGACATAGCGAATCTGATGACGAGGCTAATTATGCCGGAGAACTCGTTACTTCACGCTCACCGACACCTCTCCCAGAGTACAGTGAATCGCAGCAGCCTGAGCACGTTCTGGACCCGTCCTCGATCGAGGATGCGATGACGCTCGACATTGACATTCGCTGGACGGTGCTTTGCGACTTGTTCTTGGTGCTTGTTGCCGACTCGGTGTATGATGCGCGATCGCGCACTCTGCTCGAGCGGGTCGCAAAGGAGCTCAACGTGACCGTGCTTGATATCTGCAAGTTTGAAAAGCGCGTGACAGACGCGCTCGATATCGATGACCCGAGCGAGCAGACATGGCGCGAGGATGAGATTCTCGAACGCAGACGGAAGCGGGCACTCAAGAAGAAGTACGTCTACATGGGCTTGGCCACGCTTGGTGGTGGACTCGTCATTGGCCTTTCGGCAGGCCTGCTGGCGCCCGTGATTGGCGCCGGTTTAGCGGCCGGACTGACGACTGTCGGAATCACTGGTACATCGAGCTTTTTCGCTGGCGCGGGAGGCGCCGCCATCGTCACCACGACCGGTGCTGCTATCGGTGCTCGCGTGGGCAAGAACAGTATGGCGCGGCGAATGGGCCATGTGAAGACGTTTGAGTTCCGTCCGCTGCATAACAACGAGCGAGTGAATCTGATTGTGACGGTGTCGGGTTGGTTGTCGGGCAAAGAGGATGATGTGCGTCTTCCGTTTTCGACAGTAGATCCAGTCATGGGCGATATTTTCTCGCTGCATTGGGAGCCTGATATGCTTACGTCTATGGGTCAGACTATTAACTTGCTGGCGACTGAGGTTCTGACGCAGAGTATCCAGCAAGTGTTGGGAAGCACGATGTTGGTGGCGTTGATGGCATCGCTGCAGTTGCCGATGATGCTTAGCAAGTTGTCGTATTTGCTGGATAATCCATGGAGTGTGTCGCTGGATCGTGCATGGGCAGCGGGTCTGGTAAGTACGCCACTCAGATAAGAGCAAGACGTGCTTATAACTAACTATGATTTTGCAGATTCTGGCCGATACTCTGATCCAGCGCAATCTCGGCGTCCGTCCAATCACTCTCGTCGGCTTCTCCCTCGGCGCGCGCGTGATCGTCTCGTGTCTCAACGAGCTCGCGAAACGCAACGCGGTCGGTATCGTGCAGAACGTGTACATATTTGGATCGCCAGTTGTCGCGAAGCGCGATATGATGATCATGTGCTCGTCGATGGTCTCGGGTCGGTTCGTGAACGGATACTCGCGCAAGGACTGGATTCTCGGGTACCTCTTCCGAGCGACGTCTGGTGGATTAGGACGGATTGCGGGGTTGGCGCCGATCGAGGAGATTTACGGTATTGAAAATATGGACTGTACCGAGTTGGTTGAGGGACATATGGGATACCGTGAAGCCATGCCTCGGTTGTTGTCGATGTGCGGGTGGGAGGTTGTCAGTGAGGAGTTTACGGAAATCGAGGATCCGGTGCGTATCCAGTCTTTGATTATTCCAGCGACCAGCAGTTTTGCTAATTCATAATCTAGGACCCCGATCTGCAGCGCGAACGCCAGCGCGAGCTCATCGTGGAATTCGAAGAAGCGCGCCGGCAAATGGAACGCGAAGCGGCGGGCAAGAAACCCAAGAAAGGCCTCTTCTCGAAATGGACCAAGCCAAAGAAGAAGGAATGGTGGGACATGTACGATGCCGAGACCGCGGGCAACGGCGAGGCCGAGTCGTCTTCTGCGCATAAGAATCAGTGGGATCCGAGTACTTTCCGCGAGGGAGAGTATCATTACCAGTATCAGCCCAAGGAGTCTGAGGATGGAAGCGAGATCCTGTTCGATGTCGAGGCTATTCGGCGGGAGATCAGAAAGGCGAAGGCGAGGGGGCTGTAAGTAATTTGAATGTAAATATCCTTTTTGTTTGTTTTTCAGGTTTTCACATTGGTGTTATTGGGAAAAAATGTGCCTTTATAATTCTTTTGTCTTTTGCTTTGTTTCTTTTAAGATTCAATGAGTTTTTTCTTCATTGCATTGTTATTGCATAGTTTGCTTCAGTCCGTTCGACGATCAGGCATGCTGATCTGTTTATATGTTTTGATATGTTTATATTTGCCAAATGATTCAGATATGTACAAAGTATAGGCCAAGCCAAGGAAACAATTATCAGTCCTGCATCACGCCTTTGCCTCCTGACCCTTGTCCTGTTCAAGCGCAAGTTCCGGCTCCTCATCATCCTCCTCCAGCAGATTTATCGTCCGTCCGTCATCAAAGACAAGTTCCCAAGCCTCCATCACGAATTGCTCCCTCTTGTGTTTTCTAGTACTCTTGAAATGCAGCGTCGCTGGCACACCCTTTGATCCAATGACACTGAACGATACTTCGACGTAGCCCTTAAGAAGGTCGATCGAGCCCGAGATCCAGGGAAAGGAGTCGCGGAACCGGATGTTGGAGCCCAGCGCTTCGGTCGCGGACGGGGAGCGGCGGGCGGAGTAGAGTGCCGACGCGACAAGAGGCGATTGTTGGCGCCCGTAGTTAAAGAAGCCAAGGGAGGCGACGGCGATGACGGCGAAGAAGATGGTGTAGTGGAGAACTAGCCTGGGCGGGCGGACATCTGATGAGTTGGTTAGTACAAGGGCTGCATGTAGCGGAAGAGAAGTGCGAGTAGGAGCATACCTGGCAGCTCTGTGTCGACAGTAATCTTGACCTTCGAGCGGTCCATCCGCTTCAAAGGCGGCACCGAAGAAGGTGATGTAGGCGGAGTCGGAGTGGAGGTGGAATAGCGCGAGGCCGACGATGAGCTGATGATGCCAGTCAGACCGCGATAGGACGAGCAACTAGCAGCTCTGGCGCTCAGAGCAAAAACCGGCGACTGCACCATCAGCATGCGGATATGACTTTGGCGGATTAACGACGACATTATTCCGGTTGTTCTACTGCAATTGATCTCAAACGTGAACAAACCAGGCTCTGGTGCGTCCAGGCCTTCCCACCATCCAATTTTTTGGTCTTCGACATCGACGCAGCACCGCCTCACGTGGCTGACACCGCCACACCGCCCTCACCGCAGATTTTAGGTGACCAAACGAAAAAAAAATCCCGACGGCCGGGCTACGAAAACAGCGCGAACAGAACAACAACCGACAAAAGCACAACAATGCGGCCAATTGCTTCATTTTTGAGCAGACCGGCTGCGACCGCGGTTCTATGCGTGCGGTCATTGCTGAACACTGCGCAGACGAGCAGGATAGGCGGACGTATATACTCGACGGCTGTGCCCGACGTCAAGAAGATCTCGAGCACAATCCCAATCCTGGAGCCTCCTCCCGGTGCGGTCATGCCGAGCCGTGAGGATCGGCCCTTGCCTGTGCTGTTTAACTCGCCAGAGGCAGCGCTTACGCGGAAACAGCTTCGAAAGCGCCCCGGCGTGCTTGCGATTAAGAAGGGAATGCAGTCTTACTTCACCGCAGACGGCAGGCAGATTCCGGTCACGGTGCTGGTGGTCGACAGAGTGCAGGCCACGTGTAATAGAACTGTGGCCCAGAATGGGTACTATGCGGTTGAAGTTGGAGCTGGCGCGAGAAATCCTCGGAATCTAACAAAGCCGGAGCTCGGCCACTTGACGAAGCTCGGCATTCCGCCAAAGGCGAAGCTTGCGCAGTTCCGCGTCAAGGACGAGTCCGGCCTGCTGCCGGTCGGCACAAACATCACCGTCGACTTTTTCCAGGAGGGCCAGTTCGTCGACATCAAGGGTACCGGCAAGGGCAAAGGTTTCTCAGGTGTCATGAAGCGTCACGGATTCCACGGTCTGCCGGCGTCGCATGGTGTCTCCGTCGCGCACAGAAGTGCCGGTTCGACCGGTGGAAGTCAGGACCCCGGTCGTGTTTTGAAGGGAAAGAAGATGGCGGGTAGAATGGGCGGCAAGTCGGTGACGACGCAGAACATTCAGGTTGTCAAGATCTTCCCCGAGATTGGCGTCATGTTTGTCAAGGGACCGGTGCCGGGACCGAAGGAGGCGTGGGTGAGAGTTCAGGATGCGTTGAAGAAGGAGGGTGTTGTGGCACCCATCAAATAAGGGCGTCTTGTTTTGTATATACGAATTAACATGTTAAAAGTAAACATAAGGCTAAATCGAGATTTACGTAGGTAGCAAGAGAGCTGGTTCACATCTAGAGGTTCATATATTCATATACCTACAGCTGATACTCGTATACTCAATCTACTTCAGGTCGTCATCCCCAGAAGCAAAACGCACTTGCTTCTTACCTGTCTCTTCTCCCTCATCATCACTGTCTCCGATAAAGAACGGATCCCGGTCCGGGGTAGGCTCGACCGCCCTGAGCGGCTCCCACTTGCCCGACGACCGCTGGGGCGAGGCAGGCGAGTTTCTGGTCGGCGAGTAAAGTCTCTCTGTGCTGGATGTAGTGTTCAAAGAAGTCGCAACCGCTGTCGGCCTAGGAGGGCGCGGAGGAGGAGGGTCGCGCGAGCTGTCAACGAGGTTGAGATGCGCGAAATTTCCATCGAGTTCGGTAGGATCTTTATCGTACGAGTGCTGGCGGCCGATCGAATAGTCGTACTTTGTCTGTCTGGGATAGCGCGACGAGGAGCTAGAGCCACTTTGCTGGCTAGGGCGACGCTGGTCGGTGGACTTGGACGGGACTCTGCCGGAGGAGGAGCCAGAGTAGTAGTCGGTCGAATCGTCGTCCTCACCGTCGATTTTCTTCTTGAAGTTTGCGACCCACTCGTTCACCTTCGACCGCGTTTCTTGGAAGCCGCGCGTGAGGTTCTCCTTGATGATTGGCAGATCGTCGTCAAAGAACGAGTATTCTTTCTGCGCGCCGAGGTAGTCGTCTGTGCCGTCGTACTCTGCACCGCGGTGTGATCTACGCTCGTAGGACGACGATGAATTGTCGTTTCTGCGAGAAGACGCCCGAGGTGGGCGGGAATGGCTTCCAGACTCGTTGTTGAGCTCAGCGGCCAGCTTGCGGGCATAGGCCTCGTCCGCAAGCACTTGATCTGTCTTTGTGGGCGACGCCGGGGTCTGATGCGCAGCGGCGGCCGGTCGAGGAGGCAGCTCGGGCACGAAGCCGGGATCGGACATTGAGAGCAAGGCATTGAATGCCGGGTCAACATGGCCGCCAGAGGCGATAAGGACCGCCTTGACGACTGACTTCTCGATTGAGGGGAATGCCTCTTCTAAGGTCTTTTGGGCTTGGGAAAAGGGCGAGAGCGGGCGCGGCGGGGGTGGGGGCGGGTTTTCGTCCTCGATCTCGTCGGCGAGATGGAGCTCGGTTGTTTCCTGAGAGGCAGGCTGCTGCTCTTTTGTCACCACGGGCGACGACGGGGCCGAGTTGAGGACGTCGGTCATGGAGGGCATGCGCGGGGAGGAAGGCGAAGCAGCAGCGGCAGGAGACGCAGCAGTGCCCTCCTCACGCTTGGCCTGATCCGGCGTGCCAGGGGTCTCGGGAATGGCAGATTCCTCGTCGCCAAGCGGCTCTGGAGACACTTCTGTGAGATCATTGTCGGACATTGCGAGAAGAAGATGGGAAAGGAGGTAAAGAAGGAAGGGAAATTGCAGGAAGAACTGAGATAAGTGCCTCGAGCAAGCTGAGCAGAGCCCAGCAGAGCCTCAGCCTGGCACCGACCGCATTACGCCGTTGGGTTAGAGTTTGAATTAGAGTTCATGTTTACATCAGCAATTACATAATCGTGAAACTTGTGAGCCTTGCGCACAGCCGTGCCGACGTCGGGTTGATCGCAGTCCAGCGGAATGCGGGCTCGTCGCCGGCCAGGAAACAGGGAAGTAACAGCACAAAACAGAAAAAGACATATCACGTCTTTATTCAACTCAGATCTGCCCTTCCAGCACATATCCACGCGTAACACCCCGCGCGCTGCTGGACGGAGTGCGCACAAAGGGAGCACAGAACGCGTACGAGACGCGTTTAGTAGCCAAAAATAAGGCGCTAACCCGGATTCGGACTCGGCAAGCTTTTGTTTACACCTGCAATTCTCTGCCCCTTCCTGCTCTGTTCCGCCTTCCCTTTCTCTTTCCTTTTATTTTCTCCTTCGCCGGCCCCGCTTCTATCTTCCTCTCGCAGCGTAGTTCTCTCTCGGACCGCAGTCCTTCCTCTGCTTCGGCCCCTTACCGCTCTGCATCCTACAGTCATGGCCACGCCAGCACTGCTTCCGCGTGCTGCAGCCGCTTCAACTTCCTCCTCCTCCTCTTCCTCCTATGACTGCGACGGCGCAGACAAGGGCAAGGCCGTCTGCGAGAAGCCCGTCGGCTCGCAGGGTCTCGCCATCGGTCTCGGCGTCGGCATCCCTGTCGTCGTCATCTTCCTTCTCATCTTCATCATGATACGCATCCGCGCCCGTCGTCTTCGTCGCGAGGACTCCGTCGCCGCGGCTATCGACCTCAACCACGACGACTTTGACATCACCCCGCCGCGCACCCGGTCTGGCAACGCTTTCGAAAAGCTCTACCCTGAATTCCTTGTCCCCGGTTCGTTCGCCGAGTCGCGCGCCTCGCTCGAGTCTCCTTACGATATCGCCCGCCTGCCCGACTCTGCCTACACGCGAGCGCGTAGAAGCAACAACGACCCATTCGCGGCCACCCTTCCTCCCTCGCGTTCGAAGGGCGCCATCTCTGCTGCCTATGGCCCGCGGCCCTCGGGCCCTAAGCAGTCTTTGTCGAACTCAGTCGCCCCTTCGTCGACCGAGTCCTACGAAATGCAGCCCGTCTACAGCAACCGCCAGATTGCCCTTCCGTCCTCGTCCTCGGGCTACTCCTATTCCGACCCCGTCAGCCCTCCTGCAGCCCTCTTCACCTCCAAATCAGGGCAGAAGAACTCGCATTCGGTGCAGGAATACGCTCTCGCAGACTCTGACCTCTCCTCTTCGCCACCTGCCCTGACTCATGACCGGTCCCTGTCTTCGGCCAGCGTCCACTCTGCCGCGTCCTCGAACTTGTCATCGTCTTCTGTAGGCGCTTCTGACTCTCCAGACACCTCCGTTGACGCCCGTACTGGTGCTGTCTCTCCGTTTGCTGACCCATCTGGTGAAGAGAGCATCACAGCTGTTACCAACCGTGCATCCCTGGCGTCAGTATCTCTCCGTCGTGAGAGCGAGGCAGCGGATTCTGTCTCCTTCTATGCGGCCCAAAGTGAGCTTTCGCAGAGCGAAGTCGAACAGAGCGACAACGACAGCGACTATGACCAACAGCAGCCTCCTATTCCCCCTGTGCACGCCACCAGCCCCGCTCGTACCCTGCAGCAGCAGCAGTATAAGGCGGTGGAAGACAGCGCTCTTCACGTTCCCCATTCAGAATCTGACATCGACCGCTCAAAGTCGCTCTCGAAGCCCGCAGATGCCGAGGAGCGTGCCCACCGTCTTCGCTCTTTCTATAAGGACTACTTTGAACAGCCCCAGCAGGCACTCCCCAACTCATCACCCGCACTTGGCCATGGCTTCAGCAACACGGTTGACGACTCTGGCATTGCATACGACAGCACCGGCCGCATTGCCACGAGAGCTGACAAGCGCCCGTTCGCCATCGCCCCCAACGCGACTGGGAACATGCCACGATCAATGTCGTTCGAGCCAGGTCGCCCGATGGCGGAGGTCTCGAATGAGCAGTATAACCACTACCCGCCCCAGCTGCCGGCTACGCCGCAGACTCCCACGAGCCAGTACCAGCCGTATAGAGCCGCCGGAAGCGCGGGCAGCAGCGGCAAGCAAAGACCAAAACTGCCGCCGTTGTTGCCGCTTTCTGCGCTGCCGACGCCACACAAGATGGGCAAGGACGACTTCCTTGCGTCACCGACCGCGTTCGCGCCGCCGTCGTCGCGCAAGCGCGGACCGGCTTCGGCAGTTGGATCGCCGGTGTCGAGCCCGACTATCGCGCAGCGAGAGTGGGCGGGCGTGGAGCTGCGGTCGATCCCGTCGCCGCACAACATCCGCTTGTCGAAGACGTACAGCGAGATGGAGTACCTGCCTCAGGCGCGATACAACCCGACGCCGCAGGTCGACACACTTGACCTGCACCAGATGCAGCACAGACAGCAGATGGCGAGCGGGCGACCGGTGAGCCAGCTGCCGAGGACACTGGTGGGACATAAAAACGAGATGGAGGACGCATTGAGACCGAGCTGGGACATGCGCCAGAGCGAGCTCAAGTTCTAGATGTAAATGAGAGTTAGCAGAAGTGTACGAGAAGAGAGATGACGACAGGGAGAGGGAATGATTGGTGATGATGCATACAGTAGTGAAGAACGAGCAGCATTGATGTGTAAATGTCTATTTTGTGTATTTAGTTGATAATGATCTACAGTCATTTTGTATTTTAAATGTGTCGAGATATATTCTTTGGATGTTTGTTTACAGTCGGCAGCCAGGCAAAAGTCCGATATCGCCGCAGGAGCCAAAGTAAAGCGAGCGGGCGATCAAACAAGGTTTTTGTGTTTTTGTCACTTAAACCTGGCGCTCTCTCCCGTCGCCTTCCTCGATCTCGGCTTTCCTCTGCGCGACAAAAGCCTGCCTTTTGCCTTACAACTCGCCGCTTGTTCTCGTCTTTATATCGTCGTGTTCTGTGTCCGGACTCTTCTGGATTGCTCTTGCTTCTTTCCTACTCTGCTGATTGTCCGCAGTCGCCATGGAGGCAATCCTCAACTTCGACCAGCCCGTCGACATCGACCTGCTCGACAAGGTCGTCGCGGCTTTCTTCACCGGTCCGCCTGATCTCGTATGTTTTTTATTGCTTCTAATTTATTGTTTTAGATATTTTGGAGGATAATCCTCTTTTTTTTTTGTTTTCTTTCCGCGCGCGCGTCGTTCGTCTTGCTAACCTTCTCTCATTTTCTGCGTAAACAGCAAAAACAAGCTCAGGCCGTACTCACCCAGGTATCTATCCACCGTGCTCTTTACATTGTCTTTTGACGCATCTCGTCGCTTTTATAGCCCACGGATCATTGTTTTATGGCAAATACTGATTGCAATTCACGCGTAGTTCCAAGATCATCCTGACGCCTGGCAGCGCGCAGATCAGATCCTGCAGCAGTCAAACAACCCACAGACAAAATGTACGCTGCCTCTCCAATTTTGTTTTTTTCATCTCCCTTATTTACAACCTGCTCACAACCCCACTTCTTTGCTCTAGACATTGCGCTTTCTGTTCTTGAAAAGCTTATCAAGACAAGATGGAAAGCCCTTCCCGAAGATCAACAACTCGGTACGGTTACACGTCTTTGTTTTGCCCCCAACCACTTCGCCGTATTTCCCTCTAGATCTTATTTCTCACTCTTCTGTTTTATGCAATAGGAATTCGCAACTTCATTGTCTCGATGTGTATCACCATGTCTGAGGATCAGCACACTTTTCGCACGCAAAGATCTCTAGTTAACAAGTGCAACTTGACCCTCGTCGAGGTACGTCTTTCAATCCGTCGCGTCCCATCTTCACCATCTAACGTCTCTCCTTTTGTAACTCTTTAGATCATCAAGCAAGAGTGGCCTGGAAAATGGGATGGCTTTGTGTCTGAGGTTGTCCAGTCCAGTCGCGCTTCGTACGCTGCCTCGCGCCAACCGGGCGGAAAGGTCCCCAACGTGTGCGAAAACAACATGACAATCCTCAGACTGCTCTCTGAAGAAGTCTTTGATTTCTCGGCAGACCAAATGACACAGAAGAAGGCTGCCAAACTCAAGAAAGAGATGTGCGAAAAATTCTCTGAAATACACAATCTTTGCTACGAAGTTCTTGAATCAGCCACCTCGTCTTCGCTGGTTATCGCCACCCTACAGTCACTGCTTCGCTATCTTTACTGGGTGCCCTTTGGCTACATTTTCGAGACTGGAATCATCGAGCTCTTGCTATCGCGCTTCTTAGTCGTGGACGAGTACAGAAACCTTGCGCTCAAGTGTCTGACCGAAATCTCGGGACTCGAGGCGCCGCAGTACGACCAACAGTTCCTAACGCTCTTCCTGCGAACCATGGAAACCATCAACACCTATCTCCCCCTTTCGACCGATTTCAAAGAGTGGTATGATGTCGCGGGAACAAGAGATCAAGAACTTCTACAAAATCTAGCGATTTTCCTCACAGCTTTTTTGACTCACCACTTGAAGGTAATTAAAGCACAAATTATATTTTTTCTTTGGTACAGAAGCTAACAGGTTATTAAACTATAGCTTATTGAGCAGCATGAGAGCAAGGACATTTTGGTCAACTCGCATCTATTCCTCATCAAGATCTCGCAGATCGACGAGCGAGAGATATTCAAAGGATGTCTCGACTACTGGGCGCGACTTGTGCTTGAGCTTTACGAGGAAGTACAGCAGCTGCCCATTAACGAGATGAACCCGCTTATGCAACTGAACTTTGCTTCTCCCGCCGGCGTGTTTGCCAATGGCGGCGCTGCGCACCCAGATCTACTCCAAAACTATGATCTGCGGAAACACATGTACAGCCAGGTTTTGTCGGCTCTTCGGCTAGTGATGATTGAGAAGATGGTGAAGCCTGAGGAGGTTTTGATTGTCGAAAACGACGAAGGTGAGATTGTGCGCGAATTCGTAAAGGAGAGCGACACAATCACGCTGTACAAGAGTATGCGCGAGGTACTGGTTTACCTGACTCATCTTGATGTCGTCGATACCGAAATCATCATGACGAACAAGCTTGCCCGGCAAATCGACGGCAGCGAATGGTCATGGAACAACCTAAACACTCTATGTTGGGCGATCGGTTCGATCTCGGGTGCTATGAACGAGGAGATGGAGAAGCGGTTTTTGGTAACTGTTATCAAGGATCTTTTGGGACTGACCGAGATGAAGCGTGGCAAGGATAACAAGGCCGTTGTCGCGTCGAACATCATGTATATCGTCGGACAGTACCCGAGATTTTTGAAGGCGCACTGGAAATTCCTCAAGACGGTCGTGAACAAGCTGTTTGAGTTTATGCACGAGACTCACGAAGGTGTGCAGGACATGGCGTGCGATACGTTTATCAAGATTGCGCAGAAATGCAAGCGTCATTTTGTGGCACAGCAGGCTAATGAGGTCGAGCCATTTATTGACGAGATTGTGCGCACTCTGGGCAAGATTACTTCGGATCTGCAACCCCAGCAGCTTCATACTTTCTATGAGGCCTGTGGATACATGATCTCTGCACAGCCGGCGCGCAACATCCAAGAGCGGTTAATACAGGACCTGATGGCGATGCCGAACGCTGCTTGGGACTCAATCATAGAACAGGCCGGCCAGAATCCTGAGATTTTGTCCGACACAAACACGATCAAGGTGTTTGCCAACATCATGAAGACCAATGTTTCTGCCTGCACGTCTATGGGCGCGTGCTTCTATCCGCAGCTCGCGAGAAACTATATGGACATGCTGGGACTGTACAAGGCGGTCAGTCAGATGATTTCAGAGTCGATTGCCGCGCAGGGCACAATTGCGACAAAGACACCGCGCGTGCGCGGATTACGGACTGTGAAGAAGGAGATCTTGAAGCTTGTTGAGATGTACGTCAGCAAGGCTGAGGACCTTGAGGCCGTCAATAACAATCTTTTGCCACCCCTTCTCGAGGCCGTTCTTGGCGATTATAACCGCAATCTGCCAGACGCGCGTGATGCGGAAGTTCTCAATTGCATGACCACAGTCGTTTCTCGACTTGAGGGACTTGTTACCGAGAAGGTTGTTGTTATTCTGGAGAACGTATTTGAATGCACTCTCGAGATGATCAACAAAGACTTTACAGAGTACCCCGAGCACCGTGTCGAGTTTTTCAAGCTGCTTCGCGCGATCAACTTGCACTGCTTCCCTGCTCTGCTGAAACTGCCAGGGCCTGTGTTTGGGTACGTGGTTGACGCGTGCCTGTGGGCGAGCAAACACGATAACCGTGAGGTCGAAGCTGCAGGACTCAATATTTGTATCGAGCTGATCAACAATATCTCAGAGTCTGACCCGCAGATTGCAGACGCGTTTTACCAGACGTTCTTCATCCGGATTCTGCAGGACGCGTTCTTTGTGCTGACGGACTCGGATCACAAGGCTGGTTTCAAACTGCAGGCGTATCTTTTATCGAGAATGTTTGATCTGGTGGGGTCCGGCCGGATCACCGCGCCTTTGTACAAAGCCGATCAGGCTCCTCCCGGAACTTCAAACACGGATTTCCTGCGCGAGTATTCATCGACGATGTTGATGAACGCGTTCCCGCATTTACAACGGGCGCAGGTCGACAACTTCGTGATGGGCCTGTTCAGCTTAACGGGCAACCAGAACCGGTTCAAGCTTAACCTGAGAGACTTCTTGGTGCAAATCAAGCAGTACGGCGGCGATTCGACTGATTATTTGTACGCTGACGATAAGGAGCTCGAGATGGAGGAGAAGCAGAGGCTTGAGCGAGAAAAGGCCATGAAGGTCGGTGGTCTGTTGAAGCCCAGTGAGATGGACGAGGACTAGAAGTCTTTTCTGATGGTCTGGCGCGAATATGATTGAAAATTTGAAGAATTTAGGGATATTACTGCTGAGAGAAAGATAAAAAAACAAAAGGATTATGATATATACGGTGCCTATCTATCATGTCCAATTCATTTTGTGCCCATAAAAACGTGTTGTTTATTTATTTCACAGAAGGTCGAGAAGACGCAAAATCAATCTCTCTACGCCGGTGTCTGATTGCTTATAACTATGATATTAATAGTTTTCTCTTTATTGCTCTCTTTTCCCATGTTTTTGGAGCGTGTCCTGTTTTTCCCTCTCTCTTTTCTCTTTTTCTTCTCTCCGTCTTTTTGTCTCTCCTACACACAACCGAGTCCGTTGACGATGCCTTTTTTCTCTTATTTTTGCGTGTTTCTCTGCGATGTATGGGTATCGTGGCTTTTACTCCCTGTTGTCTTTGAAAATGATTATAGCAGTACGGTATACCGCTCATTTACCTACTCTATCTATTTACCTATTTTATTTATTTTATTTTTTTAATTATAGAACTTGAGAATAAAAAAGGCGTAGTAAATAAATCGTCAATGAATTAAAGCTGATTTATTCTCGATTTTCTGACCGAATTAAATTTTTGAGTTTCAAGGAAAAAAGTTTCGAGGTTTGCATCCTTTCTTGCAGAAGTGTTCTCGAGGCTCCTGTAAACACCAAACTGGAATTCCTGATTTCTCCTTCGCCACCGACTTTTCTCGTGATCTTGAATCTGGCGTGATAGGATAGGAAAAAAAGGATTTTCTTTTCTTGATTGGTCTGGATTATCCCGGACGAAGAGGAGAAAGTAAACAACGCGAAGAGCAGAAAACAGAATCTTTTATTGACACTGATCAACAACAATATGGCTGCAGTAGCCCAACCACAACTTTCACTAGCATCATCAACAACCACGTCATCAAAGCCGATGACGACAAACTTGACAACCGCAGCATCGTCTGCTGCGACGATCCTGCTGCCGCCCGCGGCATCGCTGCTCGATCAACTACTTGAAAACACAAAGTCGCTTCCGCGGAACGTGACGGGGCTCGGCGCGATCCAGCTCGGGATTAGCGAGATCGCAGGCAAGGCGCGGAGTCTACGGTCGCGAGCGCCGGTGTCGGCGGACGGGGACACAAAGGCGCATTATCTGCTTGCGGGATCGGGGATCAATGCTGAGGACATCGCGCAGGATCTCGAGACGATCAGCTTTCACACTACGTTTGAGTCTGGTGGGAACGCTGGCGGGGCAGGCAGCGGTGGCGGTAGCGGTAGCGGAGGCGTGAGTGGTGGGAGCGGGTACTCGTCTGCAGCGGCGGTCGACAGCGATATTGTCTCATACCTGCGGCAGAAGCGCGAGGAGAGCATCGTGGCCTCGATCGAGGACTCTGTGCGGCAGACAAACAGGAAGTTCGACGCGTTCGTGTCGGCGAATATCAGGCTTCAGTGGAACTACGAAAAGCTGCTGGTCTGCGAGCATTTTGGCCTGGTGCCCCGCGGAACGGCAGGTAAACTTGCCGCCGAGCTCGGGATCTCGACAACCGGTGGCTCTGCTGCTGCTGCGTCATATGACGCGTCGGTCGCGGCGAGCGAGGGCGGCGTGTCTCTGTCTGGAGAGTCTGCGCAGAGACGGGCGAGTAAGGCGCAAGCGTTGGGACCTGGTGCTGCTGGCGGATGGAAAAAGTCGTCGCTGGGTCGGAGCGTGCTTGGTCCTATCTCGGGCTCGCTCGATTTCGCCGACGTCGGAGGCGTGGATTACCAGCAACAAGCACAGCAGACGTCGACGCAGAAACAGCAGCCGCAGCAGTCGCAGCAAGCAGGCGTGATGCATCAGATGCGACAGATCCGGTACGCGTACGTCGTCCATGAACTCAACGACGCCAGACTTGCCAAACAGACTTATCCGCTTTTGCGCGCGTTCAAGGAAGTGGTCGCTAGCCTTGGCTCGGATACACGGTCACTCCAACTTCGCGATTCATGGGGTATCCTCGAGAACCTTGTTCCGGCCGATCGGGGCGAGCGGTCTTTTGTGAGGATGTACTGCAACCAGTCGGCGTCGTCGGCGACCTCGGTCGAGACGGTGCAGATGAAGCAGCTGATTGCGCGGAGCTCGAGACAGTTTTTGGAGAAGCAGTTTTTGGAGACTGTCGAGGCTGATATCTCAAAGTATCCGCTTGAGGCCGAGCTCGGTGGTGTGCCGTCGGTTATCAATAAGATTCTTGCGTATGTGAAGCTACGGTTTGCAAAGAACGGGCAGTGGGTTGCCCAGAATCTCGAGGTAAGGATGCTATTGAAGCAATATTTTGCAAGAGCAGTCTAACGATTTCCTAGATTATTAACAACGTTCCTATCTGGGCGTTGCTGTATTATCTCATCCGATCTGGTCTGGTGGAGGAGGCAGTGCAGTATACGATCGAAAACGACAACTACTTTCAAAAGATTGAGCGCACGTTCCCGACATATCTGAAAGCCTACGCGCGATCGGAAGACAACGAACTGCCGCGCGAGCTTGCGGAGCGTCTGCAGTCTGAGTTTAACCACCATATTCGCAACTACGATCCCAAGTCGGACGACCCGTTCAAGTACTCGCTCTACAAACTGCTGGGCCGGTGCGAGCTCAATCGGAAGCATATCCCCGAAGTGCTGCGGGTGACGGAGGATTGGATGTGGGCACAGTTGATGCTGGTGCGCGACTCTGTTGCCGCAGCGGGGGATGTGTTTGGCGCGGGCAACAGTGCGTCGGCGGTAGGCGGGGCGTCTGAGCGGTACAACCTGGAGGATTTGCAGAATATGCTGGTGCAGCTGGGAGCGCGGCATTTCAACTCGCGGGGCACGAATCCGATGCTTTACTTCCAGCTTTTGCTGCTGAGCGGGCAGTACGAGCGCGCGGTGCACTATGTGTACAAGCTGCAGCCGGTTGACGCGGTTCACTTTGCGATTGCGTTGACGTACTATGGACTGCTGCGACCGGCGCTAGAGGAATCAGCAGCGTTCGATGCCGATCTCTTGATTTTGAATAGCAAGAGCCAGCAGCCCGAGATCAATTTTGCGAGATTGATTGGGTACTATACGCGTGATTTCAGACGTACGGATGCTAGCTACGCGTTTGATTATCTGGCGCTGCTGTGCCTGAATGGCGATCTAAGGGGAAGCGAGGATAGTTCAGTGGCAGGCCGGAATAAGAAGAGGTCAGCGATCGAGGAGGAGACACCGTATCTGCGATTGTGCCATGAGGCGATTCGGGAGATGGTGTTGGAGACGCGGGAGTTTGCGGTCTTGCTCGGAGATATTCGGGCAGATGGCGCGCGCGAGGCGGGAATAATTGAGCAGAAGATGGCGCTGATTAATATTGAGGACGAGGAGCATTTTCTGCGGACGATTACGGAGCAAGCAGCCGAACAGGCGGACCAGGACGGACGTGTGACGGATGCGATTTTGCTCTATCACTTGAGTGAGGAGTATGATCGGGTGCTGTCGATAATAAACAAGACGCTTGGCGAGTCGCTTGCGATTGCCGACCTAGGCACGACGTCTGAGGGAGGAGATGAGAATGCGCTGGGCGGAGTGAGCATGTCGCTTGCGGGTAAGGAGAACCCGGTGCAGCTTGCGCGGGAGGTGATTTCTGTGTACGAGAGCAATGGGGAGATTGTGCGCAAGCTGTCGCCGCGGAACCGGGAGGCATGCGGGATGCTGCTGCAGATCATGGACGCGCGAAGGGCGTACGAGAGCGGGCAGTGGGAGACGTGCCTGGGGTATATTTCGGGGATGAGGGTGCTTCCGCTCGAACTGGACAACGACACTGGCGGAATTAGGCGGCGAGCGCAGAAGTTTAGCGAGTTGAATGAGAACGTTGCGCGGAACGTGCCGATGTTGCTTGTGATTGCGATGGAATGCTGTGTGAGGATCACGCGGGAGATGGATAGTAGCGCATTTGGAGATGCTACGCGCAGCAAGGTAAGAAGAATCCCTTTTCATTTAGTTCATTTCCGCGCAATCTCTTGATTTTCTGTTGTATATATGTTTATATTGTTTTTATAACGATATACTATATATATATATGATGGACGATCAAGGGGGATATCGGAAGAAGAAAGGAGGAGGAGATTAGAGTTGGCAAATGAAGCGGCCAGCTGGGATAATATTAGCTCACGGAGAGGTGAAAGCCTCAGCGTGTGGCGAGATAAGTCGAGCGAGAGACAAAAAAAGAAGAAGCTAACGTGAGTGAAAAATAGAAAATCGGGGAGATTCGGGTGCGGGCAAAGAACTGCATGATATACGCAGGGATGATTCAGTACCGAATTCCGAGAGAGTAAGTCCTGTTCTTGATCTTTGCTTTTTCGTTCTATTCTCTTTGCTTTTTTCTTTTTTCCGAGCGGGGGCCAGTTCGAGAGATTGCTTTTTCGTTCGATGACAGCGAGGCCGAGAACAAGGTGCTGGCTGAGACAGCGGGAGAGAGCGCAGGAAGCAAGGTTTGGCAAGCAAGAAACCTGCGGCTATCAGCTGGCGAGAAATTAGGCCTCTGGCTCTGCTTTTGCGTTAGCTTAGCACGCTTTTAGCCTATCTGCTATGTCGGGATGAGCTGCTTGTGGCTTGTTTTGTTCTGTGCCTGCATGTGCCTCTGCTCTGGCTCCGCTCTGCTCTGGCACTGGCCCTGGCTCTCGAAAGTGGTGCGCCCTGCTCTGCGCCTCAAATCAGAAGACCGCGAGAACACACACACAGCGAGAACGACAACGGCTAACTGGGGGTTTATTTTAGGGTCTACGGACGCCTCACCCGGATGGAGACCGCGCTGTGAACGCAGTACAAGAAGGATATGACGACATTGTCTGTCGGAGGAAGCTCAGCGATTCAAATAGGATTTATAACAAGAATATATCGACTATCTACCAACTATCGCCGGTCGACAACCGTAGCAGACGACTGGCGGAGATGTGCTGGCTGCTGTGACTGGCGGCGCGCGACCCGCGGCGAGAGTTTGGCTATGACGACATCGGCCCTGCGCCTGCGTCATTCGCCGCTGTGGCTGCCGAGTTGTGGCACAACTGTAGCACCACTGATACGCTTGCGCCGAGCCGCTAAATCTGCTCGATATCATACAACAATGGCCGGTTCCTCTCCATCGCTGTCTTTTAAACCTCTGCGTTTCTCCGCACAAGAACACATTCGCAGTCGCAGACAACTAGCAAATAACACACGTACTCTCCATGACTTCGGTACAGCAGCATCACAGCATCCAGAACCAGCAGCAGCAGCAGCAGCGCCATCTCTCGCTCGACCTGCCTACGCCCGCTACCGAACTCGCCTTCCCGACCAAGCTGCAGCAGCAGCAGCGGCCACCCAACGAGTCCTCCGCCTCGTTCTTCGACCAGCTCCCGCCACCCACACCGACCTCCTACTCGCCAACCAGTCCCAAAGCCGGAGGTCTCTTTGACCGCGAGCGCGCAGACGAGTGTCTAGAGAACGCTGTCGTCAGGGAACGTCTTCGCCAGGCGCAGCAGGCCAGCCTCGAGACCGCGCGCAAGGCCTGTCTGGCCTCGTCGTTTGCCATGAGACCTTCCTCCTCTGCCTCATTCACCTCGGCCCCCAGCTCTTCTTCGCTCTCAGTGTCCTCTTTCTCGTCGTCGGCCTGCTCGGTCTCCTCCTCCTTCTCCTCCATGTCCTCTGCCTCTTCCCAGTCTTCTTTATCGCCCGTTTCCCCCTGCTCCTCCTCCTCCTCCTCTTCCTCCTCAGCATCCCTCGTGTCCGCAAGCTCAATAGCCCCCCTCTGCGCCCACGAGCTCGCACTCATGCTGCACTCCTCGCCCTCGACCCTCTTAATCCTCGACGTGCGGCCCTACGCGCAATTCGCAGAATCTCGCGTGCGTGGCGCCATCAACCTCTGCGTGCCCTCCACGCTGCTCAAACGGCCTGCCTTCACGGTCGCAAAGATAGTCGACTCGCTCTGCGGCGACCAGAGCGAGCGCATGCAAGGGTGGCAGGCGAAGCGGGATATCGTCGTTTATGACGCCGCGTCGGCGTCGCTGTGCGCCACTTCACCTGTCTATCAGACTGCGCGCAAGTTTGTCGCCGACGAGGCGTTTACCGGTCGTGTGTATTTCTTGAAAGGTTAGTTTATGATTGATTTCTCTTGTTGGTTTATTTTGAGATACTTACACTTTACAGGTGGAATTTGCGAGTTCGGCTCGAGATTTAAGGAGTTTAAAGACCAAGGTGAAGAAGGAACTCTTGCCACCCCAGAACCATCTCTCTCCACCTCTCCCTCTTCACCCACCCCCTCGTCCAGCAAACTATCTCTCTGCCCGCCTTCATCCACGACAATGACCAAAGAGTCGCGCTGCGTGCCGATTCTGTCCGGCCTGCGCATGCCGACCCTGGCGTCGTGCAAGCCAATCAACCCGTTCTTCTCCAACATCCGACAAAACATGGACCTGCTCGGCGGCGTCGGGGACCCGATTCCGATCCGCGTACCCGAGAGTTGCACGCAGTCGCAGCTGAAGAAGCTGCCGCAGTGGCTGAAGGAGCTCGTGTGTAACAAGGACGGGGCGAAGCAGGTCGCCGACCGATTTTTGGAGATTGAAAAGGCGGAGAAGGGGAGGCTTGAGCGGGCGTTTAGCTCTGCGTGTGTGATTTCGAAGACGACGTGCGCGATTTCAAAGAATGCGTTTAGTGGCGGCAACCCGTTTTGCTTGAGCAAGCCTACTTCTACTACCGTCGAAGAGACGGAGGAGAAAGAAGAAGAGCAGTTTTCAATCACGGCGGCGCTCGAGCGCGGCGCGAAGAATCGGTACAACAACATCTTCCCCTACGACCATACGCGCGTGAAGCTGTCCTGCGCGCCAGGCTGCTGCGACTACATCAACGCGTCCTACATCTCGCCGCGGGGCAGCCGCAAGCGGTACATAGCCACGCAAGGACCGCTGCCGGAGACGTTTGCGGATTTCTGGTCGGTAGTGTGGGACCAGAGCGTGCGGGTGATTGTGATGCTGACGCCGATTCAGGAAGGCGGGCAGGTTAAATGTCATTCGTACTGGCAGGACGCGCGGTACGGGGCGATTATGCTGACGCACAAGGCGGAGGAGGAAGTGTTGTTGAGCGAAAAGACGGGGACGAAGGTGCGTGTGCGCAAGTTCGTGCTGACGAAGGGAGGGGATGAGCGCGTGGTTACGCATGTGCAGTACGTGTCGTGGCCGGATCTGGGCACGCCTGCGGATCCGGTCGATTTGGTTGCGCTGAGTGGAATGGCGTCGCGACTCAACGCAGACGACGCAGGTGCGGACAAGTCTGAGAATCAGGTTCATCCGGTGATTGTGCATTGCAGCGCGGGATGCGGCCGCACCGGCACTTTTTGCGCGGTCGACTCTGCGATCGATATCATGCAGCACGCCGAGGAAGACGAGAAGGCGGGCGTGAGCAAGGCCGGCAGCGCACAGGATTTGATTGTGGACCTTGTGCATGAGTTGAGGCGGCAACGGCTGTCGATGGTGCAGTGTCTTCGGCAGTTTGTGATTTGCTATGAGAGCGTGCTGGTGTGGAAAGTGCAGCAGATAAATGAGCAGGAGAGCGAGAAAGCGGAGACGTCTACGTTGTCGTCACCTGATTCTGCTTCTGCTGCTTGATTGATTGCGGAAGGTTATTGTTATAACAGCATGCACGGCGTAATATGTTTTGATTTATCGTGGTCTAGTTGAGTGTTAGGTCTCGGCATCTTTGTTTATATATGCATCAGGGAGTTTGTTTGCTTTGTGTCTTGGAACTGTACATCTGTTGTGTTTATTGCCTAGAAGGTTTTGGGAATGGTGGGCTGTCACGGCGGGGCGTTTGCTGATGATTGCGATTGATAATAAACAAATTATTCTATTACTTTTCATTTCATCCACTTCTATAAGTTATATGAGGTTGATATATACATCTCTTTGGAGAAAAGAGACTAGAGAGATTGAATCTCAGGACTAATAGCAAACCGACTTTTCAGCGTCATCACAGACGCCATCTGCGCTCTCTTTACAATCTTCTGCATCTTGCCAATATCCGCCAACACATCTTGGTGGGTTTCAGACGAAGACGCCTCGTGGTCGACCAACTCGGAAAGTAGAACTCCCGCAAAGGAATCGCCCGCGCCCGTGACGCTGACGATCTCGTTGTTCGACACAGGTAATGGCGGATGATGCGCCACCACGATCGACCTGCCTTCGTCGCCCGTCCAGACGACTACACCAGGCGCGGTGCGTAGCCGCTCTGACAACGCGTGCGGAACCAGATCCACCACCCCCACGATCTCCGCGCTCGAGACAAGTTGCACGGACACCACGCCGAGTCTGCCGAGCTTGATAAACAGATGCGGGATATACGGAAGTAAATGGACCGCCTGCTGGACCAACCCCTGCTTGCTCACGAGCGCGGCCTCGAGCTCGGGCTTGACCGCGTCCGGGATTGAGGAGCGGGTGTGCAGTGCTGCGACGGCGGTGCGGAAGGCGTGCGTGGTCGCGAAGGAGTCGAGGGTTGTCCACCAGGCGGGGGTGTCGAATAGGTCGTGTGTGCGGGCGTATTCGAAGAGTGCTGCGAGCTCGATGTCGTTTGGTGTCATTAGGTCGATTTTCTTGCGCGGGGTGGAATCAGATGAGGAGGAGGATGTGTAGACGCCGTGCAAGTCGCCGCGCGCGAGAAGATCGAGTACAGCCTGGGCTTTAATCACCGCCGTCGGCTCAAGCATGACGCGGGCGCCGATCTCGGCCGCGCAGGCGACGGCCGTGGTTAGTGGTTCGGCATTGAGGTTCGCGTCGACGGCGACCCAGCTCACTGATGATCCGTCTTGAGCTTTTGCGCGGGCAAACTCGGCGCGGATGTGCGCCGGCGCGAGGTTTTCGACCAGAGACATGTCTGCGCAGGCGAGGATGAGGCCGCCGTGTTGGTCGTGCATGGCGATGTACTGCGCCGTGCGGCCTGCGTCGTCTACGCGGACGCCGGAGAGGTCGGGTGCGCGAGAGGAGGAGGAGGGGGAGAGGCCGAGGGCGGAGTATATGTCGCGGGCGTCGGGGCCGACGGCGGAGATCATGCGGAAGGAAGGGGGCGGAGATGAGCGGGCGGAGTAGGATGCGGCGAGGCAGACGTTGAAGCCGACGCCGCCGGGGGTGCGGTGGATGGCGCCGGGGTTGGAGGTGTGGTGGTAGGAGGAGGGGGAGGCGAGGGAGGCGTAGGGGAGGTCGCAGGTCAGGTCGACAGCGACGGCGCCGACGACGAGGCAGCGGGGTGCTGTTGATGATGATGGTGCTGGATGTGCGGGAGATGGCGAAGAGAGAGGAGACGGCGAAGAAAGAGGAGATGAAGAAAGAGCGGATGGTGAAGTAAAAGTCTATAAGAGGATGAATATAAGGCATATATTTCTATGTACAAAAGACAAGCATACAAACAGAACTGAATTACAAAAAGATACGTAGAAATATCAACGAACCTTGTCCTCGGCACCACTCTCATGGTTTGCAAGCGCGACGGCGATCTTTGCGCCCATGCGGATATTATTCTTGACAAAGCCGATGTTTGACTTCAAGCTCTTGCCGTCCGTGATTTGCAGGATGCGGTCGAGCAGGAACGGGGTGATGTCCTTGCCCTTGATCTGGGCCTCGTTCGCGGCGATGACGGCCTCGTCGATCGCTTCGTCGATTTCTTCGGACGGGATGGCGAATTCGGGAGGTGGGGGGACGCAGAAGAGCATGCCGGACTGGAGTTTGAGGAGGGAGTTGGCGTCTGTAAAATGTTAGTAAGCAGAGTGAAGAAGAAGAAGGAAAGGAGGAAGAAGAAGACATACGGATGACGGCGGCGGCAGCTTCGGGGGTGGGCCAGTTGAAAGGACTCTTGATACCCGAATCTCTGGAGTAAAAAGCCGGGATATTGACGCCCTTTTCACCGTATGTGGAGACATGGACGCCCTTGGTCTCCAAATACTCAAAAGTCTTTGCGAGGTCAAGGATAGCTTTCGCGCCAGCGCTGACGACAGCGACGGGCGTGCGTCCGAGCTCTTCGAGGTCGGCAGAGACGTCGAGGGTGTGCTCTGCGCCGCGGTGAACGCCGCCGAGACCGCCGGTGGCAAAGACACGGATGCCGGCGAGATGGGCGAGGATCATCGTGCCGGCGATGGTGGTTCCGCCGGTGACGCCGTTGGCGACGGCGTAGGCGATATCGCGACGGGAGATTTTGATGAATTTCTCATCAGAGGCAGGTTGCGGCGAGCATAGGTATTCGAGTTCGGCGTCGGTAGCGCCGACGACGGGACGGCCTTTGACGAGGGCGATGGTGGCGGGGACGGCGCCTTCGGAGCGGATGATGGAGTTGAGGTCGTGGGCGAGGGCGAGGTTGTGGGGGTAGGGAATGCCGTGGGTGAGGATGGTGGACTCGAGGGCGACGACGGGTTTGTTTGAGTTGACGGCGTCGCGGACTTCGGGGTCGATTTGGACGCGGTCGGGGAAGGTGTAGAGAGTACGGGAGAGTGTAGACCTCAGCCTGGAAGCAGGCCGGACTCGAGAGACGCGTAGAAGAGGCATTGTGTGAAGTAGAGAGAAGAGTGTGGGGAGACCAGGGCAGTTATCGTCGTCGACTCTGTAGATTATCGGCTGATCGAACGGGAACAAGCGAGTGCACGTGACTTGAACATACAATGCACGTGACGCAATATGACGTAACAACTGATATCACGTGACTAAATGTGATGACGCAGGCGCTCGAAAAAGGTTTCCGGGTCTGGACGGTTCTGCACCTGGTATTCTATCATAGTATGTGGGTTGTGTTATAATACATATACTGTAGCATTATTCCTTATATACTGTTATATATACTATTCTATTCTATTATATCTACTATCTCTCATCGCTGCCGAACCCTACCGCAAATTGGCCCCGGTCCGAGATCCGAACAAGGTTCAGAGCGGTCGAGACGCAGCACCAACGAACGCGCGTCCACTTTATCGGTCTCCGCCTCTTTTTAAGCTGCTCCTCCTCCTCCCCTCCTCCTCCTCATCAGCATCACCACCTTCTTCTCATAGTCATCACCATGAAGGGCTCTCTATCCCTCCTCGCTCTGGCGCTCACCGCCTCCGCGTCCCCCCTCTCCTTCCTCACAAACAGCGCCCCCGAACAGGTCCTATCTCAGCCCTCTCAACACACCCTCACCCGCCCCTCCGTCGACGAAGCAGCCGTCCAGGCCCGCAAACTCATCAAATCAGAGGCCTTCGCAGACATGAACACCGTCTTCCAGTCCGGCCCCCTTGCCGGATCCGCCATCGGCCTCCTCGAGTACTACGCCGACTGCTCCGAAGACGGCTCCCTCACCCTCCTCATGGTCGAAGTCGGCCACAACTACAAAAACTGGCTCGAGGGCTCCCCCGTCTCCTTCTCGATCAAGTACTCCCCCAAGTTCTTCTCCCTCTCCCCCGCCTCCGAGCCCCGCGCCTCCCTCGTCGGAAACATCTCCTACGTCGAGGACGAAGAAGAGATCAAAAAGGCCAAGCTCTGCTTCCTCCACCGCCACCCCGACGCTAAGGCCTGGCTCCCCGGCAACAAGATCCACAAGACCGCCTTCATGACCTTCGTCCCCGAGTCCGTCTACTGGCTCGGCGGCTTCGGCAACGTCGCCTACATCGGTGACATTCCCATCGACATGTACAAGAACGTCACCCTCGACCATCCCCATCCTTCCCTCCCTCACTTCCCTCCTCACCACGGTGACGGCCCTGACGACGGTGACGACGAGTACGAGCCCAAGCACCCCAACGGCGAGCGCCCTCCTTATGGTGCTGATACTGAGGGTCAGGCCCCTCCTCCTCCCCCTGGTCCTGATGGTCAGGCCCCGCCTCCTCCTCCTGGTCCTCATGGCCAGCGCCCCCCTCCCCCTCCTCCCCATGGACCTTCTGGCCATGAGGGTCACTACCCTCCCCCTCCTCCCCCTCCCCATGGACCTTCTGACCACGACGGTCACTACCCCCCTCCCCCTCCTCCCCACCACGCTCCTTCTGACCATGACGGCTACTACCCCCCTCCTCCCCCTCCCCACGGTCCCTCCGACCACGAGGGTGACCACGACGATGACTACCCTCCCCCTCCCCCTCCTCACCACGGCCCTCCTTCCGACCACGACGACGACGATGACGACGAGGAAGACGAGCATTTTCCGCACTTCAGACCCGACCCTTCCTTCCGCCGTGGCCGCAAGCCCCACTTTGACGACGACGACGACGAGCCCCGCCGCTTCCGTGGCCCGCGTCGCATGCGCCATGAGTTTGAGCACGAGGAGGAGGAAGACGATGACGAGGAGGAGGACAAGCACGAGCGCAAGTTTACTCCTCGCCCGCCTCGCTTCGGCAACCGCGAGCCTTCCGAGCGGTTTCCCGGCGCCCGCGGTCGCCGCCCCGAAGGCTACGGTCGCCCCGGCCCTAGTTTGAGAGAATTACACGGTCGCTCGCAGGATCTGATGCAATGCCTGCACGAGGACGAAAGACTGATTCTCGACTCTGACGAGTCCACTGTCGTCGACGCCATCCGCCGGTGCCAGAAGCTGATCAATAAGCGCATGAACAAGGCCGGCAAGAAGGGATGCCACGACAAGGCCGGCAAGAAGACCCACGGCGGCGAGATGCAGATGCCTCCTCGCGACGGCCCTCGTCGCGAGAGAGCGATGCAGGCGCAGCGGGATGACGAGTCTTCTGTCTACGGCTACGTCCGCAGGATCTTCTTTGCTTAAGCGTTTTTTCTTTGTTTTTTTTTACTGCGAGTGAAGCGTTTGTTTTGTTTATGGGATTTCGGCTTTGCTTTGTTTTGTATTCTCTCTATATAAATCTCAGTTTCATTTGAGGTTTCAATATAGCAATCTTTTCTGCAATCTTTTTTACCTACAATCTATCGGTGACTTTTATCTATCGATTACACTTTTTTTCTTTCTCTTTTTTTATATTACTATCATATTTGTTTTTTCATTATTTGGTGTTATTTATAAATGGAGAATTTACAAAATTATGATAGAACCGTAGCGTAGATTTAGAAAAACATAGAGCAGTGAAACAATCCAACAAACAAAACACAGCATACACAAACAAACAAACGCCGTGAGCAAATCCACAACCTCGTCATATATAAACCTGTAACTATAGCAAACACCCTCTCCTCATACTCTCATACTCTAAACAACAGACGACGTCGACGTATCAACAATACTGCTTTCCTGTCTCTGCTGCTGCTGCTGGGGTTGCTGCTGCTCCGCCATCGCATCCCGCTCAAACACGCGTCCTGCCGCCATAAACCTGCATCATCATCATTAGCCCCCTCTCTCCCCTCTCTCTCTTCCCTTTTCAAAAATAAAAATACATACAAAGACCCCTGCAGCCCCCCAACCGCTTAATATACTCCGCCTGCACGGCCGTAACGCGCAGCAGACTCTCGAGATCACTCAGGTTGGCTTGTAACTGCGCCAGCTGCGAGTGCAGATGCGACATCTGCCGGGGTCGCATGCTCGTTGGCTCGATTGATGCGCGGGAGTGGAAGCCGCCGCTGCTGCTCATGGATTGTGGGTTGGATATTGAGGCGCGGTGCATTTTTGTTGATGTGCTGTGGTGGTGGTGTTGTGTAGTGGGTGTGGGTGTGCAGACACGAGTGTTTACTTTTTTGTTGACGACGTGCTGTTTCCGGTTTAGGGTTCATTCTGCTCTCCACACGTGCAGACTGCCTTGCTCTCTATCGTCGAATATCACTTCTATCGCATTTTAATCCACTATTCACAAACTCCCCAATGTAAACACACAAAACACAAACACAAACACAAACACAGCGCATTAACAATGTCAGAGCAACAACCAGCCCTCTATCTCAGCAGTCGTCGCTCTTGGGTTCGCTTCATATGCAGCTCATCATCTCATGATCACGTTCATCTCTCTCTCTCTCTCTCTCTCTCTCTCTCGCAGTGCTCACGCACTCCGCTCATACCGTCTCAGCCACGGACTCGTCACGTCCCCGTCGCCATCCGTGCTCATCAACCACGTAGCGCAATCACTTCCCCTTCTCCCCGCCGGACTTTCCTCCCCCGCTCCTGCTGCTGCTCCCACGGCCTTGCCGAAACTCAACTTCTTTGCAGAGTCCCGCTGGATATCCATAATCGTCCTCGCCATCCCATGACTCTTCCGACTCTCGGCCCCGGACGCCATGATCTTCGCCCGCGCCGCCGCAGCTCCAAGGCCAACTCCCCGCCCCGTAGCTTCCGTCCACGCCGCGCCGGCTCCAGCTCCAGCGCCCTGTCTCTGCGCGTTAATATCCACGTTCTCTTTCAACGCCTGCAGCTGTCTCGCAGACGAAGAAGAGGACGACGACGCAGGCGTAGACGACGGCGAACTTCCCTCGATCGAACTCCGCGATTTGCGTTTATTCGCCGTGCTGCTCGCGCTCGGCAGACTCGGCGTCGAGGCAGCGGTGTAGTGCGCAGGCCGCCGGCCGACTGCCAACGGAGACATTGCCATCGGCGACGCAAACGTCAGCGGCGAGGATTCCTGCATTGTGTTTGCGTGCGCGAGACGGAGTCGGGTCGGCGTGCGGGCTTGCGTGGCGGCGGAGTTGGCGATGCCGCCGCGGGCGGGGAAGGTGCCGAGCGGGGACGCGTTCGGGAATGGCGAGTAGGAGATGTCCATTGGTGAGGCGATTAGGTTGCTGTTGTTGTACGCTTGGCGGAGGTCGGATATGCTGTGGCGGGATGATAGGGCTGATCTTGGGGTTCCTATGGCCTCCATGTAGTCTTGCGAGTCGTCCACTCGTGACTGCTGCTGCTGCTGTTGTTGTTGTTGTTGCTGTTGCTGTTGCTGTTGCTGTTGTTGCTGCTGTTGTTGCTGATAATGCATATACTCGGTAACCATCTCCCTTGCCCTCGTCTCAACAGCCTCCTCAAAAGACGCCTGCATACTCTGATGATGCTGTAACAGTTCCTTCTCATACCTCTCGTTCCTCTCCCAAATCGCAGTCAACTCCCTCTCCCGCGCCGTGATCTCAGCCTCATGCTTCGCAACCATCTCCTCACGCGCCCGCAGCTCGCGATGCAGCTCGACAAACTCGCGCTCGCGCCGATGTAACCGCACGACCTCGGTCTGCAGCAGATCGTGCGTCGTCGGCCGCTTCTGCGGGTTCAGCGACAGGCAGGCTGAAATCACTTTCTGCAGCGAGGCGGAGTAGCCTGCGGGTACGGCGGGGAATCTGCCTTCTTTGATCTTTTGCGCGAGCTGCAGGTGTGATTTTCCCGTGAACGGCGGATGCAGCGCGCATAGCTCGTACAGCACGCAGCCGAGCGACCACATGTCTGAGTGTGGCGTGTAGGGCTGGTCGAGAAGCACCTCCGGGCTCATGTAGTACGGTGTTCCAACATAGGTCGTGGCGAGCGAGTGCTCGGGGTCGATCATTTTCGAGAGGCCAAAGTCGCCGAGCTTGACGGAGTTGTCGGCGTCGAGAAACACGTTCTCGGGCTTGATGTCGCGGTGCAGGATGCAGGTTGCGGGGATCGCGGGCGGGTCGTCGTGCGGGGAAAAGAGGCTGCTTAGTGGAGGGGGGTCGACGCCGTGGTGGCAGCGGTAGAGGGCGAGGAGGAGTTGGGTTAGTATGCTCCATATTATTGTCTCGGGGACGTGTTGTCTAGTACCGGTTAGAAAGAACATCAGCTCAGAAAGAAGATAGAGTACTCACCCTGCCTCGCGGCAATTCCGTATCAGCTGCGCAAGATCCCCTCCTCCACAATACTCCATATACAAATGCACCTCCTCCGTATCCGGATCCCGTTCATGATGGACGTACTGCACGATATTCTGATGCCGGAGCCCTTTCAAGATCCGCAGCTCGGCCAGCAACTGATTCCGCTCGCGCTGGCTCATGCGGCCGTACGAGATCTCTTTGCGGACAAGCACATGGCCGTCCGCTTTATGTCTGACCTTGCGGATCTGGCCGAATGTACCGCGGCCGATGAGCTCGAGGGCTTCGTAGTGGTTGCGGATGGAGGGCGTTGAGGACGCGGGTTGTTGTTGTTGAGTTGTTGACATGGGTGTGATGTCTAGGCTGTCTAGGCTGGCTAGAAGTGTTGGTATTAAAAATTATAGAAGAAGTGCGTGGTGCTGATGCTGCAATGCAATGTCTCGAGGATGTACAAGTTCGTCGTGATGATGATTATAGAAGATGCAAATGCATTGTGTTTGCCCGACCGAGAGAGAAGAGCACGGAACAAAGACAGCAATGACTTTCTTTCAACAGCAAAAGCACAAATCTGTCTGAGTAGACTGCACAGTAATTCAAGTCGTGCGTGGATTCCGATCTCGAGCTTGGGCGGCGCTGTAGTAGACCAGCACCTCCTCGCGGAGCAAAACACAGTCGGCTTTGTTTACTTTGTTGTCACGGAAACCGAGCCGCAGGTGACAAATGTATTATGTAATATGAGATGAGGGTAAGATCACGTGCGAGGGAGGGGAGGAATCACGGGCATTGGGTTTAATCGCGAACAAGGGAATTGTTTATGGATGAGAGAGAGATGTTGTCTGTTGTCTGTAGTCTGAGTACATCTGCTGTGCTGGTGAAGATGAGTCTGTTCAGTGTATTCAGCGAAAGTCGGCCTCGGTATCGACGCTGACGAGGAGTTGCGACGCAGTTCTTTATTTGCTGTTGTTAATTGTTCCCCGCAGTTTTATATTGGATATTGCAGAGCGAGTTGGGGGCAGGAAGAGGTGCTGGTGTTGCTGTGAACATACAAATAGCTGAAATAAGTGAATATGGAGTAAAGAATAAAGAATAATCAACAAACAGCAGAAGAAGAGAAAGAAGAGAGAAATCTGTTCCTGTCGTTCGTATCTCTCGCTCGTTGCTCTTCTCCTTCTTCTTCCTCTTCCTCTTCCTCTTCCTCTTCCTCTTCCTCTTCCTCTTCCTCTTCCTCTTCCTCTTCCTCTTCCTCTTCCTCTTCTCTCTCTTCTTCCTCCTCTCTTTCTCTCCCTCCTCTCTCTCTCATCAACTCACCATGCGCCTGCGTCCCAGATCCTCCCTCGCGGAGCACTGGTTCCTCCTCTTCCTCTCGCTCTACATCGCCTCCTTCTACGTCAACGGCTACCTAGCCCACCCCCAACGCAAACCATCCACCCCCCCTCCACAGCACGAAGACTACCGCCTCTCCGTCTCCGACCCATCCCTCCCCTACGGCCTCGCAGACCAGCACCGCGCCACCCACCGCCCCCAACAATCCCTAAACTACCTCGTCAACTACACAAACCTCGACTTGTGCTTCGTCTCCTCCGACGCCATCACCGGCCACGCCGGCATGCCGCCCTGCCGCACCATCAAATCCCTCGTCGAATCCATCTCCTCCGGCGGCCGCGTCGGCATCGACGCTCCCTACGTCCCGCGCGACTGCGCAATGTGGTGGTACACCACCGACGAGCTCTGCGCCGTCATGGCGCGCTACAGCCTCGTCTTCTTCATTGGCGACGAGTCCCTCGCAAACGTCTTTGGCGGCCTCCTCTCGCTCCTGCGCGAGGACGCCCATCTCGGCGCCGTTCTCGCGCAGCGGTTTGACCACGAACGGTTAATGACCTCCTGTGCGTGCGACAGCGCCTATCTCGACTCCGACATCGCCTGCGTGCAGAGCCGGCCCACGAGCGTACGCGAGATCTATGATCTCGATCGCACGCAGATTAAATGCCGAACGCCCGGCCTCGCGCCGTTCGTCGACGCTCAATTCGTCTCGCTCGACGGGTTCCCGCCGGCCGAAGACGACGTGCGCAGGCTGCAGCACCAGCTCGTGAGATTGGTCGCGCGGGACTCGAAGCCCGTGGCTTTCGTCTACAGCCACGGCGGCGCCCGTACGAATCCAAAGGGGTTCAACCCTGACGAAACAGCCGCCTGGCTGTCGCACGTCCGCGACGCAGTCAGGGCCACCATCCCGCGCGTGGTTGCCGTGCGCGAAGTGTTTCTCACCGCGGGCGCGACCGGGCCGCAGGTGCCGGACCAGATGCTGTTCACGCACGGGCTGCAGGCCGCGCAGCGGTTCGAGAGCGACCTGCGCGCGCGGGCGGAACGCGTCGGGTTCGACGTCATCGGGACGTGGAACGCGACAGTGCAGACGCGGTTTGCGGCTGACGGGGTGCATAATCGGGTGCCGGTCAATCTGCTCAAGGCGACGATGGTCGTCAACTGGCTTGATCTGGCGGAGCCTGCGTATCTCTCGGGGGGTCTGTAGGGGTTGCTTGTGTGTGTTTCTGTTTCTGTTATCTTGCTATTTACGTTCTTGCTTGCATTCTTGCATAGTATGATTAATGACGACCTATCTAATGTAATTCAACACCAACAAGTTATGAAGTGAGGTGAGGTGATGTAGAAGAAGTGATCATGAGATGAGATAAGATGAGAAGCCAAACGCCGATGCATGACATAACATAAAAAGCCCGAAAAGGAAAAACAAATAAAAATACTAGAGAAGAACAACTACCCCCTCGTCCCCATCTCACTCTTCGCACCCACTCCCCCCTCACCAGCACCAACCTCCGAGTTCTTGAGCAAGACCGCATACCGTTCTGCGTTGCGCTTGTCGCCGATCTGGCGATAGAGCTCGATCAATTTCTGCAAGATCGAGGGTTCCGAGTCTGAGAGCGAGAGCGCGCGCGTGTAGGCTTTTATGGCTTCGGTCGGGCGTTGGAGTTTGTCGAAGCAGTTTGCGAGGGCGATCCACATGCGTTGGTCGTAGGGTCTAGAGTGATGTATGTTAGTGGTGACTGATGAAGAGAGAAAGAGAGGGGGGACAGACGTTAAGGCGGCGGCGCGCTGGTAGTAGAAGAATGAATAATAGTACATCTCGATAACCTCATAAGCCTGTCCGAGACCATACCAAGCGCGAGCGTCTTTACTGCTGACTTTCAGAGCGCGACGATAACTCTCGATCGCGGCTCTCGCGTTCTTGAGTTCCATATACTCGTGTCCCATCAGCGTCCACGCGCCGAGACAGTTGCGGTTGAGGGTGAGCGCGCGGCGGTAGTAGACGACTGCTTTCTCGTGCTCTGATTTGAGCGAGTAGTAGTTTGCAATGATGCAGCACGTCTCGGGCCGGAACTTGTCGGTCGCGGACGCGAGCTGCGCGAGGTGCGCGAGCTTGGCGCGTTGCTCGGTCACGTAGAGCACGTTGGAGTACATGTCCATGTCGTCCAGTCTGTGCGGGTCCAGCTTGACGACGTGGTCAAACAGCCGCGCGGAGTCGTCGTACTCGAGCGCGTGGTAGCACAGCATCGCGCGCTGGATCTCGAGGTAGACAAAGTTCGGAAACACAGTCTCGAGCTGGTCGAGCGTGATGAAGACGGACTCGGTGCTTTGGAAGAGCTCTTGCGAGGTCGCGACTTCAAAGAGCTTCGTCATTACGTGTGTCGGGGGTAGCCGCGCAAGCACGTACGGGAGCTGGTCGATCGAGGACACGCAGTGGCTTAATTCCTGCCACGCGCCCCAGTTATACGGGTACAGCTTCACCGAGCGGGCGAGCGGTTCGACCGCCGCCTTTTCGCACTTGTGCTTGACGAGCACGATGCCGTACAGATACAGCAGGAAAGGGTCATCTTTTGTCGCCGGGGATCGCGTGAAATGGCTCTCGAGCTCGTTGATGATCGGCACGAGCTGCTTGTTCACCGTCGCGTCGCCGTCGAGCGGACCGAGGATTGCCTCTGATTGTTCGTCGCGTTTTTTCTCGCCAGAGATGTATCGCGCGTAGAGATGCAAAAATATACACTTTGCGCTTGATGTACTCACCCGCTCGAGCTTCTGCGCAGCGCGGTCGTACTCGCGACAGTCGAAGCAGGCCTTTGCGAGCAGGTAGCTCCTGCTCTCGGAGGGCGTCATCTCGTCTAGCGATTTCACGTCGATCAGGATCGAGTCTGAGTCTGGCTCGCGCTCGGTCATGGCGTCGTCTGCGGCGTCGTCTTCGAGCTCGGGGAGGCCATTGAGCGCTTCTGCTGTCCTAATGAATTGTAAGAATACCGCACAGACTGGAAGGATCAGAGGAAGAGGAGAGGAAGTACCATTTAGCGGACTCGTAGAGACATCGGTCGCTGAGCAGAAGATATGCCTGTTCGAGATTACGCGCAAGATTCTTGTAAAACGACGGATCCGGCCGAGTGCCCATCTTATTTACTGCTTCTATGTATCTTATTGAAAGAGATGGTGAAGAGATCAGGTGCAATCAATAAACAACGAAATCAGGATATCGCGCTTAAAAAGTCACAGCGGATGCGTCTTCAGATCACTGTGAGCTGCGGGGGTTTGTGTGATTAACGTTGAATCACGTGCGGGGCCACGCGCGTCCCTCGCGCGTGCGGACTAAGAAGCGGATACGCGACGGAGGAGATGACGGGCGGAGAAGTAGATTGTTTAGCTGTAGATAAGAGATATAGACAAACAAACCGCATACAGAAGTAAACTGCTGCTGCTGCTGCTGCTGTTTATTGCAGAGGAAGGCAGGAATGCAGTGAACGACGCGTTCTGCGGATCTGAGGAAGGTTGCGGCTCGGAGACCCCGAGTCGAGAAGAATGTACTCTGACTCCAACTCCATCCCGTTGCGCTCCTTGACCTGCTCTCTTTCTTTGTTCACCTTTGTCCTTGTTGAAGAGAATAACAGCTAAGTACTGCTGTCTGTTGAAGTAACTAGCTTGTTACTGCTACTGCTACTACTCTCACTTGACATCGCGTACGGCTTGAAACAGCTGCTTCGTCAAGACTACATCAGATATGGAAAACTCAGGTAACTAAACCTCCCTCCTCACCCCTGCACTCTGCTCTCTACAACCACGATCGAGACACGCACTATACACAAACAGCAAAACTGACCCCTCAAAGACTACACAGATCTCTCGACGCGTCGCCGGGACCCGCGCGGCCCGGCGCGCGCGCGCACGCGTACACCTTCTCCCCGGAAACCCACAGCTGCATCATCATCATCATCATCATCTGTGCCTGCGACGACGGCGCTGCAGGCAGTCGATGCAAACACCGACAGTCCGTCGCCGAGCAAGTCGTCGCCTGTGCGGCCGTCGTTCTCGCGCTCGCGCTCGGCGAGCTCGTCGCCGAGTAAGAGCAAGAGCGCGAAGCAGATCGGCGAGATGCAGCAGCAGCAGACGAAGATTTATGCGTCGCCGTCGTTGGGTGCGTTGGGGGTTCCTGGATTACCTGTGTCGGCGCGACGACGGCGCGAGGAAGGGGCGCGGTTGAAGGTGTTTGCGGATAGCAAGGAGGAGGGGGAGGAAGATACGAGAAACGACGCGGAGACAGATGAGGATGAAAACAAAGAGAATGAGATTCCACTACAAGACCGGCCAAAGTACGCGCACCTGCAGTCGGAGACGGCGCAGGCGAAAGGCAGCAGTGCGCAGCGGAGGGTGTTTGCGGATATTGCAGAGAACGATCCGCGACGGCGGCGGGAGGCGCGCGGGGGCTCGACGTCGACGTCGACGTCGCCTACGCGGAGACAGGCGCAGGATCGCGAGAAGCGCGAGATGTTGAGACGGCAGCGGGTGGACGACGCTGAGACGGCGGCGTTGATTGAGGCGTTGGATAACGTGGCTGCGGTCGCGAGCCGGCTGGGCAGGCGGGAGTCTCAGGGTGTGTGGGATGAGAAGAGGAGTGAAGATGGAAAGAGTCAAGGGAAAGGAGGAAGAGGAGAGCGAGAGGAGGTCTACTACGACGACGAGGACGAGGATGGAAAGCTACAATTGCCGGGGTACGTGACGCCTCCGCGACCGAGGATTCGGAGGTTTGCGGCGGAGGACAGCGTGGGGCCGTTGCTGAGGGCGAGGGAGGAGAAGCAGTGGCCGCTGTCAGCGCCGGCGAAGGGGCGGAAGTTGTTTGAAGCGGCCGAGATTGGGGGACGCGTGCGACGGAAGCTGTCGTTTGAGGTTTACGATGAGGAGGGAGGGAGTAGAGGAGAGTAGAGTGCGGCGATCATTGCTGTTCTCTGTTCTTTGACTCTTATTATACATGTTATTATACATATGACTATATGTTTATTACAACGGTTATTACTACATGTGATGCAGTGAAGAGCAAAGAAGTATGAGCAAAGAAGTATGAGCAAAGAAGTAAAAGATGATGAGGAGTCAGGTGGATATTGCTAATAGTCAAGATGAAATATTACCGATAGAGGCAGGCAGGACGAAGTGGCGTTGGAGCCTTCGACGTTGTTCGATGGGGTTGAGTAATGATACTGGTTTTTTTTGCACTTGCTATGTATTAATCAAGTAATGCTCTTTATAAGAAGATATGTTCTATATATCTACAACAGATACACATCCTATTCTACACATACAATACCCATCTCTTCTCAGAATAAGAGTCACAGAAACAGCTGATTGGTCACAGTCCCACGATGCGGCTCAACGAACCTTAAACCAAAACCTTAAACCAAAACCTTAACCTCGGTCTCGCCACGCAGAAAAGGCGCGAAATTTGCTTCGACGGCGGCCACTCAAAAACCGAGTTTGCTGCCGCTTCGCCTCCTCTGCTTTTGGCTGCAGCTTTGTGTGTTTACTATTCTTGTTTTTGTTGTTGTTCTTGTTGTTCTTGTTGGTTTATTGGGATTTATTGTGATTTATTCTTCTTCTCTTCTTCTCTTCTTTGTCTTTTCTTCTTTGTCTTCTATTTCCTGTTGTCGTTCCTGTGAAGAGGTTCTCAGTTTACCCCGCCACCCTCTTCACCTCACCTCACCACCTCACCACTTCACTCCACTCTTCAACACTTCAACACTTCAACTAAATCTCTTATCTTTTCACTACTCTTCTCTTTTCTACTATCTATCAGCACCATGTCCATCTCCATCGTCGCCGCGGCCGGGGCCTACTAAGCCCCCTGTCTCAACGCACGCTCATCGATTTCCGGATACTCACGCTTGACCTCTACTTTTATCTCCTGGGTTTGAAAGACTCTCAAGACTTTCAAGACTCTCAAGACTCTCTCTCTCGATCAGTTACACTCCTCCTCTCCGACCTGCGCCTTTGCATGCGTCGCTCCCTCTAAACAGATCACTATACTGATAAAGAGAAAAAGAGTCATCCTCTCTCTCTCTCTCTGAGATCGTCCTCGCTGCTGCTTGCTCTTGCTTCTCCAGCCTGCACCTTCTCAAACCCATCTCGATTCGGCTTTTTTTGATTATTGGATTGTCCTGGTCACACCGACCCCTTTTATTCTCTACCTCTGTCGCTGGTGCTCCTGCATTCTTCGACTTTTCTGTGCCGCCTAGTCTTGCATAATCTCTCTTGACTATCCCGCACTCTCTCTTTTCTCGATATGTTTTCTCTTGACTCCTACTCCGCCCCTGCCGCCTCCTCCAAGAGCTCGAAAGAGCCCTCTGGTCTGGCCGTCGCGCAGATCCTCGCCTCCCTTTCCTCCGCCACCATCGACGTTCCCCGCAACTACGCCGTCGACTTCTCCTCCACCTCCTCCTCCATCTCGATCCCATCCGGCCTGTCGTCGACGTCGTCATGCGAGGAATACACGCCTTCGCTCTCGTCCTCGGTCTCGTCGATCTCCTCTCTCTCCTCGCTGCGTCTGTCGGCCGATTCCTCGCCCGTTCTAGACACCGCCGCGCAACGCCTCGCGTTCCTTCCCCTCCCACAGCACAGTTCCCAGCCTACGGGCGACCACAAAGGCCTCGCGGCCGAACTCCAGCAGCAAATGCTTGCCGTCCAGCGCGGTTCTTCGCCGCGCCGCATCCCGGTCCGCGCAAGCATGCACCGCCGCCACTCGGCGTCGTGCTCTTCCTCGTCGTCAGTGTCGAGTCTGCCGACGCCGTCCAGTATCCGCTCGTCGGTGTCCTCCTCCTCCTCCTCCGCGCCGCTGTCGACGTCGTTACCCTCGTCGAGTGTGTTGGCGGCAAAGACCAACTCTGCGGGCCGCGTGTCAAAGTCGGCTTCGCTTAGTGGATGCAGTCTGCCTGCGTACCAGAGCACGGTTGCGTCGCTTGTGAAGCACGCGGGCAAGCGTGGATCTTTTGTCAGTTCGCTAGTTGGTATGTTTTGATATGTCTGATGTTCAAGTACACAGTACAAAGACAATTGTGTTAACTCTATAGATTCCGCTACGCTTATGATTGAAAGCATCTGGCCGTCAGCTAGAGACGCGCCTCCGACGAGCGATCCTGCGACGCAGATTCTCCCGCTGCGGACGTTTATCGAAGAAACGCTGCGGCGGTCGCGAACGAGCTACTCGACCCTGCAAGTCGCGCTGTACTATCTCTGCTTGCTGCGCCCGCACGTGCAGGATCCGAGCAAGTTGCGGGGCAACATGGGCGCGCTTAACTGCGGGCGCCGAGCGTTCCTGACGAGTCTGATGCTTGCGTCAAAGTACCTGCAAGACAAGAACTACAGCGCACGAGCGTGGAGCAAGATCTCGGGCTTAAGCACTGCCGAGATCAACGCGAACGAGATGGCGTTTCTTGTTGCGGTGGAGTGGCGGATTCATGTGCCGGAGGACGTGTACGAGCGGTGGTCGAACGTGCTTCTGAGCTCGACTTGTATGGTTGGGAATTGGAAGCGCAGCCAGAGTCTTGTTGAGGGCGCAGTTTGTTTGGCGCGGAATAGTTCTGTGGTTGAGAGCGGGTGTGGAGATGCTGCGAGTGCGTATGTGAGTCGGTATGCGGTGGAGGAAGAAGTTCGATGCTGACGAGCCGACTTGCTGCGTACGATTTACTATTCATCTAAACAACATCACGATACGACCGACTACAAAGAAACGACAGACAGACAGACAAAACCAAAAACAGACAAGGAGAAAGAACATTCTTTTTTTCTTCTTTATTTTATTTAGTGTTGTTGTTATTATATATTATCTACAAAGAAATTATTTATACTTACAATATAATGAGCGATCACAATTGATTATGAAGATGACCCCTCTCTCTAGTATTAAGAAGAGGAAGGGCGGAGAAGAAAAGGAAGGGTGAAGAGGCTTGGTTTATTAAGAGAGGAGTTATTAAGAGGAGAGGAGTAGATTGGGTGGTATCGCTCTGATCGGCGGTGAGGGAAGAGAAGAGAATAGAAGTGGGGTGATTGATTGTTAAGTCAAAACAGCAGCGAGCGAGTGATCGATAAGTACATGAACTAGAAGGTGGTCTGTAGTTTGTGAGGAGAGAGAGGAGAGAAGAGGAGAGAGAGAGGAGAGAGAGGAGAGAGTGAGCTGATAGGAGAAGAAGCAGGTGCAAATCTGCCCACTTTCCCTCCCTCCTTCTAAATAGATGGATGGCTATCGATCAGATCAGCGTCTCGGCATTTATCCAGCGCGTGGTTTATTAGCGCATGGGTGTTTATACTCATATAGTCATATAGTTAGTTGGCTATATAGTGCTTAGATGAATAAGAACAGTGTGGAGTATATGCGCGATGGACTGATGCGATGATGCTGATAGAGCTGGATCGGGGAAGGCGGAGCGAACCGTTTCTTCCTTCCTCTCTCTCTTTCTCTTTTCTGTTTCTGGTTTGTCTCAGACTGACGATGATGATTATGAAATCATCTACAGTAAATATTTTCTTGCAACTTTCTTACGGCAGGACGAAGAGAACTATCAAGATCGGGAGAGAATGATGTCTGAGCAGGTCCGGGGCAGTTGAGCGATGTGGATGGCGATGTGTAATAAATGATGAGAGGAGGTGAGGTTGTAGTTGGTGTTTGGGGGTAGATGTGGATGTGAATGTAGATATGGAAATAAGACGGAAGAGTGCAATAAGAACACAAAGTGACCTTATCAACTTATTCTCAACACCACCCATCCTCACCCACCCCCTCAACCAATCCCATACTCAACCTCCCTCCCCATCTCCCTCTCCATCAAGCAAAGCCAAGCAAGCCAACAAGCCAACACTACGCCACATCTGTCTCCAAGCAAGCCATCCTCCACCCACACTATACTTTTCCAATCCGCCGTGCGTCGCGTCGAGCGTGGGCCCGCTCGCTCGCTCGACTAGGGTGGATATGACTACGACTACGACTACGACTCTGAGCGATTATCTGTGTTTGTGTGGGTTGGTATGTTGGTTTGGACTGCGGCGGGGCGGGCGGGCGTGGGCGGCGTGAGGGTTTATGAGTGTGGGTGAGCCATCTTCATCTTCTGTGAGGTGGTGCGCTTTTGTCTACTTACTACTACTGTTTAACTACACCTACACTCATGATTCCTTGAACATTTTAGTACACCCCTCTCTCTACATGAACTTCATCTATCAAAACCTGCAGCTGCAGAACGCAGACTGTCCGCGATGGTGGTGGTGGGGGACAGGGCGCAAGGATACACACGGACCACTTTAGGGGAGAAAGTTTTACTGATAACGAACGTCCTATCTCGAGCACGCTGAGGATGAGAGACTGTTGCTTTTCTAGTAGTTGTTGTAGTTTGTTGTAGTTTGTTGTAGTTTGTTGATAGCTATGATTTATGAGTGGATGGGTGTAGACTAGATATAAGAAGAAGAGAGGAGGAGGAGATGACGGTGGTTATCTTGAGTCTCGTCAGACTAAACAGACAGACAGACAGACAGACAGAAGAAAGTCACTTATCGGGCTCTGTCTCCGTACTCATCCACTATCTCCTCTATCGCACTATCTCTGTCGCCTATGCCAGACCGACGTTTACTATTGTAGCTTAGCTAGACCAGACGTGTTGAACCTCGGCTTTGCGAGAGTGACTTTGCTGAGCAGGCAGAGAATATAGAGTAGAGAGTAGATAGAAGAAGATATGTTGACGCAGTATCTAAAGAGAGGAATAGTATCTGTCTACGAGAGGTGAAGAAGTGATCATCAAGAACAGACAGCTTATCGATAACCAAGTCGCGACGCATGCGACTCCGTCCGCCGTCTGACAAACCTGCATGACTGCGACTGCGACTGCGACTGCGACTGCGACTGACTACGACTACGACTACAACTACTCGAGCGCCCGAGCCATGCCGTGCGTGCGTGCGTTGACTCGCGGCGGGAGAAAAAGAGAGAGAGAGAGAGAGAGAGAGAGGGAGAGAGAGAGGGAGAGAGAGTTTGATTGATAACAGGGCGAGAAAAAGAAAAGAGAGAGAGGAGGAGGAGGGAAAAGAAGGTGTGGGCAGCCACAGAGGGACCGGGTATGGTGAGTCTGTAGGGACGCATTGGCCTGTGATGTTGTATTCTCATATGATAGAGATTAGAGAAGCAGCTTCATACAGAAGATACTAGAGTAGAGCAGAAAGAACAAGAGCAACAAGGCAGGATGGAGAACAGATGAAGACTATTAATAAAGAGAGCGGCGCCGGCAAAGTCGGGAAGGCGTTTAGGAGGCGGGCGAGGCGCTAGGCAGAGAAGAGGAAGAGGAGATAGCGAACGACAAGGCAGGAGAATAAAGATTTAGGGGCAGATGTGGCGGTGGCGGATGTAGAGTAGATGGTGGTGGTGGTGGTGGTGGTGATGATGAGTAGAGTGTGCAGAGAAGAGAAGAGAAGAGAGAAGAGAAGAGAGAAGAGAAGAGAGAAGAGAAGAGTATAGAATAGACAGAAGAGTATATAGAACAGGATATAGAAGAGGATACAGAACAGGATATAGAACAGGATACAGAACAAGAACAACACCCAGAAGAGAAGAGCAGATGCATTCTCTGATACCCGGAAGAGTGCTGCGCGATAAGTCATAGATATGAACAAGTCTGTAAGAATACTTCATCTTAAACTGATAACTAACTAATAACTATACTAGCAACTATAGACTACCAACAACATCTCTCTCTATAACTAGAAGGAATCTAGATACAGGCGGTAAGTACTCCCCTAAACGGCAACCCCCAAACAGTCTTCACACAAAGTTATTGGCGGAAGAACAGAGTCTGTGGCTGCGGCCCGCTTCGGCGGCAAGCAGGAGGCGACAAGTCTTGTTGCTCCCTACCTGACTCTCTACTTGTGTATACTATACTATTCTATTCTATTCTACTCTATTTCTATTATTATTATTATTACTGTTCTATTCTATTCTATCCATTCTATATATCTAATTTCTAGTATTTACTACTACTCTACGCTCTCTACCACCTTATCGTGAGTCATGCCCTAAGCCACTTATCTCGCTATCACGCGACACAAGCCGCGCGACATAAACCGTATTTTGATACCCTGCGGCTTGTCACGGTATCGTCTATCGGAGGTGGTGAGGAGAGGAGTAAAGAAGAGGAGAGGGGAGTAGTTGTAGAATAGTAGTAGTGTAGTGTAGTATAGTAATAATAGTAGTAGAAGATATTATAACAGCATACAGAATAATAGACAGAACAACATCAGCACAGAAGACCAACGCTATCGCACTTCGGCCTCGCCAGTCCGAGCCCCCGACAGTCATTTGGCAGAGCTCCGGTTGGTGGGTCTGTGTCCTATCGGTCGGCCTCTATCGCGTCTTTATATCTTCCTCCACATCGCCGCCCGCGCCTCTTCGTGTCTTCTATTATCTCTGTCTATCGTCCTCCTCTCTTCCTCTCCTCTCTTCATCTCCTCATCTCCTCCTCTCCTCATCTCCTCATCTCCTCATCTCCTCATCTCCTCATCACTCACTACCATCATCGCTACTCTCATCACTACTCTCACCACGGCCGCCTCCATCTCACCCCCCGTGCTGCCTCCGGCCTCCTCGCTCACGAGCCTCTTGCATGACCCGCCCTCTCTCTTCTCTGGCCCTCCGTCTGCATCCCACCGCCGTTCCTCCAGCGTCGCGAGCTCCTGCTCAACCATGATCGGCCGCCGCGACTCTGTCTCCTCCACCGCCTCCGCCTCGGCTGGCCCGTCCCAGGCCCTGCCCGTCCCCCAGCTCCCGCCATCCTCGTTCGCGGACTACGACCAGAAAAACCGCAGGCCGTTCGTCAACAACCTGCCCTCCCTCCACCAACTCAACTCGTCCAACTCCCCTCCCGCGCCTGGTCCCCCGCTCTCCTCCTCCGCGTCCTCCACAAACACCCTCCTGACCCCCTCCCCCTACGAGACCGCGTCCTCCTCGACCTCCTCCGCCCCCGACGCCTACCCGCTGCAGCAGCAGGCTTCTTCCTTCCCCAACACCTCCTCGCTCAGCTACTGGGCCGCCGCCTCCTCCAACGCGACGACCCCAAACTCGGAGCGCAGAATGTCCTTCTCCTCCACCTCGTCGCAGTACTCGCTGCCCTCCATCTCCTCCACGCCGTCGTCGTCATACAACTCCTCGGGCGGGTTCTACCAGCCCCCGGCGCCGCTGCTCCCTCCCCCGGCGTCAATACCACAGCCTATCCCGATCTCGTCGTCGGCGTCGACTACGCCGACTGCTACCGTCCCTTCCTTCCTTCCCTCTCCTCCCGAATACTCCTCCAGCGCCTTTCCCTCCTTCTCACAACAATCCCAAATACAACAACAGCATCAACAACAGCAGCAGCAACAACAACAACAACAACAACAACAACAACAACAACAGCAGCAGCAACAACCACAAGCATACTACAACGACCCCTACCAATCCTGGTCCTCGTCGCTCCCCCCCTCGCAGCAACAAGTCCAGCCCCCGCTCGTCCGCCGCCCGTCCCTGACCGCCCCGCGCTCGTTCGAAAACCGGTATCCGTACCCGCCCCCGTTCTCGCACCTTCCCCCTCCGCACATGCACCCGCACATGCAGCACCAGGCGCCGCTGCAGGACCGGCCGTTCAAGTGCGACCAGTGTCTGCAGAGCTTTAACCGGAACCACGACCTGAAGCGGCACAAGCGGATCCATCTGGACGTGAAGCCGTTCCCGTGCGCGAACTGCGACAAGACGTTTTCGCGCAAGGACGCGCTGAAGAGGCATACGCTGGTTAAAGGGTGTGGAGGGAACGTGAGCAGTCGGACTAGTCCGTCGACGGAGTCGTCTGCTACTGTGTAATTTCTTTTTCTCTTCTACATGTCTTGAATGATAATGAGTTGTTCTTTTTTTCTTCTTTACATGTCTTGAATGATAATGAGGTGTTTGGGGTTGTTTGTGCTATTTTATTCTATTTTCTATTCTCTTTCTTTTCTATTCTGTTCTTGACATTGGTGGTATAGACTATTGTATTCCAGGCGGGTGTTCTTTTTCTATTCTTTCTTCTTTTGCTTTACTTCTTCTCTCTTGCACGATGCAGATGCATATTTAGCAGAATTGCGTTCGTGGGTGGGTTACTGGTTGCCAGCCAACTATAGAACCACACCCGGAGTTTTCTTGTTTATTCTTCCTATAATGACCGTACATATGAGCTTTGTTGTTGTGAAATGTAGTTTTAGTATTCCTTCTACTTCTATCTATCTAGTGATTGTTTAAAATGTATTCTGCTTGTACCATACACAAGATCTTCTCGTTCATTGAATTCAACCATGGCCGCCGAGGACGAGCCGGGCAGGAGTCGGTCGAGGAGAGCGGCGGAGAGATAAGAGGAAAGTTTATTTGTGGGAGACTAATTGGTTGAGTTTGAGGTTCGATTAAAGTTTATGCTTATGTCGAGGATGTGAAGATGTGGATATGTTTTGATGATATTGTGTTGATATAGAGAGAGAGAAGGAGAGTAGTTGGTTTGATGATAGAATAATGCTAGAGATGAGTACATAGTAGATAAAAGACAAGATCAAAAAAGTACACATCAAGACACCCACTTACATCTTCACGACCCTACCCACACCAAAGCACAGGCCCGTCCACCCGGGCCGTCGGGGCGCGCGCCTGACAGTGAGCGAGAAGAGCAGAGCAGCAAGACCGGATTATTGGGAATTGGTAATCGGCCTGGCGTGTGCGCTCAAGCTGCAGTGCGCTGTGGCCCCGCCGTCTGCTTCTGTGTTGCTGTTGTTGTAGTGTAGATGTGTATGATATCTTGAGATGTGAGGAGAGTAGATCAGCTTGTGTATTTCTATTCTATTCTACCTATTCTATACTATACTATTCAAGCCACCCGCGCTGATCTTTATCATTCGCAGGACAGAGAGGCTAAGAGCTAAGAGCTAAGAGCCCGGGATGGGAGATCCTCGTCCTCAGCTTTGTCCATATGGTTGACTTTACCTAATTTGGTTCCTTTTTCGCTCTTCTCTGGCTATCTATTAAATCTAATTGTCGGGTATGTAAATCTGAATAAGAAACCGAGGTGTTGGTTTCTATATCTGCTGTTATTATTGAGTTGCTATAGTATGTTAATATGATATAGTATTTCATCTGTTCTTCTCATTTGCTCTATTCATCTCAATAACTAACCTAACAAAAACAACAAGAAGAGCAAGAAAGAACACTCAAAGCCAAGTCCAAGTCCACGCAAGACGTCATATATTGTCCCGCATTCAATGTCCACTGCTGGTCTCTATTTCCTCTCTCCCTTCTCTTTTTTCATCCCTCCCTCTCCTCACCCCCCTCCATTCTTCCTTTATTCCCGCCTCCTCGCGCTAACGTTTTTTTTTTCTCTTTTTCCTTTTCTTGTTAGCGTGGTTTTGCTTGGGTTTTTGTGTCGAGTCGTAGAGTGCACATGCAGTTGATACTGCTGACTGCTGATTTCAAGCAGAAATTCCACATTCTTCAGATCTGCATTCTCCCTTTTTCTTCTTTTTTCTCTCTTTTCATCCTCCCATTACTCCTCCTTCCTCTTCCTCACCCACATCTTCATCCTCACTTACTCTACTCCTCTTCACATGAACGCACACAACCTCGCATCCACACCAATCAAAATAAATGAGCGCATATAAACTATAAACTTATCTCGTCCGACTCAAGACTCAAAACCAAGACTCAAACAACCTCCGACTACGACTGACTACCTGAGCACGGTCTCCTCTCCGATTTTCGTTTTCGTCTTGAATAAATTCATGGCATCGGCATAATATATTCACGATAACTAAACTAAAACAGCTACAAACTACCCTCGGAATAGACACGATAAACACATCTACACATCCACACCCCAACGCCACCGCCAGAACGCCACCCGCTGCCTCTCTCTTCCCGCCCACATAAGCTTTCCACCCAACGAACTTCGGTGGCGGTCTCGGGTGGCGGCGGCAAGGCGTTTTTCGAGGGAGATTGCGATAAGAATGCTGTCACGTGGTGATACTACTTTCTTCCCTGTTTTGCTCCTGCTTTGCTTCCTGCTGATGAAGAAGAGGTGATGATGATGATGATGATGATGAAGGGGAGGGTGCTGCGGGATGTGACGACGCGCCGATCTGCTTCTCAATCGAACTTCTTTTAACTTTGCTGTCGGATCAGTGGGTCGACATTATCTAATCGCTTACTCATTGCCTTGATCTGCGTGCTCCTCTCTTCAATACTTGCACGTATCTCATACTGCAATCAACTCTGAGATATCCACGGTCTAGTAGAGCTACATACTCTCTCTCATCATGCAGCTGCCCTCGACACAAGCGAACCAGGGCGTTCGCGGTGGCTGGAGCTTTCCACGTTTCTTTTTTCTGTTTCTTCCTCTGATTCAGTCGACTCAGAGCCCGCGCTGATAAGCAGCAGTTAGTCTGTAGTATGTGCATCACGACTCACTCCGCGCTTTTTGTGGACTGTCCACCACCCTCTTTTCTCGCTCTAAGAGAATAGATCAGGTAGTAAATCATCTACACAGCAGCAACAGCAACATCAACAACAACAACAACAACAACACCCAGCGCCATACATTTATCTCTCCACTCTTAATCAACCCTCGGCCAAATCCTACGACAACCACCGCGCCCCACGCGGCTCACTATTTACCTCCTTCCCAATCCATCTCACTCTCCTCTTCCCTCTTCCCTAACTTCTCGCCGCGTACGGAAAGGTGTTGGGAAGTCGGAAACTTACGCTTGTTCTTTGTTTGCGCTTCTCTGTTTCTGTATGTGTTATCTTCATGCCTTTGATGCTTAGATACTTGTCCCCACGCCGGCCGCCGCGCGCCGTCTTGTCTTTGTCTCTGTCTTTTCTTCTGTCCTGTCCTGTCCTGTCTGCCCCCCACGGCTCACTCCGGCGAGATACGCTCCATCTATCTCCACCCCGCGGCCACCTCGCCGCGCACCAGCACCAGTTCATACACCGCCCGCGGCCGGCGCCGGAAGATGAAACCCACGGCCCACGCCACCGTCGCGCACATCAATCAGCAAGTAATCAAGCTACTGGTCTTTGCTGCTCATCTGATATCGATATTGATAGCTGAGGAGGCTTGAGCATGTACCACCGCTACTTCATTTGTTAATGTGACCGGTGATGGCGGTGGATCGATGATGGGAGATTTTGCGATATAACGCAATTGGAGATGGAGATATTGTTATCTCTCTCTCTCTCTCTCTCTCTCTCTCTCTCTCTCTCTTGTTGTTTGTTACTGTTACTCACAATCCATCGCAACATCCCACTACCCGCACATATCACCCCTCACTCCCTCCTCGCCGGCGACGGCAGCCTCGCCGCCGCCGCTGCCGTCGCCGCCCGCCCGCCCGTCTACACACCGCAGATCTCCATCTCCGTATCCTCCCCACCGGCCGCAGTGCTATCCCGGCCGCCTGTCGCCCACCGAGGCAGCGCGCGCGCGCGCGGAGAGCGAAAGTGTTATCGATCGTCTTGTCTCGTCTCCGGAGATCGCCATTTGTTTATCTAAGTGTAAGGTGAGAGGGGTGTTAGAGGGGCTTGATGATGGGGAGTATCGCAGATATGCGATGCTGGATGACCATGGACTTTTGGATGTGTTGCTGCTGTTACTACTGCTACTGCTGCTACTTCCGTTGACGATGATTTACACACCACTACATCACTCACTCTCCACCCTACAAAAACCATCGTAGACCAAAGAGGAGCATCGCCTTTCTCTCTCGATTAAATATCATTCGCAAGATATCAATATATATTAATAGTTATCTCTGATCTCATTCTCACCCATGTTTTCTTTGCGTTTCTTCGCAGTACTGTTGTCTTCTTGTTGGTGAAAAGTACCAACTTCCTCAAAACACATTCACTGATATCCGCACAGTCACTCAACACGCACTTCATTCACTGTAAGCTAAAGCACGCAGATCTGACGCAGAAACACAGTTCTGTCAAGCAAGCATATACCCCAGCAACTAGTCATCTCACTCACTCACTCAAGCCACATAGATCCGATTCCAAGTCTTGGTTGGTGGTACCGACCAGCTAGGAAGTACGTATGTGTCGGGTCGACTGACCCTAAAACTGTAATTCTCTCTCTCTCATTTCTTTAAAAGAAGAATTAAAAAGTCGGTCGATCTGCTGTCGAAATGAGAGGAAAGAGAAAGAGGCTGGAGAGTCGCCCGACTCAAAAGTCCCGAGTCGCGCTCGACTCTGCAACTCAAACAGCCTGACTTGCGCTTCGCTCTCAACTAGAGACTAAAGACTAGAGACTATAGACTATATATCCTCCTTCCCCCACCGCTCTTTCGCAAACGTATTTCGCGTCCCGGGAATATCAATATCCTCGTGCGCAGACATCCGCCCGCTCTTCTCCAGCCGCGCGCTGAATTTCGGACTTAGTTTGAAAAGCCGTTGGAATGGGTCGTAGTCGAACCAGCATGATTCCTATAACACAACTCAAAGTCAGCGCGTCTGTACATCAATAAACTCATAAGAAGAGGAGAAGAGAACTCACCCGCTCGATATTAAACGCCATCCACAGAATCCGATCGACGCCCGCCGCGTTCTTAATCGCGATATCTCCCTTCTCATACCCGATCTTGCACGGCCCGACCTCGTGTCTCGAAACCGCAAGCTCAGCGCCGTCGTAGTCGAAATCGTCGCCAAAGAATTTCCGCGCAAGATACCCCGGCCGCGTCTGCTTCACGTTCCTCGTCTCTCGCTTCTTCTTCTTCTTCTTCTTGCTTGTCTTCTCGCGCTTACTGTCTTCTTCGTCTGATTGCGACGATTCCGCTTCTGAATCTGAATACCCCGTCCACGGCTTATAAGGAAACTTCCGCGCCCACTCGAGCCCGTAAAACGCCCAATCATAGTTCAACGGCGTCGAATTCGGAAACGTCTCGTGCGAGTACAGCGGGTTGCAGTCCGCCAGATACGTGATCGTGTCCAAGAAATGCAGCAGCTCGCGCCACGGGAACAAATCATCGTCCGTCTGCTCGTGCGCGAAAAACAACTCGGCCCACGCGTGCTTGTAGTCCTTGATATAGTACAGAAACACGAGCCAGGCGAAGATGTGCGGGTAGTGCTCTGGCGTGCCGACCGTGAGCGCGAGCTTGAGGGTTGAGAACGAGAGGCTTTTCGCGAGACCGAGGGCTTCGGACTCGGCCTTGTACAGGTCGCTTGCCAGATACGTCTCCAGTCGCATCTGCGGCGCTCTCGGCGGCGGAGAGGAGGATACGGAGGACGTCTGCGACGACGAGAGGGATTGATTGAGAGGGAGCGGCGCGGCGCTCATCGATGGCGAGCTGTGCGCAACAGTGCTATCTGACCCTGACTCGGACTCGGCTACTTCCTCCACCGCACTCCTCAAATCCGCAAACGACGAGAGCACGTCCTCGGTCGACGACTCGCACGAACTCAAAGCTGGTCCGTACAATCCCTCACCTCTTTGCTCATCATCATCATCCTCCTCCTCTTCCTCCTGCTGCTCAAGCCGCGAGAAATCGATAAACCGACGCAGCGCCCCGGTCTTTGATCCCAACTGATACAGCCCGCCGATATTAACGACCGCGTACTTTATCCCATCAACCTCCCACGCCGCAGGCCGATTGACCACGCGCAGAAAATCCGCGACCGTCTTTTGAAAATCCTGCAGCTGCGTGCGCGTGAATAGGATCGCGTGCGCGCGTGTGAACTCCACCTGTGCGCGCTTGGACGCGCGTTCTTCGTGGTCGAATGCGGTGCCGCAAAGCGCCAGTAGAGATTCTCGGGCGGGGAAAAATGGAGACACGGCATTAAAACTATAGAGTCAGTAAGCGTGCAGAGTTGACCACAAATCAAAAGAAGCTCACCTCTTGGCGTAGTAGTACAGCTGATCGAGAATAGCATCCGGCTCCGAAGTCGCCGCCAGATGATGGTACAACCTACCCACCCCCGGCGTTAAATACGAGCACCTCGTATACCACATAAACGCGCGCTCCTGCCATATCTGCCGCGCCTCGGGATCGGTTTCGATAGCCATCCGGCAGTGCGCGAGGTCACCCAGAAACTCGAGCCACGTGGTGCGCCCATCGGGCATGCATTCGAAAAGCCGCGTCATGATTGTGTATGCGTAGTAGATGAACGACACGAGGACGTCGAAGGAGGAAGGTAGGAAGCCGCGCAGCAGATCGAGGATGCCAGATACTCCGATCTTCCACATGCGCGAGGGGATGTTGTACTTCTTTGGCAGTTTGAGGATCGCGGGCGTCGCATTAGCAAGACGGCAGGCAAACATAAAGTCATCGTACTGCTCGAGTAACTCTTCATGCAACCGCACAACGTCGCTCCACAGACTATCCCCAAACTCACTCGCGTTCTCCTTCACATGCACCGCGAGATTCCCATCAATCGTCGTGCATTTCCTTTCGAGGTACAATATCTGACTGTAGATATGCCGTACTTTCAACTCAATCTCCTCCGGCGTCTCGCGATTGTAGTCCAGCTCGGAGGCTATCTTTGGATACCGCGACTGCTTCGCGGCCGAGTTTGGATTCTGCAAAACCATGATTTTCTTGGGCTCGCGCGTGCTCGGCGCCATGATCGGAGACTGCACCGGCTCGATCATCCTGCGCGCAGGCTCCGCAGACATCGCTTTCGCTGTGCTCGCGCCCGCGGTATTCCTCCCGCGTCGCTCCCGTCCTCGGCGACGACTAGCCGACGAGGCTCGCTGAGCGGAAGCAGACTCCTTTTCATACTCTCCCAGGCCCGTCTCGGGATCAAAAAGCTTCTTGACACCAGTGAGACGAGGACTGTCGAGCGTGTTTGGATTCGACTTGCTCAGCAGGTCTGCTTCCTCGCGGCGCCGGCTCCGGCGACTACTTCGCTCACGATTACTCCGCCGCGCGGTGCCGGCAGCAGCACACGCACCTTGCTCATCCGACTTCGCAGCAGCAGCGGCGGTAGTGGCAGGTTTTGCAGGAATAGGATCAGTTTTAGGATCATACAGCTGTTTCGAGCCCGAGAGCGGTTTGAGCTCGCCACTGGACAGCATACCGCTCGACCCGAGCCCGCCCGAGCGCGGCGTCAGTTCGTGCTCGCGCGGTTCTTCGGATACGATCTGCAAGGGCAGCGAGCGGTCGTAGTCTGGATCCTTTTCGAAAGCAGCGCTGCCGTGCTCGGCACTGCTCTGCTGACCTCCGCGTCTGCTCGATCGTCGTTGACGGCCGGCTCCAGACCCACGCGAGCTCTGTCGTGGCTGGGTCGAGGAGGAGGAAGGGTGGTGGTCGGGTTCATTCTGGTCGTTGGTGGTGGCATTGGTGTCGCCAGAAAACGCGAGTGGCTCGCCGCTGGCTGGATGTGAGGCCGCCTGGCCGCTTTGGTTGCGAATGAGCACTCCCCGTACAGCTCTTTCTGGCTGGGACTTTTGCATAAGAAGTTGAAACCGATGGAGAGGTAGGGTGCGGGTATCAATCAGTCAAGGTGTTATTTGACGGTGGTTGAGTGGTTGGAAGTAGGTGTGAGGTTGATACACATCGGAGACACCGCTGAATGATTCGGGAGAGCGACTCGCTGCACAAGAGACTTTGCTCAAAAACCCGCTGGAGCAGTGTATATTTCCTTAACGGCAGAGAAATGTATTCACCGGCCACGCAGAAAGGACAAAGACTCAGAGCATGCACGCCTCTAATTTTTTTTAGTGGCTGGGACAGACTGAGACGGCGGGATTTGACAAGTAATAGCACTGGATGCGCTATAATGCGGTAAGCAGTTAAGTGTGCATCGGACAGGCGACTGAGAGGTCAATTGAGAGGCCTTGATGGTGGAGGACGAGAGAATGGGGGATGGAGATGGGATAGAAAGCGGGAGATGGAGATTCTGCGATGAGCGCGCGTCAGGTTAAAAACGAGTCACGTGGATCACAGTTCAGTCACGGGAAGCGATGAGCGCTGTGATTTTGATCTACGAGCACTTACGAGAAGGTTCTGTTGCTGAATTAGAATCAGAATATGAAAAGGCAAATACTTCACTCAATTAGAGGTAATCTTCATGTTATTTGGTTATTGCAGACATCGTCGTCTGCAGAATACTTGTTCATTACGTCATCCCACCGCCACACACCTGCGCCACAAGCAGCCGTGGCTGAGGTGACACCTACGAGCGCTCGTCAGGATTACAGCGATAGTCGCTCACGTCTCCTTCGCTCCAACAATCTCTCTTCTTTGAGCCCGCAGATTGGACCGTTTTGACCTGTTCCGGCTTGTCTGCTTGGAGATTGAGTGGTCTCTGTGCTTATATCTGATCTTTGAACTTGATTGCTTCTTGTGTGTGTGTGTGGCTGCGTCTGGTTTAGACACACCGAGGGCTGACGGTTACGATGATTCTTTCGACCTCCATTGTTCGTTTGCGGGATAGTGAGTACGATCATTGGTTTTACGGTGTTGATTGATTCGGCAGTGCTGCAATTAGGCCTGGTACTGGTTGAAGCTGTGAAAAGACCTTGTTCTCTAACTATTACTTCAATGACAGAGCTTCCCCTCACCGCATCTACCGACGATACGCTGGTATGTTTGCAGTATGATTTCATCTCCGCCGACGACGACACTAACCAATCCACTCCTTCAATCAGAACCAAAATGACATTTCAAAATACACCGGCGAGCAAAAAGACATTCTCCGGAAACTGACCGACGCCTCTGAACCGCGCGCGTCAATCGAATCCGGGCCCTACACGCACCACTACCTTATCTCGAACGGCGTCGTCTACATCACGCTCTGCGAAAAGTCGTATCCGCGGAAACTGGCATTCACATACCTCGACGAGCTCGATAAGGAGTTTGTCAACTCGTACGGCCATCGCTTGGATTCGGATGATCTGCGGGCGTTTGCGTTCATCACGTTTGGTGTGTATCTTGCTTGCTTGCTTGCTTGTAATTTAATAATTGGACTAACAAACGCGCAGAAAACTACATCCAAAAAACAAGACGAGTCTACGAAGACACCCGGACATCAGTCAACCTCGACAAACTGAACGCCGAGCTGCAAGACGTAACCCGGGTGATGACGAAAAACATCGAGGACCTGCTCTACCGCGGCGACTCCCTCGACCGCATGACCAACCTGTCGTCCTCGCTGCGGGCCGAGTCGTCAAAGTACCGCAAGGCGGCCAAGAAAATCAACTTTGACGCCATGATACGGCAGTACGCGCCGGTCGCGGGCGCGGGCCTGATCTTTGTGTTTCTGATATGGTGGATGTTTTTGAGATGATCAAAAGTGAGACGCAGTCGTGAGCTGCTGTGTGTTTGTCAAATAATATATATACAGTTATATTTTAAAAAGGATCCTCATACGGATCCTCTTCGTCATAGTCGTCCTCCTTCTCAAACTGATAAACAATCGCGCCCCCAACCGAAGCGCCCAGCACTTCCCCCTCCTGCGCCGCAAGATACGGCAACTCCACGTTCTCCCTCGCGAGTCTCTGCTTCTCCGTAGTCCCGAGATTAAACGTCGTCAACCCATCAATCAGCGCCTCGCCTTGTCCATCGTCGGCTTTACTCTGCGCGCGCCGCGGCGGAAGGTACGTGAACTCGTGTCTCGCGAAGTCAAACTCGAACGTTCCCTCGACCGCCCGGCCGGACTTGCGTCGATGCACGAATTCAAGAAGACATGTGCGTGCGTGCGCGCCGAGCGGGACGAGATACGTCCCCGCCGCGATCTCGTCTTCGTCGATGTCTGCTCTCGCGGTTGGCGAGACGGTGATTATGGTGGTTGCGAGGTAGAGTAATTGTGTTTTGAGCGAGGGCGCGTAGGAGGATTTCTGGGTGCTGCCTGTGGGTTTTGTCATGTCGTAGCGGGTCGCGGTGGGGAAGTTGTGTAGGACCGCGACGAGGGTTGAGTGGGGACGGATCAGAGGCGCGATGAACGACGCGAGGGCGCCGGATCTGATACTGTTGAGGGAGTCAATTACTATTAAAGATTCTGTGGGATTGTTAGCACAATACAACAACACAGATCAATAGAGGAAGAAACATACTCTGATTACTCGAGATCAACGACGCGACTTTCTGATGAATCGCAGCATGCGCCATCCGTCTGCACGCAACAAACTCGACATTCCGCACCGGCCCCAGCATCCCCTTCACCGCCCTCTCCGGCGTCTCGAACGACAGATACACGATCCTAAACTCCGCCGGCGACCGCTCCTTGTTCCGGTGCACAAACTCCAGCAGGACGTACTTCGCCGTCTGCTCAGGCGCATCCTGGAGCAGCACGAACGGCGACACATCTTTCAGCGCCACGATCCGGCTCAGAATCGAGCCCGTGTGCTGCTGCATTGCACTCAGCTATTTCTTACAACTTGCTGGCGATAGCAAATAGACCCGTCCTGATTGGCAAATGACAAATTTTTAGCCCCGGAAGCTGGGCGATGAGCGTTGGGAGGAACTGCGGAAAAAAGCTTATTTCCCTTCCCCGAGGCCAACTTCTACGCCGCATATTTTTTTTTTTTTTCTTTTTTTCTTTCTCCAGGACTCAATTCTTTGCTTGTCGAGCAAACAGATAGACAGAAAAGAACTGAAAGATGCCGCGAACTTCGACCGTGGCTCCAGTTGTGGACGCAATGTGGAGCGTGTGGCGGTCCCAGCAACACCGGGCACTTGCTACCGCGACGACCATCCCCAGCAGCAAGACGGCGAGCACGCGCCAGAACCTGACGGAGAAGATTGTGCAAAAGTACAGCGTGGGACTGCCGGAGGGAAAGGTTGTGCGGTCGGGCGACTTTGTGACGATCAAGCCGCAGCACTGCATGACGCACGACAACTCGTGGCCTGTGGCGATGAAGTTCATGGGATTGGGCGCGACGAAGGTGCATGATAACCGGCAGGTTGTGTTGACGCTCGACCACGACGTGCAAAACAAGACACCAAAGAACCTGGAGAAGTACGCAAACATCGAGAAGTTCGGCCGCGACCACGGCATCGACTTCTACCCGGCCGGGACCGGTATCGGCCACCAGATCCTCGTCGAGCAGGGCTACGCGTTCCCGAGCACGATGACGGTCGCCTCGGACTCGCACTCAAACATGTACGGCGGCGTCGGCTGCCTGGGCACGCCGATGGTGCGCACGGATGCGGCCGCGATCTGGGCGACGGGCCAGACGTGGTGGCAGATCCCGCCGGTTGCGAAGGTCGAGCTGCGCGGCCGGCTGCCGGCAGGCGTGTCGGGCAAGGACGTGATTGTCGCGCTCTGCGGAGCGTTCAACAACGACAACGTGCTCAACCACGCGATCGAATTCACCGGCGACGCGATCCCGGACCTGACCGTCGACGACCGGCTGACGATCGCAAACATGACTACGGAGTGGGGCGCGCTGTCGGGTTTGTTCCCTGTCGACAGCGTGCTGATTAACTGGCTCCGCGGACGGGTTCTGCGTCTGCCGCAGCCGCATCCGCGGGTGTCGTCCGAGCGGGTTGAGGCGCTTGCAAAGGCGCTCGAGGAAGGTGATCCGTCGCTGAGTGCGTCGGAGGACGCTGTGTACGCCAAGCACCTCGTGCTCGACCTGTCTACGCTGTCTCCCTACATCTCTGGCCCCAACTCTGTCAAGGTCATGAACTCGCTCACCGATCTCGCCAAGCAGAACATCCCGATCAACAAGGCGTACCTGGTGTCGTGCACAAACTCGCGTCTGTCAGACATCCACGCCGCCGCGGAGGTCGTCAAGGGCCGCAAGGTCGCCGACGGCGTCGAGTTCTATATCGCCGCCGCGAGCAAGAACGTGCAGAAGGATGCCGAGGACGAAGGAGCCTGGCAGGCGCTGATCGACGCCGGCGCGCGCCCGCTTCCCGCGGGATGCGGACCGTGCATCGGTCTCGGAACCGGTCTGCTCGAGGACGGCGAGGTCGGAATCTCTGCCACGAATCGCAACTTCAAGGGCCGCATGGGCAGCCGCGACGCGCTGGCGTACCTGGCCTCGCCGTCGGTGGTGGCTGCGTCTGCGGTGCTGGGCCGGATTGGGTCGCCTGTTGAGGTGCTCGGGGGTGCGATCCCGGAGACGGCGCAGTTGATGAGCGCTGAGGTTGCGATTGAGGGTGCGGGAGATGCGGCAGAGGGCGAGGCGATGCCGACGCAGGTGTTGGATGGATTTCCGGCGTTGATTGAGGGCGAGCTCGTGTTTTGCGATGCCGACAATATGTGAGTTAACTGTTCTCTTTTAGTAAGTGAAAAGCGGGGCTAATAAGGATATAGCAACACGGACGGAATCTACCCAGGAAAATACACGTACCAGGACGATGTCTCCCGCGAGAAGATGGCGGAGGTGTGCATGGAGAACTACGATCCCGAATTCGGCAAGAAGACGGTTGCGGGTGACGTAATTGTGAGCGGATTCAATTTTGGGTAGGTTCTTTGAGTTGTTTTTTATTACTGGATCTGGTGGAAAAAGCAGGTGAGCTGACTTGTATGAATCTAGAACCGGCTCGTCGCGTGAGCAGGCCGCTACGTGTATTCTTGCGCGCGACATCCGACTGGTAGTCACAGGCTCGTTCGGCAACATTTTTTTCCGCAACAGTATCAACAACGCGCTGCTGACGCTTGAGCTGCCGGCGCTGATTGCGCTGCTGCGGGAGCGGTACGAGGGTGCCGCGCCGGAGCTGACGCGGCGGACGGGGTTGTTTATCAAGTGGGACGTGACGCGGGCGCGGGTGCAGGTGCGGGAGGGAAAGGATGGGGAGGTTGTGTTGGAGCAGAAGGTTGGAGATTTGGGACCTAATTTGCAGGATATTATTATCCAGGGGGGTTGGAGGGGTGGGTGAAGAACGAGATTAGCCGTTAAAAAAGTTGTCAATCTTTTGTTTATGTTTATGTTAGAAGAAGCAGAATATGAAGAATAGAAGTAGTATAGAAGAAGAAGAAGAAGAAGAGTAGAGGAGGAAGAGTAGAAGACGAGACAGTTCTTTTTGCCGATGACGACGGAGCAGGCGGGTTTCCCAAAGAAGAGATCAGCAAAGTGCCCCACCTGCGACCATCGCGGTTTGTGAGTTCACATCTTCGTTCTATGTCTATTAGAGTGTACTACAATTGCGACAATTGCAATCAACTACAGTAGAGAATACTTCTATTGTTATAACCAACTACTGTCATTTAACAGCTTAACAATAACTAATAGGAAGAAGACATCACATAATCGCTGACCAAGGCATCTGCAGTGCGAGCCGCACAGGATTCCCCGCACTTTGGTCGATGCTGCGGCTACTGCGGCTACTCGCTACTGAGTGTTCTGGAGGAGGAGGAGTATAGACTGAGAGGGTCTTGATGAAGAGTAGTAGGAGTAGTAGTAGAAGAAGTAGTAGTAGTAGTGGTAGTAGAAGAAGTAGTAGCAGTAGACAGAAGGAGTAAGAGTAGTAGCAGAAGCTGACGTCATGGCAGCACTGATCCACCACCACCGACCACAATCAGAGCCCAGAATCAACCGCAATAAGACCAGAATCAGACAGCAGCAGAACAATCAACAAACAGCAATCAGAGCAGCAAAAGCAGCAGAGCCCCGAGCAGAGCCCGAAGAACTCGCCCGATCGAGCAGTGCGCGTGGGCGGGCGGGGCCTTGTCACCGGCGCATTCGGTCGCGGCAAATAAAACAATCTCGGCCGGTCCGATCGATATAAAAGGCTTCTGGTCCTCCTCGTCTTCCTCTCATCCTCATCCTCTTTCTATCCTTCTTCTTCTTCTACTACTTCTCACCAACATCCGCAATGAAAGTCCTCGCAGTCCTCTACAAGGTATCTCTCCTCTCTCCTCTCATCTCTCTCAAACCATCTAACAACCCCAGGCCGGCTCCCACGCCAAAGACGAACCCCGCATGTACGGCTGTCTCGAAAACGAGCTCGGTCTCCGCCAGTATCTCGAGTCCAAGGGCCACACCTTCGTCGTAACCGACGACAAGGAGGGCGAGAACAGCACCCTCGACAAGGAAATCGTCGATGCTGAGGTACTTCCCTTCTCTCTTCATAACATCAGCTGCCACTAACTCTCCAGATCGTCATCACCACCCCCTTCCACCCCGGCTACATCACCCGCGAGCGCATCGAAAAGGCAAAGAACCTCAAGCTCGCCGTCACCGCCGGCGTCGGCTCCGACCACATCGATCTCACCGCCGCCAACGAGCGCAAGATCACCGTGGCTCAAGTCACCGGCTCAAACGTCACCTCTGTCGCTGAGCATGTCGTCATGACCATCCTTGATGTATGTCCCTCTTCTTCTTCTTCTACTTCAGAACTACTTCAGAAGGCTAACACACCCCAGCTTGTCCGCAACTTTGTGCCCGCCCACGAGCAAATCATCTCCGGCGGATGGGACGTCGCTGCCGTGGCCAAGAACTCGTTCGACGTCGAAGGCAAGGTCATCGCCACCATCGGCTCCGGCCGCATCGGCCAGCGCGTGCTCAAGCGTCTTGTGCCCTTCGATCCCAAAGAACTCCTCTACTACGACTACCAGGCCCTGCCCAAGGAAGTCGAGGAGGAGCTTCACGCCCGCCGCGTCGAGTCGCTCGAGGAGCTGGTCTCCCAGGCCGACATCGTCACCGTCAACTGCCCACTGTACGAGTCCACGCGCGGGCTGATCAACAAGCAACTACTCTCCAAGTTCAAGCGCGGCGCGTGGCTCGTCAACACCGCCCGTGGCGCGATCTGCGTCAAGGAAGACGTCGCGGCCGCGCTCGAGTCCGGACAACTTCGCGGATACGGAGGAGATGTGTGGTTCCCGCAGCCGGCGCCGGGCAACCATCCCTGGCGCGACATGCGCAACCCGTACGGCGGCGGTAACGCGATGACGCCTCATATCTCGGGTACATCGATTGACGCGCAGATCCGCTACGCCGAGGGAACAAAGAATATTATCGACACGTACCTCAATGGCACGAACGATTATCGTCCGCAGGACCTTATCGTTATCGATGGGCACTATGCCACTCGTGCGTACGGCAGCGACAAAAAATAGATGTATAAATGATCTGTGGATCTAATTGTCTGTTTCTCTCCCCTCTTATGACTTTTGAAGTGAATATCAATGAATATCAATTGAGTGATTATCTGAATAGAATAGTATGCGTAGACGTAGATAAGTAAAGCAAAAGCAAAAGCAAAAGCAAAGAAAGCGCCGCAGACCGGCAACATCCGTCGCCTGTGCCGCTTACCCATCCTCACTCACACCCCAGCTCACCACCGACTCACAAAAGTCTGCAGGAGGAATTGCTGAGGTAAACCACAATCACGAAGCAAAAATAAAGTAAATAATAAGGTGGAAATATGCTCGGCGGATGAGGCTTTTTCGAGTGCAGGAAGGTGCGGGATAGTGGCGTAGCAGGCAGGCGATTAGAGGGGGAGGGGAATGAGGGGAGGAGGATAAGAGGGAAGTTATTCCTGTTTTTCTGTCTCTGTTTCTCACTTTTTAATCCTTTTTTGATCATTCAATTGTATTTAAGCCGTGTCCAGAATGACTGCCTCTCCTACCTCAATTGACCGCGCAATCGGTACACACCTCTCTATCCATTAATCCCACCGCTCGATCTCATCAAAAACACAGACTAACCACTTCTAAACAAACAGTCGAAGCCACGACCGGCAGCAGCGTGGACTGGGTTCTCATCCAGGCGATTTGCGACAGTGTCAATGGTGACGATAGCGTGTATGTATGCGATTGCGTTTGATTGTTGATGGAAGTGCGGGTGCTGATGAGGAGATATAGAGCGAAAGAGGCTGCTGATGCGCTGCAGAAACGATTGGACCTCGACGACGAACTGATTCAACTCCAATCACTCACTGTACGCTTTTCTATTTCTCTATCCTCACTTTCTACTCAGCACACCCCCTAACAACTCACAGCTCCTCCACACCCTCGGCACAACCTGCTCCCGCGCCCTCAAAATCCAGCTCTGCACCCGCGCATTCACGCAGTCGCTCGTCGGCCTGTTTTCAAACCATGCCGCAGCAGAGGCGGTCAAGTCTCGGTTGCTGGCGGTCATGAGTGCTCTTGTTGAAGTTTTCGGGAGCACCGATTTCGAGCTCAGTTTGATGGCAGAGGCGTTGGGGCAGGTTAAGTTACTTAGTATGTCCCTTTCTCCTTCCTACCTCAAACCCAAAGAACTGTTTGAGCATTGAGAACTAACAGTTGATAGATCCGACGATTAAACCACAAGCGGTGCTGGAAACACCCCCCGCGAGAAGAAAACCGACGCTGGAAGAAATCATGGCAAAGAGATTGGCGATCTCGATGCAGGAGGGAAAGAGCCAGGCTCCGATGCGGGCGCGCAAAGCTGCTTCTAGTTCTTCTTCGTCTGCTGCTGCTGCTGTTCCGGCTTATGTTGCGCCGAACCCTGTTGCTGCTGCTGCCACTCCTGCTGCTACACCTACTGCCAAAGCTACAGCGGCACCTACAAAAGTGAGGCGCGTGCGAGCGCTGTACGACCTTGACTCGCACGTCGCCGGCGAGCTCTCGTTCCGCAAAGACGACGTGATCTACGTGCTCGAGCGCGTGTCGAACGACTGGTGGAAGGGATCGCTTCGCGGGCAGATTGGGATTTTCCCGTTAAACTACTTTAGCCCTGTCGCGGATGCGAGTCCGTCGGAGGTTCAACGTAATGCGGAGACAGAGGCGCGGGTGTTTGCGGATGGGGAGCGGGTTGAGCGGTTTTTGGCGATGCTGGAGACGGTGGGGTCGAAGAAGGAGGAGGAGGAGGTGGAGGGGATGTATAAGAGTGTTGTGGATGCGCGGCCGATGCTGAGCGAGTATCTGCAGCAGCTCGAGCAGGTGACGCGCGATCTGAGAGATCTGAGTGAGCGGTACTCGGAGGGGATGAGGAAGTATGAGGCGTATCTTGCGCGGTCTGGGAGCCGTTAGTGTAGATGTTCGGAGTGTGGAAGTGAGAGGATGACTAGGTCGCGGCTTATCGACACGAGGGAATGTCGTCATCGATTAGATACTGACGCGATTGAATGGTCCGCAATACAAATACTACCGCTTTCCACCTCTCATAGCAAATCAACCCAAACACAGACACAGACACAGACACAAATACAACAAGAAGATATAAAAAGATCAATCACGATGACGGCGACCACAGAAACAAAGATCATCAAGGAAGTCACGGCCGCGAACGCAAAGTATGCGGCGTCGTTCACAAAGGGCAGTTTGCCGCTCCCACCCGGCCGCAAGTTTACCGTTGGTATGTTCTTTTCTACTCTTGCAAAGTAATATCTTCATGGACATGCGATTGACATTGGAAGTGACGTGTATGGATGCCCGGTTGGATCCGGCAAAGGCATTAGGCCTTGAAGAGGGCGATGCGCACGTGATCCGCAATGCAGGTGAGTAGCTGTTCTACGAAACGTGATCTACGAAGATAGAGAAGCACAATCTGACTGTAGAGATCAGGCGGACGAGCAAAAGACGCACTGCGGTCGGTGATTATCTCGCAGCAGCTGCTGGGGACGGAGGAAGTGCTGGTGATCCACCACACCGACTGCGGCATGCTCACGTTCAAGGACGAGGAGCTGCACGAGATTGTGAAGGAGCGGTTCGGGAACGAGGAGTACCACGAGTTTCTGTCTTTTCCAGAGTGAGTTTTGTTATTTTTGTAGTTGGCAGTAGGTTAGTAGAGTGACGATGACTAACAGGCACAGCCTCGAGAAAAGCGTGAAGGACGACGTCGAGTTTCTGCGGGAGAGCAAGGTGATCAAGTCAGAGATTCCGATTTCCGGCTGGATCTACGAGGTCGAGACGGGGAAGATCCGGCCGGTGAAGAACTAATAGACAATAGTCTAAGTAGTCTATGTACTCTGAGGAGCAGCGTGAATGACAGTGAACAAGAAGTAACTATTGCCGGAGATTGGCGCAGTGAAGATGTAATAACGGAATAAATTGGAATTACCGCAATTGGTAGAAACGCAGAGGGAACCGACAGCGCGGAACCGACAAAAGAGGGAAAAAGTGGCGCTGAGAGGCAATCAAAGGTGAAATGATGAGGAGCAATAAGCAGAGAAGAAGCGGTGATGCGATTTGACCTTTTTTACCGATGTCTTGTTGCTTCTATTACAGTGTGCCATTGCCAATATTGTTACACTTCTACAACAGTCTATATGCTCTCTATAACATCACCAACTTCTTCTTCTTCATCTAATACTAACCATCCTCATCCTACCATCCTCCACTATCATAACCTCACCCGGTGGGGCCGTCGCCGCAAGTCAATTAGATGTCTCAATCCAGCTAGCCCGATTACCCAATCCAGCCTAGCTCACTGTCGTCTAATTTACGCACCCAAACCCAAACCCGACGCCCTCGAGCAGGCTCCCCTAAAGAAAAACCCTTTGCGAACCGCTTCCTCGTCCACCTTCGTCTTCTTCTCCTCCTCCTCGTGCGCCTCCCCGTCTGGCAATTCTTCTTCAAACCGCCTCACAATGTCTGATACTCCCCCGTTGCCCCTTCTCGCTCGCGGCGGCGGCCTCCTGCGCTCTTTATCTACCTCCTCCCGCTCCTCCGTCTCCTCCTCCCGCTCCTCCGCCTCCTCCCAGCTCCGTCGCTACTCCTCCCTGCGCTCGCCCGCAAAGACCCCAGACCTCTCCTCCGCCAACAAACCACTCATCAGCTCGCCTATATCTGTCTCCCACTCCACCTTCCCCGACCCCTCCTCCTCCTCCGACCTCGACACCTCTTCCTCCTCCTCCATGCTCAACGTCGGTACCCCTGGCGCATCTGCCATGCGCCAGATCGCAAAACGCCTCGAGGACGTCGCGGTCCCCGGTCCGCCCATGCGCGACATCTGGCTCAAAAACGAGGCAAAGACATCCTCCAGTCCTCCTCCGAAGCGCAAGACTCGCAAGGAGTCTTCTTTCCGTAAGTCCTCGTCTCTCCCATCGATTCAGAGTTTTTGACTGACAAATTTTATTTTCTCAGGGACCTCCGTCGCGTGGCCCACCCGCGCCTTCAAATCCTCCCACGACTCCACCCCTCCACGCTCCTCTGCAAACCGCGAGTCCGTCATCTCCGACCCGTTCAACGTCTCTCACGTCCTCCACGTCGACGTCGACGACTTTGTCCGCAACCAGCAGTCCCGCCGCGCTCCTCCTTCTGCCCCTGAACCCCCCTGCAACCCAGCCCCCCCGGCCAAGGACGACGACAATGATTCGCAGCTTCCGCCGCCTATCCCTGCAAAGAATCCCCGGACACCACTGCTTTCTTCAACTACCCCTTCCGGCGACGCTGCTGCCTTCCACACCCCTCCTGTTTCGCCAGAGACGACAGGCAAGCTAAACCCCAAGCCCAGCCGCCCGCTGTCTGCCAACGCATTCGATTCCTCCACCACCACCACTTCTCCCTCCAAGCCCTCCATCCGGCGATACAGCCTCAACCCGCCGTCGCCCGTGAGCTCAGACAACCGCTCGTCGACCACCTCGTCGCTGATCTTCTCGCAGTCCTGGCGCGGCAGTCTGCGGAACTCGGCACATAGCGCTGATACCGAGCACTCTGCTCTCGCTCTCGGCCCGGGCGAACTGCTATACAAGACCGCAAACGATCCGCTAGATGAAGAAGAGGATGTCGACGACGACGACGACGACAGCAACGCGCGCACCCCGCCGCCTCGGCCGCCGCGGCCGGAAAATTCGTGGCTAGACGACGAGCGCGACAGGTTGCTGATCGAGGAGATCATGGACTCGTACTGCCGCTCCTCGCTGCTCTTCTCGTGCTCGTCCGTCAATTTCCAACAAGGCGAGTTTGTCCCCGGCGAACCGGTCAGCAGTCGGCGGCCGTCTGAGGTTGTCCTGGAGCAGCAGCCAGAGCACAACAACGGTGGCGCGTCGCCTGCACTTCCCAGTATCCCTCCTCTGAACCCGCTCCGCAACGCCTCTACACCATCAGACGCATGCATCCCCACTTCCACCACCTCAACCACAACAATCAGCACCGCAAAGCCCCCTCACATCCCGCTACGCCGCCGCTCCGCCGAACTCTTCCCGACCCGCGCCCAGAGCCTAAAGTACAGCGGCGGCGGACTCAATTTCCCGCTGCACAACCGGCGCATCAGCGAGGAGCCTGACGATCTGTATGATCCGGCGCATCAGCGGAGTAGTTTGCTGAAAGCGAATCGGATTAGTAGAGAGGTTTGCGCGGGGAGGGAGTCGCCTATTTTGGGTGGTGGGGGGTTCATTTAGTTATAGAGTATCGTTTTTTGCCAGTTATTCTTCATTTGCTTCATCATTTGTCATTACACTATTATCTATTGTTATTGTATTATAAGGAGAGTCGTTAGATCTGATTATTTGATCTACTTCTAACTCGCAGGTGTTGACAGGTTTCAGGCGCACGTTGTTTATATAGTCTTCTTTCGCAATAAGTTGTTCTACTTCCATTTCAGATCTACTATTCTACAAGTTGTTTTAGGGTAAAGATCACTAAATTTCACAACTAACATACAAAAACAAAACAAAAACAAAAAAAAGCAAATAAAAAGCACCAAAAACACCCAAGAAAGCAAAAGAAAAGCAAAAGAAAAGCAAGAAAGAGCACCAAAAACACCCAAGAAAGCAAAAGCAAAAGCAAAAGAAAAGCAAGAAAAAGCACCAGAACACCCGAGTCATTAGCATTTTTTTTTGTGATTGTTTTAAATATTTTCAAGAAAAAGCACCAGAACACCCAGGTCATTAGCATTTTTTTTTGTGATTGTTTTCTGTTTTCTGAAGATTCACAAGAGTATTCACTCATCACAAGTCTGACTTGCAGGTCAGGCAGACGTCTCGTGCTCGTGAGCAGAGGCGACGCGCTGCAGCGAGACGACAAAGTCCTCGAGCGAGCGCTGCTTCGACTTTGTTCGCAGGCCCTTGCCGTTCATGAACCGGTCGAACTTGACCGACTCCGACATGAGGTAGTACGCGCCGCCGAGGATGCAAAACACGCCGAAGGAAATCACGTAGACGCGCACGATGGTGACGATCGAAGTGCGGCCGCCGACGAACCAGCCGAAAGCGCAAAACAGGGTCGCGATCGCGTCGACGATGAAGACAGCGCCGGATAACTGCCAGGACGGAAGCGAAGACCAGAACGGTCCACTCGCGCGCGTGATGAAGATCAGCCAGTTCTCGGTCAGCGTGATTTGCAGGAAGAGGATCTCGTCGCGCACGCCAAAGTTCTGGATAATCCCGCGGTTGCCGTCCTCGGGCGAGACGAGCATCGTCGTCAGCGTGATCACAGAGCCGATCGCGAGGATGATGCCCAGGATCACGGAGATGCCCCAGAGTCGGCGCAGGTTCCACTTGACCGGAGTGGGCGAGTAAGGCGCGTTGTCGTAGGCCACGGCCAGGGTCGCGATGTCGGCAAAGATGGCGATGAAGACCACGAGCTCGATGTTAAGGAACTCGTTCGTGATCGCGACCCAGAGCCCCAGGAACAGCTCGAGGTGGAGCGACAGCGCAATGCGGTAGACCACGTACGAGTACATGCGGTGGAAGATCTGGCGCGACGTGCGCAGCGCGTCGATGATTGCAGACAGTCCCGGAGCGAGGAAAATGATATCCGCAGCAGACCGCGCAGCGTCAGAGGCGCCTTCGACCGCAATCCCGGTATCGGCGCGCTTGAGCGAGGGAGCGTCGTTGACTCCGTCACCAGTCATGGCCACCAAGTATCCGCGCTGCTGGAGGATCTCGACGACGTTGTACTTGTGCTCGGGAAACACCTCGGCAAAGCCATCGGCAGCCTCGACAAAGTCGTAGAACTCAGAGCCAGGCATGTTGCCCCCGCTGCCGGATCCCAGACCAAGTCGCTCGGCGTTGTAGATGTTGGTGCCCAGCCCCAGCTGGCGCGAGGTCTCGCGCGCAATCCCGACGGCATCACCAGTCAGCATCTTGATCGACAGACCGAGTCTCTTGGCCTCGTTGATTGTCTTTGCGGTGTCGTGGCGCGGCGGGTCCATACAAGGCACGATGCCGAGAATTTCCCATGGTTGGTTCGCACAACGACGGGCGACTCCCAACGAGCGAAGTCCGCGCGTGGCGAACTCGGCAACCTTGTTCTTGTAGTCCTCGACGATCTCGTCAGAGAGCGGGTGGTCGTTCGTCACCGTGTTGAGAACAAAGAGCGGAGCACCTTTCACGCAAGTCATGCGCTCGCCGGTGGGGGACTCAACGACCGCAGTAACTTTCTTTGAAACCGGGTCGAACGGTCGGAATTCGAGGATCTTGTACTTTGACAACTCCTCCTTCGCGACCGGGTACGACTTGAGCGACTTCAAGAACGCTCTGTCGATAGCATCGAGTCCCTTCTTCTTGCGCGCGGCAGCAAGGCATGCCGTCAGCATCAGGTCGTCGGGCTCGACTCCATCGACAATGTAGGGCTCAGCAAGCGAGAGCTTGTTCTTGGTCAGAGTGCCGGTCTTGTCCGAGCACAGGATCTCGACGCCAGCAAGGGACTCGATCGCAGAGAGCTTCTGCACGATGGCCTGCTTCTTGGCGAGGTAGGCCGCGCCGACAGCCATGGTCGTTGTCACGACCGCCGGCAGTCCGACGGGAACGCCAATGACAGTAATCCCGAGCGTGAACCGAAGGATGTCGACGATGTCGTTCGAGCGGTAAAACGCGGCAATCCAGACAACAAGGAGCGTGATCACGCAGAGAATCAAGAGGCTTGTTCCGATCCCGTTCAGCACCTCGGTAAAGTGGCCGCTCTTTGTCGCGGCAGCGTTAACAAGGTGCGCGGCGCGGCCGATGTAGGTGTTGTCGCCCGTCGCGGTGACAACCATGCGGCACTCGCCGCGCTTGACCGTCGACGACGCATGAAGATGGTCGCCAAAGACCTTGTCGACCGCGAGGGACTCGCCCGTGACCGCAGATTGATCGACCTGGATGAAGGCGTCCTTCGTAACTATGCGACCATCGGCAGGCAAAATCGTTCCCTGAATTAATTATTGTTAGCATTAAAGTTCATTAGAGCACACAGGAACAAGGAGCGAACTCACCTCTTCGAGATGAACAATGTCGCCAGGCACAATCTCGGGAACCTCAACCTCGGTCACTGTTCCATTGCGGATCGTTGTCGCCTTGAGCGCCAAAGTCTTCTTCAGGTCATCAACGATCGAACCCGCCTGGTACTCCTGCACAAAGCCCACGCACGCATTCAGAAGCAGCAAGGCTGAAATCACGCCAAAATCAACCCAGTCCTGCAGTCCTGCTGCCAACGCCGCGGCAGCCTAAGTTGAACAAGGGACGCGTTAGCCAAACCCTGAACCCTCTCCCACGTGTAGACAAAGAGCCAAACGCGGAAGTAAATCAATAACGAGCAAAAGAAAAACTCACCTCCATAACGAACTGAATCGGCCCCACGAAATACATGCAAAACTTGAGCGCCATGCTCTCCTTTGCCTCGGTCATCTGATTGAAGCCAAACTTCTTGCGGCGAAGGTTGACTTCCTCGGTCGTAAGCCCGGTCGCGGGACTGGTCTGCAGAAACTCTTCGGGCGTGTTGCGCACCGTCGCCATTTCGCAGTCGTCCTTGAAATCACACGAGGCAGCTTCTTTGCCGTCCTCCGAAAGAAGCTCCTCAATCAACGAATCGATATCCTTGTCACAGTTCTCAATGTCGAGTTTTTCCTCGCTCGGCAGGCGGCTGTCTCCGACGGGAGACGGGGAGGGTGAGTCCTCCTTGGGCGCGCGTCGTAAGGAAAATGGCATTGTGGAAGAGGTAAGGATCCGAAAGTAAAGAAAAAAGAAGAAAATAAGCGGAACGAATATGCAAGAAGCAGATTGATTCCAGGAGTTCTGATAAGTCAGAGAGAAAACACTAGAGCAAAGGTAATAGCACTAGTATAGAGGGAAGGGAGGGGGCCGAACAAAGAAAGGGCCGAGGGGTCTATTTATGTTCATCAGGGAATAAAGAGTAAGCATATACTCCTTGCTCCTTTGTCCGTAGATTCATGGTGCGTGGTGGTTGTAGACAAGGAGTGTTGCAACGGGATGTATGGTTCGCGATGGTCATAACGAGCGTGAGCGTCGTTGTTGCTGTTGCCAGACCTCGGTTCCTTGTTTGTGCCTTATTAGAGTCTTTGTGATCACTTTGGTACCTTCCATCCTTATTTTCAGGCAATAAGGATACAGTTTGCGAACAGTTTGTATCAAAGAGAGAAGATAATTCGATAACTTAGACACTGCCATCTATTATATAATATCTTACTAATCACATCGACGTCCCGAGAAGCGCCTCGGAGACTGTTCTAGTGTTCGCGACGATATCCCAGGTAATTGATTCCACCAGTACCGGTACTCGGAGAGCAATTCTATTCTACACAAAGACTGGACCGACATGTCTCGATCCGAAAAGCCAACGTTATCCCCCGAAGGCTGTTACTCAGCGCAGTCGATCCGGCGCTTCCTTCTGCTATCGAGATCATTAACAGACGACTCGGTATCCGCCGATCTGAACTCCCTTCCGGTGCAGCAAAGCTCGACAGAACTCGGCAGCGGGAAACTATGGCGGAAGCCGGAACGAGAGCGAGCTGGTGCGCCGCGGAGACTGTGCAAGGACTACGTCTCGACTTCCGTCTTTGAGAGCTGGAAAGCCCGCGACGACGTGTTGGAATACTGCACTTCTGTGGCTGAATCTCGGAAAAGCGAGGTCGTGGCTGCGTTTGCACAACGAGAGAAGGTCGATCCGAGGATAGATCCGTATGCGGCCAGAGATATTCCCGAGGTGACGAAGGAGGATCAGATGCTGTCGTGGATCCAGAACGAGCGAGAGATCGAGGACATTGTGCGGAACCGCACATGGTCGGTTATCGAGGGCAAGTGCTCTGACTTTAGTGCGCCAACCGGAGCTACTGATAGCTATGCTACGAGTGGATGGAAGACTGTATATTCGGAATGGAAGAGCGCAAAGTGAGGCGTGGCGGTCAGCGTCCAGAGAAACGGCTGTACTGGATTGTTCGGGTTTTCCCTGATATAGTCAGTAGGTATGGTTTATTTGGGTGCTTGCTACATAGTATGCGCTGTATATAATCGAAAGTCTTGCCGGACGTTATAAATGGCGTTGTATATATGAACAGATTCGATGTAGCAGGAGCGATGCTAGTAATATATTCTCAGACTCATTCTAAACTATTTTACATGCTCAAGATGAGCGTATGACTGGACGGTTAGTATCACTCTTCGTTAATAACATCATTGTAGGTACTAGAGAGAAAATGATCATCTGATGGTATTATCAATACGCTTGAGCTCCAGATAGCTGATGATCGTCAGCATTTTGCTTCTGGTTGCGCAGCCACAGCAACATCATGAACCAAAACAAATCAAACAAATCAACAAATCAACAAAATCACCAAGAGATCAACGACCGAACGAATAAACACCAGAAGGCTCGATTGTATTCTGCCAGGCGCAGTCGTTGATCCTATCTTCTGGTTAACAGCTATATTTGTGAGCCGTGTGACTTTTAACTTGTGACTCAAGTGTTATCGTCATCTCGACAAAGAGACAGTAGCTACTGAGCACCGCCGATATATCTGTCCTTCTCAGGTTGTTGGAGAGCTCACATTCTGTGCATACAGGTACGAATCAATCCAGCCTGGTTTCCAGCTGATGATTAGCACACAGATTTGTGCTAAATAGATTCTGCAGGACTCTTCTCCAAAAGCTACGAGGGGTGCTACTGGTGGGCGCTCATCCCTGATACTCACCTTCCTCTCCGGAAAAAAGCACAGTCCATTTCGATACCAGGACGGCAGGTTTTGAGATTAATAACGACCGATTCAATTTATGGGTGTTTTTATGTATTAGGTCCTTATAACTTTTTTTTGTTTGTTTGCCATTTTTGGCGGATTGTTCAGAACTGCCCTGGTCTTTGTTTCCTCGCCGACCTACCCCGTCACCTTCTACACCGGCGAGCTTCCATCTTCGATTATAGACACGACAGAATCGATATCTACTGTGAGGAAACACAATGCAGCATCTTGCATTTTTACCGGTCCACGCCTCTGAGGTGCCAAAGGAGGTCAAGAGCCCAAGGACTCCTCTCAACCCTCTACTCGCAGCGCTCTTCCACCCTCCCCAGCTTTCACCACGATCCCGCGATCTCGCCAATGCGCTCAAGTCACCCAGGAACTACGTTATCCTTGTTCCGACCACGACATCGCTGCTGTACACTGTCGACCAGGAGACAAACACGCCGTTCGCCGAGTTGTGCAATCAGGAAGATTTCTTGGCTTCTCATATCGTGAAGATTGGCGTCTCTGCAAAAGCGATCGGTCGCGCTCGTGTGTTTTGGACGTTGAATGGCCGCAGTATAGTCATCAAGGATGACTTCATATACACAAATAAAGGTGAGCTCCGTCCTCTTATCTTCTACAGTATTGAAAGACTGCAGCTGACATCTCTTTTCTCTGTAGGGTTCAAAACCGTCGCGCAGGCTAGACTTCTGACTGATCGCGTATACACTACAACTTCTGAATCATTACCGTACGATTCACAGTACTTGATTTATTACATCACCAAACCATTAATCGGCAATGCATCGCCTCTTTATGACTTCAAAGCCCTAGCCGCCCCCGTACCCTCCGCCGCAACAAAACCGGCCAATTCAGCAAAGAAAATCACCACCTTTGGCCAGCTACTATCGCATTTCCCGTTAATAGCACGGCAGATCCAGGAGCCGCTCAATACCATCTTTGAGAACTTTGACTGCTCCGAAGCTACCGAGCCTGACCTGGTGACGATGATTGAGGACGTGATGGAGCGAGGAATCGCGCTGTTCCAGAGTATAGACCACTCGGTCGTCAACGCCATGGCTAGCTCGACCGGACTTACAGGCCCTGAGATTGAAAAAATGCTCGAAAACTATGTCGGAAAACATCTTCACGCAAAGATCTGGCCGCGGTTGACGGTTCTGCGCGCGCTCAAAGACTCAATCATCAGAGCCGCTGTCAAAAACATGAAAAACATCAGTCTTGGCCAATTAGGTGTGCAACCGTTCTGGGTAGACGGCGGTGACAGTATAGAAAGGATGGTCATGAGCGCAGTCGTTGATCTGGAAAACATTAGCAAGGGAGAGAATGCGGCGAGCCAGGTTGATGAGCTCGTCAAGATATTACGAAACCTTGGCGTTGTTCCTCCGTCTCAGCCGGATGTGCCGACAAGCAACGGTGATAATTCCTCGAGCTCAAAGGAGAGTAAAGAGAAGTTGGCGGTCCAGTCGAACGTTAGCGCGGACGTCCTTGTCAGTCTGATGATTGTTGTCGTGTAAGTGATTACTTTGGCTACTTTACTGTTGACCGTGCTCTAGCTGATATTGATATTCTCTACAGGACATGGTCGAAATTGGACCACCTTGACTCGCTCTTATTCTACATGCGCAATTTCTCCTTTCTAGACGTCGACACCGGTGAAGTTGGCTACGCTCTTTCGACCTTCGAGGCTGTGATCTTCCATATCATGAACAACAGCTCCAAGCTAGCCATTGTATCCAGCGCCAACGCCGTCTTTTGGAAAAACATCCGCAGCGGTAAGACTATCAAACCAGCGTTTGAGACTCCAGGCGAGTATTTTGATGCCGGAGGAATCGACGTGTCTGAAATCGAATCTTTGGAGCAAGTCTATCGGAGTCGGAATAGCTCGGGCGAAAGCGCAATCATGATGGCCGTGCAGGCGTCGCCCGTAAATCTTGAGAATCTGGAGTATCTGCTTTCAAAACGAGAGATTTTTCCGATCGAGGCGATTCTGAGAGACCAAAACCAGTTTCAGACCACTCTATTTTCTGCCGCAGTCCAAAGCGGAAACAAAGGTGTCATTGACGCGATTTGGAAGGTTCTAGCTGATAACTACAGCACGGAGGAGATCAAGCGATATCTGGCACGGAAGGATGAATGGCAGCGGAGTGCAGGACATTATCTTTTCAACTTCCCGGAGCTGATCAGTTCAATTGGCGGCCTTATTTCATGGACCGGCAAAGACCAAAATGGCCAGACGCCGCTCTTTGCTCTGTGCCGGTCGTATGATCATGCTGAGTACACGGCATTGGTGAGGATGGGCATCGACGCTGCGACAAAGTATCAGCCGGGTTCCGGAGGACTGAGATTTCTGGACCATGTGGATAACAAGGGCAACACGCTGCTGCATATCATGAAAGATATACCCTCGCTCGAGTACCTTCTTGATATCTGCGATATCGATGTCAACCGGGTGAACGACAAGGGGCTTACACCTTTGATGGTGAATAGCAAATTCTCGCGCATCGCAGCTATCGAGACTCTCACCAAGCGCGAAGAGGTCGACATCTCTCGACGAAACTTCCGCGGTCTGAACGCGGCTGAGCTCGCAAAGGATGAAACTACTCGATCGAGGATCGAGGACATTACTCTTTTCAGCAAATGTCCTTTACCGAATGGCAGAATTACGTCTGTTCTGCGGGGTTTCTTTGCCGACGACAATGTGCATTTCATTGTAAAGTCTGGGATTCCACCAGGGGTCTCCACTATCACTTCTGTGAAGCGGACGTTTGCCGACTTTACGTTTATGGCGAGGTGGATGGCATACGAGCTTCCTGCTTCTTGGATTCCAGTGCTGAATATTCCTCACAACCCGTTCGCGATCCCATCTCGGCCGTCGAGATCTGTCGTTAGAGAAGTCCAGTTCAAGCTAGATTACTTTTTGCGTACTTTGCTTCTGCATCCAACCTTCTCTACTCATGAGCTCTTGTGGGAGTTTTTCCTAGTCGCCGAGTTGACCAAAGATCTGAGCGAGAAGCGGAGCAAGCAGAAAGCGGAGAGCAGAAGAGATACGTTGGAAGATGAGTATCCTCCGGTCGAAAACACGGACGAGGTCGTCATATTCTTTAATCACGCACTGAAAGAAATGAGACGTCTTGACGAATCGTTTTTGAGAGTCGTGACTTGCGGAACTGCAATGTACCAGAAGCGTTTAGGTATGAGAATTTTGAGAGTTCAATTTGTGGCGAGAATATAAGCTAACGGGTTGTATAGATCTGGCTGAGGCTTATTCTGCGATAGAAGGATACTTCAAATCCTTGACGTTTCTTCCTATCTCGTTTGTGGACGCCTTGACGGAATTGACGGCTCTTTATCAAGTGGTGAGTAGCTCAACTAGTGTTTTCTAGAAGTGCCTGACTGAGATGCTAATTGTAAATAATAGAGCGATTCTCATCAGGAAGTGATGGTCCAGGAACTACACGGAGCATACTCAGCTGTCAAGTCTCTTGTCACTGCGCTCGCGCGTCCAAACTCGCTTGTGGAAGATCTCATGAACAAAACCAACCAGCTAAACAAGTACAAAACGTCGCTTCACCGCGCCTCTACAAGATTACCCCTTGGCTTACTCGACGACACGCGTTCTCGTTACGCTCAAGATGCGACGCATAATATTCAGGCTACCAAGGACGAGATCGCACTGCTTGGGTCGGAGATTCGATACTCGCAGACTATAATGGCGTCTGAATTGGGAGGCTTTAACGATATGCACGAGAAGGAAGGGCTTCGGATTATCGGCGAGTACGTGAGGGAGAAGCTAAAGTGGGAAAAGGTGCGACTGAAGGGCATGAAGAGTGTTTTGGAAAAGATCAAGGCATAGAGGAGCCATATTTACTGCGATTCGGCTCGAAACCCGAGACAATGCTTGTACATAATTAGTGTTTTGAAGTGTGCATTCATCTCTGAGTTACGTTATTGTGCTGGATGCACCCTAATTCTCTCACGTTGAGTTGGTCGAGATACTTCTTCTGTTTTCTCCTTTTTTGTGTCTACTCTTGCTGCAGTGTATTCTCATGTATTTTGTCTGCATTTACTAGGTTTCGTTTGTTTACAGAAAGAAATTGTTTCAATGCCTATGATTACTACATAATTCGTAGATACATGCGAGCGAGGAATATCGAAATCGTCTCCGATAGCGGGCGGGCCAGTTGTTCTCGAGGTGTTTCCGGTGAACATATTTCCGACTCATAGCTACAAACAGTAAATAGTGAGCCTCCGTGGCAATTACATAGGCCATGATTTCAGATAACAGTAGCAGTAGAGCTCCTGATAGAGAAATAGGCACAATAGTCTGAACGCTTATCGGCTGATCCGTTACTGGGAGGTCTGGTAGTCTGCGGCTTCTCGGAGTCGTTTTCCGGATAACGGAAAACAGTCCGCCAACTCCAACCTCTCTCGATCTCCATCTGCACCGCCTTCAGATCCGCAACCTCAATTGCATCGCAGAATCACTATGGCAGGCTCACCTTTTGTTACCAAGGACAACTATGTCCCCGTCAAAGCACCCAAAACATTCGCCGACTTCCCGTCCTTCGATGGGTTGCCAGACAGACGCCGTTTCTGGGTCTGGGGCCCTCCCGGGTCTGAGGAAGAGGCTCTTGGAATGCTCAACATGCTCACACCAGAACTAGTAGCTTCTGCTGCTGCTAAGGAGATCAAATACGGAGAGCGTGTTGGTCTTGGATGGACATTCGACAAGCTCGATTTCCCGCCCTTCAAGCGTGCAAATTTCAAGCACGACATCAAATGGGTGTCCTTCCCGTTCGCGTTCGATGACGAGTACCACATGAACCCCCAACAGTCGTCTCAATGGGATGGATTCCGTCACCACTCTCAGTTCGTTGACCCAAATGTCACTTCGCGCGAAGAACTAGCAGGCGTCAGTGATCCCGATGAGGCAAGTATCTGGTATGGCGGTACTTCTGCGCATGAGGTGCTTGACCGCTCAAACGACCGTATCAGTATTCACCATTGGGCAAAGAAGGGAATCGCTGGCCGTGGTGTCTTACTGGATTACGCTTCTTGGGCCGATGAACAAGGCATTAAGTACTCCACCTTTGATAAGCATGCAATCCCCCTGTCGGATTTGCTCAAGGTTGCCGAGCGCTACAATGTCACTTTCGAGCCCGGCGATATTCTCTGTGTTCGGATAGGCGTCACGAGAGAATGGCTTACAAAAGACGACGAATGGAAGGCCCAGTACCAGAAGACTGTCCCGCCGGATCACGCTGGTATCGAACAGTCTGAAGAGCTACTACGATTTATCTGGGATAATCACTTCACCGCCCTGATCGGAGACGCAATTGCTTGGGAGCTCTATCCTAACCCCAACCAGAGCCTGTCAGTTCACCAGACTGTCCTTGCCGGATGGGGTGTTCCGCTTGGCGAGCTTTTCGATCTGGAGGCGCTGGCAGCGCTTTGCAAGGAGAAGAACAAATACTCGTTCTTCTTCACTAGCATGCCGTTTAACGCGGTGGGTGGAGTGTCCTCCGCTCCCAATGCCATGGCCATTTTGTAAATTACTATATTGCAGTCGTTTTGGCAATACCAAAAGAAACCTATTATTGATCGTTGAAGAATCAGATCTGTGCAGCATTTCTGTAGAGTTGTCATCGTGTCCAAGTCTCGGACCACGGTACGACAGCATCCGTTGCTGACAGTTTCATCCACGCGCTTCCAAGCCGGAGCCTTCAAAATTTCCACGTTCCTCATAACTTTTTCTTATTTCCAGCCAACTCCTACTCTTCATCTAAACTCTCTATAACATCACCACCACATCAATCACTATGCCATCCTCTAAAGAAGATTTGGCGTTGGGAATTGTCGATTTCCTGAAAACCTCGATGGCCGACGGCACCATCGCCGAGGAAGACCGGGATTCGGTTGAAGTCGCTGTCGAGTGCTTGTCTGAGATTTTCAAGGTTGATCTGTCGCGCAAGCAGGAGGTTTTCCCTAAACAGACCCTGTTATCGATCTTCCAGGCTTACGAGAAAGTCCGCGATGCGCAGGCTGCGCGTGCTGCCTCGTCGACTCCGGCTGCCACATCGACACCCGCGCCCGCCGCCGCCACCCCTTCTACTCCTACAGTGTCTGACGAAGACAAGGCCAAAGCCGAGGCTCTCAAGGCCGAGGGAAACAAATTTGTTGCCTCAAGAGATTATGAGAAGGCGATTGACGCATACACAAAAGCGATCGAGCTTGATGGAACCAACAAGATTTACTACTCCAACCGTGCTGCTGCCTACTCGGCCTCGAAGGCTCACGACTTGGCAATCAAGGACGCCGAGAAAGCCCTTGAGATTGACCCGAAATACGCGAAGGCCTACTCTCGTCTCGGACTAGCAAAGTACGCCAGTGGTGATCCTCAGGGCGCTATGGAGGCTTACAAGGCCGGTATGGACGCCGAAGGAAACGGTGGATCCGACGCTATGCGTAAGGGATACGAAACCGCAAAGGCTCGTGTCGAGGAGGATCTCTACTCTGCTGTTCCAGAAGATTCCGGTGTCACCGAGCGGGGAACAGGAGGTGCTGCTGGCGCAGCGGGCGGGATGCCTGACCTTTCCTCACTCGCGGGAATGTTCGGAGGTGGCGGTGGCATGCCTGATCTCTCTTCTTTGATGAGCGATCCTAGAATCTCGCAGATGGCTCAACAATTCATGTCGAACCCCGGTGCTCTTGAGGGTCTGATGAGCAACCCTTCTGTCCGAAGCATGGCTGACCGCGTCAGAGGTGGAAACATGCCTAGCATGCAGGAGATGATGAACGATCCTAACATTGCCAACTTGTAAGACCCTTCTTCTTTCTTTAGATTTGTCGATAAGCTTGATTGCTAACTATTATCTGCAGGGCACGGAATTTCATGGGAGGCTCAGGCGATAACGCCGAGCAATAAGCGAACGATGATGTGAGGCAAATGAGGTCTCTATTTTATGAGAACTCACACCATCTATATTGTTGTATACGAGCTTAATGTCAATTCTAATTATTCCCATGGCTCCTCGGGCGACGGCACAGTGACAGAAAACAACGACTGCATCAAAATATCTAGAATCTCATTCGCCGGTGATGATCAACTTGCTAATCCTGCAATTCTGAATAATTGCTGGTTTCGGCCAGCGATGTGTTGAACAAAATTTCACAATTCACATCTATATCTGAGGCAAACCAAATGAAATTCTAGATACTCTGTTGCTTGTAGTCAATAGTCTGGTTATGTTTTACGTGCTTTCCTCGTACGCGTCGACCTCACAGGTCGGGCAGTCTCGATCTCTGAATTGATCTCCTCCGTCGTCTCGATCTTCTTCTTAGACGTACCCCTTCTCTTTGTAGTCTTCTCTGTCACTTCCGAAGACGCAGTCACTGTGCGCTTCTTGGTCTCAACCTTGACATCAACCTCCGTAGTTTCCTCGCTGATCTCACTTTCAGGAGATGTCAGCATCTGCAGTTCGGGCACAAAACAGCTAGTTCGTCCCCCAACAGTGACAAAGTCTACTGTGTACCCATCCGCAGTCTTTGGACGTTCGCCTTTCTTTGATCTTTTACTCCAGCGATGTTTCATGAGCCATGATTTCGGGAATGCGTTGACTGGACAGAAGTTAGTACTGTGGATACCACGAAGGAATATAAGCGTGGATCGCCTTACTTTGATGAGTCACGGTGTATTCTGATATCTCACATAGCTTCTCATATAAGAGCTTCTGAGTAGATGGGGGAATCGTGTTTGAGTACTGCTCAGGACTAAAGCATGTCGTGTCAGTCAAGATTATAGCTTTGGAAAACTAGACCTCTTAGCACTTACTGTACTCTAGACTGAAACAAAATCTCGTCGCTATGCGAGCTTTCAATGTCAGCATGCGAAAACGAACAGTGCGTCATTCCAAATCTAGATATACGTACGCCATCCAATTTCCAATTCCCGCGCAGACTGCTTGATCCAACAGCAAGCTCTTCACGGGGACCTTTCGTTTGCTGACAATCTGCGTAAACTCCTCTTCACTCAATCTCGAGTCTCGTTTAGAGAAATCCTTGCCAGAGCGACAAAGTGGCTCGATTTTCTTGAGCGCTTCCTCGGCGGCGCTCATGATGTCGCCCTCATCTGACGATTTCATATCCGAATCGATCTCAAGAAAGCGTACACGTGCTAATCTTCTAGGATCAGTGAAGCTAAACTCGAGGCCATCTTCCGCAGTGAGCAAGAACTTTGAGAATCTTGGAGGCCAGCCTTCTTTCTTCTTTTTCTCATCATAGCCTTCAGGCTTTTCCCCATCTTTTGACGCCTCCATTGGGAAGAAATTGGAGTTGACATCTCTAATGTGAACCCAGCCTGTCATTCCTAAATGTAGCAGCATAACTTCTATTGCAGATCCCATTTTTTTAGCAGTCGCTCTCTTACTCCCCGCCTGACTGTCATTCAGTACGATCCAGAAATACTTTCCGTGTCGGCCAACATCAACGATCTTCTTGGTAGCATATCTTTTCTCGATCTGGGATCGAATTTCGGGCGTCTGCGAGGGGAAAACAATCGTGTCGGTTTCCAGTTGAAGTTTGGAGATGCGCTTGCCTGCTAAATGCTTCGACAGTAGCTTTGCCGCGTGTGCGACCTACATTCTCTGGTTAATCCTGGATATTACAGAGAGATATCACTGCTCAAACAGTCAAAACATACTTCTCCGAGCTCAGGCATGTCCTTGAATCCTTTTTTACGTAGATCAAACTACGAAGGCAGTACGCACAACATTTTACATGTCTCCCAAGCTCCGCGGCGATAATTAGCGCGATATTCTACGCGTGTCAATCGCGATCTACTTCTCAACGCACGTGATCTGAATGGGGAATTGCAGATCGACGTGTTTAAAAATGATACCAAGGTTTTGTCTACGTAGAAAAATACCAGATTATTTGGCGTGAATGCGATATTCGTGGAAAGCATGCTGTGAACTTCTTGGGTTCACAGTAGACAAGATACAGTAGGTGACGCACTCTTCGCAACTCCCACTTTCGTAGCTGACTCGTGTTTACAGAATCAATGCGCGTTCTCAACGACACTATAGACCTCCTTGACCACTTCGTATAGCGCGTCAGATGTAACTGTACCGTTATGTGACCCTCCATCAACAATCTTTAGCTCGTTGGACCATTGTGCCGGGTCCAAGGCCTGCTTCATAGTCATGGTTTGCCGTGTACTTAATAATTCATCCTGGGACGATTGAACGAGAATGATCTGGCAAGGCATTAGTAAGTAGCAGCAATTGAATCAGCAAAAAAAACATAGACGCAGCAGTCCTTACCTTGGAGTTTGATCCCTCCTTAAGCTGAGGCCAGTTGAAAGAAGACGGCGAGGCATCGCTCCATTCTAACTCATCGTCGCCAAACGCCATGGCCACGAAACTTCTGTAATCCGGATATTCCTCAACCAACCCTTTCAAATCGTATATACCCTCTACCGCTACCACCGCCTTGATTTTGTCGCCCAAATAACCGTCTTCCAGTCTTTCGCTCCCCAGTTCTTTAGATGCCACCGTCAGAGCGGTAAGCTCGGCAAGAATCTGCAGTGCTATACATGCACCAGCAGAGTGGCCAACTAGCACTATACTTTCCATAGAGTATTTAGAATTCAAATACCTCAGTGCTTGCAACACATCATTCATATGTGTCGGATGCTGCACAGCGGGCGATAATCTATAATCAATAGACGCGCCGGACCAGCCGCCTGGGAGCGTGCGAGCGAGAAGTGGATAGCCCATTCGTTTGTCTTCGGTTGGATCTCGCCATGCGCCTCCGTGAATATATATGACCCATGGTCCTGGAGTAGAGGAACCTCGGGACTCGGCGCTTTCGAAAATCGTGATTGATTGCTGGGAGTGTTCTGGCTCGGCATCCGCAATATATGAAACCGAAACTGGATCAGGTCGAAGTGCCATTATTGAGCGCTACCCTTTTGACAGCTCAAGAAGAAATTCCGGTTCTCTAGGTCTGGCAGTGAGACCAATATTATTCCTTTTTCTTTTGTTGGCAAGCAGACACAAACTAGAGAAATGTAGTGAGGAAGAAATGAGATAATTTCAGTCAGCGGAAATACTCTGATCTGAGATCATACCCCACAATCATGAGCAGCAACTGATTTTTGCCAAAGCAATCTGCACGCAACCAGCGCCCCGGAAATCAAACGAACAAAGAGAAAACAGAAGGACAAAAAAAACAAGCTGAATTGTACATCAAAAAGACCAAAAAAAAATATTTTTAAAGGTCCTGCCCGGATTCGAACCGGGGTTAGCGGAAAACTCGAATAAATCAGAATCCGCTGTGATAACCAGCTACACTACAGAACCTTTTTGTTGACAAAAAACTTGACTGGTTCAATATAAGCCCAGCTTTTCACAGCTCTAACTCGCGCTTTGCTCTACGTTTAAAGCATATCACGTGAATTTCTTATTCCCTTCTGCAATGGGTGAGGTCATACTCGCCCTACATCCTAGTCTATTTCAGCCATCGTTGTGCACAGAAACGTTGCACCAGCTTTATGCCAATGATATATTGCATCGATCAAGAGCTGGATCATTAAACATGCTTTGGGGCACTATTGTGACCAGATTTTCGATGTCGAGCGCGTACTGAGTCTTTCATACTTCAGATCTGAACGCGACACGTGACCGCAACCGCGCTGCTGAAGTCGATTTTCTCGCTCGATACCTCCATAGGTGGCATGAAAATAGCTCTGAGAGTTCTTAATATAGTAGTCAATCATGCGACATCTGTTGGAATTATGAAAAACCGAGTATATTCCCCCAAACACAGGCTTTCCGCTGTGCAATTGTCACAAGCTTAAATTGGGAATGTTTTTAATATTTGTCTAAGTTGAGCTTCAATGGCACAATGGCAGCGCGTAGGATTGCAGATCCCGAGGTTCCTGGTTCGAATCCGGGTTGGAGCTCACCTTTTTTTTAATGGTTTTTTTTGCGCTATCTCCTCGATATTTTTTTACAAACGATGTTTATATGTCTTTGACGAAAGAAATGATGCGATATTGATAGTAGTATTGTACAGATACACCCTGCTTAGTGACTGAAATTCAGCAAATGATAGTGATGGGAAAGAAAATAAATAATATACAGCCACGCTACATTGAAAGCAAAAGAAATGAACGATTTACCAAACAAAACACATAATGCTGAACACTGGAGGAATAAAACTTGAAATCAAATTTACTCCCCGTCGTGCCCGTTTTCATTCTCAGTCACACCGTCGTTCTCCTGACCTTTGACATCTTGGGTCGAAGGATTGGCGTCATTGTCCTTTAAAGCAAGTGTGAAGCTCTTTTCGAACGGGGATACGTCTAGGCCTCCATTCTCGCCATTGCCGACTGCTAGATTTATAGACTTGAGCGCTTGCCGTAGAGTATTCCCAGAGTTGTCTAAAGCGGTTAAGAACCGTGCAAGTTCTTTGCACAAGTCCCAGTCCTCCTTTTCAACTGCAGCTGAGAATAATCTTATCATGTCTGAAGATGTGTCTTCGTGCTGCTCTAGGGAGTGCAGAATGAGAAGGTAACCGCCAGCAGTTTTCAGACGACCCAAAGACATGCATTGTTCAAACAGGTCTTTGGGGGATCCCACGATATCAAAGAGAGTGTTCCAAGACGCCATTTCTGTCTTTCTGGTGCAACCAACAAGAACATCGAGCATCTCGGGGAAGTTTCGTAAGAAATGAATGACTCTGGGCAAGAGGGCTTGATCTGGCGGTGGAGGATTATCGGCTTCTTCATCGAGAACGTCATGGAGCATCATTTCGAGAGCATGTCCAAAGTACTGAAGATGCTTGAATGATCTCGCAATCGTGAGAGCTTCTGACTCTTGCGAGTTCGCAAGATAGTATCTCAATATCTGGTGGATGAAAAGATGTGTTCTCGTAGTGTTGGCAGAGTATGTGAACGAGACGTTCCTTCGATGGATCAGATTTGTCTCGACTCCGATAATGATGCCTTTGTCCAACAAGAAGGAGAGAGGATAGAAGTCAACCTCAATTCTGATGGGATCAGGAATCGCATCACTCTTTGGGTTGCTAAACATCTCCTCCAGCCAGACAACAACATCCGTTCCATCAAAGGCCCAAATGCTGTTCTTCAGAAGGCCCTTGGTTGCGATCGTGTAGTACTCTATATTTTGCATCAAAACCTTCATGCCGTACTTCAAATCTCCTCCTTGCTGCATCGGGTGGAGAACCACCAGTTTTCCATCAATCAGAAAAACAATCGTCGCTTGCGAGATATCATTGACCGGGTTGCCGCTTCGGAGTTGATTGTCAGGCAGGATCCAGTTTATTGCTCGGACTCTTGCGGGAGCGTGCACGATTCCGGTAAATGACACCTGCCCGACTAGTTCAAGACGGAAGCTGAAAGCGTTGGAGTTGATGACAAATTGGTAAAGTGTGTTGGTATACGTGTAGACCAGCAAGGAGTCGCCAACGAGGGTCATCAGAATGATAGAAGAAGGGACAGCCTGGCTGTGGAGCACTAGCGCATCGTCTAATTCGTTTTCTCGGGAATAAGCTCGAATCTGTCAAAGAAATTTGTCAGTGTGATCCAATCATAGAGAAATTTACTAGCAATGTAGCTGTACTGACCTCGTGAGTACTATGTACTGTAGTAACACAGACGATCAGAACATTTTCAAACCAGAGCATTCCTCCGTGCGCTGTAAAATTGCTTTCCATTCGCTCATCCACGAAAAATTTCCACCGTCCAGAGTAAACGCTATAATGACCCAAGCCCTTCTTTCCTGCAATCGCAATGTATCTGCCGTCGCCGGATATGCATGCCTGCTGAATAGGCCAGTACTGAGAGAGATATGTATAGGGGATCGCAACTTCTTGCCACAGAATCGCTTCGTGAGATATTGTTGTAAGATCTGACTGGTCTTGACCTCTGTAAAGAACTAGTTTCTCGTTTGTGAATAAAAGTGTTCGCGTCAAATTGTCCTGTGATAAAAAATTCATAAGTTAGTTTCCCGTATTGCACTCTTATAAGGATTATTGACGATCAAATAGTGACATACCGAACTATAGTTGCTACAGAGACTCCAGCGAGCCATCTCAACTGTCCATAGTTCAGCGCTATTGTACGGAACTATTATTAGCTCTCCTCCGTTCGACGTCCATATCGCATCTTTGGCCCCAGACAGCCACGGTTCTTTCTGAAATTTGCCGTCTTCAGAAAGCATCGAATGTCCCTGGATCTTTCCGTTGACGGAAAATAGTGCCCACCCACGCTCGTATCCGGCAAAAAGAGAATAGCCATCGGGGGACCAGGTCAGTACTGTAACAGTCCCGAATGAGGGGAATGGAGACTTGAGTTCGCGAAGCAAGGGTATGTGACCAGAGTAGTCTTTGACGTTGTACAAGTAAATAGATCCACCGGTAGTTCCAACACCAATCAGACTAAATCGAGAATTTATGGCGATTTTCCGAACAAAACCGCGGTCATCAGCTGATTTCGGTCGCCCATTATGGTCGTGCGATGAGGATTGCGAAGTCGGATTTGTAAGCTTGAAGCCAGTAAATAGTTTCATTCTTGGCGGCTTCTCGCCGCTCGGAGAAGGCGGAGGTGTTGCGGCCTAAAACTAGTCAGCGCTTGACATAAAACAGAAAGCGATCAGAATCGAGGTAACGTACTGTCGGAGTCTTGACTACTGCCCACCCTTTGCCATTACTGCTGATCCAACCGAACAAACCCATTGCACGCTCATAGACAATGTTTGTAATTCGCTCCCTGTATTGAAACCATTCCATGTGCGAAAGTAACTCCGTTCGAGTTTGTGGACCGCCCTTGGCATCTGGAGTCCAGCGAATTAGTTGAGCTGCGGGAGGTGAGGTCGTGAGCACCAGAAGTTCATCTTCGAGAGCGATAGCACTATGAATGAGAATACAACATTAGAAAAACCAAAACCAGATGTTTGTCTTGTAGCAAATCTATCGCAACTTACCAGTCGATTCCAGCGTCAACCTTGATGACCATGCGAAATCTAATGTTTTCCTCGAGTGCACCATGATCTTCACCTGGACCGGGCAAGATATGAGGGAGCGAATTTGTGGTCTCAAAGTTAAGCTTCCCGACCCGATTATTGAGATTCTGGGTTATGTTGTAGGTGAGGAAGTAGCCTGACGATGTTTGGACCACAAATAACTGGCTATCGGGTCTGATTAGGATATCCACATTTTCGCCGTATGTTTGGATAGAAGACGGTGTGCGTAGGGCTATCGCAACAGGTACGAATGGCTATTTAGTAATTAGAAACGTTAGTCACGGTAATCGTAAGAAATAGATGAAGAACTAGACGCACTCTGTTTTGATAAACATATAGGACTGAGCGCGTAATTATACCAATAAGATGGCCATTACGAGCAAGCTTGATCGCCAAAATCGGACTCGAGCTGTTACTGTCGGTAGAAGGAACAGATAAAGAAGCCTCAGAAGTACCGGGAGAGAACTTTGAGGCATGTGGGAGAGGGGGTAAGGAGAAGACTCGAGGGGTCGAGACCGGCCAGTACATGGTTGATTATGTTCCGCCCAACCAAAGCACCAGTACGAGTGTAGAATAAATGCAGGGAAAAAAGGTGCGCTTAACAAAGCATACCAATAATAAATTCAGGAAAGCACCAGGGCACGGTGTTATAAGGGATAGCCGAAGGAGAACAAAGAACGGTAGTCGAAAGGGCGAAGGCGGGGTGGTGATGGTGGAGCGTTTAGCGAGCGCAGGAACGACTAAATTCGCCCAAGCTTCTCAGCTGAGCCCACTTTCTATCAGCTGGCTAGGCCGTTTTTATAACCGCACTCTACAGAACACGTCTAAAATTCTCAAGTTCAGGTCTATCTTTATATTCTAAAATACATCATATATATCACATTATAGCTAGTTAACAATTGAGGATTATGCACTATATACAAGAAGAGCTATTTTTACATCATCTTTCGAGATTTATGGCGTTGCCGAATTTTGCGTATAACGACGCCTTCAGATCATTCATTTCGTCTTTGATCGTGCCTACTTTCTCGTCTAATTCGGAGAGAGAAGCGCTCGCATTTTCTAAATCACCAAATGATATGTTAGTTTTGCAATTCTCACGTAAAAAATGCGTATTTGTCTTGAGTTGCGACAGACGGCACCCACCTGTGTCTTTCTCCAATCTCTCGACCACTTCAGATTGCTTGATCCAGTAGAATGTATCTCCGACCTTGTACCTGTTTTCAAACAGTCAGAAATTGTCTGTTTTGTTAAAGCGATTGATGCCTGGTCACGTACTGCACTAGCTCATCTTCGTCTATCAGTTCGATCTCGGTGCTGACGTCCTCGAGATACTCCATCTCATCCTTAGTCTTCTGGTACTCCTCCTCAAGATTTGTCAAACGAGTATTCAATTTCGAGAATGTGTTTATCCGGGTCTGATCTTCCCACGAGACCTGGACATCGGGCGTCTCCTGCCCCTCTGGAAGCTATATTACATAGAACAATCGTCAGTAATGGATGTTCTCAGCCTCGGGCGTGCAAACATTCGCGCATTATGCACAACTCCTTAATACGTCTATCACTCTTGTATATCAACATACCATTTGCAAACTCATTATTAGGTATTATAGAACGAACGATCTGCCAAATCCACAACAGCTTTGTCGACCTGTCTTCTCTCGCTCGCCCTGACCTACATACGCCGGGCAACGAGACCTAACCCTCGCCAGGACCAAAATGAAAGTCTATTTCCGAGCGCGGCCGATCGAGCGTGAGATTTGAGATATCCGCAGACGGGCACTCTGCTCGCTCTCACACTTCACACTTCCTTCTCGTCGTCGTTGTCGCTCTCCTCCTCCTTTCGTTCTCCTTCTTAGATGTCAGGGCGATTGTAGCTCTTCTTCTCTGATGGTGAATCCACTATCGGCCTTTCAGCCCTCCGGCGGCTCGTCCGTCCGCACCTCCTCTCCCGTCAGGCCGGGCCGCCCCGCGATAGCGACCGTATCTAGCGTCAACGCGTCAGCTACTCCCCATCCAATCCGCGTGCTCCTCGAGTCCCTCAACAGCGACGACGAGTTTGTCTTTCGCCTACATAGTCTATATGAGCTTCAACGCAATATTGTCGAGTCGCCCGAGGCGAAAGACGTCTTCAGGCTCTCAGGCGGTTTCGAAACGGTCTTCGACTGCCTAAAATCGATTTCCATCACCGAAGACGACCACGACTTTTCTGAGCCGGTCGAGCTGCTAAAATGTGTTTTCAACATCTTCTCAGATGCTCTACTGAACTCTCCCGTCAGTCAGCGCTATTTCAACGAGAAAATTGGCGTTGCTAGACTCAAAGAGGTCGTCATGAGTACGAAGTTGATCCAGCACAGCTCCAGACAGGTTCTCGGCATTCTCTTCGCCTTCGCAATCTCCGACTTTTCCCTCTCTGCCATCTTTGTCTCCCTTTCTCGCGGCATATTGACACTTCCCGACAATTCTTCCCCGACCGATATCCTGCAGCTCCTAGACGACCGCGTGGGTAACTCCTTTTCACGCGAAATCATACGAAATCCCTCGATCATCTCTTTCATCCTCGACGTCACTCTGGAGCTACCGCAGACTGAAGTGTACACAGCAGTTGCCTCCGTTATCAGTCTCACCACACTCGCCAACGCTTCAACACACAACAAAGTCTCGATATACAATACCGGCATCATGGACATTATCTTACCGATGATGTGGAACGACCACTCTCTCGACTCAATAGTTCACAACGAAATCAAGCTCCTTATAAATTCTCTTATGGAGTTTGGAGTTGAGACTGCTACCGCCAAAGGGTTCTTTCGTCAGTCGCTACAGTCTGAAGAAGCTGCTCAACTACTTCTTTCTGGAATCAGATCCTCTCGGGAGCCGGCTCACATCGTCTTCGATTTATCGCTTCTTGGATTCTCAACAGTTGAAATCAACTCTCTTGGAAAGGCTTTCCCACCAGTATCCTCGGGCTACACATTCACCTCTTGGTTCAAGATCGATCAGTACGACAACTCTAATCACACAACCTTGTTTGGAGTCTTCGACAACTCTCAGCGTTGCTTCACCCTGGTATACATAGAAAAAGAGACTAGACGACTGATCCTGCAGACTTCCATCACATCATCTCGGGGCTCAGTGCGATTCAAAAATTTCACTTTCAACCCCGGTCAGTGGTACTTCATCTCCATCCTGCACAAGAAGTCACGCGTCAGCTCTATCTCAAAAGCATCTCTATATGTCAACGGCGAATTTATCGAATCAGTCAAGTGTCCTTATCCTTCTTCACCACCAAACGACGGAGCCGCTCAAGCGTTCATCGGTACACCTTCTGATCTGTCTGCCGGCCCCGGACGGAACTCAGTCCATTCTATTTGGCGGTTGTCGTCGCTGCATATATTTGAGGACATGCTTTCGGAAGATGTTCTGGCTGTTCACTATCGGCTAGGTCCAAGGTATTACGGAAATTATCAGGACGCTCTGGCGAGCTTTCAAACCTACGAGGCCTCGGCAGCTCTCACTCTACGAAATGAGAGCTTAAACTCGGGAAGGGAGGAAAGCAGCGATATCATCAACGCAATTCGCGGGAGAGCAGCAAATCTTCTTCCGGAAAATAAGGTGTTGCTCAGTGTGCATGGAAAGAACGTCCTAGATCCGCAAACATTACAGCACGATCATGGTTTCAAACAGTGCCCCAAAAATATTCTGCATCTGAGCAGGAACCATCTCATTGTTTTCAACGCTGCCGTCCCCGATATAAATATCGCCTTCACTTTGCATAACGGTTTTGGCATCGGATCCGGAGGCCCTGTTCCAGCGATCCCAAACAGCTTAGATGATGCTGTTTGGAGGATAGGTGGATCGGCGTTCGGATTGAAGATGGTTGAACTGGCGAAAACCCCAGACCAGTTATGTCGGGCTCTTTCAATTACATTTGAGTTGCTGCGGGAAAATTGGAGAAACTCCGATGATATGGAGCGTGTTCATGGCTTTGCGATTCTTGCAAATCTTATCAAAATGAAGAATCAGCCGGAGTTGATCAACAAAAATTTACTCGATATCATTTTGGACTTTGTGGGATATGACTTCGAGGATCCAAAAAACTCAATGCTGATCAACCCGCTTGCATATCGGATTCTGATCGTTGATTTCGATATCTGGAAGATCGCAGACATTGAGACACTGAAAGCATACTTTGCCCAGTTTGCCGTTTTCGGACTTCAAAGCAAGTTTCACGGTTACAACTCGAAACGGTTAACTAGAATGAGTGAGTTCAGAGCTTTGCATATATTGATTCGTTTCCTGTTCGTCTCCTGTTGCCTGCTAACAAAGAGTGTGTCATAGGAATTGTCAAAAAGTTTCTACAGTCCCTGAAGTCGGGCTCGTTCACAAAAAAGTCTCTCGACTTTTTCATACCTGCATTCAAATCCATCATCATGACACATGTTTCTGCGGAAGTCATGCGATCACTCTCCCTTTTCATAACATACGCCTTTAATAATGGTCCGTATGACATCATCTTACTATAATCTGATCAACTACTAACTTTATACTGGTGTAGATCCTCCAGCTTCGCTGCGCAAATATTACGCTATAGAAGACGAAAAGTTGGCGAGCTGCGGTCTTAAGCGATCGGAAATTGGCTTCCTCGTTCTTGATACATTCACAGAAGTGCTTTGCAAAGACAGCACCAGTGCAACAATTAAGAGATTTGCGCGTACGGTGACCAACAAATGGGTTCTGTTTCTATTAGCACAAGATGATCGGAGAGCGGTTATTGCTGGAGCTAAGATATTGGCCCGGCTGCTAATCGTGCATGGATCGAGTTATGTCACAAAGTTCTCAACGAAAACTGGAGGATTTGTCATAATGAAAGAGCGCTTGAAAATCAGATGGAATATCCCGGAGCTTTGGCCCATCTGCTTGGCAATTCTTTTTGGAGTTGATGTTGCCACTATTGAGATTCCAGAGTCTCTCAATCTTTTTCATCTGGTTGAAATGTTCCGAAAAGGCGGAAAGGCTGCTGTTATCTATCCAGAAATGTTCACAGTGATTGGTGCGATGCTGAAGGCTGGTACTCTAGCAATTATCACCGAAGACACTAAAAAGTATGCCATTGCGGATGACGAAAACACACCTCTCAGTCCGACGCAAACTGTTCCCGATACAACTCCAGTTTCCGAGAAGAAAGAGGATTTTGGAAAGTATCTGCAAGTCCTCACACAGTTCTTTAGTGAGATGCATGCGTCATGTCCTGCTTTCCAAGACTTTTGTACGACATCGATATTTGTTTCCGAGATTCTCGGAATTCTATTTCCGGCTATTTGCAGTACAGAATCGGTCAATCCGGAGATTGAGCTACAGTACCGCGATCAAGGATTCACCCTAGATGCTGGTGATATAGTCTTGCGCCCAGTGGGCAAGACTGGATTTCCGGCTCAGATTATGAAAACAATAAGGGCACCCAGCCCTCAGAGAAATGCTCCGTATATGGCTGGCCAACGACCACGAGCACCGTCCCTCAGACGCGGATCGTCCTTTGTCTTGGTTTCCTCGGAGTTTGGCAGCGGAAACGACAACAACTCAAATACTACAACACCGGCGCAACAACCCACTCAGAGTAAGCCAACTCTCACGTCTCTTCGTCTTAATCAGATGCGGGAGTTCAAAGTTGTGAATCGAGTTGTTGAGGGGTTGCTGGAAATGGTAGTTGCCGTTTTCGTTGATCAAGTATTAACCAGAAAGGACTTCTCTGAGCTCGCGATCGCAATCCTGGTAGGTCTCCTTGTCATCTATACTTTCATTGAGATGCACTACTAACTGTATTTGACTCTTTTGAAGATACCTCCGACGTTTCAAGAGTACCAGATTTACTTTGAGACGTACCTGTTTCGTAATACTGTCGCTCAGCTAAGCACCACGATATCGTTGAACATGCGAGTGATTTGCGAAACTCGCACTTTGATCAATTTTGGTAAATTCATTTTACAGCTTGTCGATTCAGTTTTCAATGGTAAGCAGCTACTCCTTTCAACTGAAATCCGGATATGATTTTTGTGGAAACGTTTCTCATCAAGATTTTGGTATAGGCTGGTTTTTGGGTGGTGCGGAACCCCTTCTCGAACTCATTGGGATGGTTGTCGAGTACCTTCAACAGCCGAACGTCGAGCGCCTAAAAACTGTGCGAATGGGTCAAAGCGTGATCTCCAATCTACGACTTGCTTTCATGAGACTTGTCCTGTTTCGGTTGTCCGAGTTGGACGATATCCACGCCAATTCTGAAACAGTGGTCAAATTCCTCGAACGGATGTTCTATTGGCAAAATGTACTACTATCGCCGGCTGTGAACGAGGATCATTTGATCAAACTGGTTTGCTATCTGTTGTACATCCAGTTGATTGATAGCAACGAAGAAGTTCGGAATGCTGCCGCAAACAATTGGCGAATGGTTCTAGTGCATAAACCAGTGGAAACCTCGTTGATTCTCGATCAAGTGAAATCTCTTGAGAATCGGCAGTTATCCAAAGGTTTTAAGAAGCTGATGGAAGTGGACAACAAATCATTTCTTGAATGGATGGATCAGAATCGTGAAGCACTCGACGAATTCTTCCTGGAAGTGGTATCGAAAGACTGGGAAGCGTTTGTGACGAACGAGAATAAGATTGCGGATGACAGTACTCGCTTGCGGAATCTCAAGAGACGTGATCGCCTGCGGGCATCGATGGTTGACGAAAGTCATATGCGATCCATTTTTGCAGAGCACAAGAACTCCCTTCGATATTGGAGATCTGCAATTTACACAACTGAGCATCTGAAGTTTATGCGAAATTTGCAAGATCTGCAAGATACGCTTACCTTTTTGTCCTCCGAATACGCAAAGCTGGAGATTGATCTCACCAGACCGAACGGTATCATACCCGATGGCAAAAAACAGAAATGGAGACTTGATCTTACTGAAGGCCGGGATCGAATGAGGAAGCGGATGATTCCTGATACTCGTGGACAGATAACCAAGTATTTGCCCAAGGCTGAGGAATCAAGTCAGGATGAGTCGTCGATTGTTGTTAGTGCCGTGGCAGCCGCGGCAGCAGTTGAATCTGTTTCTGACGGTATCTCTGAGTTAAGTGTCGCAGATGATGCTTTGACGAAGACATCAACAGCCGGATCTACAACTACTACATCAAAAGCCTCGTCGAGTAACACAGAGTCGACAGCTGAAAATGAGGATGGGTTTGAGATTGTGGAAGATCCTCGTGGTCAAGAAGCAGAAGATGATACGTACGAAGACAAAAATCGAAAAATTCTGCGAAGTTTAGAGCAGAATGATACCGTTATTGATCTTTGGAACGTTTGCCGTATCATTGGGCTGAAGTCGGTGGAGGGATTGCTCATCCAAGGACGAAACAATCTTTATCTGATTGATAACTTCTTCCAGAGGCCGGACGGTGAGATTGTGAATCTTTGGGAGGCTCCAGCTCAAGAACGTGATCAGTACCTGCAGACGATCTATGGCGATGCCAATCATGACGAGTCCTCATTGAGTAACCGCCAGCATGACACTCGGCACTGGGCACTTGACGATTTAGTTTCTGTGTCGCGCCGGCAATTCCTGTTCCGCAATGTTGCCTTGGAGTTTTTCTTTGCAGACGGTCGCAGTTTCTTGATCACGACTATCTCGGTCAAAGAGCGAGATCAAATCCATAGCAAGTTGATTGGAAAGGTGAACAACAGTGATGACAACTCTGGTGCGGCATTCTCTGATGAGCTTTGGCGATTGGCTCTGCAGCCTTCATTACAGGGTGGATTTGCAGGACAGCTTGGAAAGATCGCCAACGTGTTTGCTGTTGGAAACGTGAATCTCGCTACCAAGAGATGGATTCGTGGAGAGATCTCAAACTTTTATTATCTCATGCTGCTGAACACCATGGCTGGTCGAACATATAACGATCTCACACAGTATCCGGTGTTTCCGTGGGTGATTGCCGACTATACTAGCGAAGAGCTGGATTTGACGAATCCGGCAACATTCCGAGATTTGTCAAAGCCAATGGGTGCTCAGACTCCAGACCGGGAACGCGAGTTCAAGAACCGGTATGCATCGTTTGCGGATCTTGAGGATAATCCCACGCCACCGTTTCACTATGGAACCCATTTCTCTTCTGCTATGATTGTATCTTCATACCTTATCAGACTGGAGCCATTTGTGCAATCATATCTGCTGCTGCAAGGTGGCCATTTCGACCACGCCGACCGGCTGTTCTATTCTATCCAATTAGCTTGGGAGTCTGCTTCGCGGGATAACATGGCTGATGTTCGCGAGCTGATCCCGGAGTTCTTCTATCTGCCTGAATTTTTGGAAAATTCGAATGAGTTCAACTTTGGAACTTTGCAGGGAGGCCAAGAGATTGGCAACGTGCAACTTCCACCTTGGGCTAAAGGGGATCCGAAAATCTTTATTCAGAAGAATCGGGAGGCGCTGGAGAGCCCATATGTAAGTCAACATTTACATGAATGGATTGACCTTATATTTGGGTTTAAGCAACGTGGCGAAGCGGCGGTCGAGGCAGTCAATGTCTTCCATCATTTGAGTTATCACGGAGCTATCGATCTTGACAAAATTGAAGATCAGTTGGAGCGGAATGCTACAGTCGGTATTATTCACAACTTTGGTCAAACACCACATCAAGTGTTCACGCGACCGCATCCGCCTCGGGAGGTGCTTCGGCAAGCAAAGTTTGAGGTGGACAAGGATGATATAGACTCATTGTTACAGATGCTGAACTCTGTGAACGAGATCAAGAAGTTTGACAGTGTTCTGTCGCCGTTTAAAGCCGAGCGAGACCGAACTCTTGCTCAAATGAATCCACTATTTTGTGCTTTCATTCCTCCGTCTTACGATCGAATGGTTGAATGGGGATTCTGCGACGATGGCGTGCGATTTAAGCTGATTGAGAATGGAAAGGTAAGAGACACTTACAATTATTTTTGAATTTGGACGGATTCTAACTTTTATGTCGTAATAGCTCATTGGTCACGCTGAGAATCTGCATCAAATGCATCTGACGTGTGTGAGGATAGCGGATCCGCGAACGCTTGTCACTGCCGGATATGACTGCATGATCTGCGTCTGGAAGATGCAGGGGAACATGAAGTCTATGGAGGTCCAGTTCAAGGCGTGCCTTCGTGGCCATACCGCACCGATCGTGTCACTTGCGATCTCTAGGTCGTTCAGTGCCATTGTTAGTGTGTCTGCGGATGGTGTGGTGATGGTGTGGGATCTTAATCGTCTACGCTTCGTGAGGCAGCTGGTGCATGAAGTTCTTATAAAGGTATGTTTTGTCAAGTTATTTGATGTGCCATTATGACCTTTTCTAACTTTGAATTTCTTGTTTAGACTGTTGCAATCAGCGACGAGACGGGCGAGATCTTAACGTCGGACGGAAGCACGATGTTTTTGTGGACTATCAACGGAGATCTGATCATGACTAAGGCTATTCCGGAGGACAGACGGATTGGACTGAAATAAACATAGGAAGAGCAGTTTGAGGTAGGATATTATTATATATAGAATTATATTTGCATCATTAAAGGAATGAACATTTATGTTATTGTCACTGTGGGTAAAATTAAATGTGCGACTCGCTGCGAACAACTGCTAAAATACCCGAATACGAGTGCTGATCCAGAATAGGCTAGCACGTGTTTGTAGGCAGGGGCAATTTATCTTGGTTCCTGAACAACTCCCACTGCAGCAATCATCCGTCGCGCACAACTAAAACAGACGACGCGGTTCGGCAATCAAGTTCACCAACACGCTCTACTCCTGTCCGGAGCACTATTTCCTGCTCTACCGCAGCTTCTTGTTTTGCAGTGATAGCAGGAAGACTTCGGGAACTCGGTCTGGCCGATGTATTATCTGAAGCCCGCGTGGCTGACTCATCATGGTACGCGCGGGGTAGTCGATTGCCTTGATCTCCCTGCTACTCGTCGGGTGTTTCTTACGCCGATTTGCTAATTATATCTTTAATAGAGGGCCAAAAGCGATTTGAAGTTTATTCGGTTGATGTCCATCCAGATGGTACGAGAATCGCCTCTGGGGGACTAGGTATGTTACCGTTGCATTGATTGTGCGTGTAAGGGCGCGTCGTTGCTAACCTAGATGAATCATCATAATACAGATGCCAAAGTACGGATATGGTCAACCGCTGCGATCTTTAGCTGTGCCAAGAGCGACGGCACTGACGGTGAGGTCAACGGGGGAGTGAAGGTGCCGAGTGATTACACTGGTCCGAAGCAGCTATGTAGCATGAGCACGCATTCAGGTATTTTGATTTCTTCCTTTGTTTCGCGTCGGTAATAAGTTCAATTGAGAAGCTGATCTTGAAATCTAGGTGCCGTGACAACCGTACGATTTTCTCCCTCTGGCCGGTACCTGGCTTCGGGATCGGATGACAGAGTCATATTAGTGTGGGAGCGTGACGAGGAGGCTCATGATGTCCCCAGGAAGGAGTTTGGCGCGCAGGGCGAGGCTGACACCGAGCGGTGGGTTGTACGCCGGAGATGTGTCGGACACGATAACGACGTCCAGGATCTCGCCTGGTCTCCAGATTCGAGCATAATGGTCAGCGTTGGATTGGATTCGGGAGTCATTATTTGGAGCGGAACGACGTTCGAGAAGATCAAAAGACTGGATATACATCAATCGCACGTCAAGGGAATCACATTCGATCCCGCAAACAAGTATTTTGCTACGGCATCCGACGATCGCACGATAAAAATTGTCAGATATCATCGTACGGCTTCTAATGATTTGCTTTTCTCTATCGATACCACTGTCACAGCTCCGTTCAGCGGATCCCCCCTAACCACGTACTTCCGGCGCTGCTCTTGGTCTCCGGATGGTAGTCATATTGCCGCTGCGAACGCGACTAACGGGCCAGTGGCCACGGTTGCGATTATCAATCGAGGTGTCTGGGACAGCGAGATCAACCTGATCGGCCACGAAGGACCGGTCGAGGTGGCCGCGTTTTCTCCGCGAATGTTCGCTAAAGTTAAGGGGTCGAAGCAGCTTGTTACGGTGATTGCATGCGCTGGACAGGATAAGGCGTTAAGTGTGTGGAATACATCAAATCCTCGGCCGATCGTTGTTTCCCAGGATGTTGCGGAGAAAGCGATCACTGACCTTGCTTGGGGGCCTGACGGACAGACGCTATTTGCTAGCTCTCTTGACGGAAGTATTGCCGTTTGCATGTTTGAGGAAGGAGATCTGGGATACATTATTTCAAAGGAAGAGAACGAGAAGCAGCTCGCCAAATATGGCGGAGGACGTGATGCAATGTATTACCCTGAGAGCGTCGAACAACTCGCGCTTGAGGAGAAGTCAGCGAAGAGCACGGCCGCCGATACGAACGGGAAGAAGCGAATCGAAGATATAATGGGCGAAACGGTTAGCACCTCTTTGACGACCGTGTCTTCGAAACCCGAAGTCCCCGCTTCTACGGTCACTTCTACTTCTATCGCAGTTACTACCGCGGAGCCGTCTCCGCAAGTTTCTGAACCGCCAGCTTCCGTTTCGACTTCCATTGTACCTGTTTCGTCCAGCGTTAAAGCAGAGCCGGAAAAACTGCGCGCGCAAAAGGTGACAATTACAAAAGAAGGACGGAAGAGAGTAGCACCTATGCTAATCTCGGGCTCTGGTGCATCGGCGGCCGTTTCGAATTCGAGCATCGTGACAGCATCCTCAGGCTCAAGGCAAATGATGGTACCGGTAGGAACGGTGAATCAGTATGACGAGCCTTCAAACAACTTGCCTCCGGGAGGAATCCGCAGTCTTGTAGTAGGAAACAAAAGAAAATTGCAAGACGGCGAGGAGTCCGAACCAGACGCAAAACGTGCGGCCGGGGAAGTCGAGGCGCCAGAGTTCATCCGCCCGTCGGCTATTGCACCGTCGATAGCGGTTTCGCAAGTTCGTCTTGCTGTGCCAAAGGTGAAAACGGTCCTGAGTGTTGAGGACGGTGCCTTGTTTGAAGTCCGGAATGGCAACGGTGGCGAGAAGGAGCCGACAAGAATTGCATTACAGCGGAAAGGCCAGCTTCTGTGGAGTAATTATCTGCCGAAAATGGCTCTACTTGCTGCGGGGAGTCCGTTATTCTGGGCGGTGGCATGTGAGGATGCGTCCATCCATGTTTACTCGCCAACCGGGAGGGCTCTGGTGCCAACGATTGTTGTTGAGTCTACGCCATGCTTCTTTGATTGCGCAGGAAAGTATTTGATGTGTTTGACTAGTTCAGGCTTAGTCTATACTTGGTGAGTATATCTTTCTGAAATGAGTCGATGAGTGGAAGACAGAATGCTGACAGTAAGATCTTAACAGGAACATACAAAGCAAGAAAGCTGTGCATGCACCGGTCTCTGTTGCGCCAATCTTGGACGCGGCTACGTACGGTGACGACACCTTGCACAAGGCACCGGCAATCACGAAATGCACTCTGAGACCAAACGGCTCACTGATTGTGACGCTGACGAATGGCCAAGGCTACACTTATTCGACCGAAATGGGCGTCTGGCACCGAATATCAGAGTCCTGGTGGGCGGTTGCGTCGCAGTACTGGGATTCTTCGGGAATGGGACGCGCTGGCGCTGGTGGAGCGGTGAATACGATCGAGCGGCGAACGGACGAGGAAGTGAAGAGAGCTGGCAAAGGAAGATTCTTGCAGCGTCTGGTGAAAAGCGCGATGATGAGAGAGGGCTACGAGGGAATCCAGGGTACGGTGTCAATTGCGCATCTTGAGAACCGGATCGAAGCGGCTGTGCTGCTCGGATCTGCCGAGGAGTTCAAGTCGAATATGATCATATACGCCAAAAAGCTTGCGTTGGAAGGCATGAGCGATCGCCTTGATGAGCTTTTTAGAGAGCTCTACGGACCTCTAGGCGTTGTCATTGCCTCTTCGAAGACATCAGAGCAGCCGATCAGTTACGCGTCTGAGATTTGCGGGATGAACAAGAAAGAACTGCTGAAGGAGCTGATTGTTACTATCGGAAAAGAGCGTGCAGTGCAGCGAGTTACGGTGCCATATGCCCGCCTGTTGGGAATTCTTGAGGTTGATATGACGGACGAGTGATTGTGCCGGAGAAGCACGGAAAAGAAAGATTAAAGCTGAGGCCTCTGGTCATTAAGACGGTCGATGACGCGCAAAAGATGCTATTATGTATATTATTACTATTTATCACTATTTTTACTGCTAGTTTGCTCTATATATCCTAATTATTGAATGTCATGTGACTATAAGCACAAACCCCTCAGTACGTGTGCCTCAACTGGTGTCTTTGTCCAGATCAGCGAGCTACGCATGTAAATAACGACCAAAGTTAGCGAACAGGAAGAAAAAGAATACAAGACACGGATCGGACGTGTGTTTGTGAAGAAACGACATGGATAGAATATTACAAGCGATATCCTAAGGCCATGAGTACCCCACAGTCCACACCGCAGTCGAAGCGCGTTCACAATGAGAGCAGTAGCAGTAATGGAGCAAGCGGAGGCGGCGTCCGACAGAACAACTGGATCTTTACCTCGCAGGAACTACATCACTCGCCATCACTGCGCGACGGAATCGATTACATGTCTGAGATTGTGCTGCGCGCCAAAGGGTGTGCGTTCATCTACCAAGTCTCAGCACAGCTGCGCCTGCCGCCGCCGGTGGTCTACACGGCCACGACGATGCTGCACCGGTTTTACATGCGGTTCTCGCTCAAACGGTATCACCACTACGACATTGCGGCGACGTGCATCTTTCTGGCGACAAAAGTGGAGGAGCACACGCGAAAGTTGAAGGATATAGTGATTGCCTGCTGCCGGGCCGCGCTGAAGAAGGTCGATCTCTACATCGACGAGCAGAATAAAGAGTTTTGGCGATGGCGGGATACTATCTTGTTTGATGAGGAACTGCTGCTTGAAGCGCTCTGTTTTGATCTTGTGCTTGAGAATCCGTATACGGTACTCGCGGGCTTCGCGAGACGGTTCGTGCCGAACGAGCAGCACCGTTCGCCGCTGATCAAGGCTGCATGGGGCTTTCTGACCGATTCCGCAAAGACCACTGCCGCGCTGCGATATCCACCCAAAGTGCTCGCAGCGGCAGCACTTTTCTACGCGTCTCACGTCACAAAGCTGGATCTATTCCCGGATCCGGCGGTCAGTCGCGCGGCGCCGCTCAGGGATTGGTGGAGCGATGTGCCGGTTTCAAGTGAGCATATGAGGCATGTTTGTAAGATATTGGTTGATATGTCGGCAGGGCCACTGGCGAAGTTTGTATGGGAACAGAAGTATATTGAGGTTTGATTATTTGTTAAATTGTAATATAGACACATGGTATAAAATAATAATAGATACAGCAGAACATATAACATAATTCAAGCCTAGGTAATAATAGCACAATACTCACACAGAGTTAAGACAACTCCTCACAAAAATAGAAATACATACGAAGTTACAATAGAGCCAAAAGAGAATTTTAAACGTCCTCGTTCACCATAACACTAGCACCCACCGACGGAATACCATCGGCAACAACAAAGACCAAGTACGGTCCCGGCGGCGTCACACTCATGTAATCGGTCCCCGGCATGCTGACAGTCAGAGTGTGGGTCGAGTTGACCTTTCCAGACTCAAAGCCAGTGTACTCGAGATACACCATGCGGTGGCCCATGTGGACGGAGTGCGTGACAAAACCGGTGTGGTAGAGCACAACTTTGAGGTCAGAGATCGAGTCCGAGCCCTGGCTGAAGGTGAGATCGAAAGTGTTGCCGTTGCTGAGAGAGGTTGAGTCCAGCGAGACGTCGTAAGGACGGATACTGCGCTTGTCGCCCATGAGATAAGGAGGAGTGAAGATTTCGACGCGGAACTCGGTCACGTAAGGAGTGTACTCATCAGCGGTCAAGACAGGCTGCTCGACAGGGTTGGATCCCGCAACAAGAACAGTTCCGTCAGGAATGAGGAGCGCAACAGAGTGATAGAGACGAGCGATTGTCGAGCTCGCGAGGACAGTAAAGCGGGAGCCTGAGGGTGCGCTCGAATTGTAGAGCAGAGCTTCAAGCACAGCGTCACGCGACAGATTGAAGCCTTGCGATCCCCAGTGGCCACCGTTGAGCCAGAGCGTAGTTCCGTCGGGAAGAAGAACACCCTCGATCATATCACGAGAGACAGGCATGCCCTCCAGTTCCCATTCCGGATTGTCGTCCTCAGGCTTGATGCGTCCACAGCTAGCGTCGGTAGGAGACGTGATGTCCTGATACGAGCCACCACCGCAAACCACGATCTCAGACGCGTAGTCGTTATCAGCGCTCAATGGGAGCAGAACCGAACCACCGGTGTTGGGGTATGTGCGGTAGTCACCCGCAAGGTCGGGGAGAGTCAAGACGGTAGTGTTAGACCCAACGTTGAAAATCTCGGCCGATTTCGAAACAAAGACAAAGACGTCACCGTTCTTCAGAAGGTGCATAAACGGGTACATATAGTATGGCTGGTTTGTAACAAGAATCTCCATCGGGTTATTGACTCCGTAGGAAGTACCAGTCTTGTCAAGCAACTCCCAGGTCGGGTTATTGTTCGCAGGCACGGTGGGGTCAAGTCCGTTCAGACTACCAGAAGTAACAAACACCTCGCCGTTGGCAAGCGTGAGGGCTGACGCGTACCATCTAGCGGAAGCGAGCTTGTTACCAGGCTCTGACCAGGCGTTGCCATCGAGAGAAGGATCGTCGATCGCGCGCTTGAGGTATCTGATCGCATCGAAGCCATCTCCGACAGTGGGGTCGATGTCGGTCAGCGGAGCATTTCCACCAAGAGAAAGAAAGTCTCCGTTAGCAAGGAAGCAGCCACCGGAGCAGAAAGCGTTGGTCTTGTAGGGAAGTGCGGTGTATGTGTTTGTATCCGGGTCATACTCGGACGAGTAGGCGTAGTACCCGGTGTCAAGCTTGACCTGCGTGTAATTCTCGACCTTATCGAGGAAAACAACTTTTCCGTTAGGCAAAAGACCAGCGTGCATGGCAGGAACTCCAGACTCGCCCACAATCTCAAACTGTCCAGCGTCATCACCTGAAGCCTGAGGAGCAGTGGTTTCACCAGGAACCTCAGCTTCAGGATTGGAAGTGCAGTTTCCAGACTGGCAGCCAGTTCCGCAGTGGGCAGTCGTGTCTCCGCAGTAGCCGTACTGCGAGCAGCAGTTTCCTTGGGCCCAGTTGCCGCACACGGTGTCATTGTTCTGAGCGCCGCAGGTACCGTCGGTGGTGACAAGGGCAGTCGCTTGGTGACTCTGGGAGTAAGTCGTCGCGCTCGGGCTTCCAAGAACGGGCTCTTGTGAGGAGGAGAGAAGAGGGCTCTAGTGAAGTGACGGGGGCGGAGGACGAAACAAAAGACGAGGATGATAGCGTAGTCGAAGACGACGATAGCTTAGTCGAAGACGACAAGGACGACGAAACGGTAGAAGAGACCTTGGACGACGAAACGATAGAAGAGACCTTAGTCGAAGACGAGGAGATTGGTGTGGACGAGGCCGAAGATGAAGACGAAGACTTGGATGAGGACGGGGTCGAGCTTGCGACTGAAGACACATCGGAGGAGAAAGCAAGACAGTCGCCAGATTGGCACCCAGTTCCACAGTAGTCATCACCGCTGCCGCAGAAGCCGTACTGAGAGCAGCAGTTGCCGGATTCCCAGTCATCGCAGACAGTATTGCCGTAGTTTACACCGCAGGTGCCGTCGATGGTAACAACTCCGGTGGTGATGCAGTCACCGGACTGGCAACCAGCGCCGCAGTGGGCGGTGGTGTTTCCGCAGTAGCCGTACTGCGAGCAGCAGCTACCGGCGAACCAGTCGCCGCAGATAGTGTTGTCATTGGCAGCTCCGCAGGTGCCATCTGTAGTGATAGCGGCGAGAGAGGAATTTGCGATTGCGGTGGAGGAGGCAGATGCCGCGGAAGAGGCCGATGTCGAGGTAGATGAAACGATAACGGTAGAGAGTGCTAGACAGAGGAGATGCGTGTTAGACGCCGGTTTCTATAAAGAGATAAGAGTACGCGTACGTACTTTTACTGCAATCATAGTCATAACGGAAGCGACAGTCGATACAGTCGCGACCATCGAACGTGAGGCCCGGAGCACAGTGGCCGCTCGACTGCCAGCCCTTATCTTTGTGTGGATTTTTGTGGGGGTTTCGGTGGTGGTACTTACTCGTTGCGCGAGCAAACAGGGCACGTTTCTCAGATAGGAACTTCTTGGAGTAATAGTAAAGGGAGGGCTCGCAGCTGGGGAAGAAAGTTAGTATGAGGGAGAGTAAGGAGGGTATCGGAGGGGGGTTGATACAATCCGGAGTCGTCGTTGCATGTCTGGCCGCGCGGGCAGGTAGAGGACGACGTGGGATCAGAGCATCGAACTGTTGGCTTCGGGAATATAAGAGCCTGAGAAGACTGGATGAAGCAGAAGAGGAGGGTGAGGAGCAGGAGGAAGGAGGGTATAGAGGAACGCATGGCGAAGAATGGACGGTCGGAGAAGGAGGACGGGGGAGGGAGAGGAAGGCGGAGGATCGTCTGGATATAAATAGCGAGGCAGAGGACAGTGCGCGAAGATGGGACGCGAAAAATGGCCCCATTTGGCCTGCGGACGGAAAACGCGAAGTACGAGGAGCACCCCCCCCCCCCCCCCCCCCCCCCCGGAAAGATGAGCAGATGAGCAGAAGAAGCAGTAGCAACAGCACAAGACGCAGACTATGATATACAGAATACAGAACAGGATACAATATAGATACAGCATCATACAGCACAATATTCAGACATCAAAGACATTGCAATAACAGATGATATGCAATAACAGAGAATAAGACAGAGGGGAAATCAAAACAAGACCCGAGCGACGCGACGAGATGGAGAACGGAGCCGAGTGGACGTCAACTCAGCCGCACAGGGTCGGCAGGAAAACCAAGATTCTGTTTATTTTTGCCTTCCCCTATTCGCAAAGACCAAATGGGGGTCGTCAGCGGAGTCAGGCAGAATGCGAGGCTCGCTGCGGGGCTTGAAGCGCGCAGCTGCCTGCTGTTGTTGATGCTGCTGTTGAGATGCCGGTCGTATATCAAACTAAGCACTAATGTCATTCTTTACATGTTGCTTTTGTACAAATAGAGACGAAAAATGCAATTTATTCTTTTAACACTCCCATTTACCTGCAGTATTTTCAACTTAAATTAATTAACTTTTTCCCGGTTCTGTTAACGTTGCCCCAGCCGCTCTCAGCCGTACAGAACCGCGTTCGTCTTTGTGCTTTGCCTTATTTTGTCCTTGTCTCGGTCTCTCGCTCGACCCTGCCCCAAATTCGCAAATTCTTCCGTCTCTCAGCTGACTGACTCTCGGCTCTATTTATAAATCGCCACTCGTATGAGACAGGCGGAACGACGCGTAACACCATGTTTCTCCTTAGGGCCTCGCATTTGAGAACAAATTAAGTAATTAATACGCAAACCAGCATATTGACTCAATACGCTGTACATAACAAAGCAATGACATAGCCATATTTCTCAGCTTATGCTAGCAGCTTATAAAGGCCACGATTTAAAAATTTGTAGAAATTGGGCACTATGGCCGAGTGGTTAAGGCGAAAGACTCGAATTCAGTCAGCTTTGATTCAAAGTTCGATATCTTTTCTCGTTTCGAGGCGCAGGTTCGAGTCCTGCTGGTGTCGCCATTTTTTTGCTTTTGCAATCTACTTTTGGTTTCCTTTTTTTTTTATGCATTTTCTAGATACCGATTGAAGAGTTATTTAATACTTATTTACTACAGCGGAAACTGATGAGCGTAGATCCACATGACATGGATCAATAATGATGTGGTTCTGCCAATCGCATGTTCACCAACAACACGCTGAGAACTTACAAGAAACGATTACCTGAACTCCTGTATTAAACTAGATAATATGTAACATCGAAAGATGAAAACATCACAGCAATTGAATAGAGACAACTCAGAGTAGAGTCGATCAGTACATACTCAATCGTATATCAGCGGTTCCTGTTCGTTCTTCTTCGCCATAGCCGACTCTTGTAGCAACTTGTTCTTGCCCTTCCGGCGCTCTTCCTCCAACTTGGCACTCAGTTTTCCTCCCGTCGCTGATTTTCCTTGATTCCGCAGCTATTAATCCAAAATAAATAGTCTTAGTTAGATATCTCGATCATGAGCACTAGAATGAAAAGACGGTACTCACCTCAGCGGCACGAGCGGCAGCAGTCCTCGGATCCTCAGGCGGCGGCGATGTGCTCGTGGCGGGCTGTCCGGATCCTCCCAGAGTTTTCCCACTTCCTTGAAACCCCTTTGGTTGACTTGGTTTGGCCGGCTGATTCAAAGGCTTTGGCTTTGCCGCTGAAGACGACGTCGGCGGGTTGGCGCTTCCGAGACGTTGACCGCGCGGGCCAGTTCCTTGTACTCTGCTCGAAGGCGGAGTGTCGGCAGAAAAACAATTACCCATGTGTCCTTATCGTCTGTTATGTGAGGTCTTTTGATTCCGTGGATCTGTATTGCGCTGTTCTGTGCGTACAAGCAGATAATGAGCGGGTTATAGAGCACGGACAATCGAGAATCGCGATTTAACTCGATGACCATGAAACTCCCAAGGCGCGGCTCATTACAGAACAACGACAGAACCTTTTTCCATTCAAAACACCAACATTCAATATATTTACAACAAAAATGTCCGGAAAACGAAAGGTAGAGTCTCTATTGATCCTTATGTTGTCTTTTTGTTTTTGCTAACATTGATATACAGCCAAGCCCCGAAGCGGACACCACTAACCCACCTCAGAAGAAACTATCGAGACCAACAACAACTCCACAACCTCGTAAAAACACAGCAGTCTACGTCACGAATCTGCCCCGCGACGTAACCGTTGCCGAAATCGACTCTGTATTTTCCCGCTTTGGATTGATTGCCGAGGATCTTGCAACGGGCGAGAAACGCATAAAGTTATATACCGAGGATGACGGCAAGACATTGAAAGGCGACGCTCTGGTGGTCTACTTCAAGAGCGAAAGCGTGTCTTTGGCCGTTGATATGCTGGACGAGACGGAGTTTCGCCTGGGAAAGCAGAGTACAGGGGAAAAGATCCATGTGCAGCCAGTACGTCTATATTTTTAGATATCCTGGCTGTGCTTTGTACTGACACACCTATTCTAGGCTGATATGAACTACAAAGTCGAAAAAGAACCACAGCCAGTCCAACAGCGCTCGGCACGCGAAAAGCGAGAGCTTCAGCAAAGGGCTCAAAAGATGAATAAGTAAATAAATCTATGTATTAGCATTGAGTGATTGGTCCACTAATATTCTTCTACAGTAAGCTAGCAGCTTGGGACGACGAGGAGCTGGAACTGATCGAGGAACAACAACGACAAAATAATGCGCTTGCTAAACGCTTCAGCAAGGTCGTGATTCTTAAACATGTCTTTACTCTCAAAGAGCTTGAGGAGGATATTACTGCCGCGCTTGACATCAAAGAAGACATCCGCGAGGGCTGCGAGGAGATCGGTCCTGTTACTAGCGTGATTCTGTATGATCTTGAAAGAGACGGCGTGATGAGTGTGCGATTTCAAAAGGAAGAGGACGCAAAGGAGTGTGTGCGTCGCATGGACGGGCGATTTTTCTCAGGAAGACGACTTGAGGCCGCACTGTACGACGGACTCGCGCGGTATAAAAAGTCTGGTAAGAAGAGTGGGGCGACTGACGAGGATGGTGAAAAAGAGGAAGAGGAGCGTTTGAAGAAGTTTGGAGAATGGCTCGAAAGTGGCGCGGCGGATGCCGAAGATGAAGGTGAATGGCATGACGATTAATCGTTTTTCTAATACAGTTTCCCTTCGCTGCTGGGGTCTACGTATCTACTCGAATGCAGTAATCTACAACGTAATATTGACAGCTAATCACTATCTCCTGCCTCTTCGTCCTCTGTATCGTTAAGCATATCAACATCCTTAGCCAAGATATTACTATCACGGCCTCTCGACGACCGCCGGGACACGGTAGACTCCTCCAAGTCAAGAGTGTCTTCGTCGTTGTGTTCTTCCTCTGCGTCTGTAAATTTGTCATCGTCGTCATCATCGTCGTTGGCATCCACGAGTTCCTCGTCTTCATCTTCCTCGTCCTCTTCATCTTCCTCTTCGTCATCCTCCGGTTCGTCATCATCTTCGTCCTCGACTTCAGTTTCTTCATCGTCTCCTCGAGGTCCCTGTGATTTCAACTAGTTAGAACATATTCGTACATATAGAACACAGACACAAGAAACGTACAGCGTTGATCACAGCGGCCTTTCCATCAGCTGTCTTCGCGCGTTTACCAGCCCGTCGCTTAGCAGCACTAGCCTTCTTTGCATTCTGCTGGTCGCCACCCTCGTCCTCAGCATGGGTAGCTGCCTTATCTTCACCCTCAACCTTCGCAGTCTTCGTAGCAGCAAGTTCCTCGTCCTGATCGTGCTGCTGCGGCAGCTGTTGCTGAGACGCGGTCGCCTTTGCTTGTCTTTTCGAGGTGGCTACTTTATTGAACTCGCTCACCTCGGCTTTTAGCCGCGGTAGGAAAAATGGAAGTTCGAGAATCTCGAGCGCTTGGTAAACGTCGTTGGGGTTGATTGTTCGACGGCCGGATTGCACGGTGAGTTCGTTCGCTCTGCAAGAGGATTATTAGTAGGTGTGATCCATACGGCGCAAACTATGAGGAAAAGTTGAAGAATTCACTTACGTGGCAGTCAAGTAGTTAACAAAAACAGTCGCGCTCTTGCTGACTGCAGTCATGGCATCTTTCTGAATCTGTGTATTTTGCGGAAGCACGGATTTCGCTAATCGAGTCACTGTAGCTTTGGGCAACACAAATTCCTAAAAAAAATAAAAAGTCGTCAGTTCAGCACTTATGTGCAGATAAATGCCCAGTGAAAGGAAATTCGATGTGAAGAAAGGGAAGACTTACATCGATACCGGCGCTATCGTTTTTTCCATTCTCGTCGATGTTGGAGTGATCTTCCGTCGCGGGTTGCTCAGCAGCCGGGGACGCAATTTTCTTTGCTCGAGGCATAGCAGTTTATTGAATCCAGGTAGAAGAAATGAGGAAGAAGCAGTGACGAAAGAGAGATATCCCCGTGGGTCTTTCACGCGTCCTCCTTCGACGTCGACGGCGGGCGGTTAAGTAGAAGAACGAAGGTGCTTGAAGACTTTCTTTTCAACTGTCTGATTAATGTATCAACAGAATGTAAGCCGACCAAGATGTATCAATCTGCAAATATTCCCGGGAGAAGGATGGAAGTAGTCACCTGGAATAATTATTGACTGCTAAGGTCTCCTGAATAGAGAACTCCCGACGCGTCTGGCCGCGCAGTCACGTGATAAAATTTATTTTTCTACTTTCGTCTAACTCAGCGCTTACTATTTGCCTACAGTACTCATATGAGCATGTGGATCTTGGACAACGAATGAGCCGGCTGCTCTTCGGATTCTCTTTATGTCTGTTTTTTAGCCGAGTGATAAAGAATGGAATGTGTGTGTATAGTAACCAATCAAGCGGTACTGTTCCTGATTTAATTGATTGATTGGTTTGGTACAGGGAGACTTTAGGCGACGCCTGAACAGTTCAATCTCGTCAAGATCCGAATACTGGCCCCTTTTACACGCCCGCGCTGTGCTTCTGCTTTTTTATTTCTTCTTTTGGATTATTTCAATTCAATTCTGTTACTGTCTATTATAAATCCGAATCTTCTCATCTTCTGTGTCTTGAATGCACAATCTCGGTGCTCTGGTTGCTTGGCCCTGGAGCTGGTGCAATTTATGATAAGCTAATGGTGTCAACCCAGCCTATTTCTCCTGAATTGGTCTGTGTCTCATCTTCTTTCTGTGATTGGTCTGTGTCTCATCTTTTTCCTAACCTCCTTTTTTGCTTTGATTGCTGTTTCTGGCTACATTCCTCTCCATCTGGCGTATATCTTACTTCACGCGCATCTTTCTCCTTCCCTCCTCTCTCTATCTGAAACTGTGCCAGCAAAGCGCGACGTCGGAGACGATAATCATGTCTGAAGTAACTGATTTCGTCAATCGCGCTCTACACTCCGGATTTTCGACAATCATCAAAAACCCGAGCTCGAATAACTCCGCGATTGCAGCAGTCGTCCAACTCGACCTTCTCGCTGCCGCGCTCAAGAGCGAGGCCGAGCCAGTTGCCTACAGAAAGCGCGCTCGTTGCGACAATGCGTTTTTGCGCGTGCCTGAAGGGGCGTTCCCGACCGAGTTCGAGGTCACGGTGCATCTCAAGCTGCTGCGCGTCTTTCGCGACATGCGACTGCATGTGATGACTTGCGATGGACTGTTTGGTGTTCGTAACTCGGCCGTGATTGATGGAAAGTCTCCAGCAAGTCTGCGATGGAAAGTCTACGTTAGTCGTGCCATCGAACGATACACCATATGGCTGGAAAGTCTACCATCCGACCCGCCGAATGGACGTCAGAAACTCACTGGCGGCCGCAGATACTCTCTCGACGAACGTAACTTACCGCCACTCGATATCTTACTGATCTGGCATGTTCATATGCTCAATTCTCGCGTGTACTGGGAGGACATGGTCAGGCACGGCAGGCAAGGAGTCTATACATCTATGAAATTTCCGTGGCAGGCAATCGTTAGTTTTCCTTCCCTTTTTGCTCATTTTCTCTTTCTTCAAAGCCTAACTAGTTTTCTATGCCAGAACCGAGCTATAAAACCCGCAGAATACAAATCGCAAAGCTGGATATATGATCCACCAGTATCCGCAACGAAAGACTTTGAGCGTCGGGCATTGATTCCATACAGCATCCTGGAGGATAAGTTCAGGAAACTAATTGTCTGCCCAATGTGTTATACCGAGCGAATTGAGGTTGAGTGGTGGAACACAAGGAACTCAGGGTGGGCGCAGGACGGATTTGCAAAGACCTGCCCGCAGTGTCATTTCATAATTGGTCCTGAGGAGCTGTCCGGCTTGAAGTTTGTCGATGATTACCAGGAGTTGATCACGCGCTTTGTACCAATGAAGTATGTTCTTCTTCTTTTGCATACTCTTGAATTGAATTAATGCTAATTTTGATGCCTTGAAGAGGATCTTTACTTGACTATGTTGGTGTCACTATCCATAACAAAGACTCAAAAGTCGGACTGGGGAACGACCTCTTACATCAATTGCTAGAGGAATACCCTACCATCAGATTTGCCGGCGAAGACATCGGAACTATCAAGTTTCTCCTGGAAGAGCGTCTCGAGCAAGTCTCGTGTCTTCTCGAGTCCAGTGCCGATGCAGCAGCGCAATGTGACTATACCTTGAATCGGATTTTGAGCAGGTACTCTGCCAACTACTCAGAGTTTGGTCTGGATTTGCAGTCGGCTGTTGCGCGAGAGTTCAAGTTTATAGGCAAGATGGCCTCTCTCGCGTACCTATCTTCGCCGTTTCGCGAGGTCACTATCGGACGCGCATTGGATAGACTGCTTCAATTCTTTGCATTGCAGAGGCAGTATCCGGATCAGGTGATTCGCCCGCCAGTGGATGTCGAGATGGCGTGGCATACATTCCAGCTCCATCCGGGCGCATATCTAGCGGTGTGTTTTGCGGTTACGGGGAAACTAGTCGACCAGACGGATGTCATGAAGTCTGAAGGTATTCTGATTGAAAATGGCGACTTAAACCTGCTCTGGGTAAAAGCATTTCCGGATGATCTGGTTGGGTATGACGGATGTACGTGCGCATTCTGCGAAGCCGAACGGATGTATTGTCTTCAATCCCAGCAGCGCATGCCGCAGTCTTCACTGGGCAAACGCGTAAGCGCAAAACTATCTGGGTTTGCTTTGCCAGAGAAGAAAGGCGGGCCGCATCCGCGGAAATTTGGCGTTGCAGTAGATCGGTTCTACGCGGCCGCGTGCAAGCGCGCAATAGCAAATGGATTTGAAGATGTGGTTAGGTTGAAGCCGACCGAGGTGGACGATACCGGGAAGCTAATATTCTCGCACCCATACTACGCATTCCCGATGAACGGAGACAGTCGCTCATTACATGTGACGGGTATTGACAGGAGTCTGTACCTCCACAGAGATCAGGACGAGTTCAGTTCCGATCAGTCTAGCTCTTCCTCTTCCTCTTTGTTATCATCATCAGCTAAAGAGAAGGACAAGAGCTTTTCTTTTTCTCCTGCTACGTCACCGCTATCTTCGAGTCCACCGGTTCGTGGAGATCAGCATGTAAAGGGAAAGGTCAGTGGCGGTAAACTAGAGGGAGGAGGGGGCGGTGGTCTGACTAGAAGCAGGTCTTTCAAGAATCTTCTCAAGTCGACAGGCAGATCCGTCCCCGCTTTGTAATATTATTCATCGACAATAGCCATTTATCTCATTTAATGGATTTGACCAAACAGTATTCGTAAAAGTGGGACACGGTCAGTCTAAACACTAAACCCTCAAGCATGTGAGCGCGATCATACTGCAATGCTAAAGTCGCGTTATAGCGTAGCATTTACCTACGCGCGCCCGATTACAGCTCTCACGACTTCAAAAGAAGTTCTCGAAAGACAACACTTCGGAACAATAGAGTAAGATATAGCTGTGAAGGCATTTAGCTTAGACAGATAGATCGATATGTCGCGCGACACATATGCAAAACAAATACTGGGGGACGCGTACGAAAACATCAAAAATGTGAGTATTTACAGTACCCCCCGTTTTAACTACTGCGATAATGGCCGCAAGAAATGGCATAAAGAAATTACATACATTCAAGAGTAGTGCTGACAATTCAATGAGTAGGCGAAGATTCTGATGGTTGGCGCTGGCGGGATTGGATGCGAATTGCTGAAGAATCTGGTTTTGGCGGGATTCGGAGAGGTTCATCTGGTTTGTCTCCCATATTCTTTCTCGATTCCAGTTTTTGTGTGGTTCTAACAGTGCGATTGATATCCTTAGGTGGATCTGGACACAATTGATTTGAGTAATCTCAATCGGCAGTTTCTGTTCGGTCATGAGCATATCAAGAAGTCAAAGGCGTTGGCAAGTTATATCTAGCTCGGAGTGGTGGCTTCATTCTGGTTCATTTTGAACCTTTACTAACTCGGATATTCCCACATTAGGTCGCGAAAGAAACTGCGTCAAAATTCAACCCCGAAGTCAATCTGGTTGCTTATCATGCCAACATTAAAGATCCCCAATTTTCCGTCAGTTGGTTCAAAAGTTTCGATCTAGTGATGAACGCTCTGGATAATCTGGACACTAGACGATATGTCAACCGTATGTGTTTGACTGCTAATGTGCCGATGATTGATAGCGGCACTACGGGATATAATGGCCAGATGAGAGTTGTTGTGAAGGGCGTGACGGAGTGTTACGAGTGCAATCCCATTGAGACGCCTAAGAGTTTTCCAGTCTGCACGATTCGTACAACGCCGAGTCAACCGATCCATTGCATAGTCTGGGCTAAAAGCTATCTCTTCAATCAGCTTTTTGGCATCGACGAGGACGAAGCTACAGCTCCCGAGCTCGATAATACGGAAACCGCCGACAACGCCGAGGAATTGAAGAATCTACGAACCGAGAACGAAGAGCTAAAGAAAGTAAAGGACGCGTTTGGGACGCTCGAATTTCCAAAACTTGTGTTTGAGAAAGTGTTCAAGATAGATATTGACCGTCTGCTCTCACTCGCTGACGCGTGGAGGACGCGACGGCCTCCAGTGCCGCTCGACTACAGCGCTGTGAAGACAGCTGCCGACGAAGCTGGTCTTGATTCTCAGAAGAAAGTTACCATGCTCGCGGCCGATGATCAGCCGATCTGGAACTTAGTTGAGAATTTTGCGGTGTTTGCTGATAGCATCAGTCGACTGAGCAATCGGCTCGTTGAGCTCCAGCAAGAAGCTGGTAGCCAATCAAAGAAGCCGATTTTGGTGTTTGACAAGGACGACGATGACACACTTGATTTTGTGACGGCTGCGGCAAATCTGCGGTCGATTGTGTTTGGGATCGAGACCAAGTCGAAGTTCGAAATCAAGCAAATGTCAGGAAACATCATTCCGGCGATTGCAACCACAAACGCGATCGTGGCGGGATTGTGCGTCACGCAGGCGTTCAAGATTCTGAACAACGATCTCGAGCACGCAAAGATGGTGTACATTTCACAGCCTCCTGCGCGAATGCTCAGTGCGGGCACCTTGCCACCGGCGAACGTTCATTGCGGAGTTTGCGGGATTGCGCGGGCTGCCATTTCAGTGGATCCGGAGAAGTTGACTTTGGGCGACTTTTTGGAGAAGGTATTGAAGAGCAAGCTTGGTTACTCTGAGGAAGTGAGTATCGTGACGTCAAAGCTACTGTATGATATCGAGTTTGACGACAATCTCGAAAAAACGTTTGTAGAGTTGGGTGTCAGCGACGGCAGCTTTATCACCATTATGGACGAAGAAGAGCCAGAAGACGGTTCACCTGGACGGGTGAACTTGGAGTTTATAGTATTGGCTAAGGGCGACAAGAATGGCGATGCCGAGGGAGACGCTTATGTACTTGATCAGATTCCCGAGATACCCAAGAAGCCCAAAGCTGAAAAAGAGCCCGCCTCGGAAGATGAAGGGATGATTGTGGCAAGTGCTGCGCCGAAGCGGAAGGCTGACGAAATCAGTGGGGATGACACAAACTTGAACAAAAAGTCAAAGACAGATGGGAATGGGGATAGTGCCACGATAGTGATTGATGACGAGGATGGAGCGTTTTTGATTGACTGATTAGAGAGCTACGATATTGCAAGGGAGCGAGCGCGCATGCATGTATAATTAAACCATAATATGTGTTGATCATTGCAGGATGTTTATAAAGAAACGCTGAAGCCGCCATCAAGAGTGAGGATGGCTCCGTTGCAATAAGTGTTTTTGATTAGAAACATGGCCGCGTCGGAGACTTCCTCGACTGAGCCAGTGCGGCCTGCGGGGATGCGCTCGAGGAAGGCTTGCTCTGCTTTGCTGGAGACGCTCTCACTCAGCATACCGGTGTTTATCAGTCCCGGCCGAATCGCGTTGACTCGTACCCGCTTCCCTCCTAATTCCGTGGCCAGCGCCTTTGTCAACCCTGAATAGATGTAACGAGCCAGATTAGCTAAAAAATGCAAAGAGCAGAGAGCTTATAGAAATAATTACCTTCAATACCACCTTTACATGCAGCGTAGATAGACGACCCTCGGCCTGCCCTGGATGATAAGACAGAGGAGATGTTGAGGATTGATTTTTCTGTGCGTGAGCGCATCATTGAGCGGGCGAATGTGCGGCAGGAGTATATTGTGCCCATTAAATTAGTGAATACAATGTCTTCGATCTCTTCTGGGGTCATTAGGCAGAGAAGTTTAGTCTGCGCAACGCCTATATAAATATCATGTTAGAATTAATATTGTAGATAGCAGAAATCTGAAAAAGCATTGATAATGCGCACCGGCTGCGTTGACGACGATATCGATGCTTGCGGGATCAACTCCGCCCAAATCGTCGGCGGTCCACACTCTCCTCGTACTAGCAACATCAAGCTGGACCGCTTCGTGCATCTGGCCCATTGATGTATCAAGTTCTGAAGCAGCATCTTGGGCTACCGATAACGTACGACTGAGCAGTATACACGACGCGCCGTCGGTTGCGAGTCGGGACGCGATGGCGAGGCCGATGCCACGAGAACCGCCGGTGATGAGGCAGGTTTTACCGGATAGCGCAGGAGTAGAAGCAGTCGTAATCAATCTTGAGACACTTATTCGAAGACAACTAGAAAGCGCTGTCCTCCGTAGTATCTTGCATGAGAACATTGCTGTTGTATCGTGGAGGAGCGGGAATATTTCTGGTTTGTCGATGACGAAATGCATCGCGTCTGAGCCGCACGCTTTTGAGTAAAATATTATTGTGTAGGGTGTGTTACGACCTACAGATTTCAGTACTGAGCAATATTCGAAGATGACTGGTGTTCGAGAATCTGCGAAGTACATCTTCGAGAATGCGGACGACGTCTCGATTGATCTCGATGCATGCCAAAGGGCCGCTGCTAGTGTAAGGATTCAAAACTCATTAGGAAATTCAACTGGAGCTAATCGAGCAGCTTTCTTTCTCCAGATATACGCAAGCATGCTCGAGAAGTCTTACTCTACAGAGACATGGTCGAGCCATGTACTGAATCCTGATAGCAAAGAGCCTGCAACAGTGGACTGGATCTTCGTCGTTGATCTCTTGAACTTCAGTTTCTGGTCGGACGTGGACGATAAAGATACCGGGAGATCAGATACCCAGCGGTTTACGGTCTCGTGGCTGGGACAGCAATGGACTGGATATTGGAGCTTGTGTGCTGCAATCAACCGCGCTCTTGCTGAGGGTACTGCAGGTTTTGGTTTTGTGTGAAGGGAAATATCACTTACAACTGTCACCACGAATAGGAATCCCAATCACTACGCCAGCCTTCTGGATCGACAAGGAGAAATGCTCAGATGATGTGATAAGACACATATTCAGGTCTGAGACAGCGGAGCAAGTTCCCATGTTGAAAGAACGAATTGCATGTTTGCGCGAGGCCGGCGAGGCTCTCACCACCGTATGCGAATTCCCTCTACTGCAGCATTGATTTTCTACTCTAGTTCAACTGACATTGGCTATTATCCAGAGATTCGGAGGCAGTTTCGTCGGCTGCATTGCGGAAGCGAATGAGTCCGCTGTAGAGCTCGTCAAGCTGATTGTGGACAATTTTCCTTGCTTTCGTGATGAATCAGAGTACAAAGGACGAACCGGTATGGCAGACCACGTTGCTCTTATCCAGACTCTATATGAGTGCTAACTCACCCGATGCTATAGTCAAAATATACAAACGAGCGCAGATCTTGGTATCTGGTGAGCTTCGACAGACGATCTACACAAAAGCCTAGACACGAATACTAACTTATTTACAGACATCTGGGCATGCTTTAATCAGCAGTCGTACGGGAAGTTCACCGATATCGATGAGATAACGATGTTCGCAGACTACCGAGTGCCCCAGATCCTTCACTCTCTGGGTTGCCTAAAGTACTCTGACAGCCTAACCTCGCACGTTCAGAGCCTTCAACCGATTCCCCACAACGACCCCCGAGAAGTAGAGCTTCGTGGTTGCAGTATTTGGAGCGTGGAATTGATCAAGGAGGAGATCATGAAGCAGCATCCCGGCACCAAGATCAATGCTATCTTGATTGATTTCTACCTTTGGGATACCGCCAAAGAGATACAAAATGAGATGGGAGAGAAGCAGGAAGCTATACAGTGTCACCGGACAAGAAGTGTGTTTTACTAAGGTTATACGCAATGATTATTCTTGAGCAAAGGCTTTGTAGAGTTGGTTCAAAAAAATATCTAAATGGCAGAGTAATATATAAACCCTAAAATCGCGTCGACGCGTTATGAGACGCGTCGCGCTTCTGCATCATTTCGTTCTTCTCTTTCTCTAACGATAGCACTGCTATGTTTTATTCACACGATATCTTGACACGGAAGTCAAACGGCTTAAGCACAGCTTGGTTAGTAGCTTATGTCTGGCGACCATTGTTAAAAAAATACGATACTCATATATGCGCGGATGTGTGTAGGCTCGTTGCGACTCTTGGGGCAAAGTCGTCCTTGAAACGCGTTTACAAGAAGGTATGATAGATTGCCTTATATATCCTACAATGTCATGTAAAGTAGTGGCTAACGAATCTGAATTGTCTATTAGGACATTCTCGGCGTATCGATTCCCGATGCTTGCGATGTGGTGATGCATCCGCCGCAGCCCTTGGCTCTTCGTCTCAGCGCGAGCTTGCTGTACGGGCTCATCCATATTTATGCTCAAAAGTCTGGGTTTCTCTTTGGTATGTTATTAGATGCTGTGATTTTATTGAAGAAAGTAATGGAGGACATGTTACTGACATGAATCGAAGATGACGTTTCGACGGCCTATACCAAGATCACACGCGCGATTCTAGACGTCCACCAAAACGAAGCTCGTCTGGCGAACGACCTACATCATACGAAAGCGAGTCGGTAGGTGTTTTAGCCTGACAGATTGTATTTTTGGCTGGAGCAGTTAATATTGACAATTCATCAAGACCTGATCAGTTGGTATTACAGGACGACCCTGCGTTTTCCATTGATTTTGGATTTCTTGGAAATGATTTTCTAGCAGCCTCTCAAGATACTTTCCCGGAAGATCTGGGAATCACTCAGGATTATAACCACCAAGCCGACAGAAACTTCATTGGGGCATATAACATAGATCCCTCATCCGACCTGCCCGACGACGCTTCCTTTTCTTCAAACCCTACGTCGGCCTACATGTCCCAATCTGGTGTTCTCTCCTCCGACCCTTTCGAGATGCCCGGGTTTGATGACGATCTCGGCCAAGTATCGTTTGAGTTCTCACATAACGGGAATGTCATAGATTTTGACTATGACGACAACGGCATCGGTGGTGGCGGCAGTGGAGCAGGTGGAGCAGCGCAGAGCAGCGGGCAGCGAGCGTATAGGGAGATGGTGTTTAACGATGACGATTCCTTTGATCATGTTCAAGTTTGCGATTTCCTTTGATTTTCTCTCAATGGGTTACGTTTTAACGATTGTTTTATAGCCTATCGATCCGAAGCTCGCGAGTATCGTGTTTGATTACGACGCTAACATGTATCCGACGATTCCAGAGATAGACGATAGTATTCCGCTAGTCTTATCATCCACACCTGCTATCGACAATGTTGACGAAGATCCTGCCATAAAATCAAAATACCCAAAGAAACGGAAAGCGCCGTCTTTGCCTACAGTTGATGAGGTTACCGAGCTCTCAAATGATATACTGCGCAGCTCGCGAGACGAGTATACGCACCTAATGGCGACTGAGACTGAGTCTGCGAGAGCAAAAAGAGTCAGGCGCTACGTGATGAAGAATTCAGCTCCATATTTTGTATTTGGAGGGGATTTGATTGGCGATCTGTACTCTGACATCAGCCTCGCTTATCCGTCAGTACTTCCGGGAGGGAAAAGTCTGTCGCCTCCGTCTGTGGCCGATGGAGATATTGATACTGATTTCGACGACAATGATTACGAAAATGCACTCGGAGATGTTCCGCAAGGGGGGAATATCAACAGTCTTCCGATCGACTTTGACGTAAGAATGACTTAAATAGCTTTGAAGTCTATTGCTCACACGTGAAACGGTTTTTGTTCTGTATAGGGTGATGTTGAGGACCCAAGACAATTGTCCACCGAACTGCCGTACATGCAGTCCTCCTCGCTCCTGCCCTGGAATATCTCGGTGAACAGTAACAATAACAACTCGATGATCTCAACTGCATCTGCCTCGCATCAGCACAGCTTAGCGCTCCACTCATCGACCGATAATCTTTTCTTCACGAATCGGCAAAGAAGAAGCTCTAGTAGCGGACTTCTCAGGAATAGCGGTGGCCAACGCAAACGATCGACTCTTATTCCGTCAGATCTGGATAGCCATGCGGAAGATGCTGAGTATTTTTCAGACTCTGATGGTATTACCTTGCGTTTCTTTTTGATAGTATTGGAATGACCTAATGTAGTGCTCTATTTTTTATTCGTCTTTAGATCTTGAGTCACTCCCTCCTACAGAACATCTACTCCGTCTCGAAGATCGTAATTTCTACGAGTAAGCAGAGCCAAATGATAAGTACTGAGTCAATCAGAGCTAACAGTTGCCTTTAAGTTATGTGACTATGAAAATGGACGTTTTAGGAGTCAAAAGTCTCGAGTTCTCCGCCATACTTTCGCAGCAGGAGAACTCTCAATCGGTGGCTTCTCAAGGATTTCTCCATGTACTGACCTTAGCCAGCGTAGGCGCCTTATCGGCGGAGCAATCTGGCCCCGGCTCTGTAACTGTATCGGTTGCAGAGTAAGTTTTTGTTTGCTATCTGATTGCTAGTTTGCTGGATTCTCTTGATCTGTCGCCTGTTACTTGTTTGCTTAACCTCTGACGTTGCTTTGGCTTTTTGCTACTACCAATTTTGCGTTCTTTTTACAAATAATATACATTTATAATCTATCCCTGATTTATAAGCTGTGCAATTAAATCACCCGCAGGATCATCCTGTTCATCGCCTTCCTCAAACGCCTCATCCTTCGGTTCTTTCGGCTCCTGCGCCTCAGCCCACTGTGTGATATCGTCGATATAACTCAAGATCATCGCGACTGAATCTGAGTTTGTAGAATCTAGAGGCAAAAATTGAACCATTCCGAAATCATCGATAAGCTCGACTAGCGCCCGATTGAGATCGTAGAATTTTGAATTCGTGCTCGAGTTGATGCCCGACAGGAGTGTGGCATCTGGACTCAGAAATGATTTTATCTGCTGCTTTGACATATCGTCTTTGATCAAATCAAGTTTGCTGAGAATGTTGATGTGCGGGAGTTCAAGAAGGATCATTGCTGACATTGCGCTCATTACACCAGAGAAGAATTTGGGTCGGTCAATCACGAAGGGGGCTTCAAGTAGATAGGAGGCGCAGAGTGAGAAGCCGAGATTTTGCGTGAGGTGTTTTGCTAGCGTAGGTAGGACTGGGATGTGTGTGTAAAGCTCGATTTGTCCTGAACATCGTCAGTATTTTGAATCTGAGGAAAGAGAAGAGAGAGCATGACGCACCTGGGCAGTCAAAAATTAAGAACTCATCTTCATAATCTCCGATTTCTTCATCCAGCCAGTCGAGATGATTCATCAAAAACCTGCGGTCCCTTTGTTAATTCATACTTCCAAAAGCCTCTATATCATAAAAAACCTTCAAGGAGCCATACTCAAAACAATACAACAGACCACCGTTTGGTCCAAACGACATTTCCTGCATAACATCTTCCAGCGAGATCAGGTCTCGGATATCGACTGTGAATTCATATTCTCCTGGTTCTGCCGCCGGATCCAGATTAACAAGATGTGCTCGTCGGCCTACACTTTGAATGTGATTCAATAGCGAGGAACAGAATGTGCTCTGTCATTTGTCAGGACGTTAGATGCTATTATTCATGGATATAGAAGTAAAAGCATTGTTGAGGCTCCAGCCAAGGCCAAAGAGTTGCTTGCTTACCTTTCCAACACCGGCAGGCCCTAAGACCATTACACCCACTCTTGACATAATTGCTTCGTATAATTAAAGCCAAAGAAAGGAGATGGAAGAAAAGTTGTGAAGATTTTTGAGAATAAATCACTGAAGTGTACTTTGAAGTGCGATCTGAAGTTGAAATGTCCCAACTGACAGAATAAAATTTCCCAAAACCTTAAATAATGTCCTTGGGTCGTCCCTTCCTGCTTTGGGTATTACGATTGATTATGTGAAGAATTAAAAGCAGAAGTCTCAAGAGATGGCAAAAATAAAAGCCTTAGTGTTTTGATGAAATTCGATTATTTTACAGATCAATAATATGTAACCCGAGAAATACAGACTCCTTATAGTAATAATGTACTCCTGTTGGCCGCACGTCCAAACGACTACCTTTTATTTTCCTCTGATTTCACGACAACGCCTGTTAGCAACGGCGCGGTCGGCTCCACAGTCGCTGTACTAAAAACAGGCTGCTTTCCCATATCCTTGTGTATATCTTGTGTAGTACCAGACTGCTTTTTGATCTTTCCTAAAGACCTGATGTCGCCCTGTGACTTCACAGCCAGTTTCTCCCACTCGGCAGTAGCAGCAGCAGCGGCAGCAGCCTGTTTTGTGTTGTTCGTTTTATTTTTGCTTGCAGTGGCCACTCGTCGTCGTTTAGCTGCTAATTTCTTTCCGGCAGACGCAAATTCTGTACTGTAGCGCTCCAATATGTCCGGCAGGACTTGACAGTCGCCCTTTATCTTGTAATCGAAAACGTCGTCGAGCATCTTGATCGCTGGAGGCTCCTCTTCGTTCAGCCATATCACCGATCCACCAACCGAGTGCACCGCGCCGGCCATCTCTTTGACAATCCGGCGGACCCCAGGAATCCGTAAGCTAGTTCCAACCACGAGGAGCGCGTCTGGCCGTGAACGCAGATCAGTAGCCGTGACGCTGCCGATGGCTTCGCCGTCGGGGTTGAACTCGTTGTAGAGCACTATCCGCGGACGTAGCTTTCCAATGCCTTGCTTCCGCTTGCCTACAACTGCACGCACGTCATCTAGCTCGCGACACTCAACACAGTCGGCAGTATCAGTCTGACCAAACGCCGCAGGGTCAAAAGGTCCTGTCCAACCACATTTGGCGCAGACCATTGTTTTGAGCCCACCGTGCAGTTGAATGGTTTTTGGCCAAGGGGCTTTTGATGGCAAAGGAACGGCAGTCCCCAAACCTGTGAGTGAGAGCTCAAGACAGTCAACATTTTGTGTGTAAAGTCGGAGTAATCGGTTCTCGGTCGCGATCCGTGAGAGCATATGATGGAACTTTGTCGCAGGCGAGCTACTGGTGATTGCAAAGAGCGAGTTGACCATCGTGTGAAACTGTGCAGTAGACTCAGCGTCACTGTAAACAGACGAATCAAACATAGACTGCCCGCTGCCTTTCAAATTGAACCCTTTCTTCACTGTTCTGAATAATCCGTTCGCTGATCGGAAATCTGGAATCCCTGCCTGCACCGAGATTCCGGCGCCCACCACAACAACTAATCGCTTGGATCGATAAAGCGCTTTGTGAATTGCCTCAAGAACCAGGAGGCAATCGTCGTCGACGTCCTTTTCGTCGACCAGACTAGTTCGCAGAGTGTAAGAGATTGGTTGGCTTCGTTCGCCCTTTTGTCCACCTCCGCCAGCTGATGATCCCAGAGCTCGCTTCTTGGACTGCTTGACCGCCGGTTTAGTCCCGCGTTCCTGTTGCATTTGCTGCTGCTGCTGCTCTGTTTTCACTCCAATAACTAGACCAGGTGTAGCACTACAGCTCTTATCGGCATCCATTTCTTCCAAGTCACAAGCCAATAGAGCTCGATTCACTCGTAATTATCAGCCTTTTCCGTGTCCTGTACTGCTTATAACTTAATCTTGCTCATATAATTGAAGACAGTTCATTGTGAGCTCCGTTTTTCACTGCATCACGCATTCCAATCCCTTGCTTGAAGAAGACGATTTTGACGATGTTTGATAGATGAGATGGCTGGCTAGCTGCACAGGGGTAGTGTGATACCCTAAACCTATTCCCAACGATAATTACAAGCTTTGAATACAAAGATCAAGAGTTATATTTTCACACATTATTCAAAATTCTATGGGAGTCTTATCGATACCCTTAATAGTAAATTAAATGATTTTAAGATATAATAAGGCTGTTGCACTTATCTGACAAAGATTGCTGGAAGAAAACACATGAGCAGATCAATACGAGTCGACGCCCATAGTCTGTGAATCTATTGAAGACCCAAAGAGAAGATCAAGAGCAAAGCAATGGGAACAAAAAAAAAGACCAGCTCTTAACGATCCATCGCAGAGCCCTTTATTATCTTTCCGTATTCTTCTACTCCCGCGGTTATGCCTCTTCGCTACCTTTCAGACGCTTATTTCTCGCTCAGAGCAGCAACACCGGGCAGGACCTTACCCTCGAGGAGCTCGAGAGAGGCACCACCTCCGGTAGAGACGTGCGAAAGCTTGTCCTCAGCTCCCCACTTCTTGGCGACCTATATCATAAAAACAAGGAAATTAGTGCTATTCACAATAATGGAAATTAGGCATAGCGATTTGACATACGGTAGCAGTGTCACCACCTCCGACGATGACGGTGGTTCCGGAAGCAGCAGCAGCGACAGCGGCGTCGAGAACGGTCTTGGTTCCCTTGGCGAAGTTGTCGAACTCGAAAACACCGGGAGGTCTATATATCAATGATGATTTGCGTCAGCAAGGGCTCATGGCAGCAACTAAGCACAATAACATACCCGTTCCACAAGATGGTCTTAGCCTCAGCAACGGTCTCAGCAAACAGCTTAGCACTCTTCTCGCCGATATCAAGACCAATGAGACCGTCTGCGATTCCAGTCTCGTCGGTGGCGTAGCCAACAGTAGCGTCCTTGGAGAACTTGTCGCCAGTAACGTAGTCGACGGGAAGGACGACCTTGACGCCATGGGCCTTAGCCTTCTCGAGAATAGCGCCAACGGTCTTGGCACCTTCTTCATCATAGAGGGAAGCTCCGATCTATAAATACGCGAGTGGAGTGAGTAATGTGACTATACGAGAGATCAATTGACAGATAGAACGTACCTTGACATTCTCAAGAGCCTTCTTGAAGGTGAAAGCCATACCACCTCCGATGATGAGGGCATCGACCTTTGAGATCAAGTTGTCGATGAGCTGGATCTTGTCAGAGACCTTAGCACCACCGAGGATGGCGAGGAAAGGACGCTCGGGGTTCTCGAGGGCCTTCGCGAAGAAGTCCAGCTCCTTCTTGACCAAGAATCCAGAGGCTCTCTGGGGAAGCTCAACACCAACCATGGAGCTGTGGGCGCGGTGAGCGGTTCCGAAGGCATCGTCTGGTGGTTGAAAAGAGAGAGTTAGCGGGGTGATACGACTGGCGATCAACGACTATGCAAGGGTTACGTACTGACGTAGACATCGGCAAGAGCGGTCAATCCCTTGCGGAACTTCTCGACGTCCTCGGGGGCGCACTTGACCTTCTTTCCGTCGACCTTGGAGGAACCCTCCTCCTCAGCGTGGAAGCGGAGGTTCTCGAGCAAGATGATCTCGCCGGCGGAAGCGGCATTGACCTTGGCCTCGACTTCGGGGCCAACACAGTCAGGAAGGAAAGTAACGGGCTTGCTGAGGAGCTTGGAGAGCTCGTCAGCGACAGGCTTGAGCGAGTACTTCGGGTTGACCTGGCCGTCGGGACGGCCAAGGTGGGATGCGAGAATGACAGCCTTGGGCTCTAAAAACAAGGTGGGGTGAGCGGGGCGGATCAAATGGGCCAAACGCTAAGCAAGAGGCATTGGAGAAGACATACCCTGCTCAATGGCGTACTTGATAGTAGGCAGAGCGGCAACAATACGCTGGTTGTTGGTGATGGTCGATCCGTCTAGGGGAACGTTGAAGTCTGGGGTAAAGAAGGGTATCGGATGAGTGACTGGAGCATAGGAGGCAGAGCGAAAGAGTGGAAAGACATACCGACGCGGATAAAGACGCGCTTTCCCTTGAGGTCGACATCAGTGATGGCAAGCTTGTTAGTCAAAGACATTTCGGAAGGATTATTGATCAATTGAATTGACGGATGGGAGGAGAGATGTGCAAGTGGATGATGTGTGGAGAACGAGGGAGGGAAGAGAGGAAGAAGAAAAGAGAAGAGGAAGAAAACTGCGCCGCGCGAGAATTCAGGATTCGGTCTTGTCACGACATCGATGCAGGCTTCCGTCAACCGTCTGCCTTCTTCCGAATCCTCTGCCGAGACTGTTTACTATTTCCTTTTATTGCTCTCACTCGTAGCTGCTCGCCGATTTTGCCATTCCGCTGCTGTCTGTAGTCGTAGTCTGCGCTGTAATCCCAGATATAACAAATATCTTATGTAATACTACCCAAACCCATTCTCTCGGGCCTGCGTTAATTTTACATCGCTTCGGTGTCTTCGAGAGAGCATATTGCTGTAGCTATAGCGAGTAAGAGGCACAGCGAAAGAAATGCGCCCACCCACTGTTGCAAGGACAATTACAGCGGCAGGGGTCACGGCAATTCTTAGGCCAAGACTGTTCGCAGGCTCTGTTGGTATCAGGACTGCCTTGAACAGAGGTGGTCAAATCAGACAGGTATTTGCTTCCGCAGCTACGAGCTACTATCAACTCTTGTAAAGGGAAGAGCGATGTTCTCACACTATTTCACCAGTTTTCCTTTCCGTCGGCCACCTTGCTTGCTGCCACACGCCCATCAATATCGATATTCGAATCATCCCAAGCACACTCGCGGCGCACGTTTTTTTCAAGCCCGTCGCCGCCTCCTCGGCCGTCATCGTCATCGAGCAATGAATTCGTGCCGGACGAACCGGTTCCTGCAAACGAGCCAGTGTACGATTTTGTGCCGGAACCAGCATACGATTTGGCTGCGCAGGGTGCAGCGTCATCGACAGCTCCCGTTGATGCGCTGAACACGCTCTCATCGACGGTTCTTGATGCGACTTCGAACACAGTTGCAGCTGCAACCGCGGCGGCCCAGCCTTCGCTGCAATCGCTAGGTCTTGCGCAGACCTGGGTCTGGCCCTCAGATATTTGCCAACACTTGCTTGATATTGTGCACAGCCAGGTCGGTCTGCCATGGTGGGGGACGATCATTTTGACGACTGTTACTGCGCGCCTACTGTTGTTTCCGATTTACATGAAATCCTCGGACATGACTGCACGCGTCCAGCAGATCCAGCCTGAGATTCAGGAGCTGTCGCATGAATTTGCCAACGGTGACAAGTCGGTCGAGGAGTTTGTCGCTGGCCGCAAAGCGATCATGGAGAAGCACGGTATCAGACAGCGATGGGTGCTCGCGCCGCTATTCGTCAATCTTATATTTGGATTTGGTATGCTTCTTGGTATCGAATATATGGCAGTCAAGGGCGCTCCAGGGTTCGCGACTGAGGGAACCGCGTGGTTTCCAGACTTGAGTGCTAGAGATCCATATCTGGGACTGCACTTTATCACCGCGACGCTTTTGACGGCGGCTTTTAAGGTGAGCTTGAATTAACAATCCTATGCTCGTCGTGAGGCAGTACTGACTGAATATGATATCTTTTTGACAGTTTGGAGGTGAAGTTGGCATCAACACGATGGGTCCGAAATTCATGCGAATAATGCTAGTGCTGCCCTTCGCGTCTATTCTGTTTACGATGGGGCTTCCGTCAGCCGTGATGCTCTATTTCAGTGCATCGAGTGTCTGTAGTATCGGACAGACATACTTGCTGCGCAGCGCATGGTTCCGAACGTGGGCGCGCATGGCGCCGATGGTCAAGCCGGCAGCTCCGTCTGCTGCTAGTCAGCAGGCACAGCTTGACCTGCAGAAGCAATTCAATATGATGCTTGAGGCGGCGAAGAAAGCTGCGAATCAGAAGGGGCCGAAGCCTCCTCTTGAATGAGTGATATGTAAACAAGCCTTGTACATAATTTATGATTCAAACAAAAGAGTGGTGTTGACGATTGGTACCGGGCTACGGGGTCAAATAGAGAAAGCCTACCAATAAGTAGGGCAGCAGGAGATGGATCAAGAAAAGTAAACAAAAACAAGGTACACGGTAACTCTAATGGAGTAAGAAGAAATAAAAATTATCGTAGCGGGGAACCGGGGAAAAATGGAAGCGATAAAAAAGCCGAAGAGAGGTCCACTATATCTACGTCGCTTCGAGAGCTGTTTTAGTTGCCTCGGCTACCAATGGTTAAGTAGGCACAAAAAACAGTGCGGCCGCCGCAAAAGTGCATTTGCAAAGTCTAAAAATGAACGAGCTACGGATGTCTAGACCAGTGAAATCCAGGCTTTTGTCGTAGTTGGTGTTTTGACGATGACTACGAGAGAAGGCGCCGAAGAACTCAAATCGGACCGCATGCTGCTACTGCATGCTTATCTTGCGCGCATTTCTGTATGAATTGCCACAATCTGCTTTGATCTTTATCCCGGTATATACAAGGTACGTTCTCAGCGTTCGCCGAAACGAAGGAAAAGAGCGAGCTATGTTTTTCGGAAGCAGGGCAAAGTCGGCTAATTGAAATCAAAACAAACAAAACATTAACGTAAACAGAAATCTCAAAACAGACGGCTACCTAATTGGGTACGGGAAAAGTTTAATTTAGGTATTCGTTTTTGTTTTGGTTCCGCATCTGGTAAAGCGCGACGCTACTGGGAGAGGGAAGCTTGCTTGATGCGGCGAATACGAAAAAAAGTTCTAGAACCAAAATAACAAGCTGATTGTGTGTTGTTTATGTTTATGTTTTCATCGGTTTTGTTGATTATGATAATTAGTATAGTTATTATTATTACAATTGATACAAGAACACATTTTTATGCTAAACCGATATGCAAAAATCAGATTCCACGCCATTCATTACAATATCTACCCCGACATAGTTCAGAAACGCATTGTAGATTTAAACCCGCGACTTGAGAGACTCCTCGATCTCGGCGAATCCATCGTCGTCCTGAGAAGAATTGGTGGTCTCGTAGTGGAAGAACTTGAGGAAGTGGAAGAGACCGGCGGCGATGATCGCACCGAGGATGGGGCCGACCCAGTAGATCCAGTGGTAAACGGGGAAGCTGGGGATGACAACGGCGGGGCCGAACGAGCGCGCGGGGTTGACACCAGCACCGGTGAAGAAGACACCGACCAAATGATCGATGAAGAGGGCCAAGCCGATTCCAAGGGGAGCCATGGGACGCGAACGGTGCTTGGTGGCAGCGAGCATAAGGACGGCGATGCAGAGCTGGGCAGTCATGAACATCTCAAGGAAGAGACCACGGGTCTTGGAGACACCCTCACCGAGAGAGTTGGCGTAGAGAATCGGTCCCGGGGTGAGGGAGTCGACAGCGGCAGCAGCAGCAATACCAGCAACGATCTGAGCGAACGAGCAGATGGCTGCGCGGATGGGGGAGATGGCACCAACAAGGGCGAGCGAGAGCGAGACGCAAGGGTTGAACTGGCCGCCCGAGACACGGAAGAAGGTGAAGACATTAGCGGCGAGCGAGAAACCAAAACCGGCTGAGATCATGACGAGCTGGGCGGGGTTGGGGGTCGAGATAGCGTCAGTGGTGGAGTTTGCAGCCTGGGCGATCGCGTAGGCGAAGAAGAGGAAGAGGAAGGTGCCGCAGAACTCGCCGACCATGGCGACGAAGTGGTTGCGGAGACCATCGGGCAATCCAAGAACGGTGATGTTCTGAGGGCGAGAGGGCTTCTCGGTTGATCTGAGAGTAGTGATAGCCATTGCGAGGGTGGGTATACAGAACGCGGAGTAGTGCTGGAGAGGAGAGCGGTGGTGAGGAAGGATAGCGAGGACTGGAGGAGGAGGACAGGCCGGTATAAATACTCTCGGGACGAGTCAGAAAAAAAAGAAAAAAAAAAAAAAAGATCAGATGCTGGCTGAGTTTGGGCCGTGCGAACGATCCTCGCGGGTTCTGCGAGGGCGTCGCGGTGCCGTGACAGAGTCCTCGTACCCGTCACCTGCAAAACCTTATCTCGTCACTTTCCCGCGACCTGACAAAATCACTATATTGGTGTAAACTACCAATACTAAATAGCGAATACTCTATTGCGCTAAATGCTTTTCGCCTCGGGACTCGCCTCTCTACTGTTCAAAGAATCGGTCGTGATGGGGAGTTCGAAACGGCTGCGAACGTTGGCGGATCGCAGACAGAGCAGCAGATCATGAACGAGAATCAATCGCTTCTCGAACATTTCCGTATTCGTTGAAGAGCGGCAAAACTCTAAATCCCGGCTTGTGGTGGTCCCCGTCTGCGTCTGCAAGCAAGCGTGACGTCAGCGTCTGAAGCCCCAAGACCTCACTCCGACCTGCAGGGGCCAGTGAGTCTTTTTTTCCCCTTCCAGTGTTCTAAATGGCATTCGGAACCAGAAACATGTGCACGAGGAACGGCGCCAACGAGAACTCGCCCCGTCGCGTGGAGGGCTGCGTAATCGCGCTGTGGTTGATTGGTGTTCATTTGAAGTTCCCGCGGAATCAAGCGAGATTGTGTACAGTTGGAAGCGCACAGGTTAATGAGAACTGGTCCACATATTGATAGAATGCTAGACACTGACTGTCGGATCATTCAGTTGTGTTGACCAAGCCTTTTCGCCGTTATGCTAATAGTTTTTCCGTGCATTAGTAGCTGGCTTTCTCGCCATCGGCGGGTGGTGCGTGGGTCTTGCCTGCATTGCATCTCCGTTTAAGCCCTGCTGCTAAACAGAAACACTGCATTAACAAGAATTACAGTTTCCCTTCCTCTCATTTGGCGCCGTCACAGGTCTTGCGTCATTATTCAGAGTTCCATGATTCGGCGGGTCGTCGCTGGAAGAAGGGACGCACAACTGCACATCGACCTGTCTGACGGCTCTCGTAGAATCATCTTTGGTCTTCTTCGCCAAGTTCACGTCGTTCGTACCAAATCACTGTTCTCAAATTTTATTCAAATTATCTAAAAATAAATCCGCCCGGCTCTTGAAAAAACCTCGGCTCTGAACTTTATTCTTGTTTTATTTATATGGATTTTCCAACGCCGCTGGCTTTATTGCCCCCCGCCCGCGTCCGTCTGCGGCTTCGATCCTCCTGCGGCTTCTGCGGCTCGCTTCGTCCGACCCCTGTGCTATTGGCACGCTAGCACATCTCCCGGTGGCGACCTTTCTCCCATTCTTGCCAGTGAAACATCCATCTGTTCAGCTGAGCATCGCCAATTTACGCACGAATACTCTAACGCCGTACGCATGTTTCACTTCGCTTTGATTGCTCAGGTTTCGACGATCTACATTCGAAGTCGCTGTTAAGCTGAAACTGCCGCTCGACATCTCCTACCCATCGCCAGCACCGTCTTTTCTCGTCGCACCCTCGTCCCCAAACCCGAATAGAGCTGTGTGCTAAGACTTGGCCCTCATCGAGAGACTGATAAATTAGCTGCCATCTAGTCATGCCCTGCATTGACGTGCTTCTTTTCCCTACACAAATCACTAAAACCTAGCTTCTATATCATATCCATACCGGCTCTCGCGCTCTTTCTCTATCACTGGATAACAACAGCCAGCATCGTTATGAAGACATACCAAAGTCCTACGTCATCACCTCAAACCACACATTTAATATCCGATTTCCGAAAGTTACCAAGTTACCGCCTATTGCGCTATCGGAAATTGCTTCAAGGTTTATTATTCCGTCTTTTGATTCACAGTACTTGTATTTTGTACACCAATTAGTTTTGGTCACGGAGTGCAACGTATTCTAGCAGGAATTAACTATCGCGCAAACCTTTTAGAGTAGCAACTGTAGTCAATCTCAATATCTTTACTTGTTTTTTCTTGCTTCTTATATAGTCTAATCACGTGTCGCCGTTGACCAATATATTCATTAACTGAATGGCACACATATTGATGAAACCTAAACAGCGAGCTGTTATTGTGTCCTCGTTACTCCGCCGAAACTCCCGTCACAGTCAGCGCACCTATCTATTAACCGTTGCGTAACAAAAGCTCGGCCAAACACATGAACGCGCCATCAAAAGGTGGAGCGAACTCTGAAGCTATCAAGCTGGCTTGGTGAGTAAGAAGTCACTGATTGCGGATGTAAGGAGACTTGACTCATGCTAACTAGTTATCGGCGGAGCCGAGAATATATTGGACATGTACAAGCTTGATCAACATAACGTTACAAGGCAGATGCGCTGTTACAAACTCAATGTTTGTATCTTCTAGGCTCTTATGCATCCTCATCGCTTCCAACTAACCCGCTTATTCAATAGCATAGCTTTCCCCACTCCCTTATTATATCGATTTTTGCGACTGCTCAACGACTGCGTTTGTTATGGAGCTGAGGAGCACGCCTTAAGGTTACGTACTCTGGTTTCATAATCAGAGATGACCTCTTGGTTTGCTCCCTGTTAGCCATAAGAAAGAGCGACCGAGACCAAGAATATTTTTCTACCTCCTCGCTACAATAAGAATCACAGACACAAGCGAGGTTAAGCAGCTGCGCCTGCCGGCTAATGAGACGATAATTGATATTCAACGAGTCATGAAACCCCGTTCCGTTCGATCAATCTCTGTCATGCTGCAATGAAATTGACGACCTCCCTCTTTGAGCATTCCGCGACGCCTGCTCTTCATTGCTCGTCCAATGAGGTCCCCGGTCCTCTATATATCATGTTGTTGACCTAGGAGGTCCACAATTTTGTGCTACGCACTCCTGCGTACTCTCGTCAGCTTGCTGTCACAGTTATTTGCTAGATTGCATAAAGATCTTTTGCAACTGCTTCTCAGGCAACTACTGCGATGAATTCTTATCTTCGGCGGTCATGTTCAACTCCAACTCTGATCCGAAGCGGTTGCTTTTGCTCCGATTTCATCAGCCGCCATCCTCAGTCTTTTCCGATGCCTTTCCTTACGAACTATGGTACGGCTTTCCTCCGAATACATCCTCCACACGTTCTTTGTATAAGCAGTGTCTAATCTTCGCAATAACAAGATTACTCAGGCTAGCGTCACTCCCTTTCTTAAGGGCTTTGAGCTCAATCGCTGTTACTGTTATCGCCGCCACCTGCTCCGTCTTTGTACTCGCCATCTCCCGATGATTTTGTCTGCTTTTTCTTCTGTCTCTGACAGTCATATAAGCACCATTTCGTCTCTAGTTGTTGCTGCTCTGTTACAGGGAAGAAATGGTATGAGATGAAATTAAATTATACTGTTTAGCCTGTTACTGGATCTTTCAGTACTGAAATACCGGGGCCATAACAGCGGTCGCAACTGATCACTGGTTTTCAATCCTCATTTTCTCCAAGAGTCTGTCAATATTGCCGCGGCCTTCTGTTTATTTTATCGTTCGCCAAGAGATGTCATATCCGCGCTTTTGAAATTTAAATCTGATGCAGAGATACTCATGAAAGCTGTTGCAGGTCTGAAAGACAACCATTATCTGGCTGGGATGTTTGCATATCTATGTAGTCGACAGGCGACAACAAGGTTATGACAGACAGTTTCCAACACCTTCCCACTGAATTCTTACCACTGGTTTTTTTCTTCTTTCAAAATTTATAGTTTTCCTATCTTCTTTCATATCTGATCTGTTTCCTTTTTAATGATCGTTCTCATTCTTTCATATCCATCCACGCCAGCCTGGTTGACTGTTTGATTGATAATTCTGTCATTTATGGTTTTTTTTACAAAACATATTCATTAACAAAGTGTCTCCAACTTTTCCACTGATTATTTTGTTTCTTCAATGGGTCTGTCATAGCCCAGTTGATGATTATGACAATGAATCTTTGCTTGTTGCACACGGACTATAAACTAGAGATAGATATTTTCTCATCATCGTCACCATAAAGCTGAATTAAGATATCCATATGAGCCAGCCTGAAGTGGAGTAAGGCTTTATCTAGCAGAAGAGATACTATGTTCAGCTTCCACAAATGGAATGACTTTCACTAGAATTCACTAAGAAAATCCTTATAATAAAGTCTGTTTTATTATTAATAAGAGGCAGAAGACATTTTTCACTGAGCATCATAAAGCTCCAAATTTGCAGGTGTTCAATATCAGGCCAAGATTGAGAAAATCATCAGGGGCGGGGAGGGCTCAAAGGTGATATAGGCAGCACTGCCATGATTATACTATACTGTACTGCCATGCCCCTCCTTTTTTGAATATATTAGTGGTTGATGGCTACCAGAGGAGTCATGGGCCTCCCATACTCCTCAGCATGAAGAGAAATGCATCACACTTTTATTTTTGCATCTGCACTTGTCCGGCCTACTCCCACCAATTACTAATGTGAGATTGGTTTATCTATCAAGAAAAGTGTGCAGCTGTAGAATGAAAGTAATCTGTTTTATGGGCCAGCCACAACGACTGGGCAATGGCAGACTGTCGTCTCCCCCTTCTCCACTAGATAAGAATAGAATTAAAACAAAATACGTCCCAAGATCATGCCACAATACTAATAATATCAGTCATTATAGATTCGCGCACCACTGGGGTTTCGCGCACTTTCAACCACTCCTAATGTGCAAATAACAATATTGTATCCACAAGTTGAATTAATTGAATTCACTAAAATGCTATGGAGCATCTTTGCATATTTTCTTTACATATGCATGCATTATGTCCCAACCTCAGCACTCATTTGCTCTCCACCCTCTTCATGCACTTCTACCTGTGATTGCTCTCAAGCAAATATCTTGATAATGAGCCGGGACAAGAGCCAAAGGACTGTCCTTCGGAATGTCTACTCTTCAATATTTTAAATAACCCGCATCGGCACTGGTCACTGGTATCATCAGCAACCCTCTCTCATATAGAGCCAAAGAGATGAATAATGCATCAATTTTCTGCAGACTTGAGATGGGGCATCGCCAATATTAAG